TAGATTTTTACTAAGAATAATATAGCTATAAAAAACTATATCTAAAATATATTATTAAATAGATTAATTATAATAACCCTACTAAAGAATCTACTAAATATTTTATATATATATATAAGATTATATAAAACTTCTATAGGAGATATCTTTATAAACCTCGCCTTAATAGAGTTCGGCCCTAAAAAAGAGGATACTATTATAGTATAAACTATTAGGATCTATAAAGACCCGCTAAGACTAATAAAGAAGATTATAGATATATAATCTTTAAATTATTTATCTATACTTCTATTCTTAATCCTATTATAGCTCTTCGAGCTATATCTTATAAATTAGCTTAAGCTAGTCTACTCGCTACCTACTATCTAATTAATTAGAACCCTATCGAACCTATTCTGATCCTACCGATCTCCTCCTATTATAACCCTGCTAGTCCGCACCCTAACAGAAGGATGATTTTGGATAGGGTTACTTAGTCGGCTAGGTTGCTTAGTCGGCCGGGAATTATATTAATAGAAGAAGGATAGAGAGAGAGAGATTAGCCTAGTAATATAGGCTAAAAGGGATATTAGCTAGTAAAGATTAGATAGCTATTAGAGATTGGATAGATATGGTCTAATCTACTAAGACTATAGGTATATATAGTATAGTGCTACTAATAAGGCTTTTTAATTATAGCGCTAGATATTTCCTTCCTTACTAGCGCTACCTAAGGACGGCCGCAGGGACATTAGATCGCAGGGGCGGTGACTCCCTAGCTCTCCTTTCTACTATTTTCGTTTATCCTATTTATCTTGTTTTATTTACCGCGTTTATACTACTTTTTTTGGTCTGATATAAGCTATCTAACCTCGCTATGGGTAGCCTTCATATACGCACTAGGCTAGACACTAGATAGCGCAAATCCCCGCATAGCACCTGTAAGCATAGGAAGCTAGATCGGGAATAAGAATATTGATTGATTGATTTACCTATTTTATTAACACGCCCATCCCTATAGATTAGTAGGGCCAAGTACAAGAATCGAACACAATATCGTAGGTATTAAATAAGAATTAGCTCTAACGCACATCGAGAATAACAAAATACATAATTACAAAAATACCTTTGGCTACCACACCCACAATCTTACCACCCAAAGGCTTCAATACTACCAGGGATAAGAGACTATCGGATATCAGGAGCTACCATAGACAAGCTCATGACTAAGCCTACTGGCCGAGCAGATTCCCTCTTACTCAGTATAGAAGCGCAAGGGCTTAATTTGTTCCTAACCCCTTATCTAGCATGGTATACAGAACAAACTTTGGCCAACATCTAGGTACTTGTTAAATCGAATGTGGGGAGAGGGTATACTAGTGATATTGCCAACCAAGACGAACCTCAAAGATACTATACAAACACTCGGACTCGAAGGTAGAGACAGAAGTACAGGATAGTTTGTTAAAGAGTTACGAGCGAAGTAGAAGAAAGACTCAAGCTTTGTGACACTCTCGCCCCTTAACTCTTGAACCAAAGCAAGGACCTTCCGGGCGAAACGCTAGGTCCGCCCGCTATCTAGGAAACAAAGGTACGTATGTACATTAACGGTAGTGAAGAGACCCCGCAGCAAGCCAGATGAATAGTACCAAAGCTACATAGTGACGACAGATCATCACGCCGCGTCATTACATTTCGAAAAATACATGCGGACAATCTCGACTGTGGACTATTCCACCTATCGCGGGGTATGTTCAGTGGATGGTGGTGGGCTAGTGGTGGAGACCGCCCCTTGCTCCACCGCACCCTATGGAAGACAGCGGCCGGGGATTGATAATCGAGATTCGGTTACAATCAGTCGCCCGCAGTAAATGAAGCCATGTACATACTGTAATTGGCTCTGGTTTCTGTTAGCTTTATCCATTCACCGACCATTTCTTGAACAACTGACATAAATCTACATATCTTAGGTCTTCTGACTATCTTGCCCATATCCCTTCTAGTATGGGTACCCCATAAGCAAGGTCCATTTGGTAAGCTCATCTCTACGTAAACTCATCACTGCCACTGAATCTACTTCACTGCCTTTCATTTACCATTAATATATTCACCAATGAAAGACAGGTCAAGACCCGGGACAGCTCGTGTTGGCTGTGTTTCTACAGTTATCCTCTTTCTGGGCTAAAAAGTAAATCTGCCTACGGTATGCATTCAGAGTGGCTGGCAATCAACTAGCCGTGGAAAGGACAACCGCATACCTAAAGAGGGGGAAGCAGAGAAGGGCGCGGTCATTCGGGTCTTAGAAACAGTGTTTTAACACCATGATGAACTCACTGGATCATTCATTCCACGGAGATATATGTACACTCCAGTAAATAAGATGGATTTTGCTGGGCGCCCGGTCTTTGGGAATGGCTATATCCTGTTTCGAGAAAAATTCCAGGAATCGCCGGTCTCCACTAGGGGAAAAAATAGATGAGTTATCTTGACAAATGCTGATTCAGTGAGTATTCGTTCCAGATAGGTCAAAGGGTCTGTGAAATTGACGCCGAAGATGACCGCTTTTAGGGCCAAAATCAGCCGGCTATTCTATCTATAACCTTGTGCGGCGAGGCACTGCTTGACCGCCCACTCCTTCTCCCACGAAATATTTTAAAAGCACCCAGCACTGTTATTCATCCTTCAGTTCTAGTTAAATAGTAACTATGGTATGTAAGATGACTAAAAATTGCTTGGCACCAGTTAACTACTATAAAAGCGTCCAGCCCTAGGGGGGTGCGAAGAAAAGCCGCCCGATGAATGACTTAAAGCATGTGTACATGAGAAGCTATTTCTGATACTTATCTCAATCATGGCAGTATGGCCGAGTGGTCTAAGGCGATAGACTGTGCGTAACCAATTCCTGATCAAATCACATAATCCAAACTAACAAATTCTCAGTGAATCATCAAAACTGATCGAGTTATCTATTCTCTTCGGAGGCGTGCGTTCGAACCGCACTACTGTCGATTCTTTTCTTTTTTTCCCTTTCCTCTTTTTTCACCCTCCTCTTGTGTTTTCTCTCAAACTCCCTCTGTCAATGGCCAAGATCAGGAACAGAAAACACTGTTTACCCTTAGCATTGTTCTAAAACGCCTTTTTTGCCGAGAACATGACCCCTATGTTAATAGCTATCATGAACGGAATCTCTCGGAAAATTGGCTTTCACTCTGACTGGTCTCGCTTACACTGCTTAATTGGAAAACCGAAACGCAATACGGAGAGGACTCGCTCCTCTCAATGTGTATTTCCCCCATTGGTAGACTTCATCTAGCACGCGCCCTTCTGGCCCTGGCTCATCGTGTGGGGTTTTGTAACTGTGTAGGGTCACTGCCTCTCTGTAGCAACCTCGATTTCCGAAAATTCGCAAACGTGGCGGAGAAGGTGACCTCGACGTTCAAAGGACGGAGGCCAGGGCGCGTTTCATGCGGGAAACAAAATGTCGTTGTTCACCATGGTAACTGTGGTGGTTCCCTTTTGCACCACTCCCCTTTTTGTCTCTCTCACTCGATCAACATCTCCCGCCACCAATCTCTCTATCCGCTCCACCAAAGCATGGTCCGACCATGTTTTCTCGACGCAAATGGGCAGGCCCCAATATGCTTGTCACCTCGAGGACCAAGACCGAGATCTAGCAGAGGCGACCGTCTTCTGCCACGAATGCCAACAAATAACAACCAGCCTCCATGAATGTGACCCAGTTTGCAGAAGATGCAACTCCCACTTCCTCCCAGACGGTGGCTGCTCCGATCTTTTCGATGCTGTTCCGTGCTGTGGATGCTGCAATGAGACTAAGACGTCCGTTGACTCCGATGGACTAGAAACTCTACCGGTACGACCTTCAATTCGTATTATCGGCTTCGAGCATTAACCATATGTCCACTCTTTAGGTTCATTTCCCTGACTTGACTTCAGTCATGGGTCCACTTGTTGATTTTCTTTTTTCTCCGAAAGAGAATCAAGTTGAGTTTGACCGCGGAGTTTATCGAACCGTCATTATGGCCCTTGGCGGTCCAGAGGCCTCATCAATATGATGTACGAGACAGTTGATCCAGAAATCAAAGCATTGAATGACCAAATTATGACTTCCGTGATGTATTAAACAGCCCTCTCCCTGATTTTGTGCTTGGATTAACCGTATATACTAGGCTACCATTCGATTCGGCGAAAGCAGGCCTTGACCCCAGCAACTTGGAAAGACCCTCACGGAGGCTACTCGGATTTTGTCATTCATTTTCACCAGTCCACTTACTTACGTCCCTACGTTGGTCAGTCCAATCAACCAATACCGCAGGATACAAGAGAGATTGTAAAGGGATCGATGAACAGCCTTCATTACTATATCATCAAGAATGGCGAGCGGCCAGATCGGCTGGGAATTACGTTATTTTATGGCTAGTAGGATCCCAGCTTCCTGTTAGATCGATTTTGACATGTCTTCAGCGCGCTTTGGTAGCATGGTAGGTGTAGAGAAGGAATTTACACGTAGGTACACAATTCTTGATGTGGTGGCCCACCTAAGTGACCAGACTTGAACATACCGGCTCTATCTTATATAGAGGATTATATTAAGTATGTAGATGGTGGACTGTTTGGTGGTGAAATACATTATATGGCCGGAGTGGCAAAAACACCGCGCGAAGTCTACTGTACTTGGCTACAGAGGTAGGTAAATACATGCACCAACCTCCAGGGGATACTCATACCATGTTTACCCTGTGTCTTCCGCTCGCCTGGCCATAGAAGACACAGGCAAGGCACCTGTATAGTAGTATAACTATAAAGCAAGCTAGATTGGGCTAATGAGATGTAATGAATTTATTGGGAGGTTGTTGCGGAAAACGTGGCCTTTTGACCAAAATTGGGTTAGGCGGTGATCTGGTGCTGGCGATAAGCCCCGATAACCAGGGCATCACCATATCCTCCGCACTCCGTACTGTTGCCCAACAACCTTCGCAACCTTCATCACCTTTTCTACCACCATGGTAAGCCGCCCTTGCTCCAATTGAGTATCACTCTAACCTCTCAGACCCAAACCCCTCAACAACGCCGCGCGAACGAACGGTTTGCCAAGAACGAGGCCGCCAAGCGCGGGAAAGGGCCATCTGTCTCCAAGCCTAAACAACAGACCAAGTCACCTGTTTCCACTAGCTGGGTTGGTATGTAGCTAAACAGACTGCGGATCGGAGGTTGAAGCACCGAACTAAGCGGAGTTTTAGTGATCCTGGCCTTTGTTGTCTGCGGAGGTCTGATCTTGGAGCTCTTCAGGATCGTCCCAGAGATCTGGAATACCGTGGCCTCGATGCTCTCCCGACTCACTGGGTAGAGAAAACCCGTGTCCTCGTTTGCGCCCTCTTTCGAAAATACCCCTGGAACGATTCCGATGCTGCGCCCCCTCTCGATGGTTACTAGATACCGCTGCTACTCTGTTATCCTGCAAAAGCTACCTACGTGTACTGTACTGTACTCCCTCCGATCGATACCGCATCGGCAAAACAAGAGAGGATGAGCTCGTTTGTTGCCCCAAGGCGCGGCATTTGATGGTCGAATTGGCGGGATGCTACGACCTGCCCTGTAGAAAAGCATGGATAGTCTCTTATATCATACTGTTAAAGCTACCCCGGAGGCCCACAATGGTGCTAAAGAAGAGCTCTCTATTGTTCGCCTGAAAGCTCTACAGAGTCCTCTTTCTGCTGCTTCTGTTTCTTCTGCTTCTTCTTCCTCTTCTTTGTCTCCGCCGGTTGAAGGTAATCACCCGCTGCAAGGCCGACCGCCTGAGGCGGCACGGGCGTGTGCTTCTTCTTGCCCTTCTTCTTAACGAGGGTTCCTTCGGCCGGAGTCCCCTGCAATTGAATCCTCTCTGACGCCCGTTGCATACGCAAGCGCATCTGCTCCACATTCTGCATGGCCTTTCTCATCTCGACCTCGCCGTCATCTTCGGCCAACACGGCTTCCCGTCCCAGTCCGCTGGAGTCAACCTGCAGTAGTGAACGCTTAGAGCCAGTAGGACCCCCGGGCAGACACGCCAGAGAATCATGGGGCGGGGTCTCCTCGATTCCGAATGTTTCATCAGCGGTCACTTCCATTTTCTTGGAGCGGCCGCGACGGACCCCAGAGGCATCCTGCTCTAGACGGCCGGACTGTCCATCTTCCAGCTTCAAATCAACGATGGGGATTGAATCAACGTCCAATGCATCGCCGCTTGCAGGATTGAGGAGCGGAGACATCAGTGCCCCCGACGAACTCTCCAAGGGTGCAATGTAAAATGGATCGTCTTTATAGCGTTCTCGGCGCTCGACTTTTCGCCTCTCTGTCGCACCCGGAGGATCGCTTGAGTCTGTTAGAATATTTTGATAAGAACTCTCGAAAGGCATCTCAATCGGGGCCAAGCTGGGAAATGGTTTACTCGGCGGAGGAGGGTCAAGGCCAGGATAATAGTAGAAATCTTGTAAAGCATCATACTGGCTCCCATCGAAATGAGAGTTGTCCAGGGTATGAAAAAGACCGAGTAGATCCTCGTTGAATGCAACATCCAGATGCAAGGTCGGAGGCAAAACAACTTTTTTTTGAGCACTGGTCGCCACAGGGTTGAGTTCTAACCCCATGAATAGACCGGGAAGAACGGAGGCGAGAAGAAAAGGCATTTCCCGCGTGTCGGGGTGCAATGCCTCGGCACTCAAGCGTAGGAGTTCCAAGAACTCAATAGCCCGCTCTTGCACGTCCAAGTCCGGGTGAGCTGCCAACGCCTCCAGAAACCCCACGACTCTAGCCAGGAGGAGGGAGGTTTCACTACTCCACGAGTCACCCAGCCCGTTACTTCGGTATACCCGAACAAAGACCTTGGGAATTGCTTGCAAGAACAACTGAAGGGTTTTCGCAGGCAGAGAAACATTGGATAAGTCGATCAATGATTGGAGGGTCTGACCAGGCGACAGAAGATCGTCCGCATATTCACCCACCACCCACGATATGGGGCCGAGGACATCATTTCCGACATTACATCCGGCCGGGAAGAAAGTCGACCGGTTATCAATGAGTATGAGGGACTCGGCGGCTCTGGTCGCTTCTAGTCGCACCCCCTTCACACGCACCGCGACATTGCGTATCTCGGATCCAATTCGAAATGCAACGCTCGTTTTCGAGTGCAGGGTAGCTTCCTGGGTCGAAGAGGACTGAATCCAATGTTCTTCTGTCTCTGATGGCGGCAGGAGACGGACCAGTTGGACTAGAGTGCCCAGGTACCACTCAAAATCCACGACCTCCGAGTAGTTATTTTGGGAGCAGATATCTAGGATGCGATGAACGACCTCCCCTCGGTAATCGTTTGGTAAGACCACTAATGCTATGGTGCTAGAACCTGAGGTTTTCCGCCCTTCGGTATCCTCAGTTTCAAACTGAGCAGATGGGAATACCTCGGGCTCAGATCCACTTATTGGAGAGGATAGTGTGGCTAACCGAAGCTGATCAAGAAGACGATTTACCACCGGTTGGAGAGTATCGCTAGCGACCATTCCGGCAGCAAGCTCTAGCGCCTGTAACCGGATGGAGATATCTGCGTCGTCCAAGCAGTCCATAATCACATCTTGCTGCATGGAAACCAACATCGGGTGTGTTGTGACAATACGGTTCAACGCCAGGAGGGCGACATATTTGACTTTTCACGAAGCGTCAGTGGGAATACAGAATGGATACATTGGGATTCTCTTACGATTTGGATCGGAGTCCATGACGATCATTCCCCTGAGCTTTCCAACACAAAGAGTGGCGACGTCATCTCTTTCCTGGAGATTGTCCTCGCCGTCCAGAATCCCCCCTTGGATGATTCCATTGATGCACTCATAGAGCAAGGACATCGCTGTGGTGGTTTCAATTATATTCATCAAGGGGCGTAGAAGCTTGCGTGTTAATCGTGGCTCGAGGGGAGTCAAAGTTGCAAACTAGATAAATTAGCGTGACGCTTTATTGTGGTGAATTTTTGACTACATGAAGAAAAGGGGAACCCACCAGCTTGATAATTTTGATAGCCATCCAATTATTTCCGCTGTCGACGAGAAGCTCAAAGAATCTCGGTGCAAGTGGGAGAAAATCATGGGGTCGCCGCCATCCTAGTTCACAAACGACATTAATGGCCGCCGTTGTCACGCTGCTATCCTCTTGGTCATCCATCAGGCGATCTTTGATTTTAGGCCATGCCAGCTTAAGCGCTTCTGGGTATACGAGAGCGAGGCGGTACAGACACACGATCGTCTTCTTCCGTACAACCGCGTTTGAATGTGAAAGGCGAGAAAGGATATCCGGTAGTAATGACATGGCCAGTGATGGGGTGATAATGTGTGGCAGAGTAACCAGCGGTAGTGATAGAGAGGGGATACTGGGCGACACGATATCCTGGATGTTGATTAGCTTTTCCCAAAAAAAGAATCGAAAAGCTCCACATCCTGAATGTAGGCCGAAACGGACCTTCTTGAGCATGTTTGTCGCCAGCATCAGTACTTCCGTGTCTGGGCGGAAGCTCTGTACCGCCCCCAGATATCCAACTCGCTTCTGGAGGTATTTTGAGGACGACATTACTTCCAGAACATGGAAGGACGCCCATGACATGTCGTAGCCAAACATTTCCAGGTAGATTAGCTTCAAGAGTGCCGTTGCCTTTTTATCTGTCGAGGTTTAGCTTGCGAAGCTGGCCGTAAATAGGGCACCAGCCGCCTACCCATGTCCTGGGACTTGATCTCCGCTTTACACTCGCGGAGACAGTCTTGAACATATTCATCCTCCCCACCCTTGTGGTTCCGGAGACCCTTGATTAGGTCATAGAGAGACTTTTCGAACCTGCCGTCGCGGTTGGAGGGTTAGTCTAGTGGCCAGACCTGTCGCGCGGGGGATTCACACTGGGATATGCTCACATCGTGCCTGCTGCTCGTCGACCGCCAGTGCTGCCGGATTCGGGAATTGGGTCACGTTGGGAGTCTATCACATCCCACGCAGCATGCTCCACCCAGTACCCTGCGCGGTATTAGCTGTCCTGGTTGTCGTGGTTGCCGGAAGCTGAGCCGAAACAGCGGAGCGCGGAGTACGTAGGGAGCTGGTGGGAAGATCGATAAGGATCACGGGACCGCATATCTACCGAGCGAGAGGTCTCCACCGAGGCGGCCATCACCATCCCCTCCCAGCCTGCCAATCTACTCCGTACAATTGCTTGTGTTGCTTCGGTGTCTTTTACGCTTTCGTACACGGTACCTCACAGCCTATTCCCCTGTCTCTCTTTATCTGCGCTTCATCCTGTATCTGGGTCCCTGCTATTGACACTGGCTGATCGATCTTCTTCCAGCTTTGGGCGTGCCCCCCGTTTCTTGCCATTGACCACCACCATGGGTACCCCTACGGACGCAGAAGCCAACGGATCCGACGTGATCTCTGCCCTTCGGCTCTCTCAACGGGCCCCGGAAATTCTTGGTCATGGTCCAGCATCCAACGCGTACGCCGCTTCATCCACGTCGGCTCCGGATACAGCCGAGGAGTATGGGCGGATTGAACAACTTCTCCTCGCCTGCCTGCGCACTGGAGATGACCAGTCAGCACAGGCATGTCTCGATCGGCTAAGCCACCGCTTTGGTCCCTCTAACGAAAGGGTCATGGGGCTGCGCGGCTTGTATCAAGAAGCGATTGCTAAGGATCAATTGGCTCTGGAGAAATGTTTGGTGGAATATGAAACAATTCTTTCGGAAAACCCCGTCAATGTGGTCGGTTATTGTCCTTCTCAGTTGCCCTCGTTGGCCAGGGAGCTATCCAGTGTGACTGACTCGTGCATGCCCGTGTCTAGCCCATCATGAAGCGCCGGGTCGCTCTGCTACGGTCCCTCCGGCGGCCCTTCGATGCCATCACCGCTCTCGTTCAGCTCCTTGATGCTATTCCCACCGATGCAGAGGCCTGGGGGGAGCTGGCCGACCTATATCAGTCTCAGGGACTTGGTTCGCAGGCGATCTTCAGCCTGGAGGAGGCCTTGTTGGTCGCCCCAAATTCTTGGAATGTATGGCCTAGTTCTCTTGTTCAGCCAAATACTATTGATTCACAACTGACCTTCTGTAGATCCACGCACGGCTTGGTGAATTGCTTTACGTCTGCTCCTCGTCCTCCGATGGCGATGCGGCTCGACTTGCAGGCAAGTCGGTTCAACATTTTTGCCGGAGTATTGAGCTTTGCGATGATTATTTGCGGGGATTCTACGGTTTGATTCTGGTATGTTTTGGTGCCCCGCGTGGGCTCATGGTCTCTTGCCACTGGGCGCTGACCAGGGTCTCTCCCTCCCTCTTCTGTTGCTTTATAGGCCACTTCCCGCATGCTCGATCACAAGTATGCTGCCGAGAGCCCTTCGGACCCTGCCGTGCCTTCCCGGAAAACAATTCACCACCTCCAGAGTTTCGCACTAGGACGGCTCGAGAACATTATTCAGTCACGATCGGTCGATGACCAGCATTGGGCATCCAGTCGAAGCGATCTTATTGCGGCCAAGGAGCTGCTGAATCGCTTCGCGCAGAGCAAATAATCAACCCACCGGAATCCCAGACCATCAACCGACTTACTTGCTGTTCTCATTTGGATACCCTAATCAGACTTTCTCGTCAATTCTGCTTAATCAAAAAATGTATCATTGTTTACTTGCGCCTCCGTCTCCTTGATGCAACGCGGCCGGGGTGACGTCCCGGCTAGCTAGATGACCCGTCGCTGATCTGCTGCGGATGGCCCGTCTATTGCCTATGTTTCTGTTATGAAGTCGGATGTGTAGTAGGGTGTATGGTAGGGTGTATAGTAGGGTGTATAGTAGGGTGTATAGTAGGGTGGGTATATGGAGGGTGGTAATAGAGTCATCAGGCACAACTTGTTCCGGCCCCCCGCTGATATTTCGTGGCATCCACTTTGCATCTCCGGTGGCATGAATTTGGTATGGACTTCTCGTGTCCTTCTGCATGTTGGTGTATCGCAGTCGATGAGCTAGGTGATTGCGAGCAACTATGTATGTATTGACCCGTCCATGTGGGGAGCGTTCCTACAGCGTGTATACATGGATGTATATAGGTGAGAAGAGCCGGCGGGGCCTCTGCCAGCCGATCATCAACAGCACCCATGCTTGCTGTTTACAGTCTTAATTATACCCTCGTCGATTGTTAACCTACCAAGCCTACCATCATCCCCGGGAGGGTGCAAGGGAAGCAGGGCTATCTGTGTGCCAGTCTGCGAGAGTGGTCGCACGATCCAGTTTCTGTAGCATTCGATCCGGAGGCTGGGGGTAGTGATGATGATGATGATGACGATGAAATTAATCTTGCAAGTATTCTCTTTATACTGGTGATGATGACTATTATTTTCAGTTCAAACTGCTGAGATCGGGGCTAGTGATTGGGCATTATCGGGCAGCAGATCTAGACCGTCCGATCTATTCGTTGCAGAACTTAGTTAGGCTAGGGTTGGTCGACTAACCCGAGTGGTGTAACTGTAAAACCCAGCCTTTCGCACTGTACCGAAAATCTGTAATTCAGCGACATCACATGCCTATGTACAGTACAGTACTATAGGTACGGCTGGGAATCACGCAGCATAGAGCTAGCCCGCGATACCTCCGTGTAGGTTGGCACCCCTGGGTATACCCTGCGCCGGCTAGATCCTAGAAGGTCGGATACTAGAAAAGATGATCCGAGGGCCTAGCCTCTCGCCTCTCGAATCTCAGTCTCGAATCTCGGTAGTTCCTCGTTCCTCGTTTGTACAGTACCAGGTTCGCCGCCTTCGAATATGCCCAATCCAGGCCCAATAGAGCCAGCCATGATCAGGCATGCATGGAGCGGAACCCTCAAAAAGCCCGCTGGCCCGCCAATTTTTTCCCTCCCCCTGGAAGGTTGAAGGGCTTCTTACCACAGGTACTACTGGTACTGACTCCGACTCCCGCTGCAGGTGGCCTACCACTCCGACTGGGCCTCCATCGCGACTATACGACTATACGACTATACTACGGCTATACCAAACGTTTACACAATTCCTAGGGAGTCCCGTTCACCAGCACGCTACCAACCCTGGGCGTATACATATATATATACATCAGTGTATATTGTATATGCATATACTCCGGGATTGACACCCATCTCCCAGCAGGAATTGATTGATCTCACAAATTCCTCCTCCCTCTCGCGCAAGGGATCCCAGATCAACCTAGCGGGGCACTGAGTCAATGCCCATCCCGCCCAAACCCCCCCGCGTCCACGACTCCTTGCAAACTCGCCAAAAAAAAAAAAGTGCCCAACCTTTCCCCCCACCAGCAACCACATCCCTCCCACCGCCATCATCACCGCCGCAACAAACTCGCCTTCTCACCTTCCCCCTGAACTCCCTCCTCGCTTTGTGTATGCGAGAGAGAGGGTGAACCCCCCCCCCCCCCCCCCCCTTCTTTTCTTCTTCCCCTCTCTATACGTGAGGCTCTGCACTGTCTCTATGACGTATGTTTACCTTTGATCATTTTGCTTCCCCCTCTTCTCCTTCCGTTCCCTTGTCTTCCCCCCCTGCCTTCCCTCTCGTCTCTCGACCCTCCACTTCCGCCTTGATCGCTCTCCGCTGACCCTCGCTCTTCCCTCCCCACCCTCAGGCTCAGCATTTCGATTGACCCCCAAGATCCGCACGGCTCGGATCAGTCTCTGTCGGACGAGGAAGACTCGTCGGTCGTGGAAGTCTCCGTCCCGTCAGACAGCCATGACTACCAGGACTATGATAATGAGTGGGCGCATCTGCCATATCCGGATGAATTGAAACCGTCTGATTCAGCCTCTCGACCAAGGACCTCGCACCGTAACCGCTCGCTCCACGGTTCCCGCTCCGCTTCGGGCCGCCCACCCCCGTCGCGCCGGCGGATGGTTCCCGAACGCGAGTCCTATGGGACTCGCTCCCGCCGACACCCCTCCCCAGAATCGCCAGGTAGCGCGGAGTCGGAGGACTTTTCGGGCCACTACACCCGCAACACGCATGAGCGAAGGTGGCCCCAGGCCCCGCCCGCGCCGGGGTATGCCCATAGCGCCTCCTCTGGCCCAACCTTCAACGCCTACCCTTCGGGACATGCACCTTCTTACCCGCACCCCAACGGCCCCCTCCCGTCGGACCAGCTCGTCCGCCTGGGTGTCCATGCCAACCCAGGGGGCCAGCCGTATGGCCCTGGGCCCTACCCGTACGGGTCGCAATTTCAATCCTCGCACGGAGCTGCCATGCACCCCTTCTACGCCCAGGATCAAGCGCACCCCCGCCATCCCTCTCGCCCTCCGCCGCAGTCACGAATCGACCCACATAACCCTTCTCAACCACCCATGCCCCATCACATGGGTGGACATGCCTCACCCACCCCATATGGCGGGTCACCTTTCCACCACGAGATGATGCCCTACCAACCAAACCCGTTCTACAACTACCGGGACCCATACTCCATGGTCCCGGGAATGGTACCGCCATCCTATTTTCCATCCTATCCTCAGGTGCCCTCCCCAACCCCGCAACCCGAGGCGAGCGCATCCCCGCCGGCGGCGGCTCCAGCAGTACCGTCGGCAGATGCTGCGAAAGATGAAGCCATTGCACGCCTGGAGAAGTTGATTATGGATGAACGCAACGAGCGGGAGGCAAAGGAAGCCGACCGCCTAGCTCAGATCGCGCGGGAGGCGGCCGAAAAAGCGGCTCGCGAGCAGCAACTCGCCCACGACCGAAAGATAGCTGAGGAGGCGGCGTTCCTGGCCCGCGCGGATGCCGAGAAAAGGGCTGCAGAAGATGCAGCGGCAGCCAAGGAAGAGGCTGAGAAAGCGGCGGCGGCTGCGGCTTCCGAGGCGGCGGCGGCGGCTACAGCGGCGGCTACAGCAGCGGCCACAGCAGCGGCAGCAGAGGCAGCAAGTGCAGCTGAAGCGGCGAAGAAGCCCCCTGCGGAGAAAAAGAAGCCTATCAAATTCAAGGATGCGGTGGGAAGAAAATTTAGCTTTCCATTTGAGCTATGTGCCACTTGGCAGGTAAGAGTTTTACCTGTCTTCTGTTGAAGGTGAAAGTGTGTACGGGAAAGGGTAACTAATAGCTTGTTTCCAGGGTATGGAAGACCTGATCAAGCAGGCTTTCCTTCATATCGAAATCATTGGGCCGCACGTCGCAGAAGGTCACTATGACCTGGTCGGCCCTAACGGAGACATCATCCTCCCTCAGGTTTGGGAGACTGTGGTGGAACCGGACTGGACAATCACCATGCATATGTGGCCCATTCCTGAAAAGCCCAAGGAGGCTGATCCTCCGCCACCCGAAGAACCTGCGGCTGCCCCGGCCAAGGCCGGAGATCCATCCCCAGCTGCCACAGAGACAAAGAAGAAAGCCGAAGCAAGTACGTAATCAATAGCCTGGATGTCTAAATAGAACCAGAAGAGCCCCACCCGCCATTCCGAACAACATAAGAGCTGACGTACTGACCACCCATCTGGCAGGTAACAAGAAGCCGCCCCGAAAACCTGCGGACGCAGGCGCATTCGCCAAGTGGATGATGGGCGGGCGCAACCCCCAAAGGTAGTCAAGGCCGCAAAGGCGGAGAAGAAACCCGAAGCTCCTCAGTGAAGGTATGCATAGGACGATAAGGACGGGGACCGCGTCTTGATGGTTGCCTTTTGGTTGTCCTCGGTCTTTCTATGTATACTAATCCAGGCTCCCCCCTACCCTCGCACCGCATTGATTGGTTGGCTCTTCCCAAGAGTGGCTCCTGGGTGGGCAAGAAAAGAAGTGGCAAGCCCAGAGAGAGAAGCCATTGGAGGTTCATGGACCTCGAAGAGATCTCTCTGTGGTTGGCCAGCCCGCGGCTTTGGTTTCCCCTCTGCCTGTCCAGTCACTCATCTCCATCTACCCAGACGACGCATGCAAAACCCGCCCTGTAGGGCTTCGGTGTGCGGTGGCTCTCGTCGACACCCTCCGTGTGGTCCAGGAGAACATTACTACCTACTCCGCCCCCCCTCCCCAAGGCCCCCGGCCCGCCAAGGACCACCGTCGTCATTTATCCACAACTACAACCGAATTGAAATACCCATGAATCTATTTTAAGAACTAGATCTCGAAGGCACCTGCGTGTCCCGGCTTCACTACGTGTTTGCGCCGTAGAGAGGGGGAATGGGCGAGCCCCACTATCTGATGTAGCGTAGTCCCATCAATTCAGCCTTGATGACGGGCTCGCGTGGGGTGCAGCGTAGAAACAGAATCATCAATCAGCGTTGAGGGAGGAGAGGCTTCCACCCGATGGGTTCTCCCGGAGCATCATCATCACCAAGGAGGTCGCCCGCCTCAGCACGAGACGCTCCTCTTACCACATCTGGCGACTGGCTTGGATGTGAGGTGTTCTGCAGGACCGCACTTCGACCCTGATCAGAAACTGGAGTTGGCAGCCGACCGGTTGCTGCTTGAGAGCTTAGTGACATAGGTTTCCGAGGCACTACCGGCGGCGACTTTTCAAGGGCAGGCTTTTCTCTCCCCAAAGACTGCATATTGTCTTTGGATCTACCTGTAGTTCCCCGTCGGGGAGGAGGTAACGGCTTTCTGTCACGAGCTTGTGGTCCGTTCTCCGCAGAAAGCGAGCTTGGTACCCAGTCAGGCTCACCGTCCATGGAAAACGGATTGGATTTGCGCTGAGGATTTGCAACAAGCCCCGCCTTCGGTGGTTGCACCGCTGCTTTCACAGGCACACCTGTTAGTTAGATTAGCGACGGGGTTCTGGAGGTTTTGCGAGCACTAGAATCGGGCCACCCACCATTATCTAGCCACCACTTGCTTCGATCAGAGCTCGCCGGCGGCAGACCAGGTACTATGGAAAGTTGCGGCGCATATTCCTCGTCGTCGAGGTCCAACAGGTTGACTGAGTCGGAAAGTGCATCGCGCTGTTTCTCCTCATAGAGGAAACGTCTTAGACTGTCCTTGAGTCCTTGGTCGACGACATCAATCATACAATCAAACTTGGCAAAGATTGGACGGTGATCAGACACCCTTAGATCGGCTGTGTGGTACTGAGTTTGTCGCAGGTTGGCTCCTCTCCACAAAATCCGGTCACACCAAGCAGGAATGCGTGACTTGTCGCTGGAAGGAGGTTAGTTAGAGTTTGTACCCCATGGCATGCTGCGAAGAATAGGAAGCTTCTCACGAAGTATCATAATTATCTGTCCCAACGTCATATTTGTAGGTTGGAGCAAATGTAATAAGACCTTCAGAATAGAATTGGAAAACCCTTCCTGCGATCATGTGCAAATTCAACTTATTTCTGTTAGTTGAGAGGTAGGACACGGGAATAAAGCTAATGACATACCTGATCGTTGTCATATAGCTTCTGAAAGTCGCGATGCGAGATCAGATCTCGCACAATCTGATTACCCAAACCAATCCGGTAGTTGAAATCCCCAAGCCAGATTGTGGAGTCATGGTCAGCGATAGATCGATTCTTTTGAAATCGCAATCCTCGGTCAATGGTCTCATAGTCTCGATCTCGTTCATCATCATTTCCGAACCCGGCAGCCAGATGGGCAGTAACGAAGCAGATGCTCGTGTTGGAGAAATCAAACCGGATCGCACAGCCTCCTTTATTGCCCGCGATTCCCGAAAGACCAGTCTGCATATTCATCAGTTCCGTTGCCTACGCTCAATCGGGAGATAGGCTAGCAAAGGAACCTTACCTTTTTGACGGCTCCTTCAACATTTTTGATCTCTTTCAGCGTATCTGCTTTCACATATATCATTAAGGCAGCGCCCACGAGCTGCCCACTCCGCAGTAGCACATACTTGCTGGTTCCTTTCGTGGTTGTGTGTCGATTTAAACAGCTCTGGACGGCCTTTTCCCACCCCTTGCGGTTACTTGGATCTGTTGACATGATCTGTTGAGGGCTCAGGTCAACAATTTCCTGGAACCCAACGGCGAAGATTGCGGGATCCTCCTTGGATTGGTCTTCGTCGGGGAAAAGCCACGAATCAAGATCCGCACCTGGGCCCTCATCACGGCCGTTCACATTGAACGTGCCGACCCACATGCGAATCTGCTTGGTGGAGGAGTATTCAGCTGCGCGCCGACTCAGCTCATCCGTAACTAAATCATTCATTGGGTCGTAAAGATGGACCGGTGTTTGATTTGCCAATCGACCGAGGAGGAGATCAATAGTTTGCTGTCTGGCCTTGTCGGTGAAATTGTTCACATAGAGCCGCGTTGCACTTTTCCGAGCGTCTGCCAGCGCCCCAGCAAGTGACATTTTCCCATGACGAGTAAAGGAGGATTTGAGGGCCCCAGTCCCTGCATATATCTTTGAAAGCGCATCGCCGTTGTCAGCCCAGAGGGTGGAGTGTCGCATCTGTAGATCTGACCCGAGCCTCCCGCCTTGCTGCGACAGGAAAGATCCCAGTGCCATCGAGCTGATGATGGTCTGGACGAGATTGGTCCGGTCAAGGCAATCCAGACAATTAGTCCGGAAGACACCTTCTTGCTGTAGAATGACCGAGGAAGCGCTGGCGGCATCTTCTCGGTCTAGGATGGACGAAGCAGGGCGGTTACTATCCTCGGATAGGAAATAGGCAAATCCATCCAAAGAATCGGCCAGTTCATACCTGATTTGATTACTTGCTTCGTATCCAGCGGGGCCTCGCGTTTCAGCAAGGAAGTCATACTCTGTCATTCGCAGAAGGCTGTGGTGGATAGACTCCGAGAACCCCTCTTTCTGCTTAAGGGAGCTTCGAGCTATATGGTCTCGAAACTTGGCCGACAACTCTGCCTCACCAGATTTGAGCTCACTGAGAAGGTTGATGACGTGGACAGCCCCATATACCAATTCAAGAGTCTCAAAATGTTGGTTGAAGGCGTGCTGTGTTGCTTCACTTGACCGCGTTACCTCGATCTTCTGCTGCCCGGGAATTAGACCTGGGGTTTGTTCCCAGAAAATCGGCACTGAGCCTCGCACTTGGACGTATGAGAAGGCAATCCCCGGGGATACCCAGAGAATCACTTCTGTCTCTACAAAGTTGGCCACATTGCCATCATCATCAATACCTCGCGAGTTGAATCTAGTACCAGCGCGCCGGGAAGATTGCCGTGAAATGATCGTCAGCATGGATGGGAAATTCGTCCGCACCCGAGGCAGGATCGAAACTGTTGCAGGAATCTTCAGCGTACTAGCATGCCCTCGAATGACGCATGTCAGCAATTGAGATGCGTCGAGTTTTGCCTTATCAGAAGGTGGCAGTTGACTTCGGAAGAGAAGAAGAGGATTGATCATGTATGAATTCCACAACATGTCTTCATCTAGGGAGTCAATGTCGAACGCCGCTGATTTGTCCGAACTAAATATCTATTCAGCCAAATATGGTGATTCAAGATTGCAGCGTATTGGCTTACCGATCCTGCAAGCGGTCGGTCAAGTTGAAATCAAGACTGTAGTAGAAACTTCCATCCCCAAGCAGCTTCTTTAAGGCCAGGAAAGGATGGTTGGTGACCATTTCTTTCCCTTCCGCACCTGGCCGTTCCTCGGCGGCGAAATGAGAGCTAGTTTCATAGTCTAGGCCGTACTCATATTCGGATCGGTTAAGACAGTCTGTAAGTCAGTTAGAAGAGAAGATAAATCAGCAGAGAGGTTCATATGCGAACAGAAGTCTACATTGTCGATCCTGGACACCGTTTCTGCGGGTCGCACAGTAGCAGCTTGGGAGGAGCCAGTGACCACGCAAACAAAGACATCTTCATTCAGCGTAATTAGACCTAAGGTGCCGTAGCCGGCACCCAAAGATCGATAACCCGCAAGATCCACAGATGATGCCTCCGAGAATTCGACCTGACAGCGAGGGGCGGCCTTGAGCCCAGTCTCGGCTGCGCCGTAGTGGAAGATCAAGACATGGTCGGAAGTAACCAATGCAATTGTTCGCCGGGGTTGATCTCGACAGAGGACGCGGAGATTGAACATGGCCCCGGAGATGGATTATGATGACGCCTCACGCCGTCTACCATACACACTGCTGGAGGCTGAGCCTCAACTGACGAACCGAAAACGGTTGTCCCTCCGGTTTAATGCGCGTGAATACCAGCTTGACCAGAGAAGAAGAGAGCAAGAGAGACCAGGGAATCCAGAGAGCGCCTGCAATTGAGAGAATGCGAGAATGTGGTGTGTTGTGTGTTTTGCGGCTGGGGATGATGAGGAGTGGTCGATGCGGCCGAGGTTTGGTGTATACGCGTGAGGCGCGATTCGCGGGGTCCTTATCGACCGCTGACTCAGCAGCGCAGTTTTCAATCTCTTCCGAACTTTCTTTCCCGCAGCTCCTGGAGAACCAAGAAAAAGCCCTCATTCAACACTCTCAGCAGCCATGGGGTTAGCAGGACCCAAGAAGTATGCCTATCCCCTGATTTTTGCCTCTTCTCATCCCTGACATCCCACAGCAAAACCAAGATCTCCCAAGATCCAAACAACACGAAATGGGCCCGCTCCACGTCCGGCTTCGGACACCGAATTATGAGCGCCCAGGGCTGGGCCCCAGGCAATCGCCTGGGAGCCCGTGACGCTGCTCAGGCCGATCTCCTCACCTCCGCGAGTGTCTCCCATATCAGGGTCACCATTAAGGATGACACACTCGGACTGGGTGCCCGTGTCGGGCGAGAGGGCCAGCCGACTGGCCTGGATGCCTTCAAAGGGCTGCTGGGTCGATTGAACGGCAAGAGCGACGAGGTTTTGGATCGAGAGCAGCGGAAGAGAGATGATGTCCATCTGGCTCGCTATGCTGCCCTGAAATTCCAGGAGGTGCGATTTGTGCGCGGAGGGCTGCTGACCCAAGAGAAACTCGAGCGGTTGCCGGCCCCGACGCCCAAGGAAGATCAGAAGAAGTCCGAAACAATTGCCACCGATACCAACGTCTCCGAAGATGTCGAATCTGCGACCGAGATGTCCTTCAGGCCCAAGTCCAAGTCCAAGTCAAAATCCAAGTCCAAGTCTTCGAAAAAGTCTCGCTCCCAATCAGATGAGGCCGACAGCTCGTCCTCAGTCTCTGAGCAAAAGAAGAAGAAATCCAAGAAGAGAAAGGCGGAGGAGGACGAGGCTGCGGCTGGGGATACGACCACGCCTAGAGCGAAGTCCTCGAGCGAGCCTCAAGCCACCACGGTCGCGGCAACTGTTGTGGTGCGGGAGCATCGGCCTATCGGGAGACAAGTTTTCCGTGGGCGACATATTGCACAGAAGAAGAGGGCACTTATGGACGAGAAATCGCTCAATGAGGTGAGTTCAGGAGAGGGACAGCCCCGTCTTCGATAATATCATGAGAGACATTGCTAACCGTGATCATTGGAAACAGATTTTCATGGTTAAAGCGTAGACGCATTATTGGCATTGTATAGACACATATATTGGGACCCATGGGCAAGGAGTTTGGCGCAAATCAATTCTTAGTTACGGCAACAGCGCCCTGAATTTGTCTCTGGAACGGGCTCTCAGCTAGTTTCCACCGCTTTTTTCTTATACCACCTTCTTTCTGGCTGCTTGACTTGAGGTATAGAGGATCCACTGAACAGACAATCCACGTTGGTTGTAGATACCAGAATTACTGTTGGACACATAACTATGACCACATAGATCCTCATTAGCTGGGCAGATGTACTCAATAGCTTGGTGGACTTTGTGTATACTCCGTACCGTTTGCTCGTATTACCTAAGCTTGCGGCACACGTCATCTGCCCTGGCAAGTTTGTCCAAACCCATGCGATAAACGGGGAGCACGATCATCTTCAAATCTGCGCCCCCTTCTCTCCTTCTTTTCGCATGAAAATATGAATGGGGATATCCCGTCTGGCTGCCAGCCAGCCACCCCGGCCCGAACTGTCCCGACTAGGCCCGAGAATGAGAAGAAACGGTATGTGCTCATTCCCGGATTGTTCCAAGGTTCTCTCACTGACGGCTCTTCAGCATCCACTGGGCACCGCTGAATGTCGGTCTGGAGCGTCGCCTGCAAACATTGATTGTGCTGTGCCATACTCTCACCATTGCCATTTTCCTGACCGGCTTCTTCTTCACATGTGCCATCCCCTTGTTTTGGCCGCTCCTGCTCCCGTACCTCGTCTACATCTCGCTTTTCTCGACGGCACCGACGTCTGGGGAACTCAAGGGTCGGAGTCAATTCTTGCGATCCCTCCCCATTTGGAAGATCTATGCATCGTACTTTCCCGCCCGTCTTCACCGCGAGGAGCCTTTGCCCCCAACCAAAAAGTATATCTTTGGCTATCATCCACATGGCATCATTTCACATGGTGCCTTTGCCGCCTTCGGCACAGAGGCTCTAGGCTTCTCCAAACTATGTCCAGGAATCACAAACACCCTGTTGACCCTGGACTCGAACTTTCGCATCCCATTCTATCGAGAGTATGCGCTTGCCATGGGACTGGCCAGCGTATCCCGGGAATCGTGCGAGAATCTGCTAACCAAAGGGGGCGCCAATGGCGAGGGCATGGGTCGCGCGATCACCATTGTCATTGGTGGGGCTCGCGAATCGCTCAACGCCCAGCCTCATACTCTACGTCTGGTCCTGAAACAGCGCAAAGGGTTCACCAAACTGGCCATCCGCACTGGTGCTGACCTAGTGCCCGTCTTAGCGTTTGGAGAGAATGATCTCTACGAACAAGTGCGTTCCGACGAGCATCCCATCATCCACAAACTGCAAATGCTGGTGAAGAAGACGATGGGATTCACTATCCCGCTGTTCCATGCGCGAGGAGTATTCAACTACGATGTTGGGCTGATGCCTTATCGACGACCACTCAACATCGTAATCGGCAAACCCATCCCGGTGATGCAACAGTCGAATCGAGACAAGATTAATGATAACTACATCGATGAGCTTCACTCCCGGTATGTTCAGGAGCTCCAGCGACTGTGGGACCAGTGGAAGGATGTCTATGCGAAGGACAGGAAAGGCGAACTGGAAATCATTGCGTGATTGATTTGGTAGGGTCCAGCCGGTTGACCAACGACATTTTTGCAACTGCTGCGCGATTCGAGCTTGATGAATATTCATAAGTGTCCTTTTATCCTTGTTATCTGTTATCTTTTTTTTTTTTTCGATATATGCAGTCCGTACGAAAGGTCTGATATGGGATCAGAACACTGCCAAAATAACATGGAAATTTTTCAATAGTCATGCCACAACAAAGCATAAAGCTGAGAAACCATTCCAAGGATAATATTGCTAACCAATACTATGATGGAAACTATATATATTGAACGGGGATATCTAATTGTGGAATACCTCTTTTGTGCAGAAGTTCCTATTATGCCTATAAGGGGAATCGTAATCGCCTGTAGCTTACCTAAAACCATTGTGATAAACCCCCGTTCCATAGAGATTCCTAATAGTGTCTTCGAATAATACATACTAGAAGTCTCTACGGAGGTATATTGCGACATAAACCTAGGTGGATCCCTAGGTAAGGTTTGACATATCAAGGCTGGGTGGTAAACGGCGATCGGGCTAGACTTTTGCGCTATCCGTATAGAAATTCTGTATTTCAAAATTCTCTAAACTATAGATCGAACAATTCACGCTCAAAAAAATTATTCAAAGAAGGATACATTACCTCCGCGGAGGCTACCAAAGCAAAAGAAACCAAATGCTCGTTAAGAAGAGAAAAAATACATGAATATGAAAGGTATCAAACATAGATAGACGGGGTATCAGATCAACAGGAAGCGTCAGAACAAAACACAAACAAAAGACAGAGAGCACTGTAGCAGCCCGATCAACCTGGGGGAGAGCCTGGAATTGATTCCACCGGGACCGATGCAGTAGGAGCCAACCCGGCCACCTCAGCCGAGCTCGAAACTCGACGGCTATCGCTTGAGATGTTCTTGAAGTACCCGAGAGAGCTCCGGTCCAGATGGCCGCTCTCAACCCGACCCTGGATCATTTCATCGAGCATCCTGGATACCTCGTCCATATTCTTCCTCCGGTCCTCTTCTCTCTCACTGGCCTTCCCAGAAAGAGCAGGCCCAGCCAGACTCGCAGTCTTGTCGTTCCCATCGCTAGGGCCCTGGGCCTGAGGGCTGTCGGACCCGGAAGCCGTCGAATCCGCCTTAGTTTTCAGTTCTGGGGACTGCGAGTCGCCGGTCACCGCAGCCAGATCGCGATGCCGGGCTGCCGATCGGAGTGCAGCCAGCATCCGATCTTTGTCATCGAGTTGAATGCGGAGCTCGTTGATCTCCATATCCTTCTCACGAAGTAAGGCCGCCATGTCCGGATGCTCGGCGATAGTGGCGGTGCTTGGTGCGTTTGATTTGACCCCCACAGACATTCGAGAATGGCTCGAGCGACGGGCCTGAAGCAGGCGCCGCTCCAACGTGGAGATGTATCGATTCTTGTCGCCCAGGTCAGCTTGCAAGGCTGTCACCTGCCGCTGCAGGCTAGCCTTGCCATCGCCAAACTCGCCCAAATCGTCCTCATCTTCGTGGCCAAATGACCCACCGGAAAATGGCATCGCCCCCGAAGGCTCACTGCTGTTGACCGACATGAACGAAATGGGCCGGATGGATGAATGGGCAGCCCCTAGGGTAGACTGGCTGGCTGATGAACGGAGCGAGCGGCTTCCAGAATCTGTGGTGGACATTCTGGAAAGCCGGCCGAATGCAGAGGCGAGGCTACCATGATTGTTCACACCGGTTGACTTGGAGCTCAGAATCAACCGATTCAGATGCTCAATTCGTTCTTTCAGAGCCGTCCGCGCCAGTTGCATCTCCAACACCTGCTCCTCATGGCGAGCCTGGGCCTCCTTTTCAAACTGTTGCTCATCCCACTTGAGCTCTTTCTCCGCCTGCGCCTTGGCTTGGGTATCAAGCTGACCGCGCAGAGCTTGGATCTCCATCCGATAGCGCTCAAGGAGCACTCGACTGCCAGAATCCCCATTTCCACCGCCAAATGCCTCCTCGGCCTTCTTTGCATGGCTGACAATGTTGTTCTTCGCTCGCGCAGCAAATTTCAAGGTATTCAGAGTTTCGCCAGAATGGGCGTTGATGCCAACGACCAACTGAACCGTGCAGAGAATACTTACCAGGGAGTTTCCTGACAGAGCCGGCTGGAGCAATCTCGTTAATTTGGAATCACGGTATGGCAAATGCCTGCCATCCCGATCCATCGCATTGCCTTGCTTGTCCTTGTTCTCCGAAAGCTTCGAGATAATGTTTCCCAATGTGAGCAGACTCTTGTTGATATGGGCTCCTTCGGTGCGGCGCTCTTTGTCGTCTGCCGCGCGCTCCGAACCAGCAAGATCAATCAAGCTCAGCGTCGACACCCGAACGCCGCCAGGTGCGATGCCAGCCCGCTTGTCCTGCGAGTTACCAGAAGGCACTCGCTCTCGACTCTCGACGACAATTTGAACGACCGCATGACTTCGAGAACTGCGCGCGTTGAACTGCGTGCTGCTGGTTCGTCTGGCATGATCGCCTCTCGCGATCACCCGCAGGAGCTGTGTCGGGCTTTGCACAATCTCTTCCTTCAGCGGCGTCGCATACACCCCCCGTTTACTGTCTTCGCGTAGCTTGATCTCCTCCTGCTGAGGTACCGCAACACCATTGGCAACCGGCGTGGAGAGAAGATCGTGAATTCTCTCGTTATAGATCTCCAGATAACTCACGCGAAGCAGAAACTCTCGGTGGGGGGTTTCTCGAATGAAGGAAAATATATCAGTAATGGCGAGTGGAATCACACCCGGAGATGTGGCAGTTCCTTGCATCGAGAAAGTCTTGCCGGTGCCAGTCATGCCGTATGCAAAGACCGTGCCATGGTATCCTTCCATGACCCGTCGCACCAGGCGTTTCGCAGCCGAATCATATACTTTGGCGTTGTTCTCCTGTGGTGTAAAAACATTGTCTGTGACATGTGAGCGTTAGCGACTGATGATTGTGTGTGTGCGTGCGCCTGAAGTCTATCTGGACCAGAAGCTACCCACCATAATAGTAATCGCCTCCATCTTTGCCGCGGTGGGAGATCAGACTCCGACGCCCATCTAGCGACCACTCGCCATGATTGCGCGGTGTCTCGCCCCCATTGCTGGTATCGGGCCGAACGCGAACACTGACAATAACGTTGCCCTTGGACTCTTTCAGTTTCGAGGTGCCCTTGACAGTACCCGCCGCATCTTCTGTGTCTTCGAACGTCGTTGCACTAGTGGAACACGAACCCTGGGCAGAAGAGCTCCTACTGTGTGACGGCGAGGCTTCCGGATCCCGTGCATCTGCCAGGATTGACTTCCCATCTGCACTTCCATTGAGTAGGGACGGAGTTTTGGAACTGCGGTAGCTGCTGGTCGTGCCGGTGCTGAGCCGCGAGCTCCGCTTTGGTTTCGATGAAGTGGGACCTTGAATCGCCGATACTGACGATGCGGCGGTGGATGGGCGGCTGCCGGCCTTGGGGGGCTGTGGGAAAGAGGCAATACTGATTGTTCGGCGGAGAGTCTTGTCGGGGCTGCTCGGGGTCCGGCCACTCGATACGGAGCGGACCGAGCTCAGATTGGACGTTGAGTTCGACGTTGCGAGCGGAGACCGGGCGAGTGAGGGTGGTCTGGGACTGGATGGCGTCCGTAGCTTCGACGGTTGGTATGGCGATGCGGCTCGGGGGCCCTCGGGGGCCGGGGTGCTTTTCCTGGGTTTGGGGGTGGGTAGAGGTGGAAGAGCCCCGGTCGGGGGGTTTGTTGATGGCCGGGATGGTTGGGGGAGGGCGGACAAGGAAGCCATGGTCGTCTCGCAGGTGCCAGGGGCTGTGGGAGAATATAATTGTCCCACCCGGAGCGTCAGTTCAGTCGAGGAATCGCAGACGAGGACGCAACATGCGGGCGAGCGGGAGACGTCGGCGTCAATTTTCCAGGTCTTGAAACGGGTGGGGTCAGCACTGTGGGATGCGTTTCGATCAGTCAACTGAATCAGACACAAGACACCGACACCAGCCTCCTGGCGGTCCTGGAACCGGGCAGCGCGGCTGACACCTCCGAGGGAGCGATGCTCTGCGCCTGAGGAGTAGGCTCCCCAGTGCCGTGACCAGCGGTTGTCTTGATGAGGTCGATCAGTTTTCAGGGTTTCGGGTGCTTACAGCTTCAAACCACCATGCGTTGCAATCGCGACGGGGTGGCGCGAGACTCGAATGCCCACGAGGCGCCCACTGCCGCTGTGCTGGGTCGCCGGAGACCTTTTGTGTGTGAAGGACCGAGGGGACGATCAAATTGGGAGGATCAAGTCGGACGGGATTCGAGCGGATCAGACAAATGGAAGACACGAGATCGGAGGAGAGGGAAGAGGAGGCAAAATGGGATTGAGTGGAGGCGTGGTGGTGTGAGGAGGTGAAATGAGTTAGAGGTATCAAGCTCGAGTGCTTAATTTCTTCCCCCGCGCAGCGGAAAGGTCCATTGTTTTTATCGACCGATTTACTTCGTTACTCCTCTACTCCTCCGCGACTCCTTGACCAAGGCTAGCCTCCTCGCACAGCTCTTCCCCCCTGTATTGCCACGGTACTTGCATGCTACCCTGCTTTCCCACCGATGGGCATCGTCTTTCATTTACAATCCCCTGGTGCCCTGGGGCCCTGGTCCAACCCCTCTGCCTCTCCATCACTCCCCATCACATCCCCGACCGTGCTGTGTGCGCGCACCGGAGAAAAGGGGTAGACATGGCGTAGTGCTAAAACAGACAATCACAGTCTAATGCTCGAAGGAGTCAAGGCGCGAGTTCCTGGCGGGCTCGAGGGAGGCGGGCGGGCCCAATGGCAGGGCGAGCGGTGGAGGAGGTCGTTCGGGACCCAAGGGAACCTGCGAAAAAGGGGGCGAATGAAGGCGCGGCCTGCGCTGGTGGGGTCTCTGCCGATTATTGCGACCAGACGGATTGGCACCCGCGAGCAACAAGCAGCAATCTACGCAGCGCTGGCCGGCTAGAGGGAGACTCGACTCGGTCGTGGTCCAGCTGAGAAACAAAATTCTGGCCCCATGTGCGAACCGCGAACGTCCACAACGTTGATCCTTATTTGATCGTCGCGCCCCATCACTTCACAAGGACCCACCGGTTGCAGGCTTTCCCCGTTGGCAAGTCCCTCCGGTATACCTAGATCTATTGCGGAGGAGGCGGAGGAGGAAGGAGGAGGGTTCGAATGCCTTTCCTAGCTTGCTGACTAGCGAGGGTCAACAATAGATCGACCAGCAACGCAAGGGACAACACGACCTTCCGTTCCCCCCATGGCTTGCAGTGGACCGCCCATGTATTGGAGAGGGTGCGACATGACAGGTAGCAGATCGTGCGGCTGACCGATCGCTGGGATGTGGGATGTCCCTGCTCAACCTCTGCTGCTCCCTCCACCTTCGGTGCCATGGCCGCTGGCTGGCGCCCCCCGGGCGAGCTGTCACCTCGAAAGTTGGGCAGAAATCATAGTCGCTGCACCGGCATGCATCATGCGGTGCAGTAGTATGCGGCGGCTTGAGACTGGACGACTATCATCACACGAAGGTGTCGACCACCACCCCTGGGGAAACCATGGATAAGGAAATACAAGGAAACAAACCAGGGATTACGATAGTCCAGGAAACGGGGAAAGCTTCATCATCATTATTTTCATCTTCATCATCAGGGTTGTCATTACTTCATGGCGCCAAAGTCCAATTGGCGTGCCGCGTGTTTAAAGGGACCGTCATCGGTTTCGCCGCCGCGTCGGGCCAAGTCATCGCCCATCTTCTTGGTCCCCGACTTCCGCGGGAGATCCTCGTTTTTGGTCGGCTGCGGGTCGGTTGTCCACCAGCTGTGTTGTAAGACTTGCAGAGCGGTACGGCGCTTGCGAGGATCCAAAGCGCACATCGACATGAGCAGATCGGCACCCACCGGGCCGGCGGTAGGGAACTGCCGAAGGAAGAACTCGCGCCCCTGCAACGGGACCGTTTTGTCCGCAACGTAGTTGGGCAACTGCGTCACCCCAGGCCAATTATCCTCCGTCGGGGTGCCAAAGGCCTCACAAATCTTAGTGATCTGATCCAGGTCCGACATCCCAGCCAACAGGGGAACGCGCAGGAGCAACTCCGCAAAGACCATTCCCATCGACCAGACGTCCACAGCTCCCGAATATTGCCGTGCCCCGTAGAGCAGCTCGGGGGCCGATACCACCGGGTGATAACTTGATGGGTCATGTTGAGATATGGATCCGCAAATGACCGTGCCAGGCCAAAATCAGCCAGCTTGACCTCGCCGTTGGCGGCGATCAACAAGTTGTTGGGCTTGATATCTCGATGAAGCACAAAGTTCTCATGGCAGAACCATACCCCCCGGGCAAGCATGCCCATCCAGGCCTTGATGTCGCTCGCACCGTAGTGAATGTCATTGTCTTTGATGAGCATCTCGAGATCTCCTCCCGGAAGAAACTCCAAGACCAGGTTGAGATTTTGGTCCTTGGAAGAGAACACGTCATGGAGGGCAATCACATTCTGGTGCGACAGCTCTTGAAGGTACTTGACCTCACGAATCGCGTCCATGGTGAGTCCATCCTTATATTCCGCGTTGACTTTGATCTTCTTAATTGCGACGCACGAGGATGGGTCCTCGCGAAAGTGCCCCAGATACACAATGGCGTATGTACCTTCACCTAATTTCTTGCCTGTTCACCTTGTCAGTCTCTCAGATCATTGCGCAGGAGGTGCTGTAGTATCCAACACACCCTTGATGTATTTCTGCCGCACATCGTCATTCAGCTGCTCAGTAAGCTCACGGTCTGGATTCGACTCAGACTGTGCAGCGACTGCCGAGCCAGATACATATTGAGCACTTGCAGCTTTTAACCGCAGAGCTGAGCGGGGCGAAGCGACCGTCATCGAAGGGGAGCGAGAGGCAAACGGCGAGAGGGCCATCACGGACGCTCGTGGATTGACCGTGGAGGGTCACGGAGCTCAGAGTGTGTGAAGGATCCCCAGTCAACGAAGGATAATATGATAAACGAGGAAATTGGCGACTTAGAAGCCGTGGAGAAAACTCTCAAGATCTCATGTCGAAAAGTAAACCGTGTAGAAAGTTGTGAAAGGGAGCTTGCCAGATGTTCCTGCGCTGTACAATGTGAGCGCTTCGGAGTATTGTTGATCCCGAGGTGCCCGAAATTTCTCAGCGCGGCCAAAACAGCAGGCCACGGGCAACCGGCCGTTTGACGATAACTCCCGGCCAATTCTCCCCCTTCCCTCTCCCATCTTGTTCCCCGAGGGAAGCCACCTGATTCCGGGATCACTGAATTCGACTCCGACTAGCTCAAAGTATCTGGTGCTTGCGGGAACCCGCAATTGCACAGGCCCGTCATGACGATGCGCAATTTCCAACTGCGGAGTCTATCGTCCCGACTCATTCAGACCGTTGGTATCTCCCGGCAATGCATTCGACCATTCCACCGCAAAGTCGCACGCTCCGTGCCCTCCCCGACGCCATTCGTTCCCGACGTCCAAACCTTCCTCACGTTGATCGGCCGCGAAATGTCTAAGCATGCGAGCAAGATTCCCACATGGGAACAGCTTTTCGCCTCCAACTCCTCCCAGCTCCGCGAGCTGGGCATTGAGCCCGCCCGGCAGCGCCGCTACCTCATGCGGAAGCGGGAGAAGTTTCGCAATGGGGTGTACGGGCCTGGGGGAGACCTGGAGCACGTTGTCGACGGCGTTGCCCAACTACGCGTGGTGGAAGTCCCGAATGAGGCCGCGAGCGCAGCTGGAACAGCTGGAGCGAGCTCAGCGACATTGACGCCGGGCATGAAGAAGGCGATTGTGAACCTGGCGCCGAATGCCGCGGAATACAAGCACAGCGCGTCAGCGCAGCTGAAGAAGTTCGCACACATGAAGATCCATCGTGGCTCCCAGATCATGGGCCCATTCCTGCAGCCGATTAAGGGAACTCATGGCTCTGCGGCGACGATTACTGTGCAAGAGGGCATGTGGGAAGACAGGCGGGGTCAGAAGGTTGATGGTGGTGAACGACGACGGGTCGAGGTGCGGGCCAAGAAGAGGCTCGAAGAGAGGAGGAAAGCATAAAGGTAACACGGATGGATTGGCGTTTCCTGCATATCTCTTGAGCCTCCTGGTGGGCCTGTGTTTTCTATTCGCAATGTACTATACTAGCAACTATCGCACACTTAAAGAGCTTTCCTTGCACTCTTCACGGGCAGATCATTTAGACGGGTTATACATACTCATTAGATGCAAGGCAGAGAGAGAGAGAGAGAGAGTCCAGGTCTCCCAGGCTTGAGTAGATCCCCGGGGACTACCTGCGAACCCATGTACTACTAGTTACTGGTTCCAGGCTCTGATCGTCTTGAATAGTCTTCGATTAAATATATTTAATAACAGTCACGGTATCAACAGAAATAATGGAGGAATATCAAAATCGCAAAGCGCGATGAGGAAAAAAGGTTAATGTACAGTGGGTACAGTCGTTCCAAGGACGTCGAGGGAAGAGGAGAGGCTGCGCGCAGCGGACGATCGCTAGGGGCGGGTTCCTTGGCTTCGGCCTCTGCCACTTCGAGGAAGGTCATTAAATGTAATATCAGCTTCCAATTGCAAGTGACTTTCTTTTCTTTTCTTATGAAGGGACTCTGTCTATTCCTTGGTTCCACGCTTCTCATAGCGAACAAATGACTTGCCTAGAGGCTTGGAGAACAGCGACTGGATAGTGGGTTAGCTTGATGATCCTTTCTTTGGAGGTCACAACGCGTTTGGGAGAGTGTCCATAAGTCACTTACCGAATAGTCTGTCTCCGGAATACCAGTGGCACCAGGAGGGGTGGAGAACTTGAATTGCCTTACCAGCGCGGCCAGGATGGTGCCCAGCTGCACATAAGCAAACTGCTCACCGATGCAGCGATGGCGACCAGCACCGAAGGGCAGGTAGGGGCTGTTGGTACCCTTGCTCACCAGACCATAGCCGTAATCGATTTTCTCCTCATCCTCATCCTCATCCTTGGCAGTGTTGTCCTCGTCCCAGCGGTGGGGGTTCCACTTCAATGGCTCGGGGAAGTACTCCTCCGACCGGGCAGTGACACCAGGGGACGAGAGGACATTGTGAGTAGTGGGGATGACATAGGGCGTTCCTTCCACGGGCATGGGGTTCTTGACAGCTCGGATGATGGAGTGGATGGGTGCGTGAATGCGCAGGGTCTCCTTGATCACCTTGGCGTGCAGGTCCAGCTTCTGAAGGTTTTCGTAGGTGAGATCAGGCAGGTCCTCACCCAGAACACGGAGTTGTTCCTGGTAGAGTTCCTCGATGATCTCAGGGCAGGTGGCTAGGCGCAGAACAATCCAGGCGGCGGTCGAGGAGGAAGAGTGCTGGCCAGCCATCAACAGGGCAATCATCATGTGGGCGACCTCCTCATCGGGAACAGGGGTACCGTTCTTGTAGGTGCAAGACATCAGGTTCCAGACCATGTCCTCGGAGTCCTTCTTGCCACCGGCCTCACGACGCTGGCGGATAATATCCATGTAGGTCTCGGTCAACTTGCGCTGCGCAGCGTCACGCTTGCGGTTGTGAGGAAGCGGGGCCCAGGGGAGCATGAAATTGATCGGAGCGAATCCCATATCGAGGTCGTGGTACATCTCCGCGAAGGTGGAGTTAAATCTGTCCCGAACCTCCTTGCCCTGCAGGGAGCGCGATGCCGTATAGATGGTGATCTCCGAAATGGCCTTGGTGACGTCGAAGGTGCCCTTGGATTCCTGGAATGCGGGAGAGTTCTTGACAAAGTCGTCCACCTCATCGGTGATCAGACGAACATACGAGCGGAGCGCATCGGAGGTGAGACCGAATTTCACGAACTGAGGAAGTGATTGAATTAGCCTCACGCACTTGAGAATTGATCCTGATCCCTTTCTCACCTTCTTCTGCTCCATCAGCTTGGAGTTGGGGCAGTCATAGACGACATTGCTTCCAAAGACGGGGGTAGTCAGCGGCGAGTAAACTTCCTCGGCGCAAACGTCGCGCAGCTTGCCATTCAGAATGAACTCATTGCCCTTGGTGCCCAGGTAAACGGTGGTCTTCTTGCCGAGAAGGACAAAGGTGAAAATATCACCGTACTGCAGAGGAAACAAGTCATTAGAGATGGGTTTAGTCCGGCAGGGGGATCATGCGTGGGAGGCGCACCTTCTCGCGGCAACTGAAGAAGAATTTGTACGGATCAATACCATAACTGATAGTGCTGCCGACAAAGGGGAACCAGTGGAAGACGACCGGGGGTTCATGCGGGCTCTTGAACAGCAGTTGGCGCAGAACATTCACCACGACGGCCACAGCGATGAAGGACAACGCGCCGACCGACACTAGGAGGTAGATGGACTGGGCCGAGCAGTGCTCGCAGAACTTGTCGAGGAAACTGGAGAAGAGACCCATGGCGAAGGAGGAAAAGGGGAAGGTGTTTCAATTGAGGGTGAAAGAAGGAAAAGAGAGAAGTCCCAAAGCCTTCAGGGCGAGGCGAAGGCAGGGTTGGAAGCGAAAGTTGGCAGTGGAAGGGGGCGCGAAATAATAATCTCCGCTGTCATTCGGCGAGGCCGGGACCCGCCCCTCCCCCTGGTTCGCCGCAATCTGTGATCGGAGTATTAATATTAATATTGGTTTGGCACCACTAGCCTGAATCTCCTTTTGCCAGTTGGCTCACAGGCCTGCATAGCCCCTATAATCGCCTCGCATCAATGTGTTTTCAGATTCCAGAGGGACCCCGACTTGTTGTCCAGTGGGGATGGGTGAATCCCAGAACGGGCGGTTTATCACGCCACGTCGGTGGAGGCGTCTCCCGCCGGTGCCTGGCGATCGCACGATGCACGGTGCACGGAGGACAGGTGCAATGGCACTATAACAATCGCATTCCAACGCCGGACTGTGAAAGGTATGTAAAAGGTACCCTAAACTATACATGCACCCACTTTTGTGGCCTACCGTTCCCGATTCCCGAATAACCTCCTAAACCGCATGTAGTACAGACAGACCCACGCAAAGCCCCCAATGGCAAAATTCAAACCAGAAATTCAGCCGAATCAGGTCGGATCAAAGACCAGACCATCACAGGAGACCAGATATCACCGGTACCGACTGGTAGGTTCTTCGTCGTAGAGGGCGGGATCTCCGGATTGGCCCAGGTTCACAAAGTCCTGAGGATCATGATTGTTGCCAGGGGAAGGTTCGCGACGCGACGCCTTGGCCGCTCGATTGTGAACTCGCTTCCCAGCCTCATTCTTGTGATAGACCTTGACCGGGGTGCTGCCACCATCCACATGCTCGCTAAAGTGGACGTCGTTGATACTGCTCAGCATCGTACGCTCCCGCTCGATCTTACGCTTGGAGAAGTCCAATTTGTCGAGCGCTCCGGTTAGGCCATCTGTGCTGTCGTTGACGCTAGGGTATTTTTCGGTAAGCCAAGGGTGTTCAAGACACTCATCCACCGTGATCCGTTTCTCCACATCCACCGTGAGCATCTTGTCGATCAGGTCTAGAGCGGGATCCCCCACGGAATCCCAGTAAGGGGACGGGTAGTCGAAACGGCCCATCTTGATCTGCTGCGCCAGAGTGTATGGGTTCTCTCGGGTACACAATTCATCGGAGAAAGGTGGGAAGCCGCAGAGGCAGATGTAAAGAACAACACCCAGCGACCAAACATCCACGGCCCTAGTATACCGTCGCCGACGAGTCTCTTGCAGGATTTCCGGCGCAACATCTGCAAAAAGTCAGTCTCGAGGAAACATTCTCCACCATCAATTAATCAATAAGCCAACGTACAACTGGGTGTACCGCAGCTAAGGAAAGAAATGTTAGCACATCCATATGAATGAACCGCATAAGAGGATCCTCTAAAACTCACAGTGTGGTGGTGAAGGAATCCTCTCCAATAATCTTAGCAAGACCAAAGTCGCCCAGCTTGACGGTCAGTTTCTTGTCTGATACAAGGATGTTCTCAGGCTTGATGTCCCGATGCACAATCCCTCGATCGTGCTGAATATAGATGTTAGCCGGATCAGGGTACAGGACCGGATACTAGAGGCCATGTTTACCAAATACTTCAATCCCTCGAACAGCTGACGGAACACGTGGCGAGTTTCAGCCTCACTCAGTTTCTGCTTGGTCACAATCAAATTGAAAAGTTCACCCTCGGGGGCTAGCTCCAGGATAAGATAAGCACCGTCACTCTCATCGAAGGTGTCCTTCAGGCAAAGAAGGTTGGGGTGATTAACCCCCATCAGAAGAGCGATCTCCTGCTGCAAGGTCTCGTTCTGAGACTGGGATTTTTGCGAATCTCCCGGGCGTTTTTCAAAGACCTTTGCGGCATACTGCTTCCCCGTCGTTCGATCCGCACACAGGTAAACCGTAGCAAAGTGGCCCTTACCAAGCTGCTGAAGTTTCCGGTACTGCTGGCGGAAACCACTTGTGTCTCGCGTACGCGGATAGCGGAAGACAAACCGTGCTTCATTCAGAATTGAAACCTCATCCCGATCCTCGAGCTCACGATGTTTGTTTCGTCCGACAATCGCATCATTCACGAAGGTCCCATTGCTGGAAAGGTCCTCCAGCATCGCGACCACGTCACCTTTCCTTTTCTCAGAGAAAAGAAGGAAATGTCGATTCGAGATCGTCGGGATGTTGATCACCAGGTCTATAAAAACAACAAACCTTGTCAGCATTGCTGGTGTGCCATGAGGAAGGTGCTTACGAACCACATTCGGGATGTCGGCCGACCAGGTAGCCTCCGGGCGCGCGGCCGTTCCCTTGCTTGCTTGTCTGGGGCTTCGTGTCGGATTTGACGCACCCATCGCGCTGTTTCAGGACGAAAGCGCCGCTCACGCTATCATCTAGCGGGATGAGGTATCCCCAGACTCCCTCCGCACTCTCATCATCCACTTCGTCTGCATATGTCCTCGGGGGTAAACGAATTGTGAAAGGGCCTGCGTGTCACCCGGTGGCGAGGAATAGGCTGGGGATAATTCTGTATTCGACGGGGTGTGCTGACGGACATGACGACTCGGGCTGCCTGGTGGAGTGGCTGTGAGTTCGTTGCGGATGTCCGTCGCAGTCGAGTTCCCATGAGTTAGCGGAGTGGGTAGATAGTCATGATTGACTGGTGTTTCCACAGGTTGCTGTTGCTGGCTCGAGATTCTCTGAGAGCGCCGGGGCTTCTTCAAGTCCTGCGAATCGGCACCTGCACTATGCTGCAGGAGACAAGTTGATGAGCAAACAAGCCCCGAAAACTTTCCCCGGATGGAGTGATACTTACTCTGGCCCGTTTGAGCGAGCTTTTTTCACGAGGTGCCATGATTCTTGTTCATACCACACAGACTCCCAGCTTAAGAGGTTGTCCACAGGCCAATGAGGGATGTTGGCTGGACGGGGCTTGACGGGGCTTACCGGGGCATTGACGGTCGGGGGAACCGGCGAGAATGCAAAATAAGAACGGGAGTGAGCCTTCGCACTGCGTCTCGAGATACCAAAATCCAATAGAGCTATACAGCAGCCTTTGGGAGGGGCAGCGCTTCAGGGGGATGGGGGGAGCAAGAGCTTGGAGGCTCAAGAAAAGCTACTTTCGAGGGTGGACGGGGTGAGCGCGCCGTCAACCGCTACCCGCCCCAACAGGGCCGAACATATTTGTTTTTCGTAGGTCGAGGCGGTGCGACAAATTATGAATTATAGATTGGAACTACGAGGCTCGATATTATAGTCTAAAGATTACAGATAAAAGGTCATAAGCTATAGAGGGGACCTGCGTGCTTGTCTCCAGTGGTCCAGGGGAGGCACACCCGCGGGCCTTTCTCGTCGGGCCTAGGTGGTTCGCGTCAACACGTGCCCCGTCTCATTCCCCGGAATCTCCAGGAATCTCACGTTCTCGGTTCCTCTCTCTTCGTCAACACCCCTGGCCTCCGTGAGAATGGATGGGTAAGTGTGCCTGTTCAATGGCTAAAATCTTAAGTTGCATGCTAATTGACCATGAGCAGTCTCTCGGTCGGGATCAGACGCTCTGCGTTTGAGAAGCTTGCAGCTTTGGCCGTGAAGTCTTCCCCCAACGACGATGGTTCGGACCTCGCTCGCCTGGCCAAACAAACTCGGCTAGCTCGCCAGCCCGATGGCGCTCTGAACGGAGTTTTGAAGGATCAGGCTCCGACATCTCGGGTCCCAATGGTGCGCCCTCGTGACAAAAAGCCTTTGCGGGGTGATCGAAAGCTAACATCTATATACGTAGGGGATTCGCGAACTCGATGTCCTGCTAGCCCTGTGCAAGGCGGCCTCGTCCGTGAATGATCCAGAACATGCCTCCCGATTGGTCACTCAGTTGTCCCGATACTTGCCAGAGTCCCCAAGCCAGCTGTTTCGGCCGTCGCCGTTCCTCCATGATGTCAAGCCATCGCCTTGGGAAACCCTGTCCCACAGCTTGACCACAGCGCTCCTGTCGCTGGCCACCAAGTATTCATCCTTGCGCAAAGGGATTCTGAATGCGGTCAGCGGATATCTCAAAAACTGCTCCGACGCCATCAATGCAGTGACCCCGTTCCAGTACTCTTCGTCTGAACCGGGAGGACGAGGGGTGGTGCACGAATCCATCGCTGTCTTATCAATTGCGGTGTCTTTGGTTGGATTTCTGGAAGCCTCTGCGAAGTACACTGTTATCTGGACTGCGGGGGAGAAGCTGCAAATTATCGACCATCTACGGTCAATGCTCTCGGAATCGTTTATGATTGCCGTTGAGACGGCTTCATCGACTGTTCGCAATGCCAGCCTCTCTGACAATTATATCAAGGATTGGAGGAAGTATTCTAGACGATATGCAGCCCACGGGCGCCCACTGGGTGCCATGCTAGTTCAAGAGGGTTTCATGCGCTTTGTGAAGTCATGCGCAGCATCCCTGATCGGGTCTCAGAACTTGTCCGATGATGAGCTTCTGGACGAGTACATGGCTGGTGTCGGAATTGCAAAGAGCTACAATGAGGCAGACATCGCTCTGATCGAGCGGGTGACCGAGCTGATTAGCGAGGAGATCAATTTGCTCGAGGACGGATCGGATTACCTGCAGGTTGGACCGCCTTCCCAGCAGCGGTTGGCCTTCTCGGTGAAGGGAAATGCCCTGATCGGCTTCCTGAACTGCGTTGTCCTCGGTGAAGATGCTGCCAATAATGATATCCTTCTGTCCTGGCTCGAGAATACGGTGGGCGATCCCCAGCAGATGGCGTGTGACGAGCTAGCCATCACTGCGCTCAAGTGCACGGCGATTCTCGCCAGGATGTCTTCGAATGGCGCAACGCTCGGAAGACGCTGCCTTTTGAAATACTTAGTGCAGGGTGGTGCCTCAAAGGGCTCCGTCGTCGCTGTCGCTTCCCGATGCCTCGCCCAAATCCTGAGCATTCTTTCCGAAGACTCTGTGATTGCAACATTGTACTCTTTGGGGAATTCGTTAAGCCCCGGTCCTATCGCAGATCAATCAGCCCAAAATCACCTCCTTGGCGATTCCACTGGACCCACAGGCAATCTGGTGGCTTATGCGCAGGTAGGAAACGCAAGCCAAACGACTATCTCGGCCGTTGGTGAGGAAGAAACCCTTACCAACCGAAATGTCGTCCATGCCATCGTGGTCATTGCGACGAGTTGCAACGATGACAAGATTAGTGCTCTTGCACAGTCCATGCTTCTCCAAAAGGTTGGCAAAATTAATGTCTCGGTAGACGCTTTCATCATCCAGGAAGCTGCCGTTCTTGCTCTGAGTAGCGGGCAAGCCGAGTTTTTATTGTTGTTGAAGTTCTATACCCGAATTTACCTTGATGGAGTCCACAGGGGTCTGTATATGATCACGGATGCTGTTCAATGTGCCATGTCATACCTCTCCGTGACTCTAAACCGCCTCTCTCCACTTTACCGACTCTATCTGACTCATTTATTGGAGAGTATTGTCAACAAGGGCGATATCCCGGACGTTGGTGAGACTGAACGCCACGGAGAGCTTGTCTTCGCTCCTGGTGACATTACGCCTCTCTTGAAACCGCTGGCATTGCTGGTATCTTCCAAGAGGACATATACGGAAATTTGCCATCTTACCTTGGGCTACGATGATGCCACCTGCTCTTTGTTCCGGGATGCCTGGTTTAATATCGCCATCCATGGAATATCACTCAATTCGAGCGTTGGCCAGAAGCACCTCAAGGAACTCAGTCTGCTCGCGAGTCATTCCCCGCCACTAGTGGCCGAGGAGCGTATGGAGTCTCTCGAGAGTGATGTGGAGCTCAACACCGTGCTCAGGAGGGGCATGGGACCGCAGCGGATACTGGAGCAGAAACGCACGCTCATCGCGGAGCTTCCTGGCCGAGAATCCGACATCAAGCGCCTAGACTACCCCAGATCAGTATTTCTCAATGCTGTTTTGTTGGTTGAAAGCCTCCGCTCATCGTCAGGGGACTGCACCAAAATCCTCAGCTACTTCCGCGATCCGGCCGTGGCTGCTCCCGAGATGGTCATCTGCATGAATGCTGTTGCTGACAAGGTTGTGACTTGCTATCTCTCACGCACTCTTTCAGGCGATTACGATGATTTCTCGGCTTCCTACCTGGCGAAGCAGCTGGCTGAGTTTCTCACAGCTTGCTGCCATCGCATTGAGAGAATTCAACATATAGCGACACAATGTACCGACAAGATCATCCGCGAATGCCCTTCGGCCCTTTGCGAGAAGCATTCGCTCTTCGCTCTACTTGAGATACTGACTGTGATGTGGTCATCTTGCCTCCAAGGCGAAATCGATGAGTTCGAATGGAAGCCATTCCTGATTTCTCCGATGGGCATCGTGAAGGTCGATTTGCCTGATAATTATGCCCTGCGAAAAGCCACCTTGAATCGGTTCCTCGAGCGAGCTAGAACATGGGTCACGACTGTCTTGAACATTGCCCCGCTGGATATCAAAGGACTGTTGCAGGTACGTGCTCCTCCCTAAGGTATCGAAGAAACATTCCACTAACTAATATCAACACTAGACTTACCTCTCCGGATATGATGACGACGGTGGCTATGGACATATCTCTCTGGGCCGTTCCTTCGCTCTTGAGATGGGTTCCCTCATCCCACACAGCGACCCCCGCCTTGGTAAGTTCCTCTGGCACGAAAACCATTATTGTTTTGTCATCTGATATATGATGCAGGATCCATCGATACCTACGATAGTGGAATCAATATTGCATCGGACTTTATGGCTCTATACACGACACGCCAGAAGTATCGTCGTCCGGATATCTCATTGCTCGACAGTTCAGATAGCCAGGTCTTTGGGATTGGCGGTTCGTGCAAATTTGTTGTATTCGTCCTATGTAGTTATCACTAACCCACCGACTTTCTTAGGCCGCAAGCCCGAAGCGGACTTTTCGCCCGAGACTGCTAACAGCCTTGAATACTCTCTCGCTCGCCTTTATGGGCGTAGCATGAAGGGAGACGATATTCCTCTCGGCGAGGTGAGGGATGCTCTACGGCAAGCCGCGCGTCTGATTTGCAGCAGTAGTAACCCTCGACTATCTGTTGTCCACTACCTGGTTGCTTTGCCCTTCCAAATCTTCACTAAGGAAACGATCAAGCTGGGAGTCTCTTTGTGGCTTGGTGTCATTCATGAGAACCCTAACGTCGAGCCACGCATCCTGGCACACGTAGTTGAGGCCTGGGAAAGAAGTATCCAGCGACGCCAAGGCTTGTTTGATCCGACCTTCGAGTATGAACCTCTCCCTTTTGATCCAATTCCCCTCGCTCCCCCTCCCTGCTTCGAGGCGCCTAAAGATACTAATTATCTTAGATACTTGGACCCAATGCAGACCAAGATTGAACTGCTGCCCACGGACAAAGGAGCGATGCTTAAGAAACAAGAAGACGCGCAAAACACACTTTCGCCACACTTGCGCGTCCTCCAGTTCTTTGAGAGCCATTTTAGTGCCGTTCGCCTGGGCAACCTCCAGGACCAGCAGCTGTTCTGTCGCTTGATCAGCAGTACGCTGGTGGCACTCACCAAGACCCTAGGCCACCCATTGGCTAGGGAGATCCACTTCCGCACTGTACTATTTGGCCTGCGCATCTTGCAGCATCTGAGCCCCCGAAATGGTGCCGCATCTTGGAAGCTCAAGGATCAGATTCTGTCCGCTGCCCTGAGCTGGTTCAAGCATACTCCAAGGTATGTAGTCAAGGACTATCCTTTCGAGGAAGGGGGATAGAACCCGGGGGGCAGGGGCTAATCATGCGCTGACTCTTCCAGGTGGTCATTCGGCGGTAATCGATTGCTGATCAAGGCCGAAGACAAGATTCTCGGTGATGTGCTATCCACTCTGCGGAGTGTTGCGGATATTGCTGTTCAAGCCCGGGGCTCATGTAAATCCCTGCAGGCCAAACAAGAATTGATGCAAATTCTCATCGAGAACGAGAGGTCGCGTCTTCGGGTTTGGCTGTTCCCCTTGGAGCCTGAGCGGAAGCACCACATGTCCTCGATTGGTGGCAAGAACTCTACGGATGTAAGCTTGTGCTGTTCCATCTTTGGGCTTATCCTTGAGAGCTGACCGACGCTAACATGAAAACCACAGGGTGTTGCATCCTACCTGAGACTTGCGTGGGCAGAGAGTCCGGGGCTGGCCATTCAACTGGCTGTCCGATTCCCGTCGATCAAAATGCAGACTGAGATTCGGTGGTTGGTCCTCAATTTCCCCGAAAAGGCCATTCGCGAGCCGAGCGCTTTGGAGGTCATGTTCGACTCGTCTCTGCAGCCTGATGTTAACTTCCAGCTGAAGGTAAATGGCCCACCATATGTGACTTCTTCCCATATGCTAACTGTAGCCTAGTATTTGTTGTTCTGGGCGCCTGTCAATCCGACTGAGGCGCTTACGTACTTCCTCCCGGCTTATGGAAACCACCCGTTCATTCTTCAGTATGCTATGCGAGCTCTGGAGAGTCATTCCATTGATGTTCGTTTCTACATTGTGCCGCAACTAGTTCAGGCTCTTCGGTACGATGCTCTGGGCTATGTTGAGCGCTATATCCTTGAGACAGCGAAGCAGTCCCAGCTCTTCGCACACCAGGTAATTTGGAACATGAAGGCCAACTCCTACAAGGACGAGGATTCGCAGATCGTAAGTGTCTCCCGCGTATTAGCCGAAACCGGTTATAATCATAATCTAACACTGCAACCTCATTTCAGCCGGATCCAATCAAGCCAACCCTGGATCGATTCATGGAGGCTTTGATCTCAAGCTTCTCGATCGAAGAGCGCGCCTTCTACGAACGGGAATTTTCATTCTTCAACGAAATCACCGGCATCTCTGGTAAGCTTCGGCCATATATCAAGCGGAGCAAGCCAGAGAAGAAGGAAAAGATTGAAGAGGAGCTGCGCAAAATCAAGGTGGAGGTCGGCGTGTACCTACCTAGTAACCCCGACGGCGTAGTTGTCGGAATTGACCGCAAGTCGGGCAAGCCGCTGCAGAGTCACGCCAAGGCGCCGTACATGGCGACCTTCCGGATTCAAAAGACTCGCCCCCGTCAGGAGGGCAAGGGTGACTCGGCCAAGGCTGGAGCTCACGGGTCTGACCAGCGTCAGCTGGCGACTCGTGGGTCCATGTCTGACCAAGAGACCTACGAGGTTTGGCAATCAGCTATCTTCAAGGTCGGCGATGACTGCCGACAGGACATGCTCGCCCTGCAGATGATCGCGGCCTTCCGCAGCATTTTCTCCAGCGTCGGGCTGGACGTGTGGGTGTTCCCTTACCGGGTGACCTCGACGGCGCCGGGGTGCGGAGTGATCGACGTGCTGCCGAACTCGATCTCCCGCGACATGCTCGGCCGCGAGGCCGTTAACGGGCTGTACGACTACTTCGTTTCCAAGTACGGCGGCGAGGACTCGATCCGGTTCCAGGAGGCACGCACCAATTTCGTCAAGAGCATGGCCGCATACTCGGTGATCTCGTATCTGCTGCAGTTCAAAGACCGGCACAACGGCAACATCATGGTGGACGACGCCGGGCACATCATCCACATCGACTTCGGATTTTGCTTCGATATCGCCCCCGGCGGAGTGCGTTTCGAGCGGGCACCGTTCAAGCTCACCTCCGAGATGGTGGCGGTGATGAGCGGCACGCATAACCCAACGCACCATCCGAGCGGGACATCCGGGATCAGCCTGCCAGGGAGCAACTCACACAACCCAACGAGCACGCAGCCGTACCGGTGGTTCGAGTCGCTGGTGGTGAAGGCGTTCCTAGCGTCGCGGCCGTACACCACGAAGCTGGCGCACATTGTATCGCTAATGCTCGACAGCGGGCTGCCATGCTTCAAGCCGGAGACGCTGAAGAACTTCCGGGACCGATTCGTGCTGGATAAGAGCGAGCGCGACGCAGCGGAGTACATGCGGGAGCTGGTGCGCAAGTCGTACATGAGCGTGTCGACCAAGGGATACGATCAGTTCCAGCTGATGACCAACGGCATTCCGTACTGATTGCCTCGGGGCTGCCTTGGTCTTGGCGACTTGTTTTCAATTACCACACTCATTTTTCCTGGGAAGGGTATTTTCGTGCTTCCGTTCGTGCATTTTTCAGTTCCTTCCTACCAAATCTATTAATTAGCTTAATTCTGATCGAATGAACATGGGATCCAGCCACTTGATACCATACTATACTATGCCAGACCGTATCCCAGAACTATATTCTTCAGGCCCATCCAGCCTTAAGACAGCTGCTACCTCCCACTCGGCAAAGTTAATCTCGCCTCGTCAACCGCCGACTTGTACACCTGGAAAACACGGTTCGCACGTAGAGCGCCCGCGGTAGCATTTGTGGACAGCCGGTAGAGACTGACGTCACGATTCCGTTCCCGCCCCATTCCCGGGTACGCGCAGTAGGGATGACGAAATACCCTCCGAACCAGTCACAGCAGCCAAGTCTTTCAAGTCTGGTTACTTGGGTTAAGGGGAGAGAAGCGCATTTCAAACCATCGGGTGGTTGGCGGTATATATGTAGAACTTAATAGCCATAGCCACCGGCGGGAACATCGCGGCAGTGGCTGCGGTACAGAACCAGAACCAAGATCGACTCCCATGAAGTATATAGCACCCAGCTCGAGCCACCACCAGAGCCCCTGCCACCGCTGTGGTGGCGGGCAGCATGGGTGACGGGCCCGTTCCGCAGGAAGCGCATGGAGCGTGGCAAGCATATGATATAAGCTGGGTGGAGGGAGGCGGGTCGTTTACTTAGCGTTCTTAAATTAACCAGGACCTGCGTAGCTCTCTGATGGCTGAGAACGACGGTCCCAGCAGAATTGGATCCTATTCCATCCGCCCATCAGTTCCATTGCAATCCCACTCAATTCAGTTCATTCACCTCTGCGCATTGAGAGTGGGTGCTATACCAACCACCAGCACCACCAACACATGTGCAAGAAATCCTCCGCAGCTCCAGCATCCCTACACTTGCACCAGCATAAACCGCTTACTCCACTGCCAACATGAAGTTTCCCTTCATGAACAAGCAAACCGGGTCCGTCGCAGAGTCGCCGCCGTCAGCCGATCTTTCCGGGGCGTCGGAGGACGACCGTGAGAAGCGGCGCAGCAGCTCGTTCGACGAAGGGAAGGTGCCGTGGGTGACGTGGCGGTCAATAGTCCTGGGGGCATTTGTGTCGATAGGCGGAATCATTTTCGGGTACGACACGGGTCAGATCTCGGGATTTCTGGAGATGAGAGATTATAAACAGCGGTATGGGCAGTTTCGGAATGGGAAGTGGGCGTTTAGTAATGTGAGGTCTGGATTGATTGTTTCCATGGTGAGTTGGTTAGCCCGGTGGTCCTGGCCCCGGTCCTGGCCCCGGTCCCCTTTCCTGTTGGAATGGTGTGATCTGAGAAAAGATCAAGATAGGAATAGTTGAGTGTTGTGTTGAGCGTTGAGTGGCTCGCTAAATCCTTGCAGTTGTCCATCGGTACCATGATAGGCGCCCTCGTGGCCGGGACCCTAGCAGACCGCATCGGCCGGAAATGGTCCATCTTCACATGGTGCATTATCCTGCATGTCGGGCTGATCGTCCAGATCTCCTCACCGGCGGGCAAATGGTACCAGATGATGATGGGCCGGTTCGTAACAGGCTTCGGTGTGGGTGCATGTTCGCTGCTGGTACCGATGTACCAGGGCGAGATCGCGCCTCGACATATCCGCGGAGCAATGGTTTGGTCAGTCACTCAGCCCAGTTTCAGCCAGACGCATAGAGATTGCATTGGCCGTGAAAGCATACTCTCTCAAGCCGACCGTGGCTAACCTATCTCCTTAGTTCCTACCAACTCTTCGTCACGTTGGGCATTTTCGTGGCATACTGCATCAACTATGGCACGGAGAGCATCTCCAACACGGCATCGTGGCGGATCCCTCTAGGAATCACGTTTCTCTGGGGCCTGCTTCTAGGCTTTGGCATCTTGCTGTTCCCGGAAAGCCCGCGATTTGACTACCGGATGGGCCGAATTGACATGGCCAAGAGGACGATGAGCAAGCTGTATGGTATCTCGGAGAACCACCGGGTGATTGTGCACGAAATTCTTGAGATACAGGAGCAGCTGGAAGCGGAGCAGGGGGCGAAGGGCGGGTTGCATGGCTGGGTGGAGATGTTCCAGGCACCGCGAATGATGTACCGGATTATACTGGGTGTGGTGCTCCAGGCATTGCAGCAGCTGACGGGTGCCAACTACTTCTTCTACTATGTGAGTATAGAGAGGAGAGGTCGAGGGAGAGCCCCGGTCTCGCGCCGGTTTTTATACTGACCTCCGCCAGGGCACGGTGATTTTCAACGGCGCCGGCATCAGCAATACCTACGTGACGCAGATGATCCTGGGCGGCGTGAATTTCGGCACGACCTTCGGTGGCCTGTACGTGATCGAGCACTTCGGCCGACGCAAGTCGCTCATCACCGGCGGGATCTGGATGTTCGTATGCTTCATGGTATTCGCATCTGTGGGACACTTCTCGCTAGATGTGCAGAACCCGCCCGCCACACCAGGCGCCGGCAAAGCAATGGTGGTCTTTGCCTGCCTTTTCATCACCGGATTCGCAATGACTTGGGGTCCGATGGTGTGGGCGATTGTTGCCGAGTTGTATCCGTCGCGGTACCGGGCGCGGGCGATGGCGCTAGCGACGGCATCAAACTGGCTGTGGAACTTCCTGATTGGGTTCTTCACGCCGTTCATCACGGGTGATATCGACTTTGCGTACGGGTATGTGTTTGCGGGGTGTCTATTTGTGGCAGTGCTGGTGGTGTACTTCTTTGTGCTGGAAGGTAAGGACAAGACACTGGAGGAGATGGATATGATGTATGTGATGCGGGTGAAGCCGTGGCAGAGCAGCAAATGGAAGGCGCCGGCGCCGGAGGAGCAGCTCACGACCGCGCAGCTGATGGACCGCCGGATGGCGGAGGGTTATGACCGCGAGGAAGAAGCGGCGGCCAACAAGAAGGCGGCGGAGACGCCTGGGCATCTGCATGCGGAGAATCCCACGGGGCAGGGTTCTTCTCAGGCTTGAAAGATTGATGCACGTCAGATATCAGATGTCACATGAGATACGAGGGTGATTGGTGGGAAGAGGGGGAGAAGAGAGGGTCGACGTGACGTGAAGAAGCAGAGAAAGGGGGGTTGGAGGGAGGGAAACGGAGAGAGAGAGGGATGGTGATGCTGAGATGTTGTATAGCCTGGTGATACCTCGAGAATGTATAGAAACCATCAAAGTGGTGACCAAGGAGGGTTTCAATGTACAGTTGAGACAGTTGACAGCCACCGTACCTGAGAAGGGCAGGTGATCCCGCCAGATAAGATTAATGAAGAAAATCGAAATATCATGTCAATTTGGTTATATATCAGACAGACATCGGCCTCAGCACCAGGATGAGGTTTATTCACCGTGAGATGGAGAAAAAGAAGGAAAGAAAGGCCCACGCCCAGAACGCATCATCAGTAAAGAAAAAGTAATAAGAATTGCGGAGAACAAATGCCTCCATATGACTCAGAGAGCCAGTCACAATCTCGTGCCTCCTAACGTAATCAACAATTGTGCAGAAGGGGCGCCGAACGGAATCATGTTCAGACTCCACGATCAAGGTAAGCCTAGAAACACATGTTGTGAAGCCTGGCCGCAGTGACTCTGGGATCCCAGATGACTCATCTCGCTGGGATCCGAGCACTCCGTGGAAATCACGTTTGTAGATAGACACATCATATAGAAAAAAGAAAGGGAGGAGCCACACATCGCCCGGCTTCTAGTCCATGAAGTCACCGCGCAGGATCTTCTCCTGGAAGAAATCGGGCTTGTTCTGTTTGGGCTGCTTAGGGATTTCCCGGACGGGCTGCTCCATCGAGGCAATCGACGCGGCACGCTGGTGACCGGCCTGGCGGACGGGACTCTGCGGGGGTCCACCGATGGACGGGGCGCGCTCGGCCCGGTGACGGAGCGCCTCGGTCCAGTTGAAGCCTTCGCCTGGGCGGCGCGATGCGTTAGATCTCTCATCCAGAGGAGTAGCTGAAGAACTTGCAGAAGCAGCGGGAGATCGGGAGGGGGGGCTGTTGCCCGGGGCGGAGGAGTCGCCGGGCGCCGCGGACGACGGCGGACGGCGTGCCCCTGCCAGGGATGAACTGGGGGGTGGGTATCTACCATTGCCTATGCTTCCGGCCCGGGCCTCACGCAGGGCCTGGGCACCAAATGAGACTCGTCGGGCGAGGGGAGAGCTGGGGGTGGCCCCCGGCGAGCCCTCTATATCCTCCGCAACGGCATCTTCATTGTTCGGGGCCGACCCCCACGAGCTGGACAGGCTGCCTTGGCGGAAAGCCCGGCTACCAAACGTGGAGGTCTGGGTGGGCGAGCCTGACAGGCCCAGGGTGGTGATGGACAGCCGGCGCGGCTGGTTGGTTTGGATGTTGCCTGTCTGGTGGCCGGACGGAAAGTTGTTCTGCTTGGAGAACAGGTCCGTGAAGGGGAGGCCGGAGGCAACGGAGCCACGACGGGGGCGATTCTCCGACTCGGGGACGGTGATAGGGGAGGTAGAGCGACCGTTCGACATGGTGATGGTTGTTATGAATGGTGGGTGATGAAGAAAGAAGAAGAAGAAGGGGGAGAAGAAGATGGACTCAGTGAAGTATCGAGGGACTGAGCTGGGGATGAGAAGACGGGGTCTTGGACGGACTCGCCGCCCTTCTCATGAGATAGAAATCGAATGGAGAAGTCAAAGTACGCGCAACAAGGGGGGGAAAGAAGAGAAGCCCAGTCGCAGCGTAGGGTTGGGGGGTGGGTTGGTTGGGATGTGTAGAATAGAAGAGGAACAAAGCAGAGTGGTGGTGGAAGTGGTGGACAGGGGGAGGAATGGATATGAATTGGGGAGGGAAGTAAACGGCTGTGTGGTGTGAGTGGGAAGAAGAGGGGGTGTGTGGTGCCACCAGCAGAAAGTCGAGGGAGGGGGGAGAGCTGCAGCAGAAGCTAAGCTTGGGCCAACGGGAATATCTGGGGTAGCGCCACTTGGTCGTGTCCGGAAGGAGTGGAGAGGGAGCTTGACGAGTCCAGAGGAAGATAAGTGGACGAGGTGGAGGCAGTGGAGTCCTTCTGTCCACCGGACGATGATGCCGATGATGTGCTGCAGCCCATTGATTGGCCAACCGGCTGACCGTGGGCCGCATTGGGTTTGGATTTTTTTAGGGTTGAAGAGATGGCAAGAAGCCCAATCAGTCCAATTAGTTCAATTCGCCCAATTCGCCCAATTCGCCCAATTCGCCCAGTTCGCCCAGTTCGCCCAGTTCGCCCAGTTAGTCCGATTAGCCCAATGAGAGGCCCTGGCGACCCAATCGACCCAATCAGAATACTCTAGTATCGTGAATGCAGAAGATACACCTAATTTTAGGGTCGAGTCTCGAGTCATCATGTCGTAGACCTCTCACGAGTGGGGAGATGATACTATCGCAATTCCCCCATCACGCCACTCTACACATACCATTGCTCGTCATAATGATACAAATATACAGATAGAGATCCAGGGCTAGATTGAGATCCACATGCAGACAGAGAATTCCGACGACAGAAAGAAATCATGTGTTTATTGCCTGCTAAATAATATAGCACCAGCGCGGGTTTGTGTGGTGTTCCAAGTATATATATTGAAAGGAAAAAGAGAAGGAGAAAAAAAAGCTGAAATGGACGTACATCGTGTATTACTCGTTTCCTGAAGTTTCTCTCCCGCCGATCGCCAGACCCGCTTCGGCTGGAATCTGGCCTCCTCTGGCTACCCCCTTCCGTTGCAGTGTTCTGACTTCCGCAGCTTCCGCATGTGGACCGGTCGATGAATGTTGGGGCCCTGCAAGAGAGGATCGAGGATCGTCCTCGATGCTCTCCATACCCGAGACAGGCGGGAGTGAACTTCCCGGCACTCTGATGGCCTTGCCTGATTTTGCACAGGGAGACAAAGACATCCCCCAGACCCATCTCCCTAGCACGTATCCCCTCAAAAAAAAATACCCGGGAATCCGGGGATCTCGGGGTTGGGGACCACTCAGGGCAAGGGTAGGTGGAACAGAGCAATCAACTTCCGGCCAACGGTCGGCTCGATTTCGGTGCCGTCACGGGCAATCTTCACTTCGCGGTTGGCATTCCACGGATTGCGCAGCCCGCGCGTGCGGTGGAAGGGCACCCGCTCCGTCGATAGCCACTGGATGCGAAAGGGCTTGCCGAACGACTGGCCCTCAGTCTCGTCCTCACCGGCGGAGCCAGGAGCAAGAGGGCCGGGACCAGCACCAAGACCTGGATCGCCACCAGGGTCCTCGCCGTCCACACTTTCCTCGCTGCAATCGTCTTCGTCGTGCTCTTCTTCCGATGACTCCACCTCCCAGAAGATCGTGCCGCGGGCTGAATCGTCAATGATCCGGCCCTTGGGGGCGGTCGAGGTGGCTGCCGTCGCGGTCACCTCCAATTCATCGGTGCCGGGGAGGGGCTCCGGGCGGGGCGGCATCTCTAGGGCTAGCTCCTCGTCGTCGCTGATGGGCGAGAGCATGCGGGCGTAGCCGAAATACTCGCCCGACTTGTTGGCGGAAAAGATCAGGTAAACATGGTCGGTATTCTGTTACAAAGACTGATATTAGCGCAATTCAAGTAGATCAAGGTAGACTAAAATCGACAAGCGGACGGCTTAATAAAACGCAGCAATGGGTGGGAGCCGGTCACGCCACACTCACCTCGAATGCATGGTTCAGGTTGGTTTCATTGTGCGTCTGCGTCGCCCAGATACCACTCTGCTTGCTGAGCTCGAGGTCCTCGACCGTCAGACTCTTGACGATAAAGTAGCGATCCAGGCCGCGGGGAGCCCCCGCGCCCGGCGGCGCAGTGATGACCTCCGGTACGACGGCCGCCTCGTCGCCAGGAGGAGGATCGTTCGTCTCCTCGAGACGAGACCGGGCCCCCAAACCGGAGCCGGGGCCTGAGCCCGAACCTGGGGCTGTAAAACCCTTGCGGAGACGGCACACGAGACGGACGCCCTGAAATCGGGAGTCGTGGAAGCGGGCGAGGGCGGCCGTACACGCGGCAGCGGATTTGTAATTCACAAACGCACAGTTACTTTTCGAAATAAGGAACACGCTTTCAATGCTGTTGGTCGCATCCTGAGAGAAATGGTCCTTCAAGTCCACCACGCTAGCCCCGGGCGGGAGGTTGCCCACCCACAGGGCATGGCCGGACTGTTTGGGTTTTCGCGGTGGTCCGCGGGGAGTGTTGGGAGTGGTTGGAATCGAGTGAGAGAAAGGAGTGGGATCTGTGAATAGAGCGAAGACAAAGCGTGTCAGTACAAGGTTCCTTCTTGTAGGGGTTCGCTCTACTTACCAGGTGAGTTGGATGAGGGCTGTGTGAGCCTCATCGGGTTGGAGCCATCCACAATCGTCTTCGATACGTCGTACTCTTCTACCATAGCCCGCTTGTCGGCGTCCTTCATTGTAGCTCCCGGGTTCGCCGCGGGAGGTCCCGGTCCCTGCGAGACACTCCCGTGTCGGGATTGAGAAACCGTCTGCCGCACTGGACCAGTTCCCGAATGGGCACTATGTCTATAGGACGCCGCGTATCCCGGGTGGTAATAGGCCGCGCCATAGGCAGGGCCTTGGCTCGGCCCTATGTTTTGCATCGAGAGGATTTGCCATATACGGTGGATAGGGCCCAGGAACATGCTGAGCAACGCCCGGATGCTGCATCGAGTAAGACGCATAACCGGGAGCAAAAGGAATCGCATATGGGACCGCCCCGCCGGTATTCTGACCGGGATAAGGGCCCATGGACTGTATCGGATACATGAGACCCTGGGCATGGACAGGAGGATATTGAGGGACGAGATGCTGGGCCTCGAATGGAGAGGACTGAGACTGGTGGCTCGGGAGCGAGTAGGTCATATTGCCCATGTTTAGAGGAGATGGGGGACCATAACGTCCGGAAGCTGGGTAGCCTGTGATCGAAGGATGGGCCGAATAACCTGATCGCGCGTACTGGTCGGCCGCTGTAGAACCTGTAATATCAAGCCATCTCATCAACGGGTATGCTCCCCAATGACACGACCACGGCCCAGTGGCATACATCATGGCATGACTTCTCTCTCGCGCGGGGAAAAACTGACCAGATGTCGAGCTGGACCGCGAGACATTAGGCTCTGAGGCCGGGGGTATCCCTTCCCCTGTCCCTTGGGATGAGTTGATCTTCTCTGGAGAAGCATCGCCCATGGGGCCCGGTTCGTAGACTAGTGTGCACGGGGAGATACAGTCGACGCAAATCTCTCCCTAGAGCCGCGTAAGTATGCAAGAGATGACAGCATGAAATCACTGGGTAAGGTGTAGCCACCATAGCATACCTCTGAGATTCAAATAGACAGAGCGTGAGACCACAGCGGGTCTCTCCGTCCGCCGACTAAGAAGGTCACCGGCACAAAACGCGTATCGCCCCTTAAATCACCCAAGCCTAGAACTAAACGGGCGCTGGGTGGACGAGAGGTGCTGTTGATGATCAAAATAAATGTCAATAAGGGTTCGTGGAAGAGTCAATATCAAGAGAACACATCTAAAAGGAGAGGAGGGGAGAGGAGAGAGGGTATGATGGGCTCGGAAACGCTGACGCCAATCACAATGGCTCAGTCTGTGAAGGTCCGGAAAATATGAGAAACATGAGAAGACCCAAACAGATGAGCGAACAGGTGCAATCCAATAGAAAGAATGTTGTGTAGGGAAGTAGGAGGGGCAGAGGCGAGAAATAAAAACAAAACAAAACGAAAAAGTTTCAACGGTGCATCCGCTGTCTGGAGCGTGCAACCCCCGCGCTTAAGCAGGGCCTTGTGGCTGTCGCGGGCCGGACGAAAGCCACAGGGGCTGGGCAGCTCATGACAGGGCGAGTGGGAAATCCACGACGATAAGCACATGGAAAGACCGGGCTGGGGCCCAGTGGAGCCGGGATTGGGGTGTCCATCGGAGGCGAAGTCTGAGCGGATGGAAGGGGGAGCAGACGAGACGAGGGGGCGTGCCACTTGAAAGAAACAAGGAATGGAATGAAAAAAACTAGGCCCAGCCCGGTCTCTGGAAGACAAAGATGAAACAGAAGAAAACTGGGGGACTTCTGGAAAACTTCGACAGGCATGTCATGTCGGATAGGGCTTAAACCGACGAGCAAGGAAATGGAAACAGAATCTGCCAATCAAGTGATTGGGTGGGGGCCGGGCCCTTGTAGGGCTGGCAATTTGCACAACCCGGAGAGGATCAACAAGACGGGAAGGGGGAAAAGGGGCATACGGGATCAAGAAAAAGGGCCTACCTGGCGGAACGAAAGCAGAGCAAAAGGACGGACCGTGTGGTCAAGAGTGGTTGCGGCAAATCAAGATATAGTCGGAACGGTGTCCAGGTTGTATGACGGGCAAAAGGCCGAGGCACAATGGATGCCCTACGGACGAACTAAGCCACTAGGCACACCGACGAACAGATGAACAGATGAACAGATGAACAGATGAACAGACGAACAGACCGAGGACCGGCGGGGCGGGTGTGGCTCAATTGGGGCCGAACGAGAGAAAGAGTGGCCCTGCACCGTCGGGAGAGCTTGAAGATCGCGTGGGAAAAAAACAAGCCAGCCGCAGCGGGCTTGGATTTCCCAGATATACCCTCACGAATGTGGAGAGAGCTGGAAGGATGAAAAGGCAAAGTAAAAAATAGAAAAAAGAAATGACAGAAAGAAAAAAGGGAAAAAAAAGGGCAAGAAAAAGAATCGCCGAAATTCAAATCACTGAATGGGGCCCTGCTGTCAGCCACACAGCGGCGAATAAGCAGCCAATGGGGCAGATGAACGGAGTGGCGGACTCGAACGTGAATGCTGTCGTGGCTGTAGCAGACGTGACGGATGTGCTATGGCCTCAAGTGGGACTAGAACATCCGAGCTCGGTAAAGCAGGAGCAGGAATGAGTAGACCGAGTAGACAGGGTGGTCTGGGGTGGATAAAGGGACGAAGGCAACCACGGGGAGCCAGGCAGGTTGAAGATTGACGGTGATAGGTTGGGGGAATGTATGGGCAAGTACAGGCACCTGCAAGAGACCGAGGAAGGACAGTCAAAAGTACAAAAGGACAGAAGAGTCCAGACAGTACCGGAAGAGCAAGGAGGGAAAGCACTTCTCCCCTCGAGGGTGGGTCGTGGTGGGATTGGAGTGTGTGCGAGGATAAGTGGATATCCCCTTTGGCCCAGGACAGGGCCAGAATCACTTCAGTCAGGGAAGTAAACACCAAGTACACCGGGCATTAGGGCTTGGGCGTGGGCTTGGGCTGGGCTTGGGCTTGGGCTTGGATCTTGGATTGGAGCTCCTCGGGACTGTCTCGGACTTTTGTGACAAATGCTTGTCATCCAGCAAGTGGAGAACAGTACGCCCTTTTTCCTCGTGAATGGATTGATCAGATCGGGCAAGCGGGTGTGGTTGGGTGAACGGTTCCTTCACTTATAGGCGTCTCGGCGGCTCGTGTGTTGAGCAGACCGTGCCACACCGGGGTTGTGGCTTAAGCGGCCCACGGATCTGCTAAAGAGGGCCCCAGTCATGGGGGCCGCAAATGAGACCACGCCCAGTTGGAGCCGTTGAGGTGCGCGGAGTCGAGCCAATCAGGCTGGAATCGGGACGAGGGAATTCAGGAATAGGAACTTGGTCCGGGCCACTTGGTGGCGACTCGGCATAGCGACAGCACAAGCAGGAACTCGGGCTGGGGCCGTTTCCTTGAATCCCTTGTTTTACAATCGGACGAATAATCGAGGAGCGGCAGCAGACGGTGGGCCCATTGGGAAGGAATGGCGCCTCTGCTAATCGCCGGGCCGAGACTATGAGAAATGGAGCCCAGCGAATTTACAGGTTGGAGCGCCCTATGGCGAAGGCAGTAGGCTGCATGGCCGGTTTGCCACGGTCAGGGGTGCGGGCTATGCATGTGTACGGAGTATGTAGTGGGTGAACTTTCGAGAAGTGGATCGTGAAGGAGAGAAAGAAGGAAAGAAAAAAAAAAATGGAGAGAAATGAGAAAAAGTAATAATACGTATTGTTACCTCGGAACGTTGGGGGAATAGTTGGTGGCCACGATCGCGGAGTGCTGTTTCCCTAGGAGGGAGAAAAGGTACAAGAGGACGATACCGGGGCCGGACCTATCATGGGTGGAGGAGGAATTGGCTTTGCATCCGACGGGCGGCGCCTTGGGGCCCGAGGGATGTGGACATGATGGAAAAGATGGGAAAAAGGTGGAAGAGGGCTGTCCCCAAGACCACCACAGGACCCCGACCAGCTGCCGGGGACCACTAGCTACACTCCCACTAGACTCAATCACAGCCCACCAATGGATGGCGTTGGTCTCCAATCCCGGTGGCGTCGGGCCCAAGCAGCTACCAGTTTGGGTAGTCGGCAGAGTGCGGTGCGGGAGAGATCCATATACCGCGCGACGCCAGGCCCTCTGCAGCACCAGCTCGCACTAGACTAGCACCAGACTGGTACCAGACTAGACTAGCACGGTGCTTGACGCGTTCAGAGTCCGTTCAGAGTCCGTTCAGAGTCCGTTCAGAGTCCGTTCAGAGTCATGGTGCTCGCGGGAGGAACTCCTGCGCAGGGCGTACAACGGGTTGGGGTTTTCCGGAGCTGACCCAAGGCACCAGGTCGATCAGACCATACTGTCGGGTACGGTGGGAACCCGCTGCAGGAGCTGTATTTTGACCTCTTCTCTCGGGCGAAGGGCTGCGGAAAGTTGTGCTCTCTCCGCCCTCCTTCTCCCGGGAGAGGGTAAGCGGAAAAAGAAAGCGTGACGGGGCGACGGAACTCTCCTCATTGGAAGCCGCGCCCAGTCTGGTTATGGTCCCGGGGAGTGGACGGCTTAGTTAATACTTGGGAGTCGTGTCGAACGACGTTGTGAAGTCTCCACTCGGCCCGCGGTGCCAGCCAATCATGGCGGGCGGTGAGCAACTACACGTCCCAGCTGCACTCCGTGCCCTTCGCAAAGCATGTCCCATCCATTTTACAACTTACCCACCTCAATGAAGATGATATGATGCTTCAAGACCGGTTCCACAGTTCCATAGGCTTAACGTCTCCTAGCGACTACTAGGCAACGGCGTTCCATCGGTGGCAATAGAAAGATGGAAAAGTAACGAAACCCGCCGATCGATCGGGTGCGCGGAGTTCATAGGGCAACTGTCTCGCTCTTGTGGAGGACGTTTCTCCGTTTGGTTTCTCTCATCCGCAATACAGTCTCTTCATCCTCCATACAGCCACCACTTACGCAGTCCGATGTATCCAGGTACCACAGGAGGCTCCGTCCTCTCCTACGGCCACTGCAACCATCCAGCCATATCAGGTAACTCTGTCCCCCGTACGCAGTGGTTACCGTATGGCAACAGCCACCGACCCAAAACATGCCATTGATGCCACTGTGCTTCACAGGCTCGAGGACAGCTGATCTCGTCGCCACCACCGACTCCATGGGATGGATGCATTCCGGAAAGGTACGTACACTAGGCACTACTCGACATTATCCGACGGGGCGATGGCCCCACGTGATATCCGAGATCAGCGGTGAATGCCGATCGGGGGACTTTTGCAGCGAGAACTACCGAGTCCTTGTACTGCGATGGGCCAATCAGCACCTCCATGGCCAAACTCGATTTGCCAGGCCCCTTCTCCTGTACAGGCCCAATGCACCCCTTAGCGAGAACGAGATGCATGCAGTGACAATGAGTGATTGCATACCCGACCCTATACGAAGTGCAGGCTCCACTCGACAGACTACTGTTGCGCAGGCTGGTGCAGGTCGACATTCCCGCTCGGCAGATCTGCTCGACGTGAGTGGCTTGGGCGCTTCCTTCTCGAACCATCTCCGCCTACTCGGGCATCTGCGGCGACGATCAGCGCCACTCGGCCTGCCTGACGAGCCTGGGGCGCCACATGGAGCGATGACGTCATGGCGCACCCTCCCCACCTCTCCACCTCTCCACTCCACCTCTCCATGTTCCTGAACAGCTCCAACCACATCACGTCATCGTACATCCACCGACGTTGACCGGCCTCGCCCTGACAAATGTGAGCTCCAATTGAGACCCTACCTCCCCTCGGGGGACCCATTGATGCTTAGGTGGGTAATGTAGCGGCCCAGTCACAACCGCCCTCCGCATGCCGGCACGACTAGGGACTCCAATAGAGGGCCCGGTTCAGCATGCTGGACACCGCATCTCCAAACAAAGCACTCCTATGCGGCAGGAGGAAGGGCATTCCTGCTCCACTTCGTTCGTTAGGGCCTGAGAAGGCGTGGATAGCCATCGGCAACCGGGTATCCCAGAGCCAATGGAGCCATCAGCCTCCCGTCGACAAAGCACCACCGAGAGATGGGACCATGCATGTCTTGTGATAAGACCTCGCTTTAGTGGCTGCACAGACCTCGTCTGTCGAAAGAGAAAGAAGATCAGCGAGTCCTGGTTCGATCGGCCGAATATCAATGGCGGACGCGGACGGCTTCTGGTCGATCTAGCGCCTAATCGGCGGTGGCAGTGAGTCACTGAAGCACTTGGCCCAGTTTAGTGCTGTTCAGTCCAACGCAGGAATAAGCTACCGCATAGATCTACAAGGGTGGCCGGTGGAACCGTTCCTTCCACCTGACCTACATCCTGTCCAACACAGAACGGAAGGAGACTCGGCGGGGGGAGGGGGTGGGTGCGGGCGTTTGTACTTTCGTTCATCGGGGCTGGACTGGGCTGGATTGAACTCGATGCCACAGCCACCACAAGCCAACAGGTGATCCATCGATTCGAGTCTTGAATCAAGTTTGATTGGAATGAACGGGGCTGCTGCGTTGGGAGCTTTCTCCCTCCTACACTTGGAACTCTGCCTTGTTGCGGCCAATGCCTCATGCCTCACGCCCCACGCCACGGCCCCACGGTATACCCTGCATCGCTTAAAATGGACATCGGCAGCTGCTGGAGTCGGGTGGGGAGAGAGGGCGCATCAACGTATTGCCACCATCAGGCAACAAAGTAGCCCGGCCTCCGCAAAACCCACGGTATCTCCGTAGCGCCCAGGTTATCCTACGGGCTTGTCCGATAGTGAGCCATGTGCGATAGATGAGTAATGACCGGTATCTATTTGCCCCTGGAAGGCTAATGTGACGGAGCAGGGCCTGGGTTGACTCAGGCTCCACAGAATTGGGCGGCACATGATAGACGAGAACCCGATTTACAGACGGACATGTGTTTCTGCTCATTGCATTTATCAGTCGCGTATTTTCAGTAGAAGCCAAATCGATTACAAGCAATGCATGTTATTATGTACACATTCCACATTGTGAGATATTGGCATACCTGTGGTTGATGAAGACGTTCACGGAATAATCGAAGAATTAATCTTCTTGCCCCGGTCAGCCTCAAGTCAAGCCCGAGTTAAAGAGAATTTTTGTGCCAAAGCAAAGGCACTGGAAACGCTAGACCTCTCAACTGCCAGCCCAAGTAAGCAGACTCTGCTTCTTCAGAAGCACCAGTCTTTACAATCGCCAGGGTTATTTCATAGTTAATCTGTCCGAGTGCGACGCGATGCCTTACTCCCGGGCCACGTGAGCAAAAGGTGGAATGATCGATCAGTCATAACCGGAGTGAACTAAATTAGTTATAACTAGTTGGTCAGTCCACCGAGACGGTGACGCCAGAACGACCATATCGTAGCTCGTGGGGTTACGCCGTAAAGAGTATGTTCGAGAGGATAGTAGCTAATTATGATAACTACAATGTACAATATACAGGTACGATCCATCTACTTGTTCACACACACAACCTAACAAAAACAGCACCGTCCATCCCCCAAGAAGTCAAACCAAGCACAAAAAAACAAGCAGTCTACTGGTATCAGATCATGACAGGCCCACAGCAGTTCAAAAATCTCGGTTAAAAGAAGTAGAGTAGACCACAACGGGTGTAGAACAGGGTGCGCCGACGCAGCCGCGAGGTTTCATAAGTCCTCTAGGAGAGAACAAAACAAGAAAAATTCCAATGCAAAGGAGCCAAAAACTGTTGCAACAATGATGGGATTAGGTTCATACCCGGAGGATTGGAGAATGGAATTGAAGAGGGCCTCCTCCCTATTCTGCTCTGTTCTACTCAATGAACCGAACGACTGACACCCGAACAAACAGAAAGGAGAATGAGAAAGGAAAAAAACCGGGGGGGGGGGAAGGAAAACATGAACCAAAATGGAAAGCCAGCCGCCAATGATTTCAAACACACCCAAGCCATACACAGGAAATAAAGTCATCAAGGGAGAGGAGGAATGTCCATGTAAGCTCATTAGAAGAATATAATTTAGGCTGTCAAACATAAGGATGAAGCGAAGCGAAGCTGCGCGACGCTGCACAGTCCCATGTCGTATAAAGGGGGAAAGGGTAGTTAGGGCAAAGTTATCGGTCAATTCCAAGAGACGCCACCTTCCCGGCGAACCGGGCTCCAGCACTCCCGCGCTTAGAGAGCTTCTCTCGCTCCTTAGTGTCCAAGGAGGAACCCGTATTCTGTGATGCAGACGCGACAGCACCATCTCTGCTTGCAGAACGGATGGTTGGGAGCGAGCCAAGCGTGTCACTGGCTGCGGACTTCCCCAGGAGAGGGTTCGGGCTCGGAGGACTAAACGCAGATGTGCGGGTCGTGCGCTGGCTGATATACAGCTGCGCAGCCGGGGAAAGTGGGATGGACGGCGGTGCCGGGGGGATCTCCGCACCGTTCTGGACCAGCAGCTCGGCGATGGGGAAGGGGATGGCCTTTGCGCTCGAGCGGGCGGAGAGGGTGGTGGGAGTGGACCCGGGGGAGGCAGGGTCGGCGGCGGCAAGGGCCAGGAATACCGCGTGCGTATTACGGGAGCGGTCTGCGACGTTCACATTGGCGCGCAGCGCAATGCCGTAGAGAACGCCCTGTATATCGTTCTTCTTAATTGAGGCCAGGAGGGTTTCATTGGCAGTTGCGAAGCGGGAACGTGGCGACGGCAGACGCTCAACGTGCGCGCGGTCGACATACTTCGCCGTGATGAACTTTAGCCGTTGTTCCCGTGTGGAGCTGGCAATCGGTTTTTGCGACTGGTCCAGCGTCGCTTCCCAGATCATATTACTGACACGGTTCCCGATCTGCACGAGGATTTCGACAATGTCATTTGAGAAGGAGTGCACGTCGAGTGTGAGTGAGCGGATCTTGGAGATATGAGTTCCCAGAGATCGGTGGATACCGCTGCACTCGATGCACAGTATAATACCTAGGTTGATCGAGACCCATTCGACCTTGGACGAGGACCCACAGTCGGCACACCAGTTGTTTCCTTCGTCAGCTTCGCGAACAACTTGCAGTAGCCGGGCGGGATTCTCCTCAAAACTATTGCTGTCGTGTCTGACATAACTGGGCCGAGCGCCAACTGTTGTGCGGCGAATGACGCCGCTGCTGCTGGAGCTGTGGGAGTAGGAATGGTGCCCGGACACTGACGAGCTCTTGCCCGTCAGCACTGAACCGATATCACGGCCGCTGGAGGACTCGTTCTTAGATGAAGGCGGGGGTGTTGGCATTCCTCGACCTTCGACTGCACTTTGGAGTGCATTGTTAATTGACCGAATCCAGGTCGCCATGTCCTCCTCGGAGGTTGCTTGATAAATGCGTTTGTACTGCGGCGTGATCACCTCAAAGCAGAAGCGCCTCTCTGCATTTCTAGCTTCACGAACAGAAGCCATCCGAAGGTCAATGGGCTCCATATGGAGATCGAGCTTTTGTTTCCAATTACTATACTCTGAAAGTTTTCCTTGATCCAAAACAATCCAGAACCTGCAATGAAAAGGTAGGGATTAGCATGCGAAACTCCAATAAGGGAGGGGGAAGAAAAGTATATTATGACTTACTTGTGCCATGCCTGTTTATTGATACCCTTTGGATCAATGTGCGAGCCAGGGCGAGACAAAGCCCACAAAAGACCCTCTTTTCGTTGCTGGCCGGCTGTGCGATCAGATCCCAAGGCGTCCCGCTCTTCAAGATCCCGGATTCCCTTGAAGCGATTCTGACCAGATGAGCCAGCAGCATTGTTATTCAAAGTAGGTGCCAAGGTACCAGCGGACGAGCCAACCGACCCAGCGTTGGCTTGAGACGAAACCGAAGAGCTGTTGCTAATTACCCCGCGAAGCTGTGAGCCGGTGCTGTCAGCTCGGCCCAATTCAACCTCGCTGAGGGTGCCTCCATTAGAGGCGCTGGCAGCAGCAGCTGCAGCAGCTGCTGCTGCTGCCGCCGCAGCGGTGGATGTAGATGCGATGCCTGGCGGCGCGCTAGCGACAACATCAGGCTCCAGGTATGGGTTGCTATTCTTTTCCAGAGCTCTGCGCTTCTCCTCACGCTCGGACCGCTGGAACTGGAATTCCTTATCCGCTTGGTTGACCTCATGGATGAGAGCGTTCAGCTGAGGAGCCATTTCTTCAATCTTCTGAGCAGCCGCCAAGAAAGCTTGAGCTTGGAAGTCAGCATATTTAGTCAGATGCGAAAGAACCTCCTGCTCCTTTCGACCGCCATGCAGATCTTGCATGAAAGATGAGTAATCGAAGCGTTTCAACTCGAAGTTGCGGCGCTTGGCCTGGTATTTCGAGTCGCTCTCGGCCCGCTTCTTCTCTTTGAGCGAGTCCTGCCTCTGGCCGAGATATCGACTGACATAGGCATAATAATCGCGGCTCTCCTCATCGAAGTCCTTCTTCTTGGACTCGGCTTGTTTGATGTCATTATGGTAGAGCTTGATGAGCGGTTCAATGACGAGCTTCTGCAGCTGCAGCGTGTTGATCTGCTCATAGTTCTGAATCTGGCGGGCAATTTTCTCAAAGTAATGATCCAGTGCAGGCTGAATCGCGTTGGCATTTGAGGTTGATGCATCGTTTAAGGAACCCAAGAATGCCTCTACCGACTCGTTGCAGGCAACTTGCGCTTGTTGTGCCGCCTCGGCTTTCTTGAGCACTTTCTTGATTTTGGAACGCATGTTACCAGTCTTCAGCTCCATCGCTTTCATGGTGGCACGGAACAGCGGGCCATCCTCCACAACGCTCACATCGTCTCCGGGTCGAGAATGCGGTAGATCGACTTTCACCGGCGGTGGGGGCGGGGGTGCCGTGGGGGGAGGTGGTGGTGGAGGGCCATCTGTAGATTCCGGAGGGGTAGTGACAGGGACGTTCGAGTTCGAGACGGCATCGCTGTCGCTGAAATGCGAGATGACCGATTGCGAGGAGGGGACACGGCTGCGCGGGGGCGGCACAGGTAACTCCAGTTTGGGCGAAGTCATGAGCGGGCTGGGCAGCAGGCGAACGGCATTATGTACCCAAAAGGAGAAATGTGCAAGGGTGTTCAGACGGTTTGTTTTCTGGTCGTAATCCAAGAAGCTGCAGCTGTTCCGCCAGCCGCCACCTTTGTCCTCTGTGGCCTTGGGAGGCTTCCATCTCCAAGTCCAGTCAAAGGATACGGAGGGCGTGCCGTTGGTGGAATAATTTCCGATGAGCTGGACGTTAGAATTATTCTGCAGGTTGGGGTTCGCGTGGAACTCTCGCGTGATGAGGTTGTCTAGTTCTTTCGAGTTCGATGCGTGGGCAAACGTGAGCCCCGTGAGGACGGTGTCCGCCACCTCGGGGAGGGACGTCGAGACGCCATTGACGGTGGAGCCAGCAACGTTGCCGGTTTGTGTCTGACGGAGAATGAATGTGAAATTGAAGATTAGTTCGTCGTCGTTCGACAGGCGTAGCAAGAACGTTGGGGCTGGGGCGGTTGAGGGGACGTCGGGATCCTGCATTATTGATGATGGCTCGAGGTTAGCCTGCTTCGAACCGCAACTCTGGCTTTGCTGGCGGCTGGTCCGGGAGTCCATACCTGAATATATTCAATAGGAGTTTCGTCGCCGACATCTCTCTTCGCAATAAACCTCGCGGCCGGGAACGCGTTCGGGGAGAGCGTCAGCAGGCGGCGGCGGGAGTTGTTTATGGTGACGGCGGCGATGGTCACTGGGGCAGAAGGCACAGGATTCATCAGCGTTTCCGAGCATAACTCGAGATGGAAGAGGGGGGCTGGGCATACAGCGATTCTGGTCTTTGAAGAACAAGTTCCCAGCATCGTCCAGGCGGCTGGCGACATTGCCCATGATGGCACAGTCGCAGTGCGCAGGCGCAGGCACCCGAGGAATCAAGTCACGGCGCAAGGAGTCAGGACAAGCACCGAAGCATCGGCCATCGACAGTGTGCGCAACAGTCAGATGGCCTGTGGGAGGAAGTGAGCGTGCGAGAGGGTCCCGTCATTCGTGAAAGGCTGTGAGGCTGGGCTGGAGGAAGAGGGGGGGCAGGCGGAGGAGGTGGAGTCGAAGCTTAGGATCGGTGATCGCGTCGATTTGAGGGAGGGGGGATGCTCGGAGGATCGGTGGGCCTTTTGACTTCCGCCCCCCGTGCCCTGGGATTTCCCTTTCCGTTAATTTGACCTAGTTGTTTCCCGTGGGATTTACTCTGCGAAGTAAAGATCCGATGCTCCGGCCTCCAATCCTCTTTGGAGGAAGCTCCGAGATTGCGCGGGGAGGGGCTGGAAAGCGTTGTGTTTCAGCCTCCGACGTCGAGGCTTTCATCAAGCGCACCGGTCACGATCGCCATACTATTTATGATTATGATAATGATCCAGGACAGCGTGGACAATCCAGAATCGCTTGCATACTAGGCAGCCGTTATGCAGTGATCCAAATCCAGAGGGCGCGCCGTATTAATAAAGCCTAAACAATGAACGGATTTACTATACACACCCTCCGCCCACCCAAGTCGACCCCAATCGGCGGCGGCCCCCCCCCCCCTTCCCCCCAAACGCGCACAACTTGACCGTGAAGAAATCCCAAATCGTGAAAATCGTCAGACTCGGTACCAGACCGAGGTCAGTGTAAGTGTATAAGACAGGTGCAAAGACGAGACAGCGTCAACAGACTGAAAAGAACAGGAAAAGGTTGCCGGGCCCGGGTCGATGACCATCGGGAACCAGAGGACTGTGCCATCTAGGCCGCTCGATTGACAGTGGACTTGGTAGGAGTATATTTGATCTCGCTGGTGGAAGCCGCTCGGTCGCGTCCGATATGGCGATGCTTGGGGCGATCGGCATGTCCATCGTGTTCCACCCACCGCATCATCTGGCCCTTCACATCGCGCATCTCATGGACTCGTCGGGACCAGTCGCCGCGCTGCTTGACCCCGCTGCGTTCATTCAGCTCATCCTCTTCTGAGCTGGATATGGACAAGGATGATACGCTGCTCTTCTGGAGGTACGTGAAGGGATGGCCGTGCGCATTCTTGACCTCGCGCTGCTCTTCCTTCAGCTGGCCCATGCGCTCAGCATCTCCCTGACAGTCCAAAGTAGTGATATGCAGGCCTGGGAAGTTCGACGTGAAGAAATTTTTCAGCAGGGGCAGCAGCTCCGCATTCGGTCGATAGGTCCCGCTGTCGTTGTCGATAAAGAGCTCGTACTCAGCGGGTTCAGTCGAGACCCCCTGGACTTCGTGAACATTCCCGTCTGCATCTTCTTCCACGGGGAAGTCAGTGGTAGAAGGACGTGATATCGAGGGTCGCGAGGACGGAGACGGCGAGCGGGAGCGGTGCTGATGGCGATGCTTGCGACGGCGGACGAAAAATTCGCCCGAGTATGCAATATAGCTCGACACGTCGCTGTGCATGGTGTGTTTGCTCAGCAGGTCAATACCAAATTCCTTGCCAGTTTCAGTAAACCGAAACTGTCCATCCAACATCAGCACGTAGGTGAAGATTCGTCCGCCCTGGCCATAGTGAATAAACTCGAGGAACTTCTGACTGAATTCACGACAGGGCTCGGGGAAAACCCCATTGAGCGTGGAGCGGTTGAAATTATAGATGCGCTGGTGTTGGTGATGTAGCGCCTTGTTCAGGATTCGACCTCTCAAACTTTGCGCCTGGAACATACCCGCCACGAATGGCTTAAACTCCACGTAGCGGTGGTAGAGCTCCGATGGGACTGGACCGGCCAGTTGCATCTGAATGGCTTGGAAACTGGTCGGGGTGGAAGGGGCGTCAGCACGGAAAAACAAGACTTTCGGATGGTGGCGCGACATACTTGTAACGAGTGACAGACTTACCACTCCCATCTTCACTCTGGACCTGATCTTTGATCCCTGCCAGCCGTCCGATGAGAGGGGAGAAGTGCTTGAACCAATAATTGGGGCCAGCAGTGTACATCTGGCCACCTCCGGCACCCGGTGTCTTTCCCAAACATTCAACACTCATGACGATGAAAGATTCCTTATGGTGACCGGTGACCTTGGAGAAATTTGTCATGGCATAAACGCGCTTGCTGCCAAAGCGGTGCTTGACCTTGAACGCCTGCTCGTTGATGCCCGGCCAGTTCTCTGACAGCGAGTCGAGCTCGACGACAGCCAAGCCGAGCTTATCATCGTGGTCGGCCGGATCCTCATCATACAAAATGGTCTTCAGTTTGAAACCCGAGGCCGGCACATTTGCGACGATCCACTCGCGATTCCACACGGGGTTCATGTTCTTGCGTATGGTGGGAGTCCGGAACGTCACATCAGGGTCCTGCTTGTGGCGGCGAGGCAGATCGACCTCGAGCCGGGCAAAGACATAAGGATCAGACGAGAAACTGCCAAAGTCTGCAATGGGGAGGTCCACAGCGCGGTGGAAGGTGAACTTGAGCGTGTATCCGGGCGGAGCGTGCGGGAGAGGCGTCGCATCGAAGCCGCCGGCGGGCTGGTGGTGGTCCTTCATACTCAAGCGTTTTTGTAGTTTGTCGGCCTTGTCGACCACCTTGGGGCCGTAGCGATCAAGGGTGTTCGCCGCCATGGCTGGAGGGGCAGGCGAGGGGACTTTCTAAAGAGCGTGTATATTGCGACGGAAGCGGGGGAGGGTCATGTTCAGATATGAAGAGGGACAGGTAAAAATGGCGGAAAAGCGGGGGCGCGGAGTAACGAAGATAATGGCACGCCTTCAGAGGTTTGTCTCTGGGTCTGTCTTTGCGAAATGAAACAGTAATCTCAGGGGAGGTGGGGTTGCCGACATGCGCCAAGCTTTCAGCCTTACACGATCCGCCGAACTGCACAGGCAACAGCATATGATGAGGTTCGCGATTGCGCTGCCAAGTAATGGCCCGATGAGGTCATCGCCTGTTTTGTTTAATTTTATGTGCTAGTGGAGATTACTCCACCGTTCCTACCAACCACCATTAGCCGTTTCGTATTCCTTGGAGGACTTCAGCCGAGGACGTGCCAGCCCTACTCCCTCTAACCCTTTGATCTCCCCTGCGCCGAGAATTCCGAGCCCCGCCAGGCGTCTTGACAGACGCCGAGCATCTGGACAAGTAACGGAAATAACATTCTGAAAATAATGCATATCTTAGTGTATTGTACTATGGCCTAGTCAATAGTATATCTGGAAGTGACACCGGGCTAAAATAAAGAAAGTGATCGAATCGCAAAGTCTCCGCAAATGAACGGCACGCAGAAGATCTGAGAAGTGAGAGATGGGGTTCGTGAGGTCATATCGTGAATAGTGGGGACATCAATGCGCGTGCCATCACCTTGCAGCTTGCGTGACATTGGGCTCATATCGTAAACCGACCAGGGGGCCACGGCCCCTTCGGAAGGAAGGCATACCGGGCTCAGCGTTGACGACGGTGGCAGGCCCGAGAAGGCTACGAGCCGCGGAAAAGGAACTGCATGTCTTCGGGGGTGAGTTTCTCCAGCGCCTTGTCCTGGTCCTTGTTAATTGTGCCCCTAATCAGATTCGCTTTCTTCTCCTGGAGCTGTACGATCCGGGACTCCACCGAATCTTCGATGGTGAGACGGGTGACCACACACGGCCGTTGCTGGCCAATACGGTGACTGCGATCAGCGCTTTGCCATTCGGCGGCGGGGTTCCACCACCTGCACAAGTGTGAGCAAAAGAAAATGCGTGTTGGTACCGGCATCATGTCAAAAGGGCCAAAACTTACGGATCCACGATAAACACTCGAGAAGCCTCGGTCAAATTCAGTGCCACACCTCCGGCTTTCAACGACACCAGGAACACCTCCACGTCGGCATTGTTCATGAAATGCTCGATAGATTTCTGCCGCTGCGCTGGCGTCATCGTACCATCGAGCATGACCGTATTGAACCCTGCATGACGCAGTCGCCATTCCACGAGTTGCAGCATGGATGTGAACTGCGAGAAAATGATCGACTTGGGGGTATGGCTCTTACTGCGCTGCTGGTAGAGTTCGTAGAGAAGCGTTTCGATCTTGGTCGAGGAGGTCCAGTCTGCCATCAGGATTCGGTTGATGATCGAATTCTTTTTGACGGATTCCCCGGACTGCTCGATGGTAGGTTGCTCTAAGTCAATCGAGAGAGGAATATGGCACTGGGGGCAGTCTACCATTGACGCATCGTCAAAGGACTGAATGTAGTCCTTGGCACATTTGCGGCAGAATTCATGGCGGCAGCGGGACCGGATTGCATCTTCAGCAGGCTCGTCGCAAACACGGCATACCAGAATATTGAATCCGGGCTGTACATGTTTCTTCAGGATCAAATCTGGGTGATTCGCCACTTGACGCATCTGCATAATCAACCCAAAAATGTTGGCATAGTTGTTCAGCATAACACCACGGCTGACATAGGTGTCAAACTGGCGCGAGGAGTTGGTCATGATACTGCGAGAAAAATCATGCTCGATCTCGCCGAAAAATTCATTGTGCAGGGTGATACTGAGAGGAGCAAAATTTGACATTTAGCTTCGAACCCAAAGAATTTTCCAGGAGTTTGCCTACCGTTTTGGTGGAAGTTCGAGGGAAGAGGTGTGCTCTTCCTTCATTCGTCGAAGCATAATATGGTCGGTAATCAGCCGAAGCTTTGACAAACCTTCCTTGCGCTCTGATAGATTTTTCCCCTCCGTGACTGCACCTGTGTTAGTATTCTCACGAGACAAAAGCCCTCCCCTTCCCAAAAAGACGATTTAAGTATAGGTTCTAACTTACTTGGGTTGAGGATCTCTTTGTTGAAAATCGAGATATGATTGAAGCCCCTAAGAAAGTCAGGAAAAAACTGCCCAAACAGATAAATCTGCGTATAAATGATCGGATCGTCGCCAACATACGTATGTCCACATTCTGTGCAACGACCCTGCTTATTCGCAGTCCACTGGAGCTGCTCGCAAGTGCACTGCTTGCAGAAGTAGCAGGCAAAGGGCTTCACTTGCAAAAAGCGCAAGAGAGAGAAGAACTCTCCAATGCGGTTTTGTACAGGAGTGCCAGATAGACACCATTTGTATGAAGCCTTCAAGGCGAAGCAAGCCTTAGCCACACCCGTAGTCCGTTGCTAAGCAGGTCAGTGTCGCCGAATTTGAGCGGATTCGGGTAGACGGGCCAGTATATCTTACCTTGATACTATGCGCTTCGTCGAGAATGAGCCGGTGGTAATTGATGGAATGTATCACGCCTTCAGGCAGGTCAGTATGCACCGCCATATATGTATGTTGCCAAAGTCGTCCCAAAAACATACTGTCTTCTTTCACGGTTCCACCACTACGAGACCAACCCTTCTCCTGCTTTCGATGCATAGACTCTAGACTCGAGTCTGTAGTCGAGGTAAGTCCATGTTCCAGGGAGCAGCATGAAGGAGCGACTTACAGGATATCATGATCACATTATATTTTCGCAGTTCCGCTCGCGAGAGCCTCTTGACCTTCGAATCTGAATTGTGGTACACGCAAACTTTTAATTTGCCATTAGTGTATTCCTAAGAAGTACAAAGTAAGCTAAGGGTTTCGAAAAGTTGAGGGGGACATGGAATGCAAACCTTGATCTCAGAAACCCACTGCATCAGAGCAACAGGTGGTACAATGACAAGTGTCGGCTCAGGCTGAGGAAAATCGGACATGATAAGCGAAACCGCTTGGATGGTCTTCCCCATGCCCATCTCATCACCAAGAAGGCCACCTCGGTAATCGGTCTTTTCTTGCTCCATCATCCAGTTCAAACCTTCCAATTGGAATGGCTTAAGCATGCGAGTGATGGAATCTGGCTGCTGAGCAGCCTTTGGAGGAATAGTGGGTGTCTCTTTCAGCGTTTCCCACATCGTAACGATAGCGGGGTGCTTTTTCTCCAGCTTCTTTCGGTCAGCGAACATCTAGATACCAGTCAGCCAACCTGTTGAAGAAACTTCACGAGATATCTCGCTAGACATCCCACTCGAATTTGAAACCTACTCGCCGTGCTTTGCGCTGCTCTTCCCAACTCAGGGGCAACTCATCCTCGTCTTCACCAGCAATTTCTGTTTCTCCTTCCTCTGTCTCATCATAGTCTGAGCGCGGATTGATCCTTGGAATTGGCCGCCTAGACGCACGTTGGGCCTCAGACTCAGACTCAGTTTCAAAATCGTAGTCCGAAGGGATATCCTCCTCTGAATCAGGGATCATGCTAAGTGGAGAGCTACTATCAGACAGGCTGCTATCGGTTGCATCGTCAAAAACGATCTCCTGGCGTGTTCGTGCTTGTGAGGGCCCGCGAGCCTTTGGAGCCAGGGTCTTCCGTTTCTTAAGCAGCGGTTGCTCATACTCCTCCATCTGGAGGGCATGGGCTAAGGCAGCATCAGATGTTGCCAGGTTCGTTTCATCTTCTGACAGTGCAACAGCAGCGGATCTCTTAGTGTTGCGATGGCTTCGCAAAGAGGCTCGTCGAGTCATGGTAGTGCTCGCGCGGAGTCTCGAGGCGCGCTCCGATGCATTGACCCGTGCCCGAGGCCGCATGGTACTAGCCTCTGTGGAAGCTTCGACACTGGTCGCAGGAGTACTGTAACCCGTGTTCCCGTCGGCAGACCGGATGCCCGAAGAGCCCCCGGAAGAGTCACTCGGTGATTCATCCTTTGCTGATGGAATGACTACCTTCACATTGCCCAAGGTCAAATCTTCGATAGCAGATGGATTGGAAGGATTCAGACCCGCATCGCCATCATCTTCGGAATTCTGGATGATGAGATGGGTCCGTGTTCTGGAATGAGAGGCTCCGCCCTCTCGCAGAGACCCTGGCCGACCAGGGGGGAAGAATTCCTCAATGACGTGCCACTGTAAGATGCGTCATCCTCCGAATCCGGGATCACGGCAGCCTGAGATCTTCTTCTCATCGTGGCAGCAGATGGAGAGAGAAATTATACACCGTAGGACACCGTAGGAGAGGCAGTGTGGAGTATGGGAAACTCCACTGGGGGAATCGACGAGGCTGGAGCGGGATGAGAAGTGATCTAATTTATGATACTTTGTCATTAGTTAAAGATTGCCCAGGCTGTCACTTCCATAGAGATAATGAAACGAAGACTGACGGGGAAAAACCGCGCTGGACTTGGCCCTCACCTACCCTGAGAGGTCGTGTCTGCGCGTCGGCGTTGCAGGATGCTCACGGAAGGTGTGAGCTGGGGGGGACTTGAGGAACTCGAGGAAAGAACGAGCGAGGCGGGCCGCCGATACCTCGCGCGAATGTGGAGGAAGGAACGATCGCAAAGGGGGAGGACGTTGACGAAGAGAGGGCCGAGATCGGGAAAGTAATCGATCGGGTGCCTGAACCAGGAAAACTTTTCAGTCGGTCGACCGTATTGCCACTTCGCCATACCAAAATTTGCTGTCGGGAGAGATTTGCCTCATTCCACAAATCGGCTCCCTTTTGCAGCTTCGTGGATTGGCCTGACCTTCAAATCGTGAGATCGCGAAATTGCGAGACGTGGCTGCCACTTATCGTCTCACGTCTGCTGATAAGAGCCTCGCGTTAAGTGCAACGCGAAACTGCCACGAAACGTGTGACTTGCGCATCCTCCACCACTACTCGCATTAGCAACCCCGGGTCGCCTCTTTGTAGGCCCTACGACAAAATGTATGCTCCGGTTGTCCTCTTGATATCAATATGGAGATGCTGATGCTTTGAAGGGCAAACAGACGGCAGGCAGGGAACATCCGGGGCCCGTATGACTTCATTCTCTCCAGTCCCACGGCATTCAACTAACAAAGACTCGTACAGACGCTCCGCTCTCACCGATTTCCTCGCCGTATGTGAAACTTGAAATTCAACCTCCTTCCTCCTTTATTATCGCTCTTCGCTGACCAGCTCTTTCACTGCAGTCAAACAATATCTCCGCCGCTCAAATTCGCGACGATTACGACCGACGTGAAGCAGACGCAGCACGCCAAGCGGCTGAGGAGGAAGAGGCTGCCGCCCTCGACCGCGAAGAGCCAGAATATGACCCCGAGCCCGATTCCCCGGAGGAGAAAACAAAGAAGCGCAAGCGACAGCAAGCCATTGAAAAGATCAAGAAGAGCAAGGAATTCGCCCGTCGCAAGGCTCGACGGACTGGCGAACCTGACGATGATGATGATGCACTGGCCAATGAGATGATGGATGAAAAACAGCGTCCGACTCCGGGACAGCTAGAAAACTGTGAAATCTGTGGCAAGCGGTTTACGGTTACAGCTTACAGCAAGACGGGGCCCAGCGGAGGCCTCCTCTGTACAGAATGTTCCAAAAAACATGTCGACGGAGGAAAGAAGGCCCCGCCTAAGAAACGCAGCTCGGGAATTGGACGACGTCAAAACCAAAGTAACCTGCTAGATGGACTGGCTTCTCAAGGCGCTCAGACTCTACTGGAGACGTGCATCAAAGTATACATTCCGCGACCTGGATGTCTAAAGAGCAGAAAGCATGCTGACTTCGTTATTAGAAAGTAGCTGAGAACATTGGCGATGTGGAGGAGTTTGGCGACCTACCTCCGGCGGTGATGCATCGACTCAGCCAAATTCTGGCCAGAAGGCGAGCGATAACCTCGAGGACTTTGGACCTTTTCTTACGCCCCCAGAACAAGGAGATCAACATATACGATTGTGCCAGTATGTTTCATCCATTATCATAGACCTCTGTTTGCTCTTCCCGCTCTCGAATGGAACGCTAATGTGGATTCCAGAGCTTGGCACCGATGACTACCATAAGATCCTTGCCACTGTGCCGGGCTTAACCAAGCTCAATCTGCGCTTCGTCACGCCGATGAAGGACCGCATTTTCCAATACATGATGGACCGTGACATGAATATCCAAGACTTACACTTAGACTCACCAAACTTGGTGACTGACGAAATATGGCAGCAACTCTTCATTCAGCTAGGTCCGCGCCTTCGGAGCCTGAAGCTGTGGAACCTTGATTCTGCATTTGATGACGAGACTGCTGAAGTCATGGCCAAGCAGTGCACCCAACTACAGCGTCTGAAATTGAAGCATCTGACAAAGATTGGTGACAAAGCGCTGGAAGCAATTTCGACCATGAAAACACTGGAGCACTTGTCTCTCTATATCAGCCAGGAAACAGCTCCGGAGCCTCTGCTTCAGATTCTTACCGAGCTCGGTCCTAATCTCCATTCTCTATCACTGGAGGAATTTTATTATGCAGATGACAGACTCCTTCAGCTCATACACGAAAGGTGCCGACATCTGTATAAGCTTCGGCTTGCCATGAACGCCGAGTTTACAGACAAGGCTTTAGCCAGCCTCTTCCGCGACTGGTCCAATCCCCCATTAACATTCGTGGACTTCCACCGAGTCCGGGACGTGGATATGGCCAATCCTGGCGGGCCCCCTGAGCCCATCGGTCTTGCCTCAGATGGCTTCGTCGCCATGATGGAGCACTCCGGCTCCAAACTTCAAAGTTTGAACGTGGCCTCGTGTCGTCACATCTCGTACGCAGCATACGAAGAAGCTTTTGGAGAGCACAAGCGATATCCAGAGCTCAAGTATCTAGACATTTCATTCAACGGCGTCGTCGATGACTACTTGGCGCAGTGCATCTTTCGGTGCTGTCCGGCGCTTACACGAATGGTTGTCTTTGGCTGCTTCAAGATCCGCGACATCAAGATACCCAGGGGCGTTGCGGTGATCGGCACCGTTGGCGCGAAACTAATTGTTGATGGAATTGCTCAGCAAGAGGTTGTTTGATTTAATGGGAACACGGTGGCCACCGGCCGCCGCAGAATGCCTTATATTAGCGTATGGTCTTGGGGAGATTGCTCATGGGCAGGGTTGTCAGGGCTCTTCATGGAAATTACGGTGCTCGAGAGCTTCCATCGAATGGAGGGAACGACCAATGAGACCTGGTCTACTATTAGCGATTTGGGACTTTGACTGTGCACGGTTTAAGGCATCCCAGTACTTGAATATATAAGAACATGCAGTGGTAAAACATCATAATTCATTGAAACTTAACCAAGATATCCTTATCTATACGCCAAATCTGATGCGGTATACAGTCCAGCAAAAAAAGAAAACATGTCCTCCCTCAACCGATCTAATCTCATCTCTAATAAGCCATCCGCTTGCCAATCTCGCTCTGCCAGTTCCGCGACTTCTCGAATCCATTGGATGCAGTCTGGTAATCGAGCATGGCCTGGTAGACCTCCTCTTGACTGGTCAGGACGAATGGACCGTACTGCACAACCTTCTGGTCCAAAGGCTGACCGGCAACAATAATGAAGCGAGACTCAGAGTCCGCATTATCTGGCACAGAAGCCTCGACGAGGTCCCCAGCCTGCTCGAAGACGACATTATGGAACTCCTTCACGACCTGGGTGGAATTATTCGAGCCGAAGACCGTGTTGCCCGACAGTGTGTACGCAAAGGCATTCCAGCCCTGCGGCAGGACCTGCGAGAGCCGACCCCCAGGACGAATAGTGACATCCAGAATCCAGACGGGGGTATACGCCAGATCCCGGACGGAATCAACACCCTGCGACTGGCCGGAGATAACCTTAATCTCGACACGGCCGTCATCGGCCTTAGCGAGGGGGATCTCGCTCGCGCGCAAGTCGCGGTAGCGCGGCTCGCACATCTTCAGCTGCTGCGGCAGGTCGACCCAGAGCTGCATGCCGACGTTGGGGCTGCCGTCGGGATTCTCGTGGGGCATTTCGGCGTGCATGATGCCGCGGCCGGCGGTCATGAACTGCAGGTCACCGGGCCCGATGGTGCCCTTGTTGCCGGCGAAGTCTTCGTGGTCGACACCGCCAGATAGCAGGTAGGTGATAGTCTCCTGGCCGCGGTGGGGATGGTCAGGAAAACCGGCGCCCTTGCCGATGGTGAAGTGGTCGAGCATGAGGAAGGGGCTAAAATTGCGCAGCTTGGCAGTGCCAATGGAGCGGCGCACGCGGGCGCCGGCGCCTTCGGCCTGCTCAATGGCCAAGAAAACCTGACGGATGGCACGGGCAGCGCTCATTTCGGAGACGGGGAGAACGACAGGGGCGGTGTATTCCAAGTGAGGAGCTGTGGACGCAGCGATGTTGCTGGTGCTGGTTGTCTTAGAGAGGTACTGCGACAAGGCTGCTGGGAGCTTGCGGCGCAGGAAAGTGGTGAGGGTGTCCTGAATGGAAAGAGGACTATAGGCAATGAAGATTGCTGTGATGCAAATTAGAAGAGGCAGAAGCAGTCTCATCGACGCGGCGGCGGCCTTTTATACTACAGTGAGCAAGTGCCTCGAAGCTTCGAGCAGAGAGCAATAGAAATTAAGAGGATGCTAAAATCAGCGTTAGTCAATGATTCATAAATGCTGGCCGCGGCGCATTTGCGCCGTGCTTTGCAAGACATCAGTCAGCGACCGCCAATCATTGCCTTGACGTCCAGCGAATCCAGTGCCGCGGTGGGCATTTCAAAGATGACCAAGATGCCTGTCAGCAGCCGCTAAGCAGACCTACTTCGATCCGTTTAATGCCTTAATGCCTTAATGCCTCACTGCCTTATCGCCCTGATCTTAAGGTGTGAATAATCATTGGTTGGTTATGTCAGCAGAGGCCGGAGGAACAGCAACATAGACCGATAAGGTGCGTCGCATGAACAGTGAAAGTTTGTGGTCAACTTGTCTTCAAGGCCATTTCCTCATCCTGGGGAGAAATACCTTTATAATCCTCTTTCTAATTATTTTGCTGGTACACGCTCCGGGCAGAGTCTATCCCAAACTATATGCCGCTAACAACTGCCCCATGTAGATAGATATATTAATAATCATGCAGTGAATCGCGATTAGTGTAAAGCTATCTGTGGGACTTGGAAAAATCGAATCCGCATTCAAAATTAGCTCGATCATAGTAAAATCGCAGGTCATTAATAGCTATGTACCTAGAAGTCTCGTGAATGGTAATTTGGGTTGCTATGTGGTTCGGGGACTTGATGGGTGCGGATGGGGCTGGGCCGCGCCAAATGTCCGAGGCCATTGCCATCAGATAAGGCCACGGAGCAGCTCCCGCTCTCCGCCTCTCCGCCTCCCCGCCTCCCCAAACGCGCAGGACCGCCTATTGCGCAGGCTTGCAGCGCTTTGCCGTATGATCGTTTCTCAAGATACCCATTTGGACCATATGAAAATCGGTTTTGCTGCTGATTGAGTCTGTGAAAACACCGCGGGAAAGCGCCAGCGCGAATATCCTACTACCCCATATCCTTCCCCCCCAACCCACGGCGTTCCCGGATTACTGCACCAGCACGGATTACTAGCAAGATGGGTCGGTCGAGGTGGAGCGGCCTTGCACCATGGCTCGTCCTAGGGTGCGCTGCATCCGGCGCCTGGGCGGGCAAGAAGCCCTTCAATATCCACGATGATCTGCTGGCCTATCCACAGGTATGTCAAGGAACCTGCGCAACCAATCCTGACTTGAATTGTCGCACGGACTAACCATTTTCGTGCGCATAGTATCAAGTGCTTTTTCCTGAAGAATACATCCTGGATTCCCAGGCCGAAGAGCTGCTTCGAACACACGCCACCCCCGAAGCCGACCAGTCGAGCACCGAGCAGCAGAACAACCCCCAAGTGTATACGGGAAAGCATCATGTCGATGGTACTACACAAGGAAGCGAAGATGTCACCCTATCTGCATACGACTATGAAGAAATGATTCTAGACGACCGGCGGCTCCTCTGCCAGATACCTCGCGTGACCAAGGACGATGCCAATGGGACGACCGGCAACCCAGCGGACGAAACAGATGAACAGAAGGAACTAGCTCGTGCCACCGATCGTGGCCTTGAACTTCTCCGTGAGATGGAGGGCCAGTGCATGTACTATTTCTCCGGCTGGTGGTCATACTCCTTTTGCTACCGAAAGCAGATCAAGCAGTTCCATGCTCGTCCCGCTGGCAGTGGGATCCCCCACTACCCGCCCGTGGAAGATCCCAACACACATTCGTTCATCCTAGGTCGATTCCGCGAAGACACGAGCGAGGACGCGAAAGAGGACAAGAAGCAAACGCACACGGCCCAGACCGAGGTGGCGGAACTCCGCTCCAAGGGTGGTTCCCGCTACTTAGTGCAGCATCTACGCGGTGGCACCAAGTGTGATCTGACTGGCCGCGAACGCAAGGTTGAGGTCCAGTTCCACTGCCACCCACAGTCAACGGACCAGATCGGCTGGATCAAAGAACTGACGACCTGCTCCTACTTGATGGTTATCTACACCCCGCGTCTTTGCGACGACGTTGCTTTCCTGCCGCCGCAGCAAGACGAGGTGCATAACATCAAATGTCGCGAGATCTTGATGCCCGAGGACGTTCCAGAATGGGAGGCTGTCAAGGAGTGGTACCTGGCCCATCAATTGGCCGATGCTGCCGCTGCCCCCACTGAGGTGCAGACCGTCGGGGGGATTGTCGTTGGTGGCCAGCAGCTGGTAGGGATGGCCGGCAAGGAGATTGAGAAGGGTCGGGTGGTCTCCTCGGGCGAAGAGCGAGTGGAAATTGTTGCCCGGAGCGAGAACGGTGAGGTGCGGCACATGTCCAAGCAAGCGATGAAGAAGTACGATATCGACCCGGAGAGGCTCGAGGATATGAAGAAACGGCTCGATAAGCTCGCGGAGGGCAAAGATTGGACCTTGGAAGTGGTGGAGAGCAACGGCGTCATTAAGTTCCAGGGTGTGGTTGATAAGGGGGATGAAGATGAGAACGAGGAAGATGCTAAGTCGTCTTCCCCGCAACAGAAACAGCACTCCAAGGGGAAGGACGAGACTGCCCCTTCAGCCGATACCGATGATGCCGGGACCTCGGAGCCCAAGCAGGCCGAGTCTGAAGCAGCGGAGGATTCGAAACGGCGCCGGCAGACTTCTGAGGAAGAACCGGAGGACTCCGCAGGCAGCGAGGAAACCTTCAAAGATGAGCTATGAGAGGGGAGGTCTTGTACAGTAGAAAATCGATCGATTCATTTGGCGCTGATATCTAATATCTCATTTTATTTCATTTTGCAGAATATTCTAACAGCTAGACCCATAGATCTACGTGCCTATAGATAATCGGGTGAACTGTCAAGAAAGCACGCGGGCCTGGGCGCCACTGGTTGGCTCCGGGCAGCGCCAGGAACGGCCGGTTAGCTTCATGCCCAAAGACGTCAGTTGCCCCAGTTTGCCGGGAGCCGAGTGGGGGCATCGGGAGAAGCACTTGAAGGACAGTCAGGGAGGAAAGTCATGGTGAGGAGTTGCGCGAGAAACAATCTGAATGAGCGAGAGAGAAAAGGCCGACCGAGCAAGAGATTGTAGAGAAGCGAGACAGTCAACAGAGGGGAGGTTGTTGGAACGGCCGCAGCACTACGTAAGGAACGTGACCGTGAACTCCTAGCGATCGCCCGGCCCACCTTCCTACTCCTCCTGATCCCAAACCAACCTTCTTCCACTGCACACTCCCTTCCTTGCCCGCCTCTGGCTCGGTCCTTTTTCAATCGGTGGCCTTCCCCCCCCCCAACGTGTCCCGCTTTCGCTGGCCACCCTCCCCCCCCCCCTTGCCCGCAACACCGAGGACTCGCTGCCAAGCCAAGGCTGACCCCCGGCAACGGCCAGCAGTACCGCGCGGCTTCCTCTCCGAACAACCGCCTCAACTCGACCGATCAATTCCGAGCTGGCCCTCCTCTACGCCGCTGCCACTAGCAGCGCTGGGAATTTGTCAACATCGTGAGACACAGAACCAGTGAATTCGAGGCCTCGCTTTAATCATGGGTTTCCTCGGGGTCTATTCGGCCGTGTATGATTACCAGCCTCAGGGAGAGGGCGAACTGGGAATCCGAGAGGGTGATATGCTGTACGTCTTGGAGAAGAACAGCGAGGATGATTGGTGGAAAGCCAAGAAGAAGGCAGAACGGGATGACGAGGATGAACCGGAGGGTTTAATCCCGAACAACTACGTCGAGGAGGTGAGCAATCCCCCGGATGGATACTGTGCTTCATGGAAACCCTCCTTCGAGCCTGCCAGCGGGAAAATGCGTAGGCCGCGTGGTCCGCTCCGCGCATTGACTGCGCCGGGCGCTTGGAGGCATGCGGAATTGAATTGATGCTGACTTTCGACCCGCAATAAACAGGCGCAACCCGTACACCAGGCCAAGGCTCTTTTTGACTACACACGGCAGACAGACGAGGAGGTTTCGTTTTCGGAAGACGCTGAGATACTGGTGTACGACATTTCAGATCCGGATTGGACTTTGGTCGGAGTCAACTCAGACTTTGGATTTGCGCCGGCGAACTACATTGAAATTGTGGAAGATGTTGCTCCAACCGCAGATGCCGCCGTTGTGTCGCCTCCAGCTCCCGCCGCCGAACCTGCAGCACCATTCCCCCCTGCAAGACCGACGCAAGCCGCTCCAGAAGAATATGAGGAGACCCCATCTCCGTCTCCCATAGACCCGATGCAGAACCCCGCCGCGGCCGCAATTGCGAATATCATCCATCAACAGCACGCGCATCCCCGCGCGCCATCCGAACCTACACGAGAGGAGCTGCCGCCACCGCAGCTCCCCTCTCGGCCTCCCCATGACCAAATAGACGACCGCGAAGAATCCCCTCCACCTGCCCTTCCGCGTCGACCGCCATCTGAACAGTTCACTCCGCCAATGCCCCAATATGATCCCGACCCGTCTCCACCTCCGCCTCGCCCCCGGCAGCCAGCTCCTGCCATGGGAGGCCACAGTCGGCCTTATGTGAAAGAATCCCCTCCGTACAACCGAGCTGGCGAGATGACGCCGCGGTCGCCTTCTGGCTACCACATCTACAACATTAATGAGATGGTCGAAGTGATGGGAAAACGGAAGAAGATGCCGACAACATTGGGTATTAACATGGCCACTGGAATTATCTTCATCTCTCCCGAAGGCGACGACCGTCAGCAGGAGTGGACTGCGGAGAAGCTCACCCATTACTCAATTGAAGGCAAGCATGTTTTCGTTGACCTTGTTCGACCCAGCAAGAGCATAGATTTCCATGCGGGAGCCAAGGACACCGCTCAAGAGATTGTGGCTGCTCTTGGTGAGATTGCTGGGGCCTACCGAGCCGAAGGGCTGCGGGAGGTTATTGCAGCTGGCGAAGGTGGCGGTGGTCAGAAGAAGGGCCAGATATTATATGATTTCATGGCTCAGGGTGACGATGAAGTGACAGTGGCGGTGGGTGACGAAGTTATCATTGTTGATGATACCAAGGCCGAGGAATGGTGGATGGTCCGGCGCTTGAAGAACGGCAAGGAGGGCGTCGTTCCTAGTAGCTACGTCGAGATCACCGGATTTGTGACCAGCCAACCCACTCCTGGTGTGGATTCGGCCATGTCGACTGTGGAGAAGAACCGTTTGGAGGAAGCTCGGCTTGCCAAAGCTGCAATGGGCAAGTCCAGGACCGATTCGATGGATTCTAGTGAGGTAAGAAGAAGGCGATGACACTACCCCCCAACGTGTGCTCCCATTGTATATTGACACACGGGTCCCCTTGCAGCGCCACAAACGTGATAGCAAGCGCGACAGCAAGTCCAAGTCAAGTGAGTAAATTGAGACTGTGGTTATTTCCCTAAATTTGTGACAGCCACTAACGAAGCTTCCCAGAGCCGGATCCCAGTAAAGTGAGGAAGTGGACGGATCGAACCAAGGCTTTTACGGTGGAGGCACAGTATATCGGATTGCTGGACGGCAAGATTCAACTTCACAAGGTCAACGGTATTAAGATCGCCGTTCCTGTCGCGAAGATGTCCGTCGAAGATCTGGAGTATGTGGAGAGGGTTGCCGGGGTTTCTCTTGACGAAGACAAGCCGCTCTCGAACATTCGAGCTCGTGGCGTATCCGAGGCCAAGCGAGGTTCTGCAGGTGCTACGGTGCAGCGCCCCGAGTATGATTGGTTCGACTTTTTCTTGAAGGCTGGCGTGGGCCCACACCAATGCGAGCGCTATGCGCAGAACTTCCTCAAGGATTCTATGGATGAGTCTGTCTTGCCTGATATTTCTCCTGAGACTCTCCGCACCTTAGGTTTGAAGGAGGGTGATATTTTACGAGTCATGCGCCACCTGGACACTACGCTCGGCCGCACTGGTTCTAAATCCAAGCTTCGCAACGTGAGTTTCGGCGGAGAGGAAGTCATTGGCAATGGCGAGGAAGGTGGGCTCTTTGCAGGGCCTGGTGGTATGCTGCGTAACAACACCCGCAAAGGGAGACCAACCCCGGCTGTGCAAGCTGGTGATGTCGTTGATCCCAAGGCGTTTGAACAGGCAAATGGGTCAAAGCCTCAACCCGAGGAGCGGGCGGCAACTCCTCCAGCTCCTTCTGTGCCGGAGAAGCCCGTTTCCCGCGGATTTGATGATGATGCATGGGAGGTGAAGAAGCCCAAAGAGACCACAGCGTCGCCCCCACCCTCTGGCGCCGCTTCACCACCAGCGACTCGCGCATCGATTCCAAAGCAGCTCACAGGTGCCGTGGCGGACCTGTCCATTCTCCAGGCCCCTCTGCAGCCAACTCCCGCGCAACCAACTTCTACCCCGTCGGTGTCAAGTATACCTACTCTTCAACCACAGCAGACTGCTGTGCAGAGTCCACCAGTGCAGCAGCCCCAGCAGACAGGTGCCACGCCAAGCTTCTTTACCCAAATCGCACAAATTGGTCAGCATCAGCAGCAACAGCAGCAGGCTCAAGGATTCAGCCCCCAGCAGACTGGATTCCAGGCACAGGCCAGACAGCGCCCTCAGCCTCCACAGAACATGGCCCAGAACTCGCTTCTCCCACCTCCTCCGCAGCGTCCGTTATCGGCTCCACAGAATTTCTCGCAGCAGCAGAATGCCTTTGGCCCTCCTCCACTGCAGCCTCAGCTGACGGCAGTTCCGCAGCCTGGCCCTGCTCCACCTGGCCAGAGTTTGACTGAGCTGAACCAGCAGCACCTACAGGCTCAGATGCAGCCGCAAGCGACTGGGTTCATGGGACCGAACCAGTACCAGAATGGAGTAATGATGCCTCAGCCGACTGGATTTACTCCCCAGTCACAATTCGGCATTCAGCAGCAGCAACAGCAGCAACAGCAGCAGCAGCAGCCTTTCCCCAACGGCCAGCCAGGCTTCCAGGGCATGGCTCCCCAACCTACAGGCTTTGGTGGATTCGCACCACCCCAGCAGCCGATGCAGACTGGCATCAACTCAGTGCTGCCCCCTGCATTACAGCCCCAGCAGACTGGTGTCAACGGCTTCGTCACCAACTCATACTCGGTCACTTCTCTACCCCCCGTGCCGCCAATTCCCCAGCAGCCGACCGCCACTCCTCTGTCACCCCAGAAGACTGGCCCGCCTCCATCCATCAGATTTGGCGTCAAGCCAAATGCGCCGAAGATTGCCCCACAGCCGACGGGAATGCGGGCCAACTTGTCCCAAGCTAGTAAGTGCTTCCTTCCCCCACGGTCGAACATTCTAAGGTCACGATGGATCGGAATAACTAACCTGTTCCCCACTCAGCGCCCAACAACCCCTTCGGCTTTTAAGATGGCTTCCCTCTCTATCTCGCGCCTTCCTAGCTGGCATATATAATTTTGTCTCTGCCTGCCATCCTGGTATTGACAATAGGCAAACTTCTCCTGTTTGTTATGCCCTGCAAATTTTGTGTCCGCCGGGGTCGGAGTTTTACATATTTCAGCTTGTCCTTTTCATCCTCGATCTTGCGCTCTTGGAATTGACTTGCGTACATACCATACCGTACCATACCAAAACCCTCCATGGCGTTGTCTATCCCAGTCACCGTCTCGTCTTTCGTTCTAACAGCGCGTACGTCGTATGCGATTGCCAGAAGTCTGGCTCCTTTGAAAAACTCCTCCACTTAGCGAGCCGTCATCGAATCCCTCTTTCTTGATTTCCTTTTCTTTTTTACTCTGAGTCGTCTTCTTCCTCGCGATCCTCCCCATGCACCCTCCCCTGACTGGATACATTTTCGTCATGTCCTCTGCATTTTGCTGTTCTCGAGTCTCTCGCCACATGATTCCGTTAATGGTCATGCTTTATTGCCACTGGATGTCTCTCTCTCTCTCTCTCTCTCTCTCTCTCAGTTCCTTTTCATTTCTTGCTTGAATAGCCGTGCTCGGTTTCCCTTGTTCTTTTGCTTTCTCTTTCTCCTTTCTATCTCTCTGCTGTCTCATATCTCATACTCTCTCATACAGGTAATATGCTGGTAGCATTTCCCATAGCTCTTTCTTATTGCCTTTCCCTCGCAGATGTAAATGCACATGGAAAATGTGTGGTACATATATGCTGATGTTCAATGCGTATCTCAATGACTGTATGTATACGTTGTAGAACACGAGTGCTGCTGGCAGGCTTCTAAAAGGACTCCGTCCGTATCCACGAAATACAGAACGCAGGTTTAATTAAGATAGGTTTGAATTGAATTGGCCGCTCCTACGGTATGAAATGATAGACAGTTCAAGTGTCAGGAGTTACTGGCTGGTTCGCAGCCGGACGGGTTTGAAGAAGATATCCATATCCCGCTAGACATCCATGAAAATCGTCACATCATACATACATTCCCCCCTCCCCATTTTCCAAAAAGAAAAAGACAAAGATATCCAAGCGCCGAAATGTCCAATCGAGTTTGCGCCGGTGCACCCCGCTATTAATTACAGATCTATCAGGGCCAAACAGAGACAGAGAAGGGGAAAGGGCCACACTGCCAATCAATGCTGGGTATGGAGCCCATGAAAATCAATCTTCATCCCAAATCCCGAAGACTGGCAGGTCCTCGGCCATGTACAGCAAACCGTTTTCGGGAAATATCATATCTGAGAGTGGCGACGGACCACTAGAGAGTGGTGGCTGTCCAGATGGAATGGTGCCGCCTGGAGAGCAGCCAACTGGAATGCCCGACGTTGTGAGCGCCGAGATGGCAGCATCATAGGACAAAGGCGTCTCGTCGGGTCCGTACGAGAGGGTGTCCCAGGCCTCCGTGCCAGGTGGCTGGAAGCCCGCTGACCCCGCTGGCTGTGTAGCAAACAAGGAGGAAGGTGTAGTTCCGGGCAATTTACCGGGCTCGGTTGGCGGAGGTACGGCGGGGGGTTGCTGGGATTGGCCAGACGGGGTGGGTGGAGGAAGTTCACGGGTAGCGAGGGGGTCCGCAGGATCAGAGCCACCGCCGACCTGACCGAAGAGCTGGTCGACTTGCCTGCTGCGGCGCTCCATCCACTGGCGGTTGCGCCGCTGGACATACTCCGCTACAGCGCCGCGGAGGTATTTGACGATCTGAAGGAAACGGCATGCATGAGGATCGTGGGGGACGAATAAGCCGAGGAAGTTTTCTGCTTTGGTCAGGCCCGCTTCTAGCGGATAACGAGTATCGTAATCAGCGAAGAAGACAGCACCGAGAACGACGGCCGAGTTAAAGGCCGAATTGATCAGGAATGGGAGACGGCGCGGGAGAGAAGCGAACCGGGCGAGGTCGTCGACCACGTCTAAACCGCGTATGGCAGAGTGGACGCATGCATCGGCGAAAAGGGAGACGCGGGAGCTGCTGTTACGCAGATCGGCCGAAGGACAAGGGTCTGCTTTGCTTTTCACGTATTGAGCCACGAGATAGACGAGAAAGGGTCGTGTGAGGAGGATGATCGACCAATAGTACGACCCGAAGACGTGAGCCGCAGCTAGGCTATCTTCCATGGTCTTGTTGTCTGGTCGCTCTGTCTGCGCCTTGAGAGCTGTAGGCAGACTACGGACCCAAGTGCGGTGTTGGTCGGAGATAGCTTCGGCCACGTTGATCGATATAACTTGCTTCATATAGACATCTGTCAAGATGCGCTCGAAGATGCGACACAGCGATATGACAGCCCCCGAAACCTGCTGCTCAGAGGTCAGGTTATGCTGGTGGTCTCCGGATACAAGAGCACTGTCCCGAATATCATAGTCGTAGTCCGAAGTTGCTGGAGGACGGCCTAAGGATGCGCTGAGAAACAAATCCATCATCCGTAGACTCTTCCATACACGTTCCCTCGCCCTTCGCTCCCGCCCACAGAAGAGCGCATTTGCGTCTTTGCGGTGAATGCCGACCGCATAAGCGGCTCTCAAGGCGATGCCGAGGTTCATGAATGCGCCGTTGCGCCTGCATGCGCCCAGCATGTACATCGATACCAAAATGTACGATTGAATTGTGTGGATGCTGGGGGTTTCTTGAAACGCCGAAAAGGCTAATTGGCGACCACTGCTAAAGTACTGTTCGGCCAGGGTTTGATTGATATTGGAGACCTGCGCACCAATCGCGAGGACGAGATAGAAGATAGAGCTGACAGTATCTTCGTCGCCGGACGGATTGCCCACCCAATTGGCCAGACGCGGATGGAACTCCTCGAGGTCAAACAAGTCTAACAAAGGGCTTGTCGCGAGCACGAATTGCCGCGCCAGTCGCTGGGCCTCTTCATGACTGGGCGGTGGGACGAGAGATCCAGGTTGGGTGCTTGAGTTACTCTGGAAGGCCTCCAGCATGGAGTGACGCGAGTTATCCTCGGTGAAATCGCACCGGCCGATAGACGATGACACTACCCGGCGTACGCTCTGTAGGAAGGACAAGCTCGCCGAATCCCCAATATACATGAATTTGCCCTGTCCATCACGGAGAAGCCGCGCCACCTTGGGAACAGGCGCAGTCCCCTCCTTCTCGTCCCTGACTTGTTGTTCCAAATTCATGCCGCGGTCCTCCAGCGAATTCAACAAACGGTCCATGGCCGTCTCGCGCTGCGGCGAAGGCACTATGCGTTCACTGAGCAGCATAGTGGAGTCCTTAGCCTCGGGTTTGAGCAGTCGCGCGGGTCGGTCGGAGAAATGGCATTCGGGCTCCTTGTGCCGCTGGATACAGATCGTGCAGGGCTGCTCGCCATTGCATTTCTGCTTGCGCCGCTTGCAGCTGTCACAGGCGCGGCGACATCGGAGCCGCGCCCCGGGGGCGGTACTGGCACGAGGCATCCCGCTGGCAGGCTGCGCGGCGCTCGTGCCGGTTTTAGTGGGTCGGGCGGCAGTCTCAAGTGGCGGGGGTCATCAACGCGCGGGGATGATGGGGTATTGGACGATGGATCCGTGAAGGAAATCGAGCGCTAGACTGCATTCAACTGAATCGCATGGCGCATGAATTCACGGCGGAACGTAGGAAGTGCGGGCGGGCTGCTTTCCCCGGACTCTACAAACTGACTAAGCCCATTCCGCCGGGCGATGCCAAGACGAAGTATTCAACGTCCCAGGGGATAATAGGGACATCTCGAGAGTTTGAAACCAGTGAAAAAAGTCCAGAATTAGATGGTTCGGTTCTGTTTCGTTGGAACTCCATTCCTCAGGGCCTTTTTACCGTCTTTCTATTTATCCTCTAAAGGGCCTTTTACTACAGCCCGGAAGGCAGTATCCAAAATGTTCATTTGCGATATGGTTCGGCAGTCTCAAACTTTTGAGGTACTTCTGTATAAGCACTCAACATCCACAAGACACACAGACTGTGATAGCATCTGACGCTTTACTCCGGCCGGAATGTCACGATTTTTCCCCATGTATCAGCAGTGCCCCAGATACCAGACCGCAGACACGTCAACTGCACGATTTGGCTATGATCTACGAACAAATTGACATCGATGCCAAATTCGCGGATATACCAATCAAACACCTTGGGGTCAGCCGCCTCAAACATGACGCGCTCAGGGGGAGCTCCTTCATGATCCTCGATACTACATCTGTCCGCCACGAATTGACATTCTCTGTAATGCCCTCCGATTCGATCATCAGCCGCTTCACACCAGCATCGAGAAACTTGCGGCCCAGGTTCACCAGTTTTCCCGGGTCTGAAGTGCCTATCGCCTCGAGTCCGGCGGCAGAGGTGTCACCGCCCGCGCCGAATTGGATTCCCAGCTCGGGTTTTGGTTCGAGTTTGTATGAGTGGACTTTGTCGATTAGCCGGAGCCAGTCGTTTTCTGGGAAAGACAGGAAGCCTGAGGATAGCTCGATGACGTCGAATCTGTAGGTATACTGTCAGCCATGGAAATAGATTTGCCCTTTGAGGCTGGAAACCAAATATACCCCAAGTCCTTGCACTTCGTCAGATACCGGTCAAACACGGTATTCGGATCGGGATGTGTAAGCAGGTGCTCAGCCCATCCACCCTAGCAAAAAAGGTACATCCGTCAGCCTGGCAGGTACAGACTTTCTGGTTTCCGCAACATACCGTTGAAACATATACACCATGCTCATGAGCAAGGTCAATCAGTTCGCGTAGTGGCTTCTCCTGGAAGAGCGAGAAGGAACCTAGGCAGGATACCAGTTATGGACTGTCTTTGCATTCAAAACAGGCGAACATGGCTAACCTCCCGCGAATTTCAGTCCATCTACATGATTTCCCATCCTGTGATAAATTTGTTAAAAGGTGGCCAAAGGGACCTTGGTATAGATCAAACATGTCCTACGTTTCCAGAACATCTGCGAGGTATCGCTTTCCCATTACCTGGACTAGTTTGAGCTGGGATTCGATCTGTCGGTGGCCATTCATACCGAGTAATACGGGCCTCGAATCTCCGTTACACCACTGCTTCTGGGCTTTCCTTGCCGAGGGTTTGATCTCGCGAAACCGAACCCATTCTCGTCTTGTAACAGAATCGGACCTTGGGCCGGTGAGCTCGTTGACAGATCTCTTGTTTGCTTAGACGCGGCGACCGTGGCGGCTAGGGGCCTGGCACGGTGAATTAGCTGCTTCGACGCAGTTGTAACGAAAGGTCTGATGCCGATCATCGTGGTTGATTTAAAGTTCAGATTGTGGACGATTTAAGTAAGCGATACGAGGTAGAATGGAGTGATAGTGGATCTATGAAGATAATGGTTGAAATCTTGAGGAAGCACTATCAGAGAAAGCCGTGCGGGCTGTATTAAGAAGGCTGAGACTGAGATTCCTCCATATCCTGTTTGTATAAATTGTTACTTAAGTCGGAGCTCGGTTATACGATGGCGTCAGGGTTGACGTCAAAGTTACTTCACCCCGCAGAGTTACCTTGGCCCAAGGACCGCGTACCCAGCATGACATCGGAAGGGGCCACACGAATGGCTGACAGAGCTATTTGAGCTTGGTTGCATTCCAAGTGCAAATTAAATTGTTCATGGTGGCAGGAGGACAATGTGGAGGGGGTCCGGGTCCGATAGGCATAGCTTTCGGCGTTCTGATCTCCGAGCTTGAGCGTCCATCTTGTCCTTCGCCATGAGGACCTACAAGCCCGGATGGTTCTCGGAGTTACAGGCAGATCTCCTCGATATGGAATGTAGCGTGCATTATTGTCTGAATCCCAATCCACGTTTGCTTAACGCCAATCCCCAAGACAGACCAGGCCCGGGTGCCAAGAAATCTCACCGCGTATCAACATGCCCGACCCCGCGTCCTTGGATGCTAGTCAGTTCCGCTGAGTAACACGGTGGTAGATCCAAAATGAATTAGGTAGTTCTCACTACCGATGGAGAAAAATCAAACTCATCCGTTGAGATCTGGTGACGGTGGGGGATAACAATGCACATGAGACGGCGAACTAGTTAGCTTTCACCTGGGAGCTGATTGATTAACAGTCGTGCAACACAAGTTAGTTCGCCGACGAATATTTATACATAATCCTAACAGGATCAATTTGGGGGCAACCCGAGACATTTCAAGCCTAGGCCAGCCATCACAGCCCACTCACCCCACTCCAAGACGATCGACTGGGCAGTTCGTACGGGCCAATGCGCATGGCTGGTTTGATCCACCTCTTCCATATTTTTATGTACATATTCTTGGTTCATTATTCTCATGTTCTGCTTGCTAGCTAGTAGTCATATGAGAATGAAAACCGCCAATAGTGAAAGCACCCGCTGTATACGAAGAATATACTGTACAGCGTGCATAGTAGGGCTAAGCGAAAACGAGTACGCGGCGCGCACGCGACACTTTCCTTCGACGCTGTGCCAATCCAAGCCAGCCCCATCGTCTTGGCAAGTTGCCCTATTGTCGGTCATGCAGTCAATTTGATCGTGATTCAAGTTCGGCCTCCTTAAGCGCCGGCCAGCTCGTCGACTCGGCATCCGGGACTTCCGACATCCGCTCTCTGTCCCGTTAATCCCAGCTTCCTTGTTCAGGGAGTCTCCGTTCGCCGGCTGTGCTTGCCTTTTGCTATGCCTATATACCCCAGGGACCAACCACGGCGGACCCATGGCCAGCAACGGGGAAGCCATGGGCGGAACTCAGTCCCTGGCAACCGCCCTTGGTGCTTTGTTCCTCGCCGAGGCCGATTCCCAGAATTTCGTGTCGCGGTTAGGCTTTTAGTTTCGCCCGGCCTAGTCTCTTCCCTTTCGTCAGTGCTATTCCTACGGTGACGCGAGGTCATTCGTATAATATCCCCATTTGCTTTCTTTTCCCTTCTTCCGCGGCCTCTATCAAGAGTTGAATTCACGTTGGCCGGCTAGTGAAGCTCGTCATGGGGGCTGGTGCCGTTCTCGAGCCCTTGGCGGTCGTTATTCTCCTGTTTGGAGGTACATGGATCAATAGGGCCACGAAGACAGCTTTTCCGCGAACGCATATCCGTCGACCGTCCTCCGAACCCCTGCGAGCGGACTCGCCGGATTCACTCCAGTCGGGATATTCGAGCCCAACGCCCAAGGATAGCCTTCTAAGCGCTGGCTCCTGCTCCCCGCGGCCGCAAACATCCGACGACCGATGGCACAAGCGACAGGTTGGAATCTTGGGCATGTCCTTGACGGTATCCTCTCCCAATACCGCGGTGTTCCAAGATAGGCTCCTCAGTCGTCTGCTTCGAAGGCTGCCATTCCTGGCGGAATGTTGGTACTGGGCTCTGGTATATTGGGTAAGTTGTCGCCAGCTGCGAGGCAACATATCAATCATTCAGTTCTATCTCTGATATCTTGATCATGCATGTAGACATACCAGCTCGGCCGTGCGTTCACCGCGGTGACTCTCCAGGAACGCACCGTCGATGTCGCCAGAAGCCATGCTCTACAACTGATTGAAATGGAGGAGAGACTGGGAATCTTTTGGGAAGTGTGGATTCAGCGTTTCTTCCTTCGACACCCTTCAGTTATGACGTGGATCAACTGTATCTATTCTTTCATTCATATTCCGGGCACCATCGCGTTCCTGGTGTGGTTATATTACTATACCATCACTCGCAATCGGATCAACGAGCCTCAGCCCGGAAAGCCTCGAGGCACAGTGAGTGAATCTCCCGCCGGCCCGCTCTTGTACCAGGCACGGCGACGCACACTGGCCATTTGCAACCTGCTCGCATTTGTGGTGTTCACCTTCTGGCCATGCATGCCACCTCGGTTGCTCAGCGACCCCAATGTCGAGGGCCCTGAGGGAGAGCTAGCTCGCAGCTATGGCTTTACAGATACTGTGCATGGTGCCAATGGAGCGGGGAGTGTGTGGACAGATAACCGTTTCTGCAACCAATATGGTAAGTACAGCGCGTGGCTTTCCCAACAAGTGTGGGTTTCCTCGTCTGACTTTGTTCTCAGCGGCAATGCCATCTTTGCACTTTGGGTATTCCCTCATGATTGGGCTTACCATCATGACTATCCCTCTCCCACCGCACCATCGACGTACCTTTCGCGCTCGCCTAGGATGGGGTATCGGGCTTCGTTTACCGTCCTGGCGCAGAATGGTCCTCCTGGTGCTCGGCTTCCTCTACCCATTCATTATTCTAGTCGCTATTGTGGCCACAGCCAACCACTTCATCCTCGATGCGGTTGCTGGAGCTCTGGTGTGTGCTTTAGGATGGCGGTCCAACAGATTTCTGCTGAACTTGTTGCCGGTTGAGGACTACTTTCTTTTGCTTGTTCGTATCCAGAAGCCGGAGCCATCAGCTGTCAGGATTATTGATAGGTCTTTCGATGACTGGGCCACGGATGTTTCGGAGTCACGACAGGCTGTGCTGCCACGACGAAGTACTGCCTATATCGATGATATAGTCCCCGTAATCGCGTAAAGTGCGCTCATTGCCGCAAGATTGGGACATTGTGATAACCCCCTCCGGAGGAGCTGCTGGGTTGTTGCCAGAGCTTGTTGATATCTTATGAACCTGTTATTCTTACTGACTCCCACCTTCATTGGGCTTGGTCCTGCAATGACTCTGATGCATATTGTTCTGTTATTAATCCCGACTTGTACATGAGTGATAGGCAGTCTTTGGTCTGCCCGTTAATCAAATAACCCCATGGACGCGTAACTCTCTAGTCCGTTCAAAAACCAGTGTATCTAGATTTTGGAGGCCCTTTAAAACATTAAAAGCTGGACTAGAACTATTCTGTGGTAAATCGAGTAGACAAAGAGGCGAACAAACGCATGGGCGCATAATGTACAAGGTGAGGTTCCTGGAGTGAAGCTGTGGGGTTCCAGTGCTTACAGAAGCGGAGAGCTTCCCATGACGACACCCAACCAACCTTCATCTGATGTGGAGTCCAGCCACGCTGCAATGGACATGATACTCCTTATTTCTCCCTGAAAGTCCTGATAAATGACATGTTGACCGTGCTCCTTCCATTCGAAGCATCATTGTCCGATTCAGTAGCCCGTGGCATCGAGTAGTCAGTCTCCACCCCCATGAACGGAGCCTGGAGCTAACCCAACACCGACAGAATACTATACACCGATTGCTTCGACTTGAATGTCACGGTGCTAGAGACCCCAGGAAGCTATTGTTACTCCTGGAGCTGCCTTTAATTTCATCATTTCTGAGATCACCGATGCGATCGAAGGACCAAGGCATCGACTCTGCCCGCGCTAGAGTGCTCAATAAACCTTTCATCAGGCCTTAAGGCTTCGCAGGAATCAAACCAATCTGATATAGCTTCTCCCTGTGGGATTTGGCAGGTTGCGATCAGACAACAAGCTGTCCATCTACGGTAACATTGCGGTGGCTTTGTACGCCCCTGTGAAGCCCGCACAACATTCACAGTCACTGGCCACCTCTTAAATTTTGACAGCATAACACTCTATTCACCCCTACGAACAGCTTCTGAAGCAGTTGAGACCTGCCTGGACCGCTGTTGCAGCTGTGGTGAAGCTGTCGCGAGTTGTGGCGTCATTGTGGTTGTTCCCCGTTCTCAGACCCAACGCGTGCTTCCCGCGATCCGACCTGCGCGACTCTACCTTCTCCACATCTTCTCACCCACCTTCCCCTGCCACCCATTGCAACCCCCCCGGCACCCCCTCTCACCCAATTCCTGGACCTTCGCCAACGAGACATTGCTTCCTGCCAGCATGGCCGACGATACTCCTGTCGCTGCCCCCGCTGAGGCTGTCGAGCAGCCCGAGCGCGTCCCAGCCGGAGACAAGCCTGCCGACCAGGCGTCTGAGAATGTGACCATCTCTGGTGATAAGCCGAACGGTAAGCCCCTTCACCCGCGCACGCACCGTCACCAATCCAGCGTCAATATTCTCGATTGAAGCTGTCTCCTGTGTCGGGAGGATCTTGCCCTCTGTGCGACCGCAGCTCGCTAACCTTGTCGGCCTTGGCCCACGCAGACACTACGAGCGCAAACGATGAGAAGAAGGAGGCCGAAACTGGCACCGAACAGGCTGCTGACTCTGGCGATGCGACGGAAGCTAAGGGCGAGGATGATGCAGCTGCCCCTGCCGATGCTGAGACAGCCGCCGCCGAGGCGAACGGATCTCCTGCTCCGTCCAAGAAGTCCTCGAAGGACCGTCGCCGCTCCAGCGGTGTCGCCGACAAGTCAAAGCTCAACCGGAAGAAGTCCATGACCCGGATCCCGCAGCTGAACGTGAAGCCTGGCGAGTACTACCTTGCGCGTCTGCGCAGCTATGCGCCTTGGCCCTCCATCATCTGCGACGAGGAGATGCTCCCGCAGTCTCTCCTCGACAGCCGCCCCGTCACAGCGGCGCAAAGCGATGGAACCTACCGCGCCGACTATGCGGATGATGGTAAGCGCGCCCACGAGCGGACCTTCCCCGTGATGTTTTTCTACACAAACGAGTTGTAAGTCTTGCCCCCACCTCAAACACCCCCCTATGAGAGAGACCGTGTGGGTCATTTCAATTGATAGCTGACTTTTGGTTTTCCAGCGCCTGGATCCCAAGTACCCACCTTACCCCCATTACCGCTGCCGAGTGCAAGGACGTTCCCGAGAAGAACAAGGCCAAGGGGTTAATCGGCGCGTACCAGATCGCTGCAGAGGGCCACGACCTTGCGTACTTTAAGAAGTTGCTGTCAGATCACCAGGCTGCCATCCAGCAGGAGATTGAGGAGCAAGAAGCAGAGGAGGCTGCGAAGGCCGCTGCCAAGGCCGAGAAGGAGGCTGCGAAGGAGGCCAAGAAGACGAGCAAGAGCAAGCGCAAGAGTAAGGGCGCAGACACCGATGTGGAAATGGAGGAAGCGGAAGATTCCAAGAAGTCCAAGGCCTCGAAGAAGCGCAAGAACGAGACCGATGGCGATGCGGAGAAGGTGAGTACGATTCGGGAGGGGATCGTGCGTTTACGATGAGCTTTCTGTAGCTGACTTGACTGGCAGCCTGCTAAGACTCCTAAGACTGGTACTAAGTTGAAGTTGACCACCCCGAAGGCACCGGCGGAGGAGAAGAAGACCCCCGCCAGCAAGACAAAGAAGGCCGCCTCTAAGAAGAGCAAGGCCGCCGACGAGGAGGCTGCTTCCGAGACCAAGGAACCAGAGAGGCAGATTGACCCCGAGGAATTGAAGAAAAAGAAGGAGAAGGAGAGTATGTACCAAATCGAATTTACTAGACTATGAGGCGAGAGAGAAGAGAGGCTAATTCTTCGCAGTTCTTTTCCTACGTCACAAGCTCCAGAAGGGATTCATTTCCCGCGATCAGCCGCCCAAGGAGGACGAGATGGCCGCCATGGCAAGCTACTTTGACAAGCTCGAGAAGCACCCCGACCTAGAGGTTGCAATCATCCGTTCGACCAAGATCAACAAGGTCCTGAAGATGATCGTCAAGTTGGACACGATCCCGCGCGACGAGGAGTTCAACTTCCGCCACCGCGCGATGAACATCCTGACCAGCTGGAAGAGCGTTCTGGAGACCGACGCCCCTGCAGCTTCGGACAAGGACGCGAAGCCCACCGCGAACGGCGCGCACAAGGATGACGATGCAGCCGACACTCCCAAGTTGGAGACCGAGGAGGAGAAGGAGCCCGAGACCAAGGCCACCGACAATGATACCCCCATGCCCGATGCGGCGGCAGCCAAGTCTGAGGAGGCCGACAAGGCTACTCCAGAAGAGAATGCCGAGGGCGAGAAGCCCGCTGACGAGAAGACCGTTGAGGCTGCTGCATAAGCGCATGATATGAGGAGTACATGCTCTGGAGTTTACCCCCTGTGTCTTTCCTTCATCATCCTGCTTGCTCGTTATTCTGCTCATGGAACCGGTCTGGGTGCTCTGCTCTGATTCTGAATTTCTGATGTCTTTTCTTACTTCTTCCGATCCGAGCCGAATTGAGCCGCGTCGTGCTGTGCTGTGTTTCTCTCTGATAATCCACTCGTGCGTTGCCCATGCCATGTAATATCTGCAATCTGGGCTCCGCGCTGGGCCTGGCGACTGTCTGTTTGCTTTTGAGTCAATGAAAAATGTTGTTTTGCCTTGAGTGGTTCTTTTCTTCTCTCTCTTTCCTTATGTCTTCTTCTACTTATGTGTACATGGGTGACAATTTATGATGCGTGGTTGCATCTCGCTTTGATTTGAGACAGACTGTGTATGAATTAAGAGTGCTTGCATCTTGTTACTATATTTGCAAAGCATGCAAGTATTTGTGTGGCCTACGGCCTGTGTCTTAATTCTGAAACGGCACAGCCTCCATGATGGTTGATTTTTAGGTCAAGAGAACTTCCTGAAGGTTGGTTGCCTACGAAGGCATCTCAAATGGAATGACCTGCGTAATGCCCACTTTATGTTTCCTTGTTCATTAATAAGCTGCTGTCCAGCATTGCACAAAATCATAACCACAATTAGAAAAAGAATACAAATCACGTTGTTGCCAAAATCTATCTATTTAAGTATGGTATGGTATACCTAGACCCACTTCGCAGTGGTCTACAGTCTATCACATATATAAAGTTATCGCTCAGACCCAGGAACAAAAGAAACCCAACAAGCAAAGAGAGTGATATGGATAAAATGCCAAACTACCTAACCTCCCGTCCAAATATCAAACTAACCCCGGCGCCTCGAGATGCAGAATGGAATATGCAAGCAAAGATCTTAACGTGTCCGCGGAGATTGTGCTTGTTGTGTCCCATTTAGGTAGAAAAGGTGCAGTTTCACTAAGCGCTGTTGCCAGCGGCAAGGCTTTCGTCCACGGCCACAATGACCAGGGCGCAGATGTCGTCGACCTTGCCGCCGCGATAGTAGTCGCCCGGATAATAACGCTGGGCCTCCTTAGCAAAGGGGCCGTCACGGCGGAAGTCGACGCTGGCAACCTTGGCCTCCCCTGCGATGGATGCGGCAAGGAGGGATTGGAGGGTGAGGGTGGATCCGAGAGCTGCGTTTTCTTTTTCCTTAGGTTGGGATGTGGCCGGGTCCTTGGGGGTGGGAATGCAGGGGCCAGGCCGCCTGGGACTGTGAGCTCGGCGAGACTATCCGCGATACCGACGCCGTCGTCTTCCGTGGTTGTCCACGCGCCGGTCAGGATCATCCGGCTTGTGACGATCTTCAGGATGTCCTGGTTATTCAAATTGTCAAAAACACCGTCTGTAGCGAGCATTAATACATCGCCGTGCTGCATCTGGAGGTTTGTGACGGCGGCGTCCTTGGGGAAGTCTTCGAGGAAGGCGCCCCCGAAGACGGACGCCTGGGCGCGCATGCGTGGGGGGATAACGCTGAGTTGGTACGGCGTGTTGAAACCGTGCGTCTGTGGGACAGAGTAATGATGCACGGCGGCGAGACGGAGCAGCACCGAGCCCGAGTCGCCCAGGTTTGCTAGCTCGACCCGGCCATCTGGTAGCGCAACACCGACAGAGGCGGTACTGCCACCCGCCTTAATGGCCGGGTCATCCACGACCTGGTCATAACCTGCCTGCAGCAGCTGCTTGGGCCGTAGCTTATCCGCAGGCGAGTCCCAGGCCAGAGCCGACTGGGCCATATAGCCACACAGACCATGCGAAAAGTCCGCCGGATCGACGCGGGACTCCGTCCAGCCGCCAACACCGTCAGCAACCGCAAACGCAACAGCGTCTGCACCGCCCGCGTCTGGGTGGCCTGAAACCTGGGTGCCGATACAGCTCACAAAGAAGGCATCCTCGCCGCTGTCAGGGCGGTTGCGCCGGCGGGTAGTCGGGTTCTTGTCCTTCGAAACACCGATAACGTCCGAAACGGCCGGATCGAAATTATATGCGTTTTGGAGCGGGTGGAAGCGGCGCCCTTTACCCGACGAGGAAACGGCAACCCGATATGAGATCCGAGGCGCAGACGGCGAGGGATCGGATAACCGGCGGGGAGTCGAGTGGAAGGACCGGCGGGGTGTGTTGTTTAGGGCATATTTCCAAGAGGCCGGCGCAAAGGAGGGCTGGATGCGCGCGAAGGCGAAGAAGAGAGTGCTGGCACTGCAATGGGAAATCCTGTCGCGAACAAGGGTTTGTATTTGTAGGCTGCAGACGGAACTGCAGGCTCTACAGGAGACACTTGGCGGGACCATCGCCGGGCGGAAGATCACGACCCTGCCACGGACAAGGGCTCACAGGAGCATCGGAGGACGAAGGAAGAGGGAGAATCGTCGAAAGATGAGATTGACGTAAAAGTAAGAAAGTTGGAGAGTGGCTTGGGATTAAAAATCAAGGAGCGCAGTTGGCCGGCGGATAAGCCTCAAGCCCACGAGCTTATCGCCATTGACCGCCTGGCGTCATTGTCTTTTTGAGAAATTGCTGGGAGTTTTCGAGTGGCGGTGAATTGATGTATGGAATGGTGCATTGACTTCCAGCATATGCATCTTTCAAGATAGTCCTCAAATTCGACCAAGTAGACTGCTCTCAAGCTAGACTTCAATGTATAGTTGCTCTGTTTGATCCCCGGAAATTTTTACTCGTCCCTGCTTTATCGGTTCTGCCGCCCGCAACCTCCACCACCTCCAACTCACGCGCCCTTTTGTCCAGCTTCCACATCGTCTCCTTCCACACACCTCGCCTCTTGCTGATCTGATTGACAAGAAGCGCGAGCTTCTCCGCATCCAAGATGATGCACCCCTCGCGACAGGCCTATGTCGAGGAGGCGGCCGAGGTAAGCAATCTTTCCTCTACACGACTGCTCCTGCTGCCCAAGCCTTCTCATGGACTAGGGATTTGCAAGTCGTCGCTCCCACCAGTGGTCTCTATTCAGTCTCTTCTCTATACCAGAGAATCGAGACACGTTGACAATGGACATCCAGCTAACATGCGACACCTGCTAGGAGATGGACACAGGCATTGATCTTGCCAACATCCGTAAGTGATCTCGTCGCACACACACACACTCGTTAACCCCCACTCATCGCGAAACAACAGCCGTCGACGAAGACTATGAGATTCCAGCATCAGCAGCGGGCATCCCGTCCGAACGGGCGTCCGCCATCACAGCGCAATTCGAGCGAAAACGACGCGCAGCCGCCATGGTCGTACCAACAGACGACAACCGCGTGCGCTTACGGCTACGAGAGCTCGGCGAACCCATCACGCTGTTCGGCGAGGGTCCCGTAGACCGGCGGGACCGTCTGCGCGAACTGTTGACTGACCGAGCGGACCGACAGGGCGAGGGCGATATTGAGATGGAAGAAGGCGGGGAGGAAGAGGAGGTGGAACAGCAGGAGGAATTTTACACAGAAGGCACCGATCAGCTGTTGGAAGCCCGGAAGGCAATTGCTCGCTATTCCCTGCCGCGGGCGAAAGCACGGGTAGCGCGGCTCAAGGACGAGTCAACAATCCCGCTGCGGACACACGTCAAGCACCGCAAAGCAGTCAAAGAGAAACTTGGAGGGTTTGATCTGTACGGTTCGCAGATTGCGGGCGACCGGCCAGTCAGTATTTGCCGGTTTTCACCGGATGGGAAGACAATTGCGGCCGGGAACTGGGGCGGCGGCATCAAGCTGCTCTCTGTGCCGAATCTGGAGGAAAAGGCGAATCTCAAGGGGCACAATGACCGTGTCGGCGGACTGGCATGGTTCCCGGAATCTAACGTCTCGCCCTCAACAGTAAACCTCATTTCTGGAGGAGGCGAAGGGAATATCAACCTCTGGGCCCTCGATTCTGATAAACCACTTGCCACTCTCTCCGGGCATTCCGGGCGTGTGTGCCGCACAGAATTTCATCCGTCCGGTCGCTATGCTGCGTCGGCATCGTTCGACACGACATGGCGTCTGTGGGACGTTGAAACGACGACAGAACTGCTCCTGCAGGAGGGCCATTCACGAGAAGTCTACACCGTCTCCTTCAACAACGATGGGTCTCTCCTGGCTAGTGGTGGTCTGGACAGTATCGGGCGCATTTGGGACCTGCGGACTGGGCGCACGGTCATGATTCTCGAGGGACACGTCCGCGAAATCTACGGCATGGACTGGGGTGTGGACGGATACCGCGTGCTCTCTGGATCCGGCGACGGATGGGTTAAATGCTGGGATTTGCGCCAAGTGCGGAATATTGGCGGCATTGGTGCTCACAAGAGTGTTGTGTCGGATCTTCGCTGGTACAAGGGAGCGGAGTCGGCCTCTTTCTTGCCCTCCACCGAGGGCGCCAACGGCCAGATGGAGGTTGATGGAACCCCGGCGGGGGCTGATTCCGGGATTCAGCCTAAGAAGTCTGGTACTTTCTTCGTGTCCAGTGGCTTTGACAAGAACGTCAATATATTCAGTGCCGATGACTGGTCGTTGGTGAAGACGCTAAGTGGACACTCGGGCAATGTCCTCAGTACAGATGTCAGTGACGATGCGAAGTGGATTGCGAGCTGTGGCCACGATCGCACTGTGAAGCTCTGGGGTATTGAGTGATTTCCCCCGATATCCTACTTGGCTCCAACTTCCATGCATATCTATACGGGCTTGCTCATCTCGTCGATGTCTCTCTCAGGGTCGACATCCAACTCACCCCTGACCGATACTGCACACGCCGCTGTCTGTGCCTTGGAAGTACCTGGCCAGAGACATCGTTTACTCCCATCGTCAGCGAAAAGGAGTCTGTCGTCGTGCCCGATTACCAACTGTTAGCGACCACAATAAAACGAACTATAATGTCACGTGCAATGTGCGGGGATGACGTAAGTTGTGTAGTTTTCCGTCCATGATAGTTTATCTCCGACTCCGACGCTCGGTTCAGACTCAGTCCTCCGCCAAACCATTTCACAATGGCGTTTCGTTCTCCAAGCCTGGCGCGACACATAAGTCGCTCAGTGACCCCCCGATCTACTATCACCACATCCTCCCGGCAAGGCCTGACCAGCCCAGTCCAGCAAGACGCATGCACGCCGCGCCCACTTTGGCCGCAGCCTCTTCGGACCCAAACACTCAGCCCAGCACCCCAATCCGTCTATACAAGCTCGCGCACACCTCATCGCCGCGCAGCCTCGATCAAAACCTCGCCATCTACAGAGACAAGCGAGACCGCCCTCGTCGGCGCACCTGACATCACAAATTACTACACCATCTTCCCCAACACCCTTCCGGCAGGGCCACCACCAGCATCCCCCTTCGAAATCCCCATAGCGGATCTGCGCCGTGAATTCCTGCAACTGCAAGGCATAGTCCATCCAGACAAATTCCCCTCCGGCGCGGCCAAGCAACAGGCCGAAGCGCTCTCCGCGCGAATCAACGAAGCCTATCGCACACTCTCCGATCCTTTGCAGCGGGCACAGTACCTACTGCGCGAGTGGCACGGGATCGACGTCACCGCCGAAGACGCGTCGACGAAGCACGCGCTGGACGCGGCCACGCTGATGGAGGTGATGGAGGTGCAAGAGACGATTGAGGCGGTTGGGGCGTCCGCAGGAGCGGAGGCGGAGATCGAGGCGCTGAAGCGGGAGAATGAGATGCGGGTTGCTATTTGCGTGGGGGCGTTAGCGGGAGCGTTTGATAGGGGGGATATTGAGGGGGCGAGGGCGGAGTGTGTGAAGCTGCGCTTCTGGTATAGTGTTGGGGAGGGGTTGAGGGAGTGGGAGCCTGGGAGCACGGAGATTCGCCTGGTGCATGGGTCTTGAGCGGGATGGGGTTGATGCTTGGACTGTGGGCTATTGTCTGATCTAACTGGATGTGGGGTCTGGACATCCTTGTATTATTATGGCGGTGTTTTATGACGGGTCTTCCTTCTAGAGATTAGAAATATCCTTTCTCCTGTGCCATTTGACATGCAGCGTTTGGGATGTACTCTCGGGCGTGCGGTACCAGGTGTCGAACTATGTTCGACTTGGCACTGGAAGACGCTTTCGTCCGATGTAGCTGAGACCAATTCTCCCCAGCTCTCAATATCCTCTCGAGGGACATTGGTATGCAGTTTCATCCATGTGGGAGCATTGTATTCTGGAACATGGCACCTCTATCCAGCCAATGTACCACCACCTCCCCCCACCCCCACCCCAAAACACCACATCCTGCAATCAGACAAGATCGCCGATGTCATCACCCTACTTTCCACCAGTAGCCCAACATACGGCAGTCCGCCAAAGTCCAAAAGAAGCAACGGCCAACAGACGCGGAAAGTAGGGAAAACAGGGGGAGTTAGGGCACGGTTCCCGCCTTATCAGCAACAGGCCAACGCACCCGCGTCGCAGACCGCCACAATTACAGCATCGAGGTGCAAGGCGAGACTAACCGACTAATCGACCAACAAACTACGATCAAAGAAAAGACAATGGAGGATAAGAAAAAAACACCAAAAGTGAAGCTGTCTCGGGCCAAACGCCCAAGTTCCGGGGCGGCGGTCCAAAGTGGTTCCGCCCAGCCAGTGAGGCCCGCAGTTGGGAGGCAGGCGTGGGATCGGGCACGAATGGAGTCGCGCGTCACCGTCTCGCACCAATTGAGCCCGTTCGCCTGGCGATCGGATGGGCCCTCGCTGCACAGGGACTCGGTGGGTCTATCAACTGCCGCAGCAGCAGGATGCACGGTGATGGAAACGAGCATGACTGACCTGGACTGGCGCAGAGGTTGCGACAAAGCGAGTACTGCTACGAAGATGGACAACTGGCCTTGTCCTGGGCCGTTGGTGAGACCCTAGTGGCCCAGCAAAGGTATCAAGTAGACTTTGGGTATTTGGGTACTGGAGACACAGCATCGGACAGCTCCTAGCTGATCCGAACCGGTCTGCTGGCGAGGCGCTGGCGTGGATGGTTCCCCCTCCCCCTCTCTCTACACCCATCAGGGCTGCACACGTAGCCAAGTAACGGGACCGTCTGGGCCACTTGCTGTGCCCGAGGAGGTGTGGTACCTACCTTGGTGTCTTGGTGGGCCCAAGGCTCGTAGACTCCCGTGAGGGTATTCGGTATTAAATCAGTCGCAAAGCACGGCCGGTGTCGTCGGAGATGCAGGGGGTATAATTCACCTTTCCCAGCCCACCGAAGCTATACCGTACCCAGGACCGTATAGATCGCACAGCAGCAGAGTAGCAGCAGCAGCAGCAGCAGCAGCTCCCATGGACTCCCGCGATTATAGTAGGTGTGTGCCGCGCTGTTGAGCCCTCACTCCCCCGACCCCAATTCGAATCCTGGCCGTGGAACTGCACTGACACAGGCGAGCGCCCGCCGGCAAAACAGTATCATTCATTCGCCGTCATTTACGTTCCTCGTCGGGCCAAAGCATACCAAGTTAACGATCCAGTCGGGACTCGCCCAGCATGTCTCGAAGCCGCTGCATAACCTCATGAACAACGGGCACACCCGGGAATCGAAGCATCGAATCGCTGTTCTCGAGGACGAAGATGTCGAGACCTTCGTCGCCTTCTGCGAGTATGCGTATACCGGTGACTATAACGTGCCCCAGCGGCCTGTGCTCCGGGATGAGCGCGAGCGCCGGGCAGGCGTGGTAGAGAGCGCGCCGAGTTCGGGTACTTCCTGGCGAGGGACGTATCGTTCAGATTCGATCTCGTCTGCTGTGCCACCGCCGGCTCCGTCGCCCCCGCCTGAGAGGAGTGAGACTGATAGTCAGACCGCCAGGCCGGAGCCAACGCCAATTGAGGAAGTGTCTGCTGAGGCGGAGGCGGAGGCGGAGGCGGAGGCGGAGGCGGAGACTGGACCTGAACCGGAAGTAGAAACACAAGCAGAAGCAGACGCAGAACCCGAGGTCCAGGAACCGGCACAAACAGATGAAAGGCGCGTGCCGGAGGGAGCGCACGAGGATATTGACGCTGCTGAGCGGCCAGATACACCAGTCTGGCCTCAGCATCAGGATCTCGAAGCAGGCTCAGCAGAAGCCAACGAAGCGGTTGACGATGAAGCGGAACCAGCCGAAACAGCTGATGACTGGTCACCCCGGGGAGTCACTTCCAGATCCAAGAAGAACAAAAAGAAGGAGAAGAAGAAAAGAAGACAAGGGCAACAGCTGCAGCTTGAGGAGGAATCCCAGCCTCCGGCAAGCCTGACGCCGCCATCAACGCCCCCTCCACAGACCCTGGAGGTGCAACCCGATCCCGCATCGGAGGAAACCACAGAGGAGCCTGCAGCCTCGCGATTGCCCTCGCCCGAACCGCTGTCCTCGCCCTCGGCAGCCCCCGAAGAAAGCAGCTCAGGATGGTCCCAACCAGCCGAACACCACGCCTCAGAATTCACTGGCCCCTCCTCGGCCTCGGTTTGGGACGAAGAACCAGAACCAGAAACGGAACAAGTACCAGAACCAGAAACGGAACAAGTACCAGAACAAGAACTAGAGCAAGAGCAAGAACAAGAGCCAGAGCCAGAACCAGAACCAGAACCAGAACCAGCCGACACACATTCGATATCAGACAACCAACACATCCCGCCCAAGCCAATCATCGACATGTCCTTCGCCAAACAACAGTCCGACTCCACACCTCGCACACCAGGCCTCAGCCTGTGGGACGATTTCACCGCGCTCCAATACAACGATGACCCATCCGCCACAGCCAAACCCACCCCGAACAATCCCTCCCAGCCCGAGCTCCCGTACCTCACCTTCCACGCCAAAGTATACGTCTTCGCCACGCGGTACCTCATCCCGGCCCTGGCACAGCTCTGCCTGCGCAAGTTGCATAGGGACCTGGTGTACCTCCCGCTGGGCGACAGCTCCGCCGATCCGCACGACTCTCCTGGAACTCCGGCGCCCACGGGCCCGGGATCAGCCGCGCTGGCCATGGTTCTCGACGTGCTGCGCTACACATACACCAAGACCACACGCCTCGAGCCGATCAACCCGACGTCCGCGACGCAGCTTCGTGAAAACGAGCTGCGGCGGCTGGTGGTGCACTATGCGGCATGCCGGCTGAAGGAATTGGCGCAGTATCATGTCGCCGGTGACAGTGGGAGTGCCACGCCGGCCGTGAGGCCGGTAGATGCCAGTGCGAGGGACCGGGTGGAGAGGACGGCCAGTCTGCGGGCACTGTTGGACAAGACACCCGAGTTGGCGAGTGATCTTGTTTATCGCATGATGTAAGTGGGACTGGTGATGCGCCGAGGTGGAGGCAGGCAGGAAGAAAACGGAATCTTGCTCGGAACTGGGTCTTGTCCATGCACTGCTACCCTGGGGTTTGGGCGAGACCCGCTGTTTCTTTTCTGAATTTCCCGACTTCTTGAATTCTGTTGATTATTGGGTGTGGGCTGCTGCAATCATGTCGCACCATGTTGTCAGTTGCGGCGCAGAGACAGTTTCATTTGTGCTTGGAATTTTCTTGGCAGCATTGTGTTTGATGTAGCTGTAGTTATTCCGAGGGTCGAGCATAGGTCGAGAATTTGTGAACGCGGCTGACAGACCAGGGCCTGTTGCACACGTCCATGCATAAATTGTGTATAAGTGTATCATCATTGAATCTGATAGAAATTGCCCCTCGCCGTGCAGATGCCCTGTGTAAGCCAAGTCCGTCCCTAACTCCGTGAGCCCAGCATGGCCGGGTCTGGGCACGTGTGGCAATGAGAGCAGCACTGCCCAAAAATAAGCATGAAACGCATCCAGGGTGATCAACAGCAGTCTTGGCGAGACCCATGCTTGGCGAGAATCCCTGATCAATAGTGCAGGTAGTGCAGAGGTTGGCGAAGAGGCTGTGAAGATAAGCGCAGGAACTCAGGGGCCGCGCAATTTCCGCCGTGGGATCTATCGATTCTATCAACTCTATCCTCGGCCAACCGACCAACCACACGGGACCTGCTTCGACCTCTTCCAAATCCCCCGACTGATCAGTGTTGCCTCGAGACGGTTTTCTGTCGTCTCCCCTATTTCCCCCCTCTTGACCTCGCTTCCTCACTGCCCCCAAAAAGCTTGGCAGCGGACCGTCCGTCCAGGATGCCGTCGATCATCGGTCTTGGCATGGCCGGCACGTTGCACTGTCCGCGCCATCCCGGAAGAAATGCGGAATAGTGCAGTGACGCCAGCTTGCACGGCCTCCGGGCTTGGGACTCGGCGCAGGAGGTGTTAATGATTCGGCCCGAGCAACGGCCCTGCCTACATCGGAGTCACTTCGACGGTGTACACAGCACTACTGAAGACTACCCACTGACATCACTTGCAACACACCATGTGAATATTCGCACGTCAGAGTCCTCTGTTCTTGGCCCTAGCTCTAGCCCTAGCCCATCCTTACCCCTCAGGGGCCCATTGACGATTCACGGGCCCGAACCGAGCCACGCTGGCCCGCCGCAGGAAACACTTCACTTCTTGGCGGGCTCTGATGCACGCGTTTCCGGCCCAGGCATCGAAGTTTTTTTATACTCACAAAGCCCCTAAGCACCCCCCCCCCCAACGCCCATCGCCCCCCTAATCCTCCGCCTCCGCGCAGAACGATAGTGGGTCGCCGCACTGACTACTCCAAAGTATAGACTCGATCCACCCCTGCGCCCCCTGGCGGCATGAACGCGCCGAGCACAAAGGCCCGGGACGATCTCTACTCCATTACCTTTGGGTTGGATGGATCCTGATAACATGGGCGTGTCTGGTAGGTCCGTTTTGGCGAGCATGTATCCACGACTCCGTACTTGGGCTCCAGGAGACACAATGCGCCAGGGTAGCTACAAGTGCGTGTTGCTGGCTGGGCTTCCGGAGGTCTTGGTGTTTTCTTGGCCGTGGATCTCGCCTTGCCAGGATTTGTGGCGATGTTGCGTAGATGATGAATCCGGGGCGGCTGGTTTGCTCATGTGTTTTGCCATCCAGAGGTTTAAAGCCTGGACCTTTCTCCCCGGGGGGATATTTATCAGTATTCCATTCATTACATTTCAATTAATCCAATACCCCTGTCTCTTCTCTCTTCCAGTTATCATTCCAGTCAATTCATATTTGCCGGGGCTCTTGCTTGCTTGGCCTTTGTTGATATCTGTATCTTTCTTCTTCGTCGACTTTGCCAAGCTGATATTGAAGTTCTCCCCTTATTTCTAACTCTGCTTGGATGCTATATTGAAGTCCATCCACTCCACTCCACTCCACTCGTTCAATTGCTATACAGCATCTTGCAATTCATACAACCAGATCAACATCAAGATCTCCGTCATAATGTCCGCCCTCTCCAGCCCAGGTCTCCTGGGTACAGAAAGCTACGAGCTTCCACCGCACTCGTCACACTCCGACGCGCCCATCCTCGACATGGAAAAGCCCTTCAAGCCCTACAAACTCTCCTTCACCCAACGCCTCCGCCACTTCACCTGGGCCTGGTACACCCTGACGATGAGCACAGGTGGGCTGGCGCTGCTAATCGCCAACCAGCCCAACAAATTCACTGGCCTCTACGAAATCGGCTTGACAGTCTACATCATCAACCTCGTCCTCTTCGCACTAGTCTGCTCGCTCATGGTCGCCCGCTTCATCCTCCACGGCAACCTCATCGAGTCCCTCGCCCACGACCGCGAAGGCCTCTTCTTCCCAACCTTCTGGCTCTCCATCGCAACCATGATCACCGGCCTAGAGAAGTACTTCGGCGACGACCCAGCAGCCGCCTTCTCCAAAACCCTAGAAGTACTTTTCTGGGCCTACTGCGTGTGCACCTTTGCCGTCGCCGTTCTCCAATACTCCTACCTCTTCGCCTCCATCCCCTACAAGCTGCAAACCATGATGCCATCCTGGGTTCTCCCCGCCTTCCCAATCATGCTCAGCGGCACCATCGCCTCCGTCATCGCCGAGCGCCAGCCGGACGGCTCCGCCATCCCCATCGTCACAGCCGGCATGACCTTCCAAGGCCTCGGCTTCTGCCTCAGCTTCATGATGTACTCGCACTACATCGGCCGCCTCATGGAATCCGGCCTGCCAAACCGCGAGCACCGGCCGGGCATGTTCATCTGCGTCGGCCCACCCGCCTTCACCGCGCTAGCCCTCATCGGAATGGCGCGCGGGCTGCCCGAAACCTTCTCCGTGATGGGCAGCGAGGACAGCGCGGCCGATGGACGAATGCTGGAGATTCTGGCGCTGGCGGCGGGCGCCTTTCTGTGGGCGCTGAGTCTATGGTTTTTCTGTGTGGCGCTGATTGCCGTGCTGCGGGCGCCACCGACGGCGTTCCATCTTAGTTGGTGGGCGATGGTGTTCCCCAATACGGGATTTACGATCGCGACGATTGTGCTGGGGAATGCATTTGAGAGTGCTGCTATTCGGGGCGTTGGCTCGGCGCTCTCGATTTGCATTGTGGCTATGTGGTTGTTTGTCCTTGTGAATCATGTTCTGGCTGTTGTGAGGCAGGATATCATGTTCCCAGGCAAAGATGAGGATGTCTCTGAATAAGAAGAAGAAGAAGAAAAGAGAAAGAGAGGGCATCGTCCTGTCTTCTGTCGAGTCGATAGACTGTTTTTTGGGTTTCGTCATCGCCTTATTGGGCCATCTGGAGCGCGTCTTGCTCGCTGATTTCCTTGGTTACGTTTGCTTTACTTTTGTCTTGTCCTATCCTTTCAGCCCATCTCATTATCTCTCATGGCGCACTGGTGTCTGGTCTCCCGTGTTTAAAGGTTTGGATATATTGGCATGTTTTCGGCGTTGGTGCATCTGTGGGAATCATTCGACCCTCCATCTCGGGTTTGCGCATACATATACACATTTTCTAGAATTTGAATAGACAAAAGGTCTCACCAGCTGTAACAGACTTTGTATTTGTTTTTCTCTAGTTCTACTCCCAGCCACCATGAAAGGGGTAGCAATTTTCATTCCTCTCAGCCCAGCTAGGGTGTTGGCATGTCTTGATATCTCTTTCGCCAATAGAAACGGCGTAAGAGGGGTATTATGTCGTCGGGTTCACCGAGTTCTGCCAGCCTCTCTGCCTGGACCAGCCTGCATTGCAATTTCTCAAGTGGGATATTCTGCCGATCCAGACTTTTCAGCATAACACTCACCAAAGTCTTGTACCCCTCACCCGCTGCCTCTTCTAAGGGGCTTCTGCTGACGTTTCCACAAACTCGGAGAGGGTAGGCCCCTCGATCCAATAAGAGCTGGACGAGGTTTGCGTTCTTGTACAAAACAAAATGAATTAGAGGGGACTTAGACCCCACTTCGACTTCAACACCATGTGCCATAAGTATGTCCAGAGTAGCAGCCACAGCACACCAGTCTTCGCTTGGAGAACCCACCCAAGTTATCCAGTCGTTGTTGTTGACTGTGATCAAGTTGCCGACTAATCCCCTCTCGAATAGTAATGTCAGTGATGCCGTATCCGATCGAGATAGTATAACGCGCAGTGCCTTCCGAACTTCACGGCTCCCAGGCTCGACCGGATAGTCACTCTCAAGAAGATATTCTATCATCGAGGTCCCACCAAGAGCGGCCGCCACAAGAAATGACAAAGGAGAAGAGCCCTCTGTGCACAGAGGCTCCTTGAATGCCATTCTTCGTGCCAAGATATCCACCGTGGCTTGACTTCCAGTCCTTAGTGCCCTCACGAAAACTGATTCATCGAAGTCCGCATTGATTCCAGGGTCCGCTCCACGGTCGAGCAATAACTGAAATATTTCCGGTGTTTCAACAGCTTTCAAAAAAGACCGGCGAGTTGTTCCGGGTGCGATGATTCGGATTTGCCCCGTAGTCCAAGAGCGTACTGACAATCTGCTTGTGGGAGCCCTGAATTGCTAAGAGGAGCGCAGTCGATTCCTTCTCGAGCAACATTTTGTTGCCGCATGAATGCGTGTAGTTGAGTAGCAGGTCCACGACGCCGTGATGACCGCGACGGGCTGCCAGATATAATGGCGACGGTTCATCCACCCAATGATTCTCCCCTTCCAGGTGCATTACTTCGATACTCCAGGCAAAATTCTTATCCTAAGTAAAATCCGCTGAGCAGCCTCGCGCGAGCAAGGTTTTGATCAAATCTGACCAGCCGCATGCAGCGCTCACTAGGAATAACTGCTTATGGTCATCATCATCAGGCTTCCCGCGTGCGATAAACCCCTCAAGATCCATAGATTTCTGAAGGGTTTCGACCACTGCGTAGTGCTCACTTTGTGCAGCCATAATCAAAGGATCTAGAGGAGAGTCTTGAGGAGAGTCTTCCATAGTGGGCGTCGGAGTCATCCCATATTCTAAGAGAAGTTCGACTATCTCCAAGTGACCTTCCTCAGCTGCCGCCTTAAGCGAAGCACTAGGCATTTGACGAGACTCGATTTCAAGGTTCGTCTCCAGTAAAAACCGAACAACTCCGCAATGACCTCCATCGGCCGCGCTAGCAATGATATTCGATCGGTACCAGTCCTCGATATGAACATCGCAGCCGAGGGAAACGAGGAGCTTCACAACCGAGAGATGGCCTTGTTTCGCTGCCCTTGAAAGGGGTGAGATACAACGCCCACCAACTTGTGCATAACGGATATCAGGAGAAGCCCCAGAAGAAAGCAAGAGCCGAATGACATTTTCATGGCCGCGACCAGCCGCCAGTATCATTGGGCAGCCTGAATCAACGCGCTCTGACTCATACTGTGGGGATTTAAGCCAGCCTTCCGTTGAATTTGGATCGATTCCCTGGTCCAACAACTGACGTACAATAGCGTCATGTCCGTAAATGCAAGCCAGCGCCATTGGGACCCACTCTTCGTAGTGAACGGCATTGGGAGAAGCTCCAGCCTCTAGTGCATACCGCGCAGTTGCTTCATAGCTATGTTTTGCAGCCCACTCGAGAGCGCAGGCGTGGGAGTAGCGCACGTTGAATTTGTAGAGGGAGCGATTAAGGAGCCAAAAGAATCGTCTGCATGTTGGGACGAGCGCGTTGATGCAATATTCATCATCAAGGCATTCGGCTATCCATGCCACGAGCTCATTTGGCAAATCCAATATCTGCATTTCGCGTGGAGAGTGAGAAACAGAACCGGCGCAGTCGTCTGAGGCAGGTGGTGAGAGTCGGAGATGAAGCTTGGTTGGTCTCAGGAAGGAATGGTAGGTTGATGTAGAGTCAGATCTGCCACATACAGAGGTAAGAGCTGGGGAGCCAGGAGCGTCCAGTCACTCCACATGGTCTGACAAAATTGCATCCTCTCACCTGATTTGGGAGGCTCCAGGCCAAGTGCTCCGTTTGTTGAAGTGGCGCGGTTCGACGAACTGGGTAATCTCCGGAGCAATTCTTTGGAACCCGACGCACTCACGTTCCCCCAGCGTAAAGACTCTCCGTGCCCTTTGAACTTCAGAGGTATACCAATCCGCGCCCTTTTTGCAATAAGCAATCCCGATAGCGTGAATGTCTCTCTGGCATTTCATCTTTATTTTACTGTCAATCCCGGTTTCCTTTTAAGTGCTCGGGCTCAATACAACTTCTGTCACGGCTTACCAACTTTGTGCCGATGAGACTATAAATCTTTTCAGCGAAGGGTCGTCTAGTTGAACGGAGGTCTACGTAAACGACCTATAACCAGCCTTACCCAACTTTATCATCTGCTAAGTCTATACTGCTTCCGTGGGTACAAGGAAAGACGCTGACCATGCCTGGTACTTGAGCTTTGATATCCACGAATGGAAAGCAACAATGGAAACCCTGATCATAGCATTCTGAGTCTGGATGATGGCTGGCGGAGCTCCATATTGCCCAAAGGGGTTGGGGCATGGGGAGCATACCTGCAAGACCAGTCAGGCTGCTAAGAGGTGCCGAAAGCTGAACGAGCTGTTAGCTACAAGTGCCACATGGAGCTACTTGCAACCATAATCGATATAAAAACGCTGAATGGATCACCCTGTCCCTCCTTCCAAACAGTTTTCATGGGTTAGAAGCTTTGCTGAAGACCCTTTGTCGCGCTGAGTCATTCAGAGTCATTAAAGAGGCTAAATCTGCCCATAATCTCGCGGCAAAAGTCACTTGCAATCGAGGTTGTAGAAAGGGGTGATTTACTCTAGGCTCCCTTGACCGTGCTTTATGAACTTATATCTAATCAAATAGCATCTGCATTCTTGTCCGCTGAGTCTGTGAGAGTATCTGTATGTTAGAAACTAGGAGGATATAGATACATAGGAGTGGCAGGCGGCCGAACTGAGGGAGATTTGACGGCTATGGGATATATCAATTCGCTAATTTGCGAGGGTTTTGGGGCATTTAATATAGCAAAAGACCGTTTTCCTATGTATCTACTACTTCATACGCGTGGGCTGGCGTTCGGAATGCTCTTGCTTGCGCCGGAGGAAGCGCCTGCATAACCATACGACACGAGTAAGGCTACATCAGGTTAATAGCGTATCATCATCATCATTACCCATGAGCTTTCCCTTCGATCAATTTCCATCTCTCACCAACTCCGTGAGCCTCGGAGTGAGAGGGTAAAGGGCAACGTGTGATTGGTCCACCATGACTGCTTTCTCTACCTTGGAGCTGCTAAGGGAAGATGCAGGATGAGTAGAATCTTGAAAAATCTCTAAGGACAACCATGTATCTCAGTGGAGGTTTCTGCTAGTTCAGTGCCATTGCCCCTCGCAATGTGGGCTTGATGATCTCTTCATATCTGCTCCACCCGTTTATGACCTCCCGCTAAAGCGGCCTTGAGCGCGCTACCATGAAATCCGCCTTTAGCATTCACATCAGCACCCTTGGCCAATAGTATTTTGACCGCCTTTTCATTTCCAATATGAGATGCAGCTTGCAGTGCGTTACTGTATTTTCCACCTCGGGCGTTCACGTCAGCGCCATTGGCCAGTAGTATCTCCACCACTTTCTCCGAGTTTTCGAGTGCTAGATTCAGAAGTGCATCTCCTTGGGGAGAACCGTTCGTAGATAAATCATCCACAAACATTGCCGTCATAATCTCAAACAATCGCCGTATGCTTCCTTCTTCGTGTAGGATTGGACTCATGAGCGAAGCTGCACGCGCATTCCCAGCGGTAAGCGTCTTTACTGCAAATCCCTCCATACCCTCTCTTAGAAATTGGTATGCCGCCTGCCCAAGCATCTCTCGCTGAGTCAACGATGCGCAATAGAGTGGATTACCGAGATTTCCACCTCGAGCATTGACGTTGGCACCTTTCTTCAGGAGAAGCTTCACCGCATTCTCATGGCAGATGAGCGACGCATATAGCAGTGCCGAATCTATAGCAATTTGGACATGGTCATTCGAGATTTGTTGGCCCAAATTCAGGAGTTCGTCCACCCTTTTTTCGTCGCCGCGGATGGACGCGGTCTGAAGTTCTTGACTCAGGCCGTTAGGGCTGATCTGCGCACCGTGTTCTAGTAACAGCTGCATCACTTCCTTGTGGCCATAGAGTGATGCCACTCGGAGTGCATTGCCATATCTTCCACCCTGGGCGTTGATATCGGCTTCGGACTTGAGCAAGGCCTGCACTACTTCCTTGTGGCCTTTACAAGAGGCCGCCTGGAGTGCAGTGCCATAGTCTCCACTTTGGATGTTGACATCGGCGTTGTGGCTTAGCAAAACATCCACCACATCCTTATGACCTGTCAAAGATGCCGCCAGGAGTGCAGTACCACATTCTCCACTCTGGATATTGACATCAGCTTGATACTTGAGCAAAACTTGCACCACTGCCGTGTGTCCTTTCAAAGATGCCACCCGGAGTGCATTGCCATATCTCCCACCCTGGGCGTTTATATCACAATCTGTTGCCACTATCCTTTCGGCAATGTCGTCAAGTCCAAGAAGACTTGCGTAATATATAGGCGGTCCCCTATGATGCATCACCTGTTCGGAAATTGCAAAAGTGCCCCATGCAGTATCCACATCATTGAGGTCAACCCAAGCGCTAAAGCAACCGCCTTTGCCATCGTGAAACAGGTCAAACGCAAGATCCTTGAGGTCAGAATCTTTATTCTGACAGGCTGCGTAGTAATGAAACCATTCCATAGCAGCGAACGGAGCGAATGGAAACTTTTCATCTCTTTGGCCGGTTGTCTCATCTGAAAGGGCGGATTTCAGGTACACTAGACATATCTGTGCAAGTTCTCTGTTTGCGGAGACACGGTCGATTGCAAACGCGGCCACTTCATGTCTCCGGATAGCATCCGACTCAAGGTATTGTTGAACCAAGGAATGAGCAATATTGACAATTGCAATCTTGGCAGCTGGAGTCTTAAAGGGTGTGATGATTTTTGTCTGCGTAATCTCAATCAAGCTGCCACAGATTTTGCGAAGTTTGCGTTCGGTGAGCAGTCCTTTTTCAAGGTCTAAACGCGCCGGGTTTCGAAGATCAACCGCAAGTGCATGGCAGACTTCTCTCCCAGTCAAGGGGCGGTTCGAATAACAAAGCAAAGTCATAATACGCCGCACATTCTCAGTATTTGTCATGCCAACGCCACGCAACAGTCTCTCGTAAGTTTCATGCATATCAAGAGGCAGGTCCTCAAGGACTGTATCGAGATCTCTCAGAATCTGAGCCTCCTTCAGAGGTTGTTGCAATTGGGATGCCACATAAAGGAACCTGAAAGAAGCATCAGCCTATTAGGCCGACACGTCTTCTCAAAAGGAACTACTTACACTCCTTGTGCACGTTCTATTAATGCAGCTTGGATCTCGACATGATTGTCTTTCCACTGTTCGAGGTTTGGGTTGGTTGTCAATTGGTGGTAAACATAGTTGGCCATATCCTTGTCAACATTGGGGTTCTTCATCGTAACATCCTGGCCCTCTTGAGGGTTAAGAGATCCACGTATGTCAATAACATCGTGACTAGTCACCAAAATATGGAGGGCGGGTAGGCCCCACTGTCGCACCGTTGCTATGAAAGCCAAAACAGTCTCTCGTTCTTTGTGGTGAGGACACTCGTCCAATGCATCCAGCAGGATATAGATTTTGGGAAACCGCTGAGCAACACGGTGAAGGCAGGCAATCGGGTCATCTACATCCAATGGCGTTGTTCCGCTCTTGGAGGTATAATTTAGTTGACCAAGGTCTTTTGCGAAGTCGTCCACGTGTACCTGGTCCGAAAGCTGCAATAACAATGCACATAGCATTCCCAAGGCGCTTTGCTTCGATGAGTCTTTGAAATCGAAATAGAAAAAGGCAAGTCCGACGTCTTGGTCACCATTGACCTGAGAGCTCTTGATATATTCAACTGCGGTTGAAAACAACACTGATTTGCCACATCCAGGAGCACCATGCACCCATAGAAAGGAATTCGGCGTTTTGAGCCATTTGATAAAATCATTGCCATTTAAAAACCACTCTCCGGTACTTGCATAATGCTTTTGACGGGAATGGAGGTGGTTATCTGCGGCGTTAGGGGCCTCGAGCCAACTTTGAAGTTTTGAAAGTCTCTGAGACTCCTTGCCATGCAGCTGTAGCGCCAATGACAGGTTTGCGCGGATTCTCGCAGTATTTTCATACAAGTCTGCCAGCTTATTCTTTCGAAATGAAATTGCAATCCGTTGCATCTGATTTCGGAATCGACCTTTTGCGACTTCTCCCCACTGATTTTCCAACTACTTGATGGATTCTTCGCATCTTCTAATATCATGCTCAATCCGTTGCCGCAATTCTCCTTTGTTGGCACGAAGAGGGCAGTTCTGTATCGCAATTTTGAGTGATCGAAGTGAAACTGAAAGGCCTTCCAGGTCTTGCAACGTTCTGGCTCTGTTTTCATCTTGATCATTGTAGGAATTGTAACAATCGATGAAGGTCTGCGTGCCTTGGAGCGCGAATCCAATGAATCCAACCAACCCAGTCGATATGGAGAAAGGATCTGGCATGATAGAGCGTAATTTCTAAGAATTTGAACCGGTCGATCGTGATATGACCTAGAGAGCGGGCAATGTTTGAACAACGCGACATGAGATTCTCAAGTCAGCGTGACTAGGAGGCTCTAGTTGGAGTCAAGTTGGAAAATGGAAAATAGGGGGCGGTGCAAGGCAGACGTCGTAGGCTTATCCGAGACGCGCTAGCGGTGCAGGGGTGTGAAAGCTATTCACGATAGAAGCCTATTGCCCCGGGCAAGCTGGATTCGAATGAAGGCAAACGAAAAAGATCCAGAAAATCCAGCTATCCAATATATTACATTACAAGATTGAAGGTAGAGCAACACACATGGAGATGAACGTTTCGAGTAATATAAGTTAAAGCATTTACAACCCTGCGTATCATTATCGGGCCAGGCCTTGATACAGAATTAGTCTTATCGTTGATTACTGTAAAATCTGAGAGACAGGGGCTGATTACACTAAAATTCGAAAACAGATTAGTCTCCCAGACACTCACAGTCTGTTTCTCGGCCCACACAGTCATGTCCGAGAAAGAGGGTGAAAGCTCAAGCTCCGTTCCTATTCTTCTATTTCGAGGTGGCCGGGAGAACACGTCGCCTTGGGTTGTATCATGGTTTCTCAATGGAGTTGCAGAGGAAATGCCGACCGGATTGTACATTGAGTCTACTGATGATTGGTGTGCACAAGATTCGAGGAACGAGAGTCGACTACTCCGACCGTTCGATATTGGTGCTAACTCAATGCACGAAGGAGTAAGGAGTTCCGTTTCACTAAATGGAGTCCAAGTTGGCTCTTCGATGGATTATACCGATAGATTTTGCCAATGGACTCCTGCCCGTGGATTCATATAGTTCACATATCCATAAGGTTTTAAGGAAGGCCCCACCCGGCAGAGGAAATATGGTGGGCAGAATTTTATACTTAGCCTCGTCGATCTCGGGCAATCAACCTCCAACATGGTCTGGGGCTAATAGAGAGATCCAATGGCTTGTTCATTCTTCGTGAGAAAAATACGAAACAGTAAACCTAGTGGCCTGCTAGGTGTTTTTATATCATTTTTGTTCCTGGTGATGATTTATGATTCAAAGCGTAAAAGGTCTTTTGGCATGAATTGCACCACACAATCGTTCGTGCAAGAACTGCAATATGCTGGAAAAAGCGCTGAGACGACCCATATACTGAGATTACATTAACTTCGCGAAGAGAACGAGCCAAATTCTCGAGGATCCTGAGTCGGAAGTTCAGAGATACCCTAGATATATAGGACAGAGCATTATATCTTCGCGAAATCTTATGTGTCGTATTTACGAAAACTATTTCGAGCACTCGGGAAAATCCATGGTCATCAAATTTGCCATGCGCGAGCTTCCTGAGGCGCCGTTGCAGAGGTCATCTTTTGAGACTTCAGCTCGACCTCATCCATTCTCCCTGGGCGCTTGAAAAGATTGAAGGCTGTGGAAGTAATTTCGTCTTGAGTTACCTTCATTTGTTCTGAACTACTCTCAAGTCCTCTTGGAACATCTCCTCGAAATATTCTTCTAATCTGCTGCCTCTTCCATCTCACTCGTCTCGCCGCCCTTCTTCCGGCCTTTCCTTCCTGGTCACGATCTTTCCTTCTCGTCCGTATCTCAGAAGTGAACCCAGCGATCTTCTTCTTTCTCCGATAAACTACCACTCCACTCTCAGACGCATCCAGGTCTCCTTTTTCCTTCTCTCATCGTTCAAGCAAACCAAATGGCGGACCCTACCCCCGCGGAAGCTGAGCCTGCCGAGCCTTCTCCGGATGACATGACATACGTGGAGGTCACCAAGCATGCGGAACGGATCCTTTCGCGCTACAAGAACGAGGAGACAACCTTCAAGCCCTGGGAAGCGAAAGTCGTCTGGGAATACTGGCGGAGTTTTGAGATGATGGGACTTGTTCCTGGAGTCACGCTCCTCAAGTTCATGCAGGATGTTGTCATTCCTTTCGCATCTTCTCGAGTTGACTCCAGGCTTCAGAGATATACGCGCTACGACAAAGCCACCGGCGCGGACAGGTCCAAAACTTACAAAATTGAGGGTATCCCAGACCAGGGACCCAGCATTGTGTACCGCAAAGGCAATCTGATGACAAAGGCAAAGGTGACAAAGACAGCCGACCTACACAGTTCCAAAACTGCGGAGGACCCTATTGCCCAGAGTCGTGCAAAGCAAGGCAAAAAGCCTCCACATTCAGATCTTCCAGAGCGTACAAAAGAAAAAGTTGCTACCGAACCTACTTCTCGTTCAGCCTCCGTTGAACAAGTTAAAGAGACGAAGCAGTCTTCTAAGGGTTCAGAATCTACCATTGCCGGCAAGGAACTACAGCACGTGCCGTCAGCGCCAGCTCCAGTTCGCAACATCCCAATCGCCCAGGCCGATGACGAGGTCCTTAATGTGCCCATATCCAGTTCGAAGTACGTCGTTCACGGGTCTCTCCCTGCCCCGATCGCTAATCGGGTTGACGGACATCCGGATCTGATTAAAATCGACTGCTACGGCAAAGAGGAGATCGTGAGTATGCGAGATTTGATTTCGAACAACCATCTTCTCCAATCCACGGTGGAGTCTCTCAATACAACGGCAGCCTCAATGCAGGCCATCATTGAGGCCCAGAAAGCCAGGATCGACGTTTTGATGCACCATGTGGCAGGGCAGAACGCCAAGATCAAGAGCCTAACCAGCCAACTCGCGCTTCCAGTCAAATCGGACAAATAAACACGGTTTAATGCCACACGATGCATCTAATAACTATCGCAAGGAGCGGGTCTGGAGACAAAGGAGCGGAAAGTGAAGTTGATGCGAGTGCGACCACGATGTTGGAGGGCGCGGTGGCTGGGGTGGAACGTCCGGCGGTTTCCTTGGAAAATATGCTTAACCAAGTATCTTTATCACACGGAGTCTATTGAAGCTAGGACATAATTACAATATCATGGGCAATCAATGCAATCAGCTATTTTCAATCAATTCTTTTTGAAGTGTTAGTTGATGACAAGATTACCCATTCGGGTAAGGATCTGTTCCCGGATTCACCCTGCCCCGCTGAATATTTCGCCGCGCGTTCCGAAGGCTCCCCATCTTAAATATTTAGGCACGCCCTGGTTACTTAGCGCAACTCCCTTAAACCGACGACTCTGAACAAATCGCAGAAAGACCACCGTCTACGATGGACTCCTCCACCGTGGTCCCATTTTGGGGGCCTTCTACCTCTTACCTAAAGTATGTGATGACCGTCTGAGCCCCTCCTAGATCAAACACTTCGCTTACGTGTCAAATGTACGTAGTTTCTGTGAAGAGGTAAATCGCGTTTTTCCGTGGGCCGCTCCCCATACGGGCTCTCGTATATCAAAAGCTTATGTGCCAAATAGGATTATGTAGTAACTCGGTTCGTTGCTGAGTTCATCAACACCTTCAGCAGCTTGATCTTCAGTATGTCATGGTCAATCAATCTAGTTACAGAAAAGTTCGCACCTGATGGCCATGCCTTTTAGTCATTTACGGAATCTATGGCTTGAATCAGCTCCGCAATAAGCAGCAGACTGGTTACCGCTCGGTTTCATATTTGGGATTGATTGGGGTGGGAGTCTGCTCGGCTGGCTACCATATGACACTCAAATATCACACGCAAATGTGTACGCCTTATCCGATCCCAATGCTCCTGACGAGCTAACTGACCATGTGGAACTCTAGCGGACGAATTGTCGATGCATCTCCTGACAACGCCGCTTCTCTATCGCATTCTGACGTTCCAAGCTAGCCCGGAGCGAACCAGACTCGTGGGGATAGTTCTCTCTATTCTGTTCACCATCGTGATGGTCGTTCACATGGCCATGGACGAGTTCGTTCTTCACGCTGTCAGCTTCGGGCTCGCAGTCTATATGATCGCGACGCGTACATCAAAAATCATTTTCCAGCAAGTCACTGATCCTACACTCAGGAAAAAGCTTCGGAATATCTCATTCTTCGGTATCTGTATGTTTTTCTGTCTCCGAAATCTGATAGCAATATATTAACCAAATCAGTCTGCTTCGGCTTGGGCTATTCCGCGTGGCTCATTGATGAATGGGCCTGTGGGTTCCTGATCAACACTAGACATGCGGTCGGACTGCCACTGGCATTCTTGACTGAACTTCACGGGTGGTATGTTCCGTGTACTCTCTCTTTGAGAACCAGGTTACTGACCAAGATCCAGGTGGCATATATTGACTGCCATTGGTGGCTACGTTGCGGTCGCGCTAGTGGACCTAGTGACCACGGGTGAACTGCACGAGGACCCTACCGAGCATCTTGCCTGGCCTCTCCCTCTTGCGGCAAGATTCATAGAGTCACAGACAGGTTCTTGGAAACAGAAATAGACTTTGAAGAATATGAGGTAGATGCGTCGATGAGAAAAATGCCGATGAACTGCATTTGCGAACTAAACTTGGGTTGGACGCATCACCTAGTTCATTCACCTGGTATTCTTGCTCGCAACGGACGTATGGAGGCTGCGTAGAAATTGAAAACTACGGAATTAAGAATAAGATGTCCATCAAATGCAAGTACCGGCGACAACTGGTAAGATTGACTGTTCTCCAATCACTCTCCAGGGTGTTTTTTGTTGCCCTGGCGTCGAATCTCATCCATTATTCCCATAATGTAGATTGCCTCAGCCTACGGCCTACTTTTACTCTCCTTGCATCCTGCGAGAGCATCCAACGCGTATTCCGAGCCCCGTATACAAACCCGCGTCCAGGAGAGGTAAATTCCAATAGATTCCTTCAATTCTCGGCTGATTCCATATCGAAGATGAATAAGCACTGGTTTTTATCGATGCTTCACAGCCTCCATACCGGTCGACCTCTGTTGTACCCAAAAACTGTTCTTCGGTCTTCACAAACTCCAGCAGGGTGTGGTGGACTTCGGCCGAGTGAGCCAGCGTCATGCGTTGAATATTCTTTACCATACTCCGAGGGCAAATCTCCCTGTGTAATTTCTCCTGCACGGAAAGATCTTGATTGGGCAAATGAGAATCTTGCTCAGCGAGGTGTGCATATATACACCTTTGAGGAAGTAATCAAAATACCGAATTTGGAGGCTGTAATTATTGCCTCTCCGACAACTACTCATGCAAGCCAAAGTCTTGTTGCCATTCAATATGGGATACATGTTTTATGCGAAACGTTAGTCACTATCAATCTAGATGAGGTAAAGTTAATATTCCAAGCGATTCAGCTTTCAACACCAATCTGACCGCTTGGGCCAGTTACAAACCTAAGAAGCTCTGGGCCACTGGAATAACCACAAGGCATGCTAAGTTCTATGATTTCGGGATGGTGATGATGTATTCGGAACTATAGAGTTCTAGGTAGGTGCGATTGCTTAGTTTCATGGTTCTCGGACTCGTGCTCAAGGATATGATCACACAACCGAAATATTTAATACCATTGAAAGCAAGGATCAAAGGTGTCTAGAAAATCGGGTCGAAATTTCGGATTCTACAGGTATTCAGAATGAAGTATTCGAAGGTCGGATGGATCTTCATGCAGAGTCATCCATCACGAAAGTCAATAATTTCACCGTTGCAATCCCTGACAGGACCGAGCGTCCGATAAAGCTTGATTCGGCGTTGACGGTTTGCAGGAAAAACTGAGGACTGGATTGTTGATCACAGAGTAATGGATGTTGGAACCAATCAGTCCTCTCTAAAAGCATAGCCTCGCAGTTGCCACCCTCTAGTTGCATTTTACGTTGGCATTTTCAGTATTAGGATAAAAAAGCCTAGATCATCATATCTTATCCTGACACGGAATGAAACGCGAATATATATTTGCCACATGCAAGGGACTGTGCATTAATGGACAATGTAGAAACTCTCATTCATTGGTACTTAAAGCATTAGGTCTATAATGAATGTCAAATACGATTCCTAAATCCCCACCACTAGTCGGTCATTGCTAGTGCACCCTTCAGAATATCCTACAGTAACTAGTTACCTTGAGAACGGGCCCGGGACAGGCACGTGCGCAGAGGGTAGTCGAGGCTGACGTAATATGCGGAGGCGTGCAACGTTATTCTGGAAAGCTGTCCAGATTGAGGTATACTCCACGTCTCCCGATGCCCGCGTGAGGTTGCACCCCCTTCCTTCTCTGATGACCTTCGACTCGAAAGTCTCAGTTTAATTGCCATGAGACTGGCCGCGTACACTGGGGTGAGTGATTCTATCCCACACAAGTGACTGCTCTCCCGATCGCCGCTGACTCCTGTCAGGCCTCCGTGGCCCTGGCCACCGGTGTGTTCTTGAAGGCGCTACACCAGAGAACGAACTTCTACGCCGCTTGTGTATATCTCTCGCAGAGTAGTGCGAATCTTATGGTCTGTTCAGTTGACACCTCTTCTATCTTGCCCTGGCTCCGGGCTATCCTGCTCCGCATCGAACCATGCTGACTCGTGCGCCCTGGGCGCGACCCTGCAGATCCTCACGAACTTATGCCTCCTCGCGACCGGCTTTATCCTGTTCTGGCTACAGCGACTTCTATATGGGCCTCTTCGGCCAATCGAAACCGAACAACTCTACGAGCGAGCGTGGTTTGCCGTCACGGAGACATGTCTGGCCATGACCATCTTCCGGGGAGAGCTCGGGGGATGGTTTCTGGTCATGTTCATCTTGCTCCTGGTCGGCAAAGTCTGGGGATGGATTGGCGAGGGGCGAGTTGAATATTTGGAGCAGCAACCCCCGGCGAATCCGCTCCTGTTCCACATCCGGTTGGCACTGTCGCTGGTCTTGTCAGTCCTCTTCAATGTGCTGATGCTCCGGTATTGTGTCAACACCGTGATCGATGAGGCACGGGCAGACATGATGATTATGTTTGGCTTTGAATTTGCTATCTTGACCATCTTGTCCACTTCAACCACACTTCGATACAGCATCGCGTTGACGGAGATCTATATCACCCGCAAGCAAGTCAAAGCGAAGATGGAGGAACGCCGAGCTGAGATTCGGGCGGCTCGTGTTGAGGCCATCCGAGAACACGCACGTGCTGGGGCAAGTTCCCCTCCTCCATCGGTCGACTTGCCTGATGAGAACGATGTAAATGAATTGGAGATTGACGTTCCAGGGTGGGAGGAGAAGGGTCGATGGGTATTCTACCTCGACCTGCTGACAGATTTCCTGAAGCTCGCTGTCTACCTCGTCTTCTTCGCAATTCTTCTAAGATTCTTTGGTTTGCCGATTCACATTCTACGCGACGTTGTTGTTACGATGCGATCTTTCGGCCGTCGCATCATGGACTTCCTTCGATACCGGAATGCAACCAGAGATATGAATGAACGATACCCCGACGCCACAGCAGAGGAGGTCGCGCGCGAAGATGTTTGTATAATCTGTCGGGAGGAAATGACTCCAGCCCAGCCTGCTGCGGGTGTAGACGGGGGGCGGGAGCACAGCCAGCGGCGGGTGTACAGCGTGTGCCCGATCGTCTGCGTCCAAAGAAACTTCCTTGTGGGCATATTCTCCACTTCGCTTGCCTTCGCAGCTGGCTCGAGCGCCAACAAAACTGTCCTACTTGTCGACGTCCCGTGATCGCGCCTCAACGCGCCCAAGGAGCGGCTGGCGAGGCCAACATACCCGGCAATGTTGGAGGCGCCGCTCAGCCTAATGGCGCCGGTGCAAACCCGATGCCTGGCCAGCCAGGTGCTCAGGGGGAATTACCAAGAGCTCGAGTATATCAGCTCGGTCCATTCCGAATTGGCTTCGGTGCTGTCCGTGGTGACCTTTTACACAACATTCACCAGCAGATTCACCAAGGCAACGCACCATTACAACCCGGCGCAAATGCCAATCCACCTGGCCCGCGTCAGATTGGTTTCGGGTTTGGATTTGGCCAGCGTCCGCCAGCCCCAGCTCCTGTCCAAAACCAACCTAATGCCGCGTCCTCCAACTTCGCCGATATCCACACTCAGTTGCAGCAGATTGAGCAGCAAATAGCGCAAGAGATCAGCTCTCTGCGCATTGCCGCAGAGCAACTGCGGCGTGTGCGGCAGCTTCAGGTAGAGCTAGATCGGCTTCGCCTGCAGGCCGACCCTGCAGCCCAAACAGCCACGTCCCCAAGTCCCACAGCAACGATACCACCTGGCACCTCGACCTTTACGTCCCGTCGTCAGTTTGTCTCTAACCCGGGCGCTACGCCTCTGGCTGCTGGCGATCCCGGTCTACCAGAGGGTCTCAGCCTTCCCGCTGGATGGACTCTTCTTCCTCTTCATTCCACAGAGCAAGGTGCTGGAAGCATGTCACAGGCTATCAACCCAACTCCCACCACATCTGCACCACAGCACCCAAATGGCATAACCGCGACTCAAGCCGCCGAAGCCCCGGCTCCAGCCACCACTTCCACCTCTGAAGACAGGCACACCGAGGTAATCGAAGCGACCACTTCAAGTATCGCAGAGGCTGAGTCAGATAACGCTGTGCCCAACTGGTCTGTGCCCAGCGCACCATCTTCGGTTGAGCATCGAGCAGACTCGCCATCCCAAGAGTGGACAGACGTGCAATCCGAGCAAGTCCCTGAGGCTGGCCCCTCCTTGATCCCCTCTACATGGGGCAGTAATGGGCAACCCCCCAAATCAGTCCCTGAGGCTGAACCTGCACGTCCCGAATCCCCATCCAAAGGTAAAGGCCGCGCAGCCACGGTGGAAGAGGGAGCCGAGGAAGAAGCGTCTTGATTGACCCCCAATACCCCCTCATGTATTTTTTTCTATCTCGTTGAGCCCCCCGACTTCCCACTACTGGTCACATTCCCGCCCACTCTTCGACCCAGCGTTGCATAGCGTTCTTGAGCAAAATATCATACCCGGTTGTCCACTTTTTCACTTCGATATATGCCTGAGGCTGTCAGGGGCACGGTGCCCCCGAGGCGAGGACTCGCACGATTGCCAGTTAGTGGTGTACACACTTTATATTCAATGTAACAAGCGATGAATTCGGGATGGTATGCTAATAAGAGACATTCAATCCTTGCCAAATCTGCGGCAAAACGAATGATTCATATATCCAATCTATTAAAGTTGAGATTGATAGTAATAACAAGCAATGTGTTGTAGTGTATGGTACATTCCTCAGACAGGAGATTCTATGCACAGCCTCAAAAAAGATCCAGTCCACCAACGCCCAAGATAGAATACATGCAATTAAGTCACGACGGCGCCTCGTCTAGCAAGACTGGAAAAAGGAGACCGGTTCGAGATGATATTGTACAGTGTGCGAATGCACTTATTGTTTGATGTTTATGCGGACGTGCCGATAAACCGCAGGACGAACTCGTAGACACCCAGAGTGATGATGGCTGAGGGGACCGAGCGAACCATATGCGGCATAAGACCTCCGTAGAGACCTGCCATACCCTCTTCTTTAGCAATCAGTCGGAAGCACTGCACCAGACTGGTGTATTTGGGAGAGCCGTTTTCCAGCGGTGCTTGGCGCAGTCGTGTTCGGATAACCTAAAGTAAAGTCAGTAAGTCTTGAAGATATAGTTTCTGAGGGTGTGGTGCCGTACCTCGTGCGGGTATGCGATGAGGGCAGCAGCAAACTTGGCGGATCCCGCCGCACCGGTTGTGCTGAGCCAGCTTGTGATTTCCTTTTGCGTGGCCGATTCCTTCCCATCCGTCGATCCGAGCGATTTATGTAAAATAGTCTTCATCCGTTCGTACAGGACCAGGTGAAGCGCCGTCTCCAAGGAACCTAGATAACTTGCGCTAAGTCCCCTGTACAACCCGCGGATGCCCTCCTGGCGGAGAACTTGGCGGACACAGTCCAGACTGTTCTTGTACCGGCGGCTTCCAGTGGTTGCTTGAGCTTTGTCCAGTTGCAGTCGTGTCTTGACCAGCCAAATTGGATTGGTTGCCGTGGCCGTCGCTATTCCCGCGGAAATAGCGGCTTGCGCGTGGACGAGCGTTGAGTCTTCGCCTGTTCCTAGCAGCTGGGCGCCGATCCGCTTACAGTTTCCGTAGACATAGAACTTGATGGCAGTAGCCGGAACCACGCCAGCAAGACTAGGGCCAAGGCCGCGAAAGAATGCTCTCCATCCTTCTGCTTGATAGATATTGCCAATTATTCGGACAGTTTTGTGACTTGTGTGTTGAGGGATAGCGCCCGCGGAGGCGGCGGAGGGAGGACGTTGGTAGAAATCAGATTGGAGTCGTGTTCTCAGGACATCGAGGGGAGATGTAGCGATAGCAGTTGCAAAGCCACCGCTCCTATAATGTGCATGTTAGTGCAGATCCGGGGGGATGGCGATTGTCACGGAACCAAAAAAAACTTACGCGCCAGCTAGCAGGTGAACCAACGGGTCATGGGACTTCTTCGTTGTGACATGTGAGGCCTTGAGAGGAGTGTTCTCCTCAGCGGGTCGACCGTGGATCTTGGGACTTTGTTGCATCGCGCCAGCACATTCTACAAAGGAAGAAGACAAGATGCGAACCCAGGAAATTTCCCTTCTCCGTGGTTCGGCGCCGCAAGTTTTCGCGTTGTCACGTGAGATAACACATCTCAGCATCCCGATAGGCGCCACTAGCCACTTTTTCCGGCTGGACGCGTTTGAAGGACGCGCGAATGGTTATATTCTTGATTATTTCGGCAAGTATTCTTGTATAGATAGTTTAATGGATTTGCAAAGATACTCCTGATTTTTTGGATCTCCTACGCTACGCTTTAGGGAAGTGCCGTGAAATATGTCTGAACCGTATGCTAAATACATCTTGCCAACTACAAGCGATGGGACGGGTAGGTTTCAGACGGCGGGATTGGCTAATTTTATTCTCTGTCATCTGAATGAAATTGTTATTCTAGTTTACATATACATCGGATAGTAAATCCGGACGGCCATGGAAATGTTATAGATCGCAAGTAATCCCTACATCACGGTAGTTATTACTTGATCATCATTACGTTGAAGCTTGTTTGCCCCTCCGATGCTTGAAGTAATATTTGTATGGACCCGTTTAATATCGATTTCCACAGGGAATCCAACTCCAATGAAAGAATAAATGCTCTACCGATCCGCCAGCATCTATGAAACTCCCCTGGAAGATTGAAGATATATACACTCAAGGGGGAACAAGTCTGGCGACCAACCAAAAACACTAAAAAAAGAGTCGTTGAAATTTGTAGTTATTCTTTGGCAATTTGTACGGAACATAGACAAACGAACAGATATAAGCCATGCTAAGCTACTCCCATATGGAGGCGGCCAAGCCAAGTCCCAGCAGCAAACAGGTGGATATTCAGGGGCGATCTCCGCCGCTCATTTTCTGCGACGGCTATCATTTGTGGTTTCAGGGATCTGCAGTGGCCACTGTCATCGGTTTCACCTGGTCTATCTCGATACGAGTGCAGGGCAGTGATCATCCTTCGCACCGCCCCATTTCTCGCTATTCCGTGGACTGAGTCTTTCGCTTTTCAACCTCGGGCCACTCACTCCTTTCGCGCTTTCTTCTGCCGATGCGTTAAGCCACAGACCGCTCCGACTGCTGTCGTCATCCTCGCGCGGTGCGCAATCCGAGGACCACTGAGGTCCACCTCCACCCGTGTCTTAGCCCTTCATTCGCCCTCGGCGCCCCGCGATGGGCCGTTTGAGTTGCTGGCACATCGAATATTAGGCACGGGCAGGCCCCAATCTAGACCCTCGTTCTATGAGGAACAAACTTCACCTCTCAACTCCTTTCGGCTTCTGATCCTCACTACCAGAGCCGGCAATCGCGGCAACCCCCTTCTCCCTTCCACCCTTCTGATTCGGAGACCGAACCGATTCATATGGTCCTGTGCAATGGTGTTCTTCTGAGTCTTGAGTACGTTGGCTGGAGCTTTGTCGCAATGCTGATTTTCCAGCATCTCCGGGCGTCTTGTCATATATGCCGGCCTGCTGACAGCATCTGGTTGGACGAAAAATGAGGCTAACTCTCATCTTGTGCGACAGATCAATTCTCCGCGTATAATTGACCTCGTCCCACCCACCTTCCATGATTCTCTCACGGCGCGCAGTCCTCTTCCTCGGCGTCAGCTTCTTCTTTATCCTCTTCATCACAGCCCGCCGTCTATCACAACCATGGAGCAACTATTCGCAGGCCGTGGGTCTAGGGGAATATTACAATTCCTCCAGCCCCGAGTGGACCGGAGCCTTCAACATCACAAGCCATGGCAGTAAAGCCCTGTACGCCCCTCAACCGAATTACCTCCCCGGCATTCCGAAACCGCCTGGATCGACGTATACGAAGATGTTGGTAGTGCCGCGGACCAAGACGGAGGATACAAGCTGGATTGAGCAGGAGTTGCCGGACTGGAGGAGTGCGATCTACGTAGCGGATGACCCGAAAGCGCCCTTGCACCCACCGAAGAACAAGGGTCATGAGGTGATGGTGTATCTGTCCTTCATTGTCGACTTCTACGAGGAGCTTCCCGACGTTGCGGTGTTTATGCACTCGCACCAGAACGCCTGGCACAACGAGGAGCTGTTTGGTGGTGATTCTGCGGAGATTCTCCGGCGACTGAGCATGGAGCGGGTCATTCGAGAAGGATACATGAATACGCGCTGCGCGTTTGGCCCCGGGTGTCCCGCCTGGATGCACCCCGGTGCTGTCGAAGAGGACGAGACCAAGCAGGAAGAGGTAATGCTGGCTCGTGCGTGGGGGGAGTTATTCCCAGACCAGCCCGTCCCGTCGGTGCTAGCCCAGCCATGCTGCGCCCAATTTGCTCTGTCCCGGGATCGTATACGTTCAATTCCTCGCGCCCGTTTCATATTCTACCGAGACTGGCTGTTGCAGACGGACATGAGCGATTATATCGCAGGTCGTATCTGGGAATATCTTTGGCAATACGTGTTCACCGGCAACCCCGTTGTCTGCGTGGAAGAGAGCGTGTGTCTCTGCGATGGCTACGGGTTCTGTTTCGGTAGCCCGGAAAAATACCAAGAGTACCGTGCTATGGACACCGAAAGGAAAGAAATGCAGCAGCAACTAGACGACTGGGTCTACATGAGTGAGGAACTCAGGTTGGCCCAAGAAATGGGAGAACTAGATGAAACGATGGACTTGGAAGTCCCACCCCTTGGCCAGAAATCTGAGATCGAGGAACAGGTGTTCGAAAAGCACATGGCAGTCGCCGACGTCCTCGAAGCTGCCATTGAGCGTGGCAAAAATCCGAAGTTCCGTGCTCTGGAGGCCGGTCGCCCTTGGAAGGAGGGTGATGGCTTCTGAATGTCCGTGGGATCCGGGCCTCCACGACTCTCTTTCCCACGCAGGCCGAGTCCCGGGAGCATTTGTTGGACTTCTATTTGCAATATCACCAATCTACCGGCGTTGGAGATGGCATGTGCGCCATATACTTTGCGGATCTGATTAGAATCAGCTCTGATCAAACTGCATTCTAATACTTGTTTTCTGGTTACTGGCGTGTGATATGGCAATCTTCTTGGGTACATACTGCGATTTGACTTCCCTGTACATTCATACAGCATGAGAGGCTGTGAGAGTTTTCCTAGTGGGATTGACTGAAATGTTCCAAATTCGTTACATTGATCTATTTGTCTTTCTGGACGATGTATACTTTGTTGGATTGAATCTAGAGACGTGAGTGCTGGGGTAGTATAGACAGATCCAAACACTTCGATGACTACAACACGGAGCGGGTAATCACGTGACTAGACTGCAAGGTTTGCACTGTCTGTCCTTCCTTCAAACCACGCAAACATCATCATCAATCGCCCCGTCGCGTTGCGCTCTTATCAGTTGGACGCTCGAGAGCTGTCGTGAATAGCTTCAACCTCCTCCAACCTTCGACGCGCTTACTACCCCTCGCGGGGTGTGGCGCTGTGAGGTTCTCCTAGAAAACTATCGCCTCCAGCTCGCAACTCCGACGTGTCTGCGACTAACTGCAGCCATCAATTAGCTACTCCGGAGCTCGTCGCTGCTGATCCACTGCCATATTTCGCCTTTTTGAACATCCCAGGGTGCTTCCACTGGCTCTGATCTGGTGGGAGTGATTCTGTTGGCCTCCTGTACAATTGAGGCGCCCGATCCACCGGATCTTTCGCTGCCAAATTGAATCAGCCTAAGATTACAGCCTCCAGATACCACCTGACACCCCACCAACAACCATGTCTTCCTCGAATTCTAATAACCAACATCCTTCATCCTCCTCCGCCGACCTTGCGTCCCAGTCAAATCCCAATGTTCATCTGGACCCGAACAACGGATACGCCCCCAGCGACAACCAGCTTGCGGGTTTGGTGGAAGCAGCAACCGCTGCTGCAGGCCAAGATGTCTCCCCTCAGTGGGCTGCCGCTGTTGCCACCGCTGCTGGGGTAGCGGGACATCACCAATTGGATGGTTACGGCGCAGACATGCATCTTGGGGACGATGGGTTCGGTGATGCGAACTTCGGCGCTGGAATGGGAGGTGGCAGGCACTTGAGAGTACCGAATGACCACTCCCAAGGGTCTGGACTATCTCGCACCGTATCAAAGAAACGGAAGAGGAACGATGATAATCTCGACCCCGCGCTGGCCGGAGCTGGCCTCTCTGGAGCGCAACAGCAGAATTCGCAACAATCTCAGCAAGCCCAGCAAGCCCAGCATGGCTATGCTGGCGATAACATTGATATCCGTCCCGTGCCACCACAGTCACTCTCCGAAGCGCGTGCAGTGGGTGTTCATTCTGCAGCAGCACTGTTTCGCCAACCATCAAGCAACAAAAAGTACACTCGCCCCCCAATGTCGAAGCTGTTTGCGTCACTTGAACTGTCGCCTGAAAACTTCTTGCACCTCCAAGCTGCAGCCAAAGGATTCATGTTGGACGATGATCACCCCGAACGGCGTGACTGCGTTGGTCAGCGCGGGAAGGGAGACACCGAAATGGTCAAGCTGCGACTATGGAACTGCGTTTCACATTTCCTTGAGGCCGAGGGAAATGGCGAGCGATTCTTCGGAGAAGATGTTGTGAACGAGGGCATGGGTCCTAGAACCTATATTTGGCCCCACGACAAGCAAAAAATCATTTCGTTGGTCATTCCTCTTTTGAGACGAATGGTCACCAACGAACGGCAACGCCAATATGCGATTGAAACACGCAAGGGAGGCGGCACAGAAGAGCGCCGGCGCCGCAAGACCAATGAAAGCTTCCAGGATTTGGATGGCCCTCGTTTCTCTCCAGAGCAACAGTTGCAGCAGATGCACAATCAGAGCCAATCGATGCCCCCGCCGCCACCCCCGGGACAGGCCGCCCAGGCGGCGATCGAATCAGATCAAATTATGGATATTGGTTTGGCTGACCTGCTCTTGGATGGATACACAGTGGACTGGAACGAGATTGCCAGATCCTATGATATGTATAACCACGACTATGAACTGGATAACCTCTGGTCTCTCTCCGGACTTCAGCAGCCTGACTGGCGTGGCCTGGTTGCAGCTGTAGATAGCCACTACCATGTTGTCCACAACGGTGATTACGAGTGCCCACCCGGCTGCGAGAAGGCAAATGTCGACCGCATTATCCATGCTGATGCGACGGCAAATCTTTCATGGCGCATTGGAGGAGGTCGCAACCTGCCTGCGCGTGACGAATTGTAAGTTTTCCACACTCCCGTTATACCGAAAACCCCATTTCCTAATTCCCCAACAGCGCCAGCAGTATCACCCGCGACGTCTCGCGGATAATTCGCGAGAACATTGCCGCAAGACATGGTGCCCCACCGACCTCTCACGTACCAGCAGGAGCAGATCACCAATTCCACCCTCAGCAACCATTCGTCCCAATCCAAGACTCGAAGCCCCACTTGGCTGCTAATGTCGCTACCTCCAACACCAATTCCCACACGCAAATCTACCTCCGCATCAATGTGCTCCAACACGGAAAACGCATTCTTCCCCGACTGGACGTACCAGCGGGCCATTGCCCTAACGTCCATACGATCAAGGAGTCGGTTCTCCGCCGCTATCACGGCCAGATTCCAGGCCTACCACTTCTACAGGGATCAGACAATATTGATCAGCAAATACAGGATTCCACTGCGGCTGCAAGCTGGAAGGTCAAGGCCTTGCTGCCGGATGGCCTTGTTGATGTCCAGAGCGAGAAAGACTGGGCCTTTGCTCTCCTCTCTGCGGATACAGTGGACTGGATGGACGGCGACTTGAAGATTCTCGTTGAACTTGAAGGTGGTAATACCCAGTAGATGACGTATCTACTTCTCTATGATTGTGACCTTTATTTTGCGATTCGGTCTTGCTGCTGCGAAGAACCTGTGTATTATTTACGGCTCGTGTACTTCTATAGTTGATACAACCAGCCCTGTGCGAGTAACCATGCTATGCTCGGGCTTTATGTTTGCATCTAGTAATCTTCCCACCGTCACGTAGTCTCCTCTTGTCGTTCTTACTTCCACGTGAGAGAGAGAATCCTGGCATGGACTGCTTCCTCCTCCACCCTCTTTCTTTACACAATATCAATCCTCCGAACCTCTACCCGCTGCATAACACATCCGAACGCAGTGGATCCTCCTGCTCCAGCCGAAACTCCAGCCGAGTGTAAAGCCGCTCTTCTACCCACCCACCGCTCGAATCTGGATATGGATATCCCTGCAAGCATTCTAGCCGAGTTCGACGCGATACTTGCAACCCCTCCGACCACCCAAATCGAAGAGCAAGATCCGGCTCCAGGAAAATGGGTTCGCTTGCTTCGCGAGACTCGGTGGGAAAATATCGTCCCCCCCTGGTTCTCTTTACTTGCGCTCATCCCAATTCGCGAGCCCGTCATCCAGCGCATCATCAACATTAAGGAGGCCCTCAGCCTCAGGGATTACCTCGAGACCCGTCTTCGGCAGCGCGAGGCCTTCCTCGCACAGGCTGTTGGCGACAAAGTCACTCCGCAGTGTGAGCAGTGCGCACAGGGCAAGGGCCAATTTGTTGGCTGTATTGTCGTTCCCGGTATGCTCCATGGTGCCTGCGCCAATTGCGTCTGGGAGAAGCCGAGAAGCCGGAAGGGACAGTGCAGTTTCCGTGAGTATCCAGATGGTCATAGTCATTGAGTTGGGGGTCTAGTGGCTCATGGTGCTGATTTGACATGAGCTAGTTGTGATCAAAGAAAACAAGGAGGATGCTCATCGTCTGGAGCATGAAAGGAAGGTGCAAAAGGGAGACGATCAGTCAATTTTCTGCGAGTGGGGATTGTCTAGCACTCAGTGATAAGTTGGGGATTTTATTTGATCATGAGATCCACAAGATTTACTCGATTATGGACTTACGACATTTTGTGATCTTCATATGGAATAAGTTATCATATGCACAGTCCCGTCAGCGAACATGCTGGCGATAACCTTGAATGACACACGACATGCTACAGTATGCTATATATATAAATCTAGCACACCTCCGGATCAGCTATTCAAAGGATAGGAAATGTAAGATGTCAAGGGCGCCCCCCGAGCGGTCCCTCAAGGGGTGGGTTTGCGGCCTGGCGGTGGCATGGAGATTCCGCCACCTTATCGAGGACCCAGAAACCCTAGGAGAGCACGATATCTGACTGGTGTTACCAGCAAGCAGTATAGATGCACCAAGAAATCTCTCACATGGGGAAGAATACCCGTGCTGCGCATGCAAGCAACTGGCGGAGCCCGTCGACAGCGTTACCAGTGGTTGAACTCGAAGTAACGGCAAATCTATCATGAGGACTGTGCGAGAACTTGGCCGACTGCTTTGATCTCGGTGGTTTGCACGGGCCGGGGGCACTCGGCATCAATGTCCGTGGACCCGCCGACAATGCTCTTGAGGAAGACCTAGATTCTTGGTAATTAGGGTCGTATATCCGCAATTGCGCCAGGCAAAGGCTGCTGAGATCTGCTGTTCATTGGAATGTTATATTCATAGAGAATCTTGCCACTGAAAGCTCAAAACATCTTTCGTACATCGTTGAGGAGAAGGTCGCTGAATAAAGTCTTATATCGCTAGCTGTCCTATGTAAATGAATTCTGCTGAAATATAAAGCCGAAGGAAAATGAACAGGTCCATGTCTCATAATACAGGGTAGTGGTAACAATGAGCAGGCCATGAAAAGATATGCACATCGCGAATGCGTTGCGTCTGGTAGGAAACAACACGGTCTCAACAAGTTGACCCAAGCAGGAAATAAAGTCTCCATCCTATACGCCGTAATCATCCAAAGCCAGCTGGAAAGAAGAATGGGGTACGTGCAGTTGATCACTGATCATCTTCGGCACTTATATCATTTATTGTGTATGAACAGGGTCCGGAATGAGTCCCAGTGATCCGAATCCGCATAACTGCACCGGGGGAACATGGTTAGCCGAAATGGTCGGAGTGGAAACAGGGCCATAACTGGAAGAGAGGGGGGGATAATAAGGGTGACATACATGTAGACCATGCTACTCCGCAAACTGGACGCTAGAGTATCGGGGTACCATCGGAAAAGATACATAACGAATGCCCAGCTCAGACTGGCAAAAGCGGGCCAGGCATTCTGGGTAATCTGGGCTCGGGCTTCGGGGGTGATGAGGGAGGAGAGAGGGTGCATGTCGGGTTGGACGGAGAGTTTCGCGAGGGAGAGCATAACGCGGGCGAAGACGTAGATGACGATCTAGTGGTGTATTAGCGCTTTGCAGGACCCAAAGTGCATTGGGCTTGAGTGTGGGAGTTTGGCCGTACCTGCTGGCTAATGCTTCCCCGCTGCCGGCCGAAGACCGCATACCCACCCAACAAACCCGCGAAGAAGCTGTCGTAACGGCCTTCCTTCCCTGATCCTGCGGGGCTAATGTTTCGTAGAACGATCATGGAGGCCTTATAGATCATGGCGAACGTGGCAAGGTTTCGAGCATGGTGGCGGGTCGCTTTGAGGACGAGCTTGACCTTTTCTCGGAATCTATACACCCGGAATAAGTCAGTTTCTCGGAGAACTCGGAGGAGGAAGGAGGAAGGGGGTTCACCTACGTGCCCGATCGGAACAAAAAGATCATGCTATATGCGAAAGTACGCCGGTCAGTATCCAACCTAACATGACCATATCGTTGCGTTCCAGAGTATCCGAGGTCCAACTTACACCAGCGCGTGCGGAAACCGCACTTTCGACCCGTAGACGACACCATTGCGCGCACCCTTCAACAGCGACAAAAACGGCGCAAACTCGGGCTTGAGGACGAGGGCGTCCAGGCGGGACTGTAGACAGATGTTATGTTAGTTGCAGCTTTTTGCATGTGCTTGTCTGGGGTGCTGCTCACCATGAGCGCATCCATAACGGCGCGCGGGACCTCAGGTGGAGGTCGAACTCGGACAGAGGGGACTACTTAAGAAGTGCACCACAGTGACGAGTCGGGAAGGCCGATGAGGTTCATGAAGAAGGAAGAATAGAACCAGAATAAGGATATGAGAGAGGGGCGGCACTTTGACTCGGATCCGCATCGAGAAAGGGCCTCGGCATGTGAGACGATGCCGACGGCCGACGTCATGGTCACGTGGTACACAGTATATAACACGCATCTCGCACGGAATGAGCCTAAAAATGGGACTAGGTGGTGAATATTCGAAGAAACTCTAAGAAGAAGATCATTTTGTCAAGAATCATGGCCTTTTACTATAGTACTTTTCCATGCCGGTACAGGAGACCTGCAGATACACAGGCGTCAAGAAGCACAAACCCTAACCGGACCAAACGCCTTGAGATAGTAGTAAATACGCAACAATGCAAGTAGATCAGTTCTAGTCCGTGCGAGCGCGCTTGTGGCTCTCGTCCTCCAAAATCTCGTCCACATCCATCATCTCCAGCTCCTCCTCGTCGTCCGACTCGATCCCCGCCCGACGCTTCAGACCCTTCATCTTGCGGGTCTGGAGGCCGCCCAGATCCTGCTTGCCCAGGTGAACGCGACCGATCTTATCACCCATCGTGTCCATGGTGATGTTCTTCTTGGTCCTCATCTCCTCGTTGGGGCGCTTACCCTGCTTCATGGCCTCCTTCATGGCCTCGGGGGTAGCGGGGCGCATGCGGCCGATCTTGAAGTCGAACTTGGGACCAACCTCCTCCAGCTCCACACGAGGTAGCTTGTGGCCGCTGCGCTTGGTGACAACCTTGTACCACCGCAGGTGCACAACCGGGGAAAGGTTCTCGCGGGGCTCCTCCGCGGCGACCATCAGAACGTATTGCAGACCTTCGACGTCGATTTGGCGGGTCTCCTCGCCCTTGAACATGTCCAGGAAGAAGCTCTTGAGCATAACGTGTGCTGAAGAGTTCGGGTCCTCCCATGGGCTACCGGAGAAGAGCATCATGGGTCGCAGGCCGAGTCCCACGTGCATGACGAGCTCGTTGATACGCGGGATGGCGCCGCTGTCGGATGCGGGAAGAAGCATCATTTCGCAAATGTCGAGAGTTTGTGAGTTGAAGATCCGTGCAAGAGTAACGCAGTTGGGGCGCTTCTTATTGCTGCTTCCAAAGACGACCAGGCCGCACTCGTTCTTGTTCGCCAAGAACTCCATGCTCTCAGTGTTCTCAAAGGGGTGAAACTCATTCTTCTTGTGGAACAGGACGGAGTGAGGCTTCGTAAGCGAGTGAAATGTCTTCAGAACGGTGTCGAGTGCCTGGGGGCATTTTGTGCCGTGCAGGAGTAGAGTCTTCTTCGCGGGTTCAATGAGCTGGGGCTCCCGTGCCTTGAGGATGCGCGCAGTGCGCGGGTTCTTTGCTTTGCTGGAAGAACTAATTCAGTAAAAGAAGACCGACCAGCCAAGATTTGGGTACGTACACTTCGCGCAACATGGTGGCTATGGGTTAATTCGTTTGAGAATGTTCGGAGTAAAAAACGCAAAAAAGTTTTGGGGTGAGGCCTTGGCGCCCGCTTATCGATAAGCACCGACCCACACCGGGCGCCTGAGCTTCGCCAAAGAAAACAAGTCTTATAGAGCAATTCAGCCCCCCAACGTCTTATTAACTTTTTTTTGGGAATGGAGACATCCGTTTTTTAACAAAAGGAAATAGGAATTCATTCATATAATTTAATCTATAGACCAGACAGCGGTGACCTCCGCACTTTACTCAAGGCGGAGCTTTTCAAACTCCTTGATCTGCTCCTCCAAGCGGGCAGCCTCGCTCTCAGCATCACGAAGACGCTTCTCTTCAGCCTCACGAACCTCGACCTTGACCTTCTCCTTCCAGTTGGGAGCACTCATGACAGTCTGAGACCTGCGAACGGTCTCACGGGCCCTCTCGAGGCTGGCCTTGGCCTTCTCCTCCTGCTCCAGGGCGACCTCCTTAGACACACGCAGGTAAACAGCAGCCTCGGCGCCAACGGGGGCAACAACGCAGCCTGAGGGAGGGGCCTTGTTGTCCAGACCCAGATGAGACAGCTCACCCAGGGTCTTGCCACCCAGAGAGTGGATAGCGTTCAGTTGCTCCGACACGGTCTTCTCGCTGGTAGCATCGTAGGTCTGGATGATGATGTCGCCCTTGGTCTTGACATCGTACTGGGCTAAGATGGAGCGGATGGCCTTCGAGGAATTCAAGATGAGCTCGTAAGCTTTCTCCGCGGCTGGGTCGTCGAACTCAGCACGGTACTCGGGGAACTTGGCCTTCATGATTGAGATGGTGCTGTCATCTGGGCGGCGGGGCAGACGCAGCCATAGGTGCTCGGTGACGAAGGGCATGATGGGGTGGATCAGGCACAGAGCTCCCTCCAGCGCGGTGTAGAGAGTCTGCTTGGCGGACTCCTGGGTCTCGGGCGAAGCATCGGCGGCCAGAAGGTACTTCGAGTTCTCGATGAACACGTCGCACAGCTGGCCGTACCAGTACTGGTAGGAGGTGTTGGCGGCGACAGAGAACTCACGAGCCTCGAGAGCCTCGTTGATCTCCTTGGCAGCGGCGTTGAACTTGTGTAGAATCCAGCGCTCCGACAGGGACTCGTGGCCAGTTTTGGCTACGGTGGCTTGGGGCTTGAAGTCGTCGCCGAGGTTGCCAAGAACGAACTTGGTGGCCTGGTAGATCTTGTTACAGAAACGACGGTATCCGTGAATGACCTGGACATCGAAAGCGATATCACCACCTATGACACCTAGATTAGTAGATGAGACGGGAGTCAGATGGGAAAAAGATGCTTACCACCGGTGGTGTAGGAGACGAGGGCAAAGCGCAGAGCATCAGCACCGCACTCGGGGATGCCTTTAGGGAAGGCCTTCTTCTGGTACTTGGTAGCAGTAGCGACCTCCTTATCCGGCATGTTACCGAGCAGCAGCTTGTCGTGAAGAGTCTGCAGCTGAATACCCTCCATAACGTCCAGAGGGTCAATGACGTTACCCAGGGACTTGGACATTTTGCGGCCCTCCGAGTCACGGATCAGCGAGTGGCAGTACACCTCCTTGAAAGGAATCTTGCCAGTCATCTTGATACCGAGCATAATCATACGGGCGACCCAGAAGAACAGAATATCCCAGCCAGTCTCCAGTACGGTAGTGGGATAGAGGTTCTCATAGTCGTGGGTCTGACGAGGCCATCCCAGAGTCGAGAAGGGCCACAGGCCAGAAGAGAACCAGGTGTCGAGGACATCGGGGTCGCGCTCCAGGGAGAACTTCTTGCCGGGGAACTTGGCCTCGGCCTTCTTGCGAGCATCCTCCTCAGTGCGGCCGGTGACCCAGTAGTTGCCATCAGCGTCATCGTTTTGCTCGCCCTCAACCTTAACGAAGTAGGCGGGGGCCTGGTGACCCCACCAGAGCTGACGAGACAGACACCAGTCGTTGAGGTTCCGCATCCAGCGGAAGTAGCTCTTCTCTGCGGACTCCGGGCGGATGATGATATCACCCTTCTCGACAGCCTCGATGGCGGGCCCAGCCAGAGACTCCATCGCCATCCACCATTGGGGCTTGAGAATAGGCTCGATAACATCGTTCGACTTCGCGCAGCGAGGGACCTTCATGGGGTTGTGTTCCCACTTCACGTACAGGCCCTTCTCCTTCAGGGCATCAATGACCTTGTAACGGGCATCGAAACGTTTCATGCCAGCGAAAGGCCCACCGTTCTTGTTGAAGGTACCATCGTCGTTCATGACAGAAATGAACTCCAGGTTGTGTTGCTTGCCGCGGTTAAAATCGTTGAAGTCATGAGCCGGGGTGATCTTCACGGCACCAGTACCAAACTCAGGCTCGACACCCTCATCGGCGACAATGGGGAGCAGACGGTCAATGAAGGGGTGGCGAGCGTTCTTGCCGACCAGGTGCTTGTAGCGAGGGTCGTTGGGGTGGACGGCAATACCAGTGTCACCAACCATGGTTTCCGGACGGGTGGTTGCAATCTCAATGCGCTCAGTAGTACCATCAATCTCATAGCAGAAGTGAGTCAGAACGCCGAACTCGACCTTGCGATCGTAACCGGGCACATCCAGGAGAGTACGGCCCTCAATCTCCTTGTTCTCGACCTCAAGGTTGGAGAGAGAAGTGTTCAAAGCCACACACCAGTTAACCAGACGGTTGGCACGGTAGATAATGCCCTCCTCATGGAGACGGACGAAGGTCTCAGTCACGGCAGCGGATAGGTTGGGGTCCATGGTGAAAGCCTCACGAGACCAGTCGAACGAACCGCCAACTCTCCGGAGAGCGTTCTTGATGTTCTTGTGGTACTCGTCCTTCCAATCCCAGATAAGCTTGGTCATGGCCGGACGTCCCAGATCGTGACGGGTCTTCTTCTCCTTCTTCCACAGCATCTTCTCAACAACACTCTGGGTGGAGATACCGGCGTGGTCCATACCGGGAAGCCACAGAGTGGTCTTGCCCTTCATTCGCTGCCAACGTATCATGGTATCTTGCAGGGCGTTGGTCAGGGCGTGTCCCATGTGGAGGGAACCGGTAACATTGGGGGGAGGGATGGGGATAACGAAGGAGCCCTCAGGCTTGACCTTGCCATCGGGACCCCATTCGGGCTTGAAAAGATCGCGCTCCTCCCACCAATCCAGGCGGCCAGCCTCGATGATCTTGGGATCATATGCATCGGCAGTCTTCTCCTTCTCGACCTTCTGCACCTTCTCCTTCTTCTCGGCCTTGGGTGCGGCGGGCTTAGAAGCAGCCTTGGCCTGCTTCTCTGCAAACTTCTTCGCCTTCTCAGCCTTCTTGCGCTCGCGCTCCACTATAAAATACCCAAGCAATATCAGCATGTGTCCGCCTCCAAGAGAAATCCAATTATTGTTGAGCAATTCAAGGTTGACTGGGGATTCGGCTGGTTCCACATACACTCCTTCTCGGTCTTCACCTTCGGGGCGCCGGAGCCATCCATCGCTGTGGCTTCGGCGATATCGTTGCGCGTCTGTTCGTCGACCTGGGGGGCTTCTCAGTAGAGGGAGCGGTATTCTCCCCAACTGTGTCATTCCTTTCATGAGTTTGCGGACTTCGGGATGAGTCATTGATCATTGGAGGGAGAAAACTGACTGGGGTTCTGGGAAGCAGAGTTCTGAGCCATCCTGGAGAATGATCGATATGTCGGAGGAAATCTCCAAGGCGCCGATCGCGCCACGAGTCGCCGGATAAGTATCTTGAGGGGAGGAAGTTGCGACAAAGAGGGGTGGTTGTGCGAAATGCGGCCAGTTTAAATTTCCCACGGCAAATGAGAGGGCGGGGCCCAAGTGAGGATCGGTGGGGACCGCGCGACGCTGGGGTTGGCAGATGAGTCAGAGTTCCCCTATAGAACGCTGCGCACCATTGGACTAGTTCATAAGTCTATAGTTGCTGTTTTGGCCCCTTCTTTATTTTGTTCGATCTCTCGTTGTTGCTACAGGCTATCGAGATTGACCTCACGTGATGGCGCCGGTGCCAACCCGGGGTCTGATCAGCGCGCGATAAGGCGCGATAGTCGGCGCAGACTGCCCGCGGGTACACGATGGGCCGGGTTAATACATCTTGTAAACAAGTCATAACAAGTGAATTGGCAATGCATTGTCTCTTCGAAAACCCCTCGTAGCATGGTCACCAAGCATGAGTACCTCCCCGATACCATCACTCCATTGAATGTGCACGTTAAGCAGGAAGCAGCCGCAAGTAAGAACTAGGGGAAGCATAAAACTGCGAAAAACAAAATCACATGGAAAGCAGAGAGGAGAGAAAAAAGCAAACCATAACACCAGACAAAGGATGAGGGAAGGGGGGGAAAGGAAGAGAAATGGCCAAGACAGGGAAACCAGCGCTATACAAGTAGGCAGTATGGCAGAAAAAGGGATGTTCCTCCCGCTCTAAGACGCCAACTGATTTATTGCGCTCACTACCACGCCCGTAGAACCGAGACGATGCAGGGCTGGCCAGCCCAAAAAGATTAGATGTCATGTCTTGTCATCAACGCCGTCTCCGTTCGGGATTCGGTCACTCATTGCAGCCACTCTTCCCCCGGAGGGAAATCCAGGAGAAATCATTGCGAAGTGGTTGCGTCGATCTTTCTCCTTCTTGTTTCTCGATCGTGTGCCGCTAAATCTGGCAAATGTTCAAACTCAAGACGCAAAGGAAGGTCCATGATGCCGGGCGCTATTCTCGTGATAGGATGCTTGGGGGAAGGAGAGTAGGAAAGGTGCAGATAGGAAAGAGAAGAAGGAAAAAAAAGCCACGGTCATCAACAACTGCTGGAGATAGATCAGGACTGGGCAGCAGCGTTGCTCTGGGAATCAGCGCGGACGGGATCAAAGTAAGGGTGGGCCATGGCCTCTTGGGCGGTCAAGCGTTCCTATAGAAGTGATTAGTATGAAACCCATAACCCATAAACATATATATAACATACGGCGTGATCATAACGAAGCAGCTTATCAAGGAAGTCAATGGCTTCTTCGCTAACAAAGCGCTGGTTCTCAGCAGTAACGAACGAGTGCCACGGCTTGCGAGGGAAGCGCGAGAGGATCTCGTCATACTGCGGGTCCAGCTCGATGTCGTACTTGTCCAAATACTCGAAAAGTTCCTCAGTTCCCAAGACCTTGGCGATCTTCACCAGTTGGTCCGAGTTGCTGTTGCCGTGGAAGAAAGGTTCCTTGCGGAAGATCATGGAGGCAAACATAGCGCCCAATGACCACATATCGAGCGAGTAGTCGTACTCCTGGAAATCGACAAGCAGCTCAGGGCCCTTGAAGTAACGAGATGCGACTCGGACGTTATATTCGGTACCCTTGTGATAGAACTCAGCAAGACCCCAATCGATCAACCGCAGCTATAGAATTTTAGCATATATATCACCTGGAGAACTGAAAATCACAAACCTTGCGCTTCTCGTGATCGATCATGACGTTATGGGGCTTGACGTCTCGGTGCATGATACCCTTGCTGTGGCAGAAGTCCAGCGCCTTCAGGAGCTCGTAGACATAGAACCGAACATCATAGTCCGTGAAGCGGGGGTATAGAGTCCGGAAATCGGTGTTGTTGACGGCCTCAAAGACTAAGCTGGGGGTCTTGCTCTGGTTGTCCCTAACAACGTCCAGCAAAGCCACAACGTTGGGACCGCCAGCGAGATTTTGGAGAATCTTGATCTCACGCTTAATTTTCTTCTTCTTGACAGGTTTGAGCACCTTGATGACACATTTCTGGTAGTTGACGACGTTGATGCCTTCGAATACCTCAGAGTACTTTCCACGACCTGAAAAAGGATTAGTGTCAGCAAACGGTTGGCGTGGCAGTTGTCTCCACACCCCAAACAGAGTGGCAGGTGATACCACTATCTGCCTGGTTGGATGGCTTCCAATCAAATGTTACATACCGATCTTGCGAACAATCTCGTAGTTCTCGAGGACGCCCCAGGAAATGTTCACACTGTCATAGTCCCAGTAGGACCGAGGCATATGCTCGTTGACGTCGGCGTACACGCGCGCCATGGTGGTTGCAGACGACTTCCGAATCCGCCCACAATGGGAATCAGATGCGGCGGGGTCACGCGGGGCACAACCGAGCGACGAGGCGGGGAGGGGTCGGGGGAGGTTGACACAGGGATAAGACAGCGGCAGCAGCGGTCCCAGCAACTGACCAGCCTGAAATCAGCCGTGCTATCGATCGTCCTGATGCAATGGGGTTTTGGAGGGGGGATATTATGAGAGCGAGATCTGTTCCGCCTTGTCACGGGATTTGGCTGTGGAGAGAAGTCTCGATAAGGCTAGACTGTGGGCTCCCGGCCGATATTTATTCCGGACGATTTTCAGATTGCCTCTTTCGGACAGGTCGTGACGGCGGCTTTCTTAACTTCTCCACGGACGCAGGAACCGGCCCGATGCCCTCAGGCCCTTTTTAAAAGGCACCATGTTCTACGATCTGAACGTTCCTTACAGCCCAGATGACCCTGAGGCGCCCCACACCTTGAACTTTCTGGCTGAACGTAAGTCATTCTCCTGGTCTCGGCACACGATCCGAACATGTTTTAAGCTTGCGGACCACATGAGGTACTAACCTGACCTGACCTGGTCGCAGTTGGTTACACCACAGTGGCCTTGTCCCAAACTCTCACTGGGAAGCTCCCCTCGAGCGTTAGCCCTCCGCCCCTGCCACCGAATCCGCCAAAAACCCTCCAGCTACTGACCCGGCTCAACCTAACGCTTTCCGACCCCGCGCAAAATCAGCGGCTCAACAACTTGACACAAGCTTATGACATTGTTGCTCTACGCCCCACAAATGAAAAAACCCTCCTCAATGCCTGTACCAACTTAGAGTGTGACGTGATATCACTCGATCTTTCTGTGCGACTTCCATTCCATTTCAAATTTAAAATGCTGTCGGCTGCGATATCACGTGGTATTCGCCTGGAGATCTGCTATGGTCCGGGGGTCACAGGGAGCGGACTGGATGCCCGCCGCAATCTTATCGGGAACGCAATGTCATTAATCAGAGCTACTCGAGGCGGCCGCGGCATTATTGTGTCAAGTGAGGCCAGGCGCGCGTTGAGCTTACGGGCTCCATGGGACGTGATCAATTTGACCTGTGTTTGGGGTCTGTCACAAGAGCGCGGCAAGGAGGCAATTTGCGAAGAAGCTAGGAAGGTCACAGCATTGGCCAGGCTCAAGCGTACCAGCTGGCGCGGAATTGTTGATATTGTTCATGGCGGCGAAAAGGCTAAGCACGAGAAGCCGATCGCAAAACAAAAGGGCCAAGCCCAGTCAACGGCATCCACAGAGCCGGGAACCATCACCGATACTCTGAAGAGAAAGGCGTCTCTTGGATCCGAGTCGGTCGCGGAGGAGGCTGAGAAGCCTCTGTCCAAGAGAGAGATGAAACGGCGAGCGAAGAAGGCTCGACTAGGGTCACAAGGAGAAGACGCGAGCTGAAAAACTACCATGAAACTTTCAACTGCTGACCACCATTGACACGGTGTGTACTGTGCGAATGGATGAATCAGTTGGCCAGCTTTCCACTCAGTATTGAAGCAAATTGTTCCGGGGGAGTCCCCTGTGCTCAATCTCCGAGCCTTTGACTCCCGTCGAGCCCCGGCGGTCGAGGACTTCCTTGTATACAACCCCTCGGTTTGCACAAGGGCAGAATATGCTTTCTTGCCACTCCCAGCTGCTGCACGGCATGACCGTGGGCTCCGCTGGAAACGTCAGCCGTCTTTCGCCCACTTCCACGAACCGGCCATGTCTGCTGTGGCTTATCCAAAAATGGCCACGAGTGAGCTTTGGTCTCACTCTCAGTGGCTGTCGTGGCTGATATATGTAGGCTAATTGCATAACGGGCCACAGCGTGTCCCGTTCTTCGTTTTCGCATCTTCGACTCGGGCCATTCAAGCTGTCTTTGGGACCCTGCCGTTTGTCAACTATCAAAGCCGACGGGGTCTTCCCATCAATGTGGCTTGCTTGCATTGGTTCTGTAGTTATCCAGAGCATCAATACCAAATTTCTTAATTCTACAAGCTCCAGCTTTCATGGGCCATCGTTATTTTCCTCATTCCTACCTGCCCATAAACTGTTTTCTCTATGCCCTTCTCAAACCTTCCCATCTCCGCTTCCGTCCACCTGTTATGTTGATCTCTGATTTTTCACAATTTAGTATCCGTGCCTCGGCACCCAGTGTTCTAGTTTGACTTGGTCTGGACTCGTCTCTTACTGAGAGCTCGCAACGCTCAAACTCCTTTCGTGAATTTAGATCCTTTCTGCATCCATCAGCTACAGACTTATTACCTTCACACCACCTGGAATCTTGATTTGCAAAACTGGAATTCTCGTGGGTTCCCAAGCTTAGGGTTGGAAGACCCTCTCGCTCGTTTATTGTATCTATTACGAATGGACCAGGATCCCATGCTTTCTCAATTCAACTTTATACTTTCGTAGATGTCCGCAATAAAGCCACAGTGGTTCCGATCACAGGAATCTAAACCGGGGCATTTCCGAAGCTATCCCCAGCTACAATATGAATCAACTCTGAGAGGGGAAGGCTCCTCTTGAAATACGAAGATAGAAAGAGAGAATCACTTCTCAGGCGCTATCATAAGCATTCGTCACATACGAACACCATGTTCAATGCACTGTTAGTGTTCTACGCCCGTCGAGCCTGTCCAGAGTCCCAACTGCGACAAGCCCCGACGGCGGAGGCAAGAAGGGTCAAGGTTCTTATCAAGTGAATGAAACAACACAATGGCCTTTGCGTATGATACTCTTTCAAACTCATTAGTTCCGAGACCAACTCAGCTGTTCCGCCAACAATGTCTCAAACTGTCAATCAAAGGGTGAATCTTTTGGTCTTCCAGAGAAGGCTGGTTGGTTGAGATATAACATTTCCACCTCCCTCATCTGAAAACTTTGCCCAACATCGTCCCATTGATCACCATCGCTCTTCATCCTACCCAAACATTGACTTTAGTGTTCCCGGTACCCAACTCGTCCCAGCACCCCCAACACCACGCGCCGTAATTCTTGAGCCAATCTCAGCGTTGTCCCTCGTCACTGAAGCCATATCCTCTTCTCATCCGTTTCCTTGGGTTTTATTCGACTCGTGCCACCAGCCATGGATATCCAATCAACCATACACGACTTAGCAATAGAGGAAGTCGACGCAAACGGAGATACCATTCTCATCCTATCCATGAAGGATCCCCGTCAGCTTTTCCACTGTTCTTCGCAAGCCCTCATTGCGACCTGTGACCATTTCCGGGAGAAGCTCGCTCCAGGTCAACAGCCTCACAAGGAGCTTACACAGAATGGAAAGGTTTACCTCACCATTCCCGATTTCGAGGCAGATTGTGTCTTGACGATTCTCCACATCATCCATAATCCATCCACGCGTCTCCCAGAGCCACTACATCCACTCCGTCAATCGTGGCTGGTCGCCCGATTCAACATCTATCTCAAATGCCAACGGGATGCGCAGCTTGGGGCCGACTTCATTGCAGCTTGGAAGGAAAAAGCGATGAACACCAAATTTCACCTATCTAACACCCCCAAATGGATGCTGATCTCCTATACCTTCCGCCAAGAGGCCGTTTTTCGACACACCACGGCACTGGCCCAGCAATATGGAGCTGGGGTCTTCAAGGCAGCTGGGCTATCCATTCCAAAGGAAGTGGGTAGTAAGCAATCATTCCAAACTATTTTAAATTGTCTCTAGAATATATTGCTCACCTTGCACTCGGTATTAGGGCTCATTGATTGCCGCCTAGAAAATTACCTCCGAATCCTCTTCCACTTACTCGAAAGACACCTTGACCAACTTCGAAATGTTCATCGACCCCGTGGAAACAATTGTGATGAGGTGTACTTCAGTGCCCTGGCAAGTATCGCCCAGAAACGCCCTGACAAAACCTTCGGGCAGAGGAAATGCCAGTATGAAGGGCTTGCTCCTGCCTCCCTTTGCGACACGCTGCATCAGGCGATCGATGGCAATATCCACCGCCATTCTCATAATGGATGCTCAATGCGGCTTTCGAAGTCACAGCTTCCAACGGGGCAGGATTGACAGAATCATCTCGTGAGCTTCCAATCACTTCTTTCTGGTCTGGACTTGCCAGAGCTAGATTTCCACATCTTTTTCTCCTATTCGCGGAGCAACAGCACACTGTACCTCGCATAGCGTCTAACCTCGGGGGTTAACGCGAAGTATGAGAATGGAGGGCATGATCATCCAGTTGTCCCTATATCCTGTATTCTTATGACCGTGATCAGATATCATAGCATGTGTATTTTCTATTCGGGTGCCCCCACCGGGTCTTCCAGAATACTTAGTCTTACCCTTGAATCTTATATCCAGGTAGAGCTATCGAATCAGGACGGAGAGATCCGAGGATAGTCCATTGAACCGGCGCCCCTATGCCCTAGTAGGGAACGCTAGCAATTGTGGATCATGGCGAAGACAGCAAGCACTAGCCACACGCCCTCTGTCTTGATAGGGCCTATCAGCCCAAATGTCGCTCAGCCGGCCGCCGACAGCCTGACTGGCGACGAGGCCGTCACGTCCGTCCTGGCCCCTGGAATTCCCCGTCTGCCTCCTACCTCAGCCCGCCCCGCCCCGCCCCGCCTCGCCTGCTCCCCGCCCCCGATCCAGCTAGCGAGAACCCGCTGTGCTCGCCGGTGCCTCCACCGCCATACGCAATGGCATCCATAGTGACAAGGCGCTCTTCGGCTTGACGAATAGCGGGGCATAAGCAGCTATTGAGTCGACGGCGTTCCTTGATTGTTTTGGCCGTTTTCTTCACTCCGAGAATCTTAGCGAGGCGAGCTAAATGAAAACGGAAGTACCACACATATAGGGGACGGGGAGGGGAAGGGTGGAAAGGGGGAGAGTAGATATATCTTTTGTGGCGTTCCTCTAGGGCTTTTTGACCGTTTTTGCTTCTCTCCGAGGACCTTAGTAAGGTGAGATGAAGGAAGAAAACTGGAAGATGTGAGGTGGAGGTGAGAGGGAGAGAAGGGCTGCTTTTTATCCTTCTCTTTTATGTTCTTTTCACTTTTCCTTTATTTATTCTTGTGGTCGTGGAGGTTTCTTGTTGTTTTTCTGATCTAGTTCTACTTTTTCCTTGTTTATTCTTGTGGTCGACTCTCCCTCTTCGGAGGTGACCATGTCTGAATGAGAAGCGATGGGACCGGGAATGGCCGACGAGAGAATGAGAGCAACGCTCTCTGTGAGAAGGATACTCAAGGTGCAGTTACTGGATCTGGGCGGTCCAAGCTTCCATTCCGGAAACCAATGGGGAGCCGGAAATGGCAGGTCTCGAACGGTGATAGATGCTTGGTTTGACCTCACGCAAAGACGGTATAGATATCCCTGCTCTTCCATTCGCTGATCATGCAGCCACACACATCTCATGCTGACCAACATGCAGATGCAGTGCCGCGAGGTAACCCATAGACCTGGTCCTGGGCCGCCATGCACCACATTGGACGGATTCCAGCGTCGTTCAGCCAGCGGGTCGTCCCCACCCTCTCAGCATGCGTATCCACCCTCAGCCCTACCGGACTCTTTCCGAGCACAACTGGACTCACTAGTTCCATACACGTACCACGGCACAGATTCTCCTCTCTTCTACTGCTGTACCTCGGCATTCGACTAAGAGCCTCAGATTCCATTGCGGCGACCACTTGGGCACTCGTGCAGTAGGAATGCAACACCACGATGCTACACGTTTACAAGGACAGCATGGCAGAGCAGGCTAGGGCGATGTCTCAAACGCGAATCCAGTCGCATAGTCAATTCACTGTCGATCTCGGATGACATCGCGCGGAATCTACCGCAAGGCAATGCAACGCAAACAATCTGGGGTGTATACTAAAAAAAACCGATAAGGAACGCAAATGAGAGAGAAGCCAGGCAATCGCTGGATCGAGCAAAAGAGGAGAGCGGAGAGATTCCCTTCTGGCGCACGGCGCACGTTGGTCATTCACGGCCGAGTCTGGGACCGTCCAGCCTATGCGCCAGGCATAGACATGATAGTGCAGCACCTGCGCCCGGACTGCCAAGACAGGCGGAATAACACGGTGCACTGTGTAGTCGCCATCTGTGCATCCCTGCTCTTTCTTGTGCCAATGCCAATGCCAGTGCTAGTGCCAGCGCCAGCGCTAGTGCCAGGTTCCAATCCCATGTCCCAAGGGAGAGGAGGGGCAATCTCCGCTCCGGATATTTCCCCCCGGCGCTAGTGCCTCCAGCTGTCCATAATGAATATCCCGTACAAGAACCAATAACCAACAACCAACAACGCAATAATGCTGCTAGACTGGATTTGCGACGGTGGGTGAACTGTACGTCGGGGCCGATCCCTCGTCGACTATCCACATATTGCCGTCTTCTCCGCGACCAACGCAACATCACATCCGCTGGACCAACGTCATCGACCACGATACCCCGGCTGTCGCCCGCGCAGCCAGTAGTCCTCGGGTACTATCGGGCGAGATCGTCTGGCCGGGTTAACACATCTCCACCTCTGCACCGTTGATTTCGGAGAGCGATTCATTGGGCAGATGGCGCTTACCAGGATCTCCCCGCCTTCCTCGTCCCCCCCCTGGTGGCCCCTCGTCCAGCGGTGGCGCGAGGTGGGGAGCGGTGCGGAGTCGCTACTTGCTCTGCGGCACCTACCCAGCTGTCAATGGAACAATTCCTTGGCGAGAAGCGGAGGGGTGAGAGGAGACGGCGTTGCGCTGCTTACCCATGTGCCAATATATTGCAGGTCAATCTCTCGCTGGCTGGCGCTAGATGGGGAGCTGGGGCTCCTGCAAGTGAGCAACCGCACATGTTAGCCCCATCGAGACATAGTCATGGCCGACCACGGCATGTTCGGATCGTTCAACATACCCGCCAGTGTTACTGGAGCCGGCGGCAGCGGGAGGGGAAGTCGTAGGCTTGGGGGTGTCTTTCGACTTCTCGGGCGTTCGGGGCGCGTCAGGCATGGTGAAGATGTAGAGTGGAAAAGCGGTCGGTCCCAGGATCGTAGGTCGGCCGTTGCCGAACGGGGATCGACAGATAGATAGCAAACCTCGGAGTATACCACCGGGGAGAGGATGACCGACTTCGGGGACGTGCTAAGAGGGCGAGCGCATCTGATGGAGAACTACAACCGCGAGCCTGTCCGTGCCGACGGGAGCTTCTGCTTTATAGGCCCTTCAGCGACTCCGGTTGACAGCGCGACGGTTAGACGCTCCCCTCAGAACGGAGCGCGACACTCCCTCCGGATGACTGATATCGGGCATATACCCAGTATACTCCGCACCGCACGGAGGACTCAAATCACCAAGTCACTCCGTCTGGTCACGAACTCAGTCTGCGCCCAATGAATCGTCGCCAGGACCGCAGGACCGCCGGCCGCAACGCGGGAGAGAGCTCTCGCTTCGTCTAGCCCAGCAGCCAATCAGCCGGCCAGCCAACCAGCCGGCCAGCCAATCAGTCCATCGCAACCCCCCCGCAACCGCTACAAATCGCGGACACGCCGATGGAAAATGACATGAACCGCCATGCCCAGGAATTGGCCATCTCTGCCCAAACAGAGCCGCATCCACGACTTCGGAGGGGATATCTGGTTGCCTGCTTGTTGTGCATGCGAACCGCAGACCCCCCACCCTCGTTCTCGCAGATCGCCCGTTTTCCTGGTGTCTGCTCCCCGATATCTGAATCACCCGCGCGCCCTCTCCGGACCGCACCGTGGACGGCAGCCCTATGATGGGCCCTGCAGGAGAGGTTGCGATGCTGGAAGATGGCCGGTTGTGTTTGCTGGGAGCTGGTACGGTCCGGCGAGCCGTTTGCCTGGCTGCACCGTCCGGGGGGGGGGAACACGGAGACTACTCGATATCAGGTATATGGTGGATGGGAGGTGACCGCTTCCAGGGTCCCGGTGTATGTTGGGCATCGAGTGTGTTGGCCACGGCCAATACATAGTTCAGCCTTCCTGGCGACGAGCGGAGCATCGGGGGCCCTCCAGTGCGATAGGGTGCATGGGCCAGCCGTCAATCCATTGTGTTTCAGCTTTTTGACATGTGAGCTGCGGGACGAGGAGGGGGGAAAGGATGGGATATACTCCGGGCCGGTGGTCGTGGTGGGCACGGTCCGGTCATCGAATATAGCATAGAGAGTATAGCGGGGATTGGTTCTCTTGGCGGCTTGGAGTCATCCCGAGATAGCAAGACGACGCTGGTTGAGCCAAGCTGGCGACCATGTGTCCCGTAGACTGGGGAGGTATACGTGCATAATCCCATCCATGGAGTGGCGCCAACCCAAAACTCAAAAGGAGAGCTCCCCAGATGGCCCGAGCTTCCTGACGCTTATCGGCCTCGTATCGTCGGCCCGTGGCGGCGCCGGCTGGGTATAAGCACTAGCGAGATGATTGGTACCTTGGTACATGGCCTGTTTGCGGGTACCATGGTATTGCTACTCCGCGAGCAAGCGGGCAGGATCAGCAACGAGTGGATGGATGGGGTATGATGCGTATTATGCACAGCGAGAGATATTCTTGCTCCCTGGGGGAGATCGGAAAAAGAGACAGGACTAAGGGAAACCCCGGAAATCGCCAATTAGACACCCCCGCGAAACACACCAGTCCCCTTCCCCAGCCCGCGGAGAATTCATCTCCGCCCTCATCTGCTGGCGCACACGGGTAGCAAGATGAAGAGTCTCCCGTGGAAGTCCAGCCAGCTGAGCCACCTTGAGAGCATGCGATTCGCGATTCACCCCCTTCCGCAGCCGATGCACGAACGAGAACGCCCCTGACGCGCTCTCCTTCACATCGGTGCAATACCGGGCCAAACCCTCAAATGACTCCGTCATATCCGCCAGTGCATGAAAGTGCGTCGCGAACAGCACGCGGCTGCGGTTCTGATAGTGCAAGTGGTGCAGACACGCAAAGCTAACCGCCGTCCCGTCCTCGGGAGTCGTGCCGCGCCCAACTTCGTCCATGATCACGAACGACCGCGGCGTCGCCTGATGCAGGATCGCCGCCGTCTCCAGCATCTCCACCATGAACGTCGACTGGTCGCGGAAGAGGTCGTCCGCTGCCCCGATGCGACTGAAGATCTGGTCGACCAGCCCGATCTCGGCGTACGCGGCCGGCACGTACGAGCCGACTTGCGCGAGGATCGTAATCAGGGCGTTCTGCCGGAGGAAGGTACTTTTGCCGGCCATGTTGGGCCCCGTGATGAGCCAGATGCGCTCGTGCCCGCCCATGTAGCAGTCGTTGCTGACGAAGGAGCGGCCTTGTTCTTCCAATCCGAGTTTGACGGTTGGATGGCGCCCAGCAGCGATCTTGTGCGTGGTGCCTTCGTTGAGAATCGGCCGGACCATCTGCTGTTCCTGGGCGAGGGTGGCGAACGAGCAGGCGACGTCGAGTTCGTCCATGACTGCTGCGTTCCGCCGAATTTTGACCAGGTTCAGAATGACCTCGCGGCGAAGCCGCTCGAAGAGTGCCTGTTCTTCCTGTCGGATGCGCACTTTGACGGCATCCATCCGGTTGCCGAGTTCGGTCCAGGCGGGGAGGTAGAACGATCGAGTGGATTTGGTAGATGAGACAATTCGCGTGACACCTAGTTCTTCGAGAGACTGTTGGGAGATCTTCGCGCCCTTGATGTGGCAGATATGGCCGAGCCCGGGTGTCCATTTGAGGTTCAGATGAGTAGATCCAACATAGTCGCGAAGGCGCTGGGTCAGTTGAGCCTTTCCGTCAAAAAACCCCTCCAGGTCCTCATGGAGAGATTTCAGGGTCTCGCTAGCGTCATGACGCATGATCCAGGTCTCGATGGGCCCTGATTCGGCATCCCCCGTGGCTGCGCGATGCCGGCTCTGCGCTCGAACTTTCTTTGGCAGCGTTTCTAGTTCGCTGGCTGTGCCTTCGTTCATAGCAACTTCGTGCGCCAGGCGTGCCGCTTCGGCTGCAGTGTTATCTTCAATACGCTGCTGCTGAAGGAGACCATCTTCGTCGATGGCGGCGAGGATTCGCTCCGCCAGAGCAAGAGGACCATCAAGATGGAGTCGAGATATCATGGATGCGAGACTTTGCTTTGTGTCGGAAATTTGTAGAAGTCTTTCGTGACCAGCGAGTACTTGTCTGACCTCCTTGGCCGCTTCGATGGCCCGGGAAAGACAAATCAGATCGTCGGCATCGCCTTTGCCGAGGGCAAACTTCTGGACCAAGCGCTGAGCATCATAGCTGCGTTTCAACAGCTGAATGACGCTATCACGCAGATCCTCGTTCTCAATGAAGACCGAGACGAGATCGAGACGTTCGTTGATAACCTGAAGCGATGTCGATGGGGAGGCTGGGCAAAGTAAATGAGCAAAAAAACCAAAGTCGGACCTGAGCGTATTCAATACGTACTTAGTCGATCGCGCAAAAGACGAGCGCCACTTTTGGTGCTAGTTTTGCGGACAGCATGAAGCAGACTTCCCTTTCCAAACCCGTCTCGCGCAGTCTCAAGAATCTCAAGACCTCTCAAACTGTTCCGGTCAATACTCATGGACTCGTCTGAGTGCCGCCGGCGGGGAGGCTGAAGCTTGAGGTCCGTCCTCTGCAACTGGACCCGAGTGTACTCGAGCAGGCTATACCCAGCAGCTACTTCCTCTGCAGTAAATGAGGCATGGGTATCTTCAGGAACTGGGGCCGCTAGCATCGAGTCCCATTCAGACATCGGCGCAAATGCCTCGGGGAACCGGAAGAATGTAACTAGACGGTGTTCATGGCCAACGAGGAGCTGCAGTTCTTGGCCAAGAAGAGATTGAACATTCTGATCAACAAGTATCTCGCGAGCCCCTATCCTAGCAATGGCAGATGGCAGCATCTGCGTCGTCGTGAGTTGGGTATAAAAGTCCCCTGTCGATAGATCCATCCACGACAGCCCTACCCGCTGAGGGGCGGAAGACAGTAGGTGCTGTGATGACTGCGCATCAACCTGCTGTGTGGATTGCGCTGCCAAAGCAGGGATATCGAAGTAGATGGCCAGCAGAAAATTATTCTCGGAAGAATCGATGAACTTCTCGTCAATCAACGTGCCCGGCGTGATAATCCGAGCCACCTTCCGATCGAACATCAGGCCCCCAGTCTTTGCTTTATCCTCTGCCTCGATCGCAAACTCCTCACTGATAGCCACATATTTGTTCAGGTCTTGGACGAGAATTTTGAGGAATCGGTCGAGCTGGAAAAAGGGGAATCCGGCCATGGGAACGGGACCGGCGCTGGTTTTCTTGGACGCAAGCTTCAAGCTTAAAAGCGGCGCGAGTTCTTCGGCTTGTTCGAAATAGAGCTGGTGAAATGTATAAGCCAAAGAGCGGTATTTCTAGGGGCTGGGAGTCGTACCTCGTAGAAACCTCCCACTCTTGTCAGGATAACACAGTTCTTGAACTTCTGCATGTTGTTGCGATGCCCTTGCACCACAGTGGGATACCGAGGAGCCTCATCCACGCCGTCATCGTATGCTTCTAGCTTCACAACACCCTGCGGGAGGTCGTTCCATTTGGCTGTGGTCTGCGTTTTAGCGCCCCTGTGTTGTTCAAATGGCAGTCCCACTGCGGGCACGCGAGCGCGCAATCGAGCGCGACGCGCATGGTGGCAGATCGTCCGATGGACAGGGCATTGATAAGATGGGATGAGCGAAACTTGCCCAGTCGACCGCGAGCAAGGTATCAAATGAGCCAAGGTCCGACCACTGACCCGCATCGTTGCGACGTCGACGCTTTTCCACGCCGTCAACCCCGGGGGAGAAGCGGCAGAACCGCAAAAGCTCCCCTCCTTCCGCCTTCGCCACCGAAATCTTCCCGAGCTCAACTCTCCCTGCAAATCTCCAACCTCTCTCATTAACCCTGGCCTTCATTTCTCCCCATCAAGTCAGCTCGCTTGCGGAAGGAGGATGAGCCAGGTTTGTGAGACCTCTTGAAATTCTCCCAATCGTTGATATACCCCTGTGTGGCGCGGTCGACATCTGAGTTGGGCGCATCAAGCCGATCAGACTCGCGACTCTTTCATTTTTTTCTTTTCCTTCTTTTGATCGCCTCCTTGGGACCGTACCCTCTCTCACATTCAAGATGGCGGACCAAAATATCTCGCAGTATAAATACTCGGCGATGTCCAACCTGGTTCTCCAGGCGGACCGTCGTTTCATCAGTCGCGTCAATGACGAGCCCACCGGTGACCCGGAGTCTCTCGCGGGCCGCATTGGGATTCGGGAGATGGGCGGCCGAGTCGCGCGTGACGATGCGCCGAAGTCGAAGAAAAAGGCGGCTGGTCCGGCGGACCTCGAGCGAGGTGCGATTCGCGAGGGCGAAGACGTGCTTCTGCGGGAACAGAGGAAGCGCCAGCGCGGCCAGCCAGCACAACAACGAGGCCAGGGTATCCTTTCAGCAGCCGATGCCCTGGTCGAGGGCCTGAAATACCGCCCACGAACACCGGCCACACGAGCCACTTACGACCTTATCCTTACGATTACCGGAACCAACCTCGGCGACGTTCCCCACGAAGTAGTTCGCAGTGCGGCCGATGCCGTGTTGGAGTTGCTGAAGGACGAGGATATGAAGGACTTTGATAAGAAGAAGGAGATTGATGATCTTCTGGGCAGTTCAATGAATCCGAAGGAGTTCAACGAGCTCGTCAACCTGGGCAAGAAAATTACCGACTACGACGCCCAAGATGAAGACGAGGATATGGATGGTGGCATGGAAGAAGGCGACGGCGAACTCGACGAACGCCAGGGTGTAGCTGTTGTTTTCGACGAGGAAGACGAGGACGATGAGCGCATGGGGACCCTGGACGAAGTTCGAGACGAGGATTCTGACGAAGAAGAGCTCGACGAGCAAGATCAACCTGACATCTACGAAGGCGCTGCCGAAGAACCGGAAGATGGCGCTGATGTAGTCATTCATGGTGGTTTGGAGCGGAGCGACAAGGTCAAAGATAAATCTGGTCTAGGCGTATCGGCTCGCGAGATCGACGCATACTGGCTTCAACGTCAAATCGGTGCCTTTTACACCGACGCCCACATTCAACAAGAAAAGACCCAGCAGGCCCTTGACATCCTTGGTGGTCAAGCCGAGGACGGCTCAGAGAAGCCCCTGCGCGATGTTGAAAACGACCTGATGGAGCTCTTCGACTACGACCACCCCGATCTCGTTGCCAAATTGGTTTCTAACCGTACCAAGGTTGTCTGGGTCACTCGCTGGAGACAAGTTGCTGAAGATGCGGATGCGCGACACCTCATTGAAAGCCAGATGGTTGAGGCTGGACACCGTGCCGTTCTGGATGAAATTCGCGGCAAGGCCGCCGCCGAGAGCCTTACCCAACGATCTGAGAAGATAAAACTGGACTTGATGGATGTCGATGTTCCTTCGGCACCGGAAGCAGAGGAGCGGAAGCAAGCTGGTGAAAATGGCCTGGTCGGTGGTCTGCAGCCCCAGCGACTGATCAATCTTGAGAACCTGGTCTTCCACCAGGGCAACCACCTTATGACCAACCCCAATGTTAAGCTGCCCCAAGGCTCAACTAAGCGAACTTTCAAGGGCTACGAGGAGATCCACGTCCCCCCTCCCCAAGCCAAGAAGGCTCCTGGCGAGAGGAACATTCCGACTACCGAATTGCCCGATTGGGCGCGCGTGGGCTTCGGAAGCGCCAAAGAGCTGAACCGGGTTCAGACCAAGTGTTATCCTACAGCCTTCCACGATGATGGTAACTTGCTCGTCTGTGCCCCTACTGGCTCTGGAAAGACCAACGTTGCCATGCTCACCATTCTCCGTGAAATCGGTAAGAACCGGAACCCGGAGACGGGGGAGATTATGCTGGATGACTTCAAAATCATTTATATTTCTCCGTTGAAGGCCCTTGTTCAAGAGCAGGTTGGCAATCTCGGAAAGCGTCTCGAGCCATACGGTATTCGCGTGTCGGAGCTTACTGGTGATCGTCAGCTCACCAAGCAGCAAATAGCTGACACTCAAATCATTGTGACCACCCCCGAAAAGTTCGATGTTATCACCAGAAAGGCATCAGAAACCAGTTACACCAACCTTGTCCGCCTGATCGTTATTGACGAGATTCATCTGCTTCACGATGACCGTGGCCCCGTCCTTGAAAGCATTGTCAGTCGTACTATTCGCCGGGTTGAGCAGACTGGCGACCCTGTTCGTATCGTTGGTCTGAGTGCTACTCTTCCCAACTATCGCGATGTTGCAAGCTTCCTTCGGGCTGATCCCGAGACGGGCGTGTTCCACTTTGACGGCTCGTATCGTCCTTGCCCTCTAAAGCAGGAGTTCATTGGTGTTACCGATAAGAAGGCTATCAAGCAGCTGAAGACCATGAACGACATTTGCTACACTAAGGTTATGGAGCAGGTGGGCCAGAAGCGAAACCAGATGCTTATCTTCGTCCACTCCCGCAAGGAAACGGCGAAAACGGCCAAGTACATCAGGGACAAGGCCATCGAAATGGAGACTATTGGGCAAATTTTGCGCAGCGATGCTGCCAGCCGTGCTATCCTCTCTGAGGAGGCTGAATCTGTTGATGATGCTTCTTTGAAGGACCTTCTGCCCTACGGCCTAGGTATTCACCACGCTGGTCTGAGTCTCGCGGATCGCGATTCCGTCCAGGCCTTATTCGCCGACGGCAGTATCCAAGTTCTCGTGTGTACCGCAACCCTGGCCTGGGGTGTCAACCTTCCCGCCCATACTGTTATCATCAAGGGAACCCAGGTCTACTCCCCGAGAAGGGTAGCTGGGTCGAGCTCAGCCCCCAGGATGTTCTTCAGATGCTTGGACGTGCTGGTCGGCCGCAGTACGACACTTTTGGTGAGGGTATCATTATCACGTCTCAGTCTGAGATTCAATACTACCTTTCGCTCATGAATCAGCAACTGCCAATTGAGTCCCAGCTAATGAGCAAGCTTGCCGACAACCTGAATGCAGAAGTTGTACTTGGTAATGTTCGCACCCGTGATGAAGGTGTCCAATGGCTTGGTTATACCTACCTCTATGTCCGGATGCTTCGTTCACCGGGTTTGTACAGCGTTGGCGCGGACTATGAGAATGATGATGCCTTGGAACAGAAGCGTGTCGATTTGATTCACTCTGCCGCCACCGTCCTTGAGAGGGCTGGGCTGGTCAAGTATGAGAAGAAGACTGGCCGGCTGCAGTCGACTGAGCTTGGTCGCATATCCTCCCATTACTACATCGGCCACAACTCTATGCTCACATACGCCCAGCACCTCCAGCCTTCAATCACCACCATTGAGCTCTTCCGCATCTTCGCTCTCAGTGATGAATTCAAGTACATCCCGGTTCGCCAGGATGAGAAGCTCGAGCTTGGCAAGCTTCTGGGCCGTGTGCCGGTTCCCGTCAAGGAGACTATTGATGAGCCTCACGCGAAGATCAACGTCCTCCTTCAGGCCTATATCTCCCGTCTGAAGCTGGAAGGCCTTGCGCTCATGGCCGACATGGTTTACGTAACCCAGTCTGCTGGTCGTATTATTCGTGCCATTTTCGAGATCTGCTTGAAGAAAGGGTGGTCCTCAGTGGCCAAGACTGCTCTCGACCTCTGCAAGATGGCTGAGAAGCGTATGTGGCCGACCATGTCTCCCTTGCGTCAATTCCCCGGCTGCCCTCGGGATATCCTGCAGAAGGCCGAGCGAATTGATGTCCCATGGTCCAGCTACTTCGATCTTGATCCTCCTCGTATGGGTGAGCTCCTCGGCATGCCCAAGGCTGGTCGTGTTGTGTGTGATCTGGTGTCCAAGTTCCCTCGCCTTGATGTTCAAGCTCAGGTGCAGCCAATCACTCGATCCATGCTCCGTGTTGAATTAACCATCACCCCCAACTTTGTTTGGGACGATGCTGTGCATGGTACCGCGCAAGATTTCTGGATCCTGGTGGAAGACTGTGATGGTGAGGAGATCCTGTTCCACGACCGCTTCCTGCTGCGTCGTGACTTTGCCATTTCCGAGATGAACGAGCACATGGTTGAGTTCACTGTCCCGATTACCGAGCCCATGCCTCCCAACTACTTCATCTCCCTGGTGTCTGACCGCTGGATGCATTCCGAGACCAAGATCGCCGTGTCGTTCCAGAAGTTGATCCTTCCGGAGCGCTTCCCTCCCCACACCCCTCTGCTTGACATGCAGCGAGCGCCTGTCAAGGCCTTGAAGCGTGAGGAGTACCAGAAGCTGTATCCTGACTGGGAGCATTTCAACAAGATTCAGACTCAGGTGTTTAAGTCAGTCTTTGACTCGGATGACAATGTTTTCATTGGTGCCCCGACGGGAAGCGGTAAAACCGTCTGTGCTGAGCTGGCCCTGCTCCGCCACTGGTCGACTGAGAACAGTGGCCGTGCCGTTTACATTGCTCCTTTCCAGGAGCTGGTTGATCAGCGCCTTGCCGACTGGGAGAAGCGACTGGGCAGCATTGCTGGTGGCAAGACCATTGTCAAGCTCACCGGTGAGACAACAGCCGATCTGAAGCTTCTGGAACAGGCTGATCTTGTCCTCGCCACTCCTGTCCAATGGGATGTGTTGTCCCGGCAGTGGCAGAGACGCAAGAACATTCAGACAGTCCAGTTGTTTATCGCTGATGAACTTCACATGCTTGGCGGCTTGGGTGGATACGTGTACGAGGTGATTGTGTCTCGTATGCATTACATTGCTCTGCAGACCGAGAACGAGATGCGCATTCTTGGCCTGAGCGTGCCGCTTTCCAATGCACGCGACATTGGCGAGTGGATTGGCGCTAACAAGCACACCATCTACAACTTCAGCCCGCACGCTCGCCCCGTGCCCTTGGAGCTCCACATCCAGTCGTATACCATTCCTCATTTCCCTTCTCTCATGCTCGCCATGTCCAGGCCTGCCTACCAATCGATCCTTCAATTGTCCCCGGACAAGCCTGCCTTGATCTTTGTGCCTAGCCGCAAACAGACTCGGTCCACGGCAATGGATCTTCTGGCTGCTTGTGCCATCGATGACGATGAAGATCGCTTCTTGAACGCCGACGTTGAAGAACTGGCTCCTCTGCTTTCTCGTATCCAGGAGCAGACACTGGCCACATCTCTGAGCCATGGTATCGGCTACTATCACGAGGCTTTGAGCCAGACCGACAAGCGTATCGTCTCGCACCTCTTCAGCATCGGTGCTATTCAAGTACTCCTTGCCTCACGTGATGTCTGCTGGGAGCTGGATCTGACTGCCCACCTGGTCATTGTTATGAACACTCAGTTCTTCGATGGCCGTGAGCACCGTTACGTTGATTACCCTATCAGCGAGATCCTGCAGATGTTTGGCAAGGCTTCTCGTGCAGGTCTGGACAAGAGCGGTCGTGGTGTTCTGATGGTGCCCGCTGTTAAACGCGAGTACTACAAGAAGTTCCTCAATGAGGCATTGCCCGTTGAGAGTCACCTTCAGGTCTACCTACACGACGCCTTTGTGACCGAGGCCAGCACGCGGACCATCAGCTCGACCCAGGATGCCGTTGACTGGATGACTTACACCTACTTCTACCGTCGTCTCCTCGCAAACCCCAGCTTCTACGGTCTTAGCGACGTGAGCCACGAAGGGCTCAGCACCTTCTTGTCCGAGCTGGTCGAGACCACCTTGAAGGAGCTGTCGGATGCCAAGATCATTGACTTGGATGAGGAGGATGATACCGTCTCTCCACTGAATGCTGCGATGATCAGTGCCTACTACAACATCTCCTTTATCACCATGCAGACTTTCTTACTGTCTCTCTCCGCTCGTACAAAGCTCAAGGGCATTCTTGAGATTGTCACTTCGGCCACCGAATTCGAGTCCATCCAGATGCGCCGTCACGAGGACCACATCCTCCGCCGAGTCTACGATCGAGTGCCAGTCAAGATGTCAGAACCGGCCTTCGATTCTCCCCATTTCAAGGCGTTCGTCCTCCTTCAGGCCCACTTCTCGCGCATGCAGCTTCCCATTGATCTTGCCAAGGACCAGGAAGATATCATCCGCAAGGTTCTCAACTTGCTTAGCGCCTGTGTGGACGTCCTCTCCTCGGAGGGTCACATTAACGCTATGAACGCCATGGAGCTGTCCCAGATGGTTGTTCAGGCCATGTGGGATCGCGATAGTCCTCTTAAGCAGATTCCTCACTTCTCACCGGAGGTCATCCAGGTCGCCAAGGAGTACCAGTATGTATCGAGAACGCTTTATGCACAGCGGGCATTTACTAATCTGAATTCGTGCAGGATCAATGACATTTTCGAGTTCATGGAGGCCATGGACCCCTCTGAGAACAAGGACTACGCCACCCTGGTCAAGCGCTTGGGTCTCAACAACAAGCAACTGGCACAAGCGGCCGCCTTTACCAACGACAAGTACCCCAGCATTGAACTGGACTTCGAAGTCGAGGACCCCGAGAGCATCACGTCGGGCGAGCCCGCTTACCTCAAGGTCAAGATCCAGCGGGAAGTGGAGGAGGATGATGAAGTCGACACGGTCGTTCACGCTCCCTTCTACCCTAACCAGAAGATGGAGAACTGGTGGCTCGTGGTTGGCGAGGAGAAAACCAAGAGCCTGTTGGCCATCAAGCGCGTTACCATCGGTCGCAAGCTCGATCTGCGTCTAGAATACGTGGTGCCCTCGCCTGGCGAGCACGAGCTCACGCTCTACCTCATGAGTGACAGCTATGTCGGTGTGGACCAAGCACCCACCTTTACGGTGACTGCGGCTGAGGGCATGGACGAGGACGAGAGCGAGGAGGAAGAGGAGTAGATTATGATTCCATTTGATTTGTTTGTAATAATAGTTTTGGAGCTACCAGGATACAAAAGGTGTTATTTCCCTTCTCTTCCAGATTGTCGGGCTCACGTAAATAGCCGAGAAAATAAAGTTGTGCCGCGGCATACCGTGCAGGGGCCCTTAGTTGGAATAGTGGAACCGGCGCGATAAACCCCGCCCACCTCGAGTCAGACACGTTGCAACCCTAAACACCTTCCCATCTTGTCCGGTCCGGCTCCACTCTTACAATATCTCTTGTCCGGCTCCCAGTTCTGGTCACTGGCTGTATTGGTGTCTTCTGTCCTCGTTGAGATTGTGTGGTACGCCTACATCTGCTCCTCTGACCAGAGTCTGATCCCCGCGTTGCTCCTTTGCTAGCTATATTATCTCCTCATCCTGAGCTGATTGATATGGCAATCCGCCCAATGAAGTTCACACCCGAGTAAGTTTTCGCCAGATCAGAAAATGCCTTCCTAGACTCATCAAGCTCTCGATTGACCACTTTACCTTCAGGGTTCTCCTCGGCGCCCCCAGGCGGTCCTCAGCCGTCCCCAATGCAGCAGGCACCCTAGCAGTCTACACCCAGACCTCCTACTCATTCGAGTCGCATTCCAAGACCAGTGAGATCCGTGTCATAGATGTCGAGTCCGGCCGATCAGCTCTCATCACCAATGACCCTGGCGCCAGCAACCCGCAGTGGCTGGGCGACGGCGACCTGCTAGTCTGGCTGAAGACCAAGTCCAACGGCAACACGAGCTTCATTGTCGGCAATGCGCGCGAGGCTGATATGACATACACTGCTGGCACTGTCCCGGGCCCAGTATCTGACTTGAAGGTTACTGTCATCGAGCCGGGGAAGATTGGCTTCGCGGTGACAGGCAAGGCTAACCCGGACGGGTCGTTGTTTAATCCACACGACGTGAAGAAGCCGCACACCACCGGACGCCTGTATACTTCTTTGTTTGTCCGGCACTGGGATGCATATGTTGAGCCGCAGAAGAATGCCATCTGGTACGGCCTGCTGGAGCAGACGCCCCTGTCCCCAGCTCGCAGACTGGCGGGGAAGTTCTCTGTCTCGGGCCTGACGAACTTGATCTCGGTGTCTGGCCTGGGACCGCTTGAATCGCCAATTCCTCCGTTCGGTGGCACTGGTGACTTCGACATCAGCCCGTCCGCTATTGTGTTTATTGCTAAAGACCCGAACCTGAGCCCGGCTACCCACACTGCATGCTCGTGTTACTACGCCCCGATGTTCTCGTGGACTAGCATGAGTGTGTCGGATATCAAGCCTTGTAAGGTGACTAGTCTGCAGGGCGCAATGGCCTCGCCCGTTTTGTCTTCGGATGGTAGTTCCATTGCTCTTTTGACCATGCGCAAGGATGGGTATGAGTCGGACAAGAATCGCATCCTCTATGTGCCCAATCCATGGAACGGCGAGATGTTTGAAGTCTTTGAGACCTCCGATGGCAAGGGAGAATGGGACCTGAGCCCCTCTTCCGTGTCCTTTGCTCAAGATGATCAGTCGTTGCTCATCCAGGTCCAGGAAGTCGGCCGTGGAGTCCTATATCAGCTGTCCCTGGACGGCATTCGAACGGCGAAGCCTGAGTCACTGAAGAAACTCACATACGAGGGATTCGTCAGCGATGTTGTTCCCGCTGCAGCCAAAACATCCAAGTTGTTCGTCTCCAGCTCCAATCTGGTTGACAGCAGTATATGGTCCATCATCGATCCGGCTCGCCCAGAAGAAGTTCGGGTCGTTTCGTCGAACGGCCGCGGAGGAGCTGCATTCGGCCTTTCACCGACACAGGTAGATGAAATCTGGTTCAAGGGCGCCGAGGACCATAAGGTCCACGCTTGGGTCGTCAAGCCCTCCAACTTCAAGCCGGGTGAGCGGTATCCTCTAGCTTACCTGGTTCACGGCGGCCCCCAGGACGCATGGAATGACCAGTGGAGCACGCGTTGGAACCCTGCCCTTTTCGCCGAGCAGGGCTATGTCGTGGTTACGCCCAACCCAACTGGTAGCACTGGCTACGGACAAGATTTCACAGACGGGATCTGCGGTGAGTGGGGTGGCCGGCCCTACGAGGATCTCGTAAAGGGCTTCGAATACATCGAGCAAAACCTGCAATACATCGACACCACCCGGGCTGTGGCGCTCGGGGCGTCCTATGGAGGCTACATGATGAACTGGATGCAGGGCCACGCTCTAGGTCGCAAGTTTAAAGCGCTGGTTACCCATGATGGTGTGTTCAGTATGACGTCGCAGCTTGCCAGCGAAGAGCAGTTCTTCCCGCTGCACGACCTCAAGGGCCCCATTTGGAAGGTCCCCGAGCACTGGGCCAAGTGGGATCCGTCGCGCTTCACGGAGAACTGGGCGACGCCTCACCTCATCATTCACAATGAGCTAGACTACCGCCTGACTATTGCGGAAGGTCTTGCTGCGTTTAACGTGTTGCAGATGCGGGGGGTCGAGAGCGCCTTCTTGACGTTCCCGGATGAGAACCATTGGGTTTTGAACCCGGAGAACTCCTTGATGTGGTACCACACCGTACTGAACTGGATCAATAAGTATGCTGGACTTGCTCCTGTCGCGGATGAACCCGACCTCTCCGCAGCGGTGGCCAACCTCTCCTTTTAAGGGCTTTCTTGACTGGTGGCTTGAGGCCGTTTTACACTGCCACAAACGCTGTCTGTTTTTGATTGGACATTAAGAGCATATATGAAATCTTTGCCTATTTCTTATTATCGTTCATCATTCTTTTTCGGTCTACAACAGAGGGATCGCGGGATCCGGGTGTCCAAGGAGGCATTTCGTCTCGGGAGAGAACAAAGGGTGCGTTGTCAGCGGGGTTTGAAGCCGCAAAGGGCTATATTGGAATGTTTCATCGCATTGTCTGTATTTTGGCCTCATGTAAAAGAAACACAAGAAGTACAAATGGATTATTTGGAGCTTTCCGGGTCGATTCTATAAGAAGGCACTTTCATGCCCTACTTTGTGGGAAGTCTTATTGACATTCCTCTTCCTATAGACTATTTCCTCCCTTTGCTTTTGCACAGAAAGTGCTCTTCTACTTCTCATCAAAAGCTGTCTAATTTTCACGAATGCCTTCCAGTCACTTCCCTCTTCAGCGGCGGTCCAGCTGCGACTCGATATGTTCCGAATCGGTGTCTGTCGAGTCCGTAGAGTCTATAGAGATGTCTTCTTCATCTACTTCATCCTGTCCATCTGCTCAACCCTCGCCACCGCCATACCGAACCTCCTCGGCCTCACAACAGCCAGCTGTTGAGCCTCTCCCCTCAACTAATCGGATCAAAAAGCGCAAATTCCACTCGGATTTCGAGGATACTCTCCACAATCTGGCCAGACCTCTCCTACCTTTTGTCAACAACGACACCGGCGCAATCCACCCGGAATTTCCACGAACCCCTTGTGCCTTCAACCTACTCACCTCCGACCAGCTCGACAGTCTGGCCCGCCACTACCACCAAGTGTGGCCGGCCCAGCCCCCCACTAATACTTATCCTCATCGGGTTCGGCCCTGGGTCGGCGCGCCAGATGAGTCATGCATTGATCTTGCAACTAAGCGGCAACGCTTCGGGCATTTTATCGGAATGCCTGGGTACTTGGAATTCAGCAACAGTGCTCTGCCGATCCCACAGCCTATGGATGCAGAGGGAAGGAGTAAACGGCGGAAGGAGGAGAATTAGAAGGCGAGGAAGCTTATGCAGGAGACGGACGAGTGGCTATACAATTCGCCAGTTCCTATTCACCTTCTCCCAACAGCAATCGATGGTTCAATCTTTTGCGGCAAGGGTCTGGATTGGTATGGTGTTCTAGCGAAAAGTTTTGAAATTTTAGGTTGTCTCCTCCTGTAGCCCACCAGAGAAGCGAGCCTTCATCTGCATGGCCAAGATGTGGGTCAGCCAAGCCCAGAAGAGGGAGGGAACCTTGAGTCTTGGCTACGCCAAGCCTCAGACTATAACGAATCCAGGTTGACCCGAAAAGTATGATAGAAGAAAGCCATCCAGGTGAATCGATCGACAACCATAGAAAAGAGAATAAAAACAACGAAAACTTCTTACAGGCGGTGGTAACGTCTGGGTACAGCAACCATTGATCGTACGAATAGAGAGGATAAGCGATTAGACGAGCATCGGGCGAAAGCCACGCGAGAAGCTCCATAGTGTCGGAAGGAAGCGTGAATCAATTTAGCGCCGATCATACAGGACTAAGCCTTAAGAAGAATACAGTTCAACCATAACTTGTGTGCTAAGCGAACGGGAAAGTACGCAGAAATGTTAAGCTTAGGGATTCCTGAGGACATGGCTTCTTATAGTTACTGCATCTCTCACTCGAAAATCCAATCAAATTCCGGTCAAAATGAATATGCCAGATCTCCGGAATCGAATCCGCTTTATGACATGCTTTATATCGCGCCGATATCAGTCAAGATTTCATGGTTTGCTGAAGGTTCCTCCAGAGATAATAGCGATCATCATTATTTTCCTATCAATACCGGACCAAATTTGCTTCTCACTTAGTTGCACGTATGTCTACGAGTGTTTTTGCCTTATTTTTGAAGGTCAAGGAACCCGGCTTTCCTGGCAAATTTTGCCGGAAAGTCGACTGATGCTATGCAGCAGGCCTGATATTGAACGAAGGCCTAGAACGCAGCTACTTCGCCAACTCGAGAATAACCGCTGGAGATACTGTGGCGGATGCTGGAGCCTCCATCCACGTTCCGCATGGCACACGACACAGGCTTCCAAGATACCCCGTATAATTAGTCCAGATTCCAGCTGTATGCCGTACGCCGGTGAAGTCGACATTTGCCCCTGCCTTACCATCGCATTTCCGGATAAGATTCGATTAATGGAGACGATCAAATCCGCTCGACAGCGTGATTCAATAACGCGACAATGGTACTACAATAATAACCTGTATCATCCTCGTGTTGGCATACTCCAGAAATACCTTGGCCACGACTGTATGTTTGAGAATCATCCTTTCGTAAGGGTGCGAATCTCTACCATGGTTTGGCTGGATGACTGGGAAATGGTCTGGCTTGAAGGCCGGAGACAGCGCCAAAAAGATGAAATTGAAAGGTTATCTGTGTCGAATTTCTATACATTCGATATACGACAGGGCAACTCACCAACATCAGGCCCAAGATCCCCAACTCCTTTGACTCGCCCGCAAAGGGACAAGGATGTCGGGAAATGGCTTGCACGATTTTTTGATGAAGCTGGTTCGAGCTTCTTGGGTTGGCACAAAAAAAGAAAAAGGGTGAAACTCCGTATATGATCGACATAGTAAGGCTCAACGTTGAGCCGCATTTTCTCAAGATACGTATCAACCGTTCTCTTGGAAGCTACGAATGGCCTGATGAAATTTGGAAGCTCAGTTGCCGCAAATGAGTGTGCAAATTCTTTCTCAACGCTTTTCAATCTTCGTCCACATTTCCCGGGCTCGGATACAAAGCTTTTCACCTCCCTTAAATGAGGCGATGATGCATTCCCATTCATTACTTGCAAAGCGAAGCTCACTTCAGTCAACGGCTCAAAACTTCTATTTGTTCCCTTTTATGCGTCTCCTAAATTTACCTCATCTAGGACTCTTTCAATCTTATACAGTATTTCCGAAAATCGGTATCACCCCCCGCACTCTTTGATTGTTCCCCTATTGGGCGCTCAATAAGGCTCTGCACAATCGGGGATGCTTGCCACTGCAAGGCTCGTAAATGGTGCACTGCAGAGTGTTACGAATATAGTGAAGTGGTGGACAGCGGCGGGGGTGGACGATGTTGATATAACGAAACCAGTACCATACAATACGGAAATTTAGAATCCTTGGCTGGTAAAGACCAAACACTGTTCTTCGTAGCGGGAAGTTAGCTAACATACCGTAACAGCCACCCCTGATTAGAGCTGCACGTAACCCCCGTGGGCTTCAGGACATGGCTTTCTCCTTCTGTGTGCTTGACAGGTCCAAACACCGGGCATGATGACACCGCACCGCCAATTTCGGCGACTGGCGATCGTAGGGTTGGCAGTACTCGCTCTCACCACTTGGTACCTACACTGGCAAACACAGACACGCCATGCGTCGTCGTCGAGCCGAGTGGCTCAGTATCCCCTACTCTCAAAATACGTGTCTGACCAGAGGGGCGATGGAGGAGGTACGAAATCGGCCATTTCACTCGTTACGCGAGCCATCTTTTTGCTAACATCAACAGCTTGGCACATCCCACCCAGTTGGGTAGAGGGGTCCCAACCTCCCTTAGGGAATATTATTGACGCGGCCATCTTTGCGCTTAATGCGTCTAGATCCATACCAGGCAGACAGATCCCGTACTCTGCTATACCTCTGATCATCCATCAAACATGGAAGGATACATATCCAGATCAGTGGCCAGAAATCTTCCGCCGGTGTGCAGAGAGATGGTTGTCAGGCGTTGATAGTGGCAACATGGCCTACTTTTTGTGGGATGATACTGGCGTTGCAAAATTCATCCGGCATTTTGAGCCGGAGATAGAGACTCAGTTCTACACCTTGCCGAACAATGTGGAGCGATCAGATGTGTTTCGCGTCCTGGTCTCCAAGTGGATTGGCGGCATCGTGAGTAGCTAGCTCCTCCATGACCCCAATGCATGATTCCAGCTTAGTCATTTCGTGACATTAACGAAAGACAGTACGGTGATATTGACAGCGAGCCTACTCGAACTCCATCAGAATGGATCGATTCTACCGATCTGGAGCTGTGGCGAGATCCGGAGACGGGCAAGGTGTTCGACTCGACCGAGCCTGTTAAAGCTATCGTTGGTCTAGAGGCAGACTGCGATCCTGGAAATGACCTCTACTGGCGTATGGGCTACTTTTACCCTGTTCAGTTGACGCAGTGGTCATTTGCCTGGGCGCCCGGGCACCCCATTCTACAGCTATTCATCAACCGCCTGACTACAACCATGCAGGCAATCTCTAAGGAAAACGGAGGGCATCTGCAGTCTAAATCAGCCCAAATGGCTCTCTACGATATTGACCCGTTAAACCTCACCGGGCCAGTTGCCCTCACGGATGTGACTCAAGAGTGGTCGAAAATCAACTGGGGTCTACGATGGAATGCTCTGTCCGGGCTGGCTGACGGCGGGTTAAGCAAATTAGTGGGCGATGTTCTGGTCTTGCCTATCACTGGATTCAGGTATGTCCGGTCGCCAGAAGTGAATCGAGGATAAATCATTTGTTAACTTAGTCAAGCCCCGGAAGAGGTCAATATGGAAACATGGGTTCGAAGCCTATGACCGATCCTTCCGCTCGCTTAGTTCACCATGCCCACGGGTCCTGGAGAAAGACTAGCATTCTGGTTGAATACGGCAAATTTTGTCGAACCTTCTTTGGCCGCTGCAGGCATTGGTCTAAAGTGCCTCATAACTGGATCACTTGAAATTTAAGCTGGGAACGCATACGGCGAATGTAAGATTTCGGGTTGATCAACACCCGACCGGCGCACATCTCCAGTGAGGTGCTTTCTTCCTCGTAATTTTTGGTCACGAGAATTATCAATTACTAGTAGTTCGCGAACATCATACTCATACATATTATTTATTATCATCAATACTATTCATACACCGTGTTACTACTTACTGGTACCCGTATGCCTCAGGCGGGCCTGTTGGCCAGGTCCTTCTACCTTTCTCAATGATACAGGAAGCCCTCCCTGCAACCGGGTGAATGTAACTAGTACATGCTCCATCCCCAGTTTATATTTGTAGAGAGACCAGAGATAGATCGACCCAGAGTATGTCTCACGTCGCCGACTACCAGGCGTCTTTTAGAAGGCCGAAAATAGTTCCAGGCATCCTGAGGGAATTTTTCCAGACCCAAAGACCCAGAAACGCATACCTAGGTCTAGGGTTGGTCTTCCCTGTCTGCAATCTGCAGATAATCACTATATTCACCTGTTCACCGTGTCTCCATGAATCAAAGGGCTAGTCAGCGTTCGCGGTCTCTGTAGCATTGTAATAAACGAGGCGATATAGTCAAGAAATAAGCATCAAAGGCAGGGACAACTCCCCGCAGGGGTCGAAAATAAGAAATGAAACTGAACGCTAACAACCATCCCAGTTGCTCCAAGCTTTCATTATATCACATTTGTTCTTTCTCCCGGTCGAGCCGCATCTCTTCTGCTCTTAGCTTTGGCTCCATCGATCGCTTCACATGGTCTAACCAAAAGGTTCCGACCCCTAGCATCCATGTTACCCTCTCCCCATCCACCCGGCGAATCGTCTCTTGTACTTTTGGGATGATTAAATTTGGCTCACCACCCGCGCTTAGCTGAACATCAGCAAGGCTGTAGGTGGCGACGTCAATGTAGAAATGATCCTCCTCCCACTTTTTCATGACGGTCCGGCCATAGTCGATAGCTTCTTTCCATCTAGACTGCGCCTCGTCCCACTCGTGTCGTAGATGGGCAATCTGAGCGAGATATACAATGACGGAAAATTCCCGAGTTTGGTCGTCATACCACAATGCTCCATTTGCGCGGGTTTGCTCGAACCGTTTCTTTAGACCCAGCAGCTCCCGTTTGGCATTTTCATACCGCTCTGGATGATTCCGCCCCTGGCGGAGGAGGCTGACGGCGTGATTGATTTCAAGAAACATCGTGTCGCTCTCACGTACGTTTTCTCGGTCTTGTTGAGTAAGATGCCCTCGCTCGAACATACGGTTCTCGATGGCTCGGGAGCAAAGGAAAGAAACGATCTCACACAGAGTGGCGCCAGATGGGTGAGAAAGCTTTTCTCCGAAGTTTGTTCCTTCCGTTATTAGGTCGAGTAGAATCTCGGAACCATCTTCTGCGTCCTCGATTTCCAGAACGGCCTGCCCGAAGTCACTAATTGCCCATCCTTCCTCGCGGCTTCCACGTGTGGCATACTGCTCGATAAAGAGTTTCAAGGAGTAGTATGCTTCTTTGAAGAGCCCAAAATCCTTAGCGAGCTTGCCACGCATGCGAACCCCCATGCCCATTGCATATTTCTCAAGTTCTGATGGGTTGTCTCGATCGAGGGGCTGCCATGCCTCGATGTAAGCCGCTCGCCTCCTCCACACCTCTTCGTTGGAAAGGCCAGGCTCGCGAACTCTGTACTCAACGGATAAGTGGCGTAAAAATCCCAAGTGCGCATTTTCCCTCTTTGTGAGTTCTTGAGATTGCACTCTGGATTCTACACTTTGCACAAAATTGTCGGCAGCTTCACAGCCTTCAATCAATTTCCCACAGCTATAGAACTCCAGCGGCAGTCGAGTGCACCAAAGCCGGGCTTGAAGGCCAATGCTCATTGAACCTTCAAGAAGATTCTTAAGCCAGTCTAGGAGCATGTCGTCCATTTTGTCGTGGCCGTCGCCATATCCGCGGATCGTTTCAAAGAGCATTTCAGCCGTTCTCTCTGCGAAGCTCGGCTTGCCATTCCGCTGAGTGTTTCGAAGTGCTTGAGTGTATTCAAGGTTCCTCTCTTCAAGTTGCATGCAGTTGATGTGACACTGAAATATTTGAGGTATTATCTCCTGGGAAGAGTATTTGCTATACATGAATCAGCCTTTCTGCCAAAATTAGGAATACAAATCCGAAGTCGAGTGTGGCCTACCTTTGATCCAATCCTGCTTGCATAACTGGATGGGCGTGAACAACAAGACTGAGTGCACAAAGAGCGCTTTGAACCATCTGATCGGCTGTCATGGCTTCGCGAACATAACTGTAGGTTATGGGATGCAACACAATCAAATCTTTGGTAGCGGCGCTCTCTTCTTCGAATTTCTCATCACTTGCGACTAAAGCATATAATTTTAGCTCTTTCAACGCAATATCAAAGTCTGGGCCGTCGATGAGTTCAATAATGTCCTCTGGCACGTAACTATCACGTGGGTCTCGCGTTGACGGCATGCCATCACTTCCCCAGTATGGCTGCGGAGAGACCGCGCGCTTCAGAAAGCTGACCGTCGTCTTCGATCTATCGAGCCAGACAAGTAGCGTCAAGAGCTTGTAAGCGCAGGGGTTGTTCTTGATCTCATTCAGCGTAATATTCAGGATAGACTCGACAGATATTTGGTATCTGGAAGCCTTTGGGCGATAAGACAGTATTCTCTGCGGAAGCTGCTTGTTCCTGAGAATGGCAAGATACTCATCGATATTAGTTTCACTGCACAGGATATAGGCGGCGGCTGAATCAACCGCAAGAGGCTGGCAACCCATGAACTTGACGATGCTTTTTGCCGTAAGATCCCACTGGGCGCGTTCCTTTAAGTCAATACCAGCTCTCGAGAACAGCAGATCTTTCGCATCTCGCCATTCCAATGCTCTCATACGTACAGCTCTGCTAATTCGCGGGTCGCTGGTGTGCTCTCGGCCTCGACACGTAATAAGAATATGGCCATTGCTTGTTTCCGGGAATCGTAACTGGTCCAAGGCAACCCAGTCGTCGTCGTTATCGAGCACAAGTAACCAATGCCGCTCGCGTAAAAGAAATTGCTTCATCTCCTCGAACTCTCGCCCCTTTTCGGAGGACAGACCCACTTTATCGTGGAGATTAATAAAATCAGCTTCTAGGGATTGTACACTTGCCGAATCCACGAAGAAGACATAATCATAGTGATGTTCGTTCTCCCGGGCATATTTCAAAGAAACCTCCGTTTTACCCATTCCGCCATCTCCGTAAAGAGCAACTATGCGGCGACCAGTTCCGCAGAAAGATTCATGGATCTGCTGCAGACAGTCTCGTCGACCAGTGAAATGCTGTGTTGTGTCCCAGGGCAAAAAGACGCGTGCCCGGCTCTGGATCGGTCCGCGCTCTATAAAGGTTCGTACCCGGCTCACCAAGTCTCTGAATACCGAGTCATTAGCGTCTCGATATTTGCAGATTTCATGATGATTGAGGGCGACTCCAAGAGCGTTTTCGCTTTGGATGCTGAGAAGAGCCGATTCCTTGTAGACAACCTGCCCGGGAAGCACCGTATTAGCGGATACCTGCAGCTTCAATGGATTGTTGACTTACAATATCGCTGAAGCAGATCAAACGGCCTCTAGTTGGGAGGAGCTCATAGAAGCTGGTAATTGGAAGGGACCTCTGATCTGCAATCTGTCTGAAGTCGTCCGCAATACTTGCTCTATGGGATTGTTAGCATGGTGCAGAGAGTTTAACATTTCAGATTCTGCCAGTGGACGCACAACTCTTGTGAATTTTGCCTGAGCGACTTTATAAATTTCTGCGGTGCACCTATAACAAGATTCAAACGCAAAAACTTATCCGCAACATCGGCTAACGCGCTTCCTCGATGAGGTGTTGCTAGGAATATAATCCCAGCCAGACTTCCAAGGATATGTCTCAGGGACATCTTGTTATTACTCATGATCAGAGCCTAGAAACGGAACCGTGAGCAAGGGTCCGAAATATTGTATCGTAATAATGATATGAACTACCTTCTTGAGCACGATTCCGCCGAGAGAATGTGCAATGGCGACGAAGGATCGTTTTCTTTCCTACAATGAAACAACATTTAGCACCGACAAAGCTTTTCGTCATAAATCTGGTCCTTACCTCTGAAGTTGATCTAACTCTTTCCAGCTCGCTGATCAGCTGAAGCGCCGCATCCTCGATGTCGAGATTTGCGTTCACCCCAAATCTACCCGCATCATACCCGAAAGTCAAGACACGAGCGACAACTGGAAGAGCTTGCGGCAGTAGGTCTCGAGGCCAGCAAATCTCGCCGCGGCTCCAAGTATTGATTGCATGGCCTCCCAGCCCATGTATGTGGACGATACTGTAGATTCTGTGGTCAGCAGGTCTCCAGCAGCGCGTTACAATGGTGCGTTTGTGGGTCAGTACTCAATGGCGATCTCTTTGGCATCACCTGGCGTATGGAGAGTGTGGATCCCTAATACAGGGACAATGTTGGCGTTCATAGATGACTCGTAAGAGCCCGATCTGACTTTTGCCATTTCCAGCCAGATATCGCGCTCAGTATGACCGTAAAGGTGCGAATGGATTTGTTGAACAAGTGCAATGTAATGGAGATGGGATGACCGTGGGGCCGCGCACTTCAAGGTTTCGGGCGGGTGGAGTGGAGACACAGTTTTAACACAGTTTCAAGTACGAGCCTCACCGTTACCGCCTACCGATACGAAGCAAACGCATGGTGTCGACAATATAACTGGTTGGATATTGGTTCATGGCGATAGCCGGGCAGCTGAACCAGGAATCTGTTATGATTCGCGTGTTCCCCTCTTCTATACCCACTCGTCTGACACCCAGTCTCACTGATTGCGTGCTTTTGTCGGGGTAATCCCTGCCTTCACACACCTGGGCAGTGGGGCGTCCTATCGGGAGCCAACGAAAAGAAGGCGGCTGCACACAGTGCTGCATGAATCCGTTTTTGTTGGCCGCTAGTCAAGCTGTACTTGGCGAAACAACGTATTGGTAAAATACAATCTGCCAGCAGTCTTCCGAAGAAAAATACCCCCCTGATGGATCTCAGGTGTTGAACCTACACAAAACTATTCCCATCAACCCGGTCTACACTTAACCATGCTGACGGTACTACCAGGCCTCGTGGTACAGTTTATAGTGACAGGCTGCACGCTATTGTTTACGGTGACTGCCGCAAGCAAATCTAAATGCAATGGCTACTCTGTATATAATATTAAGCAGAGTATTTTCCAGTTGGAAGCTAACCTGCAGTTGATTGGAGAAGGATGTGGCATCTACGGGCCAGACGTCCCCAGGCTAGCATTAAGCGTCACTTATGAGACGGGTCAGTGGTCGTCCGAAACATCCGTTGGAGACCTATTAAGGCTAATCTCTTCGCAAGTACATAAGACACCAGGCTCCACGTCATCATCCAAGACAGTGAGAAAGAGCGGTATCAAGTGCCCACAGAAGTGTTTCCTCGACCTAACTTCGCTGGGGTGGACCCCAAAACTTCCGACCTTGTATTCAGCCTGACGGAATCGCCGTTCGGCTTCACCGTCTCGCGTTCGTCTACCGGCGAAGTTCTCTTTGATACGAGGGGAACGGCCTTGATCTTCGAAGAGCAATATTTACGTCTACAAACATGGCTTCCTTCTGGGCCAAATATTTACGGACTTGGTGAACATTTTGACACATTCAGACTGCCGACGGATAACTACACGCGAACACTATGGGCTAGAGACTCGGATGGAGTGCCTTACGGAGAGAATCTCTACGGCAGTCATCCTGTTTACTTCGAACATCGGATGGGCGGCACACATGGCGTGCTTTTGCTGAATTCCAATGGAATGGACGTCAAGATAGACAGGGTCTCTCTGGGACGACAGAACCTGGAGTACAATATAATTGGAGGCATTCTTGACCTATACTTCTTTGCTGGGCCGGACCCAACACACGTCGCCAAACAGTATGCAGACGTGGTTGGACGGCCAGCTATGGTACCTTATTGGAGCCTAGGGGTATGTTCGAAATAGAGATAAGCGAGCGGTCGAGCAGAGATCTGACAGTATTGCAGTTCCATCAATGTCGTTTCAGCTATCGAGACTGGTTCGAAGTGGCAGAGGTCATAGCCAATTACAGCTCTGCCGGGATTCCACTTGAGTAAGTAGATACGATCTTCGATTCGCATCCTTTTTGAGTATTATCAGGCTGATATTGATTATTCCTGTAGGACAATGTGGACGGACATTGATTACATGGAGCATAGAAGTGTATTCTCCCTGGACCAACTGAGGTTTCCGATTGAGCGTATGCGAGAAATAGTCCATAACCTCCACAAGGCAAATCAACGATATATCCTCATGGTAGACCCTGCGATAGCCTGGCAAGACTACGAAGCATTCAACAAGGGTCTTGAACTGGACATCTTCCTGAGAAATCAGGATGGCTCATTGCATGAAGGAGTGGTCTGGCCAGTGCGTTGTATCCTACAACTGATTCTCCTTTCAGAGAGTTAACTAACATCGCTAGGGTGTCACGGTGTTTCCTGACTGGTTCCACGTCAATGCAAGTACTTATTGGATCGACATGATCGAAAAGAACTTCAACCCGGAGACTGGCATTGATATCGATGGCATCTGGTACAGTCATTGACTTGACAGAAAACCCCCCTAACAGAGCTTAGTAACTAACAATCTACCACAGGATTGATATGAATGAACCTGCGAGCATGTGCGACTTTCCTTGTACGGATGCAGGGAAACAAGCCCGGAAGTTAGGGGTGCCTCCAGATCCTCCTCCTCCGCGGAATCCACCAAGGCACCTCCCTGGATATTCAAATTTAACAGATGACAGCAAACCCGAAGGAACATTTCTCAAGGGTTTGTCTTCATTTCCCTCATCGGGATTTTCTCTCATCCTAATACTTCACTTTGCCTTCAGAAAATCATCTGCTGTATAGACAGAATGCCTCATTTGTATACAAGCCGAAGAGAGATGCTGTGGCTGATCTGCCCCGCTGGAATGCTAGCACTCCTCACCTGAAAGGCTTGCTCTTTCCCCACTACCGTATCCGAAATGGAGGTCCGACGGGCATTTTGAGCGACAAGACCGTGCATACTGATGTCATGCATATGAATGAACTCATGGAGTATGATGTCCACAATCTCTATGGCACTAGTGAGCTTGACGACTGCAAATTGATATAAGCTCGATTCGCTAAATTATATTCAAGTGATGAGTTCGATCACGAGGCAGGCGATGCTGCGCAGACGACCAGACCTGAAACCGTTTATCATCACGAGGAGCACATTTGCCGGGGCGGGTAGGCATGTTGGGAAATGGCTCGGAGATAATGCCGCCCGCTGGGACCATTAGTATGCTTGCTCCATTTCGCTATTCACTACATAAATTAACTCAGATTAGCCGGTCCTCTATAGCAGGAATGCTTAATTTTGCGTCCATATTCCAGATTCCGATGACGGGAAGTGATGTAAGGCGCAATCAGCAATATTTAACAAATATTCATTTCTTCTCTTTGCTGATATTGCCAGGTTTGCGGATTCAAACTCGCAACAACGGACAAGCTATGCGCCAGATGGACGACTCTCGGAGCGTTTAGTCCCTTTTACCGCAATCACAACCATGACGAAGCGCCTCCACAGGAATTCTACCGCTGGCCCCTTGTAACAGAGGCCGCGAAATATGCAATTTCCACTCGATATAGACTTCTAGATTATCTTTATACCGCGCTTCACCAACAGTCTCTTGATGGAACACCGGCGATTAACCCGCTGTGGTACATATACCCTCGCGACAAGAGCACTTTCCCCATCGATTTGCAATTCTTCTACGGTAACTGTATCATGGTTTCTCCAGTTACAGAAGAAAATTCGACGAAGGTGGATTTTTACGTACCTGATGATCTGTTCTATGATTTCGAGACGCTTGAATCTTTACGTGGCCATGGGGACTTCCGCACAGCTAGTGAAGTGCCGTTCAACCGCATCCCATTACATATCCGAGGCGGCTGCATAGTGCCTCTCCGAGTTGAGAGCGCAAATACCACAACCGAGCTACGGTCCAAGGACTTTGAGCTCCTCGTTGCTTTGGGTCCCGATGGCACAGCGACTGGACAGCTTTATGTCGATGATGGAGTGACGATTGATGGTGGGAAGAAGGTGCATTTGAACTTCAGCTATGCGCAGGGAAATTTGACATCGTCGGTTGTGGGTGAAGTAGACCCTTCAGAAGCTGGTGTACATATCAGTTCCGTCAGAGTGATTGGAGAGGGCCTCGGCCTATTTCACTCTCACGAGCTGTGAATCAAGTCTATGGGGATATTTAATGGGACTTGCAGCCATTATTCTCACATCCTTCTAACCTGGTTCGGAGAGCTCATTAAAGTAGTATAAAGTATGAATTTAAAGCAGACTCTCAGACAGGGGCCATTGAGCATTGCATTCGATAGGCATACCGTACTGGCTTATGTGCAAAAAGGTCCCAGTGGTTCTTGCTGCATTACGAAGATCATTAAAATCATCCGCGCCGTACATAAAAGGCAGCGGAGCCCAAAGTAGAAGCTAAATAATACATCATCTGCTAGTGCTACCCCCACGAACATGTGCCGGTCGCAAGGCGAGGTAAAGGACCAGGTAGAGGCATATTTGAAGCGAGACGTACAGAGTAAAGGGAATATAGTAGTCTGATCCGAGTCAAACGAAGGCTTGAATGGAATATACATATTTTTTTTTAATTAAGCAGTGATCCACCAGCACTAATTGCTAATCCTATAGCAAGGAGCTAAGTACAGACAAAGTTCAAGCTCAACCTGAGAACGCCACTATGAGTGTCTAGCAGGATAGCCTGGGTGCAATCCAAATATCTGTCTGGGCCCAGGTAAATAAATGGACTGACAGAAAGCGATAGTGACAAAAAGGAAAGTAAAGACTGCTGCGCAGAGGCAGAATATCAAGAGGAAAGCCAGGCAGACCATGAGATGTGCAATGGAAGGGTCCCAAAGTTGCCCAGCAATATATAGTCGACTCTCCGAACGTATGATTTGCGGTCCATAATGAGACTTTAGCAAGGGGAGTCCAGGGGTATATGATCTCCTCCGTCAGCTTTGGAAGAGTCGAAGGGACATCCGTTCAAATAAAGACGACGAGAAAAGGCAACAAGGGCAGTGAGAATCAATAAAATTATCACGACAGCAATCAGCGCCAGGAAGAGAAACCAAATGAAGGAGCTAAGACTATCAGTGGCTTCTTGTAAACCCATGGCGAGTGTTTAGCTGAGCCCGAGTGTGAACGTATGGCCGTATCAAGTCCGTGAAAATAGACAGGTGGTAAATTTTCGTCAGAGTAAACGACGTCAGCCAAGAATACCGCAATGAGTATAGCAGGGATAAGAATGAAGAGAACTAAAGTGGAATGATTTGGTTAGGATCTGTGCTCAAGATTTGACCTTATCAGTAAACATCTCGAAGGCGAGAAGGATGACGGTGTCGTGAGTGGGGAAGCCGTAGATTATGTCTGCATGGCACTCAAATTTTTAAAGTAGAATGTGCTTTGGGGGTGAAGTTTGAATGCTGGTAGGAGTCGGTGCAAGATGGATACATACGGGTCCTCGGAAAGACGACTCAGTATGTACGCATATAAATTGCGTCACCTTTCATATAGCGATAGCGCCGCTACCGAAATGGAATAGGCGGTTAAATTTCGATTTGTATCTGGGAGATTTTGACAAAAACATACTGGTTCGTAGGTTTGACTTTGCAATGATCTGAATACTACTCTCAGAATTAGAGGTATTTCTAACACCCGTGGACCATAGTAGTACGCGGTAGACTCCAGAGCTACACCTGAGAATAGTTCAAATCACAGAAACCAACTTATCATCTACCAGTATTGCTCATACAAATATGCACTAATCGAAGGGGGGGGACATTGGAGTAGATGGAGGTATATTTGGAGCTTTAATAGGAGGGAAGTTGGAAGAGCAGAGTTTGAAATTATACCCTAGAGTGCCGTAATTTGTCACTTTATTCGAGCCATGTTCTTGAGTTTGAGGCTTCAAGAAAAAAAGGCTTAACCGAGGAATTCATTGTTAATAAAAATATTCCAGGATATTACTGGTTATTGAAAATTCAGCCAATATTGTAGATATGGACTGACTTTAACAAAACTTTGCGTACAGTTGCACTGGTGCAAGATAGACCGCTTGTGTTCCAGGTGTGATGAGGGGCTTGGGGGTCATTCTGATGTCGCTTGTGTTGTACGGTGGCTTTATGGTGGCGTGGATTTCTACTTACCAAGGGCAGAGAGGGCGGCCGACGGAGGTGGGTTTAACTGGATTCACGTTGAGGAGCAAAGAACACAAGCTACTTATTAATTCTAAGCACCAGCCAAGCGACCAAGTCTAGCTTCTCTTTATCCGCCCCGGCTAAAAGTGCCAGCCAACTACTTCACTACATCAGCCGCGGCAAGAATAGTCCTAGGAGCTTTTCAAACTACTAATCCGCAAACCGGAACTGACTACTTCATCACATCTCTCAGAACCAATTCAAGTGTAATCTCAATTCCAATTCGAAACAAGAAATGAACCGTTCACAACCTAATCTCCTAATGGAAAACACGCCTATACCACGAAAACTGCCCGTCCCTTTGCATCCGCCCCAACTCCCCCGCCGCATTCTCCACATCAACCTCATCATACACTGCCAGCAACATCTCCGCCGCCAAGTACCTTGACGGCTTATGATAGTACGGGATGTAGCTGTGGCGCACGTTTCCCTTCTTCTCGAAGAGTCCAGACTCAATGATAATCCGCGCACTCCAGCGCAATCGCTCTATATCCATATCATACAGCTCCTCCGTCTGCAGCGGATCCCACTCTTCTATATCCGGCAGCCTGTGCAAGCCCAGTGCACCGGCGTACATGTTCGCTTTCCGATTCAGCTCGAGGCGCGCGAGCAGGGCGCGCCGTAGGGATATTCTTTCTTTGCATGGTTGGCCCCAGTTGTGCCATGTTTGGATCTTGCGGCTCAGCATATAGTCTTCGAAGGTGAAGATTTCGGATTTGGACTGCTCGCGTGTGTACTGCTTGATGAGGTATTCCATGCTGAGGTGGGATAGTATGCGCTTGGTTTCTTGTCTGAGGTGTTGGATCCAGCCTTTGGTAAGCGGGCCTCCTCCGGTTATTTTGGGTTGTTCGTGGGGTTGGGGTAATATAGAGAGCATTATGAATGATGGTGGGGTAGATGTTGGAATTTGATTCTAGTATGTATAGGTATAGCGAAGAAGAAATGGGTTGTTTGAGATAGAAATACTTTTTTGGTCTCCTAACATTATCTATGTTGACTCCGCGTCTAGTCCTTTTTGAATCGGCGAGTGGATACTATGCCTACGCGGGCGGTTGGGTGAACCATGGTTCAACTACAAGCCTCCCGCAGATGGAGGTATCGATTTCCACTGATTGATGTATTCAACGGGACTGTCAGATAACACATAACACGTTGGATTTGAATAAGGTTCATGGGTACTCAATGACCCATGCCCTTCTCCTGATTCTCCTGCACGATCTTCCAGTACTTCTCCCGACTGCGAATGCGGCACGACTTGCCGAACTTCATCATCACCAGGAACACAGCTGCGCAAGCCATGCCGACGAAGGCTGCAGAGATAAAGCAGTTCTGGTACCCCAGGTTGTCGATCCACGGCGTGATACTAGGAACGACGCGTTAGCCCCTGACAACACTCGAAACGGTAACAGTCTAGACTCACCCATAGCCGATGGCAAAGGACATCGTGTTCCGCACTAGAATTACACTGACCATGGCGACACCGCTAAGCTCCCGGTAGCTGTCAACCAAGTAGTTCACGCTCAGCGTGATACCGCAGGTATTGGTGAACGCAAGCAGGCACATGGCGACGATGAGGCCGAACCAGTGCACCTCATTTGCGGCCCCAACACCCCACAAGAGAAGCGACCCGGGAACAAGAATCAAGCAAGCGAGGAATGGCCACAGGCGGTGCTCGGCTTCCATCACCCCCCGTTTCGACGGGCGAGTTTGATGGTCAGCCAGTCGCTGAAACGACCGGTGAAGAGAGACCTGTATCGACTTAGTACTAGCGAGTAATAATCCCAGACAGAAGCTTACCCAAGCGCTACTCCTAAGAGGCATGCGACATAGCTGACGCCCACCATGGAAGTTCTATCATTCGGTCAGCTTTCAGCTGAATCATGAGAAGCGGTCAGGGGCGCTTACCCGAAGTTGTACGGTGACGCGCTCAGAATAATGGAGGCAGTGCCGTTCAGGATATTGAAAATAATTAGGTAGGAACCATATGAGAACCTAAGTCAATATTAGCACGAAACACTCCACGTAAGTTGCTCCAAGACGCCTACCCGGCATAGAAAATCACCGGCCACGACAGGAAGTAGAGGGACTGCCAAAGCCGTCGGAGCATGGTATTCTCGTTCTGCTTGGGCCCCAAAAGTGCAAGTTTTTTGATGTATGACTTCTTGGTATGAACGGTGCCTGTCTCCGTGGGAGAAGGCTGATTCGAGACCTGCACCGCTTTTTCGGGGTCGCCACTGTCACTGTGAGAGCTGTGGGACGAGCCTACCCGCACGTTGGCGATGGTGGTATCTTCCACCTGCTCGCGGACGTAGTTTGTTTCTTCCATAAAGAAAAACAGGAAGATGATGGCGCAGGCGAGGAAGATACTAGGCCAGTAGAATACCCAGCGCCAGCCTTGGTACTCGGCGATGAAGCCGCAGATCACGGGCGCGAAGAAATTGCTGCCGGCTAGGAAGAAGGCGTAAAGGCCCATGTAGGTGCCACGTTCGTGGGTGAAATACTACGCTTGTTAGCACTTGATGTGTTCGCATTCCAGGGGTGGTGCCGTACCACATCGGTGACGGTGATTTCGGGGAGGGCTTCGATGGGAGCAGTGAAGAAGCCTGAGACGATGTTTCGGGCGATCCATTGGCCGTTGGTGCTTGCGTATGGTCTGGAGGGGAGTCTAGTCAGCCATGTCATCCATTCGTCACGGATGTCAGATTCCCTTACCCCCACATTGTGGTGCCCTGTGAGATGTTTGTTAGCCAAGAGTCTTCACATACAGATTTATGGGGCCTACCAATATTCCCGCCAGCGATATCATATAGGTCAATCGCTTTCCATATTGCATCGCAAATGGCTGCCAGAACAGCAGACCCCACCCGGCCAGCAAAAACATATACCCCGTTCCTTCATTGAGTGTGCTGACCGGCAGCCCGGTCGCTGTCGACAGAGGGGTGAGCACTGAATAAACAACCGAGCAAGCGATACCAGCGAACAGCGTATAGCTAGCCCCATGCCAAACTGATCAGTCTACGCGATACACAGGTGCTGTCTGAATTGATACTCACACGCTCACACAGACAGTCGACAGAAGCTTCCGCTTGGGACTCCAGTTCAGTGGATCATCCGGGTCATGCGAGGGGGTGGGAATCAGCACGATATCCCCATTCCCATTGTTCAAATGGGGCGTATTTAGCACATGCTCAACATCAACCAGCGTCACAGTGCCAGGAATAGCCGAGCTATCCACAGTCGGTACCATGGCGAGGCTCTTGATCTCAGTGGGAGTGTCAGGAGGATAATGGGGTGGGGGAGGTAAATAATAATCGGAGGAAGCGCAGAAGCAAATCTCACGTTCCTTATGTAGAAGTATATGTGGGGGGAAGACAAGGGCACGTCACAGCATGATATCGGATAGAATATGACAGATCCGGCTTGGTTCCCTTTTTTCAATAGCCCACGCGTAGTCGGCTGGAGATAAAAGTCCGATTCAGGAGATTAGAAGGGAAGGCTGAAAAAGACGGCTCGATTCCGCTTAGAATGCTCCAAGTCCCGGCGTGGAATGCAGACCTGTGCGATAAGCGGTGGGTCCCAATAATAATCTTCCCCGCACTGCCCAAACTTTGGGCGGTCTTTGCTTACTCGGTTTCAAGGCAAGCTATGAAAGTGTAGTATGATTTGAAAGTAACGGATGGTTGAATACAAGGGGAGCACGAAGCATCTGGGTGTCTAGTATGGTGCCCACCAGCCGACGCGTCATGCCGAATGGTAATTAGCGATGAGGTCGCCATTGGGGTTTCCATACTTCCTGTGGGTTATATTTATGTTTGCCCAGGATACCTACCAGAAGAAAACCCAATGGTAAAATTGCAACCCACCCAGATCATTGATAAGCACTAAGCAGATAATCTGGGCTGTGTGACTGGTTCCCGACTATTCCAATTATCAGACAATGACGATCTCACCTGTCAGACACGTCTATCTATTCGTCACGTTTTAACCCTCCGGTTTGAGCTTCTACCGGAAATCTTTCCGAGGAGAAAAACCAAGCAAAACAAGCTATCGCCTCCCGCCCGCCGAGACCCCATTCACCAATCAAATGCTCCCAAACAAACTAGTCAAAGCGCTGGGGCTTGCGGAGAGGACACCAGTGGCGGACCTTTTACCAGGACAACGTGCACGTCCCCAAGAGAGAGAGTACCAACTAGTTAGAACACGGCACTTACACGGGCGGACTATCGCCCGCTACTCCAACGTACCTCCCACGCGCCGCTTATCAGCCACCCCCATTGGTCCATTGGCAGCTTTCCTATCCTGGCAGGATATCTACGGCGGCCTACCAGGGCCTTCCCAACCTTATCTCGGGGTGACGGACCCCCCTAGACCTAACTGTTCCTGCCCGGCTGCTTCGATAAACACCTCGCTCTGTTTCCACAGCGCCGTGGCGCTCTCTTCGCCAGCCGGAAACTCGAGGTATGGCAGTGGAAGGACTTCGCAGTTGTCCAGGAAGGCGCCGGATTGCTCTGATGGCCGAGACTTAGGTACTTCGTTGCTCCGTGATACGGCGCGAGGGGAATTATGCTTTTTGCTCACCTGCCAGCATGGGATCAAGGAGTCCCCGGAGGATTGTGGCATTCGCTTGCGACTGTGACTTGGGGGCTTGCTGGAGCAGAATGGGCAGGTCCTCACCCGCTGTGGAAGGAGAGAAGGATGAGCTGCAGCCTTCGATTATTGGGCGTTAGAAGATGTTTCCGACATACCTTCTTTCTTCCGCTGCAGCCACGACGCGACGTCCTCGGGGGAGACGTATGTTTGCACGTTCGTCTTGGTATCTGCCTGCCATGAGCCAACAGCCACAGCCAACGGCCCATCAACGGGGCAGCCTAGAACTTACTTCCAGCATTGGCAGAGAAGGCCGCAATAGACTGATCACGACATAGCTGCGCGAGGGACTTGGCAAACAGGATATTCGCAAACATCGACTGCGAGTAAGCATCGAGACAATGATACCGCTCCCCATTCTGCACGGATTGCCTGTTTAGCCCAAGCCCAGCATTGATCACCAACCAGCGGTACATGGATCCAACATTCCTTGACTCACCGCGAAATTAATATCCTCCCACTTCGGCGCCGGCGCCTCTTGCCGCACACTCGTCGTCATCAGCACGATCCGCCCCCCGGCGACATCGTCACCAGCAACTCGTTAACCAGCACGAAATATGCCAGGTAGTTCTTCTGGAAATGAGACTCGATCCCGTCCCGCGTGGTCTGCCAGGCCGCCGCCATCACGGTGGGATAGCACACGATACCATCAATCGGCACGGCCAAGTCTTTGACTGTCTGCGCGGCCTCGCTCATGTTCGCGAGACTGTCCGGGTCGGCAGTCACGAAGAGTATCTTTGTCTTTGGGTGCTTGCAGTTGATGTGGTTGATGGCGGGTTGCACTTCGGACTGTGAGCGGCCCGTGAAGACTATGCAGCCGGCGCCGCCGTGGGAGAGCGCGTCGGCGGTTGTGGCGGCGAGTTCGCCGCGGACGCTGCCTGCCAGAAGGACTGGGGTAGCGTTAGTTGGCTTGTACGGAAAGTGGGAGTGCGTTGATCGTGCGGACATATTTTGTTTTGGACCCGTTCTGGGAACCATTCTACTACTTCGACCCCCCGCGTGTTGGGCTTGAACTCCTGGCTCATCGTGCGGAGAATGAGGCTGGTGCGATGGGAGATGGTGATGGATAAGCTGAAGGGTATGCTTGTTGCAGGCGTTTACGGTTGAGCGTCCCATCGGGGCTGGCGGTTTCGTCATGATGAGTATATACCCAACGTACCTTGAGTACTCAAACTGGAAGCGTTTGAGTATCCAGCATTCATCTCTATCGACAAGTTCTACACGCTTGCAGACCAGGCAATGGAAAACGAATTCGTTATAGATCCGAGGAGAATGTATAGCAGCAGACCGACCAAGTAGAACCCCAACCAAAAGGCCAAAAAAAACAAGAACGACAAATTAGTTACTCAATGCCAGGTGTATAACCAATGTTCAGCCTATACTGTACAGATCGCCAAATCTCAAATCGCGCGCAAGACAGTCCTGCGGAACCTGCCGGGTACTTGAGAAGAAGGGAGAAGGAAAAAGGAGAAAGGAGAAAGGAGAAGAAGACAAAGATATGGAAACACAAGACAGAGGGAAAGTCGCGAGCGACGCAGATGTTTAGTGAGACGCCCCCGCGATGCCCGCGTCGTCCGGCAACTGGCTGATGACATCCTTCATGATCTGGATCAGCTCATCGATGTCAGGGCGCTCTGCGGGCTCCACTTGGAGACACTTGCGAACCACGTCCTTGACCAGCGGGCTAATCGATTGCTCGCTGTTGCCGGATGCGTCGTCGCCATCAGCGGAGACCTTGCCCTTGCCCTTGGTCGCAGTGGACCTTTCGTCGGGGAATCGCCAGTCGCCGCCAAGAACACACATGCTGAGACTACCACCGGTCTCGTCGCTGCGGGCCTCGAAGGGGCTCTTGCCGACCAGGCAGGCATACAGTGTGCAGCCGAGGGACCAGATGTCCACCTTGGTATCGATAATGGAACCGGTCTTCACGTCGAAGAGTTCCGGGGCTCGGTACGGCATGGTACTGTGCTCAGCGGCAGTATCCTGCACTGCCAGGGCGAGGGAGCGGGATGTGATGGCAATGGGACTCGGGGCCAGGGAGCCAAGGTCCATCAGGATAGGGCTTTGGCCATCATCGTCGATCATGATGTTGCCTAATTTTACGGGATTAGCATCGAGAGTGCAAGGGGAATGGAAGATGATAGGAACGCAGGATCGACACTCACCCGGCTTGATATCGCGGTGCGCGTAGGGGCGCAGACCACCATCCTGGACACCCTCATGGCTGCGTGTCACCTCATCATCCATTAAAGGCTCGTTCTCCTCATCTTCATCCTGCGGGCGATGGCTGGCGCGCCGCTTAGGCTTCATCTGCATCGTCCGCTCCTCGTCCGCTTCCTCCCCTTCCCTGCGCACCCCCTTCGCTTTGCGGGTCGACGAGGAGCCACTCTGAACGCGATACTGGTGCATTGCTTTGAGCGCATCGGCCACGCCAAGCATCAGCATCATCAGGCGCTTCTCCGGGAACCGGGTGTGGTTGACCAAGTTGGCGTTGATGGCATCCTGGAGGTTGCCCCGTTGGTAGTACGGCAGCAGAATGTAGACGGTCTTCGAGCCGGGATCACCGCCATCCGAGCGGAACTTGGACCCCGATTCTGTCGAGACGCAATGGTCGATCGAATGGATGATGTTGTCGTGCGAGGTGAACAGGCTGTACGCCTCGACTTCCTTCAGCGCTTGCGAGACAGATTCCTGTCCAAACGGACAGCGGATTTTCTTGAGCGCGAAGAGTTCCGAGCTCGCCTTGTCCTGGACCAGGTAGACGTAGGAGAAACCGCCCTAGATGCATTGGCACACACGTCAGTTAGGGGTCAGAGTCACTCCTGGACAGGTATCCTAGGTCGGGGACCGTAAGCTGGATGGCTTCAATCATACCTCGCCTAGCAGTCGCAGGAGCTTGAAATTGCGATTGTTGATCTTCAGCTGTGGTGAGCCTGGGAAGCAGCACATGCAATCTGTGAAGTTGTAGAGGAGGTCGAAGAAATACTGCGCCATGGTGTACGGTGTATGGAGCTTCCTGGGCGCTTTTGACCGGTGGCGTGAACGGGGACCAGTTGACACGCTGCGATCCCGCGATCAGCGTGGAGCCTGGAAGAGAGGGGGGAATGGTGTGTGGGATTGGGTGCAGGGCCCAGAAGGTTCGAGGCAAGGAGGGATATGCAAGCGAAAGCGATCGAATGGGTTGCAGCTGAAGTGTCGAAGAGTCGGGCGAAATGGGGAGGGATTACGCAGAGTGGAGCAGCGCATCCACCTGCAGTTCAGTCCGCTCAGTCGCCGCTTGGGTTTATTTGTTGTCCCGCCGAAACCCCCCCCTTTCTGCCCGCCTTGTATATGCCTTGTTTCGCGTACAAACGAGGTTTTTCTTGCCCTTGTTTCTCTCGCACGTCGTTGGGTGTCTATGCTTGTAGCCCGCCGACCATGATCTACGTTGGGCCCAGCTACTTGACTGCCTAGTTTCCTCTCCTGACTGCCATCTGCGCTTTTTTGCTTTTGGTTCCAACGACTACCCCTCGACAATTCGTCTGGACTCTGCCCCTGTCGACTCGCATACGTGCCGCTCTTCGCGTCGAAAATGGCGGCCCTTGACGACGTCAAGATCGGCGACCTGGTCAATGTGCCCGGTGGCATGTACGGCACCATCAAATACCTGGGACCTGTGGCCGGCAAGCCGGGCCGGTTTGCAGGCATCGAATTAAGCTCTGAACACGCACAGCGAGGAAAGAACAGCGGCGATGTGGAAGGACGAAAGTACTTTGCGACATCCACCCCCGGGTCGGGCATCTTCGTGCCCATGAACAATAGCAAATACGTCTCGCGGCGATCTACCTCCTCGTCGACGAGTACCTTCGCCATACCGACCACTCCAGCGCGCCCCCCGCCAGTCAACTTCAGCAAGTCGGTTGGCCCGAGTCCGTCCATGGCCCGTCCTCGAATCCGCCGGCCGTCTTTGCCTCGCCCGGAGTCCCCGCGAGCCTCGATCTCCCCCCCAAAACTTAGCCTCGGTGGCCTGCGCACGCCCTCCGCAAGCTCCAGGATATCCGCGGCCAACGGATACCCGCGAAGTCCGGTCAAGGCGCCTTCTCGACTCTCTGATCGACCACCGTCGCGGATCAGCCTAGACGACGACAATGCTTCGTCATATGGCAGACCGTCGGACTTCCAGCGGCCTTCGTCAACTGAGAGCCAGGCCTTGAAGGATCAGATCAAGAGTTTGGAAAAGCAACTACTGGATCGCGATAAGCAGCTGGACGAGCAATCGAAGACACTAAGCGAGTTCCATAGAACAATGGAGGAACTCGAGGGTGCGGATTCTCTAAATATCCGCACTCAGCTACGGGAGAGGAATGAGCGGATCAACCAATTGACCGCCGAGTTCGACGGCCACCGGGCAGACTTTCGGAGTACCCTGGATACGCTGGAGATTGCTGCGTCCGAGACGGAGCGGGTGTATGAACAACGCCTGGATGAGCTCCTGCAACAAATGAATGAGTTGCAGAACCGCGGTGAAGATGTCGAGATTGTTGCACAGCAACTGAAGCAGCTGGAAGAGCTGGTCTCGGAACTCGAGGAAGGACTCGAGGATGCAAGGCGGGGGAGGCAGAAGCAAGGGCCGAGGTCGAGTTCCTGCGCGGCGAGGTGGAGCGGACCAAGTTGGAACTGAAAAAGGAGCGGGATCATTCAGCGGCCGCTCTGAAGGATGCGCATGCTGCTGCCGACGGGCCTCGGAACTCGCACGATTTGGACCAGAAGGACGACGAAATTCGGGGTTTGAAGGCTATCATTCATTCTCTGAGCCGGGGCAACCCCAACGCGGCCACGCTGGGCGAGAATGGCTCCGCAGATGCCCACAAAGAGCAGAGTGAGCAGGTTTCCCGGCTGGAGCAACGGCTGCAAGAATTTGAGGGAACTGCTCAGACCAAAGACACCCGCATTGAAGAGTTGGAGCGCGAGTTGCAGGAATTACGGACGAGCTCGGGCAGTGGAAGTCGCAATCGCAGCTCTACTGTGACCCTCTTGCCCAACAACCAACATAAGCCATCAAATTCTTCGGGAACCATCACCGTGAACAACAACACCAACCATGCTCACCGTCTCTCCGATCGTACCGTGGTCCCGAATGATTGGCATGACATGCCGGCCAATGAGCCTCGCCAGCACCACCGCGGCATCTCCAACTCCTCCCAACCGCGGCTAGAGCCGACGCCCGAGTCGGAGCGCTCTTCGGATGACGATGCCTTGTGGTGTGAGATCTGCGAGACGGGCGGCCATGATATCTTGAACTGCACCAGCATGTTCGGCTCTGGTAACCAAAATATCAAGGAGAAGGCCCCCGTCGGCGCCCCTGTCAACAAGTCTACTGAAGCACTGGCTGACGACCATGCGGCCTCAGATGAGACCGGATCTTCTGAGAACCATGCTGACAGCGTTCCTACCCAGAGGACCGGTCGGGACGTTGTCCTTGAGGGTCTGAAGGGCATCGGAGGCCTGGGATCATCCATGGCCCCTGTCGCCGGCAAGTCGTCCGGCGTCATCGACGAGTCGAAGTGGTGTGCTCTCTGTGAGCGAGATGGCCATGAGAGTATCGACTGTCCTTTTGATGAATAATGTTCCATGGTGAATATGTGAGTGGTGTCACTCTGTGCACCGGACGAAGATGCGCAACCTGGGGATGAAAAATTGGTTGCTACTTTTGGACTTGGCTTTCTTCTAGTACATGCTTCTTTTATTCACCACCATTTTTTTCCCTTGCACTCGCATGAGATCCCTTCTGAACTCGCCGTTCTGGATCCTCATATACCGTGTCTTCCCTTCCCTTTCCACCCTGTGTATTACTTTGCCACCATCTCGGATCCTTTCATTCGTTCTCAAGCGTGTTCATACACCTTTTGCCTTCGCTTCGTGGCTTAGGAGACCCGGGCCTTCATTTGCCAATGCCTGTTCTTTGATTTCTCCGCTTCATCCTTCTTACTCCCCTACCTTTGCACTAGTGTCCATGACTGTCCAATCTGTCGGCGTATATCACCGGAGACCAGACCAGATACTGGGTCTTGGCCGTACCATACTGCTTTTCTACAGGCCACATATGTAGAGGTTAATATAGAATCTAATCCATCATACCCGAATCATAATCATTTTCCGTGCCCCGTACTTCGCCACCAGCAGGGGCTTCGATGCATTGGGGGTTCGCAAGCCAATGCCACTCGCGTAATCGGCAATGAGAAATGTTGCATTCGTCACTCATAGTACACCCTCGGCTAACACCGTAACGTCCATCCCCACGAAAATCAGAGTGCATCGCAACACCGCCTCCTCCCTTGCTCACCAACCCTAGGAACCAAAGTTGGTTCTCCTCACTTCTTATTTATTCAAGGGTGTGTGGGCGGTTGTACCAGCTCACCCTCACCATACTTCGTCGTCGCAACCACCCCCGCACGCCTTGCATCGTCTTTTCTCCTCGTCGGCGCCAAATTCCTCCACCACATCCTTGACTTGCGTCCCGAGGTCAGTGCACACAAAGTGCTTCTCCCAGACAACCCCACTGCAGTTCTTGCAGTACCACCGCATGATATCCACCGCACCCTCCACCCGCGGCTGCTCCATCACCACCCCCACGGTATCCTTGAACCGCACCGGGCAGTGCGGCGTATTCGCCGGCAGCAAGAAGATCGAGCCCTCGTGGATGGGAACATCCTGAAATGTGGGTGGCGTCGTCGATGTGTCCACCGTCTTGAGCAGCATTGACCCCCGGTACTGGTAGAAGAATTCCGGTGTGGTGTTGATGTGATAGTCGGTTCGTGCGTTCGGCCCGCCGACGATCATCACGGTGTAGCCGGCTGTCGCCGGGGAGGAGGGGTGGTACACGCAGTAATTATTCACTGGCGGTTGGAGGAGATGGGAATTGGCCTCGAGCCTGGGCGGACATGTATCGGTAAGCTTTCTCTGTAATCTATTTGCCCACGATTCTGAGTCACGCTACTTTCCCCGCGATGATTCATGGTCGGAGGGGTAGGATGGAATGGGACGGAAGGGGAATACCATTTTGGAATGTTGAGTGCAGGAGGAAGCATCGTGCGATCCGTAGTGTTTGACAAGACTAGACAAGAGCGATTGAACGGCAAAGTCTTAGAAGTTAATCCCCGCAGAATGTCGCGTGCGAGGGTCTATTGGTAATTGCCAATTATCTGATGCGCGGAGATATAGCCCAGACCCCTCGGACTTAAGCCGATGCGCCGGAGCGGATCAATGTGCCGCCGCCGATTTTTCTTTTTTCGACGGGAGCTTCAGGCGGAGTCTTGAAAAGACAAGACAAGCAGCCCGCAAAATGGCGACGACATCCCAGCCCCCCTGCGGTTTACCTCGCACCATAACCTGGTCTATCGCCTGGTCCTCTCGACGCTGACCGGCCGCACTGTGCACATCTCGCAAATTCGCTCGTCATCGCCCACGAATCCCGGCCTGGCGCCGCACGAGATTTCTTTCTTGCGTCTGCTCGAAGCTGTGACCAATGGCTCTCAAATGGAAATTTCCTACACCGGTACTATCCTCGTGTACAAGCCTGGTTTGATCACCGGCAGCGCGGCTGGTGTCGGCGCCAGCGGCGGCGTGATTCAACATGAGCTTCCGTCGAACTGCAATCGAGGATTGAGTTACTACTTGATCCCTCTGTGTCTGCTGGCACCCTTCTCCAAAGCACCCCTGAAGGTCCTGTTCACTGGACCCGGCGTGATCACCTCCTCGACCCCGACGGGTGACATGTCCGTCGACAGCGTGCGCACGGCCATTCTCCCGCTGTACAACCAATTCGGCATGTTCAACAACGTCGAGCTCCGCATCCTGCGACGGTCCAACCCCGGGCCCAACGGCAGAGGTGGTGGCGGTGAGGTCCAGTTTACCTTTGGCCACCAGATCCGCCTGCCCAAGACCCTGCACTGGATGAATCCGGGCCGCATCAAGCGCGTCCGCGGTGTCGCATACTCGGTCGGCGTGTCCGGCTCCAACAACGCCCGCATGATCGAGTCTGCCCGTGGCATCCTCAACCCGCTCAGCCCGGATACCTACATCTTCTCCGACGTCTCGTCGGCCCCTCTTGTGCCCGCTCCGGACAAGAACAACCCCAACGCGAAGAAAAAGATCGGCCTCGGCTTTGGTTTGTCCCTCGTTGCCGAGTCCTCCACGGGCTGCCTCTTCTCTGCCGACGTCGCTTCCCCGCCGTCTGGCGGCGAAGCCCCTGAGGACATTGGGAAGAAGTGCGCCTTCCAACTGCTCGAAACCATCTCTAAGGGCGGATGTGTGCCCCCGGCTGCGGTGACCACCATGCTGACTCTCATGACTATGGGCTCGGAAGATGTGGGCCGTCTGCAGGTCGGTCGTGAGGTCATCGCCGACCCCAATATGATCCAGCTGGCCCGCGATCTGGCCAAATTCGGTGCTCCGGGATGGGGTATTCGTGACGCAGCTGGTGAGAACGAGGATGGCGATGTCATTATCAGCGTTGTTGGTCGTGGAATCGGCAATGTCGGCAGGAAGGTTGCTTAAGTGCTCAGCGATGGCGTTCTAATGCATCGTCGGTTTTGGTCCTCTTGTGGACCACGGGCTCACCCAGCCAGCTACTGCGCGAAGCACTTCGCGAGTGGCCGCTCGCTCCCGAACAACTCGGATCAAAGCGTCTCGGACTCCCCACGTGGTTCCTGGGGCATTTATAGCCTCTGCATGGACGAGAACGCATATCTGCCTATGGCTGTCGATTCAGAGCAGTCGGTGCGGCCAGCACGGGGACTCCCCCCAGCGTCAAGGTCACGCCGTCCTCTCGGCAGCCACAAAATAGTCTTGCATTATCTTGGTCTAGTGCGCTAGACCGTCATGATACCCGGTGTCTTTCGTCTTCTACTTGCATCTCCTATATTGCATTCCGTCGCCCCGGTGGGCTGTTATGGTGTTCGGTGTACATATTACATAAAAGTCGGAATGTTCAATTCAAGTCTCCACGTTTCCATTTGATTATGGGCTCATTTCCCACCAGCTAGATATTTTGGTAGTCTCTTCCCTATCGTAGTATCCGCACATCTGCGAGGGCAAGGGGTTTAAACCATTCGTATAATCCACGATGCCGTGGTTAATAGACATGATTCTGCGTTGTTCTGTATGAGACTCGGAAGAATGCAAATTCAAGTGGTACATAACTGGGGTGGAGACGCTGCCTCATCCCCGACAGGCCATAGCCTGCACTGCAAATAGTGGAATGAGCAAGGTACGAAATGGGCGGCGTCCGATGGAATAATCCAGCCCTCGGATGCACATGCACCTTGTATAGACTGACCACGGGAGTTACAGTGCTTGGTTAGCAAACAAATTGATAATTCGGCTCAGTCAAGAGGGTTGATCTTCCCATCAAAGCCAAGAACCAGCCCTTAATCTCTGTCCTGCAATGATGCTGGAAGGTGTTGGTACTTCTTTCGCCAATAATATCGGCGTATAAGTGGCCGCATATCGTCTTCTGGAAAGAATAATTGCCCCGCCCTGTACTCTGATCGAGCCAACTTCTTTCTCAATTCCTCGAGTGGAATGCTCCGCTGGTCCAAACTTTGCAGCATGGCTCGCACTACCGTTCTATATCCACCCCTCGCTGCCACTGTTAAAGGCGTGTCAAGAAAATTCCCGGAAGTCTGGAGAGGGTCGGCTCCTCTTTCCAACAATAGTTGGCATAAATTGAACTTTTTCCTTCAAAGAGCCTCATAAAGAGCATACCCGGACTCCCGTTTGACTTGACATCCATGTGCCATTAGTACATCAAGTGTAGCAGATACAGCACCCCAATCCCCAATGGGTGAATCCACTAGGGCCATCAGGCTCTGCTTCTTGCTTGGATTGTCGTAGACTATAAGGCTACTTCCGACAAGACCTTTATCGAACAGAAGAGTCAATGAACTGGTGTCTGCTTGAGACAGGATAGTTTTGAGAGCCATTTCAACTTCACTGCTTCCGGGTACGACTTGATAACCGCTGTTAAGAAGATATTCTATCGCAGATGCTCCACCTTGAGCGGCCGGCCCAAGGAAGGAAATAGAATGGAAATTCTCAGTCTGTTGAAGCTCCTTGAATGAGTGCTTTAGTTGAAGGACATCGAGGGCGGTCAGACATCCAGCACTCAGCGCTCTCTCGAAAACTGATTCACCATCCGTACCCGAATAGTTCTTCGCTTTCAGTGTAGGGTCCAATCCATGGTCTAGGAGCAATTGAAGTATCTGTGGTGTTTGAACGGCTTTAAAAAAAACTGGCACTCCATTCTCTAGTCGATGGCTTGGATTTGCTCCGTGATTCAGTAGCGTATTGACAATTCTTGAATGAGACCCATCGATTGCTGCAAAAAGCGGATTTGGTTCTCTCTTATTTAGTAAGGATTTCAAAGCACCTGGGTGTTGATTGTGTTTTAGCAGTAGCTCGACCGCGCCATGATGACCGCGGTGGGCTGCCAACGCTAGAGGCGACGCATGTGTACCGCTCACAGAGCGCCGGTTCCCATCAGGAAGGGTCTCTCTGATACTCCAAATAAAAAATTTCGGGTAAAGGAAGTCGCTCGAGCAGCCTCGCTGAAGCAATCTTTCAATAATATCCTGCCAGCCACATGCAGCGCTAATTAATAGCAGCTGCCTATGATTCTCATCATCAGACTCACCGTGCGCGATAAAACTCTCGAAGTTGATATATTGTCGAAGTTTTCGAACCACTTGGTAGTGGTTATTTTGCGTGGCTCTAATTAATGAGCCCAATGGAGAAATGAATCCTTCTGTATTAGGTGTAGGGATGATCCCATACTCGAGAAGTAGCTCGACTACCTCAAGATGACCTCTCTTGGCCGCACCATAAAGCGCCAAGCTAGCCATTTCAGGGGATCTTAGTTCTAGGATGGTGTTAAGCAAAAAACGGGCGACTTCGTAATGGCCGCCGCAAGCCGCATCGGCCAAAATATTCGGGCCATGAAAACAATCGATAAGAGGATCGCAATCCAGGGAGATAAACAATTCAACAAGAGATAGATAGCCATTCCTGGCAGCCATCGAAAGTGGTGAGATATCACGTCTATTTATGCCTTGGCAGCGAATATCGGGCGGGACACCATGAGAAAGCAAGAGCCGAACGACATTTTCATGACCTCGCGCAGAGGCCAGTATCAAGGGCGAGCCTTCATCATTTGTCTCTGGCTCAAGATTTGATTCTTTAAGCCAGATTTGCATCGTGTCTGAGATTGGATTAACTCCGTGCTCCAACAACACGCGCACAACAGCATCATGTCCATGGATGCAAGCGAGTGCCATCGGAAGCCACGATTCGTAGTAAACGGCATCTGGGGAAGCTCCAGCTTCTAGCGAATATCGTGCAGTTGCTTCGTGGCCATTTTTGGCGGCCCATTCAAGGGCACAGGAGTGCGAGTACCGGACATTGAGTTGGTAGAGAAGGCGATTGAGGAGGGGGAAAACCTTGTGCAGGTTTGAAGGAGTGCATTGATGCTGTACTCGTCCAGAAACTCTGCTATCAATACCAGAAGCTCAGTTGGCAAATTCAATATTTCCATGTTGGGGCAGATAAGAAAATCGATCTCCTCGCGAGGGAAAGTTGGAGGGTTGGAGGTCCTGGCTGGTAACACCCGGAAGAACTGGCGAGGTAGATGATCATGGTTCGTTTGAGTCTACCGAACTAAATTAAGAAGGAGCGCTGGTCACGATGACCAAGCTCGGAACTAGACTAAAAGGGAGCGCTGGTCTAGGACCGACGACAGGCGGAGGACTGACGTAAGCCACAGTTGACGCCTTTCCTAAACTGATAGACACGGGGTTTTTGTCCACGGCCTACTTTATCCATCTGTCGCTTTCGATGGAGTTCCTGGCAAAGAAGGAAGGACGGAAGAAGATAGGGGAAGGAAATACGATGAATGATGATCTCGCGAGAGAGAAGAGTAGATCTGCCACGTGATGTTAGGAGTGAATAAAACTGGAAAACTCCATCAACTCCAAATATGGCTCTGCCTCTGCCTCGCCTTTTAATTAATTTATCCCATTGAAGAAAATTTTCATATCAGCTCCAAAACTCGTGACAGTGACTAAGATAACATAGTAACTTATAAGTTAGAAGTGTCCGGACCGATTCTGTTTCACCATGGCCTGGATCCACGAGGCTAAGGATGTGACTAGCGGTGGGCTGTGGGCAGCGGTAAAACCATCGACTGACACGTCACACGGGGCGCCAAATCCCATCGTGTACTCCGCAGTCATTCTTCCCCGACGAAAGTTGGCAAAAAATCGTGAATCATAATACAACCAAGCTTCTACTTTCCGATAACTCAGAAAATGATGATGCCAGAAGAATATCGCTCTTCCTCGTATGCTATGGCCATTCAAATGCGCCTCGTTATTTCATTTGGAGGTTAGTTGCTTTTCGGGGCATTGGCGCCTGCCGATCATTTCACCCTGGTAAGCAGCGCGGTTCTCTGTGCACCGCCATTCTGATTCAGCCTCGCCCCGCACCCTAGTTATATATCCCCTCAAGTCGGCGCTCTCTTGGCACGCTGTACGTACTCCAGCGACCGAATGCAACCATGCCAGGCTATAGTAATGATCCAAAATGTTGCCAAAACTTGTCTATAGTGGAGTGGAAGCAAGGTACACAGTGCACCGCCTCCGAATCACATCCCTTGCTAATTACGCAGGAGATGGATGGAGAGAAGAACGGAGAGTGCACCCAACGCAACTAAGCGTCAGCGGTCGAAGCCAAGCGCCCGATATAATATCTCCCGAGACCCAGGTCTATATCATGTTCGTTTGCCTATGCGCCCGAGTCAATTATTTGTTTGGGGCCCGGTGGAGACTAACATCGAAAAGTGTAGGAAGTGCAAATAAAATTCGAGGCTGTCAGCAATGCAAACAAGCTTTGACCGATGCCTTTTTGATACCACCCCTCTGGTGGGCCGATCATATTCGGAAATCAAACGGGTACTTTGGCTGTGAGGCGACCCGCGATGCAGAGACAACTACCGGATTAAGTATGTGCCTGTCTGAAACAGAATAAAGATGGTCAACCCTAACAGGAATAGATACATGGGCATTCTTCGAGTCTAAGAGACTAACGCCTGATAAGAGCTATCATTGGTCCAAGATCAACGTCTTTACACGATGGCTAAGCGCCAAAAATCAAACTGGCATTCTGATCTTCGATCTCAATGAGTACACGCCCCATCCATGCGCGGATTTGGTCCCAGAGAACCACCTCCTCAGTGATCCATTTTGGGTATACCCTCATATTCTAAACTCGGTCGCCAAGCTGGAAGAGCGTGCCGTATGGGCCATCCGCGACCAGGTCAGGCCGATCGAGAAAGAACAGGAAGTAGCGCGACCGCCGAATAAAAGGCCACAACCGAACTACCGAACATCGCACGATATTGCTCGACATGCCATACACGTCACTGAGACACTCGATGTGGCCCTCCAGACCGTCGAGCATATCCTGGAAAATCATCGTATCTATATGAGCCCAGGCTACTCAAATCCATTCCAGTCACACCACGATCCTCAAATCTGGCAGGAAATCCAATCGCGATTATCATTTGCTCAGAACTACCTCAGCAGCATGCGCCACCGCTCGAGCTCGAACGAGAAGAGGTTGCAAAACGAGATTCAGCTGGCGTTCCACATGGTTGCACAGCACGACGCATCGGTCACGGTCAAGATCAGCCGTGCCATGATGACTGATAGTGCTGCTTTGAAGACACTTGCGTTTGTCACATTTACGTTCCTGCCGCCAACATTTATCTGCGCTGTCTTCAGCATGTCATTTTTTAATTACGATCAGAGTACTGGCTGGAAGGCTTCGGGGAAGCTCTGGATCTATTGGGCTTTTGCAATTCCAACAACGGTCATCACAGCTCTCTTGTGGAACTATTGGCATAGGGTTCCGCCACCTGAACAAGTTCAAAAAAGGGTTGATACATTTGGGGACCCTGTTTAGAACTGGGGCATATATAAGTGTGGGGAGCAATGGTTGATGTTATATAGTATCAACGCACAACAAATTTCACCCTAGCCATCTCAATTTCACAATTACCTATCAAATATATCATATATACCTCCAAAAATCTCAAAGTAGGTCACTCAGATGTGCAGGACAGCCCCGCCAAGCCCAGCGATGTTGTTCTGATTGCGTCACGTGCCACCCCGTCATCGGCAACGCAACCAGCTGAGACAATCTGATCGGCGATCAAAACCATCTTGCTTTTGCAATTATCCGTCAGCCAGCAGAGCAATGCCCTGCCGATGGCGATGGCCTCATCACCCGCATTGTTCACAGCCTCTTGGGGCCAGACGCTGACGTACCTGCTGGCGGTTTGCCCCTTCTCCATCGGGTTCCTTGTTTTCATCAATTCCTCCGTGTCGTTTGTCGTCACGGATCTGATCGGGATCCACGAGGGGGAGGGCGATGCAGTCGGAACTTTGGGATTTGCCGATGAGCTCCTCGCTCTCGCTGCTTGCCCGCTTTGGGGTGTTCTATCGGATCAAATTGGCGTGCGCTATGTTCGTTAACCCGTATCCAGCATGCATCGCGGTTGCTGATAAGATATTAGGTATGTGCTATCGGCTACGCTGTGATTGCTCTTGCATTGGTTCTCTTCGTGCAAGCCACGAACGTGTACCCCCAGCTTCTTCTGGGAAGACTGCTCTTCAGTATCGGGGGCTCTGCTGTGTCGACGATGGTCACTGCCGTCCTCCCCACCGTCACGGGTAGGACGTTCCGAGATCAGGCGTACCGGGCGTCCGTCTCATCGGAATTGACCATTACTCCCGCTCGGATGAATGGCGGCCAGAATGGTGTCAATAATCCTTCTTCCCGTGCTTCGCCTTCTGCCCGACTTTCTGGGTATGTTGGATTGTTCGCGGGATGTGGGGCTCTTATCTCCCTTGGCGCCTTCCTGCCTCTCCCAGCCCGATTCGAAAAGCTGGGGCTTTCGCCTGCTGAAGCAATTCAGCGCAGTTATTATTTGGTGGCTGTCGTTGCAATTGTAGTCAGCCTAATCACCTTCGTCGGTCTCCGCAATCTGCCTGACGAGGAAGGGAAAGGGTGGAGAGCATTGTGGAATTTTCATTCTTCGCAGCCTCTGGACGACGAAGACGATGAAGCTTTCGACAGACCGGCAAGGCTACCATACTGGAAACAACTGAGCACTGCTCTCCTTTTGGGTTTCCGGAACCGCAGTATTGGCCTGGGCTATGTGGGAGGGTTTGTCGCCCGGGCGTCGTCGGTGGGCATCTCGCTTTTCATCCCTCTGGCTGTCAATCACTATTATCGCGCATCGGGCCTTTGTGACGAGGATCACGAGCCAATTCCTGGTTCTGGCCTTGGAGATATCAAGAAAGCATGCCCGCGCGCCTACATCCTTGCATCAATTCTGACCGGAGTATCCCAGCTGGTTGCCTTGATCGCAGCACCGGCATTCGGGTATCTAACCGACGAGTCCCGGCGATATAATATGCCTCTTCTCGTGGCCGCCTTGGTCGGCGTGGTGGGATATTTGGCACTCGGGCTGATGCCCAACCCGCAATATCATGGCCCCGATGGCAACGCGGGAGTATTCGTCGTCATGGCCCTTCTCGGCATTAGTCAGATCGGTGCCATTGTTTGCAGTCTGGCAGTGCTCAGCAACGGCATTTTGGAGGTGAGCGTGGACGATGAGACACTGCCCAAAATCTTCTCCGAGCGGACTGTCGATCGCGACGGGGCCAGTGGGGAGACGGGCGAGAATCAGCCCCTTCTGGCCGGGTCGGTGAATCGCCGGCTGCAGCGCCTGTCACATCTCAAAGGCTCCATTGCCGGGGTCTACTCGCTGTACGGCGGTGCGGGAATCCTGCTCCTCACGAAACTGGGTGGGTTGCTGTTTGACGTGCTGTCGTCGGGCACGCCGTTCTATATCATGGCTGCGTTCAATGGGGTTTTACTTGCGACGGGCATCGTGTGTGGAATCATGAACCACGTCGCACCGTCAAAGCATGTGTCAGCTTAATTCGGGCTAAAAAAATTTGATCGGGATGTTATTATCAAGACCGTTTTGTGTTCTCCTCGGCTACAGCTGTAGCGGCGTTTCATTTGCCCTCGTGTGCACAGCCAAGTCGCGCGGCATTATTTAGATGCGCGCTAGTCGTTCCAGCCCAGCTGCATACATAATTAGTATTATGCATCTAGTTCCGGTCAGATTGGGGCCACCACATCTGGAGTATGGCTCTGCTTATGCGATTAAATCGAGTAACCCACCGTTCAACTGGTTAGTCAGGGTCACGACTTTTTGGTAGATTACGATGAGGTAATCGGACGCGAAATAACACGAACCCTGCCGGACCCGCCGTGGCTTTTTCTCCCCACCACCTTTCAGGGTCAAGGGCCAATTTGCCCGGACCAGGGGCCTGGGGAAAGATCTGGACTGGATCCTGGATGGGGAATCATTCGGCCCTTTCCATGAACAGCGACCGCTCTTTCCCTTCGCAATTTTCTGGACCACGCAAATCGCTTGTTCTTCCACTCCACCCTCGGTCCAGCTTTCCCGCAGTTTATGACGACCGTCATCACAACCTTCCCCATCGGGCATGGAGCTGGCAATAATCGACCAACCCTTGGGTTTGCGTCGGACCCTAATCCTGCAGAAGCCTAGCGGCTCTGACTAGCGCGGCCCCTTTTCCACTCTGCACCCTCACTGACCCTTAACTGGGGAACCCCTGGGGCCTGTTCCTGGGCCTGTGCCTGAACCATTCTTCGCTAGCCGCTAGCCATCACGCAAATTGCTCCAATCCCACGATGCCTCGCGATGCGCCGGGTCGCTTGGCAGCCTATCAAAGCCCCAGCAGCTTCCGGGCAACCCTCGCCAAGGTCACTCTTGTATGCAGAACGTGCGGGCACGCTTGCTGGGCGTATCGCCCCCTCCCCCTGGGCTGTCCGCCCCAGACGAGGAGACTAGGACGGGAGGGGGCGTGAGGCACTCTCTCTCTTCCTTTCCCATCCCATCCTCACACACGCGCGCGACGCTTCTGGCCGTCTTTCCCTTCCTTTCTCCGCAGTCTCTCGTTAAGGTCTTTACGATCTAGTCGCTCTTTTGCCAGTAGTTGATCCTACTTCAAGTACTGTGTACACTCCCTCTCACCAATTACACTCGTTATTCGTTCGGCCCGAACCGTCACCGCACAACCACAAAGTCACCATGCGTTTCCACGCTGTCGCTCTCTTGACTGGCGCAACTGCTGCCGCCGCGGGTAACACTGCTAGTCTGCTCCTGCCTGGTTTCCAGGGTCGCGACCTCCAGGCCGGTATTCTCGGCAAGGTATGTGTTGTGCACGCCATGCGATCGAAGAACTGAACCGGTTGCGCGCGGAAAATGGGCACCCATGGCTAACATGATCATTACATAGGCTGGCGATGCCACCACCTACCTGGTGACCTGCCCTACCTCTGTCGCCGCTGCTGACTGTGGGATCCCTGGCAAGGGCATGACTGCCGTTGCTGCGCCCACTTACGCTGAGCTGTACCAGGTCTACGACGCCGGCAAGTAAGTAGCCATCAAACAGGCTCTATAAATTTGCGCGCATCCAATCGCAATACTGACCCGCGCCATTCTAGCACTGCCACTGTCTCTTGCAACGTCGCCGGCACCACCTATGCCTCCTGCTCCGCCGCTCAGGGCACCGTGACCGTCCAGTCTACCCTGAACTCCAAGAACATCAACTGGATGCCCGTGACCGTGACCGGAGACTGCTCGACCAGTACTCCTTCTCCTACCTCCACCTCCACCTCTACCCCCACCTCGACTCATACCACCACCACGGTCACCCAGACCCCCAGCTCGACCTCGACCCCGGTCTCGAGCCCCATGAAGTCCACTTCGCGCCCGGCCTCCTGGTCCACCCCGCTGGTGAGCAGCACGCCTCTGGCCCCCACCCAGACCGCTGCCCCCAGCACCGCTGCGACCACCCCTATTGCGCTCAACGCTGCTGCCTCCCTGGCCGGCAACGGCTGGGCCCTGGGCGGTGCCGTCCTGGCACTGGTCTACGCTCTGGTGTAAGCAAAAGCGACGATTGTCTAAATATCTTTCTCGACCTGTTCCGCGGATGTGTCTCTGTAGGAGATGCGTCCGCGCTAATTACCTTCCGGGGGTTTGTGGTAATGTTCCTTTTCTAATGGATGTAATCATGTACTCACCTACCTGTACTCATCTACCTATTTCTTAATGATTGATACCTTTTTCTCCACGACAGCATGATCCAGCGCGCCGGCTCCTGTACATTTTTCTTGACTCCCCTTCGTGTATACTCTCCATGTGCATACCGATCTTCCCACAATTTCAATTCACTCTTGGCTATTGCTCGACTCGCGCCGCGGTAGCCCGGCCGCTTTGTAGACAGCGTCAACACACTCCATCATCCACGTACTGTCCTGCGCCGACACCCAGTGGGCCGGCGTGCGGCCCTGCATCGCGTCCACGAACGCTTCCAGCCGCCACCGGTACGTACTCCACCCAGCACGGCCGCCCTGTTCTCCCGTCGAAACCACCACCTTGCCCCACAAGGGTCCACCCGTATATTGCTTCTGATAAGATGTCCGCCCGGTAGCCTTCTCCGTGACGGCGATATAATGATAAAGATGTGGCTGCGGGAAGTTATAAAAGTACACCAGTGCTTTGTCCGTCTCCACCTCGATCCAGGGTACTTCCCAGATGCGCGGCAGGATCCCGCCGGCCCAGGGCCGCGCCATATCGGTGTAGATCTTGCTGTGGACGAGATTATTGTGCGGGTCCTCGAAAATGAGATGGGCGTGTAGGGCGGCGTCGACTCGCGCATCTGATAGGGAAGGCCGCGTCGTGGCGGACGTAACTTCGACGGGAACCGAGGCGTGCAGGGCGAAGCGCGTTGCTGCTAGTGCGGACGATAATGCTGTGCCTGAGCCACCTGGTCCGGACCTCGTTAGCTGTGTGTCTCGAGGACAGGAGATCGATCGTGCTGCGTACCTGCGTACTCGAAGGCCCAGCGCGGGTCTGTAAGCGGTATACTCGGCGTGCACGTCACTGCAGCCTCGGTGCGAAGCAGACGGCCGTACTCCCTTGTATCGATTATCTTGCGCCATGCATGGGATGCAGGGTGGAACTGCCAGTCTGCCTGATAAGCAAGCATCAGTTCAGCGTTGCGTACGTAGATATCGATATCTCAACCGGAGGCTGGAACTGGAACTTCCGGGGACTCACACCATCTAGCAGGATAAGCCCCTTCTCGCCCGCAACTGCCATCACCTCTCGCACGCTATCTGCATTTCCGGCGACAGGGCTTTCGCAGAGAACATGTTTGCCCTCCGTGAGGGCCCGTATCGCGAAGAGATGGCGGAGACTAATCGGGGTACAGATGTAGATTGCTTCCACGGAGGGGTCTTGAATTAGAGACTCGTGCGAGGTGAAGGATTTCGTGAAGTGGTACTTTCTTCTGAGTGCTTCTGCGGACTGTGGATTAGATGCGGAAATTGCATGGAGGATTATGCTTGGGTGGGAAATGGCTGGGTATATGACTATGTGGTATTAGCCCAGTGGCTTGTGGGTGTTATATCCGCTCGTGTTGCCCTTTTTGTATTGGCGAGGAAGCGGGGGGAAATCAAGAGCTGGGATAGTTTCACCTGTAGCAGGATCGAGATGCTCTTTGTCAACTATGACACCGAGTCTTATGGCATTGGGGCGTTTACTCGGCGTGGGGTGCAGGCTTGACCATATGTATTGATGGAATAAACTTGCCGCTTGCATTGCGATGGGGAGTATTAGATAGTGAGCTTGAGGATGCAGGACAGATAGTACCTGAAAGCCATAATTATGAATGTCACTCCATGAATGATTGAGTCTAGTTGTCCGGCTGCTGTCGAAACGATGACGTGAAGATCTCGTCAAGGTTCCAAGCTCTTGCGCTGACAGTAAGGCTCAGCTAGGGCTAGCTAGGGTTATCTATGAAACCAAATCTGCCCAGACAAGAAGAACAGAGCGGGCTCCGGAGTTTACTTGTGCGTAATTCAACTAAATTCAAAGAGATACTAAATATTGTAAAACCGACTCTGACGCTAAACCCTTCGGTCAAATACCTCCATTAAAAACAGAAAGAGAATCCATCAATCCCAGCGCACTGATGACTTTCCAAAAAATCAAGGCCAGTCCACCAGCGGGCCGCAAAAAGAAATCCCATGCAAAGATCAAGAACGAAAAAGACGCAATATCATTGCAGAATGATATATAACGAGACAGGTCAAGTCTTCAATGTCCAGTTCCAACCAAGCGCAGGCTCCCAAGACCATGCGTAGATACAAGGCCTGTGCCAAGCAGTAATGGATATCATGAGTCCTTTTTGCCTCGATCTGCGAAGCGATCATGCAATGTGACCATAAGTGCAGGCTTATCCCAAAGGAAATAGACCTTCTGGCGAGTCCAAGTACCGCTTTCGGGGCACAGCCTGATATCGAAGTTGTACAGCAGCTTGCAAAGAATAATCCGTATCTCGCAGTAAGCCAATCTGATGCGATGGAGACATAGATAGATTAGAAGAAAACGCGCTGCCGGTGACTTTGATGAGGTACTCACGTTTTGCCAAGGCAGCCCCTCGGTCCTAAACTAAATGGCTGTAATACGTCTTTCTTGTCGGCGTCGAAGCGCGGGTCACTGCCTAGCCACCGCTCTGGTAAGAAGCTGTAAGGGAGGGCAAAGTTGGATGAGGAGTGATATGAGGCATAGTGGTGGCAACTGACGGCTGTCTGCTCTGGGCGTTAGTGTGGCAGCATATTTTGGCAGGTGTGCAGAGAACGTACTCCTCCTGGCACGAATTGGCCGTCGACTGTGGCCCCGTTTGGTGGGACAATGCGCGCGAGGCTTGTCACGAAGGGTGGATACATGCGCAGTGACTCTTCTACGACGGCTGCCAGGTAGGACAGGGTGGCAGAACTGCGGAACGTGATGTCGTCGGCTGAAGCAAAGGCAGATCGAATCTCACGAGCGAGGTCGCTCATGACTCGGGAGTTGGTGCACAGGTAGAAAATACAGCCAGATAAAAGCGTCGCGCCGGTTTCGCTACCTGCAATAATGAGGCTGTGGTGGCGAGTTAGCCCCCAGGTGAAATGATAGATGCTGCTGCTGGAAAGACTTACATGAAAGCGTTCGAGTGGATTCTCGCTCTCGTCATAATCTCACCCCCATCACGATCCGGCTCTTTAGACTCACTCATTCCATTCTGCAGGATCGCAGACATAAAGTCCGGCCGGGCCATTTTGGTTTCCAGACGCCGATCCGCTCTGCGAGCAGCCAGGTCAAAGTGTTCTACTGCCTTTTGCTTGACTCGCTTGGGAACAAGAGCAAACAGCAAGGCGTGAAAGACCGGAAATTGGCGCGCCATACCATGGAAGGCGAGCGCTTTGATCGACTTGAAGATCAAGTCAATCCATGGGTGCAGCGTACTATTTTTGAGACAGCCAAATGACTCGCCAAACATCAAGTCACCTGTGATGTCGAATGTGGTATAGTTCATCCAGTTCTTAATATCAATACTAGTGGAACCATTCTGGATCTCCACCCGCAGTTTAGAGATCATGGTATCGACATAGTCCGTGATGAGAGACTCTTGATCCCTGAGTGCACGCTCGGAAAATGCATGGGCTAGTAGCTTCCTCTGACGCGCATGGGAGGCATTATCTATCTCGCAGACGAGATGGTTGACCCCATTGGCTGGCGGCAAATAATGCGATGGATCTTTAGCAAAACAACCCCCGGGCCGAGCGCCATAAATATCACGGAATGCCTGCGGGGTATTGAACACAAGTTCATCTGGGCTGACGCGCACCACGGGCCCATAGCGCTCATGCAAAGCCGTAACGTCCAAATGGACATAGCCGCGCAACACCGACAATTGGCCCGGAATGCGCGAGATGGCCCAGAGCCTCGGGCCCGGGAACCGGGCAAGCGGTGACCAGCACAGCTGGTAGGTGATGCTATATATAAGTCCGAGTAAGACCTGGGGGTGATGGCGCAGCGGTGATTAGCGCTTGTATGCGCGGCCAGGTAGGGGTGCAGGTATGAGGATGAGGTGAGCAGTGTACGGCCCGGAGAATAAGGGACTAGGGAGTGGTGTGGTTGGGCAAGGGCCGGATGGCAGCTGTAGGATCCTGCAGCTGGCACAAATGATGGCGCACGGGAATGCAACTCACCAGGGATCCTGCAGACAGGCTCCAGAACAGGATGTTGGATGATAGATCTGGCAGTATGCTGAGCTGCGATCGCAGGTAGGAGAGGATGGACCCCAAGGCCTTGCAGATGGCCTCTGCCATGATTGTTCTACTTTTTTGGAGGCATTCGGCACTGCCTTCGTGGTGAAAAGGGTGCTGTTTCGAGACCAGTCCTGTCGGCTTGGGAGTCTGGAGATGAGGATTCCAAAGCCGCCGAAAGTAGGAGCCGAAAGTTGCACCGGAGAGGCACAGGCGCCAGTGAGTTGACGAGAAAGCGGGTGGTGGCAGGGCGAGGCGAAGAACTAAGCTCAGCTCAGCTGCGCTGGATGTGAGATGAAACTAGTTGTATTGATGGAGGGGGCTGATTTCATTGGTGTCTGTCTCGTATCTAGCGTCGTCTGTGTGGCGGCAGTAGCGTCTGCAGAAGAAGCAGCAACAAGCACAGAGTCAGCAGATGTAGTGGACGTAGTGGATGTGTACTACACCATCATTTTGATCGTGTTCCTCCATTTCCACTTCCTTCTTCCATCTTTGGTCGCAATGGCAATTGACTCTACATTCGGTCTCGCCGAATATCACTGTCTCTCTGTCCTCTCTCCGTCTCCGTCTCTCTGCCTCCAGCCCGATTTCCGACCCAGCTAACCCGCCCCATGGTAATATACTATGGCTTCCGACCGTACACGACATGTAGATGGCAATAAGTGTGGACATGTGGGTTCCTCAAGTCTCTACGTACGCCAGCAAGGAACACCTGGGTGTCGTTGTTGGACCAACCCAACACACGCGTGAAGAGCGCCAGCGAGTAGGCCTCCACTGCCATCAGCAAGGAGCACAGGTTGTATCGGCCAATCTGCTTCTGGACAGGATCCCCCGACCAAGCGTTGGAGGGGACCTAACGACCAGAGCCAAATCGAACAGAAGTTAGCCCAGTCAGACAAATCCCAACCCGCGGGAATCGGAGCAAGCACTCGCAAACAAAACAAAAAACAACCGAGAACGTAACGAATCAGACAACGAGCCACGGTCGTACCTTGTACACCTCATCCCTAACCTCTTCGAAACCAGCCTCCAGCAGCCGCTGCCGGTGGCCTTCGGCCGTATTCATGGGCCGGTGGAAGGCCTCACTGGCCTCATGCAGGCGGCCGAGATACTCGCACAACGTCGGAGCCAGGCGGAGCGTGTTGTCGTCTGACTTGAGCGCCACCTCAAACTCTTGCAATTCAATCCATCCGCCGGGCTTGAGATGCTCGTAGCCCTGGCGCAGCAACCGCGGCCAGTCAGCGATAGCGCCGCCCAGGTCCCGCGCATGAATGAAATCAAAGGGCCGGCTGGTGCTGAACAGCCACGGCGACTCGGCGTCATCGACAAGGAACTGCAGGTTTGATGGGACCCAGGATGGTTGGATTGGGCTCAGATCCGTGCCGATGACTTCGGCGCTGGGGTAGCTGTCTGCGAAGTCGATGGCCCAAATACCGGTGCCGGTGCCGATGTCGAGGACGCGCTGGAGGTTTTTGTCTAGGGGAGCGCGGAATAGGGCTCCGTTGAGGACGAGGTTCCGGACGTGGTGGAGGAGATCTTGTCGGTCTTGCTCTTGTTCGTCGTTAGGGAGGACGTAGTGTCCTTCGCGGTAGGAGTGGTATCGTCGGCCGTTTTCGTAGGCGTAGTTCTTTACGTCTGATAGAAGTGACGTGGTGTAGCTGGATGTGTCAGAGTAGTCGTCGTCGAATATGGAGCTTCCGTCGTCATTTGTCGAATCTGTGGATGGCGTGTCCCCGGTATCCTCTTCATCTGGCGGCGGGGATGGCTGCGAATGGGGACCGGGTGGATCAAAAGAAGATGGTATTGATGGGTTTACTGATCGCACAACATCATGGTCACTCATATTTTCCGAAATTGGCGTTGAGTTGAATGTTGTTGATATTGATGGTAGCCATGCACGTGCGTCTTCAATGGTGGATGTCACTGCCAGGAGGTTTGAAGCTGAGTCTGTAGAATTTGGCGTAGAATCTTGTGTCAAGAGTTCTTCTTCTGTGATGTTGTCTTCCTCAACAGCCTCTGGTATCGGAGCCAATTGAGATGGTACTGCTAGTACGTGCTCCACACCATCACCCCCGGGGTTTGCAATGGTCTTGTCCGCACCAGAGTTCCCTGTCACCTGCGGAGCCATCGGTGCTGAAGCAATCGACGGTAAAAAGGCCTCCACATTTGCCTCGTAAACTAGGGGTTCACTCTCGGCCACCTGGCTCCCCTGGAGTGATGGGTACGGGAACGAGGGCAGTTCCTTCGGCCTGGGGCCATCCATCACGATCCGGGATTCAGGATTCAACGGCAAAAGCCGCGGTGACTCCATTGCGCTGCGCCCGTCGTCACCATTTCCATGGGCACCAGTGGAAGCAACGAGATCGTTGGACGCAGAAGGCGATGGCAAAGCCATGTCAGTGACCACGCCAGTCTTGGGAAGATCGAGGAGAGGTTTTTCAGCGCACATTGTATGATAAGAGCAGCAGAAGCTGAGCAGGGCGGCAGTCATGAGGACCGAGTTGCTGTCCCAGTGGTCTCACAGTAACGTTCCGCTTGTCGAACGACCTAGTGGTGAATCAGACCGGGCGAGCCAGTGGACGTCCAGTCAGCGAGGCGTCTTGTGCCAGGGAAAAGAGGACTGGCGCTCATCCGTAGAAACCCCGGTGGGGTCTGTGTGGACCACTTTGGGATTACTGGGTGCATCCGGACGTGCTTGCTTTGGAGCTGTGACGTCGAAAAGGCGGGTTTCTCCATGTAGGACAAGGAGGTCGGGAAACTGCGCCGAGCGATATCAGAGACTGCATGGTAGAATGGTCGAGCCGGTGGGCGTTCGTATATTCCAAGAAATGCAACATTCCTGCCAATAGCTCAAGTCCCAAACGTCTGCATAGGAATCGCTTCCTTCGGCTTGGTTCTGGATTACCGTTCAAATCGGATTGTCCGGGTCCAGCGCTCACTGGGCTTAAAGAAGCGAGAGAGCAAAGAAAGTTGGATCCTGGTCGAGGGCATACCCGAGACTAAGGAACGGTAACTTACGGGAGGGAAACCAGCTACATTAATACAAGAAAGCACAGTCTCATTTAGCAATGTCTTTTCAGCGCCGAGGGCTAGGCTCTGGCCATACCCTCCGCTAGCTTTTTAGTGCGGGTATTATCTCATGCCTCATTTACATATCGAAAAGCGCTAGCACCTTGGCGGCAGGAAGAAGGGGGAATATCATAAGCCAGATCAGCTGCGCAATCCGCCTCGAGTAAAACGCTCCGCTATGCCCATGCCTCTCGTTTCTGACGGGTGACTCATGCGGGACCGCCGCTCGCCCTCAGGAGCGCACACCTCCAGCCCAGCATGAAGCACGCTGGCGCGCAGAATGCGCAGGTGCGCCTCCTCGTTGAAAGAGCGCAGAGACTCCAATGTGTTATTTTGAACCTCTGTTCTCAGGTCGGTCTGGTTCGAGACTAGCACTCCCTTTTCCAGGTCGATGCGTGCATCCAGCACACCCTTCTTTATCAGGCGGATGAGTTCCTGGACAAATGGCGATGAAACCCCGGTGGGCTGTGCTTCACCACCGACTACTTCAGGGGCAAAGATCGCGGCCATGGAGTCCAGCGTGACGCGGCTGAAGGGTACCAGGTACTGCTTAATCGCCTTGGTGCGGATCAGCGCGTAGAGCTCAGAGACATAAGGCTGTAGATGAAGGTCAAGAAGGTAATCAGTGCGGTAAGCATCCAAGATATCCAGACAGGGGCGGAACTTGGAGTTGCAGAAGAAGCCAATCGCACGGCGAATGTGCGGCTCGAGTTCGAGGAAGTTGCGGAAGCCGCTGTTGTCCAGGACGCGGTGCTGCAGTTGCACGCGATCCATAGATGCCAGAGCACACAAGCCGCCGTAGACAGCGACATCGTTGGGCGTGATGACCTCGTTGAAGGTGTCGGAGAGGGAAGATTCGGTGGACAGGAAGCTGTTGGCGGCGTCCAGGTACGAGCCTGAATGCATCTGTGCAAGACCCAGTGCGGCGGACATCTTGGGCTGGTTCTTGGCCTGGTCCTCTGGTTTCGACTGGGAGTTGCGCAGGCGGTGCACATTGGACTGGACGTTTAGCCAATCGCCACGCTCAATGGAGACGTTGATCAACTTAAAAAGCATGGACGCTATGTGGTTCGGTGTTGTGCAGTAGTCTCGCATACGGGTATACGCCTTAGAGGCGGCGACCAGATCGCCAGTCTCGTAGTAATGATTGCCAATATCCTCGTTGCCCATCTGCAGAGATTAGTCACTTGTGTTTGAGAGGATGCTCGGAGTTCTTTACATACCCGGATGCTCTCTTTAATTAAATTATTCTTGTATCCCCTAAGTTCCTGCTCCAGCCGTTCGGATTGCATCTGGACTTGGCGTTGGACATTACGGACCCACGCGGTGTCGAGCGAGGCATCCTCCTCGTTTGGTGCTGCCTCCGCCAGAGCGCGAACTGCCTTCTCGTACTGGACCACATCTTTTCCTGATTTGGCCTCAGCTACTGCGAGTTTGAGTGCCTCTGTAGCGAGGACTGTGGAAGACGTTCCTATGAGGTAAAGGCGATCGAATCGGGTCCGGCCTGGAGAGAGTCGCGGGATTAGGAGGAGCTTGTAGAGAAAGGCCGCATTGTTGACTCACCGACGTAGTTTGCAATGTAGGAGTCAAGGTCGAATTTGGGAGGATCTGCCAGGTTCCACCTGTCAGTTGCTGGGCTCTTCTAGGGTTCAGGGCAGCTATCGGCGGGTGTTGTGTTGCCTGCCCCGCAGGACGATCAACTCACCATGGACTTTGATCCGAGGGATACTCTCCGGATTTTCACCGCCAATTAGAGGGCCCGCTGTGGGATAGCCGGGTGTATATGAGGCAGCGGATCCGGCCTGTGTAGAGGGGAAGGCATCTGGCAGCGTGTCCATCTCGCCTACGCTGCCGGGAGACGCAGCACGAGCGCCAGGAACACGGACGGTGACAGGAAGGGTGGCAAGTAAGGCAAGTGAGGCAAGCAAATCAAATTACCCAGCGGCCAACAAGTTCAAGGGTCCAGGATGATCTGAATCAGGGGAAAGATGCTGTTTTGTGAGAGTGGGAGAGAGGCAGGTCGCTCATCATTGTGATGGCTCGTTGGCTGGGGAGCTGATAGGCAGTATCCCACCGCCCAGTCTACCGCCATTTCAGCCTCACTGGTAGAAGAGATTCGCCGAGCATATTTTCATCTTCAAAAAGAAAGCTCCTCTGGGGCTACTTTTCAGAAATCTTGCTTTTGATAGGACCTGCCAGGCATTAACAGCTGCTCATCCGAAAGTCCTGCGTTTGCCTGAGGCATCCACAAATCTTCGTCCGAGGTCTCCGCAGAGCCTCGGGACTGTGAGTAATCACGAAATGATCGGAATCGGTCCCCGGATTCTCGACTAGCGGCTACCAAAGCCAATGGGAACCCGCGCGGCCTTAAAAGCAATTGCATTTTTTGATGACCAAATAATTAATTGATGCAATAATCTCGGCCTTTGCGCAACACTCCGTCCACAGTGGTGCCAGCTATATATATTTAGCGTCATCCCCCACCCTGTCCATCCCCCGTCTCCCCGCATTCCATCAGATCAAATAACGAAGCTAGCTATGAGCAACGACAACATGGCACGTCCGGAACTCGTCGCTCTCGTCATGGGCGCTTCTCGCGGCATCGGCCGCCAAATAGCTATCGACCTAGCTAGCAACGGCTATGCAGGTACTTCGATTCTCAGCCACAAGGAAACCTACTGGAGGGCGAGCTAACTCAGACCCCCAGTAATGCTGGCGGCAAAAACCACCTCAGACGCCACCAAAACATTCCCCTTCCCACCAGACCCCAACTCCTCCGCATCAACCATTAACACTGTAGAGCGCGAGATCCGCGCAGCAGGCGGGCACGCCGCCTCCGTGGCCGTGGACGTACGCGACGCCGCGCAGATCCAGAACGCCATCGACGAGACAGTCCGGATCTTCGGTAAACTGGATGTCCTGGTATACAACTCGGGCGCGATCTGGTGGTCCTCGGTGGAGAAGACACCGTTGAAGCGATTTAAGCTTATGCAGCAGATTAACCCCGAGGGCCTGTATGCGACAGTGCAAGCGGCGTTACCGGCGTTTGAACGGAACGGGTGGCAGGGGCGGATTGTGGTTGTTTCGCCGCCAATCTATTCGCGGTTCTTCAGGGGGAAGACTGCCTATGCAATGGGTAAGCTGGAATATACCCCGGTCCTTACGCGATTTTGAGAAGCCCGAGGTTTCTGGGCCTTGTTCAACCATGATGCTTACCTTGGAGGGATTTACGTCACAGGCAAGGTGGGAATGAGCGTTCTGGTTAAAGGTCTGGCTATGGACTTTGTCCGTCAGGAGCGCAATGAGATGGCTATTACGAGTATCTGGCCTGCATCGGTAGGTGCAAGAACAAATGGTGGAAGATCTTGGATATGCAATGGAACAGCTAGCTAACCCGCATGCAGTCCATTGAATCTGCCGCCACAGAGTTCAACAAATCCGAGGATACGTCCTACAAGAAGGACCTGCGAAAACCCGTTCGTTAATGCAAACCCTGCCATCCTACGGATCAATTCGCTGAACATGCTCTAGAAAATCTTCTCCGACGCTATCCTGGAGATGCTCCGCGCCCCAGCAGCCCAAGTGAACGGGCTCCTGGACACCGATGAGGACTTCCTCCGCGAAAAGTGCGGGGTTACCGATTTCTCACAGTACTCGGTGATTCCAGGCTCGACTCCGCGCCGGATCATGCCTGCGCAGTTTCCGGTGCTGGAGGTTGCGGAGCAGGACGATGAAGGGCAGCGGATGGATAGTGCTCATATTCGAGCTGCTAAGATTTAGGGCGAGAGTGTAGGAAGGCGGCCATGTATCTGAGAAAAAATCATGTCCATTCGCTAGACTGGGAAGCGGGATGGATATGGAGGAGCAAATAATACCCTTTTACTTGAAGCTAGTAACTCTTCCGTGATCAAGGATGCCGCCAATATTGGTAGATTGCAATAGATACCGATCCCATTAATGCAAGACTATACGCAGAAAAAGGAAACGCTCAATGCGAATGCAAAACAAAAGAACACAACGCAGTCCACATGAAGCCAGCCGAAACACCATGGCTAGAATTAGAATCAGAATCATGAAACTCCCTTCTCCACCCACTCAGCCCACTTCTGCTCCCAGCGTACACTACTCCTCACAGCAGCACCGCAAGGCCGGCAACAACGCTACCAACGAGCACACAGAGCCCAGAAACATGTCCCATGTCGACAGAGTAGGCCCGCGGCGCAGCACCAGTTGCACCACCGGTCTCAACGACGGTGGCGGCGGCGGAAGTTGTGCTGGCGGCAGCAGACGACGCGGTGGTAGTCGTGACGTTCACGCGGGGTGGGTTCTGGGCTCCGCAGGGGTTGTCGCTCTGGCACTTGGACTGGCAGGCAGAGTCGGCGCAGTTCTTTATGCATTGGCTGTTGGCTTCGGTGCAGATGAAGTAGGGCATGGTTTGGGAGTACTCGGAGGCATTGGGGGCGACGCTGTTGCTGCAGATGCAGCTGTAGCTTAGGGTTTCCTGAGTCGTTGGTCAGTATGAGCAAGGGGGAGTGGTGAATAGAGATAGATCTGGATATATTGGGATGTTGGGGAATGGGAATGGGGAGAGAGTGAAACTTACGGCAGAGCAGTTGTTGACCTGGGGCACACCGGTGGTGATTTGCAGGCACAGGAGGGGACAGGCGGATTTCTGAGCGGTGCACCATGCCTCTACAATACTGGTTAGCATGATATATGATTTTTGTGGAGTTGATTTGGGAGACTCTTGACAGGAGCTACTTACGCCGGGTGGCAATAGGCACGGAGCTCGGATCGATGCTCGAGGCAGACTGGCTGTTCGCCAGGGTGGCAGCCGAGGCCAGGATCAGCAGCAGCTTGGAAAGCATGGTGGCTCGGTGGGAAGGGTAGCTAGAACGGTAGAGGACTGGGGAGGTGACTAGCCAAAATGTGTCAGTGGCGACACAGATAATAGACGACCAGCAAGCAAGAGCATGGATATCGGTTATACGCATGCGGATAAAAATAGACAGTGTGGGCAGAGGAATGAAGGGGGGTGGACGGGACCGCCAGGTCTTAGAACTCACAGTGAAGTGTGGGGATTCCTGGGCCTGCTTCGAGAAGGGGGTGCGGGAGGCACGCACGCAAGCAATAAAGATAGTCGATTAATGCAGGCGGGCCGTGAATGTAGCGACAGACGGGTGGAGCGACAGGTCGGAAGGTAGAATAAAAAGTCGAGAGGGATGGGGACAAAGGAGAATAAAAAGTAAAGAGCGGAGTGGAGAGGGTCGTCCAAGAGATCACGCGGACCCGTGATAAAAATACTCAAACCCTGAAATACTACGGATTTAGTTTGGCCTCTATCTAATTTTGGTTAAGGGTCTACTCGCGTTGAAGGGGACCGGCACCAGAATGTCCTGGTGCTTGGCTGGTGGCCCGAACAAATCGCTAGTGTTGTGCCGAGTGGAGTGTGATACCGCATTTGTATAGGCATTTTTTTTTTGCTTGCTTTGATTGAAAAGTGGAGAAGACGGCAGCCACGCAGCATTGATCCTACTGGACTGTGCCATGCACAGCAGCTCAACCGACAAACCCCACCGACATGACCAGAATCTTCTTTACCGACAGCTATCTCCGCAGGAGCTCGGAGAGCTCCAGGCCAGACCCTCCCTTAGGCGGTGGACTTGCCGATCCGGGGATCTCGGCTGTCACAACTCCTTCCGCTACCCCTTTCCAGCCTTTTCCAGATCTCTCGTCGGCATGAGAGACGAATATCGTACATGTGCTGGAGGGGCGGTGGTCACTCCATTTTGCACACGGACTGGTCCCCACTGCAACTGTAACGAGGCGAAAAGAGACCAAGTAGTGCCCGCCACTGTGTTGAAAACCGCGGTAGATAAGGGCGGATGTCTCAGTCTAGCTGCTGGCCGATCACCGACGCTTACTGGGATGGGCCTAGCGCAGGGTGTTTGGCCGAGTCGGGGTGGCAGTTGGCGAGGGTCCTCGGGAACCACTCTCCACCGGGGGAAAAGAGGAGAAGCCGGAAGGTAATAGGGGAGTCAGTGTAGGATATTGCAATATCAAGGGACGTTGTGGTGTATGCATTGTATTCACTTATATAAATTGCAGTGGGCTTGTTGACGGTCCGGCACATTCCAAACATCCAATTGCGGGCTCAACCTCTCAGAAGGGGGAAGCTTACTGTAGCTACTGGACAGTACGTTACATGCAGATTGGGTACGGTATATGACGGTAATACAGCAGCTGTGAATGATGAGACGGACGCTAACTTGGTGTATTAGCTGGAGCCGGAATTGACTGCTGAATGTCCCGCCTCGTAGCGTGGAATGAGAAGAGTGCCGTGTTGCTTCAGATATCCTCGAGTCTGCGTTCCTAAATCCCGGCTCTGCCCCTCTGGATGCTGGTCCTGATTCATAATACGGGGCCACTGCCTTCGTCGCACCATTCTCACGCCAGCTGGAGTAATGGAACCAAGGCTAGTACTTCGCAGAAGTAAAGCCCTATGTATGCATCCTATAACCCCGCACCTTCTCTCTTAGTACAAACGAGCAACCCCGATAATAAGCGCACGGTCCTACTGCGGGTGTGATGGGGCAAACATAATTATCGCCTCTTGGTGCTTTGTAGTCCCACGTCTCCCTCCGTCTACGCCCGCGACCACGGTAAAGAGAGCCTTCGGGTCGGACATTTGCCTATCACCCCATACTGTATCATTGGCGCTTGCATTTGCCTTTAGGTCTACAAGGAGACAATTACAGAAAGTGGAAGTCACGCTCATAGCTGTGACTTGGAAATGTCTATTCCAAAGAGGCTAGAATTCTGGAGAAGAGATTCATAGCTCCCCGAACTTAATTTTGTTGTTACCTCGGTTTGTATTTTGACATTGATGATGTTTACGTAGTCTTAGCTAAACACATTCTCATTATAGGCCACCCTGAATAGTATACTCTACATTGTCTCAAGCACGAGAACTTCCCGATAACCTGCACTGGCAATTTTCCATCTACCACGTGGATTGCCCATATGCACCACTATCTCAATGGGAACCACTGAAATCTTGGGCATTCAATATCGATGTACTGTAGATAAGCTAATTATCGCGTCGTTAAACACAACATACAATATACTAAAATTGGAAAAAAGGTGTACTGTATGAGACAGATAAACGGAGGCCCGAGTGGATACTTACTGTATGACTTTTACTATTACCATACCATACCATGCATGTCAGACCAAAGCCCGATAGACACGCTTACATAACCACTCCGCCGGACCCCCCCCCCAAGCTCCCTGAAACATCCGCCCTTTGACTCCCTACACGCCGAGCTAAAAGTTCCCCTATTCAAGCCCGCTTGGACTCGGAAGCCGGTTTCAAGGTCAGTTATTCTCGTTATGTACATTCCCTATGCATTGCCGAGGGTTAGAATGCAGTGGTATGCCCACACAGCCCACGCATCGCTCGGTTTTCCCCTCTCCGCGCCCGTCCAGATTCCTATAATTGTCTCTCCCCGCATGGATCCAACGCTCCGCATGAAACATACATCGACCCATACGCATCGCGTAGGACCGGTCCTCAATGGCTCCGCTCACAGACACTGGCTCACGCCGACGACTGCTGACTGACGCTGACTGCTTCCTAGCTCCACGCTACTGGATACCCGCTCGACTCACTATCTAATGGATGGAGCCTGTGACTGAGGAGGCCGCTCCGGCACCTCGGCCGCAGCCGCAGCTCTCCTCCCCGCCCCCCACCGTGCATCCCAACCCCGCAGTGCAACTAGAAGGCCAGCCCACCACTGTCGGCAACGAGAATAGACCTGATCACGGTGACGGTGACGGCAATGGCAATGGCAATGCCACGGTGCTGTCGCCACTGCCAGAGAGCACGGCTTCGAGTGTCAAGTCCCGCCCTGTGTCGGGCGTCGTCCCGCCATACTGGCAACGACATGAGCGGGCTGCGTCCCGCGCTTCGCAGAGCTCGCTGGCGCAGTCGAGGATTATAAGACTGGAGGATCATACGGCGGATCCGGACTCGGAGACGAGTCGAGGGTTGTGGGCAAGGAGTGTTGCTATTGATGATCATGTTGTTGTGCAGGGGATGACCGGGGTGGGATCGTATGTGGTGTGGAATTGTACGATCCAGACTCTTGATGTAAGACCTGAGCTGGACGTGGAAGGTGTTCGTTTTTAAGGATCGCGTGTTCTAACGGGCTGCTGTAGGGAGGTCCGATTACGGTGCGAATGAGGTATGTGTTTCTTGTGTTCTCTCCTTCCAGATGCCCTTCGAGCGTTCGTGCTGACTCTCTGCTTAGATACTCTGAATTCGATGACCTGCGACAGAGACTGGAGTCTTCTTTCCCTCATGCGAGAAGTGCCTTGCCGGCACTTCCCCCGAAGAGTGTACTCTGTACGGGAGTTCATGAAATTCCTCGCAGAAACCGAAGCTGACTGTGTCCTAGTTAAATTTCGTCCTAAGTTCCTGGAGTCTCGGCGCGTTGGTCTGGAATATTTTCTCAAGTGAGAGCGCCTGCCCCTCCTGTGCTTGGTTGGACTGGTCCTCCTCTAACCTCACCAGCTGTATCCTTTTAAATCCCGAATTCTCCAGCTCGCCCATCGTGAAGGACTTTCTTTTTGGCCGAATGTCCTGAACATGACTCGCGCTGTATATGTGCATCTGTGTTTTTGAGAACTGCGTCTGTACCAACACTTACAATAGCCATGTTCTGGAATGGCATAACACTGCATTGGAATTATCCGGACTCATCCAGGTTCCTTAGTATAGGCAACCATGCAATCTACCCTGCCAGAAATCAAGTCAAATTTTGTTCTTAAAAATCCCGTCTCTACTAGCTTGACTTGCACCTACGACATTTGCATCGATACTTGGCACTGGCACCACAGAAGCACTCAGGAACAGTTTATTGAAGGTAAGTCGAAGTAGAAAGACATAACATGAAAAGAAAACTGAATACCGGATAGGTAGGATTAAACGCCCTCGACACTGGGCACCGTACAAACGAGATGAAAGAGAAGGACATGCGCCGACAGTGACCGTGACAGTAATAGATAGGTGGCAGACCAAATGTGGCCCGTCCAACCCACCACGTCCGATAACCAAAATAACGCCGTGCTATGATACAAATTCAATATTTGCATATGATACAGCAACAGGGAAGCATAAGCATAAGCACTGACCACACCAGCGCAAGTGTATATGTATGGCCATATGGTGTCCCGAGAAGAGAAGAGCCGAGTAATGCAGTCCGCGGCTTAAACGCAATTTCCACATCACCCGTTCCCGGCAACCGGATGATCCCCTGGTGATTGAGACGATGGAGTTGGAGGCGACGGTGCCTTGTCTTTGCGTCTGGACACCAACGCGCGCAGATCCGCCAACACAAGCTTGCGCAAACTGATATTGGCCATATGAATCATAGCCAGAAACTGCCGCGGCCCCGGCAATCCGCCTGGAAACACAAGATAAAGTCCAGAATCCTGTTCCGGGTCCGGTCGGAACTTATCATGGTACGCCTTCTTGCCATGGAGCGGGAGCCGATGGAAGGTATGCCCATACAGCTCCCTTGTGAGACCCACCAATGGGCTCGCCATACCGGAAATGTCCTCCCGCGCCAGCGCATCCACAGGCTCAAACCCGAACCCTAGATACGAGACACCCGCACGGTGCAGCAGCGCCATCGCCGCGACGATTAACAGATCGCTGATCCCCTTGGGCGCGCCCGGTGCCGCGATGCACGGGTCGACATGGTATCCGCCTTCGCCCAGGTGCCGCAGCGCTGCAAAGCCGTTGATCGTGCCGTCCGGTCCGCGACTGTACACGAAGGTCATCAGAGCCGGCAGTGCGAAAGGGTCGTACACGGTGATGAAGGCCTGGGGGCCGGCAGCGAGGTTGCGCTGCGCGCGCCACGCCTCGTAGATGCCGACCAGCTCAGTCTGCAGCTCGGCATCGGTGCCGTGCACGGCGGGGGCGTACACGCCCAGGGTGACGCCACCCTTGGCACGGTTCAGCAGCTGCCGGTTCTGCACGGCGATGCGCTTGCCGCTGCGCTCGAGGAGGACATCGTTGCTTTGCGGGTTGAGCACGCGCTCCGTGCCGAAGCGGATGGTCGTCCATCCGTGCGGCTGGGCGTGGTCGCGGACGAACGATGCGCTCGCGCCCATGAAGGCCAGGCCCCAGTGATGTCGCCGGCGGTATGTGGCGAACTCGGACAGGAGGGAGGGAATCATGAGCGGCTCGCAAAGCGGATCGCCACCGACGATTGCAACGCCATTTTTCACTTTGAAGGAAAGCGCCCCGGTGCAGTTCTTGTTTACGAAGAAGCGGTAGCTGTGGTCGAGGATGCCCATGTGCGCAACGCGGCCGTATTGTGCGGTTAGACGCTGGATGGCGGCCATCGTGGAGAAGTCGCCGAGGCAGAAGACTGCGCCCTGCTGGCCGGCTGGAGGGCTGGTGCGGAGGGACTTGGTGCTGGGGTAGTGCGGGATGGATAACTTGGGTGCGGCGGTTGAGGTAATTGATGCGGTGATTTTTTGCGACTCGCGGTCGTCCAGGCTGGTGGCGGGTGTAATTTCGACGCCCGTCAGCGTGCGACTGCTACTGCTTCGGGAGCTGGCGCACGATGATGCCGTCAGAGATGTGGTGAAGTGGCTGCGCAGGTGGTCCACGACGGGTGTACTTGACACATCCAGGTGGTCGTCGAGCCCAGGGGTGATGGTGAACATCTGGTCGACCAATGCATCGCCCAGCTCGTCCAGCAGCAGTGATTTCTTTGCCTTTGAACCCGCGACATCGACCGAGTTCTTTCGGCTTCGCCGGCCGCGCTTCTTTTTCTCAGGCGCAGGGGATATGCTGATGGTAGGCTGCACGACGGATTTTGCCGCACTGGTCACCATTCTGGGTGGTACGGCCTCCGCAGACGGCGACAGCAGCACAGTAGCCATGATGGGATTGAATGGGGGGAATATGAAGAATGAGGAAGGCGAGCCTGCAAAGTCTGCTCTGCACGCGACTCAATGAGCTAAGAAGGAAGGAAGCGGCCCCAGCAGAGAAACTGCCGTGTGAAAGTCGACCGAACACGTCAAGCCATCAGAGGTCTAGTGGGCCGAGGGAGTAGAAAGGGAAAGGACTGGTGAGACCGGCAGGCGAGTCGGCGTCACGCGAGAGCAATTAAAGCGATCGCTTACCCAATGAAACTCGTAGTTTGATGAGCACGAGCAATCGCATGTTACAACATGACCGCGACACCAGCCTCAAACCTTGCCAGCGCGGACAAGTCGGGCCGAGGATCCCTGGCCAGAGCATCTCGTTCTATGGAAACCGACCCATGAGCCCCGATGATAGAAATTTTCTAAAGTACAGCGAGTGACAGCCCCGGCGCCGGCTACCGGAGCTGAATCTGTGCGAACTAGCTGAGTCTGGCACATCTCACTCTATCCAACTTCGGTATTGACAGATTAGGCAGAGGAATTCCCACTTGGCAGCCAACCAAGCTTCGCGCCCCTCCGCTGCAACCACTGGATCCCGCCTCGGCCACCCGGGGGTGAAGACGAACTCTCCAATCACGCTGCGACGGAGAGATCGACAGGGTCCCAGGCTGACGTGGCCGCTAGCGTGAAGTGTGGTAGTATGCGGGAAAAAGGGTTTCGGCCAGACGTCAGACTAGGACCGCCCCGACACTAGTTGGATCGGGATGAACAATATGGGCTCTGGGGAACTGCAGGATTGTGGGCCTGCGTGCTAGAGACCAAAATCAGTCAGACTAGTCGGGGCAAGGGCAAAGGCCCAATGCAGCTCGTAATTTCCCAAGAAAACGCTGGTGCCTGAGCGGCGACATGAAAGGTCGCGCGAATTAAGCTTTAGGCAAGCCTTGTTGGACCCACTTCCTCCGGCGGGCTCTTCTGCCCTACCACGGCATGACTGTCGATTACCGTACCCGGTATGCACTTCATATACTGACGAATCTGGCAACATGTTCCGTCCTGCTTCTATATTCGATGGTGCACTATCGATCCCCCGCCTTGTCGCCTCCTATGATTCGATTGGACACCCGCCGGTCGGCTCGCAACTCTAGCCAGCCCTACCATGTGGTCTTGTGGGGACGGTCTGGAGCGAATCCATTCCGGACCTAGCTTCGATCGTGAGCCGTAGCGAGCCTGGTAAATGGCTGCCTGGTGGGACCGGAACCGAACGGGGAAATGGGACTGTCAGCGCCTGAAAGAAGGCCTGTGGAAAGCGGTCCTTTCTCTCGGCCCGCGGTCGTGGTCCGCGGGGCCCGAGACCGGGATGCCCGACTTTCTTCACAGCCCTCACGCCAAGCCGAAGCGGTTGCAATCGACCTTGACCTGTTGTTTATGTAGTCGCCTGGCAAGCGCGCCGGTGATGTGGGTGCCCTATCCTATTAGTATCGTCGGCATAGCCTTGCGGAGTACGGACTGAGTAAGACATCGCCGCCGAGCCCGCCGGAGAATCCGCGAGGTGTTCTCAAGACATTTATTGGCTGGACTAGATGGCCTAGCGGAACTGGCATTGAACCATCTAGACGAAGATTGTGGCTCTTGCCTAGAGGTCCTGAGTTCCTGGTCTAATTACTTGTTGGACCGGGATCATCACTTCCGAGGTGTGGATCAATGGGGTTGTGGATGGATGTTGCCAAGACCCCTATGGAGTAGTCTATGCATATACTGTGATGAATAGCTTGAAACCCCATGCGAGGCTGAATTGGAGATTTCTTCATCCACTCGGACCCACGGTGCCTCTGTGTTTTGCTGGGTGTCCAAATATACTTAGGGATGCTTCGACAGCATACTTCAATATACATAGTCGAGATCCTATGGCTCAACATGACACAGAATCGGCGAAACGTTAGTTCCAGGTAACCGAATCAATGCCCGTCAAAATGCCGAGATATCCATCGGGTTCCCGAGCCATCGTAGTTGCCTAATTGCTTCGCTAACAGTAGGCCGCTGGGCCGGATGATCCACCCGCGGAGGGGGAATTATGGCCGAGGTAAGAGAATAGTCTACTCGCAGCTTCTGCCCGGAGTGCAATGGTTAGATAAATAGGGGTGTATTACCCTCATCCATGGAAATACCTTCATACCATAGTGGGCATACCATAATGGGGTATTTGATCCGATGAAAATCTAGTCGAACACGTGGGGCAAAGATCGATCAGTGAAGGAACGATCGGGTGATTTCGCTTATCAAGGCGGCGATTTTGCCTCTTCGTGCCGGTGCAGTTTTCATTTTTTCACAATTTACCATCTCCGATGGTGACTCGGTGAATCTCAACCCGACCACGCTGAGGGCCTGCCCTGCATTTCATCCGAAAACGAAGGTATATTCGGCGGAGACAAGCCAATCACCCTTTCCCATGATGAGGAACTGGCAGACGAGTGACCCTGTTTTAAAAGTCGGGCCTTACTGAAAACATGCAGCACAAATGGAGGCCGATTTGTATTAATGGCTGTCTACTCGGTATGGTAATGTACCTGTCGCTGATTCAATCGATTCCGCTCACGATGAAAATTGGACACCGGTTCCCGTATGTCTCACCGCCCCTCTCGAGAAATACAACACTTACAACCTAACTACCTCCTGGCATTGCCCGTGGTGGATCTGAAGACGGGAGCTAGCACAAAGTTCTACAAGGACACGCGGGAAAGTGCAGATACTTTGACCAAGAAAAACTCCCCATACAGCGCTACTTGATCTTCAAAGCTCGAACAGTGCTGCTAAAGAGACTCATTATCCCTAGGGGAAGGGCTGGATCTAACCTGGAGACTCCTGACTTGATACCAAACCTCTGGGTAATGGTGAGGCTATGTATGCATAGCTCTTGATATACTGCATGACGCCGATTCAAGACTCGTCTTTAATACGGGTCTATTTCAAAATTACTCTAGAAATGCTTCGTTCCTACTCTAAATAAGCCCGTCATTGAATCACCGCGGGCTAAGTACAGCCCCATGGGAATATACCCCTTTAGCTATTAGGGTAGATTTTGGTTTGCCCCAAGCCCATGAATCTGACAATCTGAGTACAACCAAACCCGTCTAGGAAGGCAGGGCAGGCAGTGACTTGCCCTAGCGTGCGTCACAGGTTCGATCACATGCCAGGCAGTGAATGCATCCAGGCTGTCCTGTTTAGGAGGCCCAGCAGGCACCGAGTGAAGGCACCGGGTGCAAGGCAGCGATGTTGAGACGCCCCCTTCAGGAAATGAGGGCATCTCAGCGTCTCAACCCTGAAGGATACAAATACCTCATGCCCCCCAGGTCTTTTCTTCCTTGGTCAGCTCCCCCTCTCCAAATTATCTCCACCTTCGACAGACCCTACTCCACCCTTGGCTGGAACTTAAGTTTGTTTCAACCTCAACCCCACATGGTTTACCTTTCTCTTACATAACTTGACTTGTGCCTTCTATCTCGTCATGTCTCTCTTTTATCCTTCCTCAAGCTTTGACAAATGGGTGCTTTATCCGTGAACACACTCATGCCCTTGTTGCTCTGTCCTTGACCATGTCCACCCAACCGCATGGCATTTGGTCTTGTCCATCTCATCATGCCTCTTTATGTGACTTTAACCCTCTTCGACTGATCCATCGTGTGCTTCATGTTATCCTTTCCTCATATGTTGTTCATATCCTTACATATCAGCACTTTAACACAGTTCCATGTTGTGTTTACCTTATGGCACATTCACCTGAGTGTTGACCTGTCCCCGCCATGTGATCCTCACATATTGCCCTCTACTCATGCACATTTACCCTTTGGTCCTCTGTCTCTTGACCTTCAACCACATGGTATGTCTGCCACAATTCATGTCAGCAGAGCTATCTTTAACCTTATGCTATCTCAGGTTCCGTTGGCCACGACCCTTCTCAGCTTCAACTCGATTTCTTCTCTGAACAGGCGTCATGTAGCTGGCAACAAGAGCCAGTTTGCATCTCAGGACAACTTTAGATGGAGCGCAGTCAAACTCAACTTTGACACATTGTCATTCAGTTATTCCCTTTGTCTTCCACCATTTCCAGGCCTTACTCGTGGCTGCCATCATGCATGATTTGACTGGACTCCCCTTCTTAAACAGGCATCATGTAGCTGGAAATCTCCAGTTTGCATGTCAGGACAAATTTAGAAAGGGATTCGGCTACCATCACATGGCAGATTGATCCTCAATCACTGTCTTGAAATTGTCTACTTTACGCACTTTCCCTCCCGTGCTGCAACCATCGCACTCATCAACAAGTTTGCGCTTTGGCCGGATCCCCTTTTGAACAGGCGTCGTGTAGCTGGGTCATCCTCAGTTTGCGCGTCGGGACATATTCAAAAGGGGTGCCAGCCAGAGCCTGCACGGATACCGAATATTTCCGCCGAGAATTTCCCCGCTTGACAACCTACCTTGGACTCGGCTCGATTCCCTCCTTGAACAGGCGTCATGTAGCTGGAGGTCTCCTGCTTTGCATGTCAGGACAAATTCAACCAGGGGACGGGCTATACCAACTACATTTCCATTGACACATCAGTTTTCCATCACACTCATCCCATTCCATACTCTGCTGGCCTGGCTTATCCGGCCACGAGCCGGGCTATCCTACGGAAGGTTCCATATCATTCCCTTTTGAACAGTAATGACGTAGCGGGAGACCAGTTCGTGTGTCAGGACAAATTCAAAAATAGATCTGATTGAACCAAGGCCTTGGCGCTGATTTTCAATCACTGTCTTGCGCGGGCCTGGCTGTCTCCATCCTGAGATGCTCCCATGGATGTAAGTGGATTTTCATGGTAGTACCCCCTCTACATTACTAACGACGGCGCCCCTCATATAGGCAAACCAAACTCAATCACCCATCCGTTCGCATGCTGACCGGCTATCCCCGGCTTGTGCGCCTCCTTTCTTGCTACCTCAACTCTACCACAGAAAGTCTTCAACATCATATGATACCAGCAAGGGTTAGCTGGCCACTCTCAATTATGACACCCACCCGCTGACAACCATTGACTCTAGCTTTGTTTGACCTGGGTACAGAGAAAAAAAACACGCCCACTCAGAGGCCCTCAAAAGCAAAAAGATAAACCAGCCCACTTCTGCGTACATAAGCCCACGCTAAGCCACAATACTCCATCCGCCGCAGCATCTCAATCTCTCAACAGTCCACACACGTTGCCAACATCAGAGAGCCAATCAAACCACCCGTCTCTTCTCAAGGAGCTCTTTTGATAACCCAGGGCACTGTATGGGGTAATAATGGACCAAAGAAGGTGTCGATGTGTTACAGTCTCTTGTGCATTGTACTGGCAGCCGGGCCACTCTTCTGCTAAATATCTACCTACTGAAGCAGATCAATGAAGCCGTCCAGCACCATAATAGCACCATGTCTTCTTCCTCGTTTATGTAGACAAAATGAGCAATCCCTATCACCGGAATGGCAGGATCCTCGGTTGATACGAGCCACCAACGGCCAGCCGCGGATAGGAACCCACAACACATTCTGAAATCAAGGCACTGATTCACTTTGCTGGCGGTCTCACGGTCTCATGCGGGTCCAGCGGAACTCCAGAGAATTGATTGTACTATCTTCACGCGAATGATCAGGTTTGCCAGCGACTCTTTCAACGCCTATTGGGCGGATACTAATTCCATCGGGATCTCGAATTGCACGGCGAAGCACCGAGCTGCGGTCATCTCCATTCGCTCTTCATCCCGACGAAATTGCGCAACGGCTGCGGACACGGCGGAGTCCCGCGGGGAAGTCCGTGCCCTGGTCGTTATCAGCGAAATCTGCAGCTTTAAGCAGCTTTGACTGCATTCTACACGTGGTTGTGAGGCATGCGCTCGATACAAGCACTGATTGGCGCCTGGGCGCGCGACCAAAGCGGGGCCAATGTGGAGCTCCCCGCAGGGCGGCCAGATATGATTGGTGGAGGTGTGTTATGAGTCTCCACCGACCGACAGGTACAACAATGCCAAGCTTCTCTCCAAATATCTGCACGAATCCGAGCCGCGCTTTTTATAAACAGTGCAGCATGGCCTGAAGCTCCACGGAACGTTCCATGCAGATAGAGCGCTTGCCGGATATCGGCTCCAGTGCACGGCTCTGCTAGCAGGCCCCACTACCATCCGGCTGCCCGGTTATGAAGCCCTGCTGTTGCGTCCTTGCGACCTATGGCGTTCCATGGCGCCGACATGTGCAGCCAGCGATCGTCGCTAATTTGTCCTGGGGGAAATGAGCACGCATTGCCTTTTTTGGAAGGTGACCGTCGTAAGGGTCGTGGTATGCTCCCCTTCGTGAGCCCCGCTAAGATACAGCGAACATATAAAGTGCTGTTCAGTCCCCTCTTGGGAAATGATTCTCGCTCTTCAACCCGCCCGACTCCGTCTTCCTTCAAAGTCCAGTCCGTCTTCACCATGAAGACCAACACTCTGCTTCCCATTCTGGGTCTCTCCGGCAGCGCAGTCAGCGCGGCCGTGGCCCACAAATCCCAGGGGCCCTTCGGTTACGCGTCCGGCTCCAAGCAGTCCGTGGCCAACCTGAAGGACAAGGTTGAGAATGTTGTCTGGATCGTGCTGGAGAACCGCGGATTTGACAACATGCTCGGCGGTGTCCACAAGGCCGGCCTGGACAACGTCGTCAACAACAAGCCCTACTGCAACCCCGTGCAGGTGAACGACCCCAACAGCCAGCAGATGTGCAGCCAGTACAAGGACTTTGACTCTGTCATCCATGACCCCGACCACTCCGTTACTGGCAACAACTTCGAGTTCTATGGCACTTTCAGCCCCGACAACGAGGCCATTGCCAACGGCACTCTGAAGCCCAGCTTGAACGGCTTCGTCGAGCGCCAGATGGCCGCGTACCCGTCCATCTCCGCCCAGCGCGCCACCGAGGAGGTCATGGGCTACTACTCCGAGAGCGAGATCCCTACCCTCATCGATCTCGTTGACGAGTTCACCACCTTCAACTACTGGCACTCCTGTGTGCCCGGCGTGAGTCCCCCCACCAAACCCATGCCCCTCGATCCACCGCTAACAGCACCCAGCCCACCAACCCCAACCGTCTCTGCGGCCTTGCAGGCACTGCTGATGGTCACGGCTACAACGACGAGAGCTTCGACGTCTCCGGCGTCGACACCACCAGCATCTTCGAAGTCGCCTCTGAGAAGGGCATCTCATGGCGCAACTACGACGGCACCAACGGCGCCTTCCTGGCAGACGCCCTGTTCTTCAACTGGACCGCCGCCAACGCCAAGTCCAACGTCGTCCCCCTCGAGAACTTCTACCAGGATGCCTACCTGGGCCTGCTCCCGCAGCTGTCCTACATCAACCCGTCCTGCTGTGGCCTGAACACCAACTCCATGCACCCCTCCGGAAACGTTTCCTTCGGCCAGGTCCTGCTCAAGCAGGTCTACGACGCCGTCCGCACCGGCCCCCAGTGGGACAAGACCCTGCTGCTGATCACCTACGATGAGACTGGTGGTTTCTTCGACCACGTTGCCCCTCCCTTGGCCGTGCGCCCCGATAACAAGACCTACACCGAGACCGCGAAGGATGGCAGCAAGTACACTCTGGAGTACAACCGTCTGGGTGGCCGTATGGCGACCTGGCTCGTTTCCCCCTACGCTCCTCAGGGCTACATCGAGAACTTCGGTGTTGACCCCGTCACCGGCCAGTCTGCGTCCTACTCGTCTACCTCTGTCCTGAAGACTCTGGGTTACCTGTGGGACCTGGAGGACTTGACCCCCCGTGTGCAGCACTCTCCTGCCTTTGACCACCTGATTGGCCCCAAGCCTCGCCGCTCGACTCCGAGCTCTCTGGCCAACCCCAGCGTCTTCCCTGATGCTGTTTAAGCTGTGAAGCACAGGAGGTACGAGGCGGTTTTTTTTTTTTGACCCGAACGGGTCATAAGCCTTGCACGGATTGTAAAGTTTGATGTTTTGCTACGATGTTGATATTGATGAAGAATATTGAATAAAAAGTTCATGCGTGTCCCTATCATTGTATTTACCTGCAGCATACAGTAGATCTGTTCGACCTTTATTCTCCTGCGTCTGTCTTAATTCTGTCTGAACGTCACGGACAGTATGGCGAGGTCGGCATAGTTATAATGCTTCGGCAATGCTGACATGAGCTAGCCTTTTTCTCACCTGATCAGTGCGCCGCTGTACGTAGTTTATACCAGCAACTTGCTAGACGCCCATTGACAAGCTACGCCCAGAAGCTGCTACAGCTAATACCACAGCCATTCGATTCAAGACACAGGGTATGCAAAAGGTTTAGAATGTTTTGGGCGGATGATGTGGTCACATGTCTAATCCATGCCGCTACCTAATCAGCCCTAGATGCATGCGTTGCCTACATCGTCTTGGATACATCTTACACTATTCGAACCTTCACAAAACTAGAAATCAGAATGAAGTACATTGAAAGAGGAAAACCACTAAAATATGCGAGTTCGACCGCATTGTAAATAGAGGACGAATAACTAATACCAAAGTCCAGGCATATTCCATCTTGGCCCAAGAACGAGGCAAGAGCCAAGACAAAATGGTCAGGACACATTAAAAAAGAAAGAAAATTCATGAATAGATCCCATTTTCAACCGTCAACGGCACTAGATGAAGAGATTCATTGAGGGCCACGGGTCGAAATATGCCGTGAAGTTAACCGGCTCATAGGACGAGGAGGGACAGCACCGCGGTGACGGCCATCCACAAACCTGAAGAGGCGCTCAACGAGATGGCGGCATTGTACGCGGGCGAGGAGCTGGGTGAAACGCTGGTGCCCGTGCTGGAGACGGAGCTAGGGCGAATGGTGCTCAGCATGGTCGACGAGGCGGCGGGGGTGCTGCTGGGGACGCTTGTGATGCCAGCGGAGTGGGTGCTGCTGGGTATGACGGAGTGAGAACTGCTGGGCTTGGCGGAGCGAGAACCGCTGGGTACGACAGACTTGCTACCGCTGGGCACGACGCTGGTGGCGGGTCCCACGGGGGTAGCAGTGGCACTGGCGGTGGAGACGGTGGTCGAGTGGATGGGACTAGTCATGGTCATAGTAGAGACGGTGCTGTAGGTCGACAGGTAGGTGCTGGAGCCTGAGGTCATGGTTGCGGTTACCGGGCAGATAGTAGTCGTCTCGAATGTGGTGACGGTAGTAGCCGACTCCTCGGGGATGGGGGTCGAGCTCGAGCCAGTGCCGGGGGTCAAAGTGATAGTTGTAGCACTGGGGGACGCAGACGGGGTCACGGTTACAGTCGAGACAGTGCTGTAGGTCGAGGTGATCACGCTGGAGCCCGAGGTCATGGTAGCGGTCACCGGGCAGATGGTTGTCGTGGTGTAGATCTCCTCGGTCACAGTCGAGCCCTGGGCCGGGGCCGAAGGAGCAACAGACGACGGGGTTACAGTCACAGTCGAGATAGTGCTGTAGGTTGAGGTGATCACACTGGAGCCCGAGGTCATGGTAGCAGTCACCGGGCAGATGGTTGTCGTGGTGTAAATCTCCTCGGTCACGGTCGAGCCCTGGGCCGGGGCCGAGGGAGCAGCAGACGAGGACGGGGCCCTAGTCACACTGGGCTTGGACGCACTGGGGGAGGTGGGACTGACCTGAGCGGAGGTGCTGGGGGTAGCCGACTCAGACTCGGTGACGGGGCAGACCGTGGTGGTAACAGGAATGGTCGTGGTCACGACGGTGGTCGATTCTGCCGGGCAGTTGGTCACGGTAGTGGCGCACTGGGTGATGGTCACCTCACTGGTGGTGTAGATGGTCGAGGTAGTCATCTTGAGGGGAATACTGGTCACCGAAGAAGGCATGACCGACGAGCTGGCAAGACCAGTCGAGCTAGGAATGCCGGTCGAGCCATGGACCGAGGAGCTGCCAGCAAAAATGGTCGAGGTGATGGTAGGAACCGACACCGAGACAGAAGAGCGAGGACCAGAGCTGGACGGGGTCAACGAAGCCACCGAAGAGGCGGGGGTAGGCACAGTCGACGGAAGGGGCGAAGGAGTTGACGAACGGTCCTCAGGAGGGCCGCTCACAGCAGGGGCCGAAGACGAGGAATGACGGGGGACATGAGGCACGGCGCCGCTAACCTGAGCCGCAGCCAGGAGCGAGGCGAGGGTGATAGAAGAAGCGAACTTCATTCTGATGTGTTGCTGGTAGGATGTCAAGGTGTAAAGTGAAGGATAGAAAGCGAAGTGTGATGTGAACGATGCAAGATTTTAGCGAGGGTGGTCAAATCCAGGTCAGATTCGTCTTGCAGGCTGTAAATGCTGGATGTTGATAGATTGAAAACGAAAGTTGAGTGGGCAGAGTGAGTACAAGCCCGAGAGGGAAACGAATGGTAAGAATTGAGGGCAATTCGATATAGCAAAAAGCCAGCAGGCCGGGAATGAAGGACAAGAAGCAACGGGTATAAACTGCTAACAGTGCCACAGGCGAGCAGGGACTACATAAAAGATGCCCGGAAGGTCAGGAGCAGGCAAGCGAACGCACCTACTCCACCGGTGGCTTTACAAGGGAACCTCGAGCTGCATCTGTGGGTTCGGTGGAGGGGAAGTAACCCACCGAAAAGCCTGGAAGATACAGAAACAAGTAGGGAGCTGCAGGCAGTCCGCGAGTGGGCCATTCACGACTTGGCTATGAGTCTCCATCACGGACGCGGCTGCAGGGTCTCACGTCAGGGCCCCACCCGGAAAAAGTCTATCGGGGTCTGTTCCTGGCGGCCGTCAGGTACGGGAATCTGTTGACCAAGCCAAGCCGGCGGGTATGAGATACTACTATTTTCATACCACACCATAGTGGTTGCTGTTGTTGTGGCCATAACCGAGTCGTCTACGTGGAATTTTGAGTTCTGACTGGCCAATCAGGTTCCCAAGCATGGCCCCTGCACGTGCCATTGGTTCTTCTCTTCACTGCCTCATTGACGGAACTCGATCCAGTCAATTAATTGGGATCGGCGTCCATTGCCGGGGTTTCCGTCCTTCCATTCAGGTTCGCGGAGACCTTTTTACCCAACTTCACAGTGGTAAGAGCTGTAGCCACCAACCCATCTTGATAAGCGAGAAGCTTGGGAGGCACCATAACCGTAGGATAATTCATCGAGGTTGTTTGCAAAGTGGCACAACAAGATAATAATTCGGCTATCGGCTTTTGCTTGGCCTCTGTCATCCGGCCCCCACCCACCCCCGGTCGCCTTCTCCACATGGGTTTGGGGCTCAGTGTCTCACCTGTGCGCTTTGAACCGACAAACCTAGAGGCGAGACCGGGGATCGTTTCTCTACGCCAACGCAATAGGCCAGGGCCACAGCGCCGTTAACCTTTTCACCTAAGGCACCAATTACCCCAGTTGTCGTTTGACCCCCGAAAGACTTTGAACAAGCGAATACTTGAATCACGCATACCACTCAGCGATACATATCAAATACATCTTGAGGTGACCTCATTTCATCACCTACCATGCCAGTCGGGTTTTGGACAATATATCCCCATCTCCTTTCTCATCCTCTTTCCTTCTATCCCAGCCTTCTCCGGTCTCCTATTACGTTGCACTCTATGTCCTCGGCTTCACCCACAGAAGTGCCGTTCTACGTTTGAAACGACTCTGCTCTCTCTTATCATTGCTAGAACGAACGACTCCGGTCAAATCCTGATTTTGTAGAAATTCATCCCATGCAGCCCACATCTCGAGCGAGACAAAACCATCCATGCCGCAATCTGGTGAGCCCAAGTGAACCCAAGTTTGGGATTGAAAACTACTGTCGAATCATGTGCCCAGGCAAGTTCCCATACCAAACCTTTCCACGTACTACAACGCAGGTCAACAACGTTCAATAAGAATCGATAGTGCTTACGTTGGAGATATTACCTTGGTCATCTGGGATGGGTCGTCTTTCTGCCACTGCTCAATAACTCCAGCGACAAGAAATAACGATAAATCAGTGCCGTTACCAGATTCTTCATTTTCGGCACCGGATCCGACAAATACTGAAAGTTGTTGCAAATGATTCGACTTTCCTTGTTGAACGCATCGGCCGCGACTTTGTCATAGATGGCGAAGGTGCCGTAAAGACTCAAGTGCACAGCTTCAAAGGATCCCCAACAATAATATTTGGAGACCTGTGTAACTGACCTTGTGCACGACACTCGCGCACAGCACTGACAGCCACATTCATGTTGATACAAGTTTTTTTTTGATTTGATCAGGGAAGTGGAAGTTTTACTTCGAAGTCCAGAGGCTGACTGAGTCTTTCTGCTTTTATAGAGAGGCCGGTCAATATAAGCCCCTAAGGCAGGGGCTAAGCAGCCAATAAGTTGTTCGCTGGAAAATCCGAGGAATTGAAATATTGTACATAGATAACATGGCTCGTCTAGTTCCAAGGCTTGACTTTGCAGATGCTTAAGAAAGTCGGTTAATTTTGCACATCGATAATAGAAGCTGATATTTCAGTATCTCGTAGGCTCGACAGTTTCTCTTCTAGAGAGAGCCCCTACAGCTTAGTGTAGGCTTGGCCATTACTGCCCTGTTCCTCTTCGATCAGAGCCACCAGACGCTCTCCCACAACACTTCCCATAAGCTCATATCCCTTGGCAGTAAAATGTAATCCATCATCAAAGATCTCGTCCTGGAAGTTCTCCGTAGCAGAATGATAGGGAATCTTGCTATGCAAATCAACGACACGGCTATAACAAGTTAACGAATTGTCTCAGGATTTCCCAAACCCGGCAGACTCACAAATTCTCAGACTCGCGTTCCATGATATTAGAATTTAAAGTACTGCGTCTCGTTTCTAGGCTTTCGAGTTTGGCTGCACAATCAGGTACTGTCATGGCGAGAACCTTCGCGCCACTTGTGAGAGCCACACGCCAGCAGTCTTCTAGCGCGAAGTAAATCATATCGGCTCGATTTCCGTCTCCCAAATCGCTGCAAGAAAGGAGCCATTAGCAAAAAGGCGCGGCCTGTCTGCGACAGATGAACATACTTGGTTCCTCCGAGAATAATGACCCAGTCGAATTTGGCTTTCGCACATTGATCTTGTATGCGAGGCAAGAAATCACCCGTGGGGTATACCACAAAATCGCCTGGGACCCCGTCCACCTCGATGTGGACATTGGTGTCAGGGAATTTGGCTTCGAGGATCTCCTTGAGTTTGATCGCGTATGAGTGGTACTCGAGTCCGTAACGATAATAACCCGATGTTAGGGAGTCGCCGAAGCAGAGTATGGAGAGTTTTTCCATTTTCTGTAGTTCAATAGTAATTTGCCAGGTTTTCCTTGTCTGGGAGTTGTAAAACCTTCGTGTCTTCTGTGAGGGGTACAAAGCGGGCGGCGGCTCCTTCTGTTGATGACCCGGCGCTTGCGCTTTCTTTGTGCCTTCAAGTTCTAGTGCCCCGCCTTCGGCTTATAGTCAGCGGTCTCTGAGACAGCATTAGCATGAACCATAAGAGCCAATGAGGTCAGCTCGAGCTCCTACTAAAGGTGAGAGGTAAGTATTTCCAGTCTATTAACCAATCTCGTCCAGCCTCCTCTGCGAGGCAAGATGCCGGTGAAGCGCAGCGAGTGCGGAGGGAACGCGCTCACAGACGCGGCTGGCCCTCCCGCCCCCCCACGCAGCGCTCGATCCGCCCACCACGAGGTCTGGCTTGGTTCGCTAGACGCCAGTGGCCACGGTGACCTTAGGAAACGAAGCAGACGGCGAAATCCCAACTGGCCCTCCCCAAGGCACAAGCCAGGGACTGGCGCAAAACCTCCCAAAATACGTTCGAACCCTTTTCGCCGAATCGCTACGATTCTTCCCGGAAGTTTTCCTCAGTAAGCACTAAAAAGTGCCCAGGGCTTCGCCACGAGGGGCAGTCGGGCTGGAGTGTTGAAATTGGGGTTTATCGCCCCGACCGGCGATCTCAGCCACAAACCGGTAGCCACAGCTGGTGGTCTCGCACACTACAATTTTGCGGGAGCGAATCGGGGCCGAGATATTTTGTTCTGGCCTCGCCTGCTAGCTCCCATATTCATGAATTGATGCTAGTCCCACATCTTGGCTCTGCGGAGATCCTGAGCTCCACGCGTGGGCATAACCTACATGACATGACAAGTGGAACTGAATCGGACATCACCGACAGGCCCCTGCAGCCAATAGAACTGGAAGCTAAACCTAAGCGAGGGACTCAGATATATAATTGGTTATCTCATGGAAAATAAAGACTGTAGAACTGAAAACGAACTCAAACAACCACCGAGAATCTCAAACTTCTTCAAAAAAAAAATCCCGCTGTTGGGGTTAGCTTGCAAATATTCAGAATGGGTGTCAACAAGGGGGACGTGATTAGCGTGCTCTTGACCCCCGAATGGGCCATCCAGACTGTGGAATGGAGCCAGAGGTTCCTAATCTACAAAACAGATTACTACCGTGTTTCCTTCACCAATGCCAAGAGTGAGACCACCCAGAGTGAGGGCATACGAAGGGTAGACTATGAGGTCAACAGTCGTCTAACTGGCCGCAGGCACCGACCCGGAAGACTCGGGTCTTCTCTTCATTGCGAAGGATAGAGTAGACGCTTTCAAAGCTCTTGATATGGGGAAGACAGATCAGGATGTCTGCACTGTCACCGTATCGACTGAATTTCTGTATGGTCAAAGCAAAGATGGAAAGAAACGCTTTCTTGTGTTCCATGACAAACGCTTGCGAATCTTTCAAGTTCGTGGACACCTCCCTTTCAATCGAAAATATTTGCCACGAGAATAATGCTGACTTGTAAATATAGCACCGCTTTATGCAGGGCGGTATTATGGATGCTATGAAATCAGCTCAGGAAATGGCGACAAAGCTCAAGGAAGGGTTTGGAGATGAGTTGCAGCCATTTAAGTGACCTTGGCATGAGCACGAGCCTTTCTCAACTATGTAGATAGTGTACAAATGTGTCATGTGAATAGCTTCTATAGCCGATTCAACAGTTAATAACCAATTGTCAAAAGATCAAACACTTATGGGCAGCTACAAGGAGAAAAGCATCTATTGATACAGCTATTTCCCAAGCAACCAAAACACAACGTGCCTAGGTTCTATTACCAGTAACCTCACGCTCCACTTTATCATTGCCCTTTATATTGATTTTTCGATTCACCTCTGGATTCATCAAGTCTTCAGTACATCAACTTGTATCGTAACACATCCCTCAGGCCCATCTCACAGCTGGTGTCGCCATCCTCCTTGATCGAGCGATAAGCCAAGGTCAATATCAGAACATCATGCATCACTCCTAACAACAAAGTATTCACCGACTTAACAGCCGAGAAAAGTCGGCACAATACCCTCAAATCAAAGTTCTGAAATCTAGATCACGCAATAGAGAGTTGAAGAGAAACAGGATTAGACCAAACGATTACTACAGATGGGCCCAGACCGAATCAACCGAGTTTCAAACCAGTCAGTCAGCAAGAGCTAATCCATGAAAATAAACATCGTGCTTGTGGCTTTCGAGGTTCATTCTTCGCTCGGTTTGCAGATGCTCATGAAGCACTTCAGCATGCAATCTGGGATGTTGATAATGCACAAAGCTCGGTTTGATTCATATTTTTGCCTTTCACGGAAATTGCTGATTTAATACAAGACGGCCGGTTTTCTAGCAAAGATTGGATTGCGGGCCGTGGCTCGTATGACTGGATCGTATATGGACAAGGAGATACTCGCCTTGGATGAGGATTCGATGAGGATCGAAGCATGCTGAAATATTTTCTTGCCGGAAATACCAACTATTTGGGGCATGCCAAGGTATTAGGAAATTCACGGACCTGAGGCCGAAGTTGTTCAGCAGCGAATCACATTCAACAAACTCTATTAGGACCTTGTAAAGGAACACAAGTTTCAAGGTTTATACACTTGCTCGGACTTTCAGTCAGGCAGTTGTTATTTCGCCACTTTTTTGATATAGTCTAAGTAAAAAAGACCTTCATAATTTGCTTGACAGATAACCCCAACTTCTTCCTTGCCAAGTCTGCTGAGTCGGACGGAGTTAAGGCGTGGAGCTGACAAGACCAAGTCCCAGCACCTGTACAATACCGATTAATCGCGTCGGACCGATCCGGTTCCAGCGGCTAGGCAGCAGTTCGTCTGCACGGTTCTGGTCTGCAGATGAATCATTGTGGCTTTGAAAGTACTGTGTCTCAAAGCCCGGATTGTACCCTTGAGAGTTATGTGTGCTTCCCCTGGCAGCACTTAAGACATATTAGATTCTCATTCCTGAGCGGACAGTACAAACTACGAGCGCCCGCAGAGTAAGTCAGTGATCAATCAACCCCGGAGAGCGTAATATTGTTCTGATGGGCTCCAATAAACTAAGGACTCACCTAGCATCATCATTGAGGAGCAGAATACACAATGGCTGACCGAGAATGAAAACGAAGCTCTTCGGTGAATTCCGGATCCTCTTTCATGGAAGTCATTGTTAACGAATACCCGTTAATATGATGCGCATTCGCCCAAATACTGTGGTTCTATGCTTGTCATACGTTGATTATCAAGCAACTTGAGGCGATATCTTTCATTTTCCGAATCGCTATCCATTGTCGATCCTCTGTTTATTTTTCACTTTACTACCATTCTACCCCCCTTCCAAGATGGCTGTGGCAGGTCTCGGAAAAAATGTGGGGTCTTCATACAAACACTCCAAAACGCAGTCGGGGGGTTGAATGATTGGAAGGATATTTACGCTGTTATAACTGACTGAGTGGTTTTTCTCTTTGATAGTATAGAAAGGGGTGCCTCGAAGGGCCTGTTGGGCCACTCTCAGAGGTTATCGTATTATTTATTCAGAATCTGTGCTATCGAAAATGGGTTGAAATAATTGGACTCGGTCCCTGTCGGTCGCGTTCGTTCTCGTTCGTTTATTCCCCCTTCCGATTGGATCCCGCGTTCCGGGACTCTACAGGACGAGCCCACGCGCCCGCGCTCGCGAACTCTGGTCCAGACGAACCGCGCACGCTGCACCAATGAAAGACTATCAATGTTACAGAGCTATGCTTTGCTATGTTGAAAAGGGTTAACTAGCCCCTTGGGAATCTAGTTTAGGTTCCACTAGAAAGATTCGGGGATTTGTCAGTAGCTGAACTTTGAAAAGGCACCCCTGCTTTCCGTCGATGAAGTAGTCGATGATGTAGATCATAATCTACACTGCCACTGCCGAGCTGCCTTGGGGAGGTAATTCTGGCTCGATTGAGTCGGCTGGATGGTTTGGGTAAATGCACAAACATCAAGAAGGGCCCGGTGATGTCAGATTGGGCAAGGGGCCCAGCAGCTCAGCCATATAAATACTTTCAGATTGCACCCTGTCTTTGTCTCAACTTTCCGTATATCACAAGGCTCTTATAAACCATATCCATCATTATCATCACCTCTGCCAAAATGAAGCTCTCCTCCACGCTTGTATTTGGTGCAGCCTTGACTCTGGCTCATGCCAATCCAGTCGCGAAGCGAGCCATCTCTGACGGTATGTTACCAGTGAATATTCTCGAAGAACGCTTCTTCTAATGCGACTTTATTGATAGCCGATATTCTCAATTATGCTCTGACTCTCGAGCATCTCGAAGCGACCTTCTACGAGGAAGGCCTCAAGAACTACACGGAGCAGGACTTTATAGATGCCGGCCTGGATAGCACCTTCTACACTAACCTGAAGACGATTGCTATGGATGAAACGACCCACGAGGCTTTCCTGACCCAAGCTCTGGCTGGTACGTGAAACGTAATATTTGACCTCATGAACAGCTTGAGCTGATGAATTTTATGGTTCAGCTGCTGGAGCGAAGCCTGTAGAGCGCTGCACTTATGTCTTCCCGTCAACGGATGTCCTGTCCTTCCTTGCCCTCGGCAATGTTTTGGAAGGTGAGCCACATACCCAAACTCGCCTTTGTTGAACTGAACCCTAACTTTTTCTAGGTGTTGGTGTTAGCGCCTACCTCGGTGCCGCCGCTTCAATTATGAACCCCGCGTACCTCACAGCGGCTGGTAGCATCTTGACTGTTGAAGCCCGCCACAGCGCCTACCTGCGAGCTACACTTGGAGAGGCCCCGTCTGCACAGGCATTTGACAACCCTCTTGATTTCAATGAGGTCTTCACGGTCGCTTCACCTTTCATTGCCTCTTGTCCATCGACCAACGAGCAGCTACCCGTCAAGGCATTCCCGTCTCTCACAATGAGCGCAACGGCACCAGCCATGAATGGCTCCCAGGTTGCGGTCATGGCCGGGCCCGGCTTCAACACGTCGATGGATATGAGCAATGTCTTTGCTGCATTTATCACCGTCACTGGTCCTGTTTGGGCCCCACTGAATAGCAGTGGTGATGGGAAGTTCACCGTAACTATTCCAAGTGGCGTTTCTGGCCAGAGTTATGTTGTTCTTACCCAGGGCAACACTCAGGCTACGGACGATAATATTCTAGCTGGCCCTGCTATCATTGAGGTAATTTGACCTTAACCTTTCTGCTCGCTATTCTTGTTTTTGCCTTTGTTCTGTTTTCAATTTCGTTCTCTTTGTCAGCTAAAATTTGTCCTTGCAAAAATGCCTTGGTAGACTGACAGCGCTTGGCTTTATCAGGTTGGTGCTATGACGGGAAGCATGGGAATGGGAGCTGTCACGTCAAGCAGCATGTCTGGAAAACCGACTTCGACCATATCTATGTCCTTGACCAGCTCGAAGACTACCTCCTCAATGACCGCGGGGGCCACTACGTCGCCGGCGTTCAACGAGGCGAGCGTACTTATGGGGACTGGCACTACCGGTGTGCTTGGCGCATTTATTGCTGCAGCTGCGTTCGTCATGCAGTGATGCTACTTTTCATATATTCTAATTCGCATTCGCATATCCATTCTTCAACGGCCCAGCTGTTGTGCGTGCCAGTGGAGGACACGGGCATTTGAAGAGATGGCCTTGCCTAGCCAAGTCATGCATTTATATCACAACGAATTATATATTTCCAGCGCGAACGCAACTCCCTGAATAATTTCGCCTGTATTCTGACAAATCTAATTTTAAGAAGACAATCGTCCTAAGCTTCGGTGAAATCGCCGATCCCGCATGCTATGACGTAATGCGACACCGGAGATCGCACAAGCGTGCGATCTCGATCGTGCGGGGAAGGTCGGGCACAAAAATTCCCAAGAACTTTCTTGCGTACGTCTCCCTCCCGAAGTAATTGATCGACCCAGGAATTAGGTACGCGATGCCCCGCAGAGCTCACACCAAATCACGGTACGGGTGTGACCACTGCCGACGGCGGCGAGTAAAATGTGACGAGCAGGGACCACCGTGTACGAACTGCATAGTGCGACAACTGGAAGGCTGCACTTATTCCAGAGTTGTACCAGCATGTATCTCGGCCAATGCCCGTCGGCCCAGTCAGGACACTATCCAAACAAATACAGTCGTCCCCGGAGCGCTCGTTGGACCGTATGGCGCTACGCTTGGCGTCGATGAGCTGGAGCTGATGCACCAGTTTGCAACAGAAACATATCACAGTCTCTGTGTCAGTGAATCAGAACAAATTACATGGCAAAAGCATGTCCCACGCCTGGCACTGAAGCACCGATATCTCATGCACGGGATTATGGCACTAGCCTCGCTCCATATCGCCACGACACTCGAGCCGCAAAAAGCACGGGTCTATATCGACGCAGGTCTTGAATACCATAACATGAGCCTTGAGCCGTTCCGCAATGCGATTGACAACCTTACTCCCGAGAAATATGATGCCGTGTTGGCGGAATCGGTCGTGACCACAGCAATTAGCCTTGCGCTGCCACAGTTGACTGCAACCAACGACAGTGTGGGGAAGATGATTGAAAATATCATTACTGCATTTGAGCTCCTCCAGGGGGTGAAGAAAATTTTGACGATTGGTCAACCCTGGATTCATCTACAATTGTTCTCCCAGGGCGAATTTTGGAAAGATACATCTGCCGAACTAGACGATGATACAGATTCCGCACTGGATCAGTTATTGTCATTGAATGAACAGATCAGGCTGAATGGGGATGAGACTCAGTACATTATTAATCGAGATGTCATCAATCATCTCCGACACTGTTTCATGAAATTTGCATGCTCGTCAGATCCAGCCCCGGTTCTGGCATGGCTCGCTGCCGTGGATAATGCCTATGTGCATAGCATTCGAAGAAGATCACCATTTGCGCTTCTCATCCTCGCACATTGGGGCCTTCTACTCGGCGAACTTGGTGAAAAGCGATGGTGGGCTCGAGATAGCGGACAAGCCTTGATATCTGAGTTGCTTGATGCGCTGACTACTGAAGATCTTTTGTGGGAGAATTGTCTGGGATGGGTTCGGCGAAAGCTTTCCTTACAAAGCGTCCAGGTAAAAGGGAATGCTTCTATCGAGAATTTGGGTTCAGTTTAATAGAGCCAGCTATTTTATAAATTCCTCAGGGGTGGTAGCGTACAAGCTAGCTGTAGAGTGGTAAGAAGATGATATTGACTACCTGAAAGGGAAACTGCTAAAGTAGACGCTTGTCACGGGACGGTGACATGAGCATATCAATAGGTAACAAGCGGCCGGCTTTGGAAAAAGCATCTCATCCTCGAGATAGAAGAAATAGGAGTATAGAATGTAGGAAGAATCATGAAAGTAGCTAACTTAGTGAAGCTAGTGGATATTATATTAGTAATAGTATAAAAAGTATAGTTAACTAAAGCTAGATAGAAGGTATAGATTAGTACTAAAGGACACTAGTTTAGCGCGACCCGAGACCGAGACCCTGAGACGGCAGTACTCTTCAAGGACGGATTACCCCTGCGTGTACCGAAATCTTTTTCTGACTCAGATCTCGAAACCAGATTGCAGTACATGCACTCATCCCAATCGTTCTTGTGTGACTGGTTTGTACTCTCTTGAGGACATGAAGTTACAGATCAAAAATATCGCAGCTCTGGACTTGGGCAACGCGATCTCCCAAGGCTGGGTCAATCGCGTGGAATCTCTGCTAGCTTCGGGCGTCGATCCTAATGCACTATTCCATGGGAAGGAGGCTGCTCTCTCTGCTCTGCCAGACGATGCAACCCTTGAAGAAAACGCTACGCAGCCGCCGCAATTCTACTCTGAGCCCACTGAATGGCCTGCCCTTCGGCAAGCCGTTCGTGACTATTTCGGCGGCTCCCAAGAGATGGGCGATTTGGCCAGAACGAAGGTCCTCATGACAACTTTACTCAAGCATGGCGCTGATCCTTACGGGCTATTTCGCCTGCCCATCTTTCACTATCAGTCCGTTCCTGTGTTTCCGGGGGACGAAACGCATCCGGAATATGTTGCCGATGAAGAAGACCTCCACGCTACGACACACGCTCGGATAGGTATCTTCATGGAGACACTTGAGCCGGAGTACGAGCGACTTGGGCTACTAGGGGCGGCTCAAGAGACCGACCTGTGGCATTCTTACAATTTCGATGACTCTTATAACGATAGTACCTTCTATGAGCCTCGCACCCCACGCAAGTATGGGACTTGCAGCCTATTGCACTGTCTCCTTGAAGATGGCGGGTTTTGCCTGCCAATTTTCGAATATCTCGGTGACGACCTCGATGTGGAGGGACGGGATCCCCAGGGTCGGACTTTATTTCTCGCGGCCTGTCGAAGTACGCTTGGCTTGGACGCTGCTGTGGACGGGGCGTATGTCAACGTTTTGTCGTCGCCGGGCTTGCCGAACCCGTACCCGCAGCCAGATAACCCTTGGTAAGCCGAGATGCCACAAAAATTCACATCGACATGCACCGGGCCTACCCTGCTCGAGTACTTCATATCTCGCGGAGCAGACCTTCTCGCCGTGGACAACTACGGCCAGAATGCCCTTCACAACATGCTAGCACCTATCGACCGCATTTCCTATGGCCCTGTCCCGATCATTGATGCCTCCCGAAAATACTTAGTCCAGAATTGTCCTAGCTTGCTGGATCAGCCCGACAATGCCGGAATCTTCCCGATACACTACGCACTTCGGAGAATGGATGACTTTTCCCACCAAGTACCTAGGCCAATGCTCTATTATGAAAGAGCCGTTTATGAACTGTTAGCCGCCAACGCAGATCCATTCGTTCGCGATAGCCGCGGCAATACCGTTCTCCATTACCTTGCTGCGGGCAGGCTCGGTGAAGGTGGACACCCAGGTGATGAGCAAAGGCGTCTGCTTGCAGTGTTCCTCGAGCGCGGAGTTGACCCCAAAATTCGCAATGCAGCCGGCGTCACTGCATTGGAATTGGTCTTCATGAAAAAGGCCTTGTATGAAATGGACTACGATTACGACCAATTCTATGCTATTGGCAAAGAAGTCGTCGATGCATTTGAGCAAAAGGGCTATGTCTTGACAGACACCAACACCACTGGCGAGACACTCTTGCATTTGGTGGCTGAATCGGATTCGAGTCGATCAGTTCCATGGTTTGAGCTTCTTAAAGAGAAGGGCCTTGATCCTGAGGCAAAAGACAATAATGGAGTTACTCCGCTGGAAAGTGCGAAACGGAACCACTCACTGAGGCAATACAAATAAATTATGAGTCGCGTATCTAGGCATGGATGTTGTGAGTTATGGTCAGAGTAGTCCAACAAGTTGTGAATCGAAGCAATTGCATCCAGTATCCGCTCTCTTTGGGCCAAAATAGACCTGAAATCGCATCTGCGGATAATTTGTCATTTATCCACCAGGACTCAACGGCTATATCTGTCTCTGAAGCCGACAGCACATATTCAGGCTAAAACTTTGCAGCGATTGTAGCGTCTTTTGGTGCATTTTTGTCTTTGATAACAGTACTGAGGCTCACAACTGGCTTAGCATGATTAGAACCGGAACTTCTAATAGCTTGCATGTCCTCACGTTGATGCCCGACGAAAACGCTCGACGATGGCCTGTGGCCCACGCAATGCCTCTGTACTTAGCGAGTCAATCTTTGTATGCAGACTTGGAGTCTCTGATGTTGAAATTGAATAGCCAAACCTTATTTGAATAAACCTGCGATCCTTTATCATCATGTGTACCAAATTTCTTTGCGTATAATAAAGATGAGGCTGCCTCGATGGTGTCCCATGGAAGCTTCTCTAGCCCGATGCAGCATGACTCGCCTAACCCAGGCTCATCTGCCACCATCACGCAACGCTCCATCACGAAACCTCCCTTGCGCCTTCAACTTCTAGGAGCAAGAAGGGTCCCAAAGTGGCCTCAGTACTATGGCTCTTGGCGGGAATTCCTCGCGAGTATGTGGTGGGTGGTATTCCTATTACCGGTAATAAGCGAGCGCAGAGTGCCTCTGCCTTCGTTGAGGGGGCCAGATATCTGGCCGACCGAAGATAAGATGAAGATGCTCATCAAAACGGCTGAGGATAATGACTAGCCTGCAATATAAGAGCAAAAGTCGATCTTTCATCTCGCTGGCACCGAAAAGGACTAGCGACGCGATGCATATATCTGGATCGCCTTTTAATCTGGATGATTGCGGCGACTTCTTCCTGTCTGAGACCACCATTTAGCACGGAAATCCTAATCTTCGCCATTCTCGCTTGATTTGCCCTCCTCCATTGCATTTTTGCTCTGACTACAAAGAAAATCGTGGTAGTTTTCGTCACATTGCCATTCCAGGTCTTGCTGCAGAGTACTTTCTAGTCGAGCACTGTCATACCGATTCAGTTTTGCCAAGCCCGCACCCACGGCCGAGCCTCGGTTCGTCTCTTCTCATTTTGCGCGGTTCTCAGCGTACTCCAGTACCACACAGAGCTGCTCCCTGAATCCAGGATACCCAAAGACCAAAAATATGGTATCCTATCGGTCCGCAAAGCTAGAAGATCTAGCCCAAATCCGTGCCATCAACACCCACTATATCCTCAATACCTCACTCACCTTTGTGCGAACCCCACCCACATTTGAGTCATATGTCACCAAGTTGAACGATCTCGAATCTCGTGGCCTCCCATACCTCGTTGCTATTGATGAATCACCAAATCTAGACGATCAACAAGATCTTGTTCTCGGCTACGCGTATCTTTCTCCATTTCGCCCGCAAATGGTTTCATATGCTCCTACCGTTGAACTCAGCCTCTTTGTGCACCCGGAGCATCAATCTCGCGCGATAGGATCTGCTCTTCTTGCGAGGTTGCTTGCACTTGTTCGAAAAGGTGAAGTTCGACACCGTTGCCAGGAAATGGGTGTCGGCAGTGAATCAACCGATCTCGATCAATCAGCTCTGGCCCCTGGTGTGACCCAGGTACGAAATGTCATTGCCGTTATGGCCGTGGACCCTGAAGGCAAGGAGGAAGGTGAAGCTTTGAGAAAATGGTATCTCAAACGTGGCCTTGATGAGTGTGGACGAATGAAGAAGGTCGGTTTCAAAAGGGGACACTGGTAAGTGCGCGAACGATGACAGAGAACTATGGCCAGAACCATTAACGTCTGAGATCGAAAATTAGGATTGACACAGTCTGGCTGCAATATTGCGTCCCCGAATAAAGTGGAGTGTATCTAAGTAAATATGCATTTACTGATGTCATTCACCACATCAGCCGGCTTTGCGATCACTTGCAGCGTCTATATCATTAGTGCGATGGAAAATTATGAGTCACTCTAATTCAACTTTACATTATCTCTTCTCCTTGAATCGCCTATAAATTCATATAAGAAGTTGGGGCGCCCCTCTCAGATCGAATCGCTTGCGCAAATGTCTCCATTCCTCGCCCTGGTGTCTACTTACTTTATTTATTGCCCGCGAAGAATCCCCGTAAATGGCACATATGTCTCAGCAAAATCGATCCTGATCCCAACATGCCAGCGAACATTCACGCTTAGACCAGTTTGTCAACTGTACGGGAAAGTCTTGGGGCTGCTTGAAAGTTGTTCTGCCCACTCGTGTTTTTAGATAACGAACATGGCCCGAGCGGCAGGATGCGATTCAGATAAAACCCTGGCTGATAGCGGGGAGTGAACCCAATATGGAGATCGACTGGATTTCTCGTAACGATTTCATCGTGAAATTCCAAGCGACCAAGTAGTAATGATGGCTTCAGTTGTCTAAAGCGCCCGAATTTCTGTCTTCCGCAGTAATTGAGAATAGACGGCCAACAGCGGCAGAGCTGCAACCACAATCGTCTCGAACAGGCCGATATTCATGCACTCTGGTGAACGGCAGAATTTCGTACTTAGTGTAGTCACGTCACCCTAGGGCGTTTTGCCAGAAGAGGAAGTTGGGTGTGTTGAAGGTCTTTGCTGCTCGCTTTGGGGTTGAATCCCCCTTTCGGTCTATGATCGGAGCTTAGAGGTTTTTCCAAACTGTTGTGTCACTACCAAATCATTGTGTATGTACGCCAACGTATGTAACATCATCCAATTCACATCTAGCCCACAATATGTCCAACGAGTATAACTGAAACGTAAACACTGGCACTCCCCCAAGTCAAAAGAAAGGTCCGGAAAGCAACTTAAACATGAATTAAGAGTAGTCACCTTGCTATGTACATCGTATCGCTTACTCCTTCTGGGGAGCTTCATCCGCAATCAGGGCCGTAGTATGTCCTTCTTCACGGGCGCGTTGTACTTTCTCGGAATATTTCTTGCCTGCAATAAGCCACCAGCCAAGCTCAATGAGCAAAAAGCCTCCAATAACGACACAGGTGTAGTTCATGTTTGAAACTGTACGACGTCTTCGTTAGCACCTATTTTCTACCGTGTGTGGATGATTTGGGACAAAGTATATTAGAACACATACCTGTCACGGGCATCGCGTATGGGAATGAGAAGAACACAATGGCAAAAATCAGCCAGAGCGCCGAGACGATGTTCACTGTCATGCCCATGAACTGATTCATGGCGAAGGGACCACGGTGCATTGTGCGACGGCGAAGAAGAACGTTGGTCAGGATTGGAACCAAGTAGGCAAGGTTGTTGATGGTCCTGACTTGGGTTAGATTTGACAAGAAGGATATCTCATTCGCTGATGAAGAACATACACAGCAGAACCCATCATAGAGTTAAACGCAGTGCTGGAGCCCAGGTAGATGCAACCCAAAAGGGCAATAATCACACCCACACAGAGCTGTGCGTTGAACGGGGAACCGAGTTTCGGGTGAACACGGGCCCAACTATGGATAAGTAAGCATCATTGCTTAGACATATTGGAGGATTTTGACTGACATTTTAGAGAGCGGAAGACCCTCGTCGCGCGCGAAGGCCCAAAAGACACGACCGGTACCTGTGTCACAGTTAATGGAGGGTTTCTTGTTCCGGGAAAGAAAGCTCACTCAGCTGGGAACCGATCACACAAGGTCCGAGCGCAATCCAAACCATAAACACAAGACCAAAAGCTCCGCCCCTACTTGAGGTTGCCTGGTAGAAAATCTCAGCCAGCGGAAGCCCGGTATGTGTGCTGGCAAGCGAGCTGTAGTTCTGGACAGAGAACATCAGGCTGACCAGATAAGCAACACCAGTGACGAACGCAATGATCATGGTAATAGCTTAACATTGTTAGCTCTTAGTTATGCCGGTAAGGATGATGATAGGTCGCTTACCAAGTCCCAGAGGCGCATTTCTTCCAGGCTATAGAATACGTCAGCGGACGGCTACTGCGGCACCGTGCATGGTGACTTACATTAGGCATTTCTTCGGTAATATGCTGCGTATATATTAGCACAATCGTCGGCATTTGTTATCTGTCACGCGGAACATACCGAGATACCATCAAGCCCTCCAAGAGCATACAGAGGGTTCACAAGACCCGTGATAAAGCAGATCACATTATTATCCCAGCCAGTATTATTGATCCAAGTCTTGAAGACGAATGTGGTGTCGTTATGTACGGGCGCCGCAGCAGCAACCGTGACCATCGTAATAAGCCAAGCCAGTTGCAAATAAACCACTGAATTTCGTTCAAGTTAGACACAATGCGGAGGACCGAGTCGAAAGAGCTAGCTCACAGGAGAATTTATTGATGAGCGGAATGAAACGGTTTCCAAACATGACGATGGCAGAAGTAACGATGTTCAAAATCTGGTATGCGACGAAAACCATCCAAGGTTTAATTACCAGACCGTCATGGTAAAGAGCAATCAATGCCATAGCGGTCGTTGCGTAGATCAGATTGGTGGACGCAGTGGTGAAAATCCCTGAGTCCGTTAGAATATTCAACCCGATTCCTTGTGGCTAGTGTCCTCACAGCCGAAAACCGTGCTCCATCCTGTCGCAAAACTGAGCGCACTGTTGTAGCGGCGAGGGGCGATCGCCGCAATCCAATGATACATTCCTCCTTCGGTCGGGTACGCGGACACAAATTCAGCCAGAGACGCTCCAACGAAGGACTGGAGAATAAAGACGAGGATGAAGCCATAAATTACTGGGAAGGGGTCAATTGCGAAATGCTTCATGGGGAGGGTCGGGTCGACATACGTGCGCCAGGGCCACCAGCATTAATGGCTGTGATGAGACCCAAACCAAGACCTGTAACCGTATGAGATAGTTCGTTCTATACCCAGAAGCAATGATGCGCGTACCGGTCCAGGAGATAGTGCAATTGGCCGCAAGGCCGATCAAACTCCATACCGAAAAATGGCGCGCCAATTCCTGCTTGTGGCCTATGACCCCGTTAGAATCCAGGATGTCCTATCCTCGGAGCCATCGTTGAAAAGAGGGTTACCCACCCATCTGGGCTAAACGAAGTTCATCTTCATTCTGGACCTTGATCACGTCGGAGTCATTGCCGCTGTCGGAAACCCGTGCCTGCGGCATCTCGGCGGTGATCTCAGGGGCTCCCATGTTGTGGTGTACGGAGTACAGGGGCGCGGTTCAGGGACGAAAAAAGTGGCGGAAACATGCAAGAAGAAGGCGAAATATCAATGCGTCCCGGTCGCAAGACCTTTCTTAAGCCTTGAGCGATGAACATGCCATATCTTCTCTATCGACGCGCGTGCAGCTCTTATCGCTCCATGCCGGGCATGCTGGTGGATTTCGCCGGGTTTGCCGGACTGATAAAAGGGGAGGGTGAAGCGGGGACAAATCACAGCGCGACGGGATCAACACCACCTAGAGTCAAAAGTACAGAGTACAACTGGTCCACCGGCGATCAATGCCTTTCTCCGGCGCAGTCGAAGGAGACGGTGACTCGGCGCTGTGATGCTCCAAGTGAGTTACATTGTTGAGAGAGCTGATTAGCTCGATAGTAACCTTGATCAGTAACTTTAGCATGTGTATCTCGAACCAAGATATTGGGATATTACAAGCAGAGGATTGGTGTTGGCAGCTCAAGAATTCACGCAGGGTTCCCACCTGCACATGGAATACATAAATCTCTTTCCTCAACCGCCCATTGTCGGGATGGTGATATGAACGGGAAGGGAGGCACTACTTTCCACGCAGCGATGGCGGAGCCAATTTTTCAGTCAGTGGCAGGATCGAGACTAGGCGGCCGATGCAGCAAGGATGCCGGCAGAATTAAATTCCGGGATGAGTTGTTGTCCTGTCCTGCAGGAAGCCGACCGGGGGGAATAGTATGAGGAGCCGAATGCAGCGGGTAGGATGCCAAAGGAGATGCGATCGGAGGCGGGGATGAAGACTCACCATAAGAAAGATTGACTTGGGGTAACATAGTTAACGGCCGCAGAATTGACCATTTGACCCTGCAAGTACAAGACACCCCACGTGGCGCTTAGTACTTTAAGTCGACGAAAAAGTCTTAACGACTCGCCCCTAGCGTCAACAAGCAGACTCAAAAATACCTCCAGTCTCTAGACAGTATCCAGCAATGATTGGTGTAAAAATAGAGCGAACGATTAAGGCTAAGCTAGCCAGCTAACTAACCGATATGATTTGATTATGGCGCAAAAGCAATTAAATCGGTCTATTGAGATGAGTTCTTCACTCAACAGCCTAGAAAGCGAGGACGGGTCAGCACTAGACCTTAAGGGAACGCCAAGGGTGTACGGAGTACAAATAAAATGCGACACGCCCACAGAGCTCTCTGAGTAGCCCCTGCCTGTTTATGCGGTCAGATTTACGAGAGTTAATTATTTTTTTATTCCAAGTTACGTCCGGTGGGTGGAAACCTGGATAATTACCGCCCAGAAGTATTCCCAAACCCCCGCGGGGAGGCAAGCACGTCTATGTTGCTTGGAATAGCATCAATTCGACTTCCGACTAGGCGACCATTACCAATTCACTCGAGATCACAGTTGCGGATGCTTCTTCACGAAAGCTTTCCATTGCTTGGCTATAGAGCTGAACTCTTCCACATGGCCATGACATGGCCACCGCTTGAGTCTTTAGCAACGTAGCTTGTCTTGCCTGGCTAGCGCGAGGGCTGAGAAATACCACATTATGAACGAATGACAACATAGCGTGATCGACCCACAATTCAGGGTCCAATGCTTCTGTGCCCGCCCCGCCTATAACTTTCGTCAGTCTACACAGCTGTGAGGGCATCGCACACAAAAAGAGCGCATACTAATAGGATTAAGCCCATACTCCAAGGCAAACCGTAGGAATGCGCGCTGTACCAGTCAACGCAAAGGCTCGTACTTACAGTGGCCGTTCATTAGTATTTGGCACACAGTACTTCCGCCCACTAGCAGAAGTATAAGTGGGGCATGTAGCATGTTCTAAAGACTAATGAACCCTGGCTGTAGAGGGGTCCTCACGGGTTGCTTGGCTACGCCGTACTCCGTACATTGCCTTGTTGCAGGTCAAATCTATGTTGAAATGTTCGGGTGCCAGATCACCCCGACCGTGCGATACAGGAACAGGATGTGTGCCACGCCGTTCGAACGCAAGATAGGATCACCATGTTAAATCTTGGCAACACAGGGCAGGGTTGGGAGTTGACAAAGACACGGTAAGACGCATGTCTCAAGTCTCGGGGGTCAGCTTCCACAGTGGGTTCTGGAAGCCGACTCGATCGCCAAAGGTTGCTAAGCTCGGGCGAGTGGGCCGGATCGCTGGCCAATCTCAGCAGGATGTTCACCTGGGCTGAAACCACCAGACCTATTCAGAGACAACTAATAAGCCTGAGAGGGAGGGAGGTTGCCGTACAGTTGCATTATTATTTCACTCGATGTGATTTTACATTGCTGCTAGGGCCCGCGAGGCCGTGCGTCAAAATTCTAAGCTACCAGTCCTGCCAAGAGCCTTCCCATTCTCTCCACCTCTCTGCAGGGATCTAGTTTTCGCCGTATGGTAGCTAAGCTTACCAGCCAAGTTCTTGTATCTATAGATGCCCAGGCACATTGATGGGTAACCTTCTAAGCCAGAGTTATACTCCGTAGATGTGTACACTTTGCCCCAGATGCCAAGCTTGGAGCGGTCTAAGCTCTTAATGGGATCCCAAACTTTCATAAGGGCCAGAAGGGGAGGGACAGTGCGCCCGGGGACGATAGTGCCAAGGCCCGCGGGTGCCAAATCCAGGCGGCTCAGCCTTCAGGCCGGAGACCGTACGGAGGAATAACCGAAGAAATTATTAATCGGGAAGGCGGTGCGAGATTTTCGCCCCACCGCCTGCTAAAAAAATTCCTGGTTATTTTTGACGGAGCCGCAGCCCTTTTTGAGCAATTGATCGTGTGCCCAATGACGGCTGTCCCCGTCGGCCTCATCTGTACGTAGCTGTGAACTATTGATTGGCAACGATGTAGTGTGCGCTGCTAAAGGAAATTATCCACCGCTATCCACATTCCCGGACCAGAATGGCCATTAAATCACGGACTGATCGCCGAGTGGGTTGGGGGTCTAGGCGGGCCATGCAGCGGTGACCACTAGTCAGATAGACTCATGTCAGACCCTGGGACCCATTTGGACCCTGCATTCTGGCCACGAAGGAACATCGCCAGATGACGCGAGTTCTAGCCTCTAGGATCGAGGGGTAGACGGCAGAAAGGTTCGTCCAACATCAGCGCCACGTTGGGGTGCAGGGAACCAGTGAGACTAGACTGGGGAAACGAGGCACGGAGGCGTCGGACCGCTGCCAGTATCCGAAGGGTCTCGGATGAAGAGTTGCCTGTTCCGTGCGAGCCAGACGACTCCCCAGGGTCCCCCTCTGGACCAATTATATGCCTCGCAGACCGTGACATAACGAGGTTAGGTAATAGGAACAAGTCCTTTGGTCCGTCCTTAGCGCCTCCCCACAGCCCATTTGGGCAAAACACCGCATGACCTTGAAGTCTGAGATGCGCTGGATGAAACCCTGGGCTGGGGCCCGCAGCTCCACAAGCAATTCCGACGCCGCCTAGCCAACTGTAGCAGACTGAGGCTTCGGAGGCGCCGTGCGTTGGAAGCGACTGGTCCCACGCCTTTTTCCCCATGTTCTATTTATTATTAACTCGTTCCGCTCGGTCGAGCCGGACTCTCCGAGGGATTTTCTGTTCTGTCTTCTTTCGATGATTTGCGTTCGCTCGACGTATGTACAGCATTAGGGCCAGTTGTATGGCTTCTCTCATGTCGGCTTGATCATATATTCTCGCCAACATGTTACATCATTCTAATTCTCCGTGGAGCACAATGCTCGGGGGCTCCGGCAGCCAGACAAAGGCTTATTTTAGCTTCTTTTGCTGTGCCCTGCCCGCGCGTGCCTTCGTGGCAGCCACAAATTGGGACTCTTCAAAAAAGTTTTGGTTTAGCTTCCTGACTGTCGCGACTTTCTGCGCCAAGGTCCTCCACATCTACGCTCACTGCGACTCCATCCCAGCCACAAAATTGATGCTATGGGGACCTACATTCTTTGTGCAGGACGTGATTTTTCTGTTGATAGCGTTTGCACTCACCCGCGCCTTCCAGCCAAAATGGCTGCGCTATACGGCTTCTACGGCGATCATCTTCGGAACGTAGGTTTTGTGTGCTCCAGAATGAATGCTGGTAACGCGTAAGACATGGCTGACTCTTGTCCCATTTTCCATAGTCTCATTCTTTCCACGATGGCCGCCGCCAATACCTCGTTCTATATCACCACCGGCGCCGAAATTCACTGGCGACAAGCAGGAGGCTTCAATCGCGACCCAGCCTCGATCAATACACTGCTTACCGGATTGACCGGTCTGGTCATCGTCGAAGTCCTATACATCGTTGGAGCGGCCCTATCCACACCTTGGATCTACAACGGCATGGAATGTATGATCTCGACCTGGGGCTCAATTGTGAGGGCTATGTTCAAGCCTATCGCTCCTTATGCGACAGCTGGCCTCAACATGATTCTAAGCCGCTGGGGGAAGGGCAAAGTTTTCCAAAATTTGAAGATCTACGAGCCGGTGCCGCTAAGTGACTACGATGAGGAGGAAGACAAGGCCACGCCCAGTGGTGCGCCATTGCTCGACCACCCGCCGCGGCCATTTGATAACAGGGGCTGGAAGATTGACTGGAAGAAGAACATCGACTGGAAACTGTGGCTGAAGCGCGCTCTGGTGGTTTTCCCTACCGCATATATTTTCTTCGTGCGCTTGCTTCGCCCATCAGTGTCGTCCTACTGGTTCCTGTCTCAAACTGTCATTATCTCCCCATTCGCAGGTGTTGATTCGGAAAGCAAGCTGTCACATATGTTCAAGGATCGCACCTTGGACGGTAAGACCACTGCTCTCACTGCGGTGCCCGAATTCGACTGGTTTCCCGAGGGCAAGTTCGCCGGCTTTCGCGACTGGGAGCTGGACAATGGAAGGAACAGACACTCTCACTATAACTCGACTGAGGATCCTCTGCACATCTCCAACCTGGGCAAGGATATCCTTCAGCCTATTAAAAGGGCCCTTGATTCCGGCGATGTAAAGATCAAGCATATCTTTGTTTTCAAGATGGAAAGCACTCGCTATGATGTCTTCCCTCTCCGAAATGGAACTTACTTGTGGGACCGAATTCAAAAGTCCTACAAGAACAAGAAGGTCCCGAAGGATGTTCGCGATCGTCTTGTCAACCTCACTCGCACTGCCGAGCGTTTGACCGGATCCCCATCGAGGTTCCACAGAAATGAGACGATCAAGCCTTATGGAGGTATTAACCTGCACAATTCCTACACCGGTGGAACATTCACTCTGAAGAGTATTGAGGCAACTACTTGCGGTGTCGAGCCCCTGGTCGTCGATTTCAACCATGAGTACGAGCACCATATCTACCAGCCCTGCATGCCTCACATTCTCGACATGTTGAGCGCGACAACCAACAACAGCAAGAGCGACGATTTCACCAATTGGCCATGGCGTCCTGCATTCATGCAGTCCATCACCGATAGCTACGACCACCAGGACCGCCTTACTCCCGCCATGGGCTTCAAGCCTGAAAACACCGTGACTGTTGAATCTATTGATGAGGAGCGTGCCAACGACACTTCCTGGACCGCTGAACAGTTCAACTTCTGGGGCTATCCCGACTCTTCCCTTGCTGTCTACTTCCGCGAGGCTATCGAAAAGGCTGAGCGCGACCACGAACGTCTTTTCCTGACTCATCTTACCGGCCTTACGCACCACCCCTGGGACACGCCGAATGGAACATACGAGGAACTCATTGGTTCTCAGACGAACTCATTCGGTGGCAAGAACGACGGTCTGAACCGCTATCTCAACACCGTTGGTGTTAATGACCGCTGGTATGAGACATTTTTGGACATTCTGGAGGAGACTGGCGTTGCCAATGAGACCCTTATTGTCATGACCGGCGATCAGTAAGTTCCGATGTTGAGCCGCCATTGACAACACGTGCTAACGTTCTAAATAGTGGTCTCTCGCTTCCTGAGGATGGCAACGTTACTCCCTACGACAATCCTCTGGAGACCAACTTCCATGTTCCGCTGGTTTTCGTGAGTGTTTTGCCCAAACACAAGTATGATAGGGTTATTACTAACATAAAGCTGTACAGGCCAACCCTCGTCTTCCTGTTATCCAACTCAATGCCTCTGTCTCCTCAGTCCAGATCCTACCCACCATCCTTGATCTTCTTAAGAGCTCCGGCTCCCTCGACGAATACAGCACCCGCGCCGTTGGCGATCTTCTGCCTATGTACGAGGGCCAGTCTATCCTTCGACCAATCATTACCCACAACGACAAGACGTCCTACTACCAATTCACCGTCATGAACACGGGCGGCTCCATGGTTGCCATGCGATCAGCCGATGCTCCATACCGCCTGATTGTCCCTCTCGTCCCCGAAGTCGAATTCCGCTTCACCGACGTCAAAAAAGACCCCCAGGAAGAGAAGGCCATCAAAGCGTTCGACTTCAAATCCCTAAAGAAGACCGTGAAAGAGGATCATGGTGAAAAGGCTGCCCAGTGGGTGCACGATGCCGCCCGGGCCGCTCAGTGGTGGGTTACCGACAACTGGAACCGCTACGAGTACAACCCGCGGGCAGCGAAGAAGCCCCACCAGGTGTGGCCTAGCTCTCACAAGGGTCCTTGAATAAAACGTCTCAACGACGGGACACAACACACACGCCATTCGGCAACATCTTATATATATCACTTTGTACGATTACGGACTCTGGGAACTGTTCTGAAGACCCTGACCAGCATGGCGCACGGCACATACTCGGATTTATTTTGTATATATTTATTAGCATTGCATATCTGGGGTTAAATATTCACTAATGATCATATCTGGGAGTTGTGAGCACGCTGTTCATAAATCTGCTGTTGTTGAGGAAGTGACCGCTCCTTGCATGCAGATCTCAGATCTCTTTACGGAGTTAGCGTTGGCTGACATGTAAAAGTTGACTAGCCGAAGCCCACCGCGCTATTCCCGGCACCGATACCGCCATCATACAAAACAAAATAAGCAACTCTACTGTACAGTAGGCAGTTTGCCCCATTGATTTGACAATACAAAACCCGTGAAGCAATGCCCCACTTCAGAATTTCGAGCGCGCTGCAGGTATCTCCAAAAGCAAGCCCCGCTTTCGCCTGATGAGTCTCCTGCATGCGACCCTGGCGAAGGAGCTGATCCGGCGATCGTCGTTCATGCAACTATGCCCCGCTAATCTCCCATTCAGCCTTTCGCCCTCAGTCCCGGCTCAGCTCTCTCATCTCATTCCAACTCCCATCGCCAAACATGGAGACCTCACATGTGCCATGGCTTTATAATCTTCGTTCTTCGGAAACTTTTATTATAATCGTGGTATCTATTGCCATCTTCACTGTAAGACGACCAATTCCAACGCACCTGCGGTCGCTAACCTTCCCGACCAGGATGTTTTCATCTATGGCATGGTATGTCCGCCGGGAGCCCCGACATGACAATTCACCGACTTCCACTCACCGAGACAGATTGTGCCCATTGTTCCGATTGCGCTAGTTGAACGTGCCGGTGCTCGACCGGAAGATGGTACTGTTATCAAGTACATGCATGATCTGGTCGGCTGCTAATGGTTTATAGCTCAATCGTGGATTTCAATCTTGTTGGCTGTGTACGGGGCCACCCTCCTCGTGGGATCGCGTGTGTTTGCGGAAGAATCCTCATGCTGTGCAGCAAGCTGACCGTTGCAGCATTATTCGGGTATTTTGCGGACCGCTGTCGACTACGGAGACTCCCCTTTATCGTCGGCCTGGTTGCGCTGGGGGCCTCCACAGGTCTTTTCGTCGTCGCTCGGTCGCTGGCAGTCCTCATTATCGCTAGGGGTCTGCAAGGCCTATCTGGTGCGGCGGTGTGGGTAGTAGGCCTCGCCATCGTGGCCGATAATGTACCACCGGAGCGTGTTGGGGAGGCCATGGGCCATACTACGATTGCTTTGACATGGGGATTCGTTCTGGGGCCAACTATCGGCGGTGTGATGTACGAGAAGCTGGGATTCTACGGGACCTTCTCTATCCCTGCTAGTTTGATTGTCGTGGATGTGGTGCTGAGATTTGCTATGATTGAAGAGTCAGGTAAGAAGCCTACAGATTGGCACAAGCTCCCAACATCTTGCTAACATCTATAGGAGCTATTCAACCCGACAAGTCAGGGTTATGCTCGCCGGCCGGTGAGCATCAAAATCACCCTTACGGCACTTTTGCAGCCCGAGAAGATGAATACTCTGGATATTTTTCGTCTGGCGAGGATACCGCCAGCGAGGAAGCTTCTCTTATTAGAGCCTCTAGCCCTTGCTTTGAGCATGCTCGCATGACCAATGAAAAGACGGCTACGATTTTAGATCTTCTCCAAAGCCCACGTCTCCCCCTTGCATTGGCTGCGACTGTTGTGATGGCAGTTAATTTCTCGGCCTTGGAAACTGTACGGTTTCACCTATCCTGTCATTTCTTTATTGCCTCTGCAGCAGTTCAAGTACTAACCTTGAACCATTATCCCAGACACTCCCCTTGTTCGTCATGGAGACATTCAACTGGTCATCCAGCGGGGCTGGACTCATCTTCGTGGCGTCATCTGTTCCAAGTTTTGCAGGAGTATATATCGGCAAATGTATTCGGCACACCGGCGCCGGCACCCCCGGAGCATTTGCATTCGCGGTCGCGGCGTGTGCTTGGGTTTTGATGAGACTAGTGAAGAATAACACAACCGCAGATATCGCCCTTCTAGTCGCACTAGTACTGGTTCAAGGGCTATCAATTGTGATTGTGGAAGTTGTTGCAATGACAGAGGTGTCGCAAGCGGTCACGGATTACGAAGCCGAGTTTCCTGGTGCCTTTGGCGACAAGAGCCCCGTTGCGCAGGCATATGCGCTGTTCAATATGGCATTTGCAGGAGGCCAACTCCTCGGGCCGATTTTGGCTGGGGGCATGCGCGTCTGGGCTGGCTGGGGTACCATGACACTGATTCTCGGGCTACTTTGTGGCATGATCGCTATACCTTTGGGTGTGTTTAGTGAGGCACCATTAAGGACCCAAGAAAACGCGTGGGAAGACGGTGTCTAACGCCAGATCTTCAAGTACTAAGTCGCATGATGAGATAGCGTGAATACTCCCTGCCTTTCCGCCAAAAGATAGATGTTCGCATTTAGTCCCCATGAGGATGGACTGTTTTCCAAACGTTCCCGGGTTGCTTATCTTCAGTCGTTGGGTACTCTTTACCCACTGGTTACTTTTTCAATTAGAGCAGATCGAATTGCTGGACTCTGTTTTTCTCTGCTGTGGATGATGTTCAATCGAAAGAAATAAATGAATTCTTGAATATATGCATGAACTAAACAGGGGGGGGGCGTAGGTCTAAGTTGCCAAAGCTATCTTAATTGTTAATCATGGCTTAGAAAGTTTGTGAGTTTATGCCTTCTTCTTTCATCTATAATCTTGTAGTTTTATACATATTCAGAATATGAAGGGCCTTTCTGAAACTAGAGGTTATAACTAGGATCTAGAACTTATCCTAGAGCAAACAGCCATTTCACCCAGGTAGAGACCGGGCGTTTTAGATAGGTTGCCACAGAGGGCCACCATTGTCAGCGGTGTTATGTTTCGTTTCTGGTCCCCTCGAAGAGAGGCCTAGAACGATGATTAACGGCCTCCGCAAAAGAATTCACAATATGATTAACCAAACATTATACAAGACAAAAGGGGGCCATATCCTAGGCGAAATGACAACTAGACCAAAAATGCACCAAAGGCAACTTTCTTACTCTATACCGTCATTTATCGCTCTATCAACTACTAAAGGTCGTATCAATACCAGTAAGGTTTCCTGGCCTTCATTACAGCCGATCACGCGATCTTGTTCCCATAGTGGCCTAGTCGTCCCCGCTACGAAAAGGTATTATACATCTACGGGGAATAGTCAATCCCATTGAAATAGGGACAAAAACGAGGTGCTCCCGTGGGTCTTGGGACTGTGGAACTGGAGAACCCTCATGAGGGTGGGTCATGGCCCGCACAGAGAAACAATGGTGGGCCCACTGAAGTGTTGGGGGCTAGACCACGCGCCAAAAAGCTTAGATATTGTTTCTTCTAAACCTGGGTTTGACATTGTGTGACTTACCTATCATAGCTATTGCCAATTGTATGCTCTTTCTTGGCTCGCATGGACCACCACCGGATTCGGCGATGGATAGTTGCTGTTTGCGGCATGGTTCGTTTGTTCCTTGGCTCCGTGCTCTTGCCACCACCAATCATCCTAGTATTATCTCAAAGTAGAAACAGCCTTAATTGATGATGGGTCCGTATGGTACTTTGTTTCCGGCCAGGCTAGATCATTCGTGATTCATCTATATTTTTTACTTCTAAAGAGAACTGGTCACAATACTACATTGTGATTCTAGGTTCCCGGCTCGGGGTCACAATACCTGAATCTATCATCAAATAATGACACAATGGATGGAACAATAGGAACTCTAATGATAGTACCAAAAATGTGCAATGTTGAACCTGATGATTGAATTTTACCTACGGCACTAACAGGTCAGACTGAGGGTCCAAGACAACTCAACCTGAATTTTGAATACGAACTTAGAAGTCAGGCGATATACCATGCTCCATTAGGACTCCACCTACGAATATAAAAGACTGCTTTTTTCGCTTCGCAGAATTCAAATAGTAATCCCACATTCTTTGGTTTCACCAACAGCCAGACCTAATAACTCCAAGTTCATTCTTCATAATCTACAATGGGGTACGACGACTGGGTTGATCTACACATGACGGATGCACTACCTGGTTTACCCATCCAGGTGAAAAATGCAGAGCTCCAGTGGTACTCACAATAGTCCTACCGCATGTGGCGTGCAGGTTTAACTTGATCACAGGGGAAAATTCTATGCCGACGGGAACAAAGATCACGAGATCACCCCAGAGCAAGTTGATAGCACAGTGCTTCCTGCCAATTCTTCGGGTCCTGCAGACGTCTGGAGTTGTGGCAGAGAAGATGCTCCCTCGGGAAGCGAAGGAAGTTTTGATTTAATTGATCAAAATTACGGCAACACTATCTGTACCCTGGAGTGGAACTGCCCATATGAGCCTGGGAAAGGAAATGAGAATTGGGTCAAGACAACAAACCTAGATACGGACTACAACGTCACTATCGCCGGGAACTACCATAAGAACAAAGGGACCTTGAAGAAAGTTGATATCACCGTCGCAGCTGCTTGATATTATCGCGGGCTGGTTATGGGCTACGATTGGGATGAATTGGGAAAATGTTAAGCAAAATAGGAGGGGAGGGAACGCAACTTCTTTATCGCATTAGTGATATTCAATATGAACTTTTTGGTGGATTATATCATTGTAAGTTTAGTGACTTATTACACACTGTAGTGGGGGATCTACAAAAGTATGCGATGGAATATTCCGGCCCTTCCAAGCACAAAATCGGGGATAATGCCTATCAACGGTGCGTTTTAGGAATATAATACCATGGGAGTAGCCTAGAGGCCTTCAAACGTGAAGATCAACTGCCCTCGCTCGAGCTGGAAGATCATTGGTGCTGTGTAAAGACTCGAAAAAATAGATACAGCCTCATAATTTAGGTGTCGATATTTGAGTGAGGGGAACCCGACGCGACAGCCGCAGCGCTTTGCTTGTACTCCACCTCCGTCCACACCAAGACGCCATCATTTGGCTGCCCTTTGTGGCTATCAAAATGGCCCAGAATGAAATTTACTGTGCAATCTGTGGAGCTGGCCTTTCGATACCACTGTTCAGAGCAGTTGAGAATGAAGGACCAGGAGATACCCGACCCGACCCTCGAGATATGAACTGGCTGGAAGACGTTCGCATTCTGTATCGGAGCATACCATATAAAACCTCTATCAACACGTCGTACAAAAGGTCAGAGCTAACTGATCCCATTTTCAGTTGCATTGGATTATGCAGGGTCTCCTCAGAAACTTACCCACTTCTAGAGCGAGGCTTTCATCATTTGTGACACGTCGTGACAGTGGAAGATTTGATGTGACAGGATGCCTCCCACATGATGAGTTTACGAATGAAGATCCGGATAGCCTTGGTGTGTTTTCCCCGTATGTATAATGAATGTCAACCCGCCACGATATAATTTGGTGCTTATAATTTGTATAGGTACGAAGGCGATTCCTTCTTCTCCATTCCCATTCACCATGCTTGCAACGGAGTGCTGGCAAGGTTTCTGGACCACGCGGTGGGCACTAACCCAACCATCTATCTCGAAGTGCTCTTCAAGACCCTGAAAAGCTTCCACAACGCAGCGTCCAGAACCTGCCTGGGAAAGATGAAGTATGGCAAAATTGCCAATCAGCAAGGCCAATTCTGGTACCCGACAGTTCGAACCAAGGAATATGTGGTCGACCCATTTTTCCCGTCCTCTGAGTTGATCGCGTATTATGAAGATCTGCCCCAGTTACGACGAGATCATGCGACAAGCGGTGAAAGCAAAGTTGACTATACGGAAGCCAGGTCAGGCAGAGGCCCATTTGCAAATCTAGCACCAGAGCTTTTGATGATGATTCTTATGCATCTTACCGTGAAGACAATTGGTCGCTTGAGGGTTGCTAGTGCCGATATCGCACAGCTACAGTTACCCAATAGCTTCTGGAAACAGAAACTCATGCTTGACATGCCTTGGCTTTGGGACTTTCCCTGTCTAAGTGCTGGGCAGACCTTGGAAGGGTTGGACTGGCTTCAAATCTACAAGGATCTTTACCTGGGAAGCAAGCCCAGCAACAGCCGCCCCTTCCTTACTCTAGTCAACCGTCGACGGATATGGAGCATTTGTGAGCAGGTTGCACCACGTTTCGATCAATTCCAAAGAGAAATGGAAATGATGGCACAGCCTGCTGCGTACGCAAAGGGACTATAGAAGCGGAGACCGGACTGAATCAAGCCATTTAGCGAAATATTGTTAGAAAAGTAGCCTCGGGGCCAAGGGATAAGGCAACAGAAAGAAAATCCGAGATGTATCAACGTTGGGGCTTAAATATATCGCCTGCAGCGTACGCGGAACCTTCCACCAGGAACAAGAAGTGATGTGAAGTTTCCGTGGATGGATAAGGTGATAGCGAGCAGACATTCTCAATGCGGCGCCGCTCTGGTGATATTCCTGGCGGACTTGGGCCTTCTAAAAGACGCGAGAGGAATCGTAGCAAAAGAGACTCGGACTGCAATCATCCCATGCGGCGGCAGTAGCGGGGCCTCGGGTAGAATGTACCTGTCCGCTCCACAGTGGTACCTCCCAAGTTCAAAACCAAAGACATGAAAAAGCCCGGGGTCTGATGTTTGCAATTGGTCTCATTTGTGTGAATCTTGGGCATAATTTTGCAGGCGTTATCCGAAATGGCCAATTGCAAGTTCGGGGGTGGTTCCGGGCGTGGACCGTATGAGGCGCCACTGTACGGGGTGGATGGGTAGATGGGAAATATCACATCTTCGAAATGGCCGCTATTTGTTGCCGTACCTTAGCTTTCATCTGCTGTGCGAAACCCAGGAGAGATTCATCCGGCCACCTCCGAAGAACAGCCCCTGGATTCCAGTTGTGGGGTACGATAGGAGTTGGCCTGTCGGATGCAACATGATAACCTGATAAGAGCCGGCGCGGGGGCGTGGGAGGGGTAATTTGTACACACCGCCGGCACCCTATTTATTGAGTCTCACGTCCAATGCGCCGCAATCTTATCAAGGCAAAAACGCAAGCTTCCGTTCTTCACTTGTCAACGCGATGGCCGATATTGAGTATTTGAAGAGCCTCGAGGCCGTGCGCGAGAGAGCTCACCTGGTCCTGGGCGCTGCCGAGAAGGACGAGCTCGCTCATTTCAGCTACGATGCGGCCCGGATGTCTGAAGCTGCGGAGTTTGTGACCAGTGTCATTACTGTAGGTGTCCACGAAGAGAGGAGTGTCGATGAACTTATCGCTGATGAAGCAATTGCAGCGAGACTTCGGCCCGGACCGATTTGACCAGATTCCCCCGCACGGCCGATGGCAACACTTCGACGTTGGTGGTGTTTCTCGCGTTGACAACCTGATCAGGCAATGGACGGATAAGGGGCTGGCCACGCTTGAAATAACGCGTCGTTTGGTAGACCTTTTCTTTGTCTCGGTTCTGCTAGATGCTGGAGCTGGCGATGTCTGGAAATTCACCGAGCCGAATACTGATCAGGCGTACGGTAGAAGTGAAGGCATTGCTGTTGCAGCCTTGTACATGTTCAGAGACGGTGCTTTTTCAAGCAGTGCGGGAGATGACGTTGAGTTTGTCGATGGTGAGGACCCCGAGTCGTCTGAACTTCCCCTCAAAAGCGGTGGCGCTCACCGCATTACCAGGACACGCTCTACTCGCTCTCGACACTGCTAGATTTGAGCGGCATTTTCAAATCACGGGCGAGAACCCCCTCGTCGGAGCGGCCTCTCGCGTCAGCCTCTTAAACAGCGTAGGCTCTTCTCTCCTGAGTCTTCCGAAATTCTTCGGGGCGAATGGTCGACCAGGGCAACTCGTCGGTATGTTGATACGCCATCTTGATTCGTTTCTTTCATTAATTGATTGCCATATTGCTAGATTATTTGGTGCAGCAGGCCGATCAATCGCAGCATTTGGACTTCCTTATGCTCTGGACCATCTTACAGGAGACACTCCTGCCTGCGTGGCCTAAAAACCGCACCCGAATTGCGGATGTTCCAATTGGCGATGCCTGGCCCCTCCAGGTTCTCTCGAAGCTCAGTTCGGGGAAGCCAAGTGAAAATGGAACATTGCACATTGCACCGTTCCACAAGTTGACCCAGTGGCTGGCATATTCACTTACGGTGCCTTTCATGCGTGTACTCGGCCTGCAGTGGGAAAATTTGGAAAAGGGCACAGGCCTTCCTGAGTATAGAAATGGCGGCTTATTTGTGGATCTCGGCATTCTCAAGCTCAAGGAAGAAACGTTGAAGGCAGGGTTGGCCTCATCCGAAAAAGAGCTGCCAAGCTATGAAGCCACCAGCGATGTGATCGTCGAGTGGAGGGCAATGACTGTAGCGTTGCTGGATAAGCTCCATGAGCTTGTGAGTGCTCGTTTCGCGGGCCAGGGGGTCAGCTTGAGCATGCCACAAATGCTGGAAGCTGGTTCTTGGAAAGGAGGTCGGGAGCTGGCAGCGAAGTTTCGCCCCGACACGAAATCAAGCCCGATTTTGATAGAAGGCGACGGTACATTGTTCTAGGAGTATCAGCGTGTGTTAGAAATGCAAAATTCATGAGATGAACCAAATTTCCCGGACATTTTTCATTCGTGTAACACTAAAACCATGCGATTTCCGCTTTGACGTCTTTGTATTGATGGAGCTTGAAGCTGCTTCAGCCGTATCTAACATTTTTAGGTCCCTCCCCAAACCAATCATCTGTCGCAAGTGATTCTTCTGGGATCGCATAGTTGACAATGGTGCTCTTTGTCGTCGTGTATGCGTGATAAGCGTCGATTCCGTTTTCACTTCCAACGCCACTTGCCGCCTTCGCACCTCCCCAGGGACTACTGGGGTCATTGCGATGATGGGTGTTCACCCACACAATGCCCGCATCAATTTGTTCCGAGACTCGAAAGGCTCGGGAAAGATCCTTCGTCCAGATACTAGCCCCCAGGCCGAACTCAGTGTCGTTTGCTAAATCAATGGCCTGTTGCTCGATGTCAAATCCGACAACAACGACGACCGGCCCAAATGCCTCTTCTCGCCAGAGAGAGGTATTGACAATATTATTGAACCCCTGATGAGATACGAGTACGGTGGGCTCGTAGAAGTAACCCTTGGAAAGGTTAAATCCATCAAGCGCACTCTTTCCCGTCATTCGCTTAGCCCCAATGAGTGGGACGGCCATGCCACCCGCCACGGCGTCGTTGACGAGTCTCTCGACGTTCTGAAGTTGCTTTTCCGAGATCAGAGGTCCCATCATGCAATCCGGGTTGCTTGGATCTCCCATCCGTTTCGTGATTCCCTCCACCTTGGATTTCAGTTTCTGTAAGACGCGATCCATGATGCTGTTGTGCACGACAATTCGCGTGCTGGCGATGCAGGTTTGGCCGCTTGCGATATAACTTCCGAATGCAATTCCATTTACAGCAACGTCAATCTCGGCGTCTTCGAACACGAGCAACGGGGCTTTGCCTCCCAGTTCTGCCGTATATTTGGCCAGGTTTCCGCCCACAATCGACCCGATTGCTCTACCTGCAGCAGTGCCACCGGTGACATCTACCTTTCTGACCAAAGGGTGAGACACCAGGGCCTTGCCCGTGGTTGCGCCATATCCTGGGAGTACACTGAACACCCCTGCCGGGATTCCAGCCTGCCCAAGAACTCTTGCCAGTACCAACGAGGTCAAGGGCGTCAACTCGCTTGGCTTGAGAATGACGCTATTTCCAGCGGCAAGGGCCGGGGCCACCTTCTTTACCGCAATCAGAAGGGGGTGGTTGAACGGGGTGATTTGCACCACCACCCCCAAGGGCACTCGGTCAATAAAGTTGTGTAGCTTCCCGGAAGTGGGAAGGACTGCTCGCTCTTCAACCCGAAGCAGAGAGGCATAGTACTTGAACCATCTCACCAAGGAAGGAACTTGGGCATTCATTTCCTTGATGGCCCTTCCTGTCTGCTTTGTTTCCAGGGCGATCAGTTCCGGTAGAGCGTCCGAGAGCAGTGTTGCGCATTTTTCAAGGACATCGGCGCGATGGTGCCGACTCGCACGAGCCCAAACGCCGGACTTGAATGCGCGCTGAGCGGCAAGGACTGCATGCTCAATATCCTCTTCCGACGCGGCATGACAACTGTCAACATTAGTTCCGAGGCCAAAACTCCGAATTTGATGCGTTCTCACTGCGCAAATATTTCTCCCGTAGCCGGATCTTCAATAGGGATTCTGCTTGCTTCCTTTAGAATGGCCACGATAAGGTCGCATTTGTCACACTCACTGGTCCGGTCCTCCGTTTTGTTCTTTACCGTCCCACCACAAAGGATATGGCTTCGCCATGGTCAAAATTGAAAGAAGATGTCACACTGTACTGGAGGATGAGGGAAGGAGGAGAAATGCAGGGACAATTGGGGCGACCCCTCACGGCCGCATGGAGGTGTCTTTTGATGATAGGCTTATCTCTTGGAGGGGAGGCGGGGTTGCCGACTGGGCCAATCGAAACCCCGACACAATCTTCAAGGGACAGGGCGATAGGACCTCATATTAACCCGGGGATCGGCCCGATTATTCTTCTCTTTGCGGGAACTGCTGTTGACTTCGGTAACGTGCCGTCTACAGTAGACCGCCCGGACTGTGACTATGAGAGACGCCCACCTATTAGCCGACCGCAGTCTTCCTCTGTCTAGATCATCTGCCTAAGAACGGCCCATTCCCTCTTTGATCTTTCCGGTATCAAATAGGAAAGAACCCGAGCCCAATTGTTAAATGGAAGCATTTACAAATGAGAGTGGTTTGATGATTTATCTTGGGTGAATTGTCCATGCCGACCGACAAAGACTCAACAGATATATGTCGATAACAAAGGCACCATGGAAGCCAGCAGGCATTCCTGTTTCCACCCAGAGGCAGATATAAGTGAGAATGCAGACAGAAGTGAAGTACTAGGTATCATTCATAAGTTATTGTCCACTCCCAGAGCGACTGCATTTGACCATCTCGGAGTTCGCCATGTTGGGGTACCCCGCAGTGGGGAGATTGCCCCCGGGGCCCATTACGTCAATTGCATAGATTCAAGATTGCATCGCAGCCCGTCTTCTTGCTTCTTCACCATCCCTCAATCTGCCATTTATGACACGTCGAACCATCCACCTCATAGCATCCCGCAATGCCGAAGCTCAGCGGGCGCACTTTTCGATCTTTGTTCCTGCCGAGGGGGCACCAGACCAAGGAACCCTGATCGAGGCTGTAGGCGCACCGATGGCCGGCTACATGCTGGAATTCCGACGCAACTATTCTCCCACCAACGACGCCATCGAGAACTACGAGATGCTTCCGCTCGGCGAAATTGACTCCGCCAACATCGTCGATGACCCATCGGGCGTGAAGAGCGCGGATGTCAACCCCAGGGATGACCTCGAAGTCGCCGCTTCTCAAGTTCCTACCCCGGGGATCGCCGAAAACTTCCTGGCACCAGTCAACGATGTCAGTACGGGATGATTGCGTGATCTGACGGCATGCTAATGTGAGCTGCGATGTCCAGACTACCAACAAGCGAGACCAGGAGTGGACGATGGAGTATATCCGCCACCTTGTTGGGAAACGCCTTATCGGACCAGAAGCGATCCAGATCGTGCATTCGAAACGAGATCCACCAACCCACGGCCTTGGCTTCCAGCCTAGCCTGCGACGCTCGATCTAACAAAATGGCGGAAGGCGCCATATGAAGATAGTAGAGATAATTCTCCGCTGATGAAATCTGCATATTTCGCCGAGCATTGCGCGGGCGATTTATCGCATCGGTTGATTTATGGGCGCTGTCGACTGGCCGAATCCCATTCAACTATGGAACCACTGCTAGCTTCCGACTACTCTTTTGCGGAAGCTCCCCGTGGTGCGGTCTAATATTCTTGTAGCACTCTCCGACAGGGAAGAGGCCGAGAAAGGTCCATGTAGAATCCAGCTAGAGGTGGGTTCAATGCACAAGCTAAACGAGCTTGCCTTCTGGGAAGAGGTTCAAGGAGGTGACGCACTTGATGCGGAATACAAAGAGAGGAGGGATATTGGAGATATGATCTGCTGTATTAGCGAAGGCCTATTTTGTCTTTCTTTTTGTTCTTCCTTTTGAACATTTCCTGCATTCGACAGCCTTGTCGGGGGTGACAAGCCGGAGCGAGATAGGATGAGGTACGAATACATAGCCGAGGGCTGATTAATGAAGTGCGCACAAAGCATCGTGACGATTGTCAATGCCTGAAGATGCGAATAAACAATTGCCCAAACACGGGACGACATGCATTCTTCAGTGGGACCTTCAAGACTGTACCGCAGTATCCACCCTTTGCATCAAGTGGAACAAAGTCGCCCCAGTTTCCCGCTACAGTAGGACCCCAAAGCGCACCATGCACGACCCAGAAAAACTTGATTTGCACGCCGTTGGCACTAGGGCCAAACTCTGATTTGGCAGGTGTCGGGGAATTTTCGAGCGGGTCAGTCCACGCGGCGTGGAGCAACGGTCGCCCATCGGACGTCATTCACGGCTCCGAAATTGTGACACCAGCCATAAAACAACTGCCACTTGCCCCTTTGAAAACCATAGAAATGAGCAGGGGGGAACCAAAAAGCAGCGGCGAGCTGAATCCCCCACGCTGCCTTGAATTCGCCCCGATGATATCAGTTGCCGCCTGCCATGACTTGTGTGGCTGACGGCTCCACCCAAATAGATTAAAAATTATGAATCGCCCCGATCGATCATGATCTCATCCGGCTGAGACTCCGGTGGCTTTGGGGGTGCTCGACCCTCCCATCCACCAGTCGTGTCGCTGCCGACAGGGGATCCCTTGGCCCATACGATCTAGGTGGCATGCATTGGCCCGTCAGCAGGGAAGGCTCAAGGTAGCATTCGATACTACAACTTGTTTTGCTGTCGCTCATTATCAGCGCCAATGTAAGCAAGAAAAAAGGAAGTAGCGTTCTATATATCGGAAACAGATTTATTCCATCTTGAACAATTCAAGCAGGTATCTCTAGGCAGCAAATTAGACAAATGAAGTCAACAAGTCCCTATTGTAGAGCAGTGGGCAGGGGTGTATATCTGCACCGCCCGACAGCCACAGCCCCAGCCTCTCAACAGTTACATCTGATGTAATGATGATCCCTCATCTTCAGCCCTGGCATGGGACTGGCTACTCCATGCCGCATACCGCACAATCGATGTTCGAGCCTTGCAAGCGAACCAGACATGATATGGTCATGAGCTCCAGTACAGGAACAGTGACAGGGGGTGACAGCGCGACACAATGGAAGGAGGCAAACTAAATGCGGGTCTAATGGAGCAAGGGCCCCTTGTATACGCCTATAGAGCACTCTGATTCGTCCGTGCATGTTTTATCCAAATGGTGCGACATGGCCTGCTTCCGTGGCTCACAACGTGTCGAAAACCAGTCAAGCTCGTCTCTGGCCAGGTCTCCACCTGCCATTCTACTGTATGATACAGCAAGTCATTGTTCAGTACGCGTGTGCTTTGTTCAAACCCAGGTCGGTTAACAGTCCATTCAATATAAGAAGATTTGTCGTTATGGTTGGCAGCATCATCAGCATGTCGAATAGGCTTAGCAAAAGGTCGCAATATAAAATACAAGATATAGTCCTGCCGACTAGAAGTATTTTTAATGTCTTAGAAAATGGGGTTACCACCGTCGCTCTTCCCTGTCATATTAGTATACTTCATACCACCACGTTGTGCTCCACCTCCACCATTCTGCCACGGCCCCGATCTAGCCACACCCCCAATGCAAAGATCCTATTTGCGGTACTGGCTTGCCAGATACAGGGATCGACTGCCTCCAGGCGCCATGCCATTGAATAGCTCCGCTGCCCGACCCGCTATTATGATGCCAGCGATGATTCGAACGGTCGCCCTGTGGCTCTGTGGCTCTGTGGCACCCCCCCCCACCTTCCTCGTCTTGCTGCTACTGGACCGTGCACTATGCACATACTTTGGATCAATCTACAGCTTGATTAACAGGGATTGGAAGGGCCAGGGCTGGCGATGATATCAGTAGCCATGACGTAGTAGGCTCTGTGGAGGTTGTACCTGATGCGCGGCCGCATATATAGATTGCTTGGGGGGGGGGGGGGGGGGGGGGTTGAGGGAGCTCGATGATATCAGAATCCCTGAGTTCATTTAAAAGAGCACCATCTCCACGATACTTTAATACTTCTTTTGAATTCCCATCATTACGAACAACTTTGCATTACCTCAAAACCTTACCTATCACCTCTTTTGCTCTGTACTATATCTTCCCTACCCACTGCCACGATACTACGAAGGTTCACGATATCATTTCCTCCCAGTTACGACTTTTTTCCCCCTTGATCTGATTCAACGACCGGCTGTACTGTTAGTTCATCTCGTGCTACCTGAAAGCTGGATTGTCGCTGACCACAGCCAAAACAGTTAGCGACACAACCAAGCACCATGTCCGCCGTTGAAAAAGCACCTCCCAAGGTCGGCTCGAAGGCCGGCACCCCTGCCAAGCTGCGCAAAGGCTCCGGCTCGAGCGCTGCCTCCAAGCCCAGCGTCCCGGACAGCCCAAGCTCAAAGTCCGCGAAGAAGACACCTCGCAAACTCACCCCGAAGGCGCCCGAACCAATTCGAGATGAAGCGGACGATGTTTCGGTTCCCGAAACCCCCTCGCCGAAATCCAAGAAGAAGATTCCATCCTCCGAACAGCGCCGCCCTGCCTCTCCGCCCGATGATGCTGTCTCCCAGGCTTCAGGGTCTGCTGCCCCTCTGGGAGGAGCCGGCTCTGGGTTGACCAAGAAGGCCGAGGGCCTGGCTGGAAAGGCCCAGGATGCCGCTTCAAAGGGAGCTGAGACTGTCACCAATAACATTCCACTCGACCTCTCTGCGCTGAAGGGTCTCGCCGTTGGTGATGGCGGCCAGGTTTTGGGACAGGACGGCAACCCACTGGGCCAGGTTGTGGAGGGAGATCCCGAAGACCTGGTTGGCCAGACTATTGGAGATGACGGCGAGATTCTCGACGAGGATGGCGATCTCATCGGTCGCGTGGATGTTCTTCACGATGTGACTGACCAAGCTAAAAACATCCCCAACGGTGCTCAGTCGAAGCTTGATGAGACCAAGAATGTGGTCACCGACCTGGCCCAGCTGGAGGGCCTGCCCGTTTCTGATGGCGGCGTGATTAAGAACTCTGCTGGCCAGGTTGTTGGCAAGATCGTCGAGGGTGAACCTGAGGATCTCATTGGGTACACTCTCAACGAAGATGGCGAGATTGTTGATGATGATGGCGATGCCATTGGTCGCGTGGAGCTGCTTCCCATCGAGGAGCAGGAGAAAAACGTCCAAGAAGGTGTCGGAGACGTCACTGAGAAGGCCGATGCTGCCAAGGACGAAGCTGACGATCAGTTCGAGGATGCCCAAGATAACCAGCCTCTTAACGAAGCAAAGGGCGCCGTGGATAATGTCGCGGGCCAGGCCGACGATGCTGTTCATAAGGCTGAGGATGCCGCGGACGATGTGGCGGACGAGGCAGGTGATGCGGCTCCCGATGTCGACGAGACAAAGGACATCGCCGGGGATGCCGTTGACGACGCTGCCGAACAGGCCGGCGATGCCGTGCCTGACCAGGACGAGGTCAAGGATACCGCCGAAGACGCCGTCGAGGATGCGCAAGGCGCTGTCGACGACGCCGCCGAGGATGCCCAGCAGCGCATTCCCGAACTTGACACCCTGGAAGGCCTCACCTGCAACAAGCGTGGCTATGTGATTGACCAGGAAACCGGAAAGCCCGTCGGTGAGCTCATCGAAGGTGACCCCAAGAAGGTGGCCAGACTCGGGGCTACCCTTGACGATAAGGGGCAATTCTGGGACAACCGCGGTAATGTCATCGGTAAGGTTAAGGCCCTCCCAATCGAGGACGACAAGGACGAGGAAGGACCCTTCACCGGTCTCGAGGGCCTCGTTGTTGGCCAGGACGGCTGGATCGTAGACGAGAACCAGACCCGTGTCGGCAAGCTGATCGACGGCGACGCCAAGAAGCTGCTTGGTCGCGGTGTCGACGAGGACGGTGAAATCCTCGATCGCCATGGTAGCGTCATTGGCCGCGCCGAGCGCTATAACGAGCCCGAGCGCGAGGAGGAGCCGGCCCCTGACGTCTCTGTCATGAACGGTCTGCGTTGCAACAAGGCCGGCTACGTGATCGGCCCAGAGGGCTTCCCCATCGGCCGCGTGGTCGAGGGCAACCCCAAGGAGCTCGCCGGGAAGAAAATCGAGGACGGCGAGATCTACGATGGCAAGAAGGTTGTCGGTCGCGTTGAACTTATCCCCGAGGACGAGCTTGAGAGTAAGCCTGAGGGTCCATTCGCCGGCATGGAAGGCCTTGTTGTGAACAAGGACGGCTTCGTCGAAGATGAGGAAGGTGCGATTGTCGGAAAGTTGATTGAAGGTGAGGCGAAGAAACTTCGCGGTCGCTGTGTCGATGAGGATGGCGAGATTACCGACAAGTACGGCAATGTCAAGGGTCGTGCTGAGCCCTATGAGCCCCCAGAGGAGGAAGCCCCCGAAGAAATCGATCTCTCTATCCTCGAGGGCAAGGTCGTCAACAAGAGCGGCAACGTCGTTGATCCAGCCACCGGTGCTGTCTTCGGTCGCATCGTCGAGGGCGATAAGCGTCTTGCTGGCCGCAAGGTTAACGGCAAGGGCCAGATCTGGGGCGACAATGGCCAAGTCATCGGTCGTGCCGAGCTGATCCCGGGCGCCGAGCAGCAGAAGGCCGAGGGCCCATTCTACGGCTTTGACAATGCCGAAGTTGCCAAGGACGGTGTCGTCGTTGCTGGCGGCCGCATCATCGGACGTCTCATTGAAGGCGACGCCAAGCGCCTAATTGGCCGCAAGGTCGATGAGGATGGCGACGTTGTCGACAAGAACGGCAACACCATCGGCAAGGCCGAACGCTGGGAGCCCGAGGAGAAGAAGCGCGACGTTAACCCTATGGCTGGCCGCAAGGTCAACAAGGAGGGTGAGGTGCGTGATGCTGATGGCAACCTCATCGGCAAGCTTACCTCTGGTAATTTGGCTACTCTGGTTGGCAAAACTATCGACGACAATGGCTTCGTGGTCGACAACGATGGCAACAAGCTTGGTGAATGCACTCTTTTGGAGAACATTCCCCAGGAAGAGCCTGAGGAGGAGGGACCTACTGCCGAAGAGCAGGAGGCTCAGGCCAAGGCCGAAAGCGACCGCCAACTGGCCGAGAAGATGTGCCACATCTTGCGCCAGACTCTGGACCAGGTCAAGCCCGTGTGCAAGCAGATCACCGATGTAAGTTGACCCCCGAGAAGGATTGGGAAATAGAAATCTGGCATCACTAACACGGTTTTCCCTGGATAGCGCCTGGAGAAAGCCGACCGCACCCCCAAGGACGAGCTCGACGAGGAGAAGCTCGTGAAGGATGTCAAGCCTCTGATCGAAGAGGGCGGCCGCATCCTGCAGGAGTGCAACGGCTCCATTCGCGCCCTCGACCCGGATGGCCGCATCGCCGCGACCGCCAAGGCGCGTGCCTCAACTCGCGATGCCACTCCCGAGGAGTACCAGCTGGCCGATATGCTGAAGGAGCTGACCGAGACTGTAGTCAAGTGCATTGACAACGGCAAGAAGCGCATTGCCGACATGCCTCACGCCAAGAAGAAGCTGAAACCCCCTCTGGGCTCTTCTTTCCGAGCCGTTGTTCCAGATCATTGCTGCCGTTGGTCTCCTGCTAAATGGTGTGCTCAGCTTGGTTGGCCGTCTGCTCGATGGTCTCGGCTTGGGTGGTCTCTTGAACGGCATCCTTGGGGGCCTGGGACTCGATAAGTTGATCAACGGCCTCGGCTTAGGCGGGTTGACTGATGCTTTGGGTCTGGGCGGCAAGAAATAAAAGGAGTCCATATGTTGCGCCTGTTAATCAGCGTTGGTTTTGTTTCCTTCTTATACCTTGTCAATTCATTCTCGATGTCTTGTTCATAAGCTTTGCTTTTGTTCCACGCATGTGCCTAATTTGTTGTTTTGTTTTCTGAGTGTGTGTTGCTGCTGTGGTTTTTTCCAAAATTCCCCGCTTTGTGCTTCGCTGTCTCCCGACTTGAGTTATGTAATAATCATTTAAATTGGATAACTAGTTCGGCTTCATTTTGGAACTAGAAAGTAGTCGCGGCGACGGTAAGAATAGCAACCATGTTACGGTTGAACGTCGATTGTGTTTCCATTCCCTATGCGACCCGATCTGCTGCATTGTACCTCTACACCGAGATGGAGACCGCAGCTTGTATCGAATTTACAATCTTCGGCTGGTTCTCACCTCCACCTGTAGACACCCTGCTGCCTGTCAACCGAAAAAATGTCTGACAACCAAGGAGACGAGGGAGCCGCTGGCTCTGCCCCCTCTCCCTCCTCCTCCGCCTCCACCTCCTCCACCCGAACATCCAAGCTCGAAAGTGTCACCGTTCGTCATGAAACTGAGGTCTGCTCCTCCTGGCTATTTCTTCCGACCCGAAAAGCCACCATCTCATACGGATCCATTCGCTGCACCCACCGGCCCTTATTTCTTCTACGGCACTCTGTCTGATCCCGCTATGCTCCGCGATGTCCTTGGCTTGGTAACCGAGCCACAACTTCGACCCGGCACCATTACAGGCTACGAATGCAAGCTATGGGGCCAGTATCCCGCTCTCCTAGATGGCCCAGAAAACGTTGTTTATGGGGCTGTCTATCATGTCGAGACAGAAGAGCATGGGGAGAGGCTTGCCAGCTATGAAACGGACAACTATCGGGCCGACCCGTGTCGCATCAAGTATACCGACGGGAATGAGCCAGTGGATGACATTGGTTATGTTTTTAAATTTGTCGGCAATGTCAGAGACTTGAGTGATGGCACCTTTGATCTGGGGACTTGGCTAAGGAGGATGAAGAGGGTAGCTGAGGACTCCTCAAATGTTATGTAGTTGCAGGCAAGAAAACCATGTATATTGATTCCCAGTACCAACAAATGCCTATCTCGTCTCCTGAGCTCGTCGTGGTTCGGGAACAGAGGATCCCTGAGACAGAGATTACTTGAAATTTGATGATAACAAGCCATCCAAATGTGGTGAAATTAAGGGATGCTTTGTGGATTCCAATTTTGTGTACATGGAATGCGAGCGCATGGAAATATCTCGGCCGCTTTTATGCTCCGATGCTCAGCTTGGGAATGCACACATTGCCTAGATCACACTAGACTGCTTGCCTTATGTTTTGGTAACTAAGTTTAGAAAATAAAAACTCGCTAACGTATGCTTGTCAATTATAGTTAGTTGTCGGGCGCATCCGGAAGGGTAACGCCTAGCAACATGTAGACCAATGGATCAAGAGTGTGTATTGTAGAACTAGGGGATGGGGCTGGATAATGAAGCATCTGCACAATAAGCCAACTAAAGCTGGGCTGTAGCTAGCTAGGTCATACAGGTGGTGTAGCCAATTTCGACAAGTAGTCCTCGCGCCGGCAGTAAGAATAGCAACCATTTATCACGGTCGAACGTCTATTGTGTTTCTAATTCATATGTGAACCGATCTGCTGCAGTATACCTCTCAATAACCATTACGGCTACTCACAAAATATCCTTTTTCATGAAAACTGTCTTCATGTCCCAGGGCTTTCCATTCCGATCCATCACATCATAAAAGTTCTGCACCGTCTTCAAAGGCTTATATCCCCTCCGAAGGTACCACTCCTCAGTAGTAAACTGCAGATTCCAATTAGACAATTATATCCGCTAGTTTTCAGATGGTAGGGCTTTGCCTACCTTGGGAATGCTTCCGCAAGTCGCCAGAGCAAATTCCTCCCTTGTCTGGTCCTCCCCGGGGATGACGTCCAGCATCAGTGTTGTTGCTAGCAATGGCTGCTTGGCGGCTATTGACTCCACTTCGTCCATTGCAGCCCGCCCGACACCTTTGCTCTGAAAAGCACCCGACACAAAAAACGTTTTAACCCAGAATAGGCCGGGTGATGAACTGTCAAGTCCCACTTTTTCTACGCCTGGGTTCTTTGAATCTAACGAGATGTGTCCGACGGGTAGAAATTCCTTCTGAGATGGCTCTCGAGGCACACCGTTGATGGATTCAGCTGTGTCGCGGAGTGTTTCATTTCCCTATACGCCTTTAGTATTGGATTGCTTAGTCCGTTGGATCATGAGAACGTACCTTTGATACGTGAAGCACATCTCTCATCCGGTTGAATGCTTCTTGATCATCTAGAGGCAAGACCTTCGTACTAGAGCATCAGCAAAATTCCCCAGACTTTACCTTGCCACGGAGTCATCTCTGAGCGTGCTGGTCATAAAAGCTTTTTCTGGGGCTGATAGGACTAACAATCCAATAAATACATTTGCATCCGCTGATCTGCGATTCTTTCCAGACGTTCTCGACTTTATCCTGGTCCCAACCACACTCATCTCGCTGCTTGACTAGGCATTGCCGATGTGTAGAGGATTGGGGGTCCCAGGGGACAAGGTTCACTTTTGTCTTAGAATTCATGCTCAGTTCGTTCCCTCCCAGAGCAGTGGTTGGAACGTATCGTGGGCTGGTAGAATTAGGCAGAAAGGGAGGAGGGGCACTAACTAGTTAACTAAGTTTAGCAATCACAACCTCGCTAACCTAGGCTTGTCAATTATGGTTAGATAACTCACTAACCTAACTAGTAGTCGGTTAACTAACTAGGTCGTCTACTATTATGTAATACTCGCAGTTTGCCCGCTCCATGACAAAACCAATAACTAGCATATATATTTCTTGGTTCATTTTACAGCAAACATTAAGCGTTGAATCAATTTGGCCTGGTCTAAATGTCTTGCTGATGAATTTGTTCAATGTACCCGCTTGCTGGCGCTGGCGGACACCTCCAAGCGCAGATCATACACTTTATGGTATTTGTTTTAGTTCACGCCAACGCCAGGGCATTGATTTTGCATGGTGGACTTGCGCCTCACACGCGAGGAATATCAGCACCGCAGTAGAACAAGTAGATTAATGTGGCGCAGAATTCAATTATTATCTAAAAATATTACCCTGTAGAGGATCCCCGGCGAACACCATCCCATGCTAATGTATAAAGACCAGCGTATGCAAATAAATGAGCAACCTCTCAATCCAATACTGCCAGTTCCATTTCCTGGAGAAGCTTCAGAGCCCGCTCATAGGTCCACATAGTCACGGCACTCGCCGGCGCCGCCTTGAGCAAGCTGACGGTCAATCCACGGTACAGTCCTCGCACGCCCTGCGTGCGCAAGATCAAGGTAATCGACTGAATAACACCAGTGTATTCAGGGATGTTGCGGTGCACATATCTTGTGCGTGTTGGGCCTTGCACCTGCAAACGTTTCCGTACCAAGTCCAGTGGAAATACACCGGTCTTTGCGATGACACTAGCCAGGACACCCGCGGCAGCATCGCCTGTCCCGAACGGCAAGTATTCACATTTTGCCGTTGTTGGTCTGAAGCCTTCGTATGCCGTAAAAAATAGTCCCATATATGGTACAATCTGCGCCACCGCCGCCGTGCAGCCCCGGAAGAAACCCGCGGGACCCTCGTGCTGTGCAATCTCTAGAATGGACGACCCCAAGGAGCGATAGATGCGTTCCGGCCCCTGGGCTGCGAAACGTGTACGTAGTAAGTCGAGCGGATACGTCGTCGCGGTTGCAATTCCTCCAGCGACGGCACCGGAGACGAAGGATTCGGCGGATTGAGGGAGTCGGTATGGGCCCAACTGCGCCAGGGCCTGGGTGGTAGTTCGGTACGCAGTAAACTGAAGAGCTCCGTAGCAAACATACATCATCTCTGCAGGTATGTTGCCTTTCCATAGACCCTGTTCCCCAGAATTTGTTAGTACGTCCCGCCTCCACATGGCGATCTCTGGGTCCGGTGGACTCAACCATCATGACCGGAAAACCGAACGTACCGTAATCCCCTCCTGCCTCACAATGTCTCGCATCGTCGACAGCGTCCCCTTGTACACAGGTCCAACGACCGTCTGATGCGACGCCGGGTCAGACAGTGAGTGGATCTGCAGCTGCAGGCGGATCTTGACAACGTCCAGAGGCGCAATGCAGAAGCGCGAAATCAGCCCGGCGGCTCCGCCGGCCAGCACGACTTGTCGCTTGGTGCCCTCATCTTTGAGATGCTCGCCCCCGGCTGACATGTCTGTGTAAACGGCGGCTTCTTAGGCGGAGGAATCCATGGTGGTTCTTCGGTTTCCGGTTTCCGGTTTGTTATCTTTTATTTATTTAGCCGGTGGCAACTGGAATGTTATGCGCGCTGATTTACGTAAGTCAAGAATTTGGTGCCTTGGCGCCCGGTAAAAAAGGCATCACAATGGTACCTTACAGCAAACAGGTCAGGTGACTGGAGCCTCGGCAGACACTGTACGGGTACCGTCAGTCTACGCGGTTACAGTAACCCGAACTGGCGAGCTTTCCCCGTTACTAGCGGAGTCTGGGGTCGAGGGATATCACATGTGTGCCTGCAACCCCTCCTCTCTTGTTTCCGTTTCTTCCTCTATCGAAGGGGTCAATTGTCTCATTCTTCCTCTTCACCCTTTCTGATGCGTCTGACCTCCCTCATTGCATTTCGACGGCTTTCGCGGGGCCTAGCAAGCCCTGCACGGCGCAGTTTTGTTACTTCGGTCCAACGGAGCCAAGCTGACGAGGATGCGCTTTCCCGTCTGATGCACCAAGCGGTCCTGTTCAATGCGATTGACAAGGGCCGCTTGATTGATAAAGACGGCCACCCCGTCTCTGTCACCCGAGTCGAACGCGCCGCCTCGAAAGGTCGGCCAGCCTCTGCGACCAAGATGGAAATCGTGAAGCCCGCCGAAGCTTACCTACACTGGGACAGATTAACACTGTTCTCTCCCAACCATGGCCGAGCCAGCCTGCCATTCTACTACCTACGCGACCTCTGCAAGTGCCCTAAATGCGTGGATCCGCACTCGAAGCAACGCTCTTTCCGCACGAGCGATATTCCCAAGGACACTCATCCTTCCGTTGTGCGATGGGATGGAGAACACTTAGAGGTTAAGTGGGCGAATGATATTCCCGGTTACGCAAATAATCATAAATCTCGTTGGCACATTCAGTACCTCCAGAACCCTATCCTGGACCCTCACGAACAAAAGTCCCAGAACATGAAGCCTCTCCGGTGGACGAGCTCGCTGATGGAGCGGTTACAACACTGGGTATCATATGATGATTATATGAAGGATGATGTCAAGTTCGCCGCGGCCATGCGCAACCTCTCCCGTCTGGGCCTGATCTTCGTCAAGAACGTTCCTGACTCGCGCGAAATGGTGTCGCACATCGCAACCCGGATGGGCCCTCTACGCAATACCTTCTATGGAGAGACCTGGGATGTCCGAACCGTGCCGCAGGCCAAGAACGTTGCCTACACAAATCAGTTTCTTGGTTTCCACATGGACTTAATGTACATGAACGAGCCCCCAGGTTACCAGCTGCTGCACTGCTTGGAAAACTCATGCGAGGGAGGCGAGTCCCTCTTCGCTGATACTTTCCGTGCCGCCAAAATCATGCAGAACGAGTTCCCTACCGAGTACAAGGCGCTCGCTCGTCGCCACCTGGGCTACGAATATGCACATGATGAACACAAATATCACAACACCCGGCCTGTCTTCGAGCTCGATCCTAAGACAAAGGACCTCCGCTATGTTAACTACTCGCCACCCTTCCAGTCAGCCATACCTTCATACGAGGGGAAAAATGGCACTGGTGTTGAAGGCTTCAGGGACCTCAAGCGTGCCCTGAAACACTTCATCCGGCTCATGGAGGGCCAACATTCAATTTTCCAACTGAAGCTGAACCCTGGCGAGTGCGTAATCTTTAATAACCGTCGCATTGTTCATGCCCGCAAAAAGTTCAATACCACAAGTGGCTCGCGGTGGTTAGCCGGTGCATATGTGGATGAAGATGCGCTTTTGTCTCGCTATGCTGTTTGTCGAAAGAAACAGCCTATTGCATGGGAGGCCGCTGATCCATTTGCGGGTCTTGAGAAGCTCCGCAGGAATATTGCAGAGACTTCAGCGACGGAGGCAAGGATTGCCCTCGCAGAAGCTCGCTTGCAAGCGGGTCGGGAGACTGTTGAGGAGGCTGGGCCCCTTGCAGAAGCTGGTCCGTCTTTGCAGGGTCAACATATGGAGCCTGAACACATTGAGCATGTGAAGGTGTCTGAGCAATCTCCGGCATGAGTGTGATGGATTTATCCGTACAAATCCTCTTCCACAGGGGAGTGGTCTGTGATATTTGATTTTGCATAACTTTATATATCGGTTCTTGGTGGCCTCTTTCTGAGCGAAGAGCATTGTCTTCGCTTCGTGGCATTGCGGTCTCACTCCAGTATGCCTCAAGACAGTCATTGTAAATAGACCGGGGATAAGCTACATAAACTGCTCTGGCCAGAGCTGGGCATTCACGGGCCATCTACTAAATCAAAGTTTGAACTACAATGGCTTGAAATTGTAATGTCTTTTCATATCAAGGAAAAACGTATATCATCGTAGGTAGACATTTTCTTTTTAAGGTAGGTCATGGGGGTATTATGCAGGGACCAACTACCTAAGGCTTGTTGACAGAGAACTGGTCGAAGAAGCTCGGATCGTTTTCGATCTCGTCGCGGACCTAAGTAAGGTAGTTAGCAAGAGTTGTAATCATCAAATACCAGTGAGGCGGCAACATACAATATCCAATCCACCAACCAACTCCCCGCTCACCCACAGTTGCGGGAATGTGGGCCAGTCGGCGTACTCCTTCAGACCCTGTCGGACATCCTCGTCGGCCAGGATGTTAAAGAAGCCGTACTTGACGCTGCGCTCTCGCAGGATACCGACAAGTTGGCGACTGAAACCACACTGCGGCGAGCTAGGAGTACCCTTCATGAATAGCATAACGGGGGCAGCCTTAACGAGCTGATCCAGGCGCGCCCATAGAGCCTCCTTTGATTGCTCAGGAGTCAGAGCTGGGGCGGACGAGACATCCGTGGCGTTGGCCGCAGGACCAGGTGCGTTGGATGTTGTAACCGGCGGCTGTGTCGCAACATCAGGGCCGTTCTCTCGGGGCGTAGCCGAGAGAGCAGCGGGGATATTCGCTCGTCCGCCGTCGACGGGTCCAGCGCCACCAGCATGGCGTTCAATAGCATTGCGGACCTTAACCGCATCGCTTCCGCTGATATCCTCGAGTCTCTGACCACCGCGCATCAGCACGACAAACGGCACCGCGGTGACGTCGAGTTCCTCCGAGATGTCGGGCAGCTCCTCCGCGTTGATGCTGACAAACGAGATGGCCGGCGGGGACGTGGCGGGGTACTGGCCGGCGATGGCCTCCAGGACGGCGCGCATCTGCGTGCATGGCGCGGCCCATGGCGTGTGGAAGTAGAGGACAAGTAGCGTGGATGGCGACAGCGAGGCCAGGTGCGACGTGAAGTCGGCCTCCGAGGTGATTTCGGCGAGGGCCGACATGGTTGTGGGGGTAGGTAGTTGAGGGGTTTCCCGAGGTCGAAGGGAAGGAGTAAAAGAGGAAAAGTCGATCGAAGGTGGCTGCCTGGCGGTTATTCTGGCACAAATAGGTACTGGAAGAATATATGCCTTATCACTTGGGACAATGCAGGCTGCGATGCGTTCTAAGGGTATAGAGGGATGAGAAGGTCGATGGCGTGACGAGGCGAATTTTCCGCCGATCGTCTGTTATCAGATCGTTTGCGGGTTACACGTAATTTACGACACATGCGGCTGTAAATTACACTGCCTTATCGCGATAACCTCGGTTCTTATCGCGTATCTACACGTGACTAAATGCTTTATTTCTCTGAGACTTTGCGACGTCCGATCCCAGTCCCAGCACCAGGAGATGGCACGCCACAACAAACGAAAGCGTGAGGACGGCGATCCCGACCCCGTTGCCGATGCTAATGGCAATGGGTTCGGTGTTGCAGACACCCTTTCTCGCCTGAACGGCGCCTCGCCGAGCTCCGACCAAGCTACCCCCGAGATATCGCAGATCACCAAAGATGGACACCAGCCGAGCACCAAGAGGAAGCGTGTGGACGGAGAAAAGACCAAATATCCAGATTTGACATATGTGGAAGGGAAATTGCAGTCATCAATCAGGATCGCAGACCTACAGGGCTTGCTGCTCTACTGCTTCGCAGATGGGGTCGCACCCCAATGGATTTCGATCAAACACTCTGGGCACATGCGCAAGGTTGTCGTGCTAATGGTTCCTGGATTGGAGATTGGAATGTTTGATGGTACACTGCCATTGGGGCCTCAGCAAACCGATGAGAACAAGGATGGTGCGAATCAACCAGAAGCGACAGACGAGACGGCGGACGATCCCAAGAACGCCGACTTCGAGCGATGGAAGCATGGTTTACCTCTTGAAGACCGATCACCGCGATTCAATCCTCGCCCTCTTTCTTCCGATTCCCTGCCTGAGCCCTTGCGACCTTTGAGCAACATGTTCCCGCATATCTGGCCCGTCAAAGCCCCCGGTGATAGCAAGTACAACAAGGTGCATTCGCCTCTGCAGGCCATCTTATTATCATCGCTGCCAAAGTCAAAGGAAGAAAATGGCCGTGGAAAAGGACCACGACCTGCCAAAGTGGATAAGAGCTTTGTGCCAAAACGCACCCCTATTACGAGATTTCTCAGCACGATGGAGGACTTACGCGAGAATGAGTATACTCTTCACCCGGCATTTTTCACCTCAGAAGAAGAGAAAGCATCTCAGCTGCAAAGACGTCGTGAAGCGGAACAGTCAACGGAGCATGGATGGGTGGATACGCTCATCCCCACCCTGGAGGCGGGTGACGTGCCTGATGCCGAGATCGAAAAGGGCAGCATGACCGCAGGCCGGAATGTACTATCTCTCGACTGTGAGATGTGTCTCACAGAAGGTGGTCAGTCGGAACTTACACGTATCAGTATGGTTGGTTGGGATGGCGAGGTTGTACTTGATGAATTGGTGAAGCCTGCTAAGCCGATCGTCGACTACCTCACTCGCTTCTCCGGCATCACACAGGAGATGCTCGATCCAGTCACTACCACACTGTCCGACATTCAGCAAAAGCTGCTGACTATCTTGACTCCTCGTACTGTTCTCGTCGGACACTCCCTCAATTCTGATCTTACCGCACTAAAAATCACCCATCCATTTATCGTCGATACTGCCCATATCTATCCGCATCCTCGTGGCCCGCCATTGAAGTGCAGTCTCAGGTGGCTGACCCAAAAATACCTGAACAAGGAAATTCAGAAGGGAACGACTGGCCATGATTCGGTCGAAGACGCTCGGGCTGTGCTCGACCTTGTCAAACTGAAGTGTGAAAAGGGCGAGCTCTGGGGCACGAGTGACGCCTCCAACGAAAGTATATTCCGTCGTCTTGGTCGATCAATCAAGCATGGAAAGACCAGCAACCCTAGCGACGGACGGACCGGTGCCGTTGTTGACTGGGGAAACCCCGAGCGCGGGTTCGGCTCCCAAGCCACCGTTTCTATTGGATGTCGCGATGACGATGATGTGGTCAAGGGGATCGCATCCGTTGTCAAAGGCGACGAATCCAATAAATCCATCCCAGGCGGTGGCGTCGACTTCACCTGGGCGCGTCTTCGCAACCTTGAACTTACTCGGGGTTGGTGCACACGCATGCCAGATGCAAATAACGCCAACGAGTCCACAACTCTTATCCCCCCCCGGAAGAAACCACACCGACGACCAGCATGACATCACCTCCTACGGACAACAGCCTTGTCGAAACGGTCACCCGCACTGTCTCGGATATCACTCGCATCTACGAGTCGTTACCGCCCTGCACGCTATTCATCGTTTACTCTGGCACCGGCGACCCACGTGAGGTCGGCCGACTGCAGGCTATGCACCGAAAGTATCGCGAGGAGTTCAATGCGCGCAAGCCGTGGGATGAGTTGAGTGTTAAGTGGACAGATACCGAGGAGCAGGCGTTGAAGAAAGCTTGCGAGCGGGCACGTGAGGGATGTGGTTTTATGTGTATTAAATAGATTGATTTTGGCCTTGAGGCAGCAAGTCTCTCTATTGAATATCCCATCTGAACGATGAATATAATGCATCTTCAAATTAAAAGTTTTCATTTTTTATAGATCGTCTGGTAGGTCGATCCAATTTCTAGGTCAAGTTGGACAGAGCTATGACGAAGACTATTCGATCCGTAGAATAGAAGTAGGAATGTCGGGTATTAGCTATCAATCATAATCATGAACATGAGTTTCAGAAGCCCACAACAAGCCAGTCGGGTATTTCTCCGGACCTGCCTAGTCGCCATAAGGCAGATCGAAACAGGGTCCATTATTCGTTCGGCCGGTGGAGGTCTCAGTCTTCGGCCGCGACATTTCACGTCGAATGGCTTCCATCACTTCTCCTTCATTCGGGATTGCGGTCAGAGTCCCACGCCTTTGCACACCCCTTTCCTCGAGCTCACTATCGGGGGTTCCGGTTTCTTGGGAATCTTCCACCGTTTCCTCCGTCGGCAATTGATTGGCTTGCTGCTCCGCGATTGCGGCCATGACGCGCTCATGATAGGCTTTCTCGTCCTTCTCCTGCTTAATCACGGCATAATGGCAGCGCCTGTAAACACCGATTGAGCTAAGCACTAGACCACATATCTCATATACAAAGAGAACGGGTAGTCCATAATAGAGCTGCGGGTTGCAGCCGCCTGACCAAATATCAACCAGCACGTTGAAAATGCTGTGCGCGGGTAAGGCATAGCCCCATCTATAGAAGCCCGGGGACACCTCAAATGGAAGAAGAATGGATGTAACGTTCAACACAATCCACGATATTAGTGCCATCGGCACAAAGGGCGGGGATATCCAGACGGTGAAAACATCAAGGACGAGAAAGTTCAGATGCGCGAAGAGCCAGAGCGCCATCCATGTGAGCACAAACTGATTGCCGGTTACATGCCAACCACTTCGGAAAGCCCATATCGCGCCTGCTGTAGACAAGGATCCGACAAAGGTATAGGCTCCTGAGATGAGTTGGCGCACGATCGCAATCCGGTGGGGATTCAAGGATATGTAAAGATTGAACTGCAGATAGAGACCATTGACATAACCCAGATAAAAGAATTCTTGGATCAAAATCAAGATAATGACAAGCGTGTTGTAGATCAGACGAGACCCTTGCGAGGTTGGCTGGATATTCACGGAGGCCAAAGTCCAAGGGTTGGAATATGCAGCAATAGCAGCAGGGTCTGAGCTGTTGACCAATTGAATGGCCTGCTGCCCGTTGGCCTTCATGTAGGCGACACGTGCCACTTCTGCAAGGGTGGCCATCTTGTCATAGATCGCAGAGTCAGCCGTTGTCGGGTAGCGCACTTCGTTCCAGACCATGGTGAGAACATCGCTGTTGTTGTATGAGGCGGCGGCAGATCCACCTCCAAAAGCCGCAGTCAATTGATTCGATGAATTTGCTGTGATAGACAGAGCACCCCAAAACTTGATGTTGCACACCGCAGAATCAATGGAGTCAGACCCTGGGTACACCAGTGCAGATCGTTCATCCAGAGTCGGAAAACTCGGTCCCTTGACCTGCTGATAAGCATCGCGGACTGCAGTGCCTATGCTACCTCCATCATAATCAACGAAGAGAATGTTGATGTTGTGAATATGCGAGTTTTGTTGGAAGAGAGAGCCGAAAATGTAGCAGAAAAGCCCCAGGAAGAGACATTGGAGCATAAGCAGATTGATAGTCGCCGCCTTCAGGAGAGCCAGCCGGCGCGGCCTAACTGAGGGGTCATCGATGCTAGGCCGTGGCTGTCTTGCTTTCGAATAGAAGCCCATGTGTCCCATAGATTAGTAATGTTGAGTGCAAAGCGCCGGAAGGGGGCGGAAGATATGAAGATGGCCTATCACTGGCAAACGCGTGGGGATGAGTCAAAGAGGACGGCAAGAATGTTCGGGCCGACAGAGAAGAGATTGATGCAGATCTCGAGCCAACTCCGAAGAGCTAAGACCGAGGAAGGGAGTAAGCAAGCCACCCTCGTCGGGATGGTCTGGAACACCTATCGTAGCCGAGTTGGATTGCACCAAGCGTGCGAGGCTAATAAATAACCTTGGTGAAAGGCACCCTCGAGAAAAAATATCGTGAGGCTCCAGATCCGTGTTGTCATGAAGTGCGGGGATGCTGAGCTGAATGGATGCTGAGCTGATTCGGCTCAGCAGGCATGCCACTTGGGTCTTTGGGTCCGGGACAGGCTTGTCCACTTTGGGCAAGTGTGGAACGGGATCGCCACCATTCTGACAACTTAACATCTAAATTATTCTCCCCAGGTTAGATCGTCTTTGTTTTTTCTATAGTCTCCATAGACTCCTCAAAGAGTACTGAATTTTCGCATTTCTTCCTACGTACCAATTGACAGGATAGATGATCTCGCAGGCCAACGTGTTTTGACAAGGTCTACATAAATTGGAAAAGTAGGTATAATTCATGCCAAATTGAATCAGTTGAACACTCTGCAACCGTACAGGAACATATTAGAGATGTGTGTACGGAAAAATCCCGGCCGAAGTTCTACGATTAATCATCATCCCTTGCTCGCGTTCGGAGCGTCGGTGGCGCGACACATTCGAGCTGATTAACTGCGGGACAGACGTTGCCGGGATAAGTATGGGTCTTAAAAGAATGACGTCGGAATGCGCCTTTCTTGCTATAATTCTCTTAGTCTAATCGCAGGACTACATGCTAGCATAATTTGTCAAAACTTCAGGGTCTTTGGACTTCTCCCTGCTGTGTCTTCCTGATTGTAATTTCATCCTTAGAGAATTGATAGTTCAATCAATTGTTTATCAGAACAGCAAAAGCTTTTCTACTTTGGGTCAGTTCCAGGACAACATAAAAATGACAGAACGATAAACTAAGCTGCACGTATCCACGGTAAACATGCTCGTTTGGACATTGGCGCAGCCGAAACTCCAAGTTCAGGCGAGAGTGAAGCCTGGGTGGAAATGGAAGTGATTGCATTCAATCCAGTTTGAGCAATATAGAGAAGTAAATTTCGTTCCTCTTTGTTGATACCAGTTCCCATGGTGTATTATCGGTACTTATTGATAGAGCCAGATTTGCACGTCGTCCACTGGCTTACCCAAGTAACCTGGGACTGTCCTTCGCTGGAACTATCCAATCGGTCGGTTCCAAAGGTCACCACGCTGAAACCCGGCGATCGCGTTATGCCTCTCCGGAGTGATGCAAGATTATACAATCCCCACTATGGAGACTCATGTTTCAAGAAAATACCCTTGCAGACGTGACACTCACCTCAATCTCCCTTTCAGGAACCTCCTTTGAGGCCGGGACAGCCGTACTTTCGAACCTAGCGACTGCAGTGGCTGCGCCCTCGATTCATCTGGGTCTCCATCGGCCACCAATATCCTTTGTAGGCTGTTTAATCTCTCTCATTCGTCTTGCTGCTGTCTTCTGCAAGCTGTTGATAGTTCTTTGTACGTACAATAGTATATACCCGGTCGATACCCCGCAGATTGTGGGGCAGGTCCTCTGCCAGTTGGAGTATAGCGCCCTACCTCATCCAGAAACATCGCCCCCACACGGATGTCAAGCACAGGGCGTGAAGAGATTTAAGGGGCTTTCCGCGGGTAATATGAACAGTTTCTATATCTCTTCCACACTGCACTGGCTTGCAACCCATAATTGGCGCTCACTATAGTAGGTTCGCGAAAATGGAGACCTTCGAAGTTTCGTCTCAAGACAGTGTCGCCAATCACCATGAAATCAATTTGCCGCCAGTGGATCGAGGTAGAGGGGCCTGGTTGTTCTTGGCGGCATGCTTCATTATAGAAGCTTTGATCTGGGGTATGTTGTGAGAATGGAACCTGGTAATACAGCCTTGGGTGCTGATCTCTTATGCTCAGGCTTTACCTTCTCTTTCGGTATTTTCCAGGATTACTACAGCACCAATGAGCCATTCAAAAGCTCTGGTGACACTGCCGTTGTCGGCACTTGTGCAATGGTCAGCATCTGAGTCGGAATTCTTACTCGGTATGTTACTAAGTCTTTGCAGGGTATATCATATATGTTGCTTCCAGTAGCCTTCATTCTGCTGCAAGCCATCCCTCGCCTCAAATTATGGGCTGCACCTGTCGGTTTTGTTATTATGTGCCTTGCTCTTTTGCTGAGCTCCTTTGCGACCAGCACTGCTCATCTCATCGTGTCGCAAGGCGTCGCTTACGGTATCGGGGCTAGTCTGGCGTATGCGCCAACTATTGTATTTATGGACGATTGGTTTGTACAGAGAAAAGGACTGGCCTTCGGCATTATGTGGGTAAGTGACTTCGTGCACTCTGTATCTTTAGAGTCGCACAAACTAATGTTCTCTAGGCTGGTACTGGACTATCCGGAGTCATTCTTCCAATTGTCCTTCAGTGGATGCTCAGCTCCTTCGGGCCTCAGACAACCCTGCGTGCTTGGTCGATTGTCCTGATCGTCCTGGGTGGCCCGCTACTCTACTTTCTTCGCCCGCGCCTCCCTATCTCGAAGAACGCGCGCACACGGCCTTTTGACTTCAAGTTCCTCTGGAACTCAACGTTCCTCATCTACGAAACAGGCAATATTTTGGAGGCAATGGGTTATTTCCTCCCAACAATTTACCTGCCCTCTTACGCCCGTAGTTTGGGTGCCGGCAACATCGAGTCCTCGTTGACTGTCATGCTATTTAACCTTGCATCAGTCTTTGGATGTGTGATCATGGGCTCTTTGGTCGACCGTTACCATGCCACTACCTGCATCCTTGGCTCCACCATTGGCAGTACCATTGCAGTTTTCCTGATCTGGGGCTTTGCTGATAGTTTGGCACCGCTTTACATTTTCTGCATTTTCTACGGACTTTTCGCTGGATCATTTACCTCAACTTGGCCGGCTATTGTCAACGAAGTCAAGAAGAAGAGCACATATACTGATCCCAGCATTGTCTTCGGTTTCTTGTCGACCGGTAGAGGTATCGGTAACATTGTCAGTGGCCCGCTTAGTGAGGCTTTACTCAAACATTCTGCCTGGAAAGGTGTGGCAGCGAAGGCCTATGGCTCTGGTTTCGGACCGTTGATTGTCTTTACCGGAGTTTCTGCACTTTTGGGGGGTCTCGGTGTTGCCGCTAGATCGTCTAGACGGCTTCGATCTGAGTAATGGTAAGTTTCTGGGAGTCCGGGTTTCCGCGCCTGTACATTGTCAAAACATATATTTGGGACGTATCTTTGGTGGCAGATTGCCTGGGACCTACTTCTATATTCTTGACTATAAAAGGATTGCATTCAGTGAGCATTAGAGGCCTTGAATTGGTGACCATGGAACCTACCTACCTATGATCGGTTCTCTGGCTAGTCCACCTTTGTAAAGCCATTGTGGTTGCCGGGGTATATAGCCTGTCCAAGACGTCCTCAGATGCATCCAGGGTACACTGCAACTACTCTACCATACATACTGCGTATAATTCGTGCAATTTAGAACGAGACTACCTATGGGAAATATCTACTGTAGGGAAGTGCTTTCGTGACCACGCATCAGGATCAGGTAGATTTAGTTGGGTTGTTAACTTTATAGCTACACATCCCTACCAAGGCATTATGAACATAAAAGGCCAGCTCCAATATGAGCGTAAAGACCGATGCAAAGATCTCCCTATCATACACACTCTTCACCCTATACTTGGCGTTTGTTGATATGCCACTAGGATAATCGACCCCCGAGTCTCTAACGAGCATCATCGGTTTCCATCTCCTCCTCGTGTTGCATAGCCTTCCTAGCCATGGCGTCCCGCGCCGCGACCTTGGCCTTGCGATCCTCTTCTTCTGAGGTCTGTACTTGCTCAGCCCCCTTTGCACTGTCCCCGTTTGTGTGACCAGTCGCTGTTTCGCCAATCTGTTGGGTATTGCCTCCGCTGTCTGTGACAGTTGTCGAAGATGGCTTCTGAGCCAAACTATCGGGTTCTCCATTCTCAAGGTCAACACTGATCTCGGGCCGGCCCAGGGACTGAGACCGTGTGCTCCGTCGGGGGCGACCACGACTCCGGATAGGCTGTGAGGTCGGACTCGAGGTGGCTGTCGGGACTTGGATTGGAGGGTTGGACTCAACCGGGTGCTGCGAATCTGTCGCGCCTGTGGTTGCAGGCTGCGGGTCGGTGGGTTTGGTAGGATCTGTGAGGGACTTTCGCGGCCGGCCGCGTCGCCTTTCACTGTTGGATCCGGTGCCTCCATTTTGCTGAACGAGCCTCGGGCGCTTAGCCGGGCTTTGCTCTGGGTAGCTTCCGGCTTGAGCGCTGGTTGAGGCGTTACCATTCTGTGGACCAGCCTCTATACAAAGCTGGTTTGGGCCAGAAGACGACTGGCGAATCGAGTGATTGATCGGCACGCGGACATTATATGTGGGTAACTTGTCGAGAGACAGGTCATCCACCGCATCCTCTTCATCAAACGAATCCGCAATGGTGTGTGTTTGGCCACTTGGGAATGCGTCAGGCCACCCGCGCTTTCTTCCAGCCTGTAGTAGACCAGGGCTCTGCACTTCAGGCAGTCTACCATTCATTTGGGTTGAATATTCAGGGCTTTCCAGCTTGCGGCCCTCCATGAAACGGTTTTTTAGCTTCAATGCCTCGATTTCCAGCTTCAACTTCTCAATTTCGTCTGACTTCGACTTCAGCTCCTTTAGGACTGTTGCAATCATGTCGAATCCCGGTCCGCTCATGTGCCCATTTTCACCTTTGCTTCGGTTCGATCCATTCAATTCGATGCGGAGCGAGGTGAACGAATGCTTCAAGTCGGCCATCGTGTCTTGCAAGTGGTTCACCGAACTAGAAATCTGGTCAATACTACGCCCCTGGTGTTGCATTTGCAGCTGCATTGATGGATCTAACGAATATAAGTCCTGTGCACCTGCCTGCACCAAGGCACCATCGTGTACGGAATTGCGATCTCGTCGTGGAGGTTCTGGAGGGGGAGGGGGAAGCAGTTTATCGAGGGCGCCTTCTTTGAAAAGGGGGTCGGTAGTCCGCATGGTCACTACCTCTCTGAATGACACCTTGGACATTCTCCAGAGGATGTTCGGGCTAGATCGCAGTGAGTAATAGGCGTAGAAGCAAAAACAGAATCATGCCACCTACCCATTTTCTAGTCCGCAAAGGACTGCCAGTCTCTGCTGACACAGTTTGCAGGACACATCCTGGGCAACGCATCCTCGGAGAAGACTCATTTCTGATGTCTGCGGGATGTGTTTCTGCTCCGAGGAGATCGAGATACGGTGCAGGTTGACGCTCAGCCACGCTGTCGCAACAGCATAGACATTGGATAGTTTGCCCCATTCGTTCTCCAGCACGGCCAGCGAGCTGGAGCACCGCAAGCACTGGCAAAGGATTGCTGGCCGCGTGAGGTCATTTAAGTCCATGTTCGCGATGCGACTAGACAGGAGAGTGCGCTGGTATCGAGAGGGATGTGCGGATTTCGAGGCACATCCGATCACAAGAGGCTGAGTCAGCGGTCCAGGTCCCTGATCACGCTATTCCTAGTTAGGTTATCGATAAGGGGTATCTGCGCAGTGACCTCATTACAGTGGGGGTGAAGGTGGGAAGGATTTGGCAGATGGGGTTGCACAGTTACTGTATTTGGCATGCGGTGCTGCTTAGGCGACAAAGAATGGTTCGATCAGAACATCAAGCCACTGTAAATGTGCTACAACGCGATCCCCCGCAATGCCGTCACGTGATGCTTGTATTCCCCGCGCCTTTGCCCCCTCCCTTTTAAAGTTCCAACCGGTAAAGCTTCATGAGTTTGTCACTGCGCGCTATCTGCCGGCCTTTGGTGGCCTCAAGTTCTCTCACACTATCCAAGGCGGCATCTTCTCGCCGAAACATTGGCATGGCACACCTTACTATGGATGCAATGGCTCACGCCTCGGCTGCCACCGGCCATACCAGCTGGCACGGTGCTGGGGCTGCTGAATTTGACCTGCGTAGTACGTCTTCCAACTCTATTATGACTGATGCCTAAAAATACTGAAGATGCTGATTTGCAGGTGATACCATGACCAAGCCAACCCCGTCCATGCTCAACGCGATTTGCCAGACGACTCTTCTAGACGACGTCTTTAATGAAGATCCGACCACCAACGCACTACAAAATTATGTGGCCGAGAGGACCAAGCACGAAGATGCTCTGTTGGTGCTATCAGGAACCATGGGTAACCAAGTGGCTATCCGCTCCCACCTGGCTCAGCCTCCGCACTCGGTTCTGTGTGATCACAGATCTCACATCATCTGCTATGAAGCAGGGGGCGTGAGTGCCTGGACCGGAGCTACTGTACAAACCATTATCCCCAAGAATGGCATCCACTTGACCCTTGAGGATATTCAGAAACATGCGGTACTCGATGATAACATCCATCATTGCCCGACGAAGTTGATCAGCTTAGAGAACACCCTCGACGGCATGATCATGCCCCTTAGTGAGGCGCGCCGCATTGTGGCGTGGGCTCATGCCAACGATATCAAGGTTCATTTGGACGGTGCTCGGCTCTGGGAGGCAGTGGTTGCTGGGGCTGGCAGTCTGGCCGAGTACGCTAGTCTGTTTGACAGCGTGAGTTTGTGCTTCTCCAAGGGCCTGGGTGCCCCGATCGGCAGCATCCTTGTTGGTCCACAGGCATTCATCAAGAAAGCCCGTTGGTTCCGCAAGTCTATCGGCGGTGGCGCTCGCCAGACGGGCGTCTTTGCTGCTGCTGCCCGGGTCGCCCTCGACGAAACCTTCGGCACAGACGACTACGGCAAAACCGGCAAGCTTTCTGCAACCCATGCGAAGGCCAAGCAAATTGCGGACCTTTGGACCAGTCGCGGAGGCAAGTTGCAGTACCCCGTGCACACTAACATGATCTGGCTCGATCTGGAGGCGTCCGGGGTGGGACCCAATGATCTCACGGTCATTGGACAGGAAAAAGGATTAAGACTGCTTGGAGGCCGTGTCGTTGTTCATTACCGTAAGTGACTGTGATTGCGACTGCAGCTCGTGCAGCAGCGATGACTCAAAATTTTCTGACCTATCACAGAGGTATCGGACGAAGCGATTGCGCGGCTGAGCCAGGTATTCGACGTTGCCATGAAGGGAGAATACCAGCGGAGCGAAGACACGAGCAAGGCGTATGGGAGCAGCAAGCCCTAGAGACTCTAATTAGATGGACGCAAAATAATAGAATTTCACTCTCAAGTACACTATCAAATATACGGGTCCCCCGTGCACCTCCGCAAATAAGATTTCCAATCGAATCCATGGTTTGGTGAGTCTCGGACCGGCTTAATCGCGATCGGCCAATCATATTCCCTGACTATGGCTGAGTCAGCCCCAGGAACCACAGCTCGGCTGCCTCAGGCGTGGTGAGATCTTGCGGCTCGTTCCTCTTCCTTCTTCCTTCGTTTCTCGGACGACGACCTACCAGTCTCTGTCCCGGTTTCCACCCCTTCCGGTCCGTCCACCGCGACAATCTTGTCAATTTCATCTGTTGTGGATGGACAGATAGGGTGCTTGCCAATCTGTGTAAGTCGCGTTGAGTTGAGTCGAGGCCCAAACAAAGTGCCTCGATCGGCTTGTCCAAGAACGCTGTGCTGACCTGATACATCGATAATGCACAGAGATAACCCTTTCCACCTTTTCAACCCACTGGAAATAACAATACCCTTCGGGCTGGCTGCCATCAATGGTTCAAAATACCGCCTAGCTTCTGATCTCCCACCGCGACGGGCCATCGCCGGCATAGGCGCCAACATATACCTCCTCCAGCCGTTTTCACACCCCCCTTTCCCTTCCACTCAATTCTCTTGGGAAGGTCATATCTATCACCTACACAAGGTGCTTACACCTGCGCCTTGTCAGCCGCACGGTGTCAACCAGGGCTACGTGGGGAGCTGACACGGCACCTCCGCTGTCAAGGGACCGGACCACATTCCAGAACTTCTGTGAAACCACTCAGCTGCTCGAATCTTCTTCCCTTTTTGTATTGAAGACGCAGCACATATCATAACCGTTCCGTGCGTGTCTCTATTACCCAACTTCCAATTTCACCTTTGTCGTGTCAGTTCACCCGGGTTATCGCCCTGGTGACTTGCCTTTTGTCCCGTTTTGCACCCGCCCCAAAGGTATAAATACCCTCGTCCCCACGGACCTCAGACCACATCAAATTTACTCACAGGCCAATCTTAGGCCGCAAACCCGTGTATTCATGCCCTTGTTATGCAAAAGTTTCCGTTTCCAATCAGCACATATACCCCCACACCACATCTGTCAACAGTAGTTTTTTTTTCCCTTGCTTGCATTTTTCACTTGTTAGCGCACTGCATCCGCATCCACATTTTATCTTCATTCCATCATGGAAGCCACTCAAGAGTCTACCCAGCCGTGTGCGGACCCGCGCCGAATGGGGCTAAACAACTCAGGGCTTCACGAGCAGGATCTGGCCGACATCATCTGTATCCTTCATCCAAACTCTCATGCAGCCCATGATGCGGTGGCTGCTACGGCGAGTCTGGGCAACCAACACATTCTGCAACAAGATGTCTTGGACTTCGAAGCCTCTGAAACTGCTGCACTCGACGTCGCGCTGAGGCTGTCATCCAACGTGTGCGACCTTGGGGTGGGCTTTTGCTTCGGTCGCAACCGCGCCCGCTGTGATGTCCTTCTGGCAGTGGACGACGAAGCCAAACGCGTATCCAATACTCATTTCCGGATCTACCTGACCGGCGACGGCATTATTATGCTGCAAGACACTTCCACCAACGGCACCATAGTAGACAACTGTCGCCTTCGAAAGAATCAAAAAGAGAACAGTCGGATGCTCACCAACGGCTCCGTCATTCAAGTGGTGACTGGGAACCAGGGATCTGATGAGGTGCGATTTGTGGTGCGGATTCCATCTCGTGAAGGCTTCGCTGTTCAATACACCCAGAATGTGCTTCGGTACTTTGAACGAGTGCAGGAGGTGGCCGGGGCCACGCAGCTCAAGGTTCGGAATGGCCCGGCTCCACCTGTTCTTTCATGGTCGGTCGCCAATTCCTATGGCATGCATTGGACGGGTGGTTCGATGTACAACGTGACCGGACAGGTTGGAAAAGGCGCTTTTGCCACGGTCTACAAGCTGGCTACCAAGCAGCATGGTGCGATCTATGCGGCAAAGGAGTTGGATAAACGGCGTTTTATGAAGAACGGCATCCTAGATCAAAAGGTCGATAACGAGATGAAGATTATGCGTGATCTCAAACATGTGAGTGATATACCTCTTCAGGGATCTAGTTGGTCTATATTAACATTTACCTTATTTAGCCCAACATCGTTCAATACATCGACCACCACGAACATGACCGATGGATCTACATCATCATGGAATACGTCCCAGGGGGAGAACTGTCCACATATCTATCCACCCACGGCAAGATCGCAGAGGACATGGTGCGGACGATTGCTCGCCAGCTACTACGGGCGTTACACTACCTGCATAAGAGAAGAATCACTCACCGCGATATCAAACCGGACAATATTTTGATTGCCTCGTTGGACCCACTACGCGTCAAGCTGTCGGACTTTGGGCTGTCGAAGGTCACCCAAGAGGAAACATTTTTAAAGACGTTCTGTGGCACACTTCTGTACTGTGCGCCTGAGGTGTACCCAGACTACGAAACCTACCGGCGTGGCGAATTGAGAAAGAGACGCCGTGTTGGAGATCCGTGAGTTTTCTCAATTCGATTTCCCATTTGAGCCTTGGTTAACTCATTGTTAGACCTCCCAAAACGTCTCCCTACAGCCAATCCGTCGACATGTGGTCACTGGGTGCAGTGCTGTACCATATCCTGGCCGGAGTTCCCCCATACTGCGGGCGCGCTGAGGATCGTGGTGTCGCCATGCTAAGAACCATTATGGAAACCGAGGCTGATTTTGACATCCTCCGGCGTGAGGGCGTATCTGAATCTGGCGTTAACTTCGTCGCTCAACTCCTTAACCGAGACCCCTTCTCGCGACCAAGCGAAAAGGAATGCTTCCAGCACCCGTGGATCTCTGGCATCCCGGATGTGGATGAGTATGAAGACGATGACATCTTGGTCGGCCCCCGTGTAGCTCTGTCAGTCATCGGTGAGGCGGAGGAGGAGCTTGATGCGTCTCAGCTATCTATCAATGAGGATCTTGCATACACCTACGCAGCCGATGCAGAGGAATCAAGCAGCAATGAAGCTCTCCCAAAAAAACCGCGCATTGAATACATCCCCACAGATATTCGCTATCCATCGCTTCCCAAAATTGAGAGCTTCCAGGATGGCCAAATGGTTGCCGAGAGCCACGCCAGGCGCCTCTTTGGCGAAGTCACGTCTTCAGCTCTGCGCAGCTCCTATGCCCTTGGCCACACCGGTTCGTGGGATGATGGTGACTACGATGCCGAGGGCTTTGCTTCTTCTGGTGAGTCGGTGAGCGATGAACGCAGCGTCTATTCGATCATTTCTCTCCCCGAGCACCCCTTCGGCGGCACCGCGCCCAGCCTGATGGGCGCAGAGAACCTCGTTAGGCGACTGAATATGAACTCCTCGCTTCCTCTTTTCCCTGCCCAGACCGGCCTGGTTAACCAAACTTCGACGCGGCAGACCAGCCCCGGACAGCCCACGGAGTTCCCAAAAGCAGGTAGCACCCCACGTGGGGTGGTTGCACCTACCTCGAGTACCAACGAGACGACACCCAAGGCCCCCAAGATCTCACGCCGTATCGAATTGGAGTTACCGGAAACTGCCAGTGAGCGTTCTGACAACAGTGCGCCCGTGAGTCGTCCTCATTCTACCCACCCCCAGGAACTGCCTGCGGAAGCGGACTACGACATCGAATTTGCGACCACACTGGATGCTCAAACTGGTCAGGCTGTCCTGGAGCAATTACGCGCGGCCGAGGAACCACCGTCGGAGCCGATCATCCATGAACAGCCTGACGCACCTGGTATTCCAACAGACATGCCAGTGGCCGAATTTACGAAGCCACCCAAGCTTTTGGGCAGATTGAGAAGCCTCTCAGGATCCATGTTTGATTTAAATCTTCGCCTAGAAAACCGGATGACCTCGTGGGGCCGTGGACCGGACGCAACAGTCCGCCACCCCGACAACCTGGACGTCCGGATTCCGGCATACGCCCTCGAAATCACCTTTTGGGCCCCCGGGCTCGAGCGCCGGATCGCCGAAGGCCAAGACTGGACACAGGTCCCCGGCGTCATGGCTGTGCTCTCCACGAAAACGCGCAAGTGCATCTGGGTCAATGGCACGGAGCTGCGCAAGGGCGGCCCGGAAGGACTACAGTTCGGCAAGCTCTACACCGGCGATGTCATCACTATCTACCGGCACAAGGACAATGGGGAGTTTCTGCAGCTGCGGTGCGAGTTCTACCACGGCGACAGCGCGCAGCCACGGCCCTCCCACGAGGCTGGGTTCGTGGTGCGCCAGGCGCTTGTAGGCAGGTCGGACGGGGCGGCGAACCGCGAGCCTGTTAGGCCGAGCCGCATGAAGGAAGCCGAGGAGTAGATGGATATTGGAGATCGGGATCGGGATCGGGGTCAAGGTCGGGCTGCCTGCTTCTGCGTCTACGTCTTTGTCTTGTCTCTCGGCTCTAGAAATAGATTGATAGGCGAATTGCATCATTGGGTGTGAGTCTGAGGTCGCACAAGCCAGCCATCCAGCTCGCCATGAGTTCCACAATGGCCTTTGTCCGCATGCGGCCATGTGGAGAGTTACGTAGATGGACATGGAGGACATGGACATGGAGCCGTGCATTGTAGTATACCAATCAGCACCCGCAGAGATCTCCAGCGCTGAGCTCAGTTCCATTGGTATGCCGGTTGAAAGCAATTGAACCAAGAAACACGTCCTCCCCTAGATAATATCCGCACGAATCCCCAGTAGGATCTATTTTCCTGTGCCTGGTTCCTTGGGAGGTTGTGGTGGTGCTCCGCAGAGGTGGTACTGACTTCTGCTTGCGGAACCAGCACCAGAGACTCCGTCGACCAACCTTCATCTGCGACGCCGTCGTGGTCTGTGCTCGGCCAGCCGGCCGTTGAATGTCGAATGGACCCATCCACATCTCACTTTCATCTTAATCCGTCGCGGGCCTCCGCCGGCCTCATTTAATTTCGCTTCGCCGGCCCAAACCCCCATTTCCTCCTAGTGTTCAGTCATTCTGACCTCACCGTCCTCCCAGCCTGTGCCTCTCAGAACGTCTCGTCCGCTCTCCAAACGATCTCCATTCAGAAACAACTGCGAATAAGTCTGCGTCACACCCCTCGACCCGCTTCCTCCTTACCGGTCGCAACACATGTCCCTGTCGCGATCACCCTCTCCCCACCCGGGCGGAGGGTGGTCCAGCCCGGGGCTTACCCCTGGCAGCGGCGCCTCGACTCCGCGCGGCTATTCGCCCGCGTCGCTAGCTCCCGGCGGTATCTCGTGGGCCGCAGCAAAGGCAAAGAGTGACGAGGTGCGCGGGTATCCCTCCTTCTCGACGCGCAACAGCGGTTTCTTTTCGCGGCAGAAGCACAAGATCTCAGCGCGGCTGCCCAGCTTTCGCGGGCATGCGTCCCGGCACGGATATGTCGATAAGGATGTGTACGGACGGGGGCATTTGAACTCCGATAGTGCCGGCGGGCGTGGACCCGGTGCCGCGCTAAAGGTGATGATGCGAAGAGGGAGGGTCCGGATGATATTCGGATTGTTCTTGTTGTGGATTGGGTACCTTTGCTTGTGGCCGAGTAAGTGGCGGTGCTACACCGGACTGGGCAACATCCCAAGACTAATACGCAATCGTGTCTCCAGCATTCGTCCATTTGTATCGACGGTCGCCACTGGGTGGAGGACGCAAGTTCGTCATTATCCTCGGGTCCAATGTGGAGGGCGGCGTGATGGAGTGGAAGGGCGCGCGCGAATGGGCGATCGAGCGCAACAGCATCTGGAACAAGCAGCAGTATGTCCAGCGCTGGGGCTACGAGCTGGAAGTCGCCAACATGCTGGCCAAGAAGCGGTACTCTCACGAGTGGCGCGAGAACTGGGAAAAGAGCGACGTGATCCGCGAGGCGATGCGCAGGTATCCCAACGCCGAGTGGTTCTGGTGGCTTGACTTGAACACCTGGATTATGGAATACGGCACCTCGTTGCAGAGCCATATCTTCAATGACCTCGATTCCCACGTCTACCGCGACATTAACGAGTACAATCCACTAAACATCACACATCCGCTACCGGAATTCTTCCTCGACGATATAGGACGCGCCCTCGAAGGGGACGGTAATCCTGATTCTCTTCATCTACTCCTCACTCAAGATTGCTCGGGCTTCAATCTGGGGTCTTTCTTCTTGCGCCGGTCTGTCTGGACTGAACGCTTGCTCGATGCATGGTGGGACCCCATCATGTATGAACAGATGCATATGAACTGGGAGCACAAAGAGCAAGACGCTTTGGAATACATCTACCAAAGCCAAGCCTGGGTCCGCAGTGGTGTGGGTTTCCTACCCCAACGCAAAGTCAACGCCTTCCCACTCGGTGCCTGCGGCGACGCGAACGACCCGGCCGTCCACTACCAAGAAGATGAGCATGACTTCGTGGTCAATATGGCTGGGTGCATGTTTGGCCGTGACTGTTGGGCTGAGATCTACAAGTACCGCGAAATCGGCAATGAGCACAATCGCTCTCGGTGGCAGTGGCTCTCAGACCGACTAACCTCTGCAAAAGACTCGGTCTTCGGGACGAAAGACTAGAACGGGGAATAGTATGGCCCGGACGAACGGCTGGGTGGCTCATTTTCTCTTCTGTCTCACTTCCAGTGCACCCTCTAGTTTATCCTCTTATGGCTTTATGTCTTTCCACGCATTTCACGCATTCTTCGACGGCCGCGCATTGTATGATACAGATTCAAGACTGGCTGGGCTTTTTTTTAAGGTCCTTTGTACATTGGGAATTTGGGATCTGCATTTCTCCCGGTGGGGTTGTTGGTCGGCGGTGATGTTGGAGTTACACCTTTTGCTGTGCAAATACTACTTTTTCGGCTCTTTCAGTTTAATTGGTTTCAAAGGCTCGTCGGTAACTCGTATATCATCTGCAGCAGCAACTCCTTGACTTCCCTTCTCCACTCCGCAAGCATCAAAACTATATACTCACGTGACCGGGACACCGAGCTGCACACTTAGTTCCTGCACCTCCCCCAACTCGCTTCCACCGCCCAGCCCCCCATCCAATCATGGCTCAGCTAATCCAACCACCAGCCAGTTCGGATTCGACCGCATCCACGCCCATCACGCAAATCGGATCCTCAACGGCCCTATCCCGCAAACCTCCCTTCTCGGCTGCAGGAAATCTCCAGCACCTGCTCCTCTCCGTCAAGCCCTTTACATAACCCACACAAACCGCCGCAATGCCGACACCCGAGTCCGCCGCCTTCCTCGCCAAAAAGCCCACCGTGCCTCCGACCTACGAGGGCGTTGACTTCGAGGACAACGTCGCCCTGCACAACACCCGTGACGCGATCATCCGCGAGCAGTGGGTGCGCAGCATGATGTCTCGTCTTGTTGGTGAGGAATTGGGCAAGTGCTACGCGCGCGAGGGCGTGAACCACCTCGAGAAGTGCGGTGTGCTGCGCGGTGAGACTCCCCGTTTTTCCTCCCCCGCTCCGGCTGCGATGGGCACCCGCGAACTGAGGAACTGCTCTTTCGGGCCTATACTACCGGTCGACGAGCGATTGCCTTATTTCGGATTGTTCTAGACGGCATATCGGAGATTTGTGCTGACGGTTTTGCAGAGAAATATTTCGAGCTGCTCAGTGAGCGCAAGGTTAAGGGTTATCTCTTCCAGGAGAAGAACTACTTCAGTGATGCGGCTAGCAAGTCCGCATAGTCTATTTCCATGGACGAATTGGATCGTTGCGCTTGTGGTGGACACCAGGGTTCTGCAGCGGCTTGCCTTTGCAGGAAGCTGCAATATTGAGGCCGTGATGCTACGGGACTGAGCGGAGCTGCATTTGCGACATTGTTGTGATGCAATATCCACCGCTAGATGCTAGCCGTGGCATTCATGGGGGACGAAGTCTCTGGCTGTTGCAGCTCTGCCTTGGAATGGATGAAGCGTGTGAGAGCGGCTTTCGCTCTCTTGTACTGTACATATAAGATATCATTGTCTGGTCAATTTCATTCTCGTTTGAAGAAAATGCAGCTTTTGTTGAAGTCTACAACTGCAGAAAGGGATTAAATACGGTGCATGTTAAGCTTATACTCTGGCGAAGGCTTGATTTTGATCTCTCATTCCTAGAAAGACGCACGAACGTCTATGCTATTCATTTTCCTCGCCATGCTCCTGGGTATCATATCAATAGTACACACTTGAAGCTGTCTGGCTCCGGTCAGGGAATCCGCCTGGGGTTGCTGGGCCGCCGAGTGAGACAGGTTCCTCCTCGCTATCATCCGGGTCGCTTCCAAACCGCGCGTTCACGCTCTCATCTGGTATCGCTCTCATGCGAAGGATTTGGTCCTCATCCAAGGAGGCAGGCATGTATGGCGCAGGCGGCGTGTGAATATCTCGACCAGACGGGAGTTTAGATAACAGCGGTGCAGATGCTGGAATGGGCTGCGTGTTGATCTGGAACATATTAGTATCGAGGTATCGGGAACCACAACAAATCCAGAACTCACAGTATCATTCATCTTCACCCATTTCGACTCCAACATAGCAATCACTCGGCCCTCCTCATCACGACCTGCATCGTCGCCCGCATCCAATGCGCCCTTGTCCCCGCGCCCCCCACCGGCGTCCTTGCCAATCTTCTTCTCTTCCCTCCGCTCCGCCCATTCCCGTTTCAATCGTGAGAATCCGCCCTTAGCTGGTCCCCCACTAACCTCATCCTGGCCTGCAGAAGACGATCCGGCGCCTCCTCGTATACCGAGAGGCGTCCGTGCAGCCCGCAGCCACGCAATGCCCTCGCCCGTCTTCCCAGTCAACTCGGCATCGATACCAAAGAACCGGCAAGCACGAGCACGGGCTACACGGCCCAAAACACCAGCATAGCGGGAAACCTCCTCATCCACCCGGCCTGTCCGACCAGCTCCAGACCCGACAGCACTTAGCCCCGCAGCAGCCTGTTCAGCGTACTCGGCCGCGCGAACGCATAGTCGTGCAAAAAGCAGCGCGCGCACTTTAGGGATTTCCGGAGCGCGAACCATCCATTCCCGATCATTCGGATTGCGGGATTGAATGCACGCTGTGACATATGCGTCATCCTTTAGCACAGCTAGCAACGTAGCCTCAGATAGAGCGAGTGAAGATAGCGCGGACTGTGTACTAGCGTCAATATCCGGCACGGTGGCTGTTGTCGCGGCCGAAAATGCCGGCGACGATGCGAGCAGCCCATGCACTGAGCTGGCTTGTAATAGGTTTCGAGTAGCGTTTTGTACAGCAGCCGTGCGCTGCTCTGTGGACTGTGTCGTTGGGGCGTATAGAGTTTCAATGACTCCCACGCGCGCAAGCCGGGTTAAGACGTATCCCAGCGTTGTGAGTGTAAAAGCGATTTCAAAATCGATGCCTTGGCCAATGACGCGCCCACCGCGTGGACGAATGGCTGTCGCTCCCGGGATGGTAGCTGGAGCTCCTAGATTGAGGCCACTGCTGGCAGATAGAGTGGGTTTCCACGCCGATTCAATTTCGGCGCGGGAGATAATTTCGATTCCGCCTGAAGCTAAAAATTCATTCTGGATAGATCGGCCGCTAATGCCATGTGATATCGCGAACAGGTATGGTATGTATTCGTTCAAGGCGGAGAGGACGGTGGGTAGGTGGGCGTCCTGTCGTGGGCCGCGGGGTAGCCGTTTGTGGGCCTTGAGGGCGAGGCGGAGGGCATGGCGAGCAGTCGAAGCGGATTGAGGGAGCGAAGGATGGGTTGAGGAGGAGATGAATGTCTGGAATGAGAGCGGAGACGTGGTTGGGAGGGTAAATGCGTAGACCATGGTGAAGGGGTGAGGCGCGGGGAGTGGGAGAAGCTGGGGATGTGAAGACGGGCCTGATGTCACTGCCAGCCAAGACACGCCTGGACTTGGCGAAGACGCGTATATCTACACCCTAAAGACCTTACTTTCTGCTTTCTCTCGTTTTGTAAGCATTTGTCCTTATTCCTGGCTATTTTAATCAATCTATAATGTATATACTCCGCCCGGTCGGCGGGTGTGTTCTAAGCGCTATGGCAAACATAAGTCTCGACATATAGATGACTCCACACTTATGAAAGCGTATCAAAGCCTATCGGAGTCATTGCTGTACAATCGCTTCCCTTGCCACTGCAGAAAAACTGTAGGGAAGAAGCTGCAGCCTATGATCAAGGCCGCGACAATTCCAGAGCTATTAGCAATGCCAACGCTATCGAACATGGAGGTAAACCTGAGTCGGCCATTAGCAAATATACGGGACGATAGTCATGCACACTAGCTTACCAGAATGGGCCAATAAATCCCCACGTCGATCGCACGAAGTTGATGAAGACACCAACGCTGCCCGCGTCCTGCGGGTACGTATCCACCGCATAAGTAGTCATGACTGTGGTAACGACTTGGTTGCCGAATGCAGCAATACCAGTTCCTATCAAAGGCTTCACATTCCACTTACCCAGGGTAGCCTGTTCCGTGCAAACAAGGAACACGACCATGCCTGCAATACTCAGCAGGAACCCAATGTAGCTCAGCCACAGCCGGTACTCTGGTGCGGGCTTGTGGCCAATCTTCTTGGCACGGGTGTTCATCCACATATCAGACATGAAGCCGCCCAGCAGCTCGCCAAGGAGGGACCCAATGATCAGGCCTAGGAATTGAAGGCCAAGTTGTTGGGCATTGAGTTCGAACTTCCTCTGGAGGAGCTGGGGCACTTCAACGGAGTTCAGCACAGAAGCAAAAAGGAAGACCATGGAGTATGCGATAGCGGCGAGTAGGACCGGGATGTTCGTAAACAACGTCAAAGGATGGAAGAATTCGGACACCTTGAACGGGGTTGGATCGATGCGACGCAAGGACATATACTCGCGCTTGAAGACAGACGATTTAGATTGGACATGGGCGCCGATGTAGCGGGTTTCAGGGCCGAAAAATATGTAGAGGAAGAACTGGACACCGTTCGTCTGAATGACTGGTCAGCATATTGCTCAGTAGTTGTAATGATGAAGATGAATACTGGCGAGTACTCACGATGGCCAGAATCCAGTAGATCCAGCGGTAATCAACGCGTTGAGCCACGAAACCAAAGATGAAAGGCCCAATTGGCACACCGAGGGTAACCATGATCGTCCAGATTCCCATATACCGTGCTCGCTCATGTCGGAAGAAGGTCTCTGTCACAACGCCACTTCCAATGGCCATAGCAGGCGAGATAAAGAAAGCTACTAAGGCACGGCAAGCTGCCATTGAGGCGTAGTCCGGACTCTTTGCGCATCCAATGTTACAGACACAGCTCAGAATCAGGGATAAAAGGAAAATCGGACGCCGTCCAAAACGGTGTGAAAGTGGCTTCCAAAACAACGGAGCACCCCCAAGGATCGCAATCTGCAAGGAAGTAAGATAGCTGACTCGCTGTATAGAGACATCGACATCAAGGGCGATGTCCTCGTATGCGCAGATGATAGCTGCGGCAGTAAGCGTGCCCATGCAGGCATGGAACGAGACGAGGCTCAGGTTGGCGGTTTTCTAAAGAGATGATTCTGTGTCAACAAGTCTCCCACACCCGAATGGAAGATCTTTTGTCTTGCTCACCTTCCACAGTGGCCAGTTGTATGGATCTGCTGGATCCATGCTGGGGATAGGATCGAGATCCAGCGTGCCATGCCGCTCGAGCAGGTAGGACTGGTGCGACTCGGAGAGAAACCTGGTCGGATGGGCATTGACCGCAATATCCTTCTCTTCAATATAATCAGATGATGATTTGGCTGGCATTCCGCCAGGAATTTCATGTTCGTGCAGCGACATTTTGACAGATATCAGAAATCGAGGTCAATTAGTGTGCCACGAGGGAGCAGGGTCCAATATAACATATTAGGGGCTTCCCACTACCCCAACCCCGCGTGTTTCACGCCGGGAAATGGTGGTATCCGGGGTTATGGCTCAATGGGTGGGACTTGCTGGATACGAGCGTGTCAGAACTGAGGCGCGACTGGCATCCATCTGATTTTCCGGCCACAACCAAGGTGCGCAGTGGAGATGGCTATAGTGGCTATACTTGTGATAGGCCCATGGGGGCTATGACAGGACGACTCCGGGGATCGTGATGGGGCCAGGCAGTCATTGCGGTAGATTTAGCGAGTGCTATTGCCGGGGAAAGGTGGTCATTATAGACCCGCGGCCCGTCTGAGAGGGATGCGAGCCGACTCCAAAGCGGGTTTTCTATGTAGCTAGTCGGCTAGTCAATCCCCGATCCACAGGGAAAACGCCGAGCGGTTCGCAGGGTCTGGGTCAACTGCCGATGCCACTATCCGGGCTTCTGACTGGAGAAGTCGGCCTGGGCTTGCACGGTGACACAGCCAGGTTGCCGGCCAAGTCGGGTGGCGCGGGAAGATTAAGCTTTCTCCAGACCTGATATAGCACATCAGTGTGATCATTGCTATCTTTGAGCGATGTGGTTGAAATTCAAAGTATTTGTTGTTTTTTCGTGTCTGGAGAAACCCCGGACTGTCAACTATGGGTGGCGGGGGGACTCCGGGGGCGACTCCACAGGGGTTCACCCACTGCTCTACGCCGGCTTACCAAGCAACGTTCGGCCGTTTACCGAGCCTAGAGCGGGTAACTTTACATCTATGGGTCTCTAGATCTCGTGATATGCTGGAATCTCTACTGTTTTACTTCACCAGTCAATTCCTGAACTAGGTCTACACCATACATTCACCGTGCTTTGATAGCTGCATCTCCGCAATGATACTCGGGTCTCAATTAGTTGTATACGGAGAACACCTAGATGCCAGATGAGAAAAGACATATTCGAATCTTGATAGGTAGTATAGATGCTATGGTTAGATGGATAGCAGCATACCATACCAGCTTCTATTATTTTTAACGGGCCTCTATAAAGATATCGCAAAAGAGGGCAGGGATGATATGAGAAACGAAAACGTAGGTTTCCAATACTTTATCTGACTAATAAAGTCCCCAGATCAAAGGCCACACATATAATGATCAGAAGCTTAACACCTTTCATCTGAAATGTTAAAAGGGCATATGGCCGTGCATAGACTGATCGTTATCGGCAATGTGAGGAAGCGCGAGACCTATGCATATCCTGTGACAGAGCATGAACGTGCACTGGCCAGTGGTTGCCAGGTTTCCGGGTAGCCGGGGCGTGTGGGTAAACGTTTGCAGGGTGCAAAGGCATGTCAGTTCGGTTGGATGTATATGCCCTGATCAAAGCTCTTAGGTGTGCTGCCTCTGTGCGGTGTACGTGCGCTCCCATGTTCACGAATGTGCAACTCAGAAAAGTCAAGACCCACGATGTCGAAGCTTTGAAACGAACATTGAACATGATGACGTGGGATATGCCATGACCATGGAGATTGCTAAGCGGTGATTCCGATGTGCATGTGTAGTGGAATGCGGTCTCGTTGAGTTGGTTCGAGAGGTTGATTTTGGGTAGTTGGCTTCGTAATGCAGAAACGGTCCTTCACACCTCCATGGGGCCGTCCTCTGACAGATGACTCGGCGCACTGCTGACACCAGAGGTTTCGCTGCCACCCGGACTCAGCGGTGCCCGGGATCGTACCTGTGCGCCCCATTCTCGAATGCTCGGCGCGCCGCCTTCGATGACGACGGGGTGCTCTTCCGCGCTCTTGCCCAAGACTGTCCCCGCGTATCGCGACTCTTCACCCGTCTTGCTGTGCTTTGTCTTCAAAGAAGTCAAGAAATCCACTTTCTCCATGGCGTCCGGGTCCACCATGTCTCCTTCGCTGGGGACAAAGCCTGCAATGCGCCGGATCTCATGGTGGGCTGGGCCAGTTATCCACCCAAGCAGTGACTCGAGGCCGCGCATATCTTCCTCGCCCGCCCAGTCTTCCTCCCACTCTCTTAATTGTGGTCGTAGCGCGCCTGCATCCTGGAGGGCTTGGTAGACGTCCTCAAGAACAGGGGATGGGTCTTCGGGATGGGCGTTGGCGGCATGCGCGGCAGTTGCCGAGGCCAGGATCATGAGATATCGACCGGTCAAATCGGCCAGTGACTCTAAAACGGACGGACGTGTTGAGTGGAACCCCTGAGCCCGGAGAATCTGGATAATGGGAGGTCGCAGGAGTGCATTATGCAGGTTGTGGCCGGACATTGCGGCGAAGGGAGCTGGCCGTATTGCGGAGGAGTAAGATAGAAGCCACCGAGAGGAAAGCAAATCTGTTTAAAATCCAGGCTATTCCTTTGAATGGGGAAGACCAAGGTGAGAAGCAGGCAGCAGTGAGTGATGGGAAGGCGTGATGGCTGACTTGGCGTCGGCGGTTGACTGATGGAAGCTCTGCGGCAGGCCGAACTCGAAGGCGGAGAATTCAATCTGGGCGCGTCCCTTCCACCTCCTTCCCACCACGCCATACAGCTCGCCTCACCTTTGCTTCCTAATTTCGCGTCGGCAACCTCACTATTTTGATCGCAAGCAACCTTTGCATTCGGTAGCATAATGTCTGATGCTAAGGGTCCAACCCTTAAGCTCAAGTTCGGCAAAAAGCCCGCACCACCGCCGGCGGAGCCTGCGCCAGCCGAAGCCTCGCAGCCCAAGCTCACCCTGAAAATCGGTCGCAAATCCCAACCCCAGGCCGAAGCCTCCGAAGAGAAGCCCAAAAAGAAAAAGGCATCGTCGAAGAAACGCCCCGCCGAGACTGCAGCACCGCCTGAACCCGCGGCGGCCCAGCTGGGTCCGAAGCGGCTCAAGCTGAACACATCCAAGCTCAAGTCGATCCGTATCAAGAACAAGGCCCATGTTCCCAACCGCCCGGTCGGTGTCGGCTACGACTCCGAAGCATCAGATACCGAAATCGATCCGTCTATCGAAGAACAATTTATCTTACGTATGCTACCGGGCGAAGACTGCGACTACCTACGACAGGCTATCGAGGAGAGGAAATTCGACAAGTCGGAGTTCTCCTTCAAGCCGCTCACTCGTGATGGCCGACGCGCCATCTTCAAGGTTCGGAACCAACAGTATGCGGCCTGTTTAGTTGATCTGCCCTGCATCATCGAGGGCATGAAGAGTTGGGATCGGCGGGGGTGGTACAAGTCAGCCGACATCTGCCAAATGCTCTTGATTTTGGGGAAAGTCTCGAATGACCAAGAAGCGCTGGAGTATCCTATTCCCCCCGAGCTCGAAGGTGCCGATCCTAAGATGCTACAATACCCCCACGGGCTGGCACCACCGTTGCGATGGGTCCGTAAGCGACGTTTCCGTGACCGTGTCAGCTCGCGCACTATCGAACAAGTCGAAAGAGCCGTGGAAGATCTGGTTGCACAGGATGAACAATCGCTTTTTCCGCCGAGATTCGATCTGGTGGACAGTACGTCCTTGAACCGCGCGGAAGGACTCGTGCAGGAAGACTACGATGAAGACTACGATGAAGACCAAGATGCCGAGGGCGAGGCAGATGAGATGCTGGATGACTTTGAGGATGCCCTGGCGGCTGAGATGGAAGCGGCGCTGGCTGCTGGAGACGATGACGCAGCGGCCGCAGTTACAGAAGCAGGCCAGGCCGCGACCGCATCCACGCCAGCGGCACGGACCGAAGGTGGAGGTGACTCTTCTGACGAGAGCGACATGTCGGATGAGGGCGCCGACGGCCCAGACGATGATCTTGACGAAGAGCAGCTGGAACAGCAGCGCCAGCTCCAACAGCACCGGGAAGAAATCGCCGAACTCGAGGCTCTTATTCGCACCGAAACCGCACAATGGGAGAAAGTTCAAAATCATATTCTACGCAACAAGATGGGTCGCCGCATTCAGGAGCTGAAAAAAGATCTGGAGCTCAAAAAGGTGTCCATCGGGATGCCGGGCGACAACGATGTTTGATTGGGGCATGCTTATTTCGGAGTTATGTGCATTACAGGAAGCATTTCAAACAGGCGCTGGCGCACCTTCCTCATCTGATGATCCCTTCTTTCGAAATACCAGTGGAATTTGATTTTTGTATCAGCCCATGAGTGATCATATCTGGAGGAAGCCGGTTGTAGACCCTGACGTCATCCGACCATCAGTCTAAGCATGCCACAAGCTTTCCGCGCCGAGCGCTACTCATTTCAATTCTTCAAACTACCCCAGTGTTTGTCGATACAGATCCCACTTGTCTATAACTTGTCTATACGTCGTTGGTCTCTCAAGTTTTGAAGAGATCGATACTATCAACATGGAGACCCGCAGTCAAGCCGCTCAGCCGGCCCAACCACCCAAGGAAGCTGCCTACGCGCAAGCTTCCAATCCAGTTGAACATAAACCATCTGAGCAACGTGCATCTGCCCCTCAAACTCGTCAATACGGCGACCCTACCGCGTCAATCACACGAGGCCCGGACTCCAAGCCATCCAGCGACGAAGCTCGTGCACGCCTAGATAGGCAGCACCGACAAGAACGAGCCGAAATGCAGGACTCCCCCGATCTGGATCTGGAATATGGAGTCGAGCAGCAACCTGCAGAGGGTTACATTGCTGACTCGGTCCAGCGTAAGGGAGAAGGAATGCGCCGTGCGCAAGCTGGTGCACATGCTGGGCCGGTCGGCAGTGCTTCTGGCCCTGGCCACCCGGGATTCGGGGAAGAGAGAGATCTTGCAGCGAACATGGATCAGAAACGGGTGGAGCATGATCGTCTGTTGGGCGAGAAGATCGGTCGCAGTCCTATGGCCCCGGACTCTGATGTCGCCGAAAGGGAAGCTGTGCGGCAGCGTAAATTGAAGAGAAATGAGGATGTGGAAAAGGCGCTGAAGGAGGAACCCGGAGCGCCTGTTGTGGGTTAATAGAAGGACGGTATTCACAAGAATCAATTGTACTTTCATATCTTCTTTCTAAGCGGCTTTTAGCAAAATTAACGGGTTCTTCGAGTCCATGGCATGCCAAGCATAGAAGGAAAATGGGAGAGGAGGGTGTAACGTCCATTTGTTGGAGAAACTAGAGCGCCTAATTGCCTACTTCTTTAGAATTGAACCCCGTAATCATGTCCTTGGAAAAATTCCTTCAGCGCCGAATTCACCTCATCTCTTGCTTCCAGCTGCAGCCAGTGCCCAGCCGTGCTCACACCTTTCAATGTCAGGTCATCCGCAATCTCATTTGACTGGGCTCCAGCAGCCGATAATTGCGCCGCCATTTGCGCTGGAAAGACCATGAGAACTGGACATGGTATCTTGATAGATAGTCCAGATTCCAGTTCATCCTGCTCATTCAGATTATGCACCAGAGCTTGGTACCAGTTGAGTGCTGGACCATGATGGCCCCGCATTATCTTCTGGTGAATGAGTCGTTCTTGGTCCGTGATGAACGGTGCCATTTCTTCTTGATGGTCGGCTAGAAGCCATGATTCCATTGATCCAGTAGGCCCGACATGGTCGTTCCAGAGGGATGGGTCCGCGGGATAGAAAAGTGTAAAGAACGAGTCACTCTGTCCGGGCGCATTTTACATGAGCATTGATTGAGCCTTATACATAGCATCCACTTTCAAAACTCACATGCTGATCCAGAACCTCTCCCGCATTATCACTGATGAAGAATTTAAGGTATCCGAAACGCTCTTTCCCCAGAAGCTGCTTGGCCATTGCATTAACAGCATCGAGATCGAAATGCTCTCCGGGTTTGGAATATGGCACTGCCAGGAATGTGCATGATAGCAGCCTGTCGGGGAAGTAGTTGACTAGTCGCGAGAGGAGAAGACTGCCAGTATCATGAGATACGGCATGTACCTGCTTCAGATTTTCATGATCCAGAATCTCTGCAATCTCTGCAGCCATTTTCTTGGCTTTATATTCCTCCCCAGACGCTGGTTTACTGGTGCCACCATAGCCAAGGAGATCTGGTGCGAGAACGCCGTAGCCATGCGATGCGAAGAAACTTATCTGATGGCGCCAATCGAAGCATGACGATGGGAATCCATGAAGAAACAATATTGTCGACTTGGTTGAGTCCGCTGCGAGTATATAGGCGTAATTATACGTGCGGCGTGTCGACAGAAGCAAAATCTTAGCGTGTTGCGGGAATGCAATAGATGCCATAGTCATTTAATACCCTCTGGTGCATGTATGTGCACCAAACATAATTAATGGATTTTGTTCGGCGTACAGTATATAAATGCTGTGACAAGGCTTACCGGCGACTTTCTCGGAGACTTTGAACTTTAGTCAGCTGGGGGCCATCTCACTTTTGCGAAGCTCAGTGCCATATTCTCATGGCAAGTGTTACGGGTGCATACACAAGGGACCCTTGTATTCATGCAGGATGGTGCTTTAATGGCATTTTTAGTATTCTATTCACGTAGCTGGCCAGTGACCGTCTTGTATTCTATTTGTTGATCCCCTCGCGGTAGTTGAGCCCGGCCCATAAAGTACATTTACGTACTCACTTAAGGTCTCGCTTTCTTCACCTTCATTCAAGAATTGGAGTCATGCCTAATATACCCTTTCCCCTGCTCCTAGGATATTTTACACTTCCACACACGGTATAATCGGCATCGGGTGACGATTAGGTCGACAGACTAGACCAAAGCCCTGCTACTACCCCCATTCAAACTGATCACTCGGAAATCAGGCTTCAGGGAATCAACAAGCAGAATAGGAAATGTTGGAATAATCGAGATAGCTGAAGCATCCGCAGGTTAGGTTTACGGTGCTTTAACTACTGGCCGATCAAGTGAGAAGCCGCGGCTCGGTGTTAGGGTGGAAAGGCGGCCAACTCTAGCCTCGGAAGCAGTTGCTTTGAGTCCAAGTACCGGTAACATAGATCTTCAAGTACTCTGTGCAAGCAATTCATTTACGATTTGATGTGCAAAATATGCAGGTATTGTGTAACTGTAGGGAGCATCGTCCCGGGCGTGATGCGTCGAGAGGTCCCAGATTATGTCATCATTTCCGGTGGTCGGCCCGTCGGGAGGGCATGTGATGCCGCCGAGGTCTGCTTCCCATTCACACGAGACATGATGGGACCGTCGGTTCTATTAAACAGCGTGCTGCCGCCAAATAGAGTTAGGCGGCTCACACATCCGATATCACCATGGCCACTCTTTTCACGGTTCCGATCACCTCAACTGGAGGCTCCATCGTGTGCACCAACCCGACTACAAATCAGGGCCAGGAGCAGCAGAATATCTATGTCCTGACATTCACTTCCCCGAAAGATAATCGGCTGACTCCGACCTTCATCGATGCGCTTATTCTGGCACTGGATATCATTGAGCACCGCTACCCGAAGGGCGTCGTAGTCACGACCAGCGGTATCGCCAAGTTCTACAGCAATGGCCTTGATCTGGAGCTGGCGACTAGCACCGAGGGATTCTTGGACAAATGGCTGTGGCGTTTGTTCCGGCGTTTCCTGACGTATGTACTCCAGATAACATGGATCAAGACTATCAGGCATGGCCGCTGATTGCGTTTTCTAGATACCCCATGCCCACGGTCTGCCTGCTAAACGGGCACGCCTTTGCTGGTGGCTTTATGCTCGCAATGTATCACGATTACCGGATCCAGAACCCAGACAAGGGTTTCTTGTGTGTAAATGAGCTGGAATTCGGAGTGCCACTCCAAACGCCCATGATGTCAATTTTCCGTGAGAAGCTGACCCCGACAACCTTCCGGAACGTTGTCCTCGAAGCACGTCGGTTCGGCGGGAAAGATTCGTTGCAAGCAGGCATTGTCGATGCGATCGGCGGTTTCGACGAGGTTGCCGGTTTGATTCGCGATCGCAAGCTACTTAACAAAGCGGCGACCGGAATCTATGGCACCATGAAGGAGGAAATGTATGCGCGCGTTCTCACTGGCCTGGACGACCATGAAGGAAACCTTGCATGGCGGGAGAAGGTGGAGGATAAGAACGGAGAGTTGCGCGGTATGGGCTTGAAAGATGTGGAAGAATGGGAGAAATCGACTAAGGCAAAGCTGTGAGGTGATATACTATATGCTCTTTCATTTCACGAAACTACTGTGGTTACACATAAAGTATGGAGCGCGGTAGTTCTGTACATTGTTTATTAACTTGCTTAAAGCCTGTGCTCTATAGTCCCAGAAAACAAACATCTGACATACCCAGGGACTTCTGATGTACTACCATTTTCATAAACACTCATATAGAACACATCACTTTATATCTATATGTATGTATGTGCGTGTGTGTGTGTGTGTAAAGGGAAAGGAACTGTCGTTGGTAGGTGGAGAGTTTTGAGGACAAAATTATCTGTCATCCACCACTCTACGTGTGTCTCATAGCAACCCACCGAGAGCCGTTTGGAGGATAGTAAACAACTCCTCGCCTAATAGTGCCACGGTTTCCGCGCTCAACGAAGACAACACCACGTCTTTCGTGCTGCAGCCGCCACTCACATCCTCCCCATCCAAGCGGTCTGATAGCCATGATAACGCACTTGACGAGCCCGAAACCGCCTCAGATTCATGATTCCCAATCAAATCCCGATGATACTCAATAGTAGCACCTTCAGCACAGTACTTGGTGACAAGATCATCTGTGTCTGCCACCAGGCTAATCTCATCCCCGGTTGCTTTGTAGATAAATAGAGGTGCGGTTGGAGTCCCGTGAAGACCCATCCGCCCAGACCACCGAAAGACTGTCTGGGGCACAGCGTCGTAGAATGGAGCCTCCCCGCCTTCAAAGTACGAGAAAAGGTCTTGGTATTCACCATCAGAACTAGTCTGTGAAAGACAGCCGCTAGCGATGGAATAGAATTGGGCCGATTTCGAGGAGATTAGATTCGCATTCAACCATTCTGTAAAGTTTGGGTATGCTTTCGCTTGTCCGTAAATTCCTGAAAAGCAAAGACCCGCGTGTGAGCCAGCATTGATAATCTGAAGCACGGCGCTCACGTTTGGCGTTGTTCCTCCTGCAGCAACTCCGGCGAAATTCAGCTCCGGTGCATACCTTGGCTGGAGCTCAGCCGCCCACATAGACGCCAATGCGCCTCCTGAGTATCCCCAAAGTGCATAGCGTGGATTGCGTGATAGTCCAACTGAGGGACCCTCAGTAAGGATGGTCCGTGTAGAGTCCAAAACAGCCTGACCGGACTGGAGACCAGCTGTAAATTCGGCCTTCAGCCCTTCGTAGTCCGTGGTGAAGACCCACCAGCCCAGATTGAGAGCTGCCGCGATCTACATATATTGGGTTAGATCTTGAATAGAATGGCAGCGGTCAACACTCGGCGTACAAAGGGTATATCCATGGAGACATTCAACCCAGACACTGACAAGCCTAGGTTTTCCTTCTCGGCCCGGAGAGTATAGGAGGGGCTGCAATCCACGTTGGCACTATCGTAAAACGCCTGGTATCCAACGAGCTTAGATGGGTCCGAGTTGTACGGCTCAATCAGCGTGACTACCGAGCCAACTGCATCTCCTAGGCTATCTGTGGTGCGGAAAAGATACTGAGTGACAGCCTTTACAGAAACGTTCACAGGCAATGATAACAGTGACTCTAACTGAGGGGCAACTGAGCGAGAGCGAATCATCTCCCCTGCGGCGTAGTCACTGATGTTGCCGGGTTGGTCATACCAGGGGTCCTGCGAGGGCGGAAGGATTGAAGCCGTGGACGCAGCGGGAAACCAAATGAAAGGGATGATTGACAGTGGAGCTGCCCGCATTTTGTCGTTTACTCTGCGCCTTTATTAATGGTGCTCATGAGCCATGACTCAAATTATGGGCCCCTCTTGTCTTTATAACCAATTTTTCTACTACATTACGACAGCTCTGCGTGGTCATGCAGATTCAAGCCCCACACATAAATACTTTGCGATGTGACCGTCCTGCATTTGTTGCTTAAGCGAGGATGCCGATCCTGTTACACGGAATGTTCAGCTGACTGACTAATATGCTTCCTGGCCAGCCGTTCGCTTCCACGTAGCTCGAACTACCAGGGGCAGAAATACATTGCTTGGTTTAAAAGCTTTTCGCCATATCAATAAACCTAAATCATGATGGCAAGAAACCATTACACTAATAGCCGGGCGATGGTAAGCACTGTTTGTACTTGTTTACAGTAGCTTTCCAAACCATCTTTTCCAAGAACTCTTTTGACTTCATTCCGGGGGATTAGATTCAACATGCAACTAATTATTTTAACCGGCCGCTTTATAATGTCAGCAGAACGTTGCAGCAGTGGTACCATAATCGTTGGGCTAGCGTAATAATACTCTAATGCCCCTAGATTCCCGTAGAATCTCTCGGTAGTTCCGAGGATCTCGTAAGACCGCCTGCCTGTTTTGCTTTTTGCCCTTGTCATACTATATGCAGTTATATAGACAGGATAATGTCTGCCGGGTGGGGCCTTTCCTATCTGGGCTGCCACCGCTTTTATGAAGGCGCTCAGGCTTCGGATCACTGAGTAGACGTCAGCACGGGCTCTGACACAGTGATCAAGTCAGTCAAGTCATGTGCGCGATGACTAATATCCACTGCATGCTCAGTGCGTGCTCGGGCCGGTCAGTGAGTATAATCTCCGTCAGTTAGGACAGGGACCTTGCCAAATGGGTTCTTGGCTAAATGCTCGGGGTGCTGTTTATGCTATCTGTCAGTTGTACAACTTGCGGCACGAGAAGTCGAGACACCCGGTATTAACCTTTTGGTCGCCGTTCAGAACACTCAGGTCAACTAGTTCCACATTGTGCAAACCCTTCTCGAAGAGAACGTGGCGCGCGCGTAGGGTATTCCAAGAGGTAGGAGCGCCGAAAAGCCGAAGCGCCATTTTGTTCAGACGCAATAATCAATAGCGACCAGAAAGCGGAAAATAAAGCAAATTGTACGATTCTTTCGTTGGAGAATGTCTTCACTGAAGATAAAAATGCAGGCCCTGGTCACATTCTCCGACTAGCTCTAGACTCTTTGTATATTGAATCTTCGATTCGGCCTACTCGATCTCAGCTGAATTCTATCCTTAACCGTTCTTAGACTTAATCCAACTTCGAGTATTTTTTTGGCCCGTACCATGATTGCATATTACATCATAGCCTATCCGACACTCAGGAGACACTAAGCTATTAAAAAGAGACCGTATTTGTCAGTTTTTGTCAAATTTGCCGCATTTGGGCAGTTTGCTCTATCTATTAGGTTTGTCTGGTTTGTTTCTCCCCTTCCATGTCGAAACGGGTGGCTCATCCACAAACACCGAGTGTGACTACCCGCTATGCTAAGCGTGGTGGCGATTTTCACGTCAATGAGCTGCGCTCGCAGTCCATCCCCACATGGCTTCATATAAGATTGGCTAGAACAGGTTGATTAGGAATACTACTATAGCTGAAGAACATTGTTTTGGAACAAAAATAATTATCTCAACGCTTTCCTTCACATCGTATGGGACAGAAACTGGGTCGACAATTGCATTGTGATATGTTGATACCAACCTTGACCTTGCCACTGCCAAGCTTTTAAGCTGTAACCATGCAGCCCTACGAATCTATAAACTCCTGTTTTCAAGGGTCGTTATCCACCGTTAGTGCGACATATGAAGTTATGATATGCAAATATATGGCGAACCGTTTACGGATATTATAAATCAATGTAAGAATCACATGCTATCAATCTCAAGAATGTTAAAGTGGTAAACTGGTACCAAGGACACAGTAACTATGGTTATTGCATGACGCGTCATGATTCCAAATACTGGATTAATCAGCTGGCCGGCTTCATGGTGAGCTTCGTAATGCGATCATCCAATGCATACTCCGTATAAGGTGCGCCCAGGCAATAAATTGTCTTCGTTGCCGGAAATACTGGCTTTGCTTTTCTGTCTTCCAAATTCTGAATCCTCCAGGAGAATAGGCAATAGCAAACAGAGAAATAAAGAATCCGAAAATGCCACCACCACCATTCCCCCCTGCTGGATATTCTGAAGATATCGTCCGGCGAGTCCGCGTGCTCTTCAACGGGCAATATGTGGTCGATGCTCCGAACCCTAAACTTGTGTAAGTGATCTTTGAATTTCGAGAGGTCATTGCATAAATGCCAAATGGAAATGAAGACTATAGAAGTTATGGCAAACAACTTATCAAACACGCAGGTGGGAACACCCCTACTACCCCGTCTACTACTTTCTCCGCTCCGATATTAGCCATGAGTACCTAGCCAACAAAAACATCGACTCCAACGGACACGCAGTCTACGACCTAGTTGTCAACGATCGAACATCGTCATCCGCAGTAACCCTCTTTCAGTCCGGCCCGTTGAAAGACTACGGCACGATCGGAACCAACAAAGCCGACAAATGGTTTGAAGAGGATGAGTGCTTCTACGGCCATCCAAAGGATCCATACAAAAGAACCCAAATTCTGCAATCCTCAAAGCATGTCCGCATAGAGATTGATGGCTTTGAGGTTGCTAACACAACGCATCCAAAGCTGTTGTACGAGACAAGTCTGCCTATTAGAACGTATATTCCACATACAGACGTCAGGCTGGACTTGTTGAAGGATGACCTCGACCTGAGTACTAGTTGTCCGTATAAGGTTGGTAGTTCTATCTTCTTCCTCTTCTTATGAACTCAAACTGGTGTTGATTCGGAGTATAGGGAGACGCGAGTTATTATGTTGTCGAACTCCCTGATGGGCAGAAGAAGCCCGGCCTCGCATGGTGGTACAAAACACCGACTTCAGAGTGCGCGGATATTAAGGGATATATTGCCTTTTACGATGATAAAGTTGATGTTTGGGTGGATGGAGTAAAACAGGACTCACCTATCAATCTTAAGGGATAGTGTAAGCATTATTGTGTTCTGTTACTATACATTCTTCATATAGTCGCTCATTGGGTTGGTTTTTTCTGAGTGGGCTTTCCTCGATTATATTGTCCATTCTTTTTCCAGCCTATCAGCTTGAACGCAACTATTTTTGTCTCAACCAAATTCATCAACCTAAACTAGCCGATACGACTGAAAGACCGATAAATTATGCAAATGTTATTCTCGTAAATCGGCATTTCGCTCCCTAGCTTACTGCCGAGTGGTCTTCTTTGCCCAACCTCTGACGACAAGGACTCTTCTAATGCTGGAAGTTGTAACTAGGGTGTGGAACCCATCCCAGAGGAAAAAACCATCTCATCGAGGTACCAACCGGGTTTCTTCGGGAGGTGGTCGCAGAGCGCTTCGATCATCAGGGGGTACTTAGTCCATTTCCATCCTATTCGAACTAGGGTGCGTGGACACTTCCAAATTGTCCCAATTTTCTGTAGATTTCTACGATCATAACCGGGCTACAGTCAGCTTCTTCGACCGTTTGAGATGTGGTAAGTGATTGGTTCTCTATCATATCTCGAACGTGACGCGGCTTTGACGGAGAAGTCTCGGAGCCATTTTGCAAGTTCTCGCGTGACTTGAAAGACAGTTACTATATCCATGGCATTTTCGTGTAGAATACATGAGCAGGGGTCCCACCTGAATCAGTAAAATTATAGTGTCTATTCTTGGGTATCTGGGATCGAAAACCATGCCTAGTGTAAACTGGGCGGCTACAAGCTAATCAGGGGCGTCCAAATTCAGCTTGTTATGTAACACTCACTGAGCGGGTCAGGCCGGTCAGTGGCGTGCTCAATCCTACTCAGTGAGCAAAAAATGGCGAGTGGTGAGCACTAAAACGGAGAGGGGACGCCAAGCCGTGCCAGACATTATCCTGTATGTATGCAATCACAGCCTTCACATCGCACCACTAGTCATAATACACAAAAATCTTGTTTATGCTGTAGAGCTAACCATAACAGTCAAGGGTGACACTTTCTCACCTCCATGGCTGCTGTTATGCGTGTCTCATTCGTTGCCAGCCTCGAACTAAACCAGGCTGTCCCATGATGTGACAAGCCTAAGCAGTTCAAACGAGTTGTGTTCGAATTATACGAAAATATCAAGTCTAGGAAAGGAGAGAAGAAAAAGGAAGGATGAGGGTTGAGGTTGCAGCACCACCTCTAGGTTCATTTCTCACCTCCAGTCCTAGAACCTCAACCATATGTTCCACACGTTCAGTCCATCACAAATACATGAAGGGTGAATAGGAGTATTACTGACCCACAATGGAATTATCCAAGTGATTTCAATCTCTTTCTAAATAATCGATAACAATCAGATAAGAAGATCCTTTCCTAATCAACCTCGTTCAGGTCAAAATGTTGCGGCACAGCATAGATGCTGCGGGAGGCCCCAAAAAGAGGGTGATTCTCGAGAAACTTTTGTGCGGGAGTTCTTGACTTATTTTGCTCGGGAGCAAAATTAGGGCATTCTTGCTTGGGGAGTATCGCCGCTGTATCGTGAATGCTCCCAAGTGATTCCCGTGAATTATCAGGATAATTGACGCTAGCGAGAGTGTCAGGATGCTCTGGCCCTAGAGCTTTCTCTCTGCCCGTGCTCGCCGGTGCGTAGCTTTAGACTCTTCGTACTTGCCCTGTAGTTCAAGCACTGAACAGAGACAGCTGATACTAGTAAGGGTGTCAGGATGCTTTGGTCCTAGAGTTCTCTTTCTCCCTTCTAGTGCTCGCCGATGCATAGCTTCAGACTCCTCATACTTACCCTGTCCTTCAAGCATTGAACCAAGAAGGCTAATACTAGTAAGGGTATAGGGATGTTCTGATCCTAGAGCTTTCTCATAGCCTTCTAGTGCTCGCCAGTGCATAGCTTCGGACTCTTTATACTTGCCCTGTCGATAAAGCACTGAACTAAGATGGCTAATACTAGTGAGAGTGTGAGGATGCTCTGGCCCTAAAGCTCTCTCTGCTCCTCGTAGATCTCGCCGATGCATGGCTTCGGACTCTTCGTACTTGCCCTGTCCTTCCAGCACTAAACCAAGATGGCTAGCACTAGCGAGAGTATAAGGATGTTCTGGCCCTAGGGCTTTCTCATAGCCTTCTAGTGCTCGCCAGTGCATAGCTTCGGACTCTTTATGCTTGCCCTGTCGATAAAGTACAAACCCAAGACGGCTAATACTAGTGAGAGTGTGAGGATGCTCTGGCCCTAAAGCTCTCTCTAATCCTTTTAGACATCGCCGATGCATGGCTTCGGACTCTCCGTATTTCCCCTGTTGTTGAAGCACTGAACCAAGATGGCTAACACTTGCGAGAGTGTGAGGATGTTCTGGCCCTAGGGCTTTCTCATAGCCTTCTAGTACTCGCCGGTGCATGAGTTTGGCCTCTTTGTACCTGCCCAGCTCTTCAAGCACCAAACCAAGATGGCTAACACTCTCGAGAGTATCAGGATGCTCCGGCCCTAGAGCTTGCTCGCGGACTTCCAGGTTTTCAAGAAACAGAGTTTTGGCCTCGTCATATCTCCCATCACTCAGTAGTGATGTTCCTAGCCTTGAAGTAAATCCAACATACTCGGAGTAAATCTGACGGAACCCGTCACTGTTTGTCAAATACAGCGCATGAGGCAGGTATTCTCTCCATAATCCTCGATTTTTGTGGTCATTATCGGGGAACAGATCATTGAACTGCTGTGCCGCCCTGCGTACCCAACGACCAATAACCTTAGTTTTCCTCATCCAATTCCGCGTGGCCAGATGCACCAGTCGATGAAGACTGAATGGGCTGTTACAGGCGTGTTCACTAATAAAGGAATATGCGCTTAAAAGACCTAATGCATCCACTTTTCTCTTTGCCGAAGGTGCGGACGGAAGGATCGACTGTGGTACATCTCGTGGGTTGAGGCAAGCTATGAATGATAGATAGTCTGCTGCCAGGTCATCTAATTGCTGGATCTGTTGAAAAGAGACCAGCCAAGTGGTAATCACGGGATTTTGGGTTTCGGCATATCGCCCATCATCCTCAAACTCCTCACTCAAAAGTTCAGCTGCGCTTGTCTCGTGTTCTTTGAATAGCGACAGATAATCAGATAACGAGATATTGTTTTCATTGATGTAAGCGGCAGCTTGACTGATTGCAAGGGGGAGGAATCCAAGTTGCTCAAGGAGAGCAGTAGTTGCACAGTCATCATGTAGCAGACCCTTTTGAATGATCAATTTTGTGAGTATTTGTGTAGCAGTGCTTTGATCCACATTGGGAACAGGTAAAACATTAGATGCTGCCATTTTGACTGCTAGTTTTCGGTTGCGAGAGGTAAAGAGAACGTGTCCATTCTCACTGCGAGGGAGAATAGTCTTGAGCGGTGGCGCAGTGGCGCTCCCCTTGGTCCACATTTCCGTATCATCGGCGTTATCAAAAATAAGGAGCCACTTTCCAGCGTTGTGTTGACTGAGATGGGCTTTGACTTGTTCTTTTGCGTGTACTGGCTCTGTGTTTGATATGCCAAGGGCTGTGGCAATGTTCAAGTAAGTCTGTTCCAGACTCTCGTAGCTGGTACATGGAATCCAGAATATGGAGCATTCAGGGACCTTTTCTCGTATGCGATAGGCCAGCTCCAATGCAGTCTGTGTCTTCCCAATCCCTCCCAGTCCATGAATAGCAACTTTGGTGGGGCCTGGTGTGTTGAAAATCAAGTTTTCAAGATCACTGATCTCTTGTTGGCGGCCAACAAATCGAGGATTTCGAGCAAAGGGTATCATCCAGTGGCGCGTATCTTTCCCTTCACTGCTCTGTCTATGGGGATACAGAGGCACTACTCCCAGAAGAGCTCTGGAATAAGTAGCGGCAGTAAGAGCAGCGTATCCCTGCCATTGTTTATGTTTATGCGAGTCGCAGTAGTCACAAACTCCTCTAATGACCAGACATGGCAACTGATCCATTAGCCCGGCTGCTTCCATTTCAAAGCAAAGGATGTTCAGCTCTCGGGCAACAGCGTCTCGCGTTGTAGCACTTTTCATGACTTGGTTCCCAGACGCAATCAGACCATAATGAATGATGGTTTCATTCGTTTCTCGTGTTGTGCGCGCAATTATTTGGCCCGGATCACACTCTGAGCAGTCGGCACTGTTGCTTTCATGTTCGTAGCTTGCCTGAAACAGCCAGTCGTGATCCGGGCGGGAAAATTGTTCTTGAAGATTTGCGTGGGTCTGAAGTATATCTGATACGCTCTTATCAATCAAAGTGATTCCGCTTATAATATTACTGCGCATTTGAGATACGGCAGTCAGCAAATAGTGCGGTGGCTTATTGAGTGATCCAGTGCGTTCGAAATATCCCTCCCGAAGTGTCTTCCCATAGTCATACTGGATCACGCCCCCGGAGGTTGCGGTTGGCATGCTGATAACCACGTCGCCCAGCCGAATATCGGGATCTTTGCTCGGTACGCCGCCTCCGATGCCTACCATCAACCCAAAACGAAGAGATGGAAACGTTGGCAGCATGTGAGCGAGCACGACAGCTGCAAATGTGGTTCCGTAAACGCCTGACGGTAGGCAGGCTACCACTACATTGTGTCCACAAACGCTCCCAAGTGTATAAGCGTTGTGATCGGATTTGGACTGAGACAGAATAGGGTGGACCGTGTCTAACATCATCTTGGCCGCTGTCATTTCCAATGGCAACGCGCAGATCCACGCGACCGTGTAGTCACCGTGAGTGAATGACATTCTTGCTGTTATCGACAAGATGGCATGTAAAGGTATTCTGTCTCATGGATTGCTCTGACTTATTGAATCAGCATTGCAGGAAACCCTCAAAGTGCTGAGGTTGGGAAGGAGGGGTAGCCGCTACGCGTTTCGGGCAACGCTCAGGCGCCTCGCGAGCCAATAGTTCATCTTGGAGTCGGCAAGAGCAACAAATGAACAAGACACAAGCAATGAACACCACTCATACTAAGCTTGCTTTTGAATGCCCAAATCAGAGCTATAGTTTCAAGTCCAAGCACCATCATATCGAGCGACCGCATTTCTCTCAGTGTAGCTCAATAAGATCCCCGCGAATGTGATGCTATCTGAGTGTGAAGCCGGGCTATGAGTTGGAAACGGAGGCCACCAACAGTCTGAAAACCGATCTCATTGAATATGCGATTAATAAAAGACCCACAATATCCACATAATGTAACTGTTAGAGAAAAAAAATTTTAAGCTGCCTTACTGTCGAAGACCGGACGAACTTCAAGTCAACATTTGAATGTACAGGCCTACATTACAGGATTTGTGCTTATTCCCAAGCAGCGAGAGCGAGTAATCCCCATAAGTGGATATCGTATAACACAACGCAGAGCTTTTTGGATATGAGGTCTCCTAAACATTGGAGAGGGTTTGAATAGCATTTGGGTGTTGAAGGTGTTCACGCTATTCGGCTCCATCATGACCATACATCGAGATGGTGCGGTTCACCCAACTGTTCACGTACAATCCAACAAATTCTGCGTTTAGTCACGCGTTGCTGATTGGTCTCTAGTAATGTCTCATTAGCATGGTACGTATGTTGGCCGTATTGTCAATTCGGAGGGCGATCAGGCCGAAAACAACATGAAGGATCATCGTTGCTATCCAACACTGGCTCCTTTTGCTTCTACTAGCTTCCTCTATCAGCACCGTAGAATTTATTAGTGTAGCTCGACGGGAGTTAGCAGGCGCTCCTCGAAATGAATCTTCTCTCTTTTCAAATAATCACCCGTTACCAAACGGCCCAGGAGCGGAAATCCTGAGCTATGCACACCTGTTACTCCACGCTATTCACCACGGGGCTGTGTAACCTTCCACAGAGAGACGGAAGGCTCTTTGCAGGCTATATACGTGTCTTGACCGACCAGGCCAGGTAAAGAAAGAAGCAATATACGGATTTGGACGAGAAGATTCATCCGACAGATTGAAATATTGGTCCACATGGAGACAACGTGACTGGCGAGTACCCTGACCAAGTCCGAATATATGATAGATTCGTCGAATTTTCAAGCCGAACGCAAGGTATACCTTCCTTCCAAAAAGGACCCAAGACCGTGGAAAAAAAGGTATAAGGCGGACGTAGTTCCTTCGACTTCAGGTCGTTTTCTTCCCTAACCCAATCTATATCCTCTCAAGAACTTGGTCGACTATCACTTCTGGTACCACTTTCTCCCTTGTTCTTTATCAATTTGAATTTGGCTCATAGCTTTGATAGTTCTTATTGAGCCTCCTTAGTCCAGAATGCGTCTTCATTTCGTTTCCGCGCTCCTCAGCCTGGGAGGCGCTGCTATTGCTGCCCCGGTTGCCAGCAACGCCGGTTTGTGACGTCTTATATCGAAAGCTTGCTTCAAATTTTCCTAACAGTGCGAATATCATAGGGGCTGACGGCTCTGATACGGGCATTGGCCTGGGCGGTGGTGGCGGTGGTGGAGGTGGAGGTGGAGGTGGAGGTGGAGGTGGCTTCGGTGTTGGCGTTGGAGGCGGCTTTGGAGTCGGAGGTGGTGCAGGTGGTGGTTACGGTGGTGGTGACGAGGGCGGTTACGGTGGTGGTGACCAGGGCGGTTACGGTGGTGGTGACCAGGGTGGTTACGGTGGTGGTGGTGATGGTGGTTATGGTGGTGGTGGTAATGGTGGTTACGGTGGTGATGGTGGTTACGGTGGTGATGGTGGTTACGGTGGTGATAGTGGTTACGGTGGTGGTGATGGTGGTGGAGCTGCTGCTGCTGCTGCTGCTGCTGCTGGAGCTGGTTCTGGTGCTGGAGCTGGTGCTGGTGCTAGTGCTGGACGAGGCAGCGGTAACGGCGGCTGGCGTAAGTAGGTCTATTGCTCTATTGAAGCCATTCAGTCCAGCACAATCTGAGGAATCCAAGGGAGTAATAGTCTTTGGTTCTTTTGTAGATATCTCTAATGGCTGTGTTTCGTAGGGTAGAGTACATCGCGTCGTAAGGTAGGTATAGTGTCATAATCAAACGCTCTCCAATTCAAAGTCATGGCTTCTTGGTCTTGGTAGGCCGGGCCAGCCGTGCGGGTGTGTCCAACTGATCAACAAGCGGACGATATGGCGATGCCAGCACATGCTCTGCTGCAGGCTCTCGCCTGGGTTCTCCTGAGCTAGGTCGCCGTAGCTGCTCTTGATGCATGCGGTCTAGGGACTCGCCCATCACTTGGTACTTGGCCCAGTTGATTGGGGGCATTCGCACCACATTCTGCGGCGGTGGGATGCGGCCAAATTTCGATGCAGATGTGCTGTCGCCGTTTGGTTTCTTCTCGCCCTCCTTCCACTCTTCTTCTGTGTCCATAACATCGTCGTCCGAGAACTGGATCACTGCCCCGCGGTCCTCCGTGCGCAAACGCCCAGCCGCCAACTCGAGCGCAAACCCCTCTGGATCCGCTGCAGCGGCCTCTTTCAAGCGATCTAGACTCTGTATATCGCGCAAGCTTTGCTGTTTCTGCATTTGCAGTATAGAGATCGCAGACCGCAGCGCAATAGCATCTGGGTTCTCGCTCTCGGAGATAGGCACAGGTCGGGGCTCGGGTTTGAAGACAGGCGGAGTTGCTGGAGGCGGCGGTGGTCGGTAACCAGAGAATAATTCTGACTGGGCATGCGATTTAGGCGACGGCGACAATGGGGGTGGTATAATCGTTGCACCGGTGGAGGCGACCGGGTCAAGTTGCGCGAACACCGGGGTCACCGGGGAATAAGGTGGGCGGGGTGGGGTGCCAGGCCGATCATCCTGGATCGAGGCCTCAGTCGCGTCTTGCGCGGGTTGCATCGTGTGATGATGAAGGACGATGCGATTTCCGCAGCTGGTGGTGTTCAGAGGTGGCCCAGCGCGCTGTCCAAGGCGAGGTGTGGAATGCAGGACTGGACGGAGGCTGGAGGCGTTCCAACGATTCAGTGGCTCTGGGGCCGCGGGAAGTGACGACACCGGTTTTCGAAGCTGAGTGGGACAGAGGAATGGCCAGCAACTCCTCAAGAAATGTGTGCACAAACTCGTGCCGGTGAATGGCTGATTATTAATTAATGGTATCAACTGAGGCAAACAAATAAATAAGACTGCCACCGTTACAAGGGGGCTCGGGACACCATGGGATTCTCCGTCGGGGCAGATGTTTTGATCTGCGCCCTGCACCAGGGTCAGGTACTGGATTCAAGTCGTGAATGGGACATCTGATTCACCTCTCACCCGGAGATGATTTGAAAAGTGCTTCGGAGAAAATCTGCTCGTGCCATCCAACAAGGTCATGTCAGATCTGAGTTGTCTTTCATCGTCGATCACGAGCATCTCTCTCCAAAGCCAAGCGATTGACCGCCCAGTTGGCTCCTCACCGCCCCCGAAAATTTTATGATCCGATCACCGCCAACTATAATTCGCTCCGCCGATACAACCTACACAATGAAGCGCACAACAGCGGAAAGGCCTTCAATTGATGGCAATGGTCTGCCGGAGTCCAAGAAGCGCGCCCTCTCCAGCGAGGAGGCAGGTGCGCGCTTTAGCGACGGCCTCTTCGACCCCGCGAAACAGAAGAAGTACACCGACGCATATACCTCGTCATCCCCGTATGTCTTATACTTAGTGCTCCTTCAATGGCTTAGAACTAACGTAGATTGGCCCCAAGATATCTGCACGGCGTCATTTGCCCCTTGATCGAGCCGTCCCTGCTGCGATCCGTGCGCGACGAGATTCAAGAGCATCTGTCTTTCACCGAGAAGGAAACCGACATCTACAAGATCTTCCAGTCAGGGGATTTGGCGAACTTGGATGGCCTAGATGACACATCACTGTCCAAGCTGCCATCTCTGCTGAAGCTGCGCGACGCCATGTACTCGGCCCGCTTCCGCGAGTACTTGTCCTCCGTCACCGGCTCTGGAAAGCTGAGCGGCCAGAAGACCGACATGGCTATCAACGTCTACACCGAGGGATGTCACCTCCTGTGCCACGACGATGTTATTGGTAGCCGCCGAGTTAGCTATATCCTCTATCTGACCGACCCTGATACCCCGTGGCAGGAGGAGTGGGGTGGTGCTCTACGCCTGTATCCAACCAAGACCGAGAAGGATGCCCAGGGCGAGGATGTCAAGATCCCCAGTCCGGACTACAGCCTTTCCATTCCACCTGCCTTCAATCAGCTGAGTTTCTTCACTGTCCAGCCTGGCGAGAGTTTCCACGATGTTGAGGAGGTGTACCACTACCGCGAAGGCGAGGACAAGACCGTGAAGCGCGTGCGCATGGCTATCAGTGGATGGTTCCACATTCCTCAGGAAGGCGAGGATGGATTCGAGGAGGGTTTGGAGGAGAAGCTGGCCGAGCGCAGCAGTCTTGCCCAGCTCCAGGGTCGTGGTGACATATACGACCTCCCTCAACCAAAGCCCGTACCTTGGGAAGCGCCTGAGGTATCTGGGAAGGGTAAGGGCAAGCTAGAGGAGCAGACTGAAGGCAACGAATTCACCGAGACTGATCTCGAGTTCCTGGTGCAGTACTTGGCACCGTCATATCTGACCCCCGACATTGCCGAGGAAATGTCCGAAGCTTTCTCCAACGAGTCCTCGCTTAGTCTTGAGCACTTTCTCAACGATAAATTTGCTTCGCGTGTGAGTGCATATATCGACGATCAGCAGCGACAGACTCTCCCCGCCTCCTCGGATGAAATTCAGGCCAAGACCGAGTGGACTGTGGCTCGGCCGCCCCACAAGCATCGGTATCTGTATCAGCAGACTGTAGAAGGTGACGCTGAGAACCCGATCAAGGAGATACTGAACGTTCTCTTCCCCTCGCAGCCCTTCCGCAAGTGGCTGGCATTGATCACTGGTGTGGACCATCTCAAGAGCCACAACTTCCTCGCCCGTCGCTTCCGCCGTGGTGCGGACTACACTCTGGCGAGTAGTTACGATGGCGAAGAGCCGCGATTGGAATTCACCCTTGGTCTCACCCCCTCGACAGGATGGGAGAAGGAAGCAGACGACGAAGAGGAGGACGAGGAAGAGGGTGAGAATGGGCCCACGGCCAAGTCTTCCAAGGCCAAGAAGGACACCCCCGGCGAGGCTGCGGAGCACCCCTCGGTTGGTGGTTATGAGATCTACATGGCAGGTGACGAGGAGGAAGATGATGAGGAAGAAGACAAGGAGAACGCAGACCAAGTGCTCCGGCCCAAGAAGGCCAAGGCTGATCCTGCCATCTACCGCTCGGCTGGTGCAGACGAGGATGATGGCATCCTTTTCAGTTCCCAGGCTGGCTGGAACCGCCTCAGCATTGTGCTGCGTGATAGCGGTACGCTCAAGTTTGTCAAGTACGTCAGTGCCAATGCCAAGGGAGACCGGTGGGATATCACCGGCGACATTGGCGTCGAGTTTGACGACGATGAGGACGATGAGGACGATGAGGATGAAGAGGATGAAGAGGATGAAGAGGATGAAGAGGATGAAGAGGATGATGAGGATGATGAGGATGATGAAATGGGCGATGGCGATGAAGAAGAAGACGAGGCTTAGACTCGTCTGAACAAAACTGTCACTTGAACAGAGCGATTCCCACGTTGTAGATATACTTATATGACTCTATATATGACCACCTTCCACCTTTCAGTTCCATCTACCCGACAGAGTCTATCATACCTGAGATTTTGAGGCGTTGGCTAACTGCTATACCACCTGGTCTAACCGTTCTCACTTTCAGAAGTTTGTGGAGTGTGCAATCTCCTTCGCTTGGGCCAGATTCTCCTGAACAGCATCGGCCTTGGCCTGGAAGCGCTGATAGCAATCAGGACCAAGCGGCAGTCGAAGCAGATTCTCCATGCTGGCGCCTAGTCCGGTGCTCGTCACAACTTCCAGAACCCGCTGGGCAGCCTTCAGAGGGTCGCCTCGCTGCTTTCCACCGTGCGTTCTAAACAGGTTGAGAGAGGCCTCGAGGGGAGTCCCGACGTAGTCCGGGTTCAGTCCAGCGGCAGGCTCCACGAAAGCCGACAGGAAGTTTGTTCGGAATTGACCTGGTTCGACAATAATGACTCGGATCCCGAAGGGTGCCAGCTCTCGTGAAAGACTTTCGGACATGCCTGTATACTTCAGTAAAGGTGTTCTTCTCTGCGAGTTTCTCCAAAAAACTGACCCTCTAGAGCAAACTTGGACCCCGCATACATCGCACAGGAAGGCAACCCGTCCACACCAGCAATACTGCTAACGTTCACAATCGTCCCCGATCGCTGTGCTCGCAGAAACGGAAGCACGCCCTTCAGTACTCGGACAGGGCCGAAGACATTTGTGCTGAATTGATTCTCAATCTCAGCTTCGCTCATGTCTTCGATGCTGCCCAGTAGCGAGTACCCCGCATTGTTCACAACCACGTCAATCGCACCGCCGGATTGTCGGATGGCTTCTTCCACTCTCTTCGGTGTTTCTGTATTTGTCACGTCAAGCTCAAGCCATGTGCCTCCGAGTTCCTCGATCTGCGGGTTCTCTTTGGCTGCTTTCGCGGGGTTGCGTGCTGTTGCGATCACTCGGTTTCCAGCACGCAGTGCCACCTCGGCGATAGCAGTGCCCAGGCCTGACGAGGCGCCCGTTACGAGCCACGACTGGGGGCTCATTTTGATAGTATTCGGACGAGGGCGAAGCTGTTGGTTAGGTTTGAATGTGTGAGGAGTGGTTGGAAATCAAAGTCTAGTAGGAATACTAAGGAACAACCAGAGGTACAAAGAAGCCTCGCCATGTCACTGCCTTTAAACGTGCGCATTGCGCGATCTAGGCTCTGTGCTCCATCGGACGTGAACCGGTCTTTCGGACTTTACAATCTTCGTCTCCTGCGTATCTTACGACAGTCGGTATTAAGTCGGACTTAGCGGGCTGATCCTTTCAACAAAGTACATGACGATGTTCCCAGCATGGGGATCCTGCTTCTTCCTCCCATTCACATGTACAAGCTTGATTCGAGTTTTTGCGCATCATCCTCCTCACTCCTATTCTTGAATGGCTTCTGTAGCCCTGTGAGGGTGTCCAGCGACTTTTCTATGGACAACAATGGCTGAAGTTGTCGGATTCTTTCCATCGTTTGGCTTGTATCATTCTGTGAAGCTCAAGTCAGCCCATCGCCAAAGAAATGCCTTTCGAATGAGCTCTTTATCAGAGTCTGATCAGATCAAGTTGGAGCCATTCGATTCAGAATGGTATTTGACGGATCACGTGCCACATCACTGGGGCCAGCTCCGGTGACGATGAGCGATCAAAGATGAGACTAGTATTATATCCCTCCAGCACTAGGAAAAGTGGGTGGTGATTGACTGCGGAGGAGTGGTTTGTGTGGAGGTCTGAAGAGTCTCCAACCTCGGGATCGCGGGAATGACAAGTCCGCTTCCTCATGCCAATAGCAGATAGTCAATACTATTTGTTGCAAACTTGTGGACTGAAACTGATAAATCTAGTTTGATGATACCATAATCGACCTCGCCTCTTGATATTTTGGATAGCTATGACGGCTTCTACATCTGACATTGACAGCCAGTTCGGCAGCTCACACGGCTGTAATGGCTACTATCAGTATGTGGGCCACATATCCAAGCAGAATTATATCTACTGATTAGTGATTAGTCGTAGGTCAGAAGCTGCCGATGACGCAAATCTGTCGGTTGTCTGCATCCCTCCAAAATCCAAATATGGGCTGCATACAGCGCCTATCTGGTAGTTCTCCCTACTCTACCGAGGAAGGATTCGAAACAACCACGGCTGCTCTATTGGCTTCTTCCTTCGACATATCATGGAAAGTTTTTCCTAATAGAGAACCACCCATTCAATTCTAACTTCCAACTGTATACCAGGTTCTGGATACCAGTACTCGCCCTATCAATCTTAGTTTAGCTTAACATGTCTTCACTACTGGACAATCAATGCCGCCTAACCTGCCTTTCTGCAGTGCTGATGGAGACGTTCTCCTAGGTATGCTTCCGAGGATTCAACTCCCTGGTGTAGGGTCCTTCTCGCATGCATTATGAATTATCGCTCCTCCGAAGGGCTCGCTCGACCTACGTCCGGAGACGGCTATCTGAGAGTTGGCCCAAATGAGATAGGTCCTGTTCCAAGAGAGATCAGATTCCAGGCTTCACTCCCAGAGGGCTCAAGACTTTGCGCTTGAAGTCTTCGAAGGCCATTTCGAGCTACCTAAGCTTGGACAGATAGGCTTTACTGATTTGGCTAATATTCGCGGCTTCAAAATTTCTACTGCCAGTTATGACACTTCGATGCCGATACAGAGATAATTGCCAAGTTTGCGGGAAAGCTGCATTGCACGAATCATCGTGGCAGTATCTTCAATTTGCGGGGTGGCAGGGCACATATTATCCCTTCGAATATGAACTAGATATGTTTTAACGTGACTATCGTCTCGCATGGGGAGTACTGGGGACTGGATCCGGGCAAATTCAATACCTTGGGGTCAGTCCCGTAGATCACCCGGTAGGTCCAAGCAAAGAAAGTATCCAATGCGCCCACTTCCTCTCTAGGACCTGTCAATCTTCGCGGCTCTTACTTGGCTATCTCAAGTTCCCGGAGAAGCAGTCGTTGATGTCGCAGTCTTTGTCCTCGCTGGCTTGTACCTACCGTCCCCCGTACTTGCACTGACACATCATGTCGGAGTCTGTTTTTCTAATTCAAGCGAGTTTGATATCAACGAGTTGCCGCCACAACTGGCTGGATTGTTCTCGTTGAACCACACGATGAGTGTCGGTGCTCATGGGGCTGATGCGCAGAGCTGGGGAAAAGAGACTGCAAAGGCAGTCCAGCCGCACACAATCCTCCAGCAACTTGTTACTTACTTTGAGAGCCGCTGAGTCTGTGACGTAGACTATGCTCCAGAACCTACATAGCGGTACTATTCTCGTACAGGTATATAATTGGCTTGTCGGAAGAAGCAAGACGTTGATCAAACTACCTGGGAAACCTGCAGCGAAGGGAGAATTTGCAAGGCGAAGATATAAACTGACGGAAAAGAGAGCTTGTTCATCAGATATATTCTAAATTGAACCCTTGCAAGTCCTTTTCAATGTGCTATGAGGCTGCCTATGCCTCTTAAAAACGATCTATATGTTTGTTGGTAAAACTGGCAAAGTCATCCATCCAGGTCGGATATATACCAGGCCTAGGTAAGGTATAGGTACGATCAAGCTTCTACGGCAATGAGAATGCCTTGGCAAGATAGCTAGGTACAGCTCATATCTTCAAGTCCATTCCCGTGATCTTTCTCTAGAGGACGGCCCACTGCCGGGGTTCCCAACAGGCCACGATTAACTATTTACCACGGGTGGCAAACCTTCATACTTCAGCCTGGACAAGACCAACACCAGCGTACTAGTCCCTAGATACGATACCAAACAATGACCCAGCTACAACCTTACCTACTTCGAAAATATGAGGATAAGACCACTTGCGTCATAGAGCACAAGACCGGACCCTCCGAAAAGAGTAATGCCAGTCCTAAACTATCCGCACATCAGACACCTCCCCCAATCATTGATTCGACTATCGCCTCATGTCGCAGCCCCTAACATGAAACCACCCGAGTCGCCCACAGTCGCGCGGTCAACCAACGGCCCCCCTTCCACCCCCCGACCAGCCACAACACCAGCGTCAACGTCCTACCACCGCGAGCGCCAATTGAAACCAGTGAGGCAAGGGCAACACGCGTGGAGCGAGCACAACGCGGCCTGGAACGCTCCACATGGCCTGGGGTACCGGCTAGCATGTCCATGGTCGGTCGCAACGGTTGGCTACGAGTCACGGCCCGGTACGGGATACAAATCAATTATTGGGCTTATCGGGAACCTGGACCTGGACCTGGACCTGGACCTGGACCCTACGAGTCTGACTCTTGACTCTGGAACACGGTCGCCCCCTTGTCTGGACGTCAGTGCGGCCCTTTCTACAGTAATTGTCAGTCCAGGGACTCCGTCCAGATCGGGTACAGACTACAGAGTGGCAGACGATGGCCGTTCGTCCTTGTACCTGGTACACATGGACTTGAGCCCGTGAGACAGCCACGGCGAGCCAGAGTCTCATAGGAGGGAGGGTTCGTCTTCCGCGGCAGCTTAGCATGTCTCTGTCTCTGTCTCTGTCTCTGTCTCTGTCTCTGCTGTCTCGGTCGGTCAGTGGTCCGGCGAATGTACAGTGCACCCACACTGCGCCGTTCACCGCGCATACCGTCGATCCGACGATCTTCGACAAAGACAATCTTCCTGGGATGCTGGGTCTGAACCGAACCGCACGCGAGCCCAGGGGGTGCTTGCTGCGCCTACTGCGCCCACGCCTCACCCAGCGAACCGGGTCGGTGGCGCTGGAAGCAGAAGCACTGTAACCACAGCACTACCAAAGGGCTGACACGGAACCAGAAACAGAAACAGAAATAGCGATAGAGACAGAGACAGAGACAGAGACAGGCAGAGAAAGGGAGGCGACGGCGCATGGAATGATCGGCCAATCCTGTCGCGATTCTGCATCCCCCAGCTTCGGGGAGGGAGGCCCGGTCGGTCCGCGCGTTAGGAGGAAACGGGCTACTTTCTCCGGACGCCTCATGGCCACATCATGGGGCGGGAAGGGGAGGGGGGCCGATTATGGATTTTGGATTTTGTCAAGGTGTGATTCGGGAATGGGGTGCGGATCGGCGGGTTATCCAGGGTGTTGGTAGGGTGTGCTGGGAAGCTCGCGTGTGGTCTTCGGCGAGACTATTGGGGGGAGGGGGGGGGGCAGCAAGGAAGGAAAGCAGTAGGTTTGTGGATGGGCTGGGCTGGGCCACGATACTGGCGGCGTGGTAGCTTTGGAATGAAGTATCCGGGTTCATGTGGATGGGGGATGGGATGGGGGATGGGGATGAACAGCAGGGTCTGTGGGACTGGACTCGCACTATTTGCATAGCTAACTCTATCTGAGCACCGCAGTGGAGTGCGATAGCGATAGATGGATTGGATTCACCGTCATATGGCATCCCTCATATGGCACAATGGATGCCATCCCTTGAGGCTGAATTTTCCCCCAGAAGCCACCAGACAGGGCCAAGACCGGGTTGTATGTCCCATGCTACTCTGGAGTATTACTCCTATGATGTCCTGCACCAGACCCCGACTCCCCAAGAAACATGGCAGGATGAAGGGCAGGGTCGTAGTCCCGCATGCCGAATCAGCGGGCCGGGCATTAAGCTCAAGCTCAGGTGGATGTAATGAACTCTCGGGAGGGAAGCCCAAGAATGGAAGACTGCTACCGTCCCCAAATATGTACGCGTGTCGATCGGGTGGCGATCGCAAGTCAGAAACATTCTGCAAGGCTACGGCGCCATGTGGCAATGCTCGGCTGGGATATGATAGGCGCCGATGTGACGGCGTGGCGAGCGAGCTAGAGGAATATACGACGTCGCGGATCGTGCCCGGACGAGCCCCGTCGTGTTTCAGGATCAGGATCAGGTTTAGGTTCAGGTTCATGTTCAGCTGAATGGGGCTAAGAGCGAAAAAGGAGCTGTGGCGGTGCCTGGCCGAGTTCGCCGGAAAACTATAGCATGGGGATCCTGGGTCCTCTCGCCCTGGTGGATGTGGTATTCCTGCTGCCTGCGGAGGACCGCGAATCTCAGCAGCCCTAACCCCGGCGTTGTGGTCCCATCTGAGGGCCCCCCCTACGTGAACGACGGTGGATCCATGGGCGTGGTCTGGAGCAACACATCCCGGGCGAAAACAGCCGAAATCCAGTCGACACATCCAATCTGCCAGCCACCAGGTTCCGAGCAAAAATACCCCAGGTCGAAGGGTGTATGCCGATGATGGCGTTCGTATGGGTATGGGTTCGACCGTGGTTTTAGGGTGGCTGCCGCCCTGGCCCGACCGAACCAGTAACCGAGCGACCAGCTGAACCAAACGTCGACGTATCCAAATAACTCAGCGCTAACCGCCTAGCTAAGCTGGTCATTTTCCTTGGAGCGAAGGAGCGCAGGCGCTCGGCGCTTTGACAGCTCGGGGCCGCAAGACCTCGACTCTCCAGCGTCAGAAAACTGATACGACGAAAAATAAGCTCGGCCACCGCGCCAAGAGACTTTCTGGGCGCACCCGCTCAGGCAGACTCCCGGGGCCCAAGCAGGAGGCTGGCCAAAAAGGAAATGCGCGGGAGGATGCGGAAAGAAACGAGCATCTAGAGCAGTTGCGATAGTGACCGAGTACTCTGCGCGTAGCCTCGCCTTCGCGAAAGTGACTGGAGGGACGGAGCCAGTGGCAATTGGGGCGGGTGGGTGCATATCCTGGCCCAGTCCCGGTCGCAATCAAAGACGTTCAAGCTTCCAGCGAGCGGGGGAGCTGGGGAGCTCGAGCCTGGCTCAACTCTGGACGTCCACGCGGGCCGTAGTGTTACGGCTTAGCGCCGGCGATTTAGTTCTGCGCGACGTCGCTGCCGCTGTCCGGGGTGGCACAAGCGGACCGAGGGGTCACTATACGGAGTTACTGGATGACTAGATTACTGGATTACTACTCCGTAGATTACTGGATACGAGTAAGGTTTGGGGCTTGGGTCGTGAGATGGGGCCCGATCGGGTAGGAGGAAGGAGTCCATCCCTAACTAGTTTGTTATACATGTCAGAAGCCTGCAGGGACGCTATTTGCGCTAGAAGGGGGGGAGGAGAGGGGGAGGTTCGATGGGTACCGAGTACTCCGTACTGCTCACGCTCCCGTAGATCCTCATACGAGGACAGCAGCTCAGTCGACTTGGGTACCGCAGTGCGCGTACCCTACCGTTTGACGGTCATTTGCCATGTGTGGGACGGGAGGTAAGTGCATCTGCTGTGAAGAAGCATGGCTGTGGGAGGAACAGGCAGGGGGCAGAGGCGACATGTACGGAGTACCTGGACCTGGGTTGGCGTGAGGACAGAATGGGCGGTAGATAGGCGAGAGATGCACGTACTCGATACTCGACTCGCCGCGTTCTGCAGCCGCGCGCTCGAGGTATTGGGGACCATCCCTGCATACAAACATACATCACTGCACGCTATCGTGCCCGCTATCCGGAGTACAGGATACCACTGGTTCCGTACTGAGCCTACCGTCGAGTCGCTAAGGTACGGTTGGATGCACCCTGTGCGGTCGGCCATGTGTCCAACGACAGGATTAGCGTGTTGCCTGCAGCCGCTATTCTTCTTTCATTCTTTCATTCTGCCCTCCTCCCCGGGCGCAAAGGCAAAACGCCAGCATGCAGTTTGACACCCCCCCCTCTTCGCCGGGGTAACCACGGGACAGGTAGGATGAGATTGAATGCCGTGGTAATTTACATTTACTGCCCTCGGTCTCTTCGGGTACCTACGGAGGTCAAATGAAGTCCTCCGTAGGATCTCCTTCAATTCGGTGGGCTGTAAGGAAGTTCTCCCCCCTGAGGCCGATCATTTCGCCACGTGAAACCACCTTTTGGAGTCGAGTCCTCTCCACCCAGCCGATACTGTGGACGGAGTACAAGACTATACGACTTTTATACCCAGTGGACCGCACAAGGTGCACATAAGTCAGCATAACTCGATCAAGCTCTATTTTACATTTCTGGGATCGAGGCAGACCATGGGTCGCAGGCCGCAACCACCAGTCACCCACGCTGGAGCAACATGACGTGAAGACTTTGGTCATGATGTAATGGAGGAAACCGAACCCTCTGAGGATACCAGTGCCAGTGCCAGTGCCAGAAACAACGTGCGCCGCTCCTTACGTCTCCCAGGGATCCGGGGACCTCGCAAATGCCGGCATTTGTGAGCCGCGGGCGCCACGGGGATCGGAGAATGCACCAGCACTCTGTCGACCCGCAGAAAGGACAGGACCCGTCGAAGGGGATGATGATCCTTGATCCATTGATCCATTGGCGCTCTGGGGTTTGCTTTTCCTTTTTCGTTCTGCGGATTTATGGTTTTATGGTTTCGCTGCCATGCGAGGATGGGCGCGCGGATCCACTTCCCGCCTGGAATCTGATCCATCGGGTTTCCCAGTGGTCGCGATGGTTGAGAGAGCTGAAAAGGGAGACCTCCGATAATACCTGGTACGATAATTATAGTTCCATCTCCACCGGGTACCGTTCTTGAGGGTGACTACGGCGGGGCGTGGTTCCTATCTGAACGGAACGAAACGCGGCCAGACAAAGAATCCTTCCAGATTCTAGCTGGAACTGAACGATAATATGCGATAAGAGGGCAATCCAGGATGGGGACGAAAGAACATAAAACGTACAATACTGTATCAGCAGGATTTGGGGGGGGGGGGGGGGGGGAGAGTCAGGAATTAGAATTAAGTCATTTCGAGGAGATGTAACTCTGAGGGAATTCACCTCCCTTGCGTGCCCCAGGGTCAGCCTCGTGGCACACAGGTGGAGGACGGACGCTGTTGCGCGCAGTAGCGCACATCTCTGCGGCTTGGCGCATATGGGTCACAATGGTATGGTGTATGGTATAGTACATACCGTACAGTACTACTGTACGGGTCGCGGTGGAGCAGGCCGGAGCTGTATACTGGATCCTGTCCTGCGGTCCGTCTTCTCCGTACATTCCGCGGGATGCAAACTGTCTCCTCCTGGCTGATGCGGGATCCGGAGACCGACGTTGGATCCATCACTGTCCTCGAACTGGGGGACCTGTCCTGTAGGCACCGGGGAGGGAATAAGAAAGGAAAAAGAAAAATGACTGTATGGTCAGAACCCGAACTGAGTCGCTCCCGTACTGGTGGGTTGGGTTGAACTGGAGTTAGCTCGGTCCCGATCCAGCTAGAGCCCGATTTATTCATAATCATTTTTATTCTTCGATTTTATTTCATGGCCAAAAAGAAGCCGAAGCCTAAGTCTTAGTTTAAGCCCTCCTGCCAAAAGAGCCCCTCCTTAGGTATGGAGAAGTCGTGAGTGATTCAATCATAACTAGTTAGTTCCTCGGGTCTTCTCCCTCTCTCTTTCTCTCTCGCTCGCGATTCCTCCCCGTTCGGCTTCCTGCCAGGTCAACTCCTTCAAACCGTTGCAGTCTCCACCCCGTGGCCCCGGACGTGTTGCCCCAAAGAGTGTTCGACCAAACCACCCTTGTGCCACGTTCCTTTCGCACCGTAAGCTTGATGCTCCCTTGCTCGCATTATTTCCGTCATTTCCATTACTGTATCATACCCCTCTTATGATACCCGACTTTCATCCCCAGCCAAAAAGTCAATAACCAGAAAGAAAAAAGAAAGAAAAGAGAAGCTAGCTGGGGCGACTCGGCCCTACCAAATCTCGGACTCTGATCGGTGCAATACATTTTAGCGTGAGATCGACTTTCTCTTCCCGCAGCCTCCCCCCCTCTCTCTCTCTCCTCCAAAACGCGAGGGAAGAAAGTGCAATCACGGGCCACTTGTGATCACCGACCACCGACGCCCTTGTCCCTCCACCACCCACCCTCTACCCCCTTCGACCGGCCTTCTTGAGGGTCCATCGGCCCCTCGCCCGTTGCACTCTTACTTTCGCCCCCATTCCCTACTTCGTCTGCTGCGCTCCTTCCCGTTGCGCGTGAAGATTCGGTATCCGCTCTGCTGGGTCCCTGTCAGCGTTTCGCAACCCTCTGCACAGTCGTTACCACTCTCGTTGTCTACTCTCCGATCCGCTCCTAATTGGACTGCCGGCTTTCGATTGGAGAATATGCGATAGCGTGGATCCGTCCCCATTTCTCGAGCTTGTGACGACCGAACTCCTCATACTCTTACCAACCACCCAGTTGAACACGTTGGAGCTGCTCCCCGTCGACATGGACTCCGTCGCCCACCGGCCGTGGGAGCCTGTCTCCTCGGGCCCTCAGACGCCGGCCTCCTCGAGCCAGACATTACCCTCGATATCGACGTTAACCGCCAACATGAGCGGTGCGGGCATGAACCCGTCCGAGAAGTCGCCGGGCAATTCGTCCTTGAACACAATTGAACGCGACTCCGGGAACTGGTCAATGCCGCAAAGCACAAGTAGGACTTCCTCCGGTGCGAATGGGGAGCGGCATGCTGACCCTCCAGGATCCTCGACCTACTCGACCACAACCAATGGGACCGGCAACCACTATCCCTCCCTCACCTTCCTGACCTCGACCTCCCAACCCTCGCCGAATCGCGGCCACATCGTGCCAGACCGGTCGCCCTACTCCCACGATCAATCCACCACCCCGTCCTCGGCCGGCGCGACACAGCCCTCCCCCGGTTTCAACACCCCTCAGCCCAATTCCGCGCTCCCGTCCATTAACCAGAACTTCGATGCGTCGTCACAACGGGGCAGTGTGGTCGAGGTGCCCGAATCGCGGCGGAGTAGCGTGGACAGCCGGGTGAATCAGGGCATCAGCTCGCTGGCGATCAATCCAGCGTCGCCGTATCACAGCACCAATGCGTCTCAATCGTCGATTGTCTCGAGCCTGCAGCGGGAGCGAGGGATCTCGACGGACATGAATTCGTATCGGGGGCCGCGCTACTCGGGTGGCGGCCAGCCTCTTTCCCCCTTGGGACCCCGGCCGGGCGAGCATCGATCGTTCGCGGCCGGGCGTACGGCTCCTGCCATTTCCTCCAACCCTCGCTCCGAGATCTACAATGCCGAGGCACCCACGGCGGGTATGGCATACGCCTTTCCGGACCCCGATGTAGCACGGTCGAGCTCAATCTCGTCTACGGAAAATCCACCCTTCTCCCGCAAGGGCAGCACGGCGGAGTCCCTCAGTAGCATGTACTCGGAGCGTATGCCACGAGGACAACACGGTAAGCCAAGAGATCACCATGTCACCACCCATTTTGCATCCAACGCACCGGTAATAACCTTGGTTTTCCAGAACTGCCCCAAAACGTACATCACCACTCGCTGCAGCACAAGCAAGTCCGGGAGCTGATTGGGGAATCCGAAGCGGGCGCCGGCAACACGCCATACAGCCGGACCCCCGAATTGCGCGTCACGCATAAACTGGCCGAGCGCAAGCGCCGCAGCGAAATGAAAGACTGTTTCGAGGCTCTGCGCATGCGTCTTCCCCAAAGCCAGAACAACAAGTCCAGCAAATGGGAGACGCTGACTCGCGCCATCGAATACATCAGCTCGCTCGAGAAATCCCTGAACCAGGTTCGCCGGGAGAACGCCAGCCTACACGCCGACCTGGACGAGATGCGCGCCCAATTCCAGCAACAAGCCAACGGCCCATCACGGACGGCCTCAATATTCGAGCATCACCCGATGGCCGCGACACCGACCAATGGACAGCCCCCAGGCCCTGCGTTCGGGGGCTTCGGGAACGGGTCGAATGTGGCCCATGAGCAGCCCCGAACCCTGCCGCCGCTCATGAATGGCTCCGTGGCTCCGATGCAGGGCATCCAGTATACCGACGAGCGACGATAGACGGGGCCGGGCCTATCGCCATTCCTGATTCCCACGAGCACTATGGATGAGAAATGACTAGTCATGCTGCGAGACACACCTCAACCACGACTCCTTTTTACATTGTCCTTCAATATATCCCCTGTTTTAGATATGGACCTGGACGGCTTGCTCAGGCACCCCCGCCGGGCTCCGGAACCCCCAGGTCGTTTTCTGTTTTCCTTTATTTCCTTTCACCGTTCAGTCCTGTCTTACTGGGTGTGCCTGCTTTTGTCTTCACACGTCGACTTCTGATACTATTGCTTGTCTGTTATCGATCATACCCGCAATCGCTCTGCGTGCCTTGTTTCCTATCAACTTTATTTCATTTTTCAATTTTTTTGTTCTTTTTTGCAACGTGTTCTGCTCTGTTCGGCGGTCGGTCGGACCGCTTCGGCATCATCGGTATACTGCATGTTTTGGACATGACGGGTGTGAATGGGAAATGGGTGATAGGCATCTGGGATCGTGTTTTTGTCCTGTTCTTTTCTTTTCCTTCGCAGCTCGACCTCGAGTGTGTACCAAATATTCAAACCCGTGCGTGGCGCGCCATTTGATATCCTCCTTCTGTGTTCCTGTTCCAGTTATCGAGTGCACCCATACCTCCTTCTCCGTCTTCTGCTCTACTTGTCCACTAGGGCCGGGATTAGGCTCGGCCCGTCAATGAAATCATCCACCGTGCTCGATCATAAACAATCCCATCCAACGCTGTAACTCAAACGAGTCTCAGACTTGCCCAGACAATTAGGTCTAGATCTAACATACAAGCACAGAGCTGCTGTCGTTTCGACAGGCTAAAAAAAGGCCCGGGATCTATTTTGAGCTGGTCGTTCTGATTGGTCCTCCAAGCGCCCACCATCCACTCGGCGCGTACGTGCCAGCCCCAGACTTCCCCGGCATCCAATCTGCCCGCTCACCACGACCGGCCCCTGCTGATCGCCTGGAAGTGAGCCAATAGTGGCGCTATCTATGACGGCTACTGCAGCAGACTGTCTAGGATTGCTGCGGTAAATGAGCGTGCGGGGGCCTGATTGGTGTTGGGAGCGTGGTTGATAGACGGCATGATGCGCGAGTCGGTCCAGATCATCTAAGCTCCACGCAGCGACGGGATGGAGATTTTTCCTGCAGAGAAGGGCTAGAGCTCGAGGAGCTATTACTTTATTTGACCTTTTATTCTTGTTGACTCCCTTGCCCTCACATTTTCTTGTGCTGCTCGTGCGTCTTTCCTTTGTCTCGCTCGTTGTTTATCTGGCTGTCGGGCTTCTGCCTCGGTTGCGTGGATCGGTGAATGCATCCCCGGGCGTTTCCGTTGACTTGCATTGTTTTGGGAGACATATTCATAGAACCTGCGCTCTTTGTTCGCTTTGTCAGTGGCCCTGTGTCCCCTCCTGCAGCCTCACCATCAGGCATCGATCCTCCACCTCTTCTGCATGTCTAAGTCACTGACACATGGTACGTCGAACGTCAAACAGAGACTGGTATGCGTAGTGAGCCACTCTTACCAATTCTCTCTCATCTGAGCACAGTTCTTCGATTTCAAACCATATCAACACTATGCCCTCCACGCAGCATAAACAACCAGACCTGCAGGTTCCGGTTGCCCCAACCTTCCCGTTATCATCACCTATCAGTGAGGAAATCTCGAGTCCGTCGTGTTCGTCTGCAGAGGACAAAGATCTGGAGCGCAGCCGGCCATTTGACTTCCTCGTCAATGCTGCTAAACACAAAGTCGAGCATAAGTCTGGAAGAGATGGGAACCGCTCGCCCAACCTCTCGCAGCGGGACCGACATGACCGCCACAGAAGACTGAGCATTCGGGGCATCACCAAGAAAAAGAAAGATGCGGGAAAGCCAGTCGGACTGAATCTAGTAACAGACTTTTCTCTCGCGGGGCCACCCAAGTATAACACAGAGAACGCCAGCGCGCCTTTTGTGGACTTGAACGATCTGAAGTTGCTGGCCAAGGATCGGGCCAAGGAACGGTCTGCGCAGAAAGTGACCATCTCTACGGATCTGGAGGGTGTGCCAGATACGACAACCCACTCGAATACGTCCAAAAAGAGGGCATCTTTTCACCAGCTGCCCGAGGAGACCAGGAGGATACAGTGTGCGACTGGAAACCCTTTCCTGGATCCGAAACTCGACAACTCCTTCCTCGACAGGTTCGACCACGGCCTTTCTCCATCTGACCGGCATGTCATGATCGGTCTCTCCGTACCCCGTCATGAATCCTCGCAGCATGCAAAAGAAATAGACAGCGCAGGAACGCCCCTCACTCCCTCGATCATCGTCACTCCCGCGCGCGAAGATGCTCCGTGGTCCACATCGAGCCCGGAGTACCTAAAGCCCCGAGCAACATCCAGCATCTACTCTCAGCCGACTCCACGGCTATGGCAGAATGAATCCGACATCCCCCCCGTGCCGGCCATACCAGCCGAGCATTTTGCCGCAAAAAAGCAAACTATGGACTCTGATTTCCTGCGTGCGCATCTCGCAGCGATGACGCGCAAACGCAGGTCTATGTCTGCGGAGACTATTATCGAGGATGACACTCCAGACCGAGAACACCCACATGAGTCTTTGGATGATGATGATAAAACGCTACTTACCCGACTAAGTGTCAACACCCAGGCAAGCAGGCCCGAAAGCCAGGGCTGGTGGACCTATCTGCTTTCGCCGTTACTCGGAAAGAAGTCACCGTTGAGTCCGTCATTTCTTCGAAGCAACGCCTCCGTTGCACCAGCTACAAAGGGCACCCACAGAGAAGGGTGGGAGAAAGAGGTCTCCTGTTTTTCTCCCGAGACCCCGGAATCAGCAGTGCCGAGCCAATGGCAGGAGAATAAAAAGAGCCTGGATCAGTCTCGTTCTCTGGAGAACAATGAGGATCCGGCTACCTCCACCAAGAAACAGATGACTGCGTCGATGATATTCGGTGGACAGCCTATCCAGGGCGAAGCGGCGGAATACTACCAAGCCTGTGCCCACGAACTATTCAGCAAGACGCCATATTTTGAATGTTGTAATCATATTTGCTCTATCACGCCTGCTGCGGTCATTGCCGCGGCCATGGCCGCCCAATTAGATGCTGACAAGGGTGAAACCCGAGACCGTGGTTTGATATTTGCGGAAGCACACCCGCAGGAGAAGGATCGCAGTGTGCCTGCAAGTACGATGACTGAGAATAAGAATCTTCTCATTGATATCGACTCGCCCACTGGCGAGGGGTCAAAGGGTATCGAGCACTCGAAGGAGATTTCGTCGCCAAAATCAACGACTTCCTCGGATTCGTGGGCCTCGAGTATCTCCGACGACTATGGTCATGAGAAAGCTTTGCCTGAGCCACCGCAAAGCACGAGCAGGGGAGTCGTCCCTGAACCGCCCGCCGAGCCACAAATTCACCCTCCTCCAGCTGGTGTGCCGGTCTGTGAGCCTGCTCCGATCCCACAAGCTTTCATGCCCGAGCCACCACCACCAGGTCCGGTTCCAGTAGCTCCAGCGGTCATGCCTGAGCCACCACCACCGATACAAGCTCCGCCTCCACAGATCATCAACACGATTTCCCCACCAGTGAATAACATTCATTATGCAGCGCAACCCGTCGCAATGCCCCCAGAGCCGGTTCCAATGGAGAGGGCTGCTCCTCAATATGCCCCTGTTTTCCCTCCCGCCAATGAACCCCCACGTATGGAGCCAATGCCACACGAGCAATCTCGTGGCATGGATGAGTGGCCCAAAGTACCGCCTCCTGCAGCCTATAATCCAGCCCACCAGGCGTCGACCCCGGCTGCCCCCGTCCCTATTCCTATGGGAGGACCACCACCAGGATCGGATTTACCGCAGCAGCATCATGTACCACCATCGAATTCGAACGAACCCATATCCCCAGCGTTCCAACGTGCTGCTGGAGGACCAGGTGCAATCCCAATGAATCCAATGAATGATGTGCATGCACCAGCCCCAGCATACAGTCAATTCCCCCGAGAAGGAGCGGCTCTCCCCCCACGTTATGCACTTCACCCAGCTCCCGGCGCCGCATTAATGAATCCCACCGGTGAGAGAGGACCAATGGAAGCGCGACGCCAGCGCCTGGAGCGGGAAGATGCGATTGGCAGGAAGGTTGGCGGGTTCTGGCGCGGCCGGGGATGTTTCAGCAAGAAAGGCTGCTTTGGGCGCCCAGGTCGCGAGGGCCGAACCAAGCGACGCTGGTACTTTGGTATCTGCACGCTCTTCCTAATCATCGTGATTCTGGCTATCGTGCTGGCAACCACGTTGACCAGGAAGGGCGATACCACACCCGTGCAGTCGCAGTGGCTCAATCTAACCGGTTACCCGCCCATGCCGACAGGTATCTCCACCGTCGCCGGCGCAGAGCCGCAGGTCGAGAAGTCCAGTTGTATCAAGCCCTCGTCTCTCTGGAGCTGCGCTCTCCCCAAGAGCCAGCAGTCTGACAACAAGCCCTATCCCGCCGATGAGCCAAACTTCCGGATCGAAATTCGCTTCCGCAATGGAACGTATGCTAATAGCACGGCTACCGTGAGCACAACCTCAACGAGCAAAGCCCGGCGAGCCGATGCCAACTCATGGGATCCGTCACCATCGCCGCCCAGCATCGCAGAGCAGACGTTCTTAGGAAACACGACAGACGGAAGCGCCGTGCCTTACGCTGGCGAAGACACGCCCTTCTATTTGACCTTCCTCTCCCCAGTACAGATCACCTCAAGCACCCTCTTCCGCCGTGCAACAACCAACAACACAACAACCTTCCCAAATCTAACAGCTGTCATCCCCGCACCATCAGAGAACTCCGATAGCACCGCCGCCGCCGCAACATTATACCCGCTCCCGGAATCCCAGCCTGTCCGACTATACAACCGCGGCAAGGACACCGAGCACTACGGCTTCTACACCTACTTCGACAAATCAATCTTCCTCGCCTCGCGCGCGCCTCTCAACGGCAGCACGACAGACTCCTCCCCGATCGACACGACTGGCGGCGCCGCCGCCGCCGATGCCGTCGCGCGCTGCACATGGTCCCAAACCCGGTTCCTCGTGCAGATCTGGACACAGCCATCGAAGCTGGGCTACGCGCTGCTCAGCCCCAGCAACAAGAACGACACAGGCACATCCACGAGTACCTCATCCACTGCAACGCCGACCTCGACTTCGTCCACGGCTACATCGTCGTCTTCAGCAACGGACTTCACGCAGCCCGGCTCATTCCCGTACCCGATTACTATCACAATCGACCGGCATGGCGGCGCCGAGAAGCAGAAGTTAGTGTATTGCTATGGTATCGAGAGTGATCAGCATTACAATATCACGGATCGAAAGCTGCAGCTTGAGGACCGCGGGTTCGGGGGCACGCTTGTTAATCCTGCGTCGGGCATTTTCGATGATTTGGAGGGAGGTGATTCGGGCTCGAATTCGTCCGTGTATGGGGGTGTGGATGGCGGGACGGGGGGTTGTGAGTGTCAGTGGACGAATTGGATCGCGCGATCTTGAGGTCTTGAGTTGGAGTTGGAGTTGAACTTGGTGAACTGCTGTGATCCACCACATACATCTGCTTTTTACTATCTTTGCATTTGCGTTCTTGGAATGCATTTGGGGGATATGCGTTTATGAGTTTCCTTTGTCATAGCGGGTTTCTGTTTATTTCAATAGAGAAAAATCGATTGTTTGTAAGCTGATCATTTTTCGAAAATGACTTGTGTATCCTGTTTGCGTGTTGCGGCTATCAAAGTAGGGTATTGCACGTTTCTTCCTTCTCGTAACAGCACTGCCGCCCAGAACCATCTACTTCCACGTCTTAACTGTACGAAAATCCTCATGTCGGTTCCAAGACCACTACTGTCGCTGCGATTCTTGAAGCAGTATCACTGTCAATGTATGTACCCAGCGTCGACGACTTACTCGCTAAGGATTCCGCGCGCATTTTGAATACACCAAGTCTTGTCCTGAAGCCTTAGATGACAAATGGCTAACATCGTACCTCCGGCTCTACGGGATTCCTAAATCAGTTATCTGGAGACTGTCCACGGCGAGCGCACAGATGCGAATGGCCCGCGCGCATGCACCTGAAGGATTCGAGAACCACCACCCATCGACATGGCCGCTCTAGTACCGTCTCTTGTCCAGGAGTTAGCGCACTACTCAGCCCTTCTGAGTATTGCGCCCAGAACGTAGAACACTGTTTTTACATAGGCACAACTTATCCCAGGCAAATGGCGACAAGGTGGCTTCTAGAATCAAGCTGTCTACTTACTCGGATCTTCGGAGGCAGGGCTCCTAGGTTGGAGAGGTATCTTAGGGCTGTCCTCCTTATTTTGGCTACTGCGTAGGTAAATGCATTGATGAAGCTTGCCTTTCTATAGAGGTAATTTTCAACGTAGGACAACTCGGGAGCTGGGTACCGCCCTTTTTGTCCATAATGGAAGTAGGTATACCACTGCCCTCTGCGAAAATATATTCCTGGCGGGACGGGCGATGGGAAGGTACCAGGCATTGCAGCTCGAGACTCTCGGCGAAAGTACATTACTTCGTTCGCATGGATCTCCAGACGAGGTACGCACCTAGATCACCACTCCATACCTGAGGTACAGTTTGGAGGAACTAGAAGACAGATGGGGATGCCGTCGGGTCTCCGTGAACGGAAAAAAGGCTTTGAGCTTTTTTGAGATTTTGTGGTACATGGTAGGCATTGTATTAAAGAGTACTTAAATCACGCGGGGCCCCTCAAATGGGAAGAAGAATGATATCCATGAAGCTTACCCACTATCGTCGCATTGCTGGTCCATGTCCTCATTGCATATTTCATCGGCCATCTTATTCTTCTCTCTCGGGATCCAGATGTACGTTACGTCTCCCTCCTCTTTCAATCTATCATCAAGGTCGGAAGCCTCCTCCAGAAGATCTCGATTCGCAACACTGTTGCCCGCATAATTGATCCACCCGTTGTTGGCCCACTTGTAAATCCATTTTGTCATACAATCAACCGCATATCTGGAATCAGAATAGATTTTGACATCCAGCGCTGGATTGTGGTCGAGCCGGTCAAATTTCTCCAGGGCTAGCTCCAGTGCCACGATGATGGCTCTGATTTCGGCGCGCTGGTTTGTGGGCGGAGGATATGCAGGTAAAGAGCTTGTCCAGGACTGGTATCCGTGTTTTGTCTTGAAAACGGCGGCAGCGGATCCAATCGCACTCGCTCGTCCATTGCCTCTACAGCCACCGTCGGTGAGGATTTCCATGATGTAGACCATGTTCGCGAGGTGTTCGAGTCACTGAAGAATCAAAAAAAAGATAGTTGGCTGAGTGGTTTAAGGCGGCTAGCTTCTGTGGAAATGAAGAGGTTGCGAAGGTTCAGAGTGATGACTCATGTGGAACTGGGATGCTTCCCTACCTACCGTATTATGTATGCGTATGTGCGGGGTAGTCCTACTGTAGGTTACGGTCGACGCAGAAAGAAGGGTAACACCTAGCAACGTGTTGACCAATGGATCAAGAGAGTGTGGGTTGTAGAAATAGGACATGTAGCCAGGATTTAGAGCTCCGTGCCAAGAAGCTAACCAAAAGTAGTTAGTCGCTAGCCAGTTAGTACAGATGAGGTATGCAACTTCGACAGCTACCATGGCCTGATGCTCGGAAATTCTTCCTCCATTGGGCTTTCTTGTTTCCACTTACCTCCACTGCTTATTTTCACATTGAAGTTGATGATGTTAGGGACACTGGCTTTGAAACCGTGGAGGGGAAGCAGGAAGCAGGAAGTACAGGAGAGAGAGAAATGCACGGCTATCTGGAAAAGCTGAAAATCTCAAGCATCCTACAGAAAAAGAAGAAGCAGAGGCGCGAGAGAGACCCTCTTATAGGTCCCCCAAACACACAGCAAGGAGGCATGAAGGCAAACACGACACAGTGGTGGAAATCTCCGTCTGCGGTCGCGACCGTTTACCCGCATCGGTAAGATAGCAGACAGGAATTCTGTGGATACCATCACACCATCAAAAAAGAAATCTGTACGTAGGAAACCACCACCTTCAAGTGATGCCTTACTCCTCGGTCACCAGGGTTCCTAATCGGCATGTCAATAGTTACAACTTATACAACTTACAGTAAGTGGCCCTGGTGCCTACCCCTACGGATCCATGCCGATCACATTTATTGCAGCAATTGACCAATCACGCCCATCTCGTCGCTGTCCGCGCTGCCCTGACTGAGTCACTCTTCCAAGGCCACGAGTCAATTCCGAGCGATTAATGAGGTAGGAATTACAACTCTCGCTGAGCTTGACTCGTTTACTAAAGTTTGTAGATGCCTTATGTTTTGGGCAACCTAATAATGGGCGCGGCTATCGTTAAGCCACACGGATACAGTATTTCCCGGGGGCTGCGCGTATATAACCTGGACTCAATCCAACATCACACTCGTCACGACATCCGCCGAGGATTTCCACCAGAATGGCCCTAGTCGGACTAGAAAATCTCCCACTGGAGGTTCTCTCTATGATATTGGGCTATTTAGGAGTGCGTACCGGCGAGCGCCCTTTGTCACCCCTGTTCTGTTTAATCGACGGCCAGCAGAAGCCCAACCAGCCCGCCTGGTACTCTGTAGAGCGTCACTTACTACGCACCCTGTGCCTGATCTGCCGGCAATGGCGGCAACTGATGGAACCTATCTTATACTATGAATTTATGCCGGGATATAGCGACTCCTAGCGCTCTGATTCTTACACCTGGGACCGTCGACTAACCGCTTTCATGCGGACTGTAGCCTACTGACGCGATCTGGCCCGCTAAGTCAGGCGAATTTTCATTTACCCGTATCTACTATATGACTTAACCGTAGAGGAGCCCGACGGGGGATGGCCAGCCGGATACTAGAACAAGGCGCTACCCCCCGTCCGCTACCGATTACCCGGCGGGAAGCGTAGGACACCCTCCGAGAGATTGCGCAGGTATTGAAGGATAACGCCCTGCTGAACCTCTCCGCTAGCGATCTACTAGCTAGTTTAATGGCAGAGCTCCTAAATCTGGAACATCTCAGCGTATAAATTAGTCCAGATATCCAAAATATACTAAGCACTACCGGGCTCTACGCCGCCTAAGTCTCCCGTCAGCCTATTAAAACAATCGATATTTGCTTTAGACCAAATGAATAGCAACCAGCAAGAAGAGAGTTACTATATCTCGATAATTATGTGAGTGATCTATTGGCGTTCTGTCCCTTATTAGAGACCCTTAATCTATATATGTGTAGTAGTCTCTAGGGTCGGCCTATACCGTTTCCGTCCCTCCCGAAGCTTACCACGCTGCGTCTTACGTACAGCCGCCTAACTAAATCGGAATTGGGACGTATTCTATCGGCATTTCCTAGGTTGCGTCACTTTTGTTACGAGTCCGCCCACCTCTTCTCCACATATCCCATTCTGTATAACCGCGCCAATCCATATAACCGCGGGGAGGCCCTACAGCTAGTAGATATAGTAAAATTTCTCGAACGCTACCGCGCTACCCTCGAATCTATTCACATCAGTAGGGCGATTCTCTAGGATAGCTCTAAGCCCGGACCGCCTATTAGCTTCCAAGCATTTCCCATGTTACGCCATATATTTTTAAATATGGAGGAGATCCATCACCGGCTCGGAGAGCAGGACCCCGCGGACGATCCGGAACTCTGGATCCAGATACTACCCCCGAATATCTGATCGCTTCATCTAGAAGGCACAACCCAGGAAAATCGTTGGTCCCGGGAGGAGAGTCTTGAAAAAGAAGTATTACGACTGGCAGTACCGTCCCCAGGTCCTGCATCCCCTGACTACCGCGATCTCAAATACATCGGTGTTAACCACTCCCGGATAGACCTTGGCTTATTATTTAAAAGATAGATATATTGGCTATATCTCCAATGGCACAAGGCCTAGGCGCTAGACCTCGTACATCAGTATTAAGTATCCATTACTTCAGTAATTTCTTCTTGTTCTATAATAACTTTAGGTTAGGGTAACGTTTTGAGACAGTGGAGAGTGTTTCGTTGTAACAGAAATATGAGAAGGCGTCACGAACTACTATCCGTGCTGGTGCATCTGATTGTCTCGACTTAGCTTGCATGTTCCCTTTATGACCCTAAGTTCTTTAAATGCAGCCTGCTGAGAATCAAATAGTTCAATTTAGCTTCCAAGATCATCACAGATCTCCAGATGAACTCCGTGCTTGGACCATTTGCCCGAGCCCTTCGCTCAGCCCACACCTGAGGAAATTATCTAGATAATCATTTGCTTCATTCACTGAACAATTTCGAATTCAGATATGTGGAGAAACATGGTAAATGTGTGATTAAAATCAAGCACACGATGACATGTACATATCTCTGGCAAATTCTGTACCTCCACTTAGTTTGCTGTCTGCTATCCGTTAATGGCACCAAGAATAATTCGCGCTGTTGCATCCATATCACCCCAAAATTCTCAATTTCAAACTTTAAGCTTGTTCCTATGACGTGTTCCTGTGCGAGCGAGGCCAAAATCTAGAATTTCAAACTTTAAGCTTGTTCCTATGACGCGTTCCTGTGCGAGCGAGGAACAGATACTAGTCTCCAGGCCAAGTTAGACGGGTACTGGAAATGCCATTGGCTATTAATAGAAGTATATGACCATGCCAGGTCCTAAGGTTGCATTTGCCACCCGAATAAGGTTTGAGTCACATATCATGACTCGCTGTCAGATTGGCTTTCGATGGCAGCAGCCTTAGTCTAGTTAGTCTTCTGTTATGGGAGAAGACTCCGATTGCTCTACTCTACAAGGCAAGGGAAGTTGGAACATGCCAAGAGGTCTGTCCAGTAAATTTTTTAGATTAAAATTATATTAGATTTGGTAAACATTCCAAACACCTAAAACAGAAACAACGAAGAGCGTGGACCTAAAGCCCACCCTAGAACGCCTTCCTCTTCGCCCCTGGAATCCATTGCTTCTCGGTGCCATCAATCAACACTCTTGAAGTTGCGGGCCGGCAAGATAGATGGACAGCAGCCATTGATATCAAACCGAACAGGTTGTCAGAATTGAGAGAAAAAAGACATGGAAAGAACAAAGGGTCGAAGGCTAAGGACCCAAAGACCGGCACACGAAAGACATAAACAGCACAAATTTTAATTAAAGGCGACCCGCTTATGCGAGGAGGATGAGGGCACCGTAGGCGACGCTGCCAAGGCCAGCACCAACCATACCCAGCTGAGGAGCAGAGATCTTGTTGCCGGGGCTGGAGGGGACGAAGCCGGTGGCGCTGGGGGCGGCAGGAGTGTTGCTAGCACCGGTGCCAGCAGCGGTGCCAGCAGCGGTGCCAACAGCGGTGCCAACAGCGGTGCCAACAGCGGTGCCAGCAGCGCCGCCACCGGAGACAGGGGTGCTGCTGGGGACCACGACGGAGACAGTCGAACCGGGCGGGACCACGACGGTACCGTTGGTGACGGTGGTGCCATTGCTGGGGATGACGACGGGAACACCGGTCACAATGGGGTGGGTGGCAGAGACAGCAGTGCCGAGGACGGAGACGCTCTGTCGCTTAACGGGAGGCTCGTTCCTGACAATAACAGCCTGGACACCAGTAGCGACAGCCAGGAGGGTAAGAGCGGGAGTAGAGAAGTACATCTTGACTTTTGGGTGGATGGAGCTAAAGCGATTGGTTCAAGAAGGAAGAAAGGCTTCTTGTCGAACGAATGACAAAGCTGGAAGGTTGTATCAGTATGACATGGCTTGCGCATGATTGGTATTTCTCACAGAGATAACCTACCTAGAGTGGAGGATATTAATGCGATGGAAGATCTGAAGGAAGAAAATGGGCCATTGCCTCGGGGCGGCAAGGCGGCCATTCTTATAGATCTGAAGGTGTCTAAATCCGGCCTGTTAGGTTGGTGTGGTGAGTGATGATGCCATGTAAAGGGAGAAAATATTTTTTTCTCCATCTTCCATGTTCCTCTCCACGACCTCCGGTGCCTCGTTGCCCTCGATAGAGCCTTGGTACTACAGCTGTGGGACGAGATTTGCATATCGCGGGTTTCCGCATCCGGGTGTGGACCCGTCGATGTTACTCTGGGTGGGCGGCCGAGCCAGCTCCGCCGGACAGCTCTGGTAGAAGCCTTCAGGAGCGAGATCGTCATGATTCAGCCGAGCTGTGAGCATAGGCGCTACCTATCGTCGCCGCAGAGGGTGTGTTCACATCACGTGATGTATGTTCCCAAATAGGAAAGCCATGCCTTCGAAAGCGGACGAGTCGTCGATCGGCGTCACAGCACCAATGGGAAATTCCTCATCGATCGGCAGGCCAACGCGTGTACAATGCCTTTTTCTGGGGTGCATTAGCGGCGAGAGTCTGCTTTCAGAGGTAGCCATCTCTGGGGCCTCTGGAAGCCACACCCGCTTGGAGGAATGCACACTGTGTCACTGAGACAATGGGTGGGGAAGACCTCCAGTAGTCTGGGTGCAGACCTTCAGAAACAGGCTCTCAGACCTGGTCTGGGAAGTTGGCTGGCAGCAACGTCCACTGGGTTTGGATAGTGTCGCATAGAAATGTCGATGGTCCGCGATATCAAGAAAGGTGGAATCCGGAGTCTCACAGAGACGTGATTACACACGGTATTGCCGTGAGAGCATGGTACTACCGACGAATATTATCTTGACATCGAGTAAAGGAAAGCTCGTCTATCGACCCAGGCCTACGTGTAGAGCAAAAGGGTGAATTCACGGGCCATGTCTATCCATGTCTATCAAGGAGACCACACGGCACTCCAAGTTGGCCCAGGAAACCTGTCAGTTACCGTCTGTCACTGCATTCAGGAAACGGAAAAGATGTTGCGTCGGTGGCTTCGGCCGAGTACAGAAGGGCAATGCCAAGGGGTTTGACAGCTGCAACTCTGCTCATCTATCCCGCAGGAATGCGAGAGGCGCTGACCCCAGAGCGAAGATCTTCAATAGACTTGTAATCTCCGGAAAAGTCGTAGAATGAGATTGGAATATGAATTCCATTGAAGCCATCAGAGTGAAACCTTCGAGAGGTTCCGACATGTGGTCTGTTTCCAGATTGAGTCCAACGGTCTTTGGAGCCTGTCCATGAAATTCCCTCCGTCGTGCGAGAATGAACGCGCGGGATGTTTGCCGCAATCAAGTAGCAGCCAGCATCACCTGCTCGTCAAGAGGCAACTTGTCAATTTCCCAGAGATATGCCCGAAGCTGAGTTTTATTTGGGCCGTACTCCGTTCTGGTGACAGGGCCGAGCTTGGTTTTCCTGAGGGGCCCATTCCACGGTCTGGGCGGGCTGTTGTGTCCTTTAAAGATCCCTGTTCGATGAGCCTTGCGACTATTTTTCTTGTAACTTCTTCCATAGCCCTGCTGTACTGCTGTACTGCTGCATCCCGCAGTTTGAGGATCAACAATGAGTATAGATTGGCGTGGGCAGTCCGGCGACTGCGAGGCTGAAAAAGTCTTGGCGGGTCAACCCCCGACCCGCCGCCGATCTCCCTTCGCTTCTGCGTCAACTTTTATCGCCTTCAAGCTTCAATGTCTTCACGCCGTGGCTGACGCGTCCGCCAGCCATGCCAAATCCGGGCAGCCCCTCGCGTCTCTCACCGGGCAACTACGACAACGATGCGGCCTCCCTGCGATCACCCTCAGAGCAGGACTCTGACTCGGATGATGACGAGTTCCTTCGTCACCCCCGCAGCACCCTAGAGCTCTCTAAACACGACCGGAGTGTCCTCGAAGAGGAAGATGAGCTGGAAAAACTTTTGACAAGGCGTGGTCCTACCCACGAGCTGCGCAGGATCTTCAGCCCAAATGGGAGCAGCGTGCGCATTGGAAAGAGGGAACGACGGCGAGCGAGGAAAGAAGCCCGGCTATCGCGGCGGGAACGGGTCAGCGAAGAAGGGGAGCTGATGTACGAAATGGAAGAAGGCCTTGGGGAGGATGAGACAGCTTCATTGATGAGCGGATCTTCAACAGACTTGGAGCCGAAGGAAGACTATCTCTATGAGCCGGTACATCTCCATAACCCTTGTTTGACCCCTTGTACTTCTTGTCTACTAACTCGGTCTTTTGTTGCTTAGCCACCCAGGCCATCATGGCGCAGAATATTGTTTGTTTCAGCCATTATCGCTATCCTCTTTCTCATCCTCTTCCTTGGTGCCTACAAAGCCTCGAGTGGTTTCCGTGCTGTGCATCCACACCCCCAGCCCCTGTTTTCCAACGGCACGGCACTGTTCGCGCCAACGACAATTTTGATCTCGTTAGACGGTTTTCGAGCGGACTTCCTTGACCGTGGTCTGACCCCAGCACTCAATTCGTTGGTTGCAAGTGGCGTCTCCCCACAATACATGAACCCTAGCTTTCCCAGTGTAACGTTTCCGAACCATTTCACGCTGGTGACTGGCCTATACCCCGAGAGCCATGGGGTGGTCGGCAATACCTTTTGGGATCCCGATCTCGGTGAAGAATTCTACTATACCCATCCTACCGTCAGCATGCAGCCCAAGTGGTGGAATGCGGAACCGCTGTGGGAGACGGCAGAGAAACAAGGAGTGAGAACTGGCATCCATATGTGGCCGGGATCTGAGGCCCATATTGGTGTCGTCGAGCCGAGCTATGTGGATAAATACAATGGCTCGGAGGCTTTGCCACGCAAGGTCAATCGTGTACTTGAGCTCCTTGACCTTCCTGGTCCTGAGGACGAGTCGGATCTAACGCCACAACGTCCTCAGTTCATTGCGGCCTATGTGCCCGATGTGGATAAGGACGGCCACAATTATGGACCAAACAGCACCGAGATCCGAAGCACCATCGCCCGGGCAGATGAATTAGTGGCGGGGATCGTCGCTGGTCTTGAAAGCCGCAATCTCACAGACCTGGTCAACATCGTGGTCGTTTCAGACCATGGGATGGCCACCACATCGACGGAGCGCCTGATCCAACTAGATGATGAAATAAATCTCAACCTCGTTGAGCGCATTGACGGATGGCCATCTCGTGGCCTACGTCCGAAACAACCCGAGAACCTAGAGATGCTGGAGGATCAGCTGGTAAAGCTGGGGAGAAAATATGCAGATGCAGTGGAGGTTTATACCCGAGAGACCATGCCTGAGCGTTATCACTTCTCGAACAACGACCGCATAGCTCCTCTATGGGTGATCCCTCGGACAGGCTGGGCGATCGTCGAGCGGCCCGAGTTCGACGTAAAGAAAGCATTGGAGACGGGAGAAGTCTATCACCCCAAGGGAATCCATGGCTACGACCACGAACACCCGCTGATGCGCGCCATTTTCATCGCCCGTGGGCCCGCCTTCCCGCATACACCCAATAGCCGCCTTGAGGCTTTCCGTAAGTGGTCGTGTCCCAATACCACAGATTACACATACTGACCCCTCTGCTCTAGAAAACATTGAGGTCTACAATATCCTTTGTGACTCACTGGGTATTGATCCGCTGCCAAACAACGGTACATTGCGTCTGCCCTTGAAGCCAGTTGGGCTTCATTCTGATGAGCACACGCCGCCTTTGGTGCGGCCGTCCGACCCTCCAGAGTCGTCCACCACTACGGCCGGGCCCTCGGGACCTACACCCGCTACTACAGGCGCACCGCCCGCAACAGAGTCTGGCAGCGACAAGCAAGGGCCGAGCTGGTGGGGGACGGTGTCGGACAAATTCAAGGATTTCAAGCAGTGGGCGGGAGAGCTCTTTTCTGCGGAGAAGGATAATCACCCGCGGTGATGGCAGATGGGACGCTCCAACCTCTTCGCTCTTTTTTCTTAGTGTGGCCCATGCTGGTGCTATTTTGCAGAGAGATACCCATTTTCAAAGATACATAGCTATATAATCTCAGTTATACATTATTCCACTCGATGTTGGGGGGTAGGATGAGTGGAACATTTCGGGGGAGTTGATAACCAATATAGATATCTCTCAACCGTTACGGATAGATTATTGTAATCTGGGAATGAAGCTAAAAGGCAGTTTAGTTGTCTTATCCTGAATACCAAGTAGGTAAAGATGAGGTATCCCATTGATGTTCTAGAGAAACTCTTAAGGACTGCATTAAGTTGGTCAGCTACAATGTTAGGGAATGTTTGCTGTTGGTGGCATTCAGCCCGGTCTGTATGTGAAGGAACCGTGACTTGAGAACCTTTCTGGATCATGAGGCACAAACTGTCATTCCAGACATCAACCAGCACCAAGTGGTCGAGCGGTAACTCGGTCATTTCATCTTCCTTGGTCTAGTGGTCATGATTTCCGCTTGTCATTAACACCGATAAGCGCGGGAGACCGGGGTTCGATTCCCCGAGGGAGAGTTTCTTTTTGCACATATACTCGGTATATATATCTTTTTTTATCACTACTACGTACGGCTGCTGCCGTATATTTGTAGTTGGGTGCTTCGTCAAGACGGCACCAATAGGTCAGGAAACTGTCTAAATTTCTCGATCGGGCTTTGCAGTGTTGATCGCTGTTTTGTGCTCCTTGGCAACTTGGATTTTGCATTGCCTACACCGTCCTTCATGTCATTCGGCGTCCACCCTATCATTTGTTCATCTGGTCACTTTGCGCATTTCCGAAATACTGCGCCACACATAAAACCCAGGTCTTACCTACATTATTACCCCTCACTTATGTCACTTTCCTATTGTCAGCTCCACAAGGCCGCATGATGTACATGCCTGTGAGTCAGACGTTCAGGCAGCACTTGAAGGCCGCAAACCAGCTGAGGGCAGCCTGATGCGGAGTCCCAATCCGAAGCTCTCAAGGATGAGGCTCAAATTGCCGTAGCCTATTTAATCACCGACTTGAGTGTTTCTGCAGTCTTTCCTTCCCTTCCGTCTACTACAGTCTTTTCGGACTCTCTGCCGCCCATGTCGAACAACCAGTCGGACCCCTCGTCAACGAGGGTCTCCTTCTCACCGTCGGACACGGCCATGTTAGAGGCGTTAGTCCCAGGATATACCTTCATATCTAGATTTGTCTTTTCATATCTTCACATTGACCTCGCCGCCTATCTGCAGTATTTCGTTGCTCTGGCTCTGTTCGGTGCCTCCATGCGATACCTTTTCGAGCATGTATCAGACAACTTCTCCAAATACTTCATCTCGACGGCAGAAATGCGCCTCGATGATGAGATCTTCAACTATTTCATGTACTGGTGGTCGCGACAGCCACAAGTGAAGCGCACGCACCGATTCCTGGCTGGTGTCAGGACAAACGGCTACTGGAGCGACGAGGACGACTCTGATCACGAGCGCTCAGATAGTGAAGACGAGTGGGAGGACGCTGACGGCTCCATGAGCACAGAGTCATTCGATGCATACTGGACTAGGGTCATCAACCGGGACAAATACAAACGCCTACGATTCACGCCTTCGCAGGGGCGGCACTATTTCTGGTATCAGGGCCGGCTGTTGATGCTGGATCGACAATATGAGAAGACCACGGCTCGCTGGGTGCTCAACAATGAGAAGCTGTACCTTTCATGCTGGGGCCGAGACCCTTCCATTCTTCACCAATTGCTGTCCGATGCGCAGCACAAGTTTGTCGAACGGGACGGCAGCCGGACTATCATTTATCGTGGACAGAGATGTTCTTCGGGCACTACCTTCAGCTGGAGTCGGTGTATGTCTCGACCCCCACGGCCACTAGACACTGTGATCCTGGACGATGCGCAGAAACACAGTTTTCTGGCTGATATCGAAACCTACCTGGAGAAAGGGACCGCCAAATGGTACGCTGCGCATGGTATTCCCTATCGGCGTGGCTACCTGCTCTCTGGACCTCCTGGCACCGGCAAGTCGAGCTTGTGTTTTGCCGTAGCAGGCAAGCTCGGATTGAAAATTTATCTTCTCAACCTGAGCTCTCGAGCGCTAGATGAAGATAACCTGTATTCTCTGTTCTCTGAACTGCCTCGTCGCTGCATACTTCTTGTAGAAGATGTTGATACCTCGGACATCACCCACACCCGAGGAACATCGATCTTCCCCAAGTCTGCCAGGACCAATGCCGACGCATTCCCACCCCAGGCAGGCAACGGCTCCTCTCCAGCTGAAGTGGACAAGGCCAATGTGCCTGAAAAGCCTGAACGAGAAGGGATCACGCTTTCAAGCTTGTTGAATGTGCTCGACGGTGTGGCCGCTAGTGAAGGCCGTATTCTGGTCATGACAACGAACCATCCTGAAAAGCTGGATGATGCACTTCTTCGGGCTGGTCGTGTCGATATGCACATTGAATTCCGACGGGCAGTTTCCGAGGACATCGAAAAACTCTACAGATCGATCTATTCGGTCTCGAAAGATGATCGCACACACCCATCATCTCGCCGAGGAGAAAACGGAAGTACAACAACAATGCAAAACGGCAGCGCGGATCATCCTAATAACCCAAAAGGCGTTGAAGGCGAAGACGAAGAGAACACTGACAACAAACCGAACGGTCTCCGTGGACGTCAAAACGAGCTCAGGTCTCGCATTGCGACTCTTGCAAAAGAGTTCGCTTCTCTTGTACCTAGTGGGGAGTTCTCTCCCGCTGAGATCCAGGGATATCTTCTTAAGCACAAAACTCACCCCGAGAGAGCAATCAAGGAAGTTGCAGAATGGGTGAAGGAGGAGAAAGAGAAGAAGGGTGCACAGAAAGCAGCGGACAATAAGGCCAAGGAAGACGCCGATAGCAAACATACATAGTGCCATGATGATCAAAAACTGCATGAATGACGGCAGGCAAGACGAATATAACCATTAATATCCATTACATATCTTCGGCCTCCAAAAGCCATCTTTCAGCGTTTGCGGTGGGCTTGATACAAATGCAAACTTGATGATACCTGAGCGAGCAGATCATCGTTGATTTTTTTTTCCGTGTTCATAAAGATCTATGTAAGCGCGGGAAGTTCATCCCAACACAAGACAATGAATTTAAGCGAAAAGGCTTGATATAAAAAGCAAGGTATCACAACGAGTGGATGAGGGGTATATAACAGCAGCACCAGGATCAGACAAAACCGAAGAAAACAGAAGCTCCAGGCTAGGCCAACACCTCGTTCCAAAGCACAACATGTGTTAAAAAAAAACTACGCGATCGAGGCCGTCGTTCCGCTGAGGACGAGGTCCGCCACATACATGCACCGCTGCTTCATCGAGTTATCACACCAGGCGTGGAACAGCATGCGATCCCCACATCCACACACAGTCGCACCTCCAGGGGAGATGAGTCCACCGTAGTCGCCACTCTTCAGCAACTGGACGTTCGACTTATGATACGGGCCCGTAATGCTACTAGCAGTAGCCCAGCGCACGTCATACTTGCTGTCCGTGAAACAGTGGGTCGAGTAAAACAAGAAGTAGACTCCATTGTGTAGAAGCAGGCTGGGGGCTTCCACAAGAGGCCCATCGCCGTCGTTGGTGTTGCGGTCGAGGATTTTCACCGCATCACCAATGGGAGTGACACCATCCGCCTTCACCTTTTGCAGCATGATTGGCGTGGAAACGAGAGGAGGGTTGCCGTTGTTGCAGTCACCTCCGTGGCCGACGCTATTGCCGTCGACTTTGAAAACAACGTATCTGCTGCCATCTTTGTCTTTGAACCCCGCAGAATCGATGGACCCGCCCTGGTCCAGCCTGCACGACAGTGGGGTATTGCTGGGGACATACGGCCCCATGGGCTTGTCCGCCACGGCAGTTCCAACACAGTGATGAGGAGTATCGCTCTTAGACTCTCCTGAATAGGTCATGGCGTACTTTCCGTCGTCCTGCAATCGATATTTAGTTCTGACTCATTTGCTTTTGCAAGAGAATCATGAAGAATTGCGACTTACGCGCAGAACCACATCGGGTGCCCAGTGGTCTTTGGCCGTCTCCCAGCTTCCCAAAGTTGGAAGCGCGTCGATATCGAGCAGAGTCCAGTGGGAAAAATCTGGTGAAACAGCAACCTGAACACGCTTGCCGTTTCCGTTCGTGCCGAAGGCATACCATTTCCCATCAGCAGCTTTCATGAAGCTTGGGTCTGGGAAATCAGTGTTCAATCCCTTCCAGGGTCCCTTCGCCCGCTTTGGGAGATATGGTGATCCTAGAGCTACTTGGAGCAGAGCTAGTAGGAACGTCACCCATATACAGGGAGCAGGAAAGAGAGAAGACCGCATGCTTCTGCTTATTGATGAACCCTGGAAAAAAAGAGGGGAGAGGGGAATAATATCTGGATTGGGATTCTGGATGGGCACCTCACAGGGGAAAGGGCCAGTCTTATAGCTCGTGCCCACCGCTACGACGGAAAGATATCATGGCTTTTTGTTCACCTCCCACGCCTGACGGTTAATATTGCCCCCCAACTTGGCGGCATGGGGACTGGAAAGAGAGTGATAAAGTCCGATGCCCCCCGCGAAACGGCACAAGCAGCCGCACGCCTGACACGGGAAATCCATCAGGTGGATTTTGGATGCGGGAGATACTCCAATCTGCGATCCACTCCTGCTCGAGCTCGTGCTCATGCTGATGATGCAGTTGGTGGGCTGCGCCGAGCCCGAAAGTCGGGTTGGCTGTGATGCTGCCAGCGGGAGAAGCAGGGCAGGATCCAAGGACGCATGGCATAGGCCAAGGCCAGTGCGAGTGCATGAAAAGTCTCGGCGGATCAAATCGAAATCGACCCCGAGGTTGAGCGCCACCGACTTCCGAAACAGGTGCAGCATGATAAGACGGAGGGGAGGTCAATCGGGAAAAAGAAAAGTGTTGGCCGCTCAATAGGAGTAACGAACTAGCTAGGTACCATGCAAGGGCGAGTAGGCTGCCTCGGTGTTTGGACAATGTAGGAGGTTGTACATGAGCCGCTCCGACACCGCATTTTTTTTCTCAGGCGATATGCTCTTGGAAGAATAAAGCGAGATAAAGCGACATGGCTAACTTGGCAAACTTGGCGGCGAAGACATGATGCATTTTGGGCTGAGCTTTGGGCGGGGGAGAGGCGCGCCTTGGTCGCTAAGAAAGTACGTGTTTCCCGTCGGCTTCAGGCGTCCTGGAAGTAAGCCCCAGCCACCCGAAGCGACTCGTTCAGGGACCATCGAGGGGGCGGCCACGGTGGTTCAGGGCGCATGGTTATCCCGACCGCCACGCTGTGTTGGCACGAGTGCAGGGTACCAACAAGAAGTATACTGTGGACCCGTGGATAAGTGAACCACCAACCAAATGGCCTGCTGACGGAGCTGCACAGAGTCCCAACAGTCGGCTACCAGGCCTCAGATATTCCTTTGGTCGGCCTGGCCAACCTCCTTTGAAGAGCCCATGCAGTATCGCGGGATCTATAGAGATCGAGCCCTGTGCCATGGATCCATCCCAGCGTCAGCCATGTTTTCCAATATCACTTCCCCACACATTCCCCGGGACACAACAAAATGGAGCATACCGGGCCAAACAAAACCGTAATATTATCATTTAGACCCGATAAGGCAGGGGTCGATTTTCCAGATCGATTCACCTGACAAGCCTCACGCGATCTCGCTTTGAACCGGCCGTAAATTAGGCATATGAGTGACTCGAAAGGGAGATTCCCCGTCGAGCACGTTTAGATCAACACGGAAAATGCCGCCTTTGGTTGATCCGGCCAAGTGCCGCTGGCCCCGATTGGAAGGATCGAGTCGAGACAAGGAGTTTGATCGCCGCGGGTCTTACCCCGCATGCGTGCAGGCCGGAGGGTGATGGAAGTGAGTGCCGACCACTCGGGGAGGATATGTTGGGCGGTCGTGATGCATTGATGTCACCGCCAGTCCTGCGTCACGTAGGGACTGCCGGTGGATCGGCGGCTCGCATGACAGGGTTGGCGATGACAACATGCTGAGACCCTGACAGATCGACTCGATTGCCGGAGGGCGGGGATGGCGAAAACTTGTCATTTGACTGCTTTTGAATTTGGTGGTTCAGGGCGGGGGAACGGAAGGAAAAGATTCGGCTTGATGCGGGAAAGACAGCAAGGGAAGAGAACGATGAGGTCCATCTGGGTGAGTGCTGTGAGCGTGCAAGAAGATCGTCCACGCATAGTAGTTTCCCGATCGCTCAGGCCGGAAGTAGTGCAGTTCTCGTCGAGGGAGGGCACAGCACTAGTGGCCCGCGAGATATCGAATAGCTTCGACTATGGAGCTTGATGTCGCCAAACAGTAATGAGATCTAGATCTAATGTTCCCCTGGCTGAATATAAAGTCGGTTTCGAGAACCGCACCTGCAAATCTAACTGGTGGTGGTTTCAGAGGTATGACGCCGAGTAGCAGAAAATCTCCAGTGATTACGCGTCCCCAAGGCTTAACTCGACGCCCAGTCTCTCCTTCGGAAACTCGACATATTCCAAGCACATATCTCATTCGGGTTACCGGGTGATTTGACGCAGCATGAGGATGAACACAATATCGCACACATGAACCCCGTTGTTCTCGCTGTATGCGCGATAAACCTACTCAAGTTGTTGGAATCCGTAGATGCTACACTCGAAGAACGGAGTGCGTGCAGATATATCGCGCTGCGAAGTTCTCATACCTTGGCCATTATTGTCCAGAGCGCATCAAAGCTATAAATGTGGTCTCGGCTCTACATACCTCCCAATTTGCCTCAATCTGCCACATTCTGTGGCTTCAACCTTCATTCCATGCTTCGGGAGTCGGCTCTGCATTTTCGGACCGATAAGAGTACTGATTCTCTTCATCTTTCAGTCTTTTCGGCAAATGCTTCCAAATCTTGATCCTATGAATTACAAGTTCCTCAATTGAGCATCGCTTGGCATGTTGTACAGGCAACCGGGGGTAGAGAGGGCGGCAGCAACAGCACGCCGGGGTGAATTCTTTCTTCACATTCCAACTTATCTCGCTAATCGGCGTGGGCACCGCAACCCCGCGTAAACCATAGCATACATGCCCCTTCTCTCCATAGCTTGTTCGTGGTTGATATGCCTTTGATTTTTGAACAATGTGTTTAAATAGGCGGACTCTGCCGACTCTCAGGGCTGCGGAGGATTGCCGATCTTTCTGTTCATCAGGCCCCCGGTACTGAACACTATGATCTCGGTAAAAAAGGTGCTGGGTCTACAAGATTCCTACATCCCCGAGGATACACAAGCCCATCATGGTTCGGACCCGACCGTGCTGGACTGGTTGAATGATGGAATCCCATCCGTTCACCAGGCTCTGCAATGTCTGACCCGACTATTTCCTTTCTTGAAATGGATTCAGCATTATAATTTGCAATGGTTCATCGGAGACTTGGTTGCAGGTACGCGACACTGTTGAACCTCTGATCATACCTATGCTGAGCTCAATCACCCGATGTAAAACAGGTGCGACTGTGGGCGCGGTCGTTATTCCCCAGAGTATGGGCTATGCTAGATTGGCCGGTCTTCCCGTAGAGTACGGCCTTTACACCTCATTCATGGGCGGCGTTGTCTATTGGTTCTTTGCAACCTCCAAGGATATCACGATCGGGGTAGGCTCTCGAAACAACGCAAGCGTGTCATCCCGAAGCTAACAGGGTAAAAGCCAGTTGCCGTCATGTCGACAGTTGTCGGCACGATCATCACCGATCTGCAGCAACTCTACCCCAGCATTCCCGGTCCGCAAATTGCGCTGTCTATAACGGTGATCTGCGGCAGCATCATCACATTCATGGGCCTGGCGCGAATAGGATTTCTAGTTGATTTCATTCCTCTTCCATCCATTACTTCCTTTATGACGGGCTCGGCCATTACGATTGGCGCTGGGCAAGTGAAGACCTTGCTCGGCCAGACGGCGGATTACAGCACCCGAGCGCCTGCATACCAAATTATCATCGACACCTTGAAAAACCTCCCATCATCTCAGAGATACGATGCAGCCATGGGGGTGTCCGCCCTTGTCACTCTATATACGATACGAACTGCTTGCAACTATGCCGCCGGAAGATTCCCGCACCGATCCAAGCTCTTCTTCTTTCTTCCTGCTCTGCGTTCGGCGTTCGTGATTCTCTTCTTTACAATGATAAGTGCGGCTGTCAACCTTCATCGCCGAGAGAACCCTGCCTTTGCTATTGTCGGACACGTTCCTCGAGGCTTCCAGCACGCTGGCGTGCCCAATGTGACTGGGGAGGTCATCAAAACCTTCGCAGCAAAGCTTCCCGCCTGTGTGATCGTGTTACTCCTGGAGCATATTGCAATCTCCAAATCCTTTGGCCGTCTCAACAACTATACTATTGACCCGTCTCAGGAGCTCATTGCCATTGGTATCACCAATCTTCTTGGCCCATTCTTGGGAGCATACTCCGCCACGGGTGCCTTTTGTCGCTCAGCAATCCAGTCCAAATCCGGGGTTCGGACCCCCCTGGCGGGCGTCATCACGGCCACCGTCGTCTTGATTGCCATTTATGCGTTGACCGCCGTGGTTTTCTATATCCCTTTGGCGTCCTTGTCCAGTGTGATCTTTCATGCTGTCGGCGATTTAATTGTTGCCCCGAACACGATCTACCAATTCTGGCTAATTGCGCCCCTGGATGCGGTTGTCTTCGCAGTCGGACTGGTGGTTGCCATCACAAACACAATTCCCAACAGTATATACGCGACTGCTTGTTTGTCGATCGCCGTCTTACTGTTCCGCCACGCCAAAGCCCCAGGCAGTCTCCTTGGCCGGACATGGATCGGTGGTCAATTTACTCAGCGGCCGTTATTCCTACCACTCAATGATGCTGGGGATGGGTATTTGGGAGTCGAGCTAGAACGGCCACGGCCGGGTGTCTTCATATATCGTTTTTCAGAGGGCTTCAACTACTTAAACGCGGGCCATTACCTGGATCCCTTGGTCCAGACCATATCCAGGTGTACTCGGCGGACCAATGCGCAAGCATATTCTCAGAAAGGCGATCGGCCATGGAATGATCTCGCCCCGGAGAACCAAGGGCATGCATCGAACAGCTTAGGTCTACCAGTCCTTCGAGCAATCATTTTGGATTTCTCAGCAGTCAACCACGTCGATGTCACCAGCATTCAGAATCTAGTCGACATACGCAGCCAGCTCAATCATCGCGCTGCGCCGCTCGAAGTGCAGTGGCATTTTGCTCATGTGAGAAACAGATGGACCAAACGCGCTCTTGCGGCATCCGGCTTTGGCTATCCTTCCTGCCATAATGCGGAACCTCTTCCCGTCGACGAGTTGAAGGACTCATCAAGGTCACACGGCCGGCATACCCCTCTCGACGTTGAAGCAAACAAGGAGGAACCATTGAACAAAGGGGATGAGAAGTGGATGATTGGACCCGAAGCAAATGTGTGCAATGACACGCCTCGGTCTGTGGCAATTGAAAGTGCGAGTCGACCATTTTTCCACGCTGACTTGACAAGTGCACTGGAAAGCGTTGATGCCTATTTAGCTGCAAATCCGGTGCCATAAGCTTAAGCGCGCGACGAGTCAACAAGCAATTTGAGTCTTACGTGTATAAAATGCAAATGTAACACACCATAATTTTCATGTGAACCATGTTTATCAGCACTCGAAAGTCCTTCAATTTCACATTAGTTGCATAAGATGTCTTGGTAGGTCCTTTGGCCAGATGTAGGTTAAATGAGGTAATCTTTGTATTTTACAAGTTTATTGATCAAAGAAATTAATACCGAGATGGACACCGTGTAAGCAAATCAATGAGCACCGTCGCATCTATGGTCCCAACGATATCGAACTATGTACATGGGAGGGGGAAGCGCCACAGCCAGTTGATATATTCAAGGGGTATCTCAACAACAGGTCATAAATGAGAAGAAGAAGAAAAAAAGTTGGGGGAGGCTTGAAATGAAAGAATGAAGAATTAAAATGGTAAGACTCCGGCGCCCGTTATATCGTCAAACACATGAAGGCTGACAGCCAGACGCCGATCTTCATTACCGCTCGTCGCTGCTGGCTGCAGCACTGCCGCCGTTGCTGCTGAAGTAGCTCTCGTCGATCTTGAGGATCCATTCGACTTTCTGCGCCTCGGTCCGCGTCGCGAACAGGAAGGTGTTCTGGGTCCCGTAGACGGCGAAGATGTTGGGCCGGCCCTTAGCGGAGAGTGAGCGGTCGGCGCCGGCGCCGGACCCATCAAGAAGGCGGGCGAAGTCGGGCGCGTGGTCGACGCGGGAGTTGCGCAGGTTGATGGCGTTGATTTCGTCTCCTTCGGCGGAGTAGATGTGGAGATACGGCCGGCGGAGCTCCACAAATCGGCGGACCCAGATACTGTTGGTATCGTCCGGGGTAAGCACGTAGCCCGACTTCAAGGAAGAGGGGTTCTTCGGGAGGGCTTGGATGGTGGCTACGAAGCGGGGCTTGAGCGACATTTTGTCAGAGACAGGATCAGCGCCATCCGCTCTGTGTTGTGCTGCAATCGCTGCACCGTCGGATGGGGGTTCGGTGTTGCTTCGGACGAGAATCGCCTCAGTTGGGTCTTTTTTGGTTGACCAGAGCTCGAGGTACTTGCGAAGAAGCTTGGATTTCCGCTCGTTGAGATCCTGGTTACGCATAGGCGTCGATCGTCCACTGCGGGCAGGAGAAGCCATCAGGCTGCCGGCACTGAGAGCGCCGCGGGCAGCTTGCAGCTCAGCTAGACGGTATCGGCGTTTGCGAGCAGCAATGTAATCCCGAACCAGCGACACTTTGCGAGGTGCCCAAGTCGTCAAGAGCTCCTCGCCCTTGACATAGTCGTTTTGAGTATTCATCCGCCAAAGGTCGGCAGCACGCTTGGCAGAGATCGGGCGGATGACCAACGAGTACATTTTTGTTGTTGAGTGCACAACGCGCGTAGAGCTCCATAGCTGCTTGAACATCGACTGCTGACGAACATAGGTACGCCCCAGGATTTGGAGAGTCTGGTCGACCTCGAATATAACCGGGGCCTGGAGACGAGAAGAGACAAGGTCCCATCGAACAGTCACTTGGACCCGATACTTGTCTGCAGTCACCCGGTCAAGAAGCAGGGAGCCGTGCAGACTTGAGTCCCATTGGCCCACGATCGTGACATTGGATGTGCCATCGGCATTGTCTTTGACCATTGGCTCCTGGAGGAACTTCAGGGGGACATCCGGGGTCTGAAGGTCTTGATCAGGGATCTTGCCCCAGGGGTCGAGAAGGCGCACAGAGCCGACACGAGCATTGGCGATATCATCCCACGGCAAACTTTCAGTGGAGCTGTAGGTCAGGTTGATGGAAACACGACGCTGCAAGCCCTGGTGGAGTTGGTACGTGCCCGCGTCAAGGGGGCTATTCTGAACGACCTCTACGGGGAGGTACTCGCCGGACTCGGCAAGTTCCAGGATTTGAACTCGTGCAAAAACGTCATGTCGCTCCTCTGAATAGAATTCCGACTCGGCAATTCGAGGCGCCATGCGCTTCTTAGGTGTAAGTTCCGATGAATCACGCATATCATCCCAGCTGAGGAGTTTGTCAAGATGAACTGATGTCACACGAGCGTAGACGCAAACCTTGAGCGCAGCTGATCGAGGACTTGACAGCGGCAAGCTCATGCTATGCACACTCTCAAACCGGACAGGGCTCTCCTCGAACCCATTAATCATCTGGGTCGTGGTCGCACCACCTTCTTCAGAGATTCCTGGAACGAAGAGCTGCGCATGAACATCAGACCCTTCCCACTCAGCAAATCCGACCATGTCCCGCATGACGACGTTGAATTTCAAGGTCGACGAAGGGGCCTGTGCAGAGGATGGCTCGAGTGACAAGCGAACAATGCCAATGACACTCTGGGTATAAGGCGATGTGATCTCGATCGAGAAGTCTTGCACGCGAGTCTCGAACACAGCAGTCAGGGGGATGTCGGCATCACCAATGAGGGAATACTGCGGCGAGCAAGGCTCCGAAAACGGATTTTCAAGTTTGAAATGCTGAATATAGTCCGGACGGTCAATATACTGGTGCAGCTGTCGCATGGACTGTACGCGGCGCTGGAGCTTCTCGATCGACCACAAGTGAATCACACATTGCTTGTAGTCGATGACCCGAATGCCAACGCATGGCTTCTTAGTTTCCTCCAGCACAATGTCCTCGTCGCCGGAGATCCCGTTCAATACCAGATCATATGAGGAAGCCATGTTATGGCCATGATCAACAACAGCAAATTGGAAAACTACATTTTTGTCCATGATCTGGCTCATGACCTGTGCTTCCTTCAGGAGGGAAGCATGTTGTAGAATCTTTTCAGCCATACGAACATAGTTGCGCTGTGACCAGTGATCGTAGACAGTCCGTGCAATCTCAAGCTCGCGCTCGTCCAGCTTGGCAAAGCCGTTCTCGTAGATTTGCGGGATCGGCGTACCCATATCCCGCATCTGCGTTTCAAAACTTTCCTTTTGCACCCTCAATTGCTCTTCAAACACCTCCTTCGCAGACCGAAGCGCATCTTCCATGCGTTGCTTCTCGATTTGGATTTCTCCTGTGTCCTGGTTGGAAGATGCTTCTGCAAGCTTCAGTTTGTCCTGAAATTGATCCCGTTGACGATCAAGCTGGCGCTGCATGTCCTTTTGAACTGATTTGAGAGAAAAGCCGTTCGTCCCATCATCATCAGACTGTCGTGGTGTGCCAGGCATAGTGATGGCCGTGTCGAGAGAGAAATTGTCGATAGTTCCATTCGACATGTACTTTTCGCGCACGGGGAAAGAACTTAGTGAGTCGGAGTCTTCTTCGTTTTCTGGAAGTCCGCGGCGCACTGCTCGTGCTTTCTGTACGTCCTCAAATAGGGCATCTAACTCGTCGTCGGGCAAATGAGAAATATGGTCCGGTCCCAGCATAGCGCTGACAGCTTCTCGTCGAGCAAGGAACCAATCCGATTCTCGTCCACGCTGTGAAGGCATGGGGGAATCTGCTCTGCTAGAGTCGCCATCGACCTCGGAATCGACCTTGCTGGGTGTGCGGTCATGGGTCTTATTTGGTGCTGGTGAGCCAAGTTGGCTTGTTGTCACAGAGTGCCGCAGCAGGCTTTGTTCCACCCGTTCGGCGCGGGCCTCCTGGGGGTGGTTAAAGCGGAAGATGTGGAAATCACCCAGGATAATGCGGAATCCGCTCTTCAGTCGTGTAGGTTTATCAATGCGTAGGCCGTTGACCATCACTGCAGCTCCTTCAGTCGGAACAATGGTCACGACATTGTCGACATTCTCAAAGGTACAGTGCTTAGTGAGAATCTTCGAGCCGTTCAATCGGATCTCAACGCTGTTTCCTTGGTCCATATGCCCCACCGTCGTGGTGCCCGGCTTGATATTGTAGACCAGACACTCTGCGAGCAATGGATCATCGCTAAGATTGACCAAATGGGGCATTTTCTTCGGCGTGCTCAGTCCAATGAAACCCTTCTCGATATTGATACCCAGCTCCTCCAGAGCTGCCTCGCGCTCTTTGTGAATGAGCTCTGTCTTTTGCAGTTTCTCCTCCCAAGTCTGATTCAGATCTTTGTACAGCTTCTCACTCTGATTGAGCTGTTCCACAATCTCAGCCTTGCTGACTTTTGTGACTGAACCGTCAGATTGCTGGATAGAGACCATCTGCTTCTCCAACGGTGTATCGGGAGGATAGTATTCTTCTTGCGGCATTGAGCCAGGAGCTCCAGCCACTCCTCCAGGAACTCCTCCTCCGAGCTTAGACCGCAGTTGTGCCAATTCCTCCTTCAACTCGCGAATCATGCGGGCGTTCGGATCCTCGTTGACCACGGCGTGGTTCTTGATTCGCTTGGCGGAATCTGCATAACGCAAAGTACTCAGTGTTTCGTCGAAGTTAATGTCTGCAGGCGAGATAGCTGCAATCATGGAAGTCATTGAGTTGCCTCCCAGGGAGTCTTTCAGGAGCCATGTGAGTACTGAATCACGATATGGGACCATGGATGCCTTCTTGAGTTTTCCAGAAGAGACATCGGCCAACGCAGCAATCACACGACCAAGTGTGGATAGGGATCTGTTAATCTCAGCACCCTCCTTCAAGCGAGCACCAGTCGCGCCGGTCGAGTTTGCTCTCTCAGAGCCAGCCAGATCGACCAAACTGATCTTCGACACCTTCTCCGTGTCCATGGAGGTCTCAGCATCATGGCGTTTTTGCGTGAGAGTCAAGGTGAACACTGCATGCGATCGACTGGATGTTTCGTTCATGTTCGTCGCCGCAACCGTTCGAGCCTTGTTACCCTCGTCCATTAAGTGATCAATCTCGTCAAACGAGCGAACCACCAACTTCGACAAATCCTCAACGTACGGACCAGTCGAGGGGTGCTCACGGACTTTCAAGTTGCCCTTATTCGATGGGTTAAGCAAGTCGCGAACGCGTTCGTTGTAAATTTCCAGGTATGACACCTCAACCGTACATTTCAGGTTCTTATCTTGTTGGATATCGGTGATCCGGGTGAACATGGACTGGCAAATCCGCGGGATCACACCATACTCCTGGCCGTAACCCATCATCGAGTACGACTTTCCGGAGCCGGTCTGACCGTAAGCGAAAATACAGTTGTTATATCCGCCAAAGGCATTGTCGAGAAGCGGCGTACCCAGGTCATCGAACAGGTTGTCCTGGCCGGCATAGTTCGCGTCTTTCTTGTCGAATGACCAGTATGATCGATCGAAAGCAAACACCTTGGGCCCATCGCCGCCGCCCTTGCCAGCACCTTTTCGCGATTTATCATCCGCACCCCCCGGTGCGGTGAGCACCGTTTGGGCGCCTTTCATTTGCACGATACATTTTGCGCCGCGGTCAATTTCTAGAGTGTGCCAGAGGTGTCGCCAGGTCAGCCACGAGTCCAGGGGGCAGAGGGGTTATGTATGGTCTCTCTATCTGTCTCCGCGCAACTTGTCACTCACCTCTGCTATTGAAGGGTCGCACCCGAACCACCACCTTGATATTGCCTCCGCCGCCTGGAGCCATCTTGTCCTCTTACCCCATACACCGGGGCTGTCACGAACTTGACTGCTCTAGACAATGGGTTCGAAAGGGAGAGAGGGGTGTGGCACAAGCGGTGACGGGTCAACACCGCTGCCGGCCGCCGTGAGGAGCGCGACTTTGGAGCGGTACCGCAAGGTGGTAATGTTTTGGGTGGCTGGATATGGTGTGTGTACGATTCGTCTGGAGCGCTATCGAAGGGATGCCGGTAACCGTGGATGTCAACAAAGACGTCATGTATCGAATATTCAGCGTGTGGTGTGGGGATGGGTCAGCGGGATCCCGCGAACACGGTGGTCTGGACCTTGCGGGGCAGCTAAGTCAAGGACTGCAGTGGTGATGAAGCGAGACTCGAGGCACAACAGTTGAATGCGCTTGTCGAGTCGGCCTGTTCATCGAAAAAGCCACCTGCCAGGCGGCGCGGGCCCCCTTGCTGAGGTAAGCGGTGCCCCCAACTGGCGAACAGTGCAACTATTGGCGTGAACTTCTGGATAGAGATATTCAGTGGTCATAATCATGCATTATGAAGAGCTACATCAGAATAAAGCACTCGTCCATCCACGCTGGATCGCGTCGCCACATTCTCAGATACAGGAGTACTGACTGCTGGATTGGTCTAGCCCGTCCATGGATGGAAGGGATGCGGGAGGCCCAACAAGCTCGAACAAGACCTTCTCGAACCCCTCTTTGGCACGATCTTAAACAACTCCCTTATCATTCTAGCCGTTTTGACCGATGCATAATGATACAACATATATCGATGGCGAATTTTCTGTTAATTTGATTCGCCAAGGTCACTGTTCATTGTTTATTTTGAACGTGTGGGCCATTTATGGACTTTGTTAAGACAGATATATATTGTAGGCCAACGGGCAGGGTCAGATCATGCAGCAAATCTCTGATAAAACCTTTCATCATATGAGATCAGAACAAATAAAAAAGACCACCCCAACTACGTATCGAACTGGAGTTCCGAATATCTACTCCGTACTTGGTTTCTCAACACATTTCCTTAGTTGTTTCCATCTAGTCCATTCGCCTCGCAGCCGAAGCGGTCAAGCTTCCATGTGGGGTCGAAACCAGGCCTTTCAGGCTCCGCGAATCAAAGACACGCCGCACTGAATGGGTATGGTCCATCGCACCAGCTGCTGTACGCAGTGCTCAGGGTTCGAACTATATCCTGTGGAATGGAACTACCATGGTACTTCATCGAGTTGATGGAGACAATGATCTAACCTTGGCCAGCATATTCATCAGCATCTCAGAAATGGTCCCTGTGAAACCACAACGCAAGGGTTCTGAGTATCACTGATGTACGCCGTCACCAATTTCATTTACACAACCGGGAGCAGTCCCCGAAGACTCCGCATATACGGAGATCCAGAAAAATATTTGAGATCCAGAAAAGTATTTGATATCCCGTACCCCAGCCCGACAGACTCGGGAGAATGCCCATCCGGCTCTGCAAGACCGTAGATCATGAACGCTGGGTGAAGCTTTTCATTGATTGTTGCGCCCTCGCCCCACCATTATTGGCCCCGGGATATGACCCCGGGGCCGCGAGATGGTTTCCTTCTCTACAGTCCACCTAATTTTAGTATCAGATGTACCTTTCTGGTGGCTGGAGCAACCTTGTAGCAGCAGCGCAGGATTCCGATGGTTGGACAAACCTGTTCCATCCCCAAACGATAGGCCATGAGCCAGCTCAAGTGCATACCGGGTTCCATCGCGCAATATAAAACCCATTCAACGTCCCATAAACATGTCAATCGTCCACCACAATCAACAACCCAAACACATTCCTCCTCTAGAAATACACATCGAACTACTCCTCCTTCTCGCCCTAAATGGTGTCTCCGCCGCTAACAAAGGCTGGACCATAACCTCATACTGGAACGGCGGATGCAAGGGGACGGAGATGCAGAAGGTAGGCACGAGGGGGGTCCAGGGCTGCACTGTCTTCGACGATGCGTGTGCAGCCGGGCTCTGTGCAGATCTCGGGGCCCAAATCGGCGCTGAGACTGCAGCTATAGACCTAGGCGGATTGATCAGATAGCTCGTGGTATACGGTGAGCGAGGCAGCGGATGATTGCGAGGATGGGCCTGCCTTGGTGGGATGGTGGGCGACATTTAACGTTGTGAATGTCTGGTAAGGTTTCTTTGGGTATCTCGCTGGGAACTGGAGGGTACGTGTGTATTTACTGCCATGCAGAATTGCGCCTGTCAGCTTGACGTTCTTTCTTCCGGGAGGACTCAGGTGAGATCGATGATGGTTATGATTGCTAGAGAGGAATAGATGGGATTTATGGAAGTGTGGAAGGTGGAGAGATATTCCGAGCTGTTGGCTGTTGATTTCATTCATGAGGGTAAACAGCTATCTGTGTACACGTCCATCTCATACCAAGGTAGACACAACCGCAGTATATTGAAGGCCGGTCAGCAGTGGAGACGATTCCCCATTTATAGATAACATTAGCGAACGATCAACTTTGGGCCTAGTAAACTAGCCACTGAGATCGATCCTGTCGGTGAGCATGTTCCCAACCGTCCTACAAACAGAGGTACACCATTGAATGAGGTCTGTTGGCCCCTGCTCGCTACGATAAGCTCAAGCAAGTATACGGAGAATTCGACCACGTCTCAAGCACACCGCAGCCAAGGCGCATTCCAGAATGTAGAGGCTACACTACGAGGATACCGGAAGAAAGAACGTGGCTTCACTCGAGACCGGCCAGCCCTACACCGTCTAGACTCAGCCATATCGTTCTTTCTTACCCTTGGAAACCCTTGAGACGCCCGTGGCGCATCATCCAGACCACAAAGCCTCCCTCTTGCGTCATTTCCATGATTGCCAGCACAGCAGCACCCAACCGAGTTGAGATCTCGGGGGTTAGATCCATCGACCGGGGGTGAGACGCCTCGCGCGGGCCAGCTTAGAATGGCGCGCAGATCGCCGCCTCACTTTTGATGTCACAACTCATCACAATAGGGGCCGAGAGTCAGCATGGCGCTTCGTCCGATCCTTTAATCATATAAATGGAGTAGATTATCGAGTACGAAGATGAAGGAGTGTGTACATAGAGCGCACGGTGATGCGGGTCCTCAGGGGCAGTTGTACGGAGAGTCCTCTATGGAGTATGAGTGGCGGGCGAAGATGAGACCTAGGGTGGAGGACGGTTGCCCGAAAGGGAGAGACAGCCGAGGGGGCTGGCAGAATAGGACAATGGAAGCAAAGCAGGGCGAAGAAAAGGAGGGGGAAAAAAAGGGAAAAAAAGGGAAAAAAAAGGGAAATTGATTTGAAATGATTACTAGAGTCAGGGCGGTTGGCTAGGGTGATACATAGTGCCGGTGTTGTTACTGCCCAACGAGATGAAGCAACAAAAGCAAACCACACAAACAACCGCCTCGTGTTGCTCACCGCCAAGTCGGAAGACGTTGGGTTGCACATGACTTGGTGGACGTGGACTTGCTCGGGATGGCCGGATTCCTTGTCCAGCCCGTGATCTGATGACATGACCGGCAGGACGGTACTGTCTGTAATATACCGTCACTGTACACGTGAAAGGCAGTGGCTGGTTCCGCCAGCAGAACGGCGTGATGGCCCCCACTGGTACCCGTGCCCAGCCACTGGGGGGCCGGGGATACGAGGGTATGGATCATGTTTGGCAGAGAGCACGCGTGCCAAAGTGTGTAAATCCAGGTAACGAGGTGTAACCCAGGTAATGACTGTAATGCAATGTCATCAGTGGTCCTCCGCACCCCGCTCAGCTCCACCGCTGATACGTCGCCGGTCGCTGGAGCCGCTCATTGCCAGCCAGTACAAAATGCCCCATCCCACCCGCCCCTTTTCGCCTTTCTCCTGTGCCTCTTCTCGTTGGTTGCCCGCCCTCACCAGCCTGTTTGCCCTCCAACCATCGCACAGCGTTGGCCACCCTTACTTCGCCTTTTTCGTTAATTTGGCTTTCCCCCGTGCCATCCGTCCTACGACTGGTCTGTTCGTTGTTCTGGTCTGTTCTGATCCAGTTGGAAAGCCCAATCATCGTACGGAGTACCCTCTCTCCTCTATCCATTCACCCGTCCACACCACGGTCGGCCAGTACGGAGCGCTTCAGGCCCTACTGGATGGTAGACGCGCTACCGGCTACAGTACAAGCTACAGTACCAGTCTACAGTACTATACCGTGTACGACAGTACGGCCGGACTTGGATCTATCCAGCACTTCTCTCCAATAGGTAGGTACCTATCAAGGATCGTCTTTTCTATTGCTCGTTATCCATTTTCTATTGCTTCTGCCAGTGAGATTTCTATCTCTTGTTTCTTCTATTGTTCCCCGCAGATTTGATTGCAATCGCGGCCCGAGCTTGCAGTCCAAGAAGGCCCTATACCACTCCCATACAGCCGTACGCCATACAGCTGTACTGGCGTACGGTGACTTGTGTGCGGCTCGAAGAAAAGAGACCAAGCAGCATTCCCCCATTCCTGCCGTGTAAACATTACCCTTTTTTATTTTCTCTCCCACGCGTTTCTTGAGCCACTCTCTTCGTTCATTTGTCCATCAGTCCCCATCTCTCCAAGCCTCACGGTGTTTCGCGGAACTGGCCGGGCCTTGACATCAGCGGCCCCAGTCGCGCACCAAAGCAGCGCACCGCCTTCTCGTTGGCACGATTCCTTCGATCTCCCCCCTCCTCCCCCCCTCACCCTCTGCCCCCGTCAAATCATCGTCTGGCTGGGATCCCTTGATCGCTTGGGATTGGAAGTCTGACGGAGAATATCCACGCTGCCACTGCTCCTCCTCCTGTGGTTCTTCTGATTCCCCTTTCCACCCCCCTCCCCATTAAGGTAACCCCCCCAAGCTTTGTTCCCCTCCAATCCCACGTTCGCGCGCGCTGTTAGTGGCCGGCCCGTTGCAAAACACAACACGCGCCCTCCACTGGCTATTTGCCCGTTGCTGGTATTTTTTATAGTTGGTCCTGTCTGTTATTGGCTCTTCCCTCTTTGCTATGCGCGCGCTCTTCTGCTTTGTCTGTTTTGCGTTTCCACCCGCCTCGTCGCTTGCTGCACGCGTCGCTGGGTCCCTGGCATCATTTACATCATCGTCCTCCGAGCGCGCTATCTAACATATCCCATTCTAGGTCGCGACATTGATTCGCTGGACGCGATCAGCCTCGTCTCAAATTCTGTCCTGCTTCTGCAGAAGCCGATCCCCTCAGGTATGTTTTCGCGCCGCCTGCAGCTCTTTGCCCAATTCCCGTGCCAACGCATACATCGCCTCCTCTCTGCCCTCTCTGCCCTGGTCGTCCGACCTTACCCGCTCGGTCAATCCAAGACCACCCCTCCTCTCCATGCCCTGGGATCATCATCCGACCCCTCCTCTCTCTGGAGGAGGGACAGCGCACCTGTCTTGCTTGACCTAGGATGTGACATACTGACGCTGCCCCAGTCCTGATTCGTGGACCCTTTTGACGGCCGCGCGCTCTGCTCGAAGCGCATCAATCCTTCTTCTCACGACCCGCTAGTCTGGTTCGCATTGCGCCCGCGCCCCGGATTCTGCGCTGAACGTGGTAGAGCAAGAAAAGGAAAGCCCCAAATTTCCCAAAGAGGACCCAAAGGCCCTCGGTGAATGAGGTAGCCTTCCCTCCGTGCCTGAAATAGTTGCTCTCGACCTAGCCCCAGCGGGGTGGCATTATCAGAGCGACTGGCTCTGACAACGCATCAAGCAGTCTAGTCGAGGGGTACCCCCGGCCTGCTGCATCACAGCCCAACCACGTTACACCCGACGGTGGGCATAGACCGATTCGCACAAAAGAGTCAAACCTTCCGTTCGAGACGCGGTCTTTGAAGACCAAGATCCAAGAGGCCGGTTGAGAGCCTTTCTTTTCTGCCTATTGTCTTTCCCTGCGGTGCCTGCAGTTTAAGGTATCTAACTTGCTTCACTCTCTTTGGTTGTTTCACTTTCGGCCATCGGCCTTTTACCCACTTTCCCTCCACCTTGCACATCCAGTGACCGCATGCTGCTGCGCTCTTGCTGACACAACACCCGAGGCTGCAGACTATCGAGTCCCGCTCGTCGAATCACCGCGCACCCACGCTAACTGCTGGAGGTGATTACTCCGCCCCTACACGCGCCTGAGGTGATATCGACCCAGCTCATCTGCCAAACAAAATCGAGCAGACCACGGTCTTTTCTCATTTGTGATCGCGCACCAAATCCACCGCGGCGCCTAACTACCCTTATTACCCCATCTGATTGGTGTTGAGAACTGGTAGATCGTCACTCGAACTGATCTTCGTGCCTGTCATCCCCAAAGCCCGGTACCGCGCGCGCGCCGGCTGTGTGACGGTACCTTCCCTGGACCTTCCCCCGTTACCCACCAGCTTCTGTCACCATGGAGTATCCTCCGCAGTATCAGCAGCCTCATGGCCAACATCCACACGCCCCCTCCCACATGCCTGGCCCGTACCAAGGTGCACCCCAGAACCCTGGTGCTCCCGTGGGGTCGATGACATCGCCGACAAATGCCCAGCAATCCATGCAACCACCACACCCCACCCACCAGACCTCCCCGATCGTCCCGTCGCAACAGCATTACCAGCAAGCGCAGAATGCGCCGGGCGCCGTCCACCAGCAGATGAGCTTCCCCCAGGGATACGGCGTCACCGCCGCCATGCCCCAGACATACGGCATCTCGCCGACGCAGGCCGCCGCGATGGCCACCGCCGCCGCATCCGGTCAGTTCTACCCGCTTCAACATGACGGCATGGCTGGCCAGATGGCGCAGGGATCGCGAGGCTCGCCGCGCATGGCGGGCGTACCCATGAAGGCAGATCGGAACCCCCGTTCTCCGCCCCAAATGCCCGGTCAGATGCCCCCGATGGGCTCGCAGGTCCCCATGCCGAACCAGCAGATGCCCGGCCAGCGCCGAATGAGCCACGTCGGCAGCCCCAATGTACAAAATGCCCAGCCCGTGATGAACCACGTCGGCCGGCCGCCCATGCCGGGCCCTCACCAGGCCGCCATCCAGCAGAACCAGCCATCGCCTGAGATGGTGCCCGGCGGCAACCAGGAAGAATCCCCGCTCTATGTCAATGCCAAGCAGTTCCACCGGATCCTGAAACGCCGTGTTGCGCGTCAGAAGCTTGAGGAGCAGCTGCGACTCACGTCTAAGGGACGTAAGCCGTACCTGCACGAGTCACGGCACAACCACGCCATGCGCCGGCCTCGTGGTCCGGGTGGTCGGTTCTTGACCGCTGACGAGGTCGCCGCTATGGAGAAGAAGGCGGCCGATGGGGATGGCGATGCTGTTGCTGATCTTGGCAAGGAGAACGGGTCCGCGGGCCAGAAGCGGAAATCGAGCGAGGGTAATGACGACCTTGGTAGCGCGAAGAAGACCAAGACGAGTGCCAGCGCGGATGGAAGTGAGCAAGAATCGGCCGAGCCCTCGGATGAGGATGGTTGAATGATGTAGCCGCCTCGTCCAGGTCTCTGGACCGTCTCATCAGAGCCGAGCCGGGCTTGAGCTTGAGCTGCATGTTGCTCGGTGTATTCCCCGGTGACAATATTTTCCTTTTTTTTCCTTTTTTATTTTATTTCCCATTTCCTTTGTTATCTTGATTTTCTTTGTCGAGACGTTACGGCTTATGGATGGACGTTTTTGGAACCCCCTTTTTATTCTAGCGAGCGATGTGTACGGACCTCCCCCTTTTATCTTTATCACCACCACCCCATCACACCTCTTCGACTTCTATTCTACATGTGCTTGTTTTATCCCCCTTTTTTGATCCTCCCCTTACCCTTTACCCTTCCCATCAACATTGACCCTGATGTCTGTTTATAGCTTCTGATCCTGGGACGATTTTTTTTGGTTTCTCCTCCTAACCCCCGAAGTATACCTGCAATGGCCATGGCAGTCCAGCTATTAGCCAGGGCGAGTTCGGTGCATTTTAACAATCAAGGCTATGACATGTTTCGTTCGCTTCAAAAGAAAGACAAGAATACGAGGCGCACGAGACGAAGGCTGAAATGCTGAAATTCTTACTCCGGCCGAGGCCTCTGAAATGTCACCCATATCTCTCTTCTCTTCTTCGCTCTCTCCTCGTCCACGCAAACGCCTGCATTGCCTTGTGTATATCGACCGACAGTACAGCGCTCTCCTACAGCACTATCTCACCCCGGTTTTGCGTGTCTCCCATTCTCTGTTTCTACTACTCCCCTCATTCCTCCGCACCAGCCCCTTCCACTTCCACTTCCACCCCCACATTCCTCTCCTTCGTTTATTGGTGTCTTTGTGTTGCGCGTTCTGGGTTTTGATTCCCGTTGGGAAATTAGAGAGGGTCTCCTTCACTGGAAAAACAGATCGGATGTTCTTTTCATTTCTATTCATTCAGCTTTGGATTCATACGGGTTCGTTACGACTCTTGGGCTTCGGTTGGTTGGGGTCGGATTGGAAAGACTGCTTTTTGATTATTTGCTTTCCTTTTTTCTTCTGCCGCGCGGGACTGGATATGGGGTTTGATACGCTGTTCGACTGGATGGGCTGAACTGGATAGGATTGTTGGTTTGAATTTGTCTTGCCTATACCATCAGATCTGAATGAAGATATTGTCTTTTGCACACAGCTGTGGTCAATTTGGTACCTACGGTAGCTTGCCAATAGTCTTGGCCTTGGGTTAGGCCTTTAGTTCAGTGTATAGAAAGGGAAGATTACAGTGTAAGCTTGCACTTGAATGTCCTCCTGGTCATCCCGAGAAGTGGCTGGCATTCGGCCAACCACTTGTCAGTCGATCTGCCTGAAATTCACTTATGGGGGTATTCGATATCAATGCCTAGCTAAATCCAGTAAACCCGAAACACAGCTTAACCTATGCCCAGCACTTGTCCAAGACCAGCCCCAGACAAAAGCACAAGCATATTCACCAAAAGAAAAGAAAAAGAAAGTCTCAAGCACCAGCTATGCAGTATTTAAAAAACCACCACCCCTCCCTTCAATCTCAATGTCAATCTCAAACAGCCTCCCAATCCATAGCATCAACCATGAACTCCCAACCCTCATCCCCTGCGACGGCTTCCTCCCCCGGCTTCCGACACAAATCCACATGTTCGCGCGCCCTAACAAACCCCTCCTCCAACCCCCCAAAAATCCCAGTCAATATCCCCTCAAAGTCATAGCTCGCCAATGGCCGAACAACATCCCGATCCCCCACCGGATCCCGCGCTAGCTCGCCCCGCGTCATATCCGCCGTCTTCCACCGGTTGCGCAGCTCCTTCGCTTGCCGGAGGAGTTCATGGACATGGCCGGTGCCGAGGACTGGTGCCAGGGGGTGGTTTCTTCTTCGAGGGCGGAGAGCACGTTTGCGTGGTAGCGGTGTAGGCCAGCATACCTGGCGCCGGCACCTTTACCGTTGCTATAGTCATTGCCGTAGCCAGTGCCAGTGCCAGTGCCATTGGTGCTGGCGTTGGTGTGTACCCTCCCCCTCGCCGAAGAAACCGCAATATTAAACACAGCCAGCAAATGCACAATCGCCCGCTCCAGCAGCGCGTAGTATTCGAAGAAATCGATCTTAAACATGATCTCCGCCTCGGCCTCGGCCTGGCTGTTATCCGCCTGCGTTGCCAGCCGGTAGCCCTCCGCCAGGAAGGGCAGTTTCCAGCGCAGCCGCGAGACGATTTTCATGAAGCGCGCTAGTTCTTCGGCGGGTGGGAGAAGTGCATTGTGTGGTGCGCTGGTGGGAGTGCTGCGGATGCGGTTCTCGGAGCGGGGGCGGCGGGGGTGCGGTTGGTGGTGGGGGTGGTGGTGGTGTGTCTGGGCGCTGTTGCTGGCGCCATTACCCGGGGCCCAGCGTGAGTTGAGGAGGGAGGTCATGCTGGTCCCAGGTGGTGATGAGAGGGTGGTGGGTTGGTTAGTTGGTTGGGTGTGGTTGTGCACGGGCCAGACGGGCTCCGGTGGATGGCTGGTGGGATGGAGATGGAGATGGTGGTTCTGAACGCGATTCATGGTGGGTAGTAAGTTAAAAGGCAAGCTCGGAAATAGAAAGGGAGCAAGGATTTCTTTGGAGCTTCTGAAATTATTTGATTTCGGTCGTTCTCTGCAGGGATATAATATTTTTGAATTGTCGGGCTGGTCTTCTGGTATGGCGAGGCAAGATTTGCGGAGAAGCGTGCTCGATGTCGATGGATGAGCACCGGAGAAGGAATTGGTCTTGTCAATTGTAGACTCCATCTGTTCTTGCTGCAGGTGGACATTAAATGACAGGATATGTCAGAATACCACAAAAATATCGAGCCTTGGTGAAACTTGAGTCGCTTGGATGTGTAGGTCGATCTGTAGATCCCCCCACCCCAATCCCCAGATTGTCTTCTTCTTTTCTACTATGCTACAAAGTACAGCATACATCGATTCCAGACTATGGATTGTCATACAATTGAGTGAGCTGTCAAGAATAGAGAGCATTAACATGTTTAATCACAGGCAGTGCCTGTAACTAATTGGGATTTCCATCGTGGCTCCTCCAGGCATGTCATCATTCTGCCCTATGTTTTGGACCTATATTTTGTCAAAGATATACACCATTATGTGCGACGCGTGCGAAGTTATGGTAATGTCCTCAGCCTCAGGCTTTGTGATCGGGTAATCAAGGGCGTAGAATGCCATTCTTTGACCGCAATATGGGAATCTCCTTTGGCGGCCCTCTTAGCACCACTAGTTTCAATCTATGGGCCAGATTCCACCGGTAGCCATCGCGCCAAGACACAACCATCACAGGTGGAACAGATCCGAATCAACCTAAGCTGAACTGATTCACCCATTCTAAGCAAGACGTTCCAGGCCCCTGGCAAAAGTATTGGCGGTGTCTCTTAATGTTTGGCTGATTCGGGCTCGGGTGATCAGGGCGTTTGTGTTTGACTCGGACGCTCCTCGCAATATCCTGACCCCTGATTTTTGCCTTCTCCTACTCTGCCCCCACCAGGATCTTCTATCTTCTGTTTATTTTCGGCTGTCAACTTTTGAACTCGTCATAACTTGTGTACCTTTTAGGGCTCACGAGCTCACGATTGTCATCTGGCCTGGCCTGGATGGCATCAGGTGACCGGGTCCAGTCAGGAACTGCGCTAACCCAAGATGGCTAGTGTTTCTCCAGCTCTCTCCAACCTTCTCCGTCTCACGGCCTGTCTCCTCCACCCTGCGCGCTGAAGCTCTGGCTTCGATTCCAACCACCATTCTTGTACTGTTCTGGGCTTCTCTTGTAGGTGGCCTGACCCTTTTTCTATTGCTCCCTCCTCTTCCTCCTCTCCCTCATTCTTTACCTCCTTTGCCACCCGCCGTCTTTGAACAGCTCTCTTGCCTTCGTCCTACCCCCGTTCCTCCGTTCCTCGCTATCAGCTCTGCCCCCCTATCTTCTGGACATTCTATGCCTTCTCTGCCTTCTTTCAATACCATTTCCAAGCCCATGATGGCGCCGCGTGCGTTATCGCAGGGTTCTTTCGCGCCATCGTGACCCTGTTTTGGTTGATTCTGGCCTCCGCCTGCGGACTTGACTCTCTTCATCATTTCTCTTTCTCCACCCTCATCCACTATGACCAAGTGGCGACGGTGGGCTTTCAAACCGGAGAGTCACTGGGTCCATAGTCGCTTCATTTCGTCTATTCTAAATTCCTGATTGATTACCTTGTCTTTTCTTGTCTCCCGCAATCATCTGCGTGCCGCTCTTCCGCTCCACCTCCAAGTTTCGTGGTCTGATATTGACGATGCCGAAGATTAGCTTTCTACGCCCTTTGCGACAACCTTGGTCCACATTTTCGGAACCTCATTCGCCTTTGACCGACCGCGCTTGAGTCTCTGGGCTGTTTGCGGCAAGAGCTGTGAAGCAATAAGACAATCCGGAATCCATTAGGATAAGGAAAGATGGACTCATACGAAGGCTATGTATCTCCCGAGAGGAACCGTGAAGCGGACTCTTTCTCCGATAGAGCACCAGGAGATCACCGACGCCGGTCGCCAGGTATGTTGCTATATACATGATTGCCTGGAGGGTGAAAGAAGAAGGGCTTCGCTTATTGACCGATGATTCAGCCTCCCAAGATCGTCGCGGTGGCCGTGGCCGTGGTCGTGGCCGTTCCCGCTCTCCCATGATTGATCGTTACGAGCCTACAGAGCGCCGCCCTCGAGATGACTTCTACAACAACTCCCGCGAGCACGCTGCTCGTGATCGTGAGGATCGCCGACGACCTCCTTCCCCAAATGTCGCGAACATTGACCGCTACATCCCGGGCCAAGACTCTGGCAAGCGCCCGCTTCCCTCAAATCCACTTCCCAACCCGCTTAGCCTTGATTTCCAGGTTGGATTCACTTGGTTTGCGGAATGGTGGAGAGCTGAACAATCCGTGAGCGAAGAAAAGGAGCGTGCGAAGCATGGAGGCCGGCGCCCATCAGATCGTGTTAAGGGAGAACGCGAAGCCCGTGAGGACCGGGACCGAGAGCGGGCGCAAATTCAGGCTGCGTATGATACATACAAGATCGACTTGCAGATAAAGTTGGCTAGGACATTTGTGCAACAGCATCGCAACGAAGAATGGTTCAAAGAGAGATACATTCCCGAGGTGCGGGACCCGCTCCGCAGTCGCCTGACGGGCTTCCGGAAAGGCGCATATGAACAGTGGGAGCGGGATCTCAATGACGGTCTGTTTGACGAGTTCACCCTCGAAGGAATCTACAAGAGCGAAAGCGATGGTGCTGGTGGTGTCATCGAGAAGGAGGAGGGTGAGGCCACTGCTGTTGGTGAAACACTGGGAGTCCTGGATCTGCTCCCCGTTCGGGGAGGCGAGCTCCGTGATGAGGCTCTGTCTCAACCCGCCCTGCTCATCAAGACCCTGGCGCCGAATGTGAGCCGCGACAAGATCGAGGAGTTTTGCAAGGAGCACCTTGGAGAGTATGATGGCGGGTTCAAGTGGCTCAGCCTCAGCGATCCGAATCCCTCCAAAAAGTTCCACCGCATGGGTTGGATTATGCTGCACCCCGGTGGTGAGACGACCAATATCGTGGAACGGGGCGATGGTCGCGATGAAGAAGGCGAGATGATGGATCATGATAACGGCCTTAATGGAGGCGTGACGATCAGCGCTGCGGAGAAGGCGCTGGATGCAGTCAATGATAAGACCATCTATGATCCCGTCCACGGTGATTTTGTCTGCCACGTTGGCGTCCATGTTCCTCCATCCCAGCCTCGCAAGAAGGCTCTCTGGGATTTGTTTTCCGCGCCTGAGCGGATCGAGCGCGATCTTGAGCTGGCTCGAAGGTTGGTCGTCAAGCTGGATACCGAGATGGGAGATGTGGACGGATTCGGCAAGATCGAGGAGCGTGTCGATGACCTCAGGGGCAAGGGCTGGCTCCAGCCTCCCGTGACGGGGCCTGTCAGTATCAAGAAGCAAAAGAACGGCTTCGATGAAGACGTCGCTGAGGATGGTGAGATGGAAGAGGGTGAGGAGAAGGAGGTATCCGAGGAAGACGAGGTTGACGATGAAGAGATCTTGGCCAAGAAAAAGAAGCTGGACTTGATGGTTGAGTACTTGCGACGCGTCCACAATTTCTGCTTTTTCTGTGTTTTCGAGAGCGACTCCGTTCACGAACTTGGTCGCAAGTGCCCTGGTGGACACCTTCGTCGTCCCCGCACCGGTCTCTCCAGCCAAGCCAAGGATGTCGCTCGCGCCAGCGCTCTCGGACAGCCCTTTCCCGTTAAGAAGAGGGAGCCGAGCGAGGACGGAGAGGAACGTGCATCGCCTGCGCAGGAGAGACGCACCCAGCGTGTTCCCAAGTCTGAACAACAGCTGCAGCGCGCGTTCAACTGGGTGAAGACCTTCGAGGATAAGCTGCTCCAGATCCTGGAGCCTGAAAATGCAGACCTACGCAAGCTCGGCGGCAAGCCTGTGAACCAAGCCCTTGAGGACGAGCTGGCCAAGTATGTGAAGCAGGAGGACGACTCGCGATTCCGCTGCAAGGTACCGGAGTGCACGAAGCTGTTCAAGGCAGAGAATTTCTGGCGCAAGCATATCGAGAAGCGCCACATGGAGTGGCTCGACACTATCCAACGTGATGTAAGTGTGGCACCGCCTTCCAAAGTAACAATAAAAATAGCAGTCACTAACTCACACTACAGTTGTCACTGGTGAATGCCTACGTCTTGGATCCTTCACGCATTGCCCCATCCCGCTCTGATGCCAACAGCAACGGGCACTTCCCTCTTTCTTCCGGCCATGGCCAGGGTGGTACCCCTCGGGGCTTCAGTCTCTCCAACGTGCCCTACCTCGGAAACCCCGGGGGCATTCCTGGTGGATTTCCCCCGGGAGGCATGCCCGGAATGGTGGGTGCAGGTGGCGCCTGGGGTGGTAACGGCCTCGCTTCAGGGGAGGCCGCAGGCCTGCACCAGCCAGGTCCCATGCGACGCGGTGGAGGCCGCCAAAACCCAAGCCATCGGACTGGCCCATACGACCGTCGCCGCCTTCCTAACGGCAGTGGACGCCTCAGCCCTGTCCGTCCGACCGGCACGTACGGCCCTGGCGGTCGTCTTCTCACTCCCGGTTTCTCCGTGCCCCTTCGCTACCCAGCTGCCATCCTGGCCCCTGCCAATCCCTTCCCAGATGCCATGGGTGCCGGTGGAGGCGCGCAGGTCATGCCTCCGCGCGAGGCCGTTCAGGGCCGTAGCCTGAAGAGCTACGAAGACCTGGACGCGGTAGGCGGATCTGGCGGCGGGGAGCTGAACTATTAGCTCTGCTCTCTTCTTCCTTTTTTTTTCATTTTTTTTTTTCAACCAGTTCTAACGGCGTCAGTTTCGGCGCAAAAGGACGGATGGCGAACAAATTTGCCGGGTGCGCCTGTTTTCTTCTTCCTTACATTTGTCGGTGTCACCATTTTTTCAGGGATCTTTACTTGTGAAACATTACCACTTCTTTTCTGCCGCTGTGATTTTACTTTTTCTCTTTCTACTTGGTTGGTTCGTCAGTCTTCTAATGGACCTTGGCCATGTTCAGCATGTACAATATCCTTCGGCTGTAAATCGGAAGCCTGGACGACATCCTGTGGTGTTTCTAGATATCGTAGTAGACGGCCTCCTCCAACCCTCTCCTGGAGGTCGTTTGGAAGACGCATGGAACGAACGTATGGAGCATCTTCCTCCACTACGGGTGACATAGGTTCTCGTCAGACTGTCCAATCACGATTGTCGTATCGATGCGTCGAACTATTAGTAGCTTTCATTCCATTTCGTTAGTTTATAACTGGGTATCTCTGTTTCCTGCAAGAACACTAAAACGCTATAAACTCCACAAGTCCCAATCAGAAACCGGCCCTATCGAAAGCCTTACCCCGAGACAACAATTAGGGCATCTGAATCACGGTTTTCTCCCATGAATCTATCCAGCGCAACCCCATGCCTCGCACCCGGCGCTCGCTAGCCAGGAAGAGCAGGAGATAGATGTGCATCGCGACCTCGCCCCACGCATAGACCTTCAGCAAGACCGGCTGAACCGCATTATCCGCCGCGCCATCGCCATCGCCATCGCCCTCACCCTCGCTCTCCACCCGCTCAACAATACACCACACGCCCCAGCCAGCGCGCGCCTCGGCCGTAACAAAATCCGACAGGAATGCCCAGAAACGCGCAAACTCCGCCGCGCGCCAGTCATTGGGATCTCGCTGGGGCGCGCCCCAACTCTCCTTGCGGGGGTTTGCCTGCCCCTGCTGAGCAGCTGGCTTCTGATTCCGTTCCTGCTCGCGCTCTTCCACGTCTGTGGCGGCTACGTTGATACGAACGGCCCAGTACCCGCGCTCCAGCTTGTCCAGCTCGCGGGCTTGATGGGTGGGCTTGTACGTGCGGGCAGGATTGAGCCGCTCCGTCAACATGGTCAGGGTCGGGGTGACGTGTGTGGTAAAAGGGGCGGTGGAGATGGGGGGTGGCGGGGGTGGAGGGAGAGGGGAAGGGCGGCGAGGAGATTAGGATTGTGATCATGGTGAGAGTGACGGTCATGGCCATGCCCATGATGGGTATGGGTCTTGGGGGGTTGATTGCAGAAGCAGCAGACACTGGATGCGTCTGGGAACCCTGATACTGAACTAGAGGGGCAGTCGGACGGTTGGTCCTGGATGATGCTTTTTCTGTATCATGTGCAGAGCGTGCGGTGGTGACACTGTGACTTGCAGCATCCACGCCGATCGTCTGGCTCGTTGGGAGCGGGGACTCGACCCGCCGCCGTTTGGATGGGCGAGCACCGGATTCCTCGTGCAGCGGTGCCGCAGACGATGCGGACGGCGTTGATGGGCGGTGGACGGATTCATACGATATCTCCGGCTGCGAGTCTGGGATCACGCTGACCAGACTCTCGAGGGAGTCTGAGTCGGGCTCGGGCAGAGGGTGACGCTCTCGTCGATCTGTAGGCACTGGAACCAGTGGACTGGGCCCGATTTGGTTCGTCTCAGGACTGACTAGGATCGGCCGAGGATCGCGCCGTGGACATGGACGTGGATTGGAATTTGAATTAGGAGCTGGAGCTAGAGCTGATTCTGGACAGTCGCCTGGCGGCTTCTGCTGCCCCTTTGCATTTAAATCCCGATCATAGCAACTATCGGTGCTAGTCTTGCGTGCCACTTCTCCCTCGCCTGCTGCTGCTGCTGCAGCTTCTGCAGACTGGCGAGGGACTGGGGATGGCGCAGAAATGAGCCCGGACGCCTGCAGCAGCGAGGAGTCTGTGGACTCTGGGGCAGCTGCAGGTGCTAGGCCTCCATCTGGGGCAAGTAATTGGCGCGAGACCGGCTCGAAGGCGCGGATGGCGGCGACTTGGGCGCGGTATCGCGCATCGTCGCGGGCGGTACTGGGCGCAGAGACGTGGACGAGGATCTCCATGGGGCATCCACTCGGGGGAACCTGCTGGATGAAGCGAATTGGGGGCTTCCACTTGGACCTAGACTCGGGGCCGGTGTTCCCGGGCGATCATAGGTGTGCCTGGTCGCGGCAATGGAGGGGGCGGAAAGGGAAAGGTTGGTGTGCGAGGGATTAATCGCCGGCAAGTATTTGTCACGAGTAAGCCATGCAGCGGATGGACTATTGCCGGATTGTACTAGTTGATTGGGGATGATTCTCCATTGGGTCCTTGACGACTCGTCACACACTCTGGACGGAGTTTCTCATGCGTGCTCGCGTCGAGCCAGTGCCGTTGGCGGGATCCTGTCCAGTAACTATACTCCGCGCTCAACGCTGCTAGGATGAGCATGCGAGAGCACCACGGCCATCCCAATTCTTTACAGATTTACAGACCAGAAGGAGCCACGCCGTTTGTGGAGCGCGCCCTAATGAACGGGGTCTAACTACGGATCTCGGACTGGGGCGAATAAGCAGCCGTTCGCCAATCCGTCTCGAAGAGTCGATCGATGGAAGGTACTCCGTACTTCCGTTCTTCCCCCTCGTGCCACTGGGGTTGCGACGACAGCCCTCGAATTCTTCGTCCTCCTTTTCTTCTTTTCTTCCCGCGACGCTGCTATATAACCGGCCCCGTCCTCGACCTCTCAGCCTCGCCAAGCCTTTCCCAGCCCTCCGCCCGCGATCCATCACATCCACCTGGCCAAACGGTGCGCTCGGGCTTTTCATCCCTTCGACTCCCTTCCGGCTGCAAACCTTTTTCACTTGTATCCTGACTGTGCCTCATCATGTCTGGCGGGGTGTACCCTATGGACATGCAACAGCTCTCTGGTGAGTTCCCGCGCCTTCCCAAGCAATCAGCTCCCCGACCGATCTCGACTTGCCCCGAGCCTCCATGCGACCGTGCTTTGAGATCGGGTCCGATCTGGTAGCGGGTTATGCGTCCGATGTTGCTGGATCCCCAGAAACATTCCAACTCTATCTGGCTCACAATGGTCTTGATATCCCTTGCTGACTTTCTCCGCGCCGGGGCTGTCCGCACCGACGGGCTGCTTGGTGCCTCCCCATTGCAGAGCAACCCTCGACTCCCACCAAAGCCACCTTTGGTAATGAGTTTTTCAAAATCTTCGGAGGTCCTAAGAAGGTCACTCGAGGTGAACACCCCCCTACTCCTCCTCCCCCAAGCCCGCGACCATCGATCGCGATCTAATACCCGTCTCTCTGTAGATGGCACGACGCCCAAGCGCCGCGGCCCCAAGCCCGACAGCAAGCCTGCGCTCACGCGGCGACAGGAACTGAATCGCCAAGCTCAGCGGTACAGAATGAATTTGCATGGTCGCCCTTGATCGTCGAATTAGGTCAGCTGACCCATTGCAGCACTCATCGCGAACGAAAGGAACAGTACATGCGAGCCCTGGAGACGGAGGTGTCGCGGTTGCGGGAGGCCTACACCAATGAGATCTCCGATGCGAACGTCGCTCTCCAGCAACACAAGGAGCTGCTCCATACGGCGCGGGGCGAGAACGAAGTCTTGAAGGAAATTTTGGCCGCCCACGGCATCAACTATGGACCTGAGCTGGAGCAGCGGATGGCCGAGCGCGGCCCGCTGGTTGGATTCCAGACGAGCCCCGTCCCAGCCAGCAGCAGCGGATCGAACACTGCGGGTTTCACGAACTCGACTAGCAACCCGAATGTGACGCCGGCAACCTCTATTTCCACGGGCTTGAGCCCCGGCGCGAACGGTGGGGCGGAGCACCCCGACATTTCTCCCCCGATGGGCTTCGTGCCTCAACAGCAAGTATATCACACCTGCGCGAACGAAAGCTTAGGATTGGATCGGTCTGCATGCCAGGTGGTCGACTCGCCTGTACCAGCCATGCGCGGCGTCTTCGAGAGCGACCCACAACTCCAGATTGACTTTATCTTGACGTACGCCATGTCTCACATCTTCCTTCCCCCTCCGCCCCCAGCAGCGCATCCAACGATCCACTGACCCTCATCTTCTACCACAGACTCGAAGGACCTTGCCGCGAACACACCGACTACCTCTGCCGCCGCTCTATCACCGAGGCTGACGACGAGGATATGCCCTTTTCTGGCCACGCGCTGATGGCCACCTGCCCGCCGCCCAGTTACATCGCCAACACCACCCCCGCGCAGGCATATCCGCACAAGACCTACGACCTGCCACTCGCCAACCTCGGCACTCTTCTTAATCTGAGTCGCCAGCTCGTCACCGATGGCCAGATCACACCTATCATGGCGCTGCAGTGCCTGAAGAACCACGAGCTGTACCAGTCGCTCGGCCGCGACGACGTCAAGATCATCATCGAGACGCTCAACACCAAGGTCCGCTGCTACGGCTTTGGCGCCGTCGTCGAGGACTTTGAGCTCATCGATTGCCTGAGCAGTGTGCTGGGCACAACGGTGGATCTGAGCATGGCGCTGGCCCGGGATGACTCGATGTATGCTTGAGCGTGAGCATAGATAGGGGTGCGATCAGGGTGCGGGACCCGTGTCTTCGACCTCAAGGAAACGATTATGATTCTGATGTCCGGAAAATGTCCTTTTGCGCTGTTTTGGAGTGAAATTGGTGCTTTTGTTGAACTTGATACTTCTTGCGTCTTGTCTTTGTTTTCGGTATTTGCGTGGCTTTGGACTGCACTCTGTCCTCTTTTCTCCCTTTGACTTTCGAACTCTCTCATTCCCTTACCCTACCTTCTCTGCTGGCCAACCTTACCACTTCTATCTGGCTTTGATGAACCTTCATATTGAAGATGTATATACCGAAACGGTCCAGGCTGAGCACGGACCCGGGGAGTTGAACCCTTTTCTTTCTTGCCTGCTTGACTTTCCTTGGATAGATTGGCTGTTTTTTTATCTACATATCTCTCCTTTTGCTCTTATCCATCTGATCTGAACTGCCTTGGCTGGCGGTCCCGTCTCCGTGACGGTCTACTACTGTGTGATTGACTCCATTCTTTCGTGTTGAATTGTCCAAGTAACCTGTCTGACAAATTGAGTCTGGTTCATGCCGCGCGCACATGCACACATCCAGACTACTAATGGGAGCAGTCGAGATCAAGCTCAATGTGGGCTCATTCAATAACTTCACATCCTATCAACCCTAACCGCAAAACAGCCCGCCCCTGCGTAATGAACATGCAAATACTCAACACTCTGATCCCAAAACAATTCCTCCGCTTTCCCTGCGAGCTCGGTCCCCTCCACCACCGCATATCCAGCCAGCATATGATTCACATCATACGCCCGTACAGAAAGCAAGCGCCGGCGCTGCTGGTCAGGTACCGATCCATCGCACTGATATCGCCTACAGTTGTTGCGATGCACGAAGACCGGGCCGGGACCTGTGTATGGGGATGATCCGAGAAATGGGTTGTAGGGGACCAGGAGCATTTCTTCGCCGGGTTGGCCGTCTTCCAGGCATCGTCTGCATGGAAAGCCACCTTGCTCGGCGACGGTCTTGGTAACTGTGCTCTCTGGTGTGGGGAGTAGTGGAGCAGGGAGCGCGGTGAACTTGAGCATGATTTCGTCGGCTTGATAGGATGGAATGGGCTTGTTAGGCTGGCCATTAGTTATTGGGTACGTGGAGTAACTTAGATTTGGCAGTCCTCATGACACATACAGGACTTGAACTATGGCTGGAGATAGGTAGCAATGATTGAAGTTTGTGGAAGCATTTGATGACCAGCCGGCTACCTTCGAATGTAAAGCAAAATTTATATCCATTGTATGCTGTCAATATGGCCAATCACGAAACAAGAAGCATTGTGGCGACCTCTTCCCTGCTTTCAAATTGACCAGTCCTGGAGGAGAACACAAGAGACCCATGTATCACTGAATTAGCCTATAAACGAGTTGGGACAGTATTGAGAGGTGTCCCTACCAGCTACAGCAGGAGGTCTCGAAGATAAAGTTGGTTACAACCACAACGGTACAAAGTACAGTGGTCGTTCATTAATATTTGGAATACAATACTTCCACCCACTACCAGAAATATAAGTGGGGCATGTAGCATGTTCCAAATACTAATGAAATGAACGCTGCCTGTACTTGCGGCCCGAAACCGGGAACCAAAGCAATTCCGCTGACAACAGATGAACCAAATTGCTAGCACATAGCATGAACCACTTCAAAAGGTCGTTTTACGTTGCCATGCAATAAAATCAAAGTTTTGGTATGGGTCTGGTCACGTAGCGACCAGCCAAAAGGCACGCGAGCCGCGCCTATAAGCGCCGCACGCGACCCCAGACTCACACCACCTGTCTCCCATCTGGATAATAAAGTTATCTCCCTTAGCGACCCACCATGCCCCCCCAACGCTCCAAACACAGCAATGAATCGTCCAAACCAGCAGACAGACTGGCCATAGCCATCATCGGGCTCAAAAGCCATAAATTCTCCTCGATCCGCGAGGCAGCCCGACACAACGATGTGCCCGAGGCTACCCTCCGCACGCGCTTCAGGGCCATGTGCCGCCGCGCAGATGCGCGCCCGAGGCGCCAGGCATTGACCGAAACGGAGGAGAACACCCTTCACAACTGGATAGTCTCCTTGCTCGAGGGCGGGTTCAGCCTCGATACCGCCATTATACAAGAGATGGCCAATACGCTGCGTGCGAAGCGCGATGGCAGGGCCTTTGTCGCCTTGTCCGAGAAATGGGTAGTTGGCTTTGTGAAAGGAAGACCCCAGCTCGCAGCGTGGATCAGCAGGAACGCAGAGAGCTCTGATTCTGTTCCTTTGCGTACGACTAGCGCGTCAAGGGTCCCCGATGCCATGGAAGAGCCGTCGTTTGAGAGGTGCGAGATCTTTATCCGTTCTGCAACGGAGACGGTCAGGATGCAGTATGAGAGTGAGTTGGCAGTGCTTCGACTCCTCGAGGGACGCCTCGGCGAACCTGGAAATCTGCAGGATGCGAGCAGCTGTACTACTGAAGTGGACGATGTGATCCTCGACCATCTGAATGCTGCCTGGGGGTGTATGCTCACCATGGTTGGGGAATGCGATAAAATGGCCTATTACGCGGCGCAGTTGGATACGGACAATAGTGGTGGTGGTGTACGCAAGGCACACAGAGAACTACGCAAGGCAGTTGGCGACGTCATGCGGGTGAGAGGACGCAGGTTGATTGAGAATGGGGGGAAACCTCAGCATTTACGTGTATGATAGTCTTTTTCCTTTCGAATATAACGGTTGTTTTCGGGTAGAAAAGCAGGCGACACAGATAGAGGATTCGGGCAAACTTGAAATCGTAACGAAGCTCATGTCATTTCTTATCAAACTTTTGCACATATGCACATTCAAGAAAAACAGAATAAAACGTAAGGATCTAGTCCACGCAATAGAAAAGCACATTGCCCATGGGGATATATCTACTCCTCATCCTTCTCCTCCTCCTCCTCTTCCTCGCCCTTCTCCTCAACCTCGGCCTCCTCATCCTCATCGAAGGTGGAAGCAGGCACGCTGTAGAGACGCAGGACATTGCGGTTGGGGTCCTTGATCATGACGTACTTCTTCACAGCATCGGCCGGCTCATCGGCATCCAACGAGCGGATACGGTCGATAACAGTGCGGACGATACCCCACCCATTGCTGAGGTTCAGGTTCATCTGGGTGGCGAACTCGCGAGGCTTGTAGCCAGCAACACCCAGGATGACGTGGCCAGCGGCGGAGCGAGGGTTGGCGCGCGACACAAAGCCGAGCTTCATGCCATCAGCCTTGGCCAGGATAGCCTGGGTGGTCCAGCGGGCGAGCTTAGAGGAGTTGTTCTTCATCTCGGTGGCGAGCACGGCACCGCGCTGCGACACCAACTTGCTGCGCCAGTCGAGGGCGTTGCCGGAGCCGGGGGCCTTGCTGTCGAACTCGTTCAGGGCCTTGACAACCAGCTGCTGATCGGCGCCCCCGGCGGGGTTCTTCATCACAGCATCGACTTCGGTACGGACGATGATCTGGAGGGGCTCATCGTCGCGCTCGAGGCCAATGTCGAAGCGGCGGTACTTGTAACCCTTGGAGGCGAGGGGCTCGGTCTCCTCGGCCTCGTTGTAGAAGGGGTTGGGCTGAGAGAAGGGGACCTTGGCCTCCTCGGACTCGATGACGGCCTGCATGGCAAAGTTGTGGTTGATGAAGGTGGCCTCCATAGCCAGAGCGCTAGGAGTGTTGATCTGCTCCTGCTTGCCAGAGGCCTCGGAAATCTCGAGAGGGGCGTCGTAAGCGTTCTCGTTGACAGTGACCAGGTCAATAGAAGCACCGGCGCGCTTGTCGAGGTAGATCTTGCCATCCTGGTGGACAATAACAATGTCCCACGAGTACACACTGCGAGTGGCACACATGAGCATGGAGAGGATATCGGCGGTAGCGAAGACGGTGGCCTCATTCTTCTCGGCCAGCTCGTGGATGATGGGATCCTGGGAGGTAGTGACATTGTAGGCGGCGCGGTCGAGGCTCTGGAGTCTGCGCTCGGCGTTCTTGACCGGAGCCTTGTCGAGGGAGCGATCATAGTAGTGCAGGAAACCGTAAGTCTCAAGATCCTCGCCCTCGGGGGCCTCGAGGCTCAGCTTGGACAGGCGGCTGAAGTCAACCTCCTCGATCATGTGCCACTCAGGCCGGATGTTGACCGACGGCTCGCGAGTGCGCTGGGGCTTGTCATAGTCCTTCCAGCCGAAGCGACGGCCGCCCCCGCGGCCGCCACGACCACCACGGTTATCATAGAAGCGGTCCTGGCCACGACCGGCACCAGCACGCTGGAAGCCACCACGGCCACCACCGCGCTGAAGCTGACCACCGCGCTGGCCACGGCCACGGAAAACGGTGCCGCCGCCGCGGCCAAAGCCGCGCTTGGTGGAGGTGCGAGTGTTATCGACAACGGAGAACGAGGATTCGTCTTCGGCAGTCTGGATAGAGAACAGGCTGGAGGTGCCGGCGCCGTACACCTGCTGGTCTGCATTTTGGAAAAAATTGTTAGAGGGACATTCTCAGCGGTGTCGATCACCCGAGAGGATGGCACAGGGCACAAAGAAAAAAGGCTGCAAGATCGAGTGCTTACCTCTGAAGTTCCGGTTGTACTGCTGGCGGCCCTGACCAGCACGGTCCTTGGACTCGGCAGTCCAGTCGGCCATACGGCCCAGCTTGTCGCCCTTAGAGAAGGGAGCATAAGGAACGCCTTCGAGCATGTTGTCGCCCGAGGTGGCGGGACCCCAAATGTCCTCAGCCGGCAGAGCGGCGACGAGGTCCGCGATAGAAATCGGAGCCATTGTCAAAAAGGTAGTTACCGATGACACGAATGGCAAATGGTGGGTAGTGGGTATTGGCGTGGGGTGAGGATTATCGCCGGGAAGTTTTTGTGTCGCGAGAGGGTGGCTGGTGCAACTCGCTGGATAGTGTGCACCGCCACATCACGTGATGCAATTCTAGCATTTGAAAAGAGGCGGTCGCAAGTATACAAATCGGGCTCACGGCGGCTGACATTGGATTCGCCATCGTCATGAATATTATCTATTAATTAAGGGATGAAGAAAGCACCAGACTCACTCCTTTACTTTCAATCTCAATGTTAATAAGGAACTAGCTCATGCATGCTCTCAAAATTAAATTATCTTGGAAACTTTGCTCGTGTTGGGCCTCGCACCTTTGGCTCATAAGGCTAACATCTCCAATATTAGGACATGAGCGACATGTTGGTCAACCACTGGATTAGGTCGTGATCGTCTGGGCAGTACTGAAGATACCGGTCATCTAGTTGCTTTTCACAGTGTTGTATAATAGCTGCTTTGTTCCCCGTCGAGATGTCTTGACTAAGCTTCTGTCTGGTCGGTGCAATCTCAAAGCGGCCAAGAGCAAAGGTTTGTTTAGACTAGCCAATCCGCAAGTTGAAGAGTAAGGTTGACCTGGGATCAAGATCTGCGTTATTCACATTCAAAGGAAACTCGAGGGTATGATGTCTCTCTCTATTCCATTGTTCTGTCCAAGGTCCTCGGCAGCCCGGTGTTCAAGATACCAGAGCTGCCACCAGAGCCTCTTGTGTATTTCATGCTCGAAGAGGTGGGAAGCCAATGTTGGTGAAGGCTTTAGAGCGGAGTGCTGTCCTAGTGAGTTTTCAAGCTGTCTCTGCATCCCCAGTCAGACGGCTAACAAATAAAAACAGTACAAGAGCTTGCAATGGGACGAAGTCCTCGTCCATGTTGAGTAAAACCGCCTTGGCAAGGGCTCCTTTAGTTGATAAGCGAAAAAAGTCCATGGCTGTGGCTTTTGTCATACAAAAAAACGTATACACATCTTTCTTGGGCATGCAAACCATACTAGGGAAATGAATTGCGTGAACAAGGGCCCATTCACTTTCACTATGGTCTGGCCATTTCACTAACTGGTCAAGAATTATAGCTATAATCACGATAGGGTCCACTCGCTCGAGGGAAAATCTCCAACATGGCTGGACTGATTTCCTAATGTAGGGAGTCGATCGTGAAGTTTTCTGTCATCTTCAGCACCTACCCGGCGCATGCAGCGGCCATTTGAAGGATATCTAACAGATTTACCGTGACTACAGTAGTCATCTCGTGAGTAAGTGCGATCAGTGCATAGCCGCTAATATTGGTAGGTCGAGCCTGTTTAGTTGTGCGGTCCATGATGACATTATCTAGCTTGTTCACCACCATCGCATAGATAATTATGCGAATAGATGTTTGTGGCTTAACAGGGGACGCGGGGACGGCCGTCGCTGGTTTCGTAATGACCTCTAGAGCGATTGGTGTTATATAAGTCTTTGCATCCTTTGCTATTTCTGGAGTCTGCATGGATTCTCTCGTGTCTGTATCTAACTATCCATATCCAATAGCCAATACAGGCTTTAAGTTTAAGGATTTATGCCGCCATGTTTGACACAATCAACCTTTTTGGGCCAAAAACAGCTTTGTTTTGTCAGTTGAGAGGTAAATGTGAAAAGAATGTCACAGAATTCTCACTTATCTCCTTTTATTGCCTATGATATATCTTGGTCGCGAATACAAGGAGGGCTATGTTGAATTAGTCGATTTCTCGTCTTCGCATTTCTTGGGGTTTCGACCCGCAAAGCATTCCTATTGGAAAACAGGATATATAATATAATCTTCAACAGATTTATTTTGTTCTTGAAATATATATATACTTATTTATGGTCACAAAATCCCTTCTCACTTGGTAGTGTGGATAATGATGACGCCATACACAAGGTCTGGCTTGACGTGGCCTCCAGTGTGGAGCCATTTGTCAACCTTCTTATGAAGCAGGCACCTGTAGCGGGCGGTGGCCTTTAAGTAGCCTTTAAAATGAGGGACTAGGCTGTTGACATAGGCAACCAGGTAGGGTCCAGAGGGCATCGGTCGGCCCTCAAATCGCTATTGGTGGTGAAATCACGCGGCTAGCGTTGGCTAAGGTTGGCCTTGTTGAAATGGTATAAAATATAGCCCACAGCTATGTCAAGCCAGACCTTGTGTGTGGCGCTATCATCATCCACGCTACCACAACTATAGCCACTTATCTATATTTATATCTCCTTTAGGGTTACCAGGAATTGATGGAACATCTCTAGAGAAAGTTTGCTTCCAGAACTATTCGATCGGGCACTATGGAGAATGCACCCCCGGAACGGGGTTCCACTGATAATAACAATACTTCCCCTTTCCCCCCCCTTTCCCGACCACCAGGAACAGAGAACACGGTGATCGTCCCGCAAACTATTGACAAGCAAGATGGATTCTGAGAACATAGACTCGCATTAATCCAACAAGATCGAGCTCGGACCAGCAATGATCGACAACCAAGACAGCCTCGCTTAGGGCCTCTGCCACTTGGGTGCAGCCCGAAGACACTCGAGCCAAATATGCCCGCATGACAGTCAAGGAAGACGCAATGCTCCCGCCAAGATTCCGGGCAATGGAGGCCCAGGAATTAAAGACGGTGATATTGACGGAGGACGAGATCATCAAGCTGATCCCCTTCGGCAAACAAGTGCGCAAGCAGTTTGGATTCGCATGGACCAAAGAAGGATACCTTTGTGCCCCATACCGACACCTGGTGGATGAGCTTGATAAGCAGAGCAAGCCGCTCTTTGACATTGATGTGAAAATCTCGAATGTCAAGGATTATGCCAAAGCGAAAATACGCGCCGCATATTCAGAAGCCTTCACCTCCAAAGGCACCCTCCGTCAGCGCAAGGGCAAGCAAGTCCTGGATAGCATGAAGGCTCGCCGAGCCACAGCCCGGAAGCCGTTCAGCAGCATTGATCTTCATCAAACAGAAATATATTGTTCCGGCGGTTTGTGGGGTCCCTCTGACTCACCATTCTCCGTTGGTCTCTCTGAGTGGACAGTTATCTGCTATCTCGAGTTTTCTTTGCAGATCCTTAGATCTGCCATGCGACTGTTACAGAAAGGAGGACAGCAGAAGCAAGAATACTGGATCTCTCTATTGATAAGTCCTGAATCAAGAAGCTAGCTAAAGAAGATAGTGGTCCGATCCATCACCTGACCTAACCTGTAACTGCGACCCTAACAGCCATTTTCCCGGTGCAATTATGCAATCTAGCATCCCAATCTTTTTTTCTCGGTGTCAAGAAATTTCGCCCGTCTGCTGGCTTCCTTGAGTCTCCGTAGGATGTTGCTTCTTTGTATACTTTTGGGAATCGGATGCTTCGTTGAAGTTCGAGGGTAGTGATGAGAGGCCGCTCGCTGCAAGAAGGTCTTCCAGGTTGGTGCTTCCACTCGGGGCAAGCCCACCACAGTCTTCAAAATCTTGCAGGAGCTTGTCGATTATCTCCGCCTGGCCACTCGTATGTAGAAAGTTTCCAATACAAGCGTGGATTTTGAGAAGTTTAGGATCTGGAAGTTCCCGACTTCCTTTGTGAACTCTGAACTTGACAAGCCGATTTTTAGGCAAGTCTCGTAACGGCCCTGTGGGGCAATTTGGAAAGGTCTTGATTCGATATTCGTGAGCAATGCTGGTTGCTTCAAAAATGAGTGCGAATTGTCCGAATTCCCTGTGAAGCGACATGTCTAGCATCAGGATGTTCTTCTCCGAATCGATCTGGTCTGAGGTAAAGGCCATACTGCGAAGAACTGGAAAGTAGCGCCTTAGATTCACCCAAATCTTTGGATATCTGTCCACTGCTTCACTGTCATTGGCCTGAAAGGATCTAAGTGCAAATGGAATAATGTGGGCTGCTTCAAGATGGGACGTCAATGCCTTCGGTGGATGGGCGTGACCATGACTGTACACCCCTGTGGCAACACATTTGTTGCCATCTCTTTCTAAACAGCGGTGCCAGAGGTGCCACTGAGAGCTTCTGCTGATGGGCTTGATGTTTGGGCTCTTGAGATAATCGATTGAATCTTTAACGCCTAACCATGGGGATAGAGAGAATTCATTGGGTGTTTTGCCACCTTGTGCTTTCAAAGGAATCAATAAACCAGTCCTGATGCTTTGGACCAGTTGCCGAAGCTTCTCATCGTTTGCACACCCTGAAAGATCACCAGCGAGATTTCTTTTTCCATTAGGAGGAAGGACCTTGAAGAATTCACGGAGGAACTCCCTAGTTTTGTCTGTGGGTCCAAGTCTTATGTAGCTATTCAGCTTTTGATCCAGCTTCTAGCATGTTTATGAGTATCGAAAAGACTAGAAGACATAGATGGACTCACTATCTTTGATGATGATGGCATTCTGCCAACTAGATTAGTGTGAGCTTAGGGCTAGTCTAGAGGGTATAGTAGTTCTAGTGAAAAAGCCAAGATAAGTATGATTAGTTAAAGCCTTATAAGGGGATAGACAATTATAATTAACTAAAGAAGGTTAGGTAGGGGGTAGGTTGTAGCTTAGTTATCATTATGACTAGTGTATTCCTATATTAGTTTAGTATAGTAGCCTAGGGAGCTAGGCTTAAAGTTACTTCTTACTTTACTCTTGATTTTATTTTACTCTTATTTTTCTCTTATTTTACCCTTACTTTACTCTTACTTTGCTCTAAATTTACTCTTGATTTTACTTTACTCTTAAATAAAGGGCTCTTACTTATTATTACTATATAATAGGTAGATATATATTAGACCCTAATAAGTACTAAGTGAACCTTTCTACTTATTATATATTTAGTAGATTATAGCTTGGTTATTATTACGACTAGTGCCTTCCTATAGTAGTTTAGTATGGTAGCCTAGTTAGCTAACTAAGCCCCCTTTAATTTAGTTTATTTAGTAGATTCTAATATATCATCATTTATCTACCTTACTAATTTATTAGGTATTGCCACTACTTTCGTAATAAGTGGCTATAAATGGATAACAAATATGATAGGCCAATATGATATACCTAATTGAACTTTCTAGGGTTAGTCTACTAAAAAGAGGCTTTATCCAAGTTGTTACATAGCTAGAGTATAGTAGACGAGTCAAGGCATGTAGAAGACCCTATATTTATTATGAAAATAATATTCAGTGGTTGACCCAGCATGTCGCTTATGTCCTAACAATGGAGATGTGGTTCGAACCACACAGTGCTGACGCCATACACATTAGCCCTATGAGCCAGGGGTAGGAAGCCCCACACAAGCAAAGTTCCCAAGACAATTTATTTTTGAGAGCAGTTTGACATCGTCGACACTACCAGTCGCTTGGAAGCAGAACCTCAATCTTGACAATGGGCTTGGTGACTACCGGGATCTCAGCAGTTCCGCCTACTGGTTTTCCTTCTCAACAAACTACAGTACCGACAAAAATGGGCAGCGATGACTCATGCAGGGGAGGTAGTGGAAAGCGCTCTGTGTTGCTGGCTCATTTCAACCCGGGTATCAACAAATGAAAGGGCTCTGGCTAGGTTGAAGGAGAGAGCCAATACAATACAGTTGCGACTAGGAGGGACACTGAGGAGAGGGCGAAATAAACGCGTAGTTGCTTTCCTATTGATCTTGACTCGCGGTACCACAAGAACGGACTTGATTTCTGGACTGACTTGAGAGCGCTGTGATATAGTCTCATCTGCTGGGGATTGGTCTGTTATATGACCATCCCTCAAATTGCTTCATCATTTCAGGGGAAAGATGTGGTATATGATATGGTATTTCACGCATTCTTTTTCCATGGGAAAGAGACTCCCAATCAATTCTGAATGAGATTGGCCATTCCGTCCTCCCAGGAAATGTGCACATTGACCAGGTTTTGAGAATGCTGTGAGGGGCATGGAAGACTTCTCGTCCTTCTTTTTCATAGGATGGATCCGCTCCATGATCGAGCAAGATTCGCTTGATACTTGGATTGTTTCTATCCTCTTTGTTGCAGTACGGTACTCCGGCAGTCCACGACAGTGCCGTCCAACCATGGCGATCCGTCGCATTGATGTCGGCTTTGCCAGTCCCAAGAAGATATTTGATAGTATCTTCATGTTTGTTCTTTGTCGCTAGTTGGAGGGGAGTCATATAATCGTATATCTTCGGGAAAGGCGCAATGTCGGCACCTGCAGTTAGTAGTAGATGGAGGATCTCCGTTTGCCCCCGACATGCAGCCCAACATACCGCCGTGGAACCGATAGGCGTTTCTGGCCATTTTTGAGCATGGGCAAAAAGAAGCAGCTTGACCACTTTTGCATGGCCAGCCACGGCAGCGTCAGTCAATGGCCGCCAGTCGGGCGCCATGTATTCGGTCTCTCGATTAATGGTTTTCTCAAGAAGTAACTGCACGGTCTCATAGTGCCCTTTCATTGCCGCATAGGAAAGCGGAGAAGCCGAACGCACACCATCGTATTCCACGGGTTCCACGGATTCGCCGTAGCCAATTAGAAACTGCACAATGCCAGTATGCCCATTCTCGGCGGCCCATGAGAGAGGCGAGCGCCTAGTCTGCTTCAAAGAACCGAGAACGGCGCCATTCTCAAGAAGTATTCTCAGCAAAGGCTGGTATCCACATGTTGCTGCCCAGCCTAAGGGTGTCCGGGACTTCTCGTCTCTGAGGTCAAGGTTGGCACCGTATTGTACTAGAAGCCGCAATATCTCCTCGTATTCTTCTCCAGCAGACCAATGCAAAGAAATTAAGCTTAAAGGGGCGGCTGCATCCAGGTCGCGCGCCTCGTAGCATTCTGTGCAGTATTTTGGGAAACTTTTGGCATCGTCCCAGCTTATGGAACCCGGGATGTCATCTTCAAAATAGACTTTCACTGGGCAGTAGATAGGCTGATGGGATATTGAGCCCAGTTTCATGGAAGATGTCTCGTCGGGCATAATGCGAGGATTGACCGCCAGCATGGGTGATCCAGCCCAGTGCAAGGGTGTTCGCAGGATGGCATCTTGCGTATTTGGATCTGCACCTGCGGCCAACAGTAGGCGAGTGATTTTGGTATTCCCTTGCTCGACAGCGAAAGATAACGGCGTTCGGCCCTTCGGGCATTTGGAGTCCACAGCAATGCCCTTTATTTTCAACAGAAGCTTCACCGTATCTTCATCCCCTCGAACAACCGACCAAGTGAGCGGGTCCCACATACGATGGCGATATACATCTCGTTTAGAATGATTCGGATCTAGATCAATCTCCAATTTGGTGCTGAGTTGGAAAAGCCGTTGGACCGTACTGATGTGTCCCATCTGCGCGGCAAACATGAGGACTCTATAGCCCCTGTCACGACCTAGTTCACCTTGATATATCCATAGATTGAATATTTCATAGAAGATCCGACTCGAGCGAGCGAGAGCATTGAGATCTCTGGGGGACTCGAGATCGGCACAGATTTGCTGCAAGAGTTCGTTGGGTAGGCCAAGGAGCGACATTGTATCAGCATGGCAACAAAATATAATAAAGAGCAAGTAGAATTGGTAGAAAATAATTCAATGCAGAATACGTCCATTCAAGGAAAAATTTGGCTATGATCCCCCCTCCCCCCGAATTATCGACACAGCCACCACCATGAATGAACGCCAATCGAATGTTGATGGGGTTTCCTTTAAAATGCGGGGGGCCTTAATAAACACCTCATAGCTTGCTGTTCACGACCGCGCGTTCACCTGCGGTCGGAAAGGTGGCTTCGAAGCAAGCCACAGTTCATGATAAATGTTCCGAGCCTACCAATAAATCTGTAGATAGAGACACCCAGAATGAAGCCAACACGCGAAACGCTAGGCAGCAGTTTTCGACAATTTGCGAGAACAAGCTCAGGCCCCACCTAACTCGCGTGGTGGTCGGGCCATGCTTATATCCGGCGCTTACCCCGAAATCTTCGAGACAGTAATCTGTTGCACGTCGCAGTCCAGTTTCCAATACTTTGTGTATTACTTTCCAGTATCCCTGGCATAACGGCGTTTTGGAAACTGTTGTGTTCATCTCAGAATTTCTTCAACCCAAGGAAGCAGGCTCTACAAACCCCCATTTTCCAACAGGAAACAACTTCTTATAACCTGTCTTCAAACACACTGACTGAACCACAATGGAGCATGTCGCACACCAAGAGTCATATCCCGAAAATGGAACCACTACCATGGGCGACGGCAACACGATCACTCACTGCAACCTACGCAACTGCACTATCACCGGCTCATGGGTGAAGCGCAGTGACTTCTCAGACTGTGTTTTCTCAAACGTGCGCTCAGCACAGCGGTCGACAGGGACGAAGACGCATTTCTATAATGTATCACTCGCTAGCCGCAGCACCTTTTCCAATAGTGTTGTCCGTGACAGATCCGCCGTTCATCGAAGCGATGTGAAAACTTCTACCGTGAGAGACGCAAGTACTGTAAAGCGCAGCACAATTATTGGGTCAACTGTTTCCCATACTTCGGTAGGGAAGACAACCTTAAACGACTGCGATACCGAGGAGTGTTATTTCGAACGTTGCACATTCAAGGGGATGATACTGAAAAACGGATACTGGAAAAGAAATCAACTAATCAAGCAGGTGGGCAATAAGGAGCCAGTTGCCCTCAAGAAAGATGACTTCGGGCCTGTAGTGAGTACTGGATCTGGTGTGCTCTATGATACGATAGGTTGTGGTACTGATATATCTCCAGAATCTTCCGGAATTGTCCAGTTCCTCTACTGTTCCTGTGGCTCGGGATATAGACTCGAAGTCCGAGATGCCTCTTCCAGAACTTGATCTGCGTCGTATGGATTCAGATGTCAGCCTTGAAAGCGAAGTATCTGATCATTCCGAAGATCTACCGCCTCCGTATAAAGCCTGATATACTGTGTGACTGGGGTATTGAAGGATGAATTATGATATTTTTTTGTGTTTCTTTCGTTCGCTGGTCCGAATTATAGCTTGCATGATGTTATTGATAAATCCCATAGTATCTTATGGATCCTACTGCTGCACATCCATAACTTTCATTGCGCCGTGGTAAATTTCGTGGCTGGGAATTTGAGATCAATCTAGCGCTGGTCGCAAGATGAAAGATGCGTGCAAAGTGAATAACCCAGTTGGATCAAATAATGCTTAGGAAACGCCCGACTTGAGAATGTACTTATTAGTCATTATTGGTTCCCGCAACAACATACTGCTTCTCAGTCTTGAGCTGACTCAGAGTGCTGTCGCTGAGGTTCAAAGTATCTTTGATAATCTGCCTTGGGGTAGACGCAATCCACTGGCCGAGCGCGATATCTATTGTTAAAGTTATTAAGTGTTATCGACACTAGAATGGGTTGATGGAAAGAACGTACCTGTAAATTGCGGCGCCTGAAGCACCTCCACGAACATCAGTTCCTCGTCGCCAGTGTTCTCGATATAGTGACTGTTCGACTTTGGGAAGTACCCTACATCGCCAGCTCGGTAGTCAAAAGTCGTCGCCGCATTGGGAGCAGTAAACAATGTGGCACGACCCTGGCCCTTGATGAAAAAGGTCCACTCATCGCTGGTTGGGTGCCAATGGATCTCGCGCATACCACCTGGATTTACCGTGACGACCGCTGCAGAGACATTGCTAGCCACAGGGAAAGTGAGCGGGTCCACGATCTTGACGGACCCCCCAGCAACTTCGTGAGCGGGCTGCTCCGAAAAGTGGTAGGAATAACTTTCCGTGCGGGGGACAGGGCCAGCCGCTGTTGTGACATTCTGCTCTTCGATGTCCTTCGGGGCCGGAGTTCCCTTGAAAATGTAGAGTTCATCGTCTGGAATTTTGTCGAACGCCGAGACGGGAACGCCAAGATCTTTTGCCAAAACTTCTTTCTGTGAGATCAATTAGCCTTAATTCATAGCCATTCATGACTTTGACTTACTGGACTGTGAAGAAAGACTTCCGTGGCGAGGAAAGTGTTGTCTTCGCTGAAATCACCCTGGTCAAATACCAAAAGGAACTCGACGCCCTCATCGAGCGCTTGGATGGAGTGAGGAATACCACTAATTGCTGTCAGTAGATGCAATGCAGCATTAGGATAAAACGGTGAGTTTCTTTTTGAATACTTACGGTGGGAAAAACCATACATCACCCGCCTGCAGGTCGTCCACAAATGTCTCTCCGTTCTCGTTGATAGCCTGTGATTTCTGTAAGCGCTATGCTTCATCTAATCCAGGAAGAATGCTTGGTACTTGGATCCGACAAGAGCCGTTCAGCACCAAAGACCACTCAGAGGCGACGTGCCAGTGCAGCTCACGATAGGCTGCAGGCTCGAGTCGCATGTCAACACCAGCCATCTCAGTGGCGTCAGGCATCACAACAGTGTTCTCCTGGCGAGCCCAACCTGCATTATCAATTCCCAATCTGAATCAGAAATTAGCAAACAGCAAATACAAATTGCTTTATGTAATCACCTATTGTGACTGAGTCCTGTATTGATGGTTTAACAAACGTTCAAGGCATCACCAAGACTGGGAACCTACCTAGAGGCCACTGTGCATTGATCGTTGCGCCATGATCTGTACCGGGAGGTGCTAGCTTATCGCTATTGATCCGATCATAATAATAGTTCCCTAGAAGAATATGAGTAAATTTCTTTTGCATAGTTGCGTATTTACCCTTCGGCAAACTCACGGGGGCCAGGATCATCGGATCCAGTATCGCCTCGGATCGGCTGAGGGTTCTTGACATTCTCAAAATCCAGATAGGAGCCGATATCGGGATCTTCCTTCTGCCCGGGAAGAAGACTGTACTTGATGTCAGGCTTGGACCCACTTGCCACCTTTTCAGTAGCTGAGTATCCCGCTAGTGACGCAGATCCTCTCAAGCCAGGATTGCTTCCTGAGCTGCCATCCCTACGAGCGGGTGCAGCATCACTGAGGGAAAGGAGGCCGGCGAGCAATTGCAACCTGCAGAGGACCTGGAGCTTCATTATAAATAGCTTGTCAAAGGATCCAAGGTGAGATGGGAAAAAGCGAGTTGAACTTGTGCCAGGACTTGAGGGGGTTGTTCAGAGTTTTACACCACGCAGCAGCTGTGGCCTTTTTATAGATACTTGCGCAGTTACCCTTGCCACCAATGATATGCTATCCATGCACAACATGAAAGACTTCCCCTCACGGTATGTGCCTCGAGGGTTGCTTAAGTGGGGATCAATTCATGTTCCCCTCACCGCGGATCATAGTGATGAAAGGCCGTTGAATGCCCTTGACTGATCCCCTACTCTTGCTCGTTCGGAGAAGTGATCATCGCGGACAATGCGATGAATTAGGGATAGGAGGATTCTAGCGACCATCTTTCCCCACTCACAGACATCAGTAATTTAAAATCAGCATTTCGGCTGCCGTGCAACAGCCGAGTTGACGAAATGAAATGTGACTCAAATGAAGGTGCCCGATGGAAACCGGAAGTAAACCGGAAATATGCTGCCTATAGTGGATAAATGGTGAGCCCCCGCATACAGTTGGTAAATGCCGTCTTCTCCCTTGGAAGCAAGGAAGTCAACGCGCCCCAACCTTTATTTCCAGGCACGTCGTGCATCCGTCAACACCGACACCACCACCAGTCCGCACAATTTCAGTCCACGCTAAACTTGATCTCGGGCTAGCTTTCAATTTCTCCAATGAGGTGGACGGGAGGATGGGGGTTGTGCGGGGCCACTCAATATCAAGTCCACTTGGGGTCAACTGGGTGTTGGAGACCATGAAAGAGTGCCACATTATCGCATGTACCTAAAACTGGGGTCGGCTCCAAGCGAGATAACAGCAGCGATACAAAATCCCTTGAATGTTACACGAGAAGATTGAGCATGATGCGAATGCGATCGACGATGTTATTTTCCTTGACTGAATAGCCGCTTGCGCACCTCGTCCGAGCCAAGCTTCAGGCCAAGAAAACCCACTCGCTCTCAATCGAAAACCAAGAGGCCCAAATAGCCAACCACCCTTCGGATGCTGCGAGGGGGCCAGTGCAACTTCCGCGACAAGCATCTAGCAAGCGAATGGAAGTTGTCTCCACCCATCCTTCTATGTTTCCTCGTTCTCCGCGCGAGGGGAAACTCGGACTTAAGCCAGCCAGCCCTATAGCAGAAGTCCCACGGACTATCATCAGCAGCTGGAGCTAACTGACAACGAAAGACGTTTACCCGGCTAGCAGAGGCCGTGAGAGATTCGATTGGAGGGTAGCCTGAGGGGACAAAGGCTTGCTGGTTGTTAAAGGAGGAGGAGTGGGGGTTGGGTAAAGTTTTCTCCAGTAGTTGTCACACCTGCTGCAGTTCACTGCCTTCTGGGGACGGAGCTAACAAAGATACTTGATTTGCAAGAAAGCTTGTTGTTGAGGAGAGAGGGGAGTGTTACAGCTAGAAGGTAGTATGCCGGTTAATTATAGAAAACGGCGTGCCGAAGATCCCGCGACCCCACGCAATATCACATCAACCACACTTCTCAAAATAGATAGTGGGAGTTGACTGGATCAAGGAAGTTTGATGGGAACAGAAGCTGCTCAAATTTGTGCGATGAACTGCTTTCCTGCATGTATGGCGAGATAGCGTTTCCGCAATCTTTGGCGTGTTCAGTTCCTGGGCAACCGCGTCTCATGGATGGGATCCTTGGGGTCATTGGCATTGACACGGGTCCACTTCAACTGCGTAACACTGCTGACTGCACCAACTATGGAGCTAGTGAATGGGGTATGCTGAAAACCATTTGGGATGTACAGCGTCAGCACTGTCGTCGCCTAGCCGAGGTATAGAGGTAGAGCCGTTTGTACAAGGCATCAAGCAGCAGTCGCATTTGTTGGGTGAGGGGACCATCACGCTACACATTCATTGACGGACCCGGACTAATTGAATTTAATAGGGAGACGCAGCAAATACAGCTTATAGTGTTCTATAGAGCTAATCGCTTCCATCCTGATGGTTCATGCCGTAAGGACATCTTATCTAGACTTCGCTTTCGCAACACGACCACGAGTCAAAGCGGAACCTAGTCATGACCACTGGCAGGTACTCATGTGAAGTAAGGATAAATTGTTCAAACCTGCATAACTAGGTCACACAGCTCCCAGCGGTTGTACTGCTCGTCCAACATTCCCAAAGACACGAAGCTGCTCGAGAGATGTGCAGACATATGTGACAAACATTTGGTCTTGAGAGCAGCCGGAAGAGGAAGCTTAATTCACGCGGTGTGAGATCATCTAATAAAACACCATACTTGGAGTCGGTCTTGAGTGGGTCACGACCCCTTGTGCCCTGGCGTGACTCTCGGGTTGCCGTTTCAAGCACCTGCCGTGAGCCCCTCGGTACCTGCGGCCTCCATCCAAGCAGCTCAGTCTCAAGTGAACAACCCCAGTCTAATTAGAGCTAATCCGACCGAAAGGAAATGTCGCAAGGATCACATTATTCAGCCACTTAGGTTCTGAGCGGCACTCGCCGGCATCACGGACCTGGCTCACAGACAATTTACATAGTTACCCTTTCACCCACACAGTCATGCTAATAGTTAAACCCCTTCCCCAGGGGACTTCCCAACCATTCATTCAGGCTCCAACCACTCAAATAACTAACACAATATCTCGCTCGCCTTCTCTCACCGTTCTCCACCAACCATAACGAGGGCCCACCTCGATCGCCGAGTGCGGGGGTGCCAAGCCCCTAGCGCATCCAGACGCCATTGGACCAGTCGCCGACCCAGACTGCACCTCGAAGGGGGGTCTCGCCGAATCATGAGATCATCTCGTGACTGGTGACGATACCCTGAGTAAGATACTGTTCTGATAGGTCGTCTGATGGGCTGCCTAGTCCAGAGATGGGGCGGGGCGGATTCTGCACCGAACCTTTTGGGGGAAAAGGGGGTTACTTGGGCGGGCTGCCCAGTTGGCACTTGGGCGCGGGCGCTACACGTGAGGTCATGGCCTTTAGGCCAGGGTTGAAGGCTCGTTGTGTTTACGCGAGCGCACAATGATCAAATCGGCTTGTATCTCTTGCTTGCTACCAGATGAATCTAGATGACCGTGTTCGCAATTTCTCGCCTGTTGAGGTTTCAGTTCGCTGGTGGCGATCGCTACTAGAACCGTCTTTATGGGAAGATTCGTGAAAATCGCCTAGACTGTTAGGATGACGGGTTAATTTTCTATTTAATGTTCTCGCCCATCTCTGGTCTGAGAGCTCACTTCGGAGGGGGAGAGTGCAATTTGGCCATGATGCTCCCCAAGGAGTCAATCCTAGGTACTCCGTTCCAAGACCAGTGACCGCACGGCTTCAAGGGATGCCGTTAAGGCCACCTTATTCTATGCCACTCCGACAGACCTTTGAATTTTTACAGGTGGGATCTACTAAAAGGACATCGTCTTAGATAATGGTAGCAATTGTATTCAGGGTAAAAGTAGCCCTAAAACTCCGCGTCTGTCATGCCAATCTATGGCGATAATAAGGATCGAACATCTTGGTAGATAAAAGAAAGGCCCGGCCTAGGCTTTCCCCCTCCGCGTCAAGCCATAACCAGTACAGAGGTCGAGATGAGGGGTGTCGATGATCAAGTGTTGAAAGGGAAAAATATGTATGATGAACAGGAATGTGGTCGGTGGGTAATCTCGAGAACGAGACCGAATGGAAAAGAGAACGAAGTATCCAAGTATCTGATCTACCTGGCATGCTTTAGGTATCGCATGGTGAGGTAGACTGCGACGAGACTGGTGTAGACACCGCCGCCGGCGGTCACCCAGACAGGACGGTGGACGTTCAGCGAGGTGCGAAGGAGCTGGCCTTCTTTCTTTGGCTTAGCCTCTGCAAGAGGTTAGAAAAAATACACTTTTGATGACACTTTTGATGAAATGGATCGTGGGAGACACGATCATGATGGATATGGTGACAACGTACCCTGCTGGAAGAGTCTCTGGCGCAGGTTATTCAAACCCTGGCGCGAACGCGCCGGGAGCTGCTGGAGCTGCTGAAGAATAGGACCAACTGGTGCTGACATGTTGATGAGATAGAGATGTGGTTGATGAGAATAGCGTGTTTCACGATGATAGTTGATGGAAGAGTGTAGAGTGGAGAGTTGACGATGCAAGAGAAAGAAACCCCCTTTGACCCCCGGCCCTTATATAGTGGAAATCAGATGACAGCTGAATGCGGGGTTGGCCAGTGGCGGGGGGTGACATTCGAGACGGGGCATGCGCAGTGGCAATGCCAGCAGAGTTTCACGTTGGGTCATGGTGGCCTGGCAATGATGTCCCCGTGAAGGTGGGCGATCGTCCACTGGTGGTAATTCCTCTACAGCTAGATGGCAATAAACTGCTACCTATGCCGCAAGACTCTCGCCAAAACTGGCCATGGAAAATGCGCTGGTTGAGTGATCGCAGCAGGTATGGGCTGATGGGTGGGCGAGTCGATCAGGGATGAGGAGGGCGACTAGGATGACCCTCCGCCGCATGCCTGGTGCAACTCTGCCTGGCATGATTGGCTCCCAGGGCCGGCCAGTCGTCTCGACTACGCAACCTGATCCAGGGAATTGCCCATCATGACACAACGATGAGAGACGGTCGAAGGGGAATTCCTTTCATGGCGATAGGTCGTTTCCCCTGGCATCGTCCCCCCGACAAGCATAAATTAGTCTTTCGCCCCTATACCCAAATTTGACGATCGATTTGCACGTCAGAACCGCTGCGAGCCTCCACCAGAGTTTCCTCTGGCTTCGCCCTATTCAGGCATAGTTCACCATCTTTCGGGTCCCAACAGCTACGCTCTTACTCAAATCCATCCGAAGACATCAGGATCGGTCGATGGTGCACCCCGAGGGGTAATTTTGGGTTCGCCAGGGGTGCTACAGCGGCAGAATAAAATATATGAATGGCGCCTACAGCACATACAGCGGATTAGACTCGCTCTGATGGTTTCTTCAGAAGATCCTGGGCGTGGGCAAAAGAGTGGAGTCCGGCTGTGTCGCCCGCCGGGGCCCACTGTGGAAATCCGGGGATGGGATCGTGAAGTGTGGGGTTAGTGTATCCACTGCGGAACGAGCTTACCTCGAGCACAGCGGACACGCACTCACGGTCTGTGAACAGAAGAAAGGATGAGCGAGAACACTTCAGACCTGATTGATTATCTGACTATTTGACATAGTCCATAGGTCCTCGCATAGTATCCGTGTACGAAGGCCGGCGTCGGGAGCACGTGAGCCTACCTCCGCCCTGCTGGAATTGCCACGGCCCCTGTGGCCTCCACGCACAACACACACACACGCGACCCCCCAACACACACCCACACAACACACTCAAAACACTCAAAACACCAACCACCCCAACAATCCAGGGACCATAGCAGAGCATACCTTCCCCCACTGAATGTATGACCTTTACTACCGAGGGGATGGCCCTAGATTGTTGGCCTCTCCCAGTCGCGGATTCAACGATTTCAGCAATCAGCACCGCACCACTGGAACATGAGACGCGGGGTGAATGAGGAGATACTCGCGAGGGTCTCCCTCACCCAGGGGTGCATCTCGTTGGGACGGACCTTGTTCATGTCGATGCTACCGGGGGGCACGGCCAGCGCTCCCCCGTACGTGTCCATGTCCGGCCTGTCGCTGGTGCCGTCGTCGAGGTCAGAGCCTACCCAAATGTTCTCCGGCCACGGGATGCCAATGAAGTCGTTGGCTTTGGCCGCCTTCCACCGCTTCCGGAGCTCATGGGTCTTGGAGTCCCCAATCCAGGTGTGTACCATCTTGCTCATGTCGCTGACCCCCTCAGGGCTGCCGGCACACATGTGGAAGAAGTCAGTGGTACTGGCGCTCTGCGGGAGGCCGCTCTGCAGACACAACTGTCGGTATCGCTCCATTAGCTGGCTGTCGAGGGGATCGCTGAGCTTGATGCACTCGTCGCCGAAGTTGCCAAAGAGCTGGGAGGCTATGACTTGGGCCGTGGTGGCGTGGATGGGAATGGCATACATGATCAGCAGTGGATCATCCCATCCAGTCACAGGAGCAGATTGTATTGAGTGGCACTCGTCCCAGTCTTCGCGGGGATAATACCACATGTAGGTCTGGTCGAAGTAAATGGCAGTGCCCCTAGCGAGTTTCTCAAGATCTTTGAGACTTTGCAAAGATAGACCGCCGTCGTTGTTCGCTTCTTGGAAGAGGACGAAGTCTGGCCGGTACATCATGATGGTGTCCTTCAATGGCTGGAACCAGAAGCGCCCGAGTAATGAGTTTCCGGGGTCGAGGTCCTTGTTAGTCAGGGCCAATTTCTCAGCAACCCCTCGAGCCTCGGAGCTGACATGTGCAATAGCCGGTGGCAAGCTGTTGTGTCTGGATGCCCAGTTACTCCCGCAGTGGAGTTTTGGCCAATGAGGATGGTTGATTTCGACCACTCGGCTGGGAAGACAGAGCTCCCAGATCATGGTCCGCAACTCGGCAGGCAGGCGGACAAAGAGGGTGAATTCAGTCGCCATTGTGTCCACTGATAGATGCTGAACCTAATAAGTGTGTGGCTCAAAAGGCGCTTTGTGAATCTTCCAGCGGCTCTCGGAAACGAGTGACGCGAGTGGATGGGGATGAGAGGTGTTTCTTAGACATGAAATGAAAGGTGGAAATGAATTGCAGATGGCTGTAAAACAACCACGTAGTCCCTCACTTGTAACGGAATGGCCACTAACCTCAGCCATCGTTACTGAACGTTCTCAGCTCTGTTTTAGAAACACCAAAGGCTTACATGAAGAGACAACCTAACTTCATGGCATCTACGGATATGCAGCAGCATGGATAAGCGGATGCAGTCGGTTTTGCTAGCGGAGATTGCGGAGAGGCCGCGTTCCTGCGAGCGATGGGAGTAAAAGCAATGAGAGAAGGGGCCTTATACGGTATTGATCATTAACAATTTTCATATTCCATTAAACATTATGCACGAATTCATTATAAATGATGGCGCTGTCATCGCTAAAGTAAACTTGTATTTACACCTCGCGGGACACGGCATATACGTTGTGCATCATCGGACATAGTTGTCCAAATGACCTGGCGGACTTCGTTGCCAACTTGCTCGATAGCATCCATGGCCCATAAGACGTCGAGATGCTCATATTCGTCAATGATCTTCGAGTGCACGACGCGTACGTGAGGCTCATGACCTTCGTCAAAGCGCCGGAGAAGCCGACGACCATCTACCAGCGCATCAGAGCCACCAACCCACAACGCGAAGGGTGGTACCTGAGGATCGAACCAAGCCCTGTCGCCCGAGGCACCCAGGCAGGGATCTCCTGGGTCATCCCCATGCTCGGGACCGGTCCCTTCCCGAGCGGAATGGTCCGCCTCGGCCTCAAATATAGACTGGTCTGCTGTGGAAAGAATGCATTTGTGTTTAGCAAATCCCTCGCTGCCAAGCCACCATCGCATCGTCTCAGCGCTAACGTATACAGGAGCGAACTGAAACATGCGGTGTCGCAAGTCCCGCTCCCAGCGGGCGTCAGACCAGCCGAAGAGGAAGGAGAATACCCAGTATGCGAGTGTGCCGTATATTTTAGGATGGATGAGACGTTGGACAGTCATCATGACCGGAATGAACGCATGGATACCAAAGAAGACCCGGAACATGCTTGGAGAGAGCATGCTCATGAAGCGGAAATAGGGCTTGCTCACCAGCGGACCAGCGTATGCAGCAGGTGCCAAAGCACAGAACACGGAGATGCGCTGTCCAAGCTCAGGTCTATGTTCCTTCGCCAGCGCCACGAATGTCTGTGTGGTCCCTTGCGAGTGGCACACAAGACCCAGCTTCTCAAACCCAGTTTCGTACAACACGCGGGACGTAAGTGCTGCTAAGTCGAGCGTGCCAAGGTGGCGGATATCCCAGGACCACATGCGCGGATCGGATGTAGACAAAGTGGTGTGCTCAGGAGTTTGGCCACAGCGATTGTTTCCCAACCAGACGTCGTATCCCGACTTGCAGAGATAGAATGCAAGGCTATCGTCGTCATTGGTGCAATAGGCACCCGCACTTTGTAGCAGGCCGTGAATCAAGAGGACAGGGTATCGACGTCGAGATTGCGAGTTGGATGAATTCAATTCCTTCCGGTCATTGAAGACCCCGAATCCGCGTTCACGCCGTTGCTCAGCCGGGAGTGCTGTATATTCCTGGGGATCATAGACATGCCATAGAGTGATGATAAATCCATCCTCAGTTTGGACCCGGAATGTCTCAACATCCAATCCAACTCGTCGGGCGTAGTATGCGACGTCACATACAACTGCATCCTTGCCTCCCTCCAACGGTGGACATTCGTCCGGGCCTTGCTCTTCATCTACGTGCTTTTTCTGTTGTCGAATATGCCATTTCTGGTCCGACTCGGCTCGGGCCAACCTGCGTGTCTGTTCTTCCGCTCCGAAAACTCTTTGCAACGCAGGCCGTCCGTTTTGCAACCTTGCACTAACATCGGTGATGAGCGATCCAGCGGTGCGGATCAATGCCCCAATGAATATCACCGTCAAGAAGCCCAGGGAAAGAAGGAAGGATATGGCTCGGATCGCGTAATATTGTATGCTGGACATGAAAGTGGGTGGGCCGTAGGCGGGTAGTGGTGGAAAGAGTGGATGTTCACGCAACTGGACGGGAAGTACCAGCTCGCATACACTGTTGCCTTTTTCGGCTGCGTGCAACTGGCCCCTTGCTGAATTATTGGCTTGTCCATCGCAAATGGGGTCTGCCATATGGCCATGGGCTAACGAGGAAGGCCGATCGGAGTGATTGACGGCGGATATCGAGAGGATGCGCCGAGATTCTGGTTCAGCGGTCATCGCTGGCATGGGCGTCGTGATTGTTTCCAAGGGCATGGTGGCGGACATGGTCGCGGGATCAGATCACCAGCATTGGGACTCCAGAGCCCATCCTGCAGCCCAAGCAAAAGAATCGAGGTCAGCGGTCGTAGAAAGAATGTATCACTCGGCGTGCAATGGACGCCTCCCCGCTGAAGCCGAGGCCTAGGCCTTTGGGTCAGGGACAATCACGTGATGGAGATGTGCCAATCAACAAGTGCATGTGAAAAATCTGTTTCTGCCTCAGGCATTAATTTATCAAGATATTGTAGCAAGGTCACTGCCTGCTCTGTCAAGTATCGGTGCATGTATTTCCCCAGCCTTGGATTAGGTGGAGTTCCATGCAAGGTATGGTGGTTTGACCTTCCAGTTCTCGTTACAAACTCGATCAGTAATTACCCGACGGTGTATCAATTCATTGCATGTTACAATCAGCATTGGCTTCGATACTAATGTATGATTCATGCCACCACTCGCTTCCTCGCACACAGTATACTACCACCGGTCGATATCCGTACATCTATGTGGTCAATGGAGCCTCTATGAGATGTGACTTTCTGTCACTGGGATGATACCTGGTATCCAAGATGTAATCGAGATGGAGGCTGGTTTACACCTAACTTTGTCATCCGACTACGAAGATGTATAGTGGACTAAAATCGATCTGGGTTTCTATCCATTCTCCTGTATTCTGTCTTCTTGACGGACGTTCTTTCGTTTCTTTCGTTGATGAAATAGCGTACGTGAATTATACGTGATGTCCTGGTATTCTCTGTTGAGTCCGTTGATTCGCAGGTTTAACATCTGAGATACTATGCCCGAGTGGCCCAAGGCGCCTGGCTAGAGATGTGGCCTGTTCGCGGGTGGCGTTAAATACGCCTATCATCGTGTGAAAATTCCCTTTTTTGCCACTCCTGTGGAGTATTCTCGTGTTCCTGATGCCTGACAATCGTTGCTGAGGTCACTAAGGGAATCGGGGTGGGGGTCAAGCGGATGCAAGTGGCGGCCGGAACATGCGCGCGGAAAAAGTCAAATAGTTCCTGGTGGGAAACAGCGGGCTTAAGATGAGTCTATAATACGGGGTCCTATGCTGCAGATTCGTCCACTGCTTCTAATGTGCCAGGCGACACAGGAGGCTGCCATGATATGATTATTATTGGAAGAGGACGTAGCTCTAATTGAAAGTTGCGATGGAATTGGACCGACTGACAACCATGCAACTCTATACCTTGGAAGATAAGAGGACTCCTCAATAATGATTCATGAACGGACGCCAACAAATTGGGTACTGTAACTGGGCTACGACTAAGGTCATATGATTATATTATTGATTCGGGTTTAAACTAAAATTTAAATAGCTAATTTAGTCGCGTAATATTCAGCGCAGAGTACCCGATATTGGCTAGTGATTGATTGTTTAGAGTAAGTGAGGTCCGGCAGGGAGGCTTGCGGCTTCCAACGGGAAAGACCGGTTAGACAAGGGGCCACGTAAAAATTAGGTCGGGCTTGGAAGAAAAACTTGGGTGGCGCAAAGTGGCGTGGCGGGCGACGGGCCGAAGCCGATTGGCTTGAGGGCCAAGAAGAATATTCAGAGCCGCACTAGCTACAATACCAAGAGACATCATGGCTTGACTTGGGAGCTTCATAGCTACGGAGTAGATTTCTTTAGATTTCTTATTAACGGACAACATGCATAGTGCATAGATCAAGCAAGAATAAGGCCACAATTTTACGGGCGATCTTTAGAATCGTGACAAATGAAATGCTTCTTATCCAATGATGGGACTGCGGTGGAGTATGAGCCTCGCAAGCACGGCTGACATGGTGGGTCTCTGCGCCCTAAGGTGAGTTGTTTCGGGAAGGCACCGAGAATTTTTGGGGAAGGAGGGCAAGGCGATTCGCCCGATTCCTGCAGCGATCGAAAATTCTTGGCTGCGTTGTGCTCAGCCAACTGATCTTGATCTTTACATCTATTCATACCTCGTGGTCTCCCCTCACCGTCCTCCAACCGCTTCGCATACCCCCAGGTCGTTCGGCATCCCGCCATCTACGCTCCGATGGCACCGAGCAAGAACAATGCCGACAAGATGATTCTGTCCGAGGATGGGCTCGCCGACATGAGTGATCGGGAGCAGCAGATCTACGAGGGCGGCATCCAGAAGTTCAATCGTCTCGGATGGAAGCGCCTGACGATCGTACTGATCGTGGAGGCTGTCGCTCTGGGAACGCTCTCGATCCCGTCGACCTTTGCGAAGCTCGGCATGGTGGCTGGCGTGATCTGCTGTGTCGGTCTCGGTCTCATCGCGGTGTACACCAGCTACATTATCGGCCAGGTCAAGGTCAAGTTCCCGCATATCGCGGATTACCCCGAGGCGGGCCGGCTGATGTTCGGTCGATGGGGATACGAGATACTGTATATCATGCTGGCCCTTGAGCTCCTTCTGTCCGCTGGATCTCACTGTCTCACCGGCACGATCGCATTTGCCAACATCACCAACAGTAACATCTGCGCCCTTGTCTTCGCAGTTGTCTCGGCGATTATCTTGTTTGTCTTCGCTATCCCACCCAGTTTCTCGGAGATGGCTATCCTCGGCTACATTGACTTTGTGTCCATTGTTATTGCGGTTGGAATTACAATCATCGGAACCGGAGTGGAGGCTTCCAACTCAACGGGACTGGCAGCAGTTGACTGGTCTGCCTGGCCGAAAGAGGGCCTTACCTTTTCGGAGGCCTTTATTGCGCTCTCCAACATCATTTTCGCCTATAGCTTTGCGCTTTGCCAGTTCTCCTTCATGGACGAGATGCACACTCCTACCGACTTCCCAAAATCCGTATGGGCTCTCGGTTTGGCTGAGATCTTTATCTACACCATCACTGGTGCATTGGTGTATGCCTTTGTCGGCCAAGATGTCCAGAGCCCTGCCTTGCTGTCCGCCGGCAGCTTGCTGAGCAGGGTGGCCTTTGGTGTCGCTTTGCCAGTCATCTTCATTAGCGGCTCCATCAACACAGTGGTTCTGGGCCGACTGATCCACGGCCGCATTTTCAAGGGCTCCAACATTCGTTTCGTCAACACCAAAATGGGATGGATTACCTGGCTTGCCTTGATTATCGTGCTGACCGTCCTTGAGTTTGTGGTTGCCGAGGTCATCCCATTCTTCGATGACCTCCTGTCCATCATCTCTTCGCTCTTCGTCTCCGGCTTCACCTTCTACTTCCCAGCCATAATGTGGTTCATGTTCATCCGCGAGGGTAGCTGGTTCAGCAAGAAGAACATGTTCTTGAGTGTGACCAACCTTCTCATCCTTGTGATTGGTCTGATTGTGCTGGTTGCAGGAACCTACGCGAGTGTGGTCGATATTGTAAGTGCTACGAATGCTGCGAAGGGATGATATCCTCCTTTGGTCCAAATGCTAACGGATTGTCAAATAGATCAATTCCTACAATGCCGGTTCCGTTGGAGGAGTGTTCTCGTGCAAGGCCACCTAGTGTCCTTATGCGGGGCATGGAGTGTTTATAGACAAGATAGACCTGAATGTTTACATGTAATAACATAGAGCTTGCATAGCTTACCCAAATTGCATCAATTCGTTGTCCATATCACCCATGTCCCCAGATCAACACATGAAATGCCTTCTCGACATAATACGCTCAGATGAGATTGGCACACAGGTGAGAATGTTCAGATCAAAGAAGAGAATATTGCGCCAATCCAAGATGTCCATGCGTATAGGTATATCTATATTATGGCAACTCGCCCGCCCCGAGCTCAGGGAACTAATCGCTTTCCGAGGCGGCAGCGCAGCAGCCACCAAAATGAACGCAAGGAAAGTGCTGACAGTCATCCATTAACGGTAAAAGAAACCCAGATCAGATCCATCATTACAACCCATCATTCATCTAAACCTCCGCCTTGGCAGCAATGCTCTCCAAATGAGTCGCATGCTCCCCACTGCGCTTCTCATTCGCCTCAGTCTCGAACTGAGCCAGGTTCCCCCCAGCTTTGGCGCCCGCCACATCCCGCACATCCGTATAATGCACAGAAGGCTCGAAGCCCACCGAATTCCAAGCCCGCGGCACCTTAGCATAGAGCTCGTCCACTTGCTCCAGGCTAAGCCCCTTCGTCTCGTAGATGCAGGTGTACACGAAGATAGCGCAGATGAGGCAGAACCCGCCCCAGATGAAGAACACCTTGGACTGGAGGTTCGCGTTACCGGGTCCGCTGTTGACCATGTACGGAGTCGCATAGGCGATCGCCCAGTTGAGCAGCCAGTTCGTTGCTGTCGTGATGGAGAGGCACTTTGCGCGCGCCTTGAGCGGGAACAGCTCGCCTGTGACGACCCAGGCGACGGGGCCCCAGGAGCTGGCGAAGAAGAAGATGTAGACGCAGACGAAGGCGATGAGCACTTTGTTGGAGACGTCGGAGCTGGTGGCTGTGCCGACGATGGCGACAATTAGTTGCGAGACGCACATGCCGACTGCACCGAACATGAGGAGAGGCCGCCGGCCCCATTTCTCGACCATGTAGAGGCCGGGGAAGGTGGAGACGACGTTGATGATGTTGGTGATCAGGGTGATCACGAAGGAGTTTTGGATGCCGGAGTTTTGGAAGAATGTCGTGCCGTAGTAGACTGAGCAAATGTTAGTAAGGACATACAAAGGTACCTCCATGGGTTGTTGGGTTGGTTGGGGGGGGGGGTAAGAATAGGTGGTTAGACGAGCACGTACAGATGAAGTTCACTCCAGCGAGCTGCTGCAGAGCCTGGACCGCACAGCCAGTCGCGAGCCGCTTGCCAATCGAGCCGCGCAGGATCTCAAAGTAGGTCGCCTTGCCGAGGCGGAGCTCGAACTCATGGTTCGCCTGGATCTCAGCCAGCTCCTCCACGATAATTGAGTCATTGACGTCGACGCGGCGGAGACGAGCGAGCGCCTTGGCCGCGTCCTCGTAGCGATCCTTCTTGATCAGGAAGCGCGGGGTCTCGGGCAGGATGATCATGCCGGTTACCAGGATGATGGCCCAGGCGAACTGGACGGCGACGGGGATGCGGTAGCAGCCGGTGTCCATGCGGTCCTTGGTGGCATTGTTGACGATGGCAGCCAGCAGCAGACCGACGGTGATGGCTAGCTGGTAGGTACCCACAATGGTACCGCGAATCCACTTGGGGGCGGTTTCGGACTGGTACAGGGGAACTAGGGCACATCGTTAGCGATCGATACTGGCCCAACCCCTGTCAGGAAATCAATTCGACTTACTGGTTGCCGAGAGAAGACCGACACCCAGGCCGGCAAAGAAACGCCCCGCTACAAATAAGGGGATCGAAGTAGCGGCAGTCTGCAGGATGACACCGAAACAGAAAACGATGCTATTCAGGATCATGGCGATGCGGCGGCCGAAGTAGTCCGCAACCGGAGCGGCGCCGAGGGCACCGAAGAAGGTACCAGCGGAGAGGAGGGAGACGATCATGGACGATTGGGAGGAAGTTACATCGGGCAAGTTGTCCTTGGGGTTGATATAACCGGTTGAGAACATCTCTCGCCACTTTTTCATGGCGAGGATGCCGCTAATGGTGCCGGTATCATATCTATCAACCACTTTGTGTTAGTCCCGCGAAGCATTGGGAGTAGGGCGAGGAGGTGCAGTGGGCTTAGGACTTACCCAAATAGCACACCACCAAAAGCGACAAAAAGACCAATAATGATGGCCGGGGCCGCCGAGCCCACGGCATCGTCGGGTTTCTTCAGCGCGAAGCCCATGGCGTGGAGATTGAGTGGAATGAGATGGCAGAAAGGCACGACGATACTAGGGTCCAACAGGCCACGGTCAGAATTGACGGCTGCACAGCAGACACAACAGGAGGTAGACGAGAATGAAATATAATATAGTACTGGAGAAGAAACGGAAAAGAAAAACTTCCGAAAACCCAAGCCAGATCAACGGGATACTTCAACCATTTAATACTCCGCCGCAACCCACCAAGCCCGAAACCCAGCACCCCAGAAACAAACACCAAAAACCGGCCATGATCAGCCCCGGGGGAGGGTGCCCCTGCCGGAACCAGAAACCGCTCGAGGCATACCCCAGCCGCGGGCCTCCAAGTTTTGCAAGTCTGCTGGGTATGGGGGGAGGTGGGGAGAGGGGTGGAGAAACGGACCGACCAATGCAGCCACGCTGTGGGGTGGGCCGGGCGGGAGGGATCCGGCTGAGGCGCGAGGCCATTGGCCACGCCCGCAGATTAACTCTGCGGCTTGACCGTAGAAGTTCGAGAAGGGGGAAGGCGTCAAGGTCGGGGACACGAGATTTTACTGCGTTCAGAGTTGTTGGCGCAGAAGGCTGGTATCCCTTGTGTCGGGTGACTCGACTATGATAGAATAGGTGGGAATAAATAATTAGGAATAATAGTAATAATAGTAGCACTAGCCGACGATGTCTTGTCCGGCAACTGAAAACGGGGTTCGCCGAGTGCAGGCCATTGCCGCATTGGGGGAAAGACCGGCCATCCCTTGTTTGAGGGAACAATAGAGGGCCAGCCACACCAGATGATTATTACGGTTATTATTGTCAAGTCTCTGAACGGGAATAGTTTATGCAAGAAATAGCGATAGATCGGGTGGTGGCGTTCGAGACTTGCCGTCATAGCACCCGTTATTCTTGGACCGTGGTCGTCTAGGAGTAGAGTCCAAGAGAGATGGAGAAAGCCTAGACGACACTGGCGCAGACTACGTCAGCAGCTACCAAAGTCACTACACTTGCCCATTGGCCCACCAATAGCACAATCTCCAGATCAACACCCCTCCGCATCCCCAGAAAAACCGAAGACCACCCCCAGAGGGGAGGTCGACTGCGCTAGTCGGGGTTGGTCAAACCACAATGTCGTCAACACGCATTCCACGGGCCAAACCCAGGAGAAAGGTCGGCAGACCGATTTCCCCCAAGGCCTGGAGACCCCTCTTTTGCGTCTCACCGAAGCCAGATGGAGCAATTGGGGTGTGCCTGGGCCAGGCTGGTGGCGACGGGGGGCCCTGAAACGCGGAAAGTCTGTTGCGTTTGGTTCGGGGCGTATCTCCACCTTCACGCCGCCCAGTTAATCTTGGCCGACATGCTCGGCCAGAATGAACTCGAATGGAATCGAATCACGACGGCGCTGGCGGAGTGGAGGGCATTGACAGGAGGATACACCGATCCCTGGATAACTTGATTCCGGCGCAATCTCGGGCCGAAGCACACATGGGTGTAGTCAGCTGCTTGTGCTGCCCGTGTTCTCGCTGCCCAGCCCTGTAAAAAGATCGGCCCCAGCCTGCAACCCCGGCCCGCGTCAGGCCTTGGCTGAAGCCTAATTGCGACCTGCGGCATTTTTCCCGGGCCGCAGATTGGTCGCGCGACCCGATGGCTCTCCGAGATTTGCCCGCCCCCGTTTCTTGGGCCTTGTAGAACAGGGTCGGGCGCCAGGAGAAGGTTGGGGTGGTCTGACCGACATGTGGCAGGGGTAGGGAGTACCATGGGGAAACTCCAGATGTGTGGGGAATCAGGGTCGGGGGCCGGGGCCGGATAGGATGCCGTGCTCACGGGGGATAGGTACAGTCGCGTAGGTGGAGGGCAAGGACGTCAACGACCGTGTCCGATGGGAATAATGCCATTGCTGTTCTATTATGGTCTATACACTATATGCGGCGCCGCAAACCCGCTCGGTCGGCTACCAGCGCCAGATCAAAACGAAGTACACAGCCAGGACAACCAGCAAAACGGAGCGGACCGACCGCGCGAACTCGCGGCCGACAAGCACGGCTTTCGAGCACACGCCCTTTGCCGCCACGGCCGGTCGGTACAAACCCTTAGCCTTTATGGTGCTCGCGGCAGCATCGCCATCTAGACCCCGATAAGTATCGCCGGAAGTCTTAGAGCCGGGGTAGCGCGGGAAGGGTATGACTCCCGCCCGCCCGATCAGACCCCCAGACGGGAATGTGGAGCTGGACGTACCGGATGTCTGGTACTGTTGGTTAGGGTGAGATGTGCGTCTCTCGGAGAGAGGCAGGACCGAGCCGCTGGCTGGGGTCGGCGACTCGGGGGAGAAGAAGACGGAGTAGATGGCCTGGAGGAAGAGAAGGCCAATGCTGAGGCCGAAGAGGCACGCGTAGTGGATGAAAATCCCCAGCTGATCGGGGAGCAGACAGAGATGGTTTTGGATGGTGGGCGAGGATCCTTTTTGGGTGGACTCGCCTGTCACCGGGTCGATTGGGTTCCAGAGACTTGTGAGCAAGAAGCCGGGATGCCTGACACCCATTGCCCAAGACAAGCTTTTGACGGTGATCTCGTTGGGCGAGCCGTTGAACTCGCGGTGCGTCAATTCGCAGTAGTCGTGGTCGTCGCCAGAGTAGACCTGCACGACGTTGGGTCCTGCCTTGGATACCAATTCAGTGGAGATGGTCTGAGTCAGTACGTTTTGGTACTGATAGCCACCGGCGATTCGGAGCGAGTTGGGCTCATCTTCCTCCAAGCCGGGGGCCGATGGCGGTAGACGCTCGCGAAGCGGGCCACAGGGGGTGGCTGGCTTGCGGTAGAGCGGGACATGCGTGAGAATAATGGTAGGGAACCCTGCGGGCTTGGGCTGCGGGAGCTGGTCCACGGAATCATCACCAGCTTCCACAATGTGGTGCTTGAACAGGACGTCTTCAGACTTGTTTTGGAGCACCCGGAGTTCCTCCGTCTCGGCGGTAGCTTTGTGGGTGGCCATTGCGTCGAGGAATTCATCCGCATCTTTCCAGATTGGCCGAGGCCATGTTCCTTCCTCCTCGCTGAGGCGGGAGCTGCCCGTCAGAGGGTCAGGCTGATCCATCGCACTCAGCGAAACAGTATCAACGGAGACAAACGTATGGTTTCCAATCACATCGACCCGGTTGCCATTGCCGAAGTAGCTTTGGAACCGCCGACGCACTGGTTCTTGGATTCCATTGCCGAAACCGAGATCATGGTTCCCGGGCAGACTGGCGATAAGCCGACGTCCCCGGCCATCCACCGGGGGAGAATCTTGCTCGAGCCAGGGGTTCAAGAAGATCCTCATAAAGCGGCCGTATTCCTTCTTCCAGAATGAATCGGTGATTTTCTTATAGCGAACTTCGGGACTGGTACTCTTGCTGGTTGCCCACTCTCGCCCGCCATCAAACAGGTCACCAAGGAAAAGAACCGAATCAGGCTCCAAGTCGTTCTTTATAGATGCGAAGGACCGGCGCATATACTGGTCAGTGTATTTAACCGTCAGAGTCGAGAGAGGCCATGGACGTCCGGGGTAAGTATGGGGATCAACGAGCTGGGGGTCGGCGATGAAGGCAACGTGATGCGGCGTAGCACCTGGGGGCTAGCAATGAATCATCGTAAGCTCGGTTCCGATAAAATATGGCACACAAGGTCCAGATACAGTGCAGTGGAGGACCTACCCATTTCTCCCAGCTCTCCCAAACACAGCGGTCTATAGCTTCCTGGAAAACCGTCCGCTCGCCCCACCATAGCGTAAACATCCACATGAAGATAATCGCATTCGCAACTGTCAACAAGCGCCTCAATACTAGCGCCATGATCCCATGGGAATCACTCCTCCCCCTCGAGCTCCCACGGAAGCCCGCAGCTCCCTCCGCAAACCATTGTTGCGCTGTCGCCGGCAACCTCTCCAAGGTCTGCCCAATTAAACCCGGTGCTTTTGACCCGGGGACCGCACTAAACGAAGGAAGAAATGAGGCGCCCGCGCTGCGTGGATAGGCGTAGCTCATCTTGGCACTGGCCGCCAGGCGTGCCTAGAATACACCGTAGATGTAAATTGGCTAGCCACCCCGTTGAACACGGGGTTTGATAAGAATCAACGAAAGGAGTGTCGCTGCATGCTCTGAAATTCGGAGGAAAAGAGTAAAGGAATGGAGTTTAGGCAAGGTATCAAGGACGGATAATTTTTTTTAGTGCATGGTGTGTTGCAGATTGGAGATTGGATCAAGGGGCGGTTCTGGCGTTCTGTCGCTCTGGCCGCTCGCGACTGTCGATCCCTGGGGCAGATTAGTCACGTGCTGTGGCTGGGATAAAATTAGCTTCGGAGGGTAAACAACTGAGTGCAAGGCGGTAGTTTTTGTTTTATTGCCCAGGAATGCCAGGAAAGGCTTCGGTTGACTCAAGGATAGAGAAACGCTTCTCGAAATATACGAAAATAATGACATATTGAACGGCAGTTTTTGGAACTCTGTTTGACATTGTGTGTAACAATTACAGCCGGAGAATCTCAGTCTACCAGATCAGGCATAGTCGATTAGGGATAGATATAAATACATGCAAATGGGGGAGGCGGAATGTCAAGAATGACCCTGACGCAGGTGGAGAGAAAGACAACATAATGCCATCCCATTATCATATAGAGGAGTTCAATCCACTGGGGAAGACCACCTCTTCTAGAAACGCTAGGCTGTAAACTTATTGCGGCGAGTTAAAAATGGAATCACGGCGAGGAGGAGCCGACAAAGGAGCAAAGAGAGGGGACAGATAGGAATAGGATAACGGAAGAGAGTGAAACAGCCGAGAGACAGATGAGGGTCTGTTGGAAGGAATGAACAACTTAGGGGATGGGGAATCAGGTAGATTTTTTGGGGCAACACTGGCCGCCGCGGCCGCAGTCGTCATCGCACTCAAGCAGGCAGGCCTGGGGGTCGCCTTCGCGGACGCTGGCGGCGCGGCTGGAGTGATTGTGGTCTTCGGTGCCGGCTCGGGACGAGGACGGCTGGGCGAGGTTCTGGCTATCCTCGGTGTCGCTGTCGGGCGAAAACTCGGGCTGGATGGTGGAGGAGTGAATGCCGTAGGCGTGGAGGCACCGGCGAACCTGGCGCGCAAGGCGCATGTACCGCTCCGAACCCTCGCCCTTGATTTCAGTGTCGACCTGTATGTGAATTGAGGCGACGATCTTGGTGTCGCTCAGCTGCCACACGTGAAGGTGATGGGAACCGATGACGCCGGGCAGACCCTCGATATCCTCCTTGATGTGGTCGATGCTCATGCCAGGGGGCACGGCCTGCAACAGGATGCGAGAGGCGGCCTTGCAGAGCGGGATGGCCGAGGCAAGAATGATGAGCGTGATGAGCAGCGAAATTCCAGGATCGACATAGAATCGCCATTTGTAGTCAGTCAACCAGATGATGAGAGCCGAGGCAATGACACCAATGTTGCCAAGCGCGTCGCCCATGACGTGCAGGAAGACACCACGCATGTTGAGGTCATGACCGTGACCGTGGCCGCCCTTCTGGCCCTTCGGCTTGGGCTGAGCGTGGTTGTGGCCCTTGTGAACGTCTTCTTCCACCGGCTGATCCGTAATCTTGAAGGGGGCTCCGTTCTCATCGGTGTAGTTAGAAGCGCGATCACGGTGGCGCAGAAGGCCGGATCGCTCACTCGGGGCTTCATCATCCCGGCTGTCGGAGTCAGACGACTGCTCATTGTCGAAACCACCACGGCTTGCGGCAATAATATCCTGTCGCAGGGTTGCAGGATGCACATAAATGTCCTCCACATTGGTAAGAGAGGAGCTGTAGCGGCGGGAACCGCGGTTCTGGGAATCGGTGGCGCGGCGCTTGCGGGAATGGGAAGCCGAAGGCTCGGTGGCCGAATGATGATGCCCGTTCTGAGGTGTGCTGGGGTTGGCAGCTCCATGACCACTCCGAGCAAGCGCGGCACCCACATTTCCCTGATCCTCGGCCGGGGAGGGGACGCTCTCGTCCCCTAGGTGATCGTGGGCGCCTTGCTCCACATCCTCCTCGTCATGCTCACCATGACTGTGGCCATGATCATGACCATGGCCGCCGTGAGAATGGTCATGGAAAAGCGCCAAACCAAGGATGTTGGATAGAAGGCCAAAGCAGCCGACAATGCAGACCAGCTTGGGGTTCTGGACTTCCTGGGGCTCCACTAATCGCTGGACGGCCTCCAAGAAGATGGAGAGACACAGGGCGACCAAGAAAACACCATTGACGAGCGCACCAAGAGTCTCTGCTCGTTGCCACTGTAATCCAAAGCATTCCAAGTCAGACAGGTTTCCGGGGTACCAAAGCACCTTGTGGTCCACTCACGCCATATGTGTACATCTTCGAGTTTGTTTCGCGATTGGCGACCTTGACAGCCCAGAGTCCGACGCACAGAGAGAGGACATCGTTTAGCTAGTAGTGAATTAGTCAGGTTGAAGGCAAATATGAAGCTGGGCACCGTGCGAGGCGGATCTTACCATGTGAAAGGAATCGGCGACCAGGGCAAGGGAGTGGACGGCATAGCCTAGATAGCAAGCACTGTTAGACTAGACTCTAAACGCGATCCAGCAGACCATTTGAGGTTCGGCATACCCGTAATCAGCTCTAGCAGGAAGAACGCGGAGTCGATCACCAGCAGGATGATGATCCTGTTGGTCTTGGAGAGTTTCATCGTGGCGGATTTAGCTCCCGGCGCGCTCAATGGCGCTTGGCTCTGCAGCAGGGGTGGACCAGGGCCAAGCAGGGCAGATCGTGTCAGCGCAGACCACGAGTCGAAGGAGCGTGTGAAGGAAGAGATCCGGCAGAGGAGTAGCGAGGGGCTAAAGGAAGATTTTGCGACGCGAGCGATAGCGTCCAGGGCGGAGAGGAGCAAGCGCTGACGCATTGGTGGAGTGGTGGAGCCCAGCGCAGCACCGCATAAACGTTAACGCAGTCGCCAACGGCCGGAGCTGCCTCCGCTCGGGCCCGGAGTGGCGTTATCGTTACCGCGCCCGACGTACGCAGATTGTTTGCCTCGTACTTGCCATGGACGTGTTTGCGAGTCACAACGAAAGGCGACCAATTAGCTGCAAATAATCTAGTTTCCAACGCTTCTACAATCTGCGTAGTCTACTCCGTGCACTTTATTTGAACTTCTGGCGGGGCCACGCCAACCGGACCGGGATCGGCCAGCGGCCAGCGCTAGAATCCATGCAACTATGAAAATAATGAGCCCGGAAGCGACTAGCACAATCAACTTCTTCTGCGGAGATTGAATGAACTACCGCATTCACCGTGAAGCTTGCAGGCTCCTGCTTTGGCTCCTTCCTCTAATCCTGCTCTCCTCGCTTTTCTCCTCACCTGCCCGAAGTTTCGTTGAACTGTCCCGCAGATCACAGGCATTCGCATCCCGGCTTGTTTCACAACGCCCCCCCTTTCTAATGTCACCAGCAAAAGTTGGAAGAGGCAGGAAACATTGGTAGAAGCGTTCTTCCGGCAGTAGGTGCTCACGAAACACGGATCAACGGTGGTGGAGGGCCATGACCTCGACCTTTATATGATCATGGAGTCTAGGATAACTCCACTCGTACGATTGCGGCGGACGGCAGGATACGTTCACATCCTATTATAAGGGAGTGAGTGGCCCCATTTGGAAACATGGTTAGAAATCACCTTGAAAGCTGTTATTCAGTGGTAGAGCAAATAGAACACGGGGTCATACTTTCTATCATCAAATGGGCAATTTGACTGGGTACTGACCATCTAGACATTTATTTATGGTCGGATATGATGAAATTGGCTATGGCAAAGTGGTCGAATCTGTGGAGTTGGAGAGAAAGAAACCTGAAGGATATCTGGTGTGATTCTCACCGCGTCGATGAAATCCACATGTATGTTGCAGAAACGCTTCCCGCTTGGCAAGCAGTTCCAGTCGGTCAGCGTGCTTGTATGACCCCTGCTGTCAATTTTCTATGGTAATTAAGAGTATAGACTTAATTTAGTTCCAATTATTATGAGATTTTAGTAGGTGCGCCGAGAGACGCTGCTGCTTGTGAAGTAATTCGTAAACCGATTTGATAAACGTATTTCTATTTACATGGCATGTTCATGTGAGAATCTTTCTGTTTGTACTGATGCTTCCGATGGATGCCCGGTACCTTCTTGATTCGCATGCTCCAGACCTCGTATGCCATACTACACACTACCTGTGTCTTCCGTCTCTTGTATACAGTCCTCCTTCCCTAGCCAGAGAATCCGCGATTCCTCGCGCTCATTTCCCTTGCTTCCCATGTGCTGGCAGTGTACACCACTGCTGTCAGTCTCATAAGGTAATTCTCCTTCGAAGATCTAAGATGCGTTCGGTGGCCTCAGAGAAAGAATGCTGCGACAGCGATTCATCCTGCAAGGCCGACACCAGCGCATCGACGATCACCTCTCCCTGAGTGACATTTCGAGCCGACGCAAGAATAATATCCATGCCAGCCTGGCTAGCCAGGACTCCGCGGGCCGAATCATCGCCAAATGCCCGAAGTCCCCCGGCCTCGATTGCGTCGGTGATCGTTACGCCCTTGAACCCAAGTCGCCCGCGCAGCTCATCTTGAATCCAGGCCTTGCTAAGTCCGGATGGGTACTTGGAATCCAAGGCGGGATAAACTGCCCAGGAGTTCATGACCATGTCGACCCCAGCGGAAATAGCCCCTGTGTATGGGATTTCGTCGACGGACCGGAGTTCATCCAGTGTCAGGTTGATCGTGACGGGCTCCTCGTCTGTATTCTCGTTCTTTCCGGCTGCTCCCAGTCCAGGAAAGTGCTTCGCTGTTGCGACGATTCTGGCCGCTTGCTGGGCTCTGATGAAGGCGGGTGCGCATGTTGCGACCCGAGCCGAGGTGTTTCCGTAGGAGCGACCATAATTGTCCAGGAAATCGCCCGCTTCACGGTACACGCCGAGGACCGGGGCAAGGTTGGTGTTGACCTGGTAGGCTTGCAGAGCACTAGCCGCATCCTTGCCACTCTGCGTCGCGGTCTCGCCGGGGTTGGTCATCTCGCCAACTTGTTTGGCGCTCTGGACAGGCCCGCCGGGTAGTCGACGGACTTGGCCTCCCTCCTGATCAGTCATAATCAACAGTGGGCTGCCTGAATATGCGCTGCTTTGCTTATAGGTATTCTGGAAGTCACTGATAATCGTGCTGAGATTGTCTGCGACATTTTCGCCGAAGAGGATGATGCCACCCACCTTGCCCTGTCTGATCAAATCGAAGAGATTGGCGGGCGGATTGAGGCCTGGATAAGAGAAAATAACATGGTGTCCAACCTGCACAGACAGATCATCTGAGCTCGCAGCCCGAGCCGCAGGGGCGAGCGAGAGACAGAAAGTAAGGAGCTGCAAAGTCGCACTCCACCACATTGCAAAGTCTTTTGATGCACACGAACACAAAACCCCGCGTGCGACAATCACCCAGTTATAAGGCCATCCTCGCGTTTTATCAACATTCTTGGAACCCGTATTCTACCGTTTAGAACTTGCTTTTTGCATTATCCAAGGTTTATGCAGGTACGTCGGCAGGAGGGGGGAGGTTACATTGATCGGCGCTCGCCAAACCTATTCTGCGAGAGGGGCCCCCGTTAAGATACGAGGTTGCTTTTGCCATGGTCCACCCCAAGTTTGACTTACACTATTTCCGTCCATAGTTGTTGGCTATTTGTCAATGCTTATTCGCAAGCACGAAAACATGCTGTTATCTTTAGACACGACGGGACCGCCTCTTATCTAATGCTGATGTTCCAATTAGGCCAAAAGAGCAGAAGATCATAGCCTGGAGAGCAATGAATCTATCTAGATATAGCATATTCCGATATCCTTGGCTTCAATATCATGGTAAAGTATGCGAGGGTCCGGTTAGTGGGTAGCGAGACTCAAAAAGGTACAATCACCAACCTAGCACCGTTCAACATACATAACCAATTTGAATCTATTCATTCATTACAGGTAATCAGAACATCCCCTGGAACGTCCGAGACGTCTGTTGCTGCCAATTTAGCATAGCCACTAAGGATACCAAAGGATCTGTAACTCGTACATCGCCAGCAGAATGCGCCATCTGGTCGTTGACTTGCATCTTCGAGTGGTCTTCTAGAATATAAGGGGTGCCTGGAACTCTATAACTCGAAAAAACCAGCTATCACTACAACGCGAGAAATCTTTAAGATATAATCCCTTCCTTAATCAGAATGTATTTCGCCGCACCCGCCGTTGCTCTGTTCGCTACCAGGCTATTGCGGTCCTTTATTCCAAGCGGGCTTCGGTCAACTTGGGCACTCTCGACCCGATCGGCGAGCTTGAGGGCTTCCATGCTATCTTCTACACAGATAGAGTTGGGCGCTCTGCCATAGGTAAGTTCCGTTGACATCTTCCATGTGATCAAAAGGCAGTATTCTAACACATTCAAGGCTATGGCCACGACTGCGAGGAGCACAGTGATTACAGCAGCATCTATGTTTTAATCTCCAAATCCGAGGGAAGCTTCTCTCCCATGAAACACAAAGCCTTTTGAGAGCTGCATTTGCATGACGTATAATGCCAAGTACCTCGGCGTTAATTATCACGGCACTCTGATGAGCTTTGCGTACAATTCTGGTTGTGGTGGGGTTGAGGCCTACTAGCACAGTGCCGTGGCAGAAGAGAACTTCAATGGTACCTGCGAGGCTCTTCCACGCACCAACACTCTTGATGGTCAACTGCCCTGTAGCCCGTCGTTCCAAAGTGTTCATTCTGACCCGAGCCTAGGAACGAGATTTCTGGTTGCTAGGGCGGTTTTCTAAGCTTCGGTGCTGAAGAGAACAGAAGAGAATATAAGCTCACTTGATCATGCTACTAGATATTAACTGTTCGTGCCTGACCTTGTGTTCTCCTTGGATTATTCATGCCTGGCTTGTACTGTAAAATTCATAAATGCAGTAAGATTTGTGTACGATCGCAGCAGTTAAATATATTTAAGCTCTTCAGTAGGCAGAATTAATGTTTGACTAAAGAGAGAGCATCATAAAGTAAATACTTACGCAACCCCTTGAACTCTAAAAGTGTTCTCAAGTAAAATCAGTATATTCTCGCTATCTGACCCTTCACTGGACATGATCACTTCGGCACGTAATCTCGCGCCCGCGCATGACGCCCGAGCGATTTTGCCCGCCAACCAGAGAGTGGGTCCGCGCGGGTCGGCGTTTTAACCGGAACACCGGGCTCGGGGTTCCAGCTTCAGTCACAACCTGGCAAACATTCCACCAAGCACCATCATCTTCTGGAAGTATAACATGACCACCCGATTAAGTAGCAACCTCGCAGCTGCCAGGGTTCAGTTGGCTTATGAATTGCATCGCTCAAATAAACACGACTCTACAACGCGTCTGATCAAAAATTCTCCTGTCCTATGTCTTCACGGATTCCTTGGTTCAAAGCGAGAAAACAGACAGATAAGCAGGTGCTACTTGAATTGCTTGATCATTCTTTAAACTACGCGCTGTGATACTGACACGCCACGGTTTAGAACCCTTGCCAGAGACTTATCGTGTGATATCTACGCTTTGGTATCAAGAACTGAAGAATAATGATTTTGAATAAGAGCAGATTTAACAACGAAGTAGGATTTACGAAACCATGGGGATTCTGGTCATCACCCCAAACACGATTATATGGAGATGGCATTGGATGTTGAGTCCTTTATCAACCAACATCGACTCGAGCAACCCATACTCATTGGTCATTCAATGTAAGCTATTGATATCGAAGGTTGTATTGATATATCGTATTAATCATGTTTTTAGGGGTGCCAAAGCTGCATTGACTCTTGCTCTTCATTCACCAAGTTTGATATCTAATGTGGTGGCCGTTGACAATTGTCCCATCAATTTGCCTATCACATCGGAGTTTTCCCACTATCTTGAAGGCATGGCAAAGGTTGAACAAGAAGGGGTCCGTACTCACCTCGAAGCTGACGAGATTCTTCGGAAGAATGAAATGGTACTATTCCGGTCATGAGTCTAAGAAGCTCCCAAACTGACAGTTCAGCTTAGCCCCCACCAGTGCGACTCTGGCTACTGAGCAATTTTGTGAAGGAATTTGACTCACCCTACTTAAAACTACGGGTGCCTTTAGGCATATTGAAAAAGGCTATGGGTCCGCTAGGAGATTTCCCGTACAAAAATGGAAGCGAGACTTTCCCGAGACCAGCTCTCTTTCTTCGAGCTCGCGAAAGCGATTTCATTCCGCTAAATTCCTTCCCCTTGATCTCTCGCTTCTTTCCGCGACCAGAAATTGTGGACATGGACTGTGGACATTGGATCGTGCAGGAGAGGCCCGAACAATTTCGACGAGGTATGTTGAAGATGAACTCCCTCTCGAGACAGATTTCCAACGCTAATCGATTCTGTCAGAGGTCATTCGATTCCTGCGGAGAGATTAGAAAAAACGAGCTAATTGACAATGAGTTTCGGAAATGGGCACTGTCGGTGGACTTATCTCCACTTCTCACATTATACTTGTTTTTTGGTTGGAAACCATTCGAAAAATGGTCCATTAATATCATTGTAATTTGATGATTGAGAGAGAACGCGGCAAATCGTGCTCAAATATTAAGGTATCCCCCGACACCGGTCGCCGTGATTGGGATATCATATCATTATACATATATCAGACTACATAGTTTAGGAGTAAAGAGGAAAACGAATTGTATTTGTGGCAGCCGGAGAAGTTTATACGCGCATAAGCCAACGGTTAGCAACTAGCGCTTAGCATGATGTAGAGCCTGGGAGTGAACAGCTAACAGTAGTCGTTGACGACTTTGAGGACACAGCGCTCTATTTTGCCATCCGTACTGGTCATAGGACTATGGTTAAAGGTATGGTTAACCTACTGCTGGACGCAGAGGCTAATTTGGATTCAAGGAATGAGAATTGCAGTACACGATGGACCTCCTAGGTACATGCTCACAACCGTTGAGTACAACTACGACTAAATACAACCAGCCTGCACCTAAAAGGTCGCCCTCAGCACAAAGTAGGCACCGAGACAGGTTGATTTCGAAGAGCTCTCAGGAATACTTTGCCACGTACCTGCGACCGCAGAGGGAGACCTCCCCGGGCCTGTCGCGATCAAACACCTCTTCAATGTCCGGTCCCGGGAGCCCCACCGCCCCACTACACTACTGACAACTTCCATATCGGGAAGTTCCGCGGCGAAAATCTTGGCTACGACTTTAACTCGGCCGCGGCGACTCAATCATGTCCAAGTTCCATGGTGATACTGTGGAAAACATGCAAAACTTGCGGCTGGAAACAGCCGAACCCCCAAAGCCGAGACGATTAGCAAGCACTTCGACTTTTATTCTCCTGTTTAGGAAGTCGAGAGTAGATGGGTTTTAGTCGCTTAAAAATGAAAGGATGTATCGCAAAATGGCTTCATAGTATAAAATGGAAGCTTTGGCTGCTATCAGTTTTTGTTCGCTCGCTTTATTATCTTCATGGACAGTAATGTACAATGCATTCGGCCTTTAAGGGAGTCCCTCCAATACCCGTCTCCTCGAATATTATGACAAGCAGAGAACAGACAGACACGATTACAAGCATGTCTGATCTTGATATATTGGGGAAGAAGCGACCGCCAGTCTTCTCAGGACAATGGTCAGAGTTGGCCTTTTGCTTCTCCATCGTGATGTCCCAAATTCTCGCCGTGAGTTGTAGTTCGCCACGATGGCAAGTTGGGCTATCTAACACATCCAATAGGAGTTTTATATCACAGGTTCCAATGTTCTTCTTCCAACTCTCGTTAAAGAACTAGGTATTCCCGCGGCCTCGATGATATGGCCTACTACCGCCCTTTCCCTCGCCGTCACATCCACACTCCTCGTGTTCGGTCGCCTAACTGACATGTACGGTGGTTATGTGGTCTACACCGGAGGAGCCGTCTGGTTAACAATATCGTCGATCCTCTGTGGCGTATCTCAGACATGGCTGATGCTGATAATTTGCCGAGCCTTGCAAGGTTTAGCTCTTGGGGCACTCCTTCCATCTGGGATGATGATCTTTGGAAGTACATACCGACCGGGTCCGCGAAAGAATCTTGTCTTCAGCATTTATGGCGCCTGTGCCGCTTTGGGATTCTTCGCGGGCTTCTTTGTCTCTGGGATCTGCGGGCAGTATCTTAGTTGGAGATGGTATTTCTTTATCGGCGCCATTCTATCTGCCATTATGGCGGTCTCCTCGGTAGTTTCGGTTCACCGCGACTACTCCGAGAAGCGAGCACTTGGAATCCGGATGGACTGGGTGGGATGCTGTCTATCGATATCGGGAGTAACGCTATTTGTTTTTGCCATAGCGGACAGCTCATATGCTCCACAAGGATGGAAAACACCCTATATACCAGTGCTATTCGCAGTTGGTACCATCTTGCTAGGTGTCATGGCGTACGTGGAAGGGTGGATCATTGAGAACCCTTTACTTCCGGGTGACATCTTCCGTGTCAAGTTCATGACACCGTTGGTGATTGCATTGCTCTGCCTGTATGGTAGTCTCGGAATCTTCCTCCTGTACGGGGTATTATAGTAAGTGTCCTCATCCCAGAGTTGAGACACGGGTCACTAATTTCTGCTAGCATGTCTCATTTTATGGGTGCCACTCCTCTTCAAATTGTTGCATGGACTATACCAATGGCAGTCGGTGGCCTCATCCTCTCAGTGACGGGAGGCTTTATCCTCCACAAAGTATCGGGGACAGTACTGATGATTATTTCGTGCCTCGGATATGTTGGGTCAGGCCTATTGTTTGCTGTGATTCCACTTGGTGGAAATTATTGGGCCTACATATTTCCCGCGATGATCTGCGGAACAATCGCAATTGATATCAATTTCAACCTCGCCAACATTTTCATTACCACCAGCATGCCAAAGGCCCGACAAGGTTTGGCTGGCGCTTTGATTTACTGCACCATGCATATGGGAATCGCCGTCATGCTCGGATTTGCGGATATTGTGGAAACACAAACGAAACACTTCGGTGAGCGCCAGAGCTATAAGGTAGTATTTTGGTTTCAGACCGGGCTTTGTATCATCGGGCTGCTGATTGTTTTGGTGTTTGTTAGAATTCGTCACGCCAAGAGCGAATTGACGGCGGACGAAAATCAGATGGAAATGGAAAACAGCACTGCGAGGCAGTGCGAAGAGGTGTAACAATTTGATGATTATACGCATAAGCTTGGAATTTTCAAAATAACTATTAATGGAAGTAATGGCTTAGTCTATGTGCTTTCCTAGGTATAACTGCAAGTCGGGCAAGACGATAATGTGTCGGGAGTACGGGGATAGCTGTCCTCTCCGTAGGTCGCATTGAGCGACACCGATCCCACCACATCGCCCGACTCCAATCGAATCCATGTGTCGATTTCCATATCCTGAAGTTTGGATTCCGTCACCAGGACCTGGCGGGACCCTCGAATCCAGCTACCGTATCCTCCGTACCCAGAGTGTTGGCCGAAGCAAAGGTTGATGCCGTTTCCTTCTACCGACATGCCGGAGATGAGACTGTCCCACTTATAACACCATGTGTCTCCGTGATCGTGGCCAGAGAAGACTCCAATCACGCCGTGTGTATCTACTAACGCCTTCATGAATGCCACATCCTGGCCTCCATACTCGCATGAGCCACCATTGCTCCCATCGGCGCACCAGCCTTCACCTTGTTGTGCGAGAACATAGTCGTCGTTGATGCCCGGTTCTTTATAGGGATTGATCCCGACCTCAGTCTGGATAGCCTGGGATGCGTTGGTAGGAATATGCACGAAGACGAGAGACGGGATGTGCTTGTGATACTTCTTGACCAGTTTCGCATTAGTTGTTCTAAACCAACCCACAACGCTATCGTCAACCCAGTTGGGCTGCGCGACCTCGTTGCCAGAGGAATCGAGCTCTTGGTAGTAATAACCTCCACGGCTGTCGAAGAACCACAGCAGCATTGCAGGTACGCCGGTAGAAGCATTGTCGTTAGCCCCATGCACCGGGAGGTAGTAATTGGTGATGCCGGCCTCACGACCAGAGACCATCTGCGTCGTGCGCGAGTTGGGCCAACGATTCTCTCTAGCTAGCAATGCTGAACGGGAAAGGTTGTAGGCGCTGTCATGATTACCATAGGTAGACGCCCAGGTCAAACCACGTTGAACAAGTGGTTCCACGATCTTGTCGATGTAAACAGTGCTGTTCTCCAGAAAGGCATTGTCACCGGTGATCAGGTCACCATTCAGCACAACGAGATCTGGAGACTCGGCATCCAGCACTCGATTAATCACAGTAACAGAGTTGACATCCTGCTCTGGCCCCCATGAATCCCATGCATCTGTTTCGTTGTGAGCAATAATGAATTCAATGCTGGGTAGTGCGCCACTAACTCTCTCCAAAGTGAAGATCTTCTAGAATGGAGACTTGAAAGGTGCCGTCTTTGGAGAATTTCAACGGCGCAAATCGCTTAGAGATGGCACTCTGAAAAGACGGCACGGCAAAAAGAGCGACTAAAGGTAATGATTTCCACATCTTCAATTTCACTAAGGCCCAAGAACGACGTCGACATGTCTTCTAGGGGGGAATCACAACTTACCTTCTAAATCTTATTGTTTAGAGTGCACCTTCCTACATTGAGCGAATCCCGTGTTTACCGACCGGAACTCACAAGCCCAAAAGACCGCGACTTCGGTAGCAGCCGAGGACTCCACATCGAGAAAGAGATCGACCGGATCCTACACGTGCCGGGAATGTCGAAATCCTGTGGCCCAGAGACTTGCAGGGATGAAGGGCCAGAGTGGGGTACAATCAGGGGTCACAACACTTGTTATTGGATGCCCCTCCCAAAAACACAACACTTAATACGCATTGCCGATATTGAAATCTCAAATGTCGCCTAATTGAAAGAATGGTCTGCAACTGAAGGCAATGTGGAGTCAAAGTCCCACAGCACGGCCCACACAAGATATAGAGCACTAGACAGCCTCCACAAGTCATAGACTGCGTACATTCTTCGATGAAACTCGAGGCCAAACTAGCCGGGGAATAGCCATCAAGTAGTCTTAGACGGGTGACGACCGGATGCCGATTTGCATAATGTATTTTCAATTGAGGATAAATTACTGTGCTGAGTGGGTTGGAACATGCCCATATTACATTATCCAATCTCGTATTACGCTTCCGTTGACAGGGTAGTTCATTTTATCCACAGAGTGAGGTAATGTCATCCGGCACGTAGGGACTCATGATTTGGATCAGATCCGAAAGGGGGATCCAATCCAGAGTACCGTGAATGGTCTGCACCGGCTGGCCACTGTAAAGAACGCGAGCATAGAAAGCGCTACTCTTCCCCTCGGTTTTCCTGTGGTGAATTAGTACAATTTCATTAGAAAACGGAAGGTCGAGATCTAAGACTTACCAAACTTCGAAAGCAATGTTGGATCCCATAGCCGGCCAGCGCAGGGCATTGATACCCAGCGACCCCAGGATAGGACCAATATCACCGTCGTGAATGAAGGTATGGCTGTAGTCCAGAGAAGAAGACTCGTCTTGTACAGCTTGCAGGTGAGCGATGATCTCGCCGATGAAAAGGCCCTCCACGACTCGAATGTACTTGGTGGCGTAGGGGTTGGTGCGCCAGTAGTAGTTCCATTCCCAGTCGCCCGCACGGAAAACTTCCTCCGCCATTTCCATAGTCACACATGCCGAGGAGTTGGTCACGCTGCACGGCAATTCGTAGCCATTGCACAGGCGACCCTGGAAGTTGTCGGAGAAGTGGTCGAAAGTACCCTGCCATGAGCTGGAAGTGGCACCTAGCATAGAACCAAGTTCAGAGCGCAGCCCGCTTGTCACAGAAAGGTGCTCCTGCCACTCGGTAGTCGACTCTAGCTGACTCAGGGTAGAGCTAATGGCGCTGCAAGAATAGCCCTCGTTGACAGTGTCAACGGAGGAAGCCATCTGGTGCAGGGGCAAGGCGCCATCGTAGGTGGGCCAGACTCCACGAAGGACCGCACCGGCAGTACCCTGGGTAAGAGCCGAGTTACTGGAACGGAACCAGACACGGTCGTTAGGCTGCTTGGGAATAAGACCGAGCTTCTTGCCGTATACATTCCAGAGATCCTGGCCATGCTGGTACCCATCCTGCACACCACCGATCGTGATCTGGGGATACTGGCAGGTACCGTTCACATCAGGTTTGAAAGGGTTGGTGGAATCCTGGTAGGTCTGAGCGTACATCGGCATGGGCTGAATCCCACTCGCGCTGTTCGGGCCAGCATAGAGATACGGCCGGACATTGTTGCACTCATAAGCTTGGTTCTGGGAAGACATCAGTCAAGGCTCATTTCATTGTGGTGAAGTCTGAATTACTTCGCCTCCAGGCAGGATGTTGTAAGGAGTACGTCGTTGATGGCGTTGAAGGTACTCGAGGTAAACAAGCTGTCCTTTAACCGATCCCTTCGCGATGGGCTCGGGCAACTGGTACTCCTGGGAGCGGGGATGCGGCATGGCACAGTAGTCATAGGTCCCGTATGGATTGCCACCGGTCGGACCCTTGGTAGGAGCCGTGTAAATGCCGCCATAAGTTCCAATCGATGCGTTGGAGATGTATGAGGTTTGATTGAGAGTAGGCGGGTAGAAGGTATCCAGAGGCGACAAGCCCAGTGCCGGGCCAGCAGCCCCGACGAGGAGACCAACAGTGAGGCTGCGCATGATGAGTTGATACACTAGCGATGGAGGAGTGAAGAACTCAACGGATGCTGGATGGACATCACCGTGGTTCAAGCGCGTGTTTTCTAATTTAACGATCGTCTTGACATCAGAGCTCGGCAGCTCAGTCGCGCTAGGGTGATGGACTCCACATTCTCGGCGGCCAGTCGCGCGGTGAGCTTCACTACACGTGGGGATAAGCAATATGCAATCATGAGATGAAGCCCACGCCACTCGTTGTGGAAAACCTCTTGCTTGTTCCTGACTTTGCCGATCGTTCAGGAGGAATGTGGCCGCCCGTGCTCGGATGTTCGCCGAAAAGAGGCTAGCCGGCCCAAGGGGGCAGTTTACATGCAAGCCCAATGCCTGCTTACCGGCATAAAATAGGAGCAGATACAGAACCCCAGCCTCACGCTCTCAATCTCTCCGGAACTGGAGTCTCAGTCATCTCTTGAAACCCTCACAAATGCGCGGCGTGTCTATATCGCTGGCTGCCTTGGTCACCTCATGGCCCTCAGGGGTCTGGTCCTCTTCTCTGGCCGATTTCGCATTGGAGAAAGTGCTTGATGATGCTTCGCCTATTTTTGGCTCCTACATCAAGCAAACCAACCGAAAAACAGAATGGATGAAGAACTACTCTGACGAAACTCTGCTCGTTCATATGAACATACCTGGTACCCACGACAGCACAACGTGGAACTACACTCAAGCCACACAGGATGCCACGCGCGGCCTCACCGACCTCAATCAAGTGACAGTGCCAGTCCCAGAGACGTTTCGTTGCCAGGAGTTGCCTTTGATCCATATGCTCAATATGGGGATTCGGGCATTTGACCTCCGTTACGCATTCGACCCCACAAACACCACGATCATTTTCTATCATTCCCAGGCGCTTCTGTCTGAAATTGCAACTCTTAATGACGTGCTGTTTGGCTTCTACCAGTGGCTCGATGATCATCCCTCCGAGACCCTATTTTTGTCTCTCCAATATGAAGGCTCTACCGCGAAATATGCATCCAATGATGCCGCACTTCAGCTGCAGCTTTACGACACCTTGACCTCCCCTGTTGCTCGACACTATTTCGTGCAAACCAAAGACCAACTGGGAACCCTGGGCCAAGCCCGTGGCAAACTCACCTTGATGCGCCGCTTTGATCTGGACCAATTGCCGTCATCCTACACAGATGCATTGCCTGGACTCCACTTCTCCCCCAGTCTGTGGACGGACAATAGCCCAGACATTGTCTTGACCTACAACACGAAGGAGAACTTAACAGCTTATATTGAGGACTACTACCAACCGCTAACACCCATTGGCTCAAATGCCACTGAGAATATTCAATGGAAATACAATGCCACCACGGAGAACATCCTCAAGGCAACAAACGAGCACTCTGACAGCCTTTTCTGGACCTGGGCCTCCAGCACAAACACGGACAATGTGCCGCCGGAGTGGCCTCGTATCATGGCTCTGGGTAATGGCAGCTTGACCCCTACGGGTGGAGTCAATGACCTTCTTGTTTCCTTCCTCAACCAACAGAATGGCAAGCGTGTCGGCATTGTGATGTTTGACTTCTATGATCAACCATCCAGCCTCATCGACACATTCTTGAGCTTGTAGAGCGGGACACAAGGAGGATCTGAACAGTGAATATTGCGAATTGATATATGACGTTCTTCCTGCATGCCAAAGACTTGAGTTTTCCATCGCTTAGCCCTTTCCAGAACCTTCGATCATGGCTTCAGTATGACATGTGCGCCCCATCCAGTCAGCTTCCCTGCTGCTTGAAGCGCTTCATGGATAGATTCCAATCCGAATTCCTCCGTATGGTTTATTCCAGCCTTTTCTCCCAGTGGAAGAAGACCTGATTCCACCATCTGAATAAACTGCAACACATGTTGCCTGGAATACATGAATCTCCCTTGAAGACGCAAGCTCTTGAACATCACCTCCGCGTATGGCACCTGGATGTTACCCATCATTCCACCCATAATAATGCACCTTCCGAACGACCGTAGGGCTCCAAGGCCAGAAGCCAACAGCGAGCTTCCCTGGACCGCGGGAGGTGAAAAATCAAAATATGCGTCTGCCCCGTCAGGCCTACCAGCTGCCTCCCGGAAGAGCTCGGTGTTGCGGGTTGTCTCGCTCGTCAAGACAACTGTGCGTAACCGACCAGTTACGCCATGGATCCTCTCGAGGGCCTGAAGAGCATTTTGATTCCTTCCTGCCGCAATGACGGTTGCTCCCATGGCGAGTGCAACCGCAACCGCACCTCCTCCAAATCGTCCGGTTGCAGGGGCAACAATAACAACTTCGCCCGGCTTGATGTCAACCTCGGACAAACCTCCAAAGGGAACCAGACACACCGGCATCAGGCAAAGATCAGAAATTGAATAACCCATCTTGTTGAAAAGAATATCTTCGTTCAGCGGGTATAGATTTTCGAGTGGAAAACGTGCGTATTCCGCGTACGTCGCATTTCGCCACTCGCCATCCATCAACTTCTGGGCTGCGGGATATCCTCCTCCATGGATACCATAAAGAATAGTGACAGACGGATTATCCCGCCCTCGGATGGTGATATCGCAAAACACAAGTTGGCCAGGCGTGAGCTGAACAGCATCTGGTCCAACCTCGAATACTCTCCCAATTGCAGTATTGCCTGGGGTCATGGGGAGGGACAGTGGATACGGTAGGGTTCCGTCCAACACTTCCCCCATATAAGGGACAATATCGGCGGCAAGAATGCGTACGACAGCTTCTCCCGCTTTGGCTGTAGGACGAGGGCTGGTCTCAAGGACCAGCGGTTGATCGCGAGCATACAAGACGAGGGATCTGTGCGTGGCCATAATTTCTGCTAAATGACTAGAGTTAGTAACAAGAGGGGTTGCGTCCATTTTTTCCGAGGTATCTTTCTGCATTTATGATCCTGTCGAGGCCACCCACCCTCCTGAATACGAGCACCGTCGTCAATACGAGCGCCACTATCTCCGTAAACACCGGCGATCTTTACTCGATGGGAAGACCACGGAATTAACGGAGCTCACATGAACTATTCATTTTCGTATTCTTTCGTATACCATGCAGATTTGGGTCGAGTGAGGATTCTATGTTTAACTCTCGAAACTCCTGTGCTTGCATTAGCGTGCAGTCTTTTCTGCTTCCATTTTATGACAAAGCTATATTGTTCGACCCACCTATTGTCGAATTTGCCACCTTGTACCTGTTGCTCTGGGGCCGGATCTCCAAGTTATCAGATCAATGCACTGCCTCTGTTACCAGTGACACAATCTCTGGCCTCTGATAAAAGAGCATCTGAAAGGACAGTTTCGGCAGAACTCCTTCGTTGTTTCCCAAATCAGGCTTGTAGTTGATTGCTTCTTCACCCCAGATAATCTCCACAACTGCAGATATGCTTGCACGAAGTTTGCGCACGATATTGCGATGTGGTTTAGGATCTCCTTGGTATAATACCGAAGGGAGGATACTTTAGACATTCTTCGGTATTATACCAAGGAGATACTGAAACCACATCGCGATTTCGTGCTGCAAACTTCGTGCAAGTATATCTGCAGTTGTGGAGACTATCTGGGGTGAAGAAGCTTGCGCACGAAAATCCGAGGAAAGAAAAGAAAGAAAAGAGAGAAGAGCTCTCTATTTAAGCACTACTGCAAACGCCAGAACGAACACCGGAACCTTCCATATCATGTGATCGTTATACGTACGACCCTTCCACGTGCGCTCGAGGTATTAGATCAAAGGCAAGTACTGGTTGATTGCTGAGAGGTCGCCCTGGCTTAGGAAGTGACTTCCAATTCAATTTCTCCGAAAAAGTGAAAGGTTAGTGTGTAAGAATTCAGACCTGTCTCGCCCGAATTGGCGATAGAGTTAGGCGAGGGAGAGAGGAGTGATGCAGAGAGAGGTGAAGAGGCGAAGAGGTGAAGAAGAATTAGATACATCCTGCTGGTCGCTAACTAGCTAGACGGCCTCGTCGACCGCCTGAGGATTTCGGGAGGATCCCTCATTGTAATGTAGCTGATCCAGAACTCTCCCACCAGAGTACTGACCAGTTAAGTCGCCTTTTGAGTTGTTTTTCAAACGCCTGATGGTAGTGTACGGCGGAAGATAGTGGCCACCAGAAAATGGACAATTATGCATATCCTAGGACTGCTAGAAAGTTTAGATACCTGAATTACTATTAAGGCGCCCATATTAACATCAATTCTGTTTTGAACTTGTCTCGGCTGTCTCGGCTGCTAGCGACCATGAATATGCACCATGCGGCTTGATACAACGCCTAGGATAGGAGCTGCTCACCGGATTCGTGGTGGTATAATGCACGAAGCCGAAGTGCTTTATACGCCGCTCGGTATGGCTGGTCTCTTTCCCCATAGAGCTGAAGTAGTGGATCTTCAGGGTCAAAGCTAACGCCCACAAACCTTGCTGTAGTCTTCGAAGGAGTTCTTGGTCAAAAGATTGCTGATGATCTTCAACGTCGGGATGGAACTAGTTCATGATTGGCTTCCCTGGGATAGTGTTTAGCCGGTGAGACTGTCACGATAGGGGTAAGTAGAAAGTGGAGAGTCGATATCTATATAGGCGTTACAGAGCGGTCCCTAGGGTGGTCTAGAATATGCATATTTTGTGCATTTTCCTAGTGGCCGCGATCGTCCGCCGTACGCAGTGGATCGTCAACTCGGCAGAGATCGATCCCATACCTCCATGACCACTCATACCAACCAGAGATCTTGGATATCCCTAAATGAGGGTAAAGGTTAAGTAATCTTCCGTGGCTGGGGTTTTTGGCCGAAATTGATCATCCAGAATGAATACGCCAGGCCGATTTAATCGAGTCTTCTCGCTCGGGATGCTCGAGCATTGGTGTCGGTTATGGCGTGATAATTCGTGTCATGGTACCTGATCAAACGTCCACGAGAGTGGAATCTTATATACGGTATTTTGCCCTCCAGAAATGTTAGTAACCACTCATTGGGCGTAACTTGAGTGTGCAGTGTGCATGGATTGGGTGGGGAAAGATATTTATGCCTGGTCGATGGGGCGACAGTCGATTCTGAACCAACTAGTCACTCGGCTGATCGACGTGGCGCAACCTGGTCACAGCCTCATGGCTTTGTCGGATAACCTCGGCTTCAGAGCCTCACTATAAACGCTTGGCCCTGCATGCTGCAGAATGGGATCTTGCTAATAATATCTCCCCTCTCGCAAAAACAAAGCGTCGACCATCTTGGTTTGGAAAATTAGGCGGACTAGAAATGTTAGTTTGCAGTTAAACTCCGAGCGACGTCGAAAATAGAAAACAGCAGTAAGCGGGTACACGGTTGAGTCCATGTCTTTCATCCGGTGCCGGTAGTAAATGGAGAACTCCTGTGCCAAGGCTTGAATTGGCAGGGACATCTTTTGGCTCACGCGACACGGGATATCGGCACGGTATGCATGAATCAGAATAACTTCCTCGGCAAGCACCGGCAATGTCGCAAGATGAGAATAAAAATTGCAGAGCCGGCTCATTACATCTCAAGGACGCATTCACCCCCTGTGACAATGAATAGGCCCTTGGCTGTAAGGTAAAAATCTCTGTTTCTCTCTCAGTCAACGACTGGTTGTGCTTTTCCCCAAGGCGGCGACATTCCCCGTATTCATAAGGTGGATGCTGTTGCGGGCCCACCAGCGGAGTCCTCGGGAAGCCGGACGCTTCTGACATCATTGACTAAAGAGTTCGGAGTGATCATTTCTCGCGCCAAACGGACCGAGGAAGTTTTGTGATAATACATAATTCTGTGTGAAGCCTAATGAGTGTTCCGAGGTTTATTCTTATATGTTCACTTTTCCGTTGTACGATTTGGATATCTCCTCTCTATTTTTCCGACTAGCCATCTAGTCTGCGCTGATCTCCCGATGGCGACAGCCTCAGTAGCACCGCCTACTGTAAGGCCAGCATCCGACCAAATTCAGGGAATTCGGTCGGAGGACTGGCCCGAGGAAATTAATGTTATCGGATCGCATGAGAGCGACGAGCGAATGCGATTCACTGGCGATGGACTGAACACTGGCGTTCGAGTTTTAGGTGCGCAAACTGGAATCTGGAATCATCACACGACCGAGCTTCATCACTGACTCTAAATCGAAATACTTTAGGCGATGGGCGCTTGGATATTCGAATTAACGAGCGCAAACCCAGTATAGCAGGATTGCTCAATCTTCAGCGCACTCCTATGCTATCCGAGCTCGAACATGTGGAAGAAGTGGACAGCGCCGCAGCAATTCCCAAGGAGCATGAAGTGGAGTTTCCGTTGCACCTCAATATCGTCATCCAAGTTATCGGCTCACGCGGAGATATCCAGCCGTTCCTCGCGCTCGGAAAAGAATTAAAGGCACATGGCCACCGAGTCCGACTTGCGACACACCTGGCCTTCAGGGAATTCATTCTCGATGGTGGCCTGGAATTTTTCAATATTGGTGGTGATCCAGCGGAGTTGATGGCATTTATGGTCAAGAACTCGGGGCTGCTTCCCAATATGAGCTCGATCCGGAGCGGCGCAATCCAAAGACGTCGTCGCGAGATGAAAGAGATATTTAATGGGTGTTGGAGATCGTGCTATGAGACAGGCGATGGCACAAATCTGCACCAGATTAAGGATGACCCGTGGAGCGATACCATCGACTATCGTCGGCGCCCATTTGTTGCAGATGTCATCATCGCCAATCCACCAAGCATGGCACATATTCATTGCGCGGAAAAATTGGGCGCGCCCCTTCATATGATTTTCACGTAAGCTGAAGCCCGCGGCTGATTAACAAACAGCGCACAGAACTAACTATGGACACTCAGCATGCCATGGACACCCACACAATCCTTCCCACATCCCCTTGCTGTGATTCATCAACAAGACTGCAAACCGACTGTTGCAAATTTCGTCTCCTATGCTATCGTGGACATGATGATCTGGGAAGGCCTTGGGGATATCGTTAACAGACTTCGTCGCAATGTCTTGACTTTGGACGTGTTGGATAGTATCACCGCGCCAAGCTTGGTCCATCGATTAGGAATTCCTTGTTCATATCTTTGGTATGCTAATTCGATCCATATTCTCCAATGGCTCCAAACCATTGACGATCGCTGATCTACGAACTAGGTCCCCGGCCCTTCTTCCCAAACCAAAAGACTGGGGTGACCACATTGACATTTGCGGCTTTAGCTTTCTCCCTTCCAAGCCTGACTATACGCCCCCAGATGAGATTGCACGATTTCTCGAGGCGGGACCAACACCTATATATATCGGATTTGGTTCCATTGTCGTCGATGATCAGATTAAGTTGACCAAAATTGTCTTCGAGGCAGTGCAAAAATCTGGACAGCGTGCCATCGTGTCAAAGGGCTGGGGCAATCTTGGCGTGGACAAGGTCGATGTCCCTGAAAATATCCTCATCATTGGAAGCTGCCCCCATGACTGGCTGTTCCGCCAGGTCTCATGTGTGACCCATCATGGTGGTGCTGGTACCACTGCTGCAGGGCTCGCACTTGGACGCCCGACCATCGTCATTCCGTTTTTTGGTGATCAGCAATTCTGGGGAGATATTGTGGCAAGGGCCGGTGCCGGCCCATCCCCTATTCCACACAAACAGTTAACTGTGGAGAAGCTGAGCAATGCGATCGAGTTCTGTTTGAAAGAATCGACTCTGGAAAAGGCTCAAACGATTGCGAAGAAAATGGAAAATGAATCCGGAGTGCGCGACGGTGTACGCAGCTTTCATCGCCAGCTTGACCTCCGAGCGCTAAGATGCGCCATCTGTCCATCCCGCCCTGCTGTATGGCATTTGAAGCATACAAACCTCGGATTCAGTGCATTCGCAGCTTCTGTTCTCGTGGAAATGGGGAGGCTTAAGCCGGAGGAGCTAGTTTTGTGAGTATCCCTATATTCTATTCCACATCAATCAATACCTGGTACTGATTCTTTGACAGACATCGACCAATGGAGTATGATACCTATCGCGATCCAGTTGGACCTCTCAGCGCAAGCGCTCAGGTTCTTTTTGGAGCGATCGCGAACTTCGTGACGGGGCTTGCTGATGTTCCTACCGAAATGGTCAGCGATCTTATTTCAGCGGGTCGTGCCATGGGCAACCCTCGCGAACGCGTTGACCTGCATTCCAAATGGCGTGTGCGCAAACCCTCTCACGGGGCAGGCCTTGAAAGTGATGGATCCCAGGGCAGTGGCGGGAACGAGCGAGCGGAGGCACCTACCCAAACTACCAGGCGAGATGCCCATGAGAACTCAGGTGAAGATCTTCCAGGAGAGGAAGAATCTGCAGGGGAGGAATCCCAGGGCCGTGTGGGGGATGTGCGAGAGGCGGTGCCAGCCCAAACTGCCACGCGAGATCTCCATGAGGCCTCTTCTGAAGATCTCCCTGACGAAGAAGACGACGAAGGGATGACCAGTACCGAAAGTGACCTGAACGCAACAGACCTCCTCCCGGATGAAGCGATGCAGAGGAAACGTAGTCTTCAACTCGAAAAAATGCCAACGATGAGCACCGAAATTGCTCCCTCGAGATCGCATAATGTGTTCTCTGAAGCAGCCAGCCATGGCAGCAGGATGTCGAAGAAACTCGTCAATACCCTCATTTGGTTACCCACCGACCTTACACTCAGTCTTTCTAAAGGATTCCATAATGCGCCAAAATTATACCATGACCCAATGGTGAAGTCCACGCCTAAGGTTCATGGTCTGCGCAGCGGCTTCCGGGCGGCTGGAAAGGTAAAAATCCGTCAATTTCTGTGCTCCATCGTCTGTTATTAATCTTTTGAGCAGGAATTCCGTGACGGCTTCTACTATGGTTTCACAGGGCTGGTCACGCAGCCTCGATATGGCTTCAAGCACCACGGTACTACGGGGATGCTCAAGGGGGTGGGGAAAGGCATTGGTGGGGCTTTCCTCAAGCCCTCTGCAGGTATGAAGAAGGATGGCTTCCCGACGTCAAGTATGCATTCTAATTTGTCTGTACTAGGGCTCTGGGGACTAGCAGGGTATCCCTTAAGTGGGTTGCGCCGGAAACTCTTTGACTCGCTGGGAAAGTCCAAAGAAGGGCAAATTATTATATCCCGCATTGCCCAAGGGCATGAAGAAATGCGGGCCTCTTCGGCTGATGAGAGAGCGGAGGTGGCCAGGAAGTGGATGTTGATTGAAGAGACGCTCAAGAAGGCCAAGAGAACCAGCAAACGCTGCAGTGCGCATTCTACGCATACTACTAACAACGTACCTCACATACCCCAAATAGTTACACCGGCCTAATGCACATACCCTTCTTCTCGTCTGGTGTGTTGCAATCAGATAGGGCGTGCAGGAGAGGTGGCATCCATCCTGGACCTGAGTGGATGAACGGAACAGCTATAGCCTATCATACGCATTTCCTGCTCTCGGTTGTCTGCAACGTGGGGTATGATCCCATCCACAGCAAAGACCGTGATGATCTGCGGGTTGCAGACCGGTGAAGCAGGAATGGAATCGGAGATGTGCCGAACTGGGGGATGCCCGGATTTCCACCAGCCCCCCGCCCTTTTTCCGGGGAAGCAATGCCACAGTGGTGGGGAATACTATAAATTCCCAGGGGTCGTGCCGTGAGATCAGGGGCACCATTCGTTTCTCCCATCACATCATTCGATGGGGTCCTCACAGTCCCCCACATTCATTGGTCTCAAAGGCCAAAGCCTCGTCTATGCCGTCACCTTTTGCTGCTCCATCGGATTCCTTCTTTTTGGCTATGACTTGGGGTTTATGGGCGGGTTGACGACCTCGCCCGAGTTCCTGGGCGTGTTTGGGAATCCGGGTGCTTCAATGCTGGCGTTCCTAGTCTCATCCTATGAGGTTGGGGCGATGCTGGGTGCAGTATTTCAGTTCCTCCAAGGGGATCGATTCGGCCGCAAGCCCAACAATCTGGCGGGGGCAGCAATTGTCGCGATAGGAGCAACTCTTCAGGCGTCAACCTATGGTCTAGCCCAGTTTCTTGTCGGTCGGATCGTGGCCGGTTTTGGACTGGGAATGATGACGACGGTCATTCCAATCTGGCTGTCCGAATGTACCTCGCCAACATCGCGAGGTCGGATGATGGCTATGCAGCTATCCAACCTCATTGTTGGCCTCATCTTGGCTAACTGGCTCGACTACGGGATGGCATCGTACACTGGGTCATTGCAGTGGCGATTCCCATGTGCATTCCAAATTATCTTCTCTTTTATCGTCCTCGTCTTCATGCCGTTCCTTCCCGAGTCGCCTCGATATTTATGCACACGGGGTGAGAGTGGTCAGGCGAGGATATGCCTGGCTGCTCTACGTGGTAAAGACATCCACGATCCTGAAATTGTGGAGGAGCTGAAAGAGATTCACTTCGCTATGACTGTCGAATCGGAGGAGGCTGGTTCGTGGAGCGACGTTTTCAAAGACAACGGCATCAGTGGATTCACACGGGTTGCGATCAGCTTCTCGGCCAACTTCTGCCAACAACTGTCGGGATGCAACGTCATGTCGTCTCTTGGCCCTTACGTCTTCCAAGACTCGATTGGCATGTCCAGACGGGATGCCTTGCTTGTTTCCGGCGGCTTGCAGGTGTTTTATTTCCTGAGCAGCCTGATTCCTTGGTACGCCATTGACCGCGTTGGTCGTCGCAAGCTCTTCATGACGGGCTCCACAGGTATGGGCGTCTGCATGTTACTCTCTGCCGTTTTTGTGGGCATCGGGACTAAAGGCTTTGGCTATGCCGCCGCGGTGGTGCTTTATATCTTCCAAACATTCTTCACACTTGGGTGGCAATCGAATATGTGGATCTATCCCAGCGAGCTGCTACCCCTCAAACTCCGATTACGAGGTGGTGCACTGGCGGTTGTTTCACAGTGGTTGTTTACCTTCCTGGTTGTCGAAATCACCCCTGTGATGATTACAAGCATTGGATATAAAAGCTACATTGTCTTCGCAGTCATCAACTTTACCTGTGTTCCACTAGTGTATTTTACTTATCCTGAGACCAGCCAGTTGCCGCTCGAGGCAATTGATTTGTTCTTTGCCGACCGTGACGGTAAACGGCCATCAATTTGGCGCGTTGTCCAGGATTCAACAAACAAGGAGTTTGTGGCGGAGATTGAAAGGCAGTTACAAGAACGGGCAGCAAGTAGAGCCGATATTCATGAGAATGACGAGGGGTCCAAAGCGAAGCATCTGGAAGTCGAGTCTGTGTGATTTAACGAGTGACTTCATCTGCGGTCTAGGACCCGATAGCCTTCGGCTTTCGGCTATTCAGATCAAATACAGGTTTATCGGACCTTCCTGATACGACCTGAGAATAATAGCCTAAATTCAAGCCTGTCGATCATCTCTTTGACTCCTGGGAGACCCGGCGGAAGTCCGAGAGCTGTCGATCAATCGGCCATCTCACCGGCCGAGCTGGGGAAAACGGCCCGTCCTAGGAGAACTTAGCAAAGCTTAGTCCTCTTGAGTGGAAGTTTATTGAATCTCAATTCTTAGACTGCAGTTTCCCAATACCTTGTTTGGGGCACGCGATATGTATCGGACCTGAGTTGGCCGGTTTGAGGCATTATATATGGTAGCAAAATTGACGTTAGAATGGGAGGGTCCTTGCTATATTTATGCTCAAGTTTTAAGGGGTTTCTGGAGATGGCATCGACTCGTGTAGGTCTCAACTCCCTTCACAGCCGCCACCACCAGCAATCCTAGGCCCCACTTGCCTGTCTCGGCTATTATAATCATAATAATCCAATTTGCAAGTCAGATGGCTATGGTTGAAGATAGTTGTTTCATTTGTTCGACTTGTTATGGTTTTTAGCGTAACGTCGGCTTGGTCTTTACGCCTTTTCTTATGTTCAAACTCTTGACTTATGCCTAGGCATTGTGATGTGCTCCTCTCGCTTGTCGCAGGCGTGATCCATCGACAAGAGCTGGGCGCCTTGCTAATACCTCCTCCTTGGAAGTGGACATCTCACCCGGGCACTAATTGCATCAGTCGCAGTTTTGTGAAAATCAAAGATAGATTACGCAGGCTTCGCGGTGCCTGCGCCTCAAAAGTCAGCGGCGCAGGGCGCTTGTCGGATGCGGTTCCGGTTTCTCGCTATGCACAGTAATGGTGCCATTTAATTGGCGCCCCTGACATATCGTTCTTCCATGTAAATAGGTAAATCACTTTTGATATTAGCTGCAGTTGATGGACACTATTCACTCTTGCTCTTGTCCGACGACTGCGTCTGGAACAAGGGTACTCGCTTTTCCCCAAAAGCTTCTTGTGCGCAAGGCGCGATGCTATCAAACAATGAGCCTTTTAGGAAGACTTTCCCAGGAGCCATGGGAGTCTTGGTGAAGGCAGGGCTAGATTAAATAGATCAGAAGCTATCGATGTTTTGTGCACGCGACCCTACTTACCTTCCACAGTTGGAGCAGAAATATCGCTGTTAGAGGCAAAAGTCAACAATCATTGCAATTATTCAAGATTTGGGTCAAATGGGGAACCAGTCACCTGTATAACCCGTCCTTCAGCGGTATTTGCATCATTGTATGCTTTCAGTGTATTATTGGAATCTTCGATGGTCATTTCATCAACAGAGACAAAATAGTTCACGGAAAATGCTTGAGGCAGTGAGCACAGATATATCGAAGCGGTAATTGACCAGGAATGCAGTCTTACCACCACCGCCAGCTCTCTTGCAGTTATCGCTATAATAATAAGAATATCAGCGAAATTCGTTATGCCAAATACTATCCGAGGAACCCGCGCGTACCAGTGACAGACGACTGAGCCAGGCGGTTGTTCTCGAAGCGTGATTCGAACGCTCCCGCAGTTGCAATGACCGGTGTATGCCATGTTGCACAGTAGATTTATCAAGAATACGGTCAAGGAAGGATCTTGCAAGATGCGGTCGATTTGAAAGTGCCACAATCGCGGAACCTTGGTGCAGCCTCCGCGCCTGGATAACGTTGACGTCAGCAGCGTTCTCAGAACCAAATCTACCCGAAACCCGCTTGTTTGAGCACTATGTGATTGCGAGCCCATAATTGAGAGCGCAATCGACACTAGATTACTTATGTTCTACAGATAGCGGTGAATAAATCAGTTGCCCTATTACTGGGTCGCGTGTAACGATTGATTCATCAGATGAAATATACCCCGAAGTATCTCTCCACCTCCGGGTACAATTAGTATCAAAATCCATCGATATCACCATGTTTTATAAATGTAAACCTCGTCCATGACAGAAAACGGAAACTTAAAACCCTAGCCGTATTTTTCACTTAGCTTGCATATTTTCTGACGCCATATGCAACTCATTGGGCCTATTATACAGGGAGTAACTTCCTCCCACGCATTCATCAGATGCCAATCAACGAAAGGGATGCGTGGGGACCCCGAGCTTCCCCTCCTTTTTAACCCCGCCATTTCTTGATTTCCCATCTTCGCTCATCTACTCATTCTAGATTCTTAGTATCTCCTCAACACAGAAAAGTCCCCTTACAATGTCTTTCCCCTATTTTGATATTCAATACACCGATCCCAGCGGCAACGGTAACTCAGTTCTTCCCTTATGCCATAAAAAGATAGTCTAATGTCTTGACAGCCCAATCCTGGGGTCGCATCGTTTTCCGGCTATACGATGAAGTCGTTCCCCAGACTGCTAGGAACTTCCGTGAGCTGGCTACTGGTCAACATGGCTTTGGCTATGCTGGTTCCAATTTCCACCGTGTGATTAGAGGTTTTATGGCGCAAGGAGGAGACTTTACCCGAGGTGACGTAGGTATATGGTGTAGCCGTTGAAAAACTGTCCTACAGGCTAATTGTTCTAGGGAACTGGAGGTAAATCCATCTACGGTGCGAAGTTTCCTGATGAAAACTTCGTCAGGGTCCACGACAAGCCGTACTTGCTGTCCATGGCCAATGCAGGTCCGAATACCAATGGATCTCAATTCTTCATTACCGTGAGTTGGAAATTAATTGAAGCGAGCATTGGCTATAATAAAGCATCATACTAAATTTATCAGTTTGTCGACACGCCTCACTTGGACGGCAAGCATACCGTTTTCGGTGAAGTTGTTGAGGGCCATAACATCATCGAGATGATGCAGAGCAAAGGCTCGGGCAGCGGACGCACAGACGGAACCATCACGATTGCTGCCTCGGGAGCCCTCTAAGCGTCAAAAAGAAACTATGCAGAGATGATAGCTTTGAGATGACCAGTTTGTAGGTTCGGTTTATCGAAAATGAATGCATTTTGTCCGATGTGCTTTGCAGATGTTCTAGCCTCCGTAGGGGTCCTATCCTCGGCAAGATGTCATCGGCCTTGATTGCGCTGCTTCATGAGAATCCCTAAAGGAATTTCATCTTCATCGTAGAATTCCACATCCTCATCAACGCCGAAATCACGCAACCGTTCGCCCTCGGCGTTTCGCCAGGACTCTTCACCTTCGTCCGAATCATCACCATACACAGGTCCTGGAAGGATTTGTTCATCATCCTCGCGGTCATCATTTTGCTTATGTCGTTCATGAAAGCGCTTGCGCTTTTGGATTTCTGGAGAGGGCCTTGCACGTTCAAAGTCCTCCGCTTGGCGACGTTTGAATGCCTCTATTTCTTCACGAGCAGAGGAGTAGGACTTGAGCAATTCCGATCCATCTTCCGGCAAAGGCCTAGCTGGCAAAGGAATGCGATCGGGATCTGGCGGAGGCCAGGATACACCGGGATCTGATGGCATCGGGTCAGCATCGAGTAAATGACAATTCTACTTACGCAAGGGATTAGTCTACCTTCAAAATCGTTGATTTCAAATGCCCATCCCGTCTCATGATCGGGTGTTGCAGCCAATGGCCAAAACCAGCTAATAATCTGAGATGGTCTTAGTCAATTCGTCGAAGAAAAGATGGTGTTCACTCACGTTAATACTACCACCCATCCCATCCTTGATATTGGACCAGAGTCCAATATCGTAGGGAAATTCTTGCTTCTTAATGCGGATTTTCTTCCCACCAGGTGCGTCCAGATAACCGCCCAGGACCCGAGAGCGGCGAACAAGAGTTTCGTGTCTTTCGATCTCCCAGGATTCGATGGTGGTAGTATTGAACAAAAGGGACCAAAGGCTTCGTACCAACAGAATGAAGAGCGCAAAAACTGTCATACTATTGATAACGAAGAGAAGAAGAAGGTGGATTAGTTGTCCCACTGATGGACCGAGGTACTGGAGCAAAATTAGAAGCTGAGTAGGAATCTGTTTGTCCAAGTGGCTTACACTGGGAAGATATCTGCTACTCCAGACAATGGATGCACGCTCCCAAAGAAGAGTCTCCAGGTACCCCATTCCAACTACTGCGTAGAACAGGAAGCGAATGAAGTGCGGGAAGGTAAAATGCGAGACGCAGTTGGAAGTCCACGGACAGTGGTGATCCATCTTGGGGATACATCTAGGCAACATCAGTCCATGCCATCGAATCCCATTTAGCTGTGGAAACCAACCTCTTGCATGTCTTGCAGTGGTGGGCCCGTGGTGGTTTGTAAGCTTCACATCTGCGACACCACCGCTGCCGGCCTGTGGCCGTGTCTTTCTCTGGATGGTCAAGCAAAGCCACATTTGCCTTGGTAGGAAGACGACCAGGGTCTACAAAGCATGCGCGAAAATAGCAGATCCAGATGCATAATGCGAAGATGTTGATCTTCCAGAGTTCATCTTTGCGAAGGGGGGCAGCCTCGAAGTGAAGAAAGAAGTACTGCGATGAGTAAGCGAGAAAGCTGATCAAAAGGCTAACGGCTGGAATCGCTAGTTGAGATATGGTAAAATCATCGCTCAACATTTCGAACTTCAGGATCTCGCTGAGGCGAGACAGGCGAGAAGATGTAGAGCTGCTCCCTACGGAGAGGTGATGTTTTTGGGCCAGATGACTAATCGCGCTTTTGGAGCGGGACATCGGCCGCGACACTTCACATCGCGAATTGCTCAGCAACAGTTTTTTGATGACTGGGAATATCTCCGCAGGTGATATATACCGTCTAGCGGCTGTTTGTTATCACGTCAGAAAAATGCACAGCTAGCCCTGCATTCCCAGAATGCCGATCGAGGCGCTCCCCCACGCCACCGTCCGGGCGATTGGCTCTACATCGGTTATCTCAGATCCCTGCTCGGTAGTCAAGGAGCTTATTGACAACGCGCTGGATGCATCTACCTCATCTGTGATAATCGAAATCTCGCAGAATACCGTGGATGTGATCCAGGTCAAGGACAATGGCCATGGGATCACCGCCGAAGACCACCATTTTGTCTGCAAACCCGCATACACAAGCAAGATTTCGACCATTGATGACCTGAAGAATGTCGGTGGGACTTCTTTGGGGTTTCGTGGCGAAGCACTGGCCAGCATCGCTGAAATGTCAGCTGGTGTCATCGTCACTACACGCGTCGCCTCAGACATCGTCGCGTCGAAACTTCAGTACGCTAGAGATGGAGGGCTTTCCCTGTATGCTCGCTCGTTGTACAATACAAATCTACTGCATCCTGACTGATCTGCACTAGGTGTCAGAAGCTGTCTCATCCAATCGGGACTACTGTTTGCATCAAGGACTTTCTCAAGTTTATCCCTGTGCGAAGACAAGCGGCGCTAAAGGGGGCTACAAAAACCCTCACGAAGATCAAAAGGCTCGTACAAACATATGCTATGGCCCAGCTCTCCAAAAGATTCTCATTGAAAGTTCTCAAAGCCAAGAATGAAAACAACAACTGGATTTATGCACCGGGTGCAAATCCGGCCCTCGCGGATGCGGCCGTGAAAGTTGTTGGGCGCGATGTTACTTCCTGCTGTATCATGAAAGAAGCTGTGTCTGGTATTCCCACACACAACGACGAAAATCCCAACCAAAGTCAATATCACATTGTCGCTCTTCTCCCCAGGAATGACACAGGTACTTCTCCCCCATTCACTCGTTAGGTTCATGTGTTGATCGTCACAGATTTCACAAAGGTGAATAACACGGGCCAGTTCCTGAGTATCGATGGAAGACCAATATCCACATGCAGGGGTGTTGGTCATGATATCGTCAAATTGTTCCAGTCTTATGCTCGTGCTGCTGCCTCGAAATGCAAACCATCCCAATATGTTAGCAATCCATTTCTTTGCATTCAGCTTAAGTGTCCTCTGGGCACTTACGATATCAATATCGAGCCTGGCAAGGATGATGTTATTTTCGAGGATCGGGATTTTGTGTTCTCAATGGTCGAAAATCTTTTCATCGACCATTATGGGGCGTTGCCTGGCTTGCCTGAGAAGAGTCCCATTGAGCAGATACGATCCTCAAGCGCGTTCCAAGAAGATGCTAGCTTTGAGCTGCTCATGGCTCGAAGACCCCTTCCACTAAATCCGCCGTCGTCACACGAGCAGATGTACACTGTCGATGCAGAAGCATCACTTGCTAGCTCATATTCTCCGCAGCCTTTGTCATCTCATGGTGCACCGTCCCCTGAACAGACACCACGCAATAGAGCTCAGAATGTCGACTCTCATACCGATGAAATCTCCGGAGGGAGGAGCTCTCGCTATATTAATCCGTGGTCCATATCTAGGATTAATGCTTCATTCCAGGCTCCTCTTCACGAAAATATTCCTCTCTTGGCTATGACGAAGGTCTCTCCGGAGGTCATTCCAAAAGGAACCAGACAACGAGATGAACCTCAGCGACATATTTCCACCTCACCACCGCATACCTCTGTACTATTCAACCCTTCCCTCTCGAGGCGCACGCCAGTCTCTCCGGCAAGTCGTCGTCTACCCCCACAATCCTCTCAAGAATCTCTGCTTCAATCGAGCTCTTTGGCAAGTGCCTCCCCAAGAGCAAGACGGGAACGCGACCGGGAACGGTATGGTAACGGAGCCCTGGATACTTTGTTTCAGCGAACTACCCAGACATCACTTGGCCAAAGGCTTTTAGATACCCCTCCTGAGCCAAACGAGAACACCCCTTCACTCTCCCAACTTGCCCAACAGAGGTTTAACCCGCCGTTAACCGTAACCACAACATCCGTGGTATTAGATGGCCATCGCGATGGCCACCACCCACCAGACGATCCCCCTAGGGGGCAAACACCCGACACTTCTCCCCAGCATTATTCCACTGCTGCCTCGCCTCAAAATGAATACCAGACAGAGTCCATGGACAGCGGTCGGGGGTTCCCTGTTCTAGAAAAATGGGCAGCCAATATTCACGGCGGCTTCAACGCTGAAAGCTCCTCCGAACTAGAGAAGGCAATGGAATTTGAGAGGCGCAAGCGAGAGGCCAACCAAAAACGTCGGATTTATTCAGACCAATCGAATTCCAGGGCCCGTCCCTCCACTTCAAATTCACCGCATCATAATCGATACCTTGCCGCCAAATCTGCCTTGGCTGTGGGTGGTGCTGTTGAGGACCCGGCCTCGGCCTTGACTCTGCCTCAAAGCGACCCGAGATCGTACCTCATACGCCACCAAAGTGACCAACGTCCAGATTCCTCAGGTGAAAATACTGGAAAGGCTAGGCGATTGCAGACCAGCAGGCTACCACTTGAACGTATACCGGAAGATCTTGACCTTCACAATCTCTGCTTGCCGATACCGACAGATTCCTCTGATATCTTGCAGTCGTTCAACATGACAGTCCTCCATGATTCGTATACGCGGTGTGGCGCTGAAGCTGAAGCATTTTTCGTGCCCAACACGAGCTCTCGTATAACAACGTGGAATGATCGGCTGAGCGCAATTATCAACAAAGCCTACAAAACTCGAGGGGAGTCCCGGCCCCCGATTGGTGCATCGATATCAGCCCTGCGATCGCCGATCATTCCGAGCGATTCCACGTGAACTGATCTGAAATGCTATTTTTGTGGCGAGAACTCGTGGTTGTCCGATGATCTATTTTCGTCTTGTGTATTATATAGCACATTTCTATTGGCGTGAGCAAGCGGCATGTTTATCAAACGTATCCTAGTATTGAAGCATACGGGTCTCTAAAGCAGCAATATCCGACAAAAATAATTGATATTTCATTAAACCTTCACACCGTAAGCATCAAGTAACGAAATGGTATCCTTGCGTTGAATTCATTATTTTCGCGCCCGAACTCTGGTATACCTACACTCCATTACGAATATACAATTCATCTTCAAGAATTGTCTCACCTCTGATCTGTGTCCTTTCCTCCGGACTAACACTCAACTCCGAGATCTCAGATTCATGGCGTGCATGCGGCATGGGCTTGTTATCGAAACCCTCTTGGAAATACGACGTGCGACCCGTCATCACGTTATCGATTGACGGTACTGTCGACGCCGTAGACAAGGTTCTGTTATGTCCTGGTCGGGCAAATTGTGCCGCTTCGGATTCGGGGGATGCAGGTGAAACTGGAGTTTGTATCGGACTTGATAATGGGGAGGTATTGGGGGTCGATGAAGCAACATTATACGGTGTGGCGAGCTCGATGGGTGAGGAATCTGGATGGGTGTCAGAAATCAAAGACCATTGATGGGGGATTAGGTTGGGATTTTAGTTGCATACCATGCATTTCATACACAGCGTCTCCTCCTGACTCCACTGTCCGAGGCGATACGGACGTGAGGACAGAGTCGTGTACGGAGGAGTCATTGGCCCCTGTTTCCATGCCCGTGGATGTAGACCTTGGCCCCGGAACAGGGGATGTCGGACCGCCGCCGTACATCAAGTGGCGCACTTCCGTACTATCTGCCTCGGTTGCACCATCGGATTTAACAAAGGTGGGTTGAAGGCTGTCTCGGTGTTGACGGCGACGACGACGCCAGAACCACCAGGCTCCAACAAGAAGCGCGACAACGAGAATGCCGCAAAGCACACCAATCACTGCGGCCGCCCACTTGGGGAATCCGCTACCCTTGTGGTCCGATGTAGCGGTGCTTGAGCTGCTTGAACTATTGGCACTGTTGTAGGGCCAATAGGTTGTGAGAGTCTTCGAATACTTCTTGTCGAAAATTCCGGCGAGAGAGTTGTTGGTCCATGACGATGGGGCAGTGGTGGTTGCACCTCCCGTGGCACTATGTGGACTATAAGCCATGTTTGATCGGTAATTGTAGGCTGTATACACACCTTCCACCTATCTGCGCCGTCACTACATCCGGTACTTCATACTTGCTCCACTGCTTTGGGTCGTAGCTATCCTGGAAGTTCAGACTGTTGAGGTTGAAGTTGACGATAACACCTCCTCCCAAACAAGTGGTTGCGCCGACACGCACCCCTCCAAGTGCAAGCATTTGATCGGGATATACCTTTATGCATTGATGCCCACTGCGACCATGCGTATTCGTGCCACTGTATGCCTTGACCCACTTGAAGGAAGGTAGAGACAAGATATAAACGTCATCAGACGGATTGTTATCAAGCTCAATGCCGTTATATCCTCCGTATATATAGATGTTATGTGATGAACCGTCTGACGCGCTGGCCAGCACGGAGCAAAATTGTGTCAATTGGGGCGGCGTTTCGCCAGTCGTGTTCTGCAAATACCACTGCTGGCTCTTCACATCGTAGACTGACACCGTCTCCATGAAGGTCGGACTAATCTTCTTGCTCTCCGCAGTCTGTGAAGCATTCAGCCCGGTGTTTTGATAAAACTCGGTCGGGTAAACGACCCCCCCAATGGCCACCAGAACTCCAGAGTCCGACACGGGCACCCAGACCAGCTCTGCATTGGCACGGCCTGGGATCTGGTCCGGCAGGGTATCGTTGGTCCAGCTTGCATCGCCCATTGTGGACATGTCCACAGAGATCAGCGTATCAGCCGTGATGTTGGCGTTTAGCTGGTCGTACGTGAACGATCCCCAGTCCGCAGCACGCATGCCGCTGAAATAGAAGCCCAAATTCTCACTCGGTGCCGACACACCCGCGCCGTTGGTAATATATCGTGTGACGTTGGCAGAGAGATTTTCCTCATGCCAGCCGGGCCCCCAGTTGTTGCGATAGGCGCCATACTGGTAGCCTTCATATCCAAGGACCTCATTATTGGGCGGTGGATCGCTGCTGTTGGTGAGACGAGCCATACCTCTGCAATAACCATGTCAGTAATGACGCTTTCACCCGCTTTTCCAATATGCGACCCACCCATAGAGATAGAACTCGTTTTGATTCGAGAACATCACCCCATCAATGTAATTTGGGGCGAGATTGTTGGCAGTACCGCCAGCGATAGTTTCATTCTTGAGGACGGCCAGGAAATTGGAACTGGTGTTGAACGAGGTGGAAAGGTTGAGGGAGTAAATGTAGCCTTGGAAATTGCCTATTTGCGGTCACCTGGTCAAAATATCTTCTCGGGCTTCAGTGTTTTTCGATCCTTACCATCATTCGCATAATTGACACACCCGTCAGCAAATCCTCTGCGATTGTCAGTGCCCGCAAGAGATGAAAGAAAATGGATTGTTCAGTACTGTTGCAACCAAAGATAACCTCCATCAAGATAGATTGTGTCATGGAGGATGTTGGCTATCACTGTCAGTCCGGCCAAATCCTTTAGCCTTATCCCAGCGCTACCCCGGATGCTTACCTCGCAAGCTTTGCCAGTTGCACATGGAAACGTTGACCTGGGTCTGCCATGTTGAACATGCGCCCACTGCGCGGTCCACGAGGACCGCCAGCAGCGTCACTGCCGTGCTTGACAGAAACCTCATTCTTCAAGCGCTGCAATCACAGCCGCGCTCATCGCCTGCGACTCTGGTCTGTTACGACGACAAATTCCGGACGAGAGCAGAGTGAGACGAGACGAGGGACGTGTATTTTACAAATTGCGGTCGTATTATGCGGGTTTATCGGCCTACAGTAGCTAGGCGAGTCGGGACGCCAGTCAGCTGCACGCCGGAGAAGGGATGGACGACGAGTGGTAAGCTGCAGAGGACTCCGTTGCGCCTCACGATGCGGCTTTGTTCTTTTTCCCTTTGAAGCCACGCACCTCTTTGTTGCCCAGCGTGCATCAGTCCCCACATCGTGTCCCCGCGCAGAAGGGCGCAGCCAACGACAGATGACAGCCTTGCTGCAGGCAGGCCCGACCTTTACCACGAAGATCCCAGCTTCGGGCCAAGTAGGTCCATTACTGGCGACGAGGGTTACACTTCCGACTGTCTCTAATGCGGCTGCTTGCTGACCTGACTGATGGCTTTCATCCGTGCGCATTCAGCCTTGCCTACACTGGTATCCGGAGACCCACCTCGTGTCCCGCAGTTTACAGGCTGTGGGCTGACAACTCCACACAACGTATCCAACGATGGCGGAATCGTCCCCAGCCGCACTATTTCCGAGCCTCGCACGATCTTCCCTGCAAGATGTGCTCCTTTGAAAGACACGAAGCTTGCGGGGCCGTGCAGCTGGTTAGCATTTCTACCTCGTAGGCCATCCTGGCTTTGTTTATTTCTTGTTGTCCTTCAACATCCTGCAAATGGTCTAGAGACAGTCCTACAGCTCTCCAGCTCTCAAGAGAGGTAAACGATGAAGATTTCGATCGCTTGGCTGTCGCTGTGGGCAACTACTGCCCTCGCGCAGTCAACATCGGGTTACAATAGTCCAATTCCAACGGTCGCCGCGACAGTGTCTGCGACGATCGCCAACAATGCGGACTCACCGGCAGCTCGAGGACCTGGGTCCGTGGCCACGGTAACATGCACGGAGACTATCACCCAAACCGTCACATGTAACGAGACTATCACCGACGTCTCGACAGTCACCGTCACTGGTAGCGGATCAGCTATCACCGACGTCTCGACAGTCACCATCACCGCCAGCGGATCAAATATTACCGACGTCTCGACAGTCACCGTCACCGGTAGCGGATCAGATGTTTCGACAGTCACCATCACCGCCAGCGGATCAGCTATCACCGGCGTCTCGACAGTCACCATCACCGCCAGCGGATCAGATATTACCGACGTCTCGACAGTCACCATCACCGCCAGCGGATCAGCTATCACCGGCGTCTCGACAGTCACCATCACCGATAGCGGATCAGATATTACCGACGTCTCGACAGTCACCGTCACCGGTAGCGGATCAGCTGTCACGAATGTTTCGACAGTCACCGTCACCGATAGCGGATCAGATGTTTCGACAGTCACCATCACTGCCAGCGGATCAGCTGTTACCGACGTCTCGACGGTAACGATCGGCACACCGGTTACGGATGTCTCAACAGTAACAGTCACCGGGCTTGGAGTCATCGTAACAATTACCGTTGGTGGACCAACTATCACTGAACCTGGATCCACGATAACTACTACTATCGGCGGATCAACCATAACGGTGCCAGGGTCAACAATAACAACTACTATCGGAGGGGCCACCGTCACCGAATCAGGCTCGACTATAACCGTTGGCGAGTCCACAGTCACGGTTCCTGGATCGATAGTGACGACTACTATCGACGGGTCAACCGTCACTGTACCTGGATCAACAGTAGAGACTACTGTGGATGGGTCGACAGTCACCCTTCCAGGGTCCACGATTACCCTTTCTGGTGCAACGATTACCCTTTCGGGCTCTACGATTACTCTGCCGGGAACCACGCTACCAGGATCATCTGTAGTAGTGACTGAGACCATATCAGACTCTGTCACGACTATTCCAGCGTCGACAATCACAGCAGTCATTACTGAGCCTGCGAGCACCATAACCTTGCCAGGAGGAACGACTGTTCTACCAGGGTCAACCATTACCACAACAATCACGCGCCCGGCCAGCACAGCTACTGTCATCGGATCAATTACAAGTTTCGATACAGTCACTGCCCCAGGTATATATCACTCAACACAGATTTACGTTATCAATACTAACATCATCAGGTGCCACCATCACCGAGACCATTTCTGGGGCAGGGACGACGCAGACACAAACCAGTAGCAGAACCATCACCACGACTATCTCCGTCTCCGTCTGCTCATCTCTCATCGCTAATCCAACATATACGCCCACCAGTGCGATTCCCGACGATTATACCTGGGGCTGCCCTCCTGGGTATCTCTGCCAGCCTCCTCACACGGGTGACCGCGCCGGCTGTAATGTTGAAGCCGGTCTTCCCGCGGTCGGCTACATTTGTGCTCCCTCAGACTGTATTGTGGCTCCGCCCTTGATCTTCAATCATTCTATTGAGGGAGGTCATCAGTACAACTTTTCCAGAGACTACTACAATCTCGATCCGGTAGACTTTGGCCTGAACTACTCCATCTTCCAGTACACAGAAGAGCAGGTCGTCGGGAACAGCAAGCGCGGCACACGTTCGCCACTCTGGGACTTCGTCGTCGGCCGGAAGCAAAAGAGAGATTCAGAGGATATTCCTTCTCTTTGCTACAACAGCTGCAACGATGCAGCGCTAGAGCCTCAGTCTATCGGAAAAGTGCCAGAGTTATGTCAGAGTGACTCAGCGTTCTCGGCGGACTTGAGCAATTGCAAGTCATGCATCAGCCATTGGGCTTCGACACCCTCGGTTGTATATTCACAAACGCTCTTGCCGTCTTTCTCCCAGTGGCTGGATTTCTGTGCTGATGTGACGACAACAGCCGCGGGCACCACCGCGCAAACGACGGCTGCTAGCACTACCGCAAAGACCACTGCTGCTAGTACAACAGCAGATACAACTGGTGCCTCCACTGGGACGTCCCCGGCACACACAGCTACCACCACCAGCGCTGACACTACCACGAAGACCGACACTACAGGTAATCAAAGTGGCCGTTCAACTGGATCAACTACCAGTGGATCTGGGACAGACGGTTCAAATACTGGTGCACGTACTTTGACAACAGTCACCGGTTCTAATTCAGCGAGGTCAAGTGGAACCGCTGGAGAGAGTACGGACTCATTCTCCGGTTCATCAGTTACGGGCTCTAGTGCCACGGGCGTCGATACCACGGGTACCGGGGCTACTGGTGGAAGCACATCTGGAAAGGTTCCAACTACAACGACGACCCGCGGCGGCGGTGATAGCTCATCTGGCACCGCGGGCGCATCTTCTTCTTCTTCTACCACCAATGAGGCATCATCAGCTATGCCTGTCTCTCGTGCAGGCCTAATAGGTCTGTTGCTGGCTGTCGTCGCGCCACTCCTTTAGATAATTTTGACGATTCATGCTTCGCGCTCCGAGATTAGATACCGTTGACAATAACTACAATAATTCTATTATGCTATTACTTGGCTTTGATATGGGTGTTAAGATATTGGGCCACTCAAAGGCCTATGTTAGTAGTTATAGACTCAAGTAGAGGTATATTGCTACACTCGCGCAACTGCTCACAATCCGCAATTTATGCAAATACCGCCCGTGACCTATTTGCCATATTGGCATGCTACGTAGTATGCAAGTATATTTATAGGTATGATGACGTCTTTTCTACCAAGAGAAATAATATCATCGAGTGGGTCGGAACCTTTGACGGAAGCACTCTCTGATGAGTTGGTCGACGGCCATCGACTTTTGGGGCCTGCTTTGCTCGGGACTCTTTTGATTTTGTTCTTTATCATTTCCTTTTCAAAAGCATACTATTCTGCCGTCTTGAATCATTTCGGGTTTCCTTTCGATTTTCTCATCTTCATCCAGCTCAGTTTCGTTCATCGACGTCCCGAATAATGAATGCATCCAGAACCTGGTCCGGTTACGTAAGGTTGACATCAACCACAGTGCTCAGGCTATGGCGGTCAAAGATCTCTCAAAATCTTCTTGTGCGCTTTCATCAATGGACTGCTCTCTCAACTGAATATCAAATACTTTAAGCTCCCGATCCGAAGCAATATGGCAGGCGCTCCAGCCTACTCCATGATGATCGAACCCAAGCCCCATCCGCGGGCTCCAGCTCCCCCCCGTTCGGTGTTGAACATGACGACGGGGGAGGTTGGGATCTTGAAATCAACTCTTCTGCCCTCATTCGGTCTTTATTCTGGCCTATCGGTTGCGGCCTATGTTGCCGCTGAAAGAACAGACCGCGTCGAGATCAAAGACTGGCTTTGGCCATCGGGTCAAGTCCTCAATGCATGGTGGACAGCCATCGGACGACCGATGTACGAAACCGGCACCTCTTTCAATGATGCCTGGAGGGGCCTCACCTGGACTGAGAAGCTTCTTCTCGGTGGAGTGACTGTCTGGGGTTCGCGGCTGTTTGCCCGGATCGTGAGTCGGTCGCTGGCTCGTGGGCGGGATGATCCGCGGTATGATGCTCAGAAGAACGAAAAAGGCTTCTGGAAATCGGCTTTCTTCAAGGTTTTCCTACCCGAAGCTGGTTTCTTGAGTATCATCTCCTTGCCTGTCACTGTGCCTTTCTCCATGGGCGATACAACCCTCTCGCTGAGCACGAATACCCTCAACACGATTCGTGCATTGGGCGTGGGGCTGTTCAGCTCCGGCTTTGCGCTGGAGGTAATGGCTGATACGCAGCTGGAGCTCCATCGCAAAGAGCGAGACGATCTGTGCCGACATGGTGTCTGGAGCCTGGTGCGCCATCCAAAGTATGTTTCTGATTTCTCTTTCGATTTGATTCCTGCTGATACGTGGTTAGCTATTTGGGAGACACGCTGGTCCATCTCTCGTTTCTCCTTCTGAATTTCACCTATTCATTTCACCCAGTAGTATTCCTTGGCCCACTCGCCAACTATGTGTTCCTTCGCTTTGTGGGTGGTGACATGCAGACGGAGGCGAGTCAAGAAAAGCGCTACCAGGCAGAGAATTCTCCGAAGTATGAGCAGCTGCAGAACTGGCGTGGCGAGAACAATAGTTTCTGGCCTGCCTGGAAGGACTTGACGAATCCTTGGGCTTTCGCAGTTGCAGGATGTGGGTTCATTGGCGTGGTTGTGGAAGAGGTTGTGCGAAGCAATTGCACTCTGCGGTGAAGCCTGGTATGCGTGGAAGCTGTGTTTTCTCCGCAGCTCTTTCCTCATTTTCTGCTTTTACTTAGTTTTCAATCGATCCTTTCCTCTAAGCGCCCTTCCTACGTCCGTGCGTATTGAGTGGCGGCTTTCCTTTCTCTATTCTTCCCAGATTCATTGGAGTTTATACCGCGACGGTGGGAAATATTTTTCCCCCGCACACATACAAGTTTATGCGCAGTTCTATTTCAGGCGCAGGATAGATCTGGCATGGGATGATCGCCCTCCTCGTGTGCATCGGTTCCAGCATCATATTTTCTTTCGCTGGGTCGCAGGCTCACGTGTCTTCCCAACTGCCCAGGTCGCCTCATCACTCTGAACCCCAACCAAGAAAACCTCCGAGAGGCAAGTGGAGAATGACGCCAGCCGTGCTGCGGTGCCAGACGAAGAATTTCACAAGAAAAAGTGGAAGCACTTTGAGAGAAAAGGGGATCGCATCCGATTCGCCAATGAAGGGCCAACACGGCTCTGTGCAGGCCTAGGGAAGAGGCACCCTCGTTCTCACGGTGAGTCAGTGAGTTTCCGTGAGGAGATGATGGTGCCATGTCCGGGTATGAGTTGTCATGAGAGCAAGCCGGCAGCTGAGTACTGATTTGCGAGCCCAGAGAAACAGCCGGCAATGCAAGCGAGGTTACCCTCCAATGTCTAGAGTGCTAGACTTTGTCGACCCTCGGTGACTCGGTGTCGCCGTATTCACTGTGGTGGGAGGGTCAGAATCTGCATTGTGATTTGTGTTGAACGCCGTCTTGTGGAAACTTAAGCCTCTGCGACAGACCGTTTTGCTGCATAATCCCAGTGGGAATGCCATTGCGACCAGCCACTGCGACGAAGCCGTTCACATGGCTTTGATTTATCCCAACCAGAGGCGCTGGGAGTTTGGAGTCGGCCCTTCAGCCCGCCACAACGCCTTTTAGGGGGGCCGCGGAGGTGTGTAGCGCGATGCTGCAAGCCAATCACCGACCGCGAGTCCCCATACAGCTACACAAACAGGATGGATGGGCCGGGGCCGCCGTGAGCCGAGCTCAGCACCGTCGCATTCTTCAGGCTTCAGAGGAGCAGTGACAGAAGCCCCTCGGGACAGGTCCACACCTCCCTCCCGCCGATAAATCACATCACTCCGTCGTACAAAGAACTCCGGGGGTTGGACCTCCAAGAGGCAGGCTTCTCTCTCGTGTGACCCCTCCGATAAGACACGAGGCGCGATCTAGATCTTGTTCTCTTACTGTATTTCCAGTTCTGTGCGCACTGATCGCTGGTGTTTGGGGCAGGGGGACGCACCAACCAGACCGAGTGGATGGAATCGGCACTTCGCACGGTCTGGAATTGAAAGCTCGCTAGCCCGAGAGTGCAGGTGCCATCCCGTCCAAAGGAACTCCACTCGAACATGTTCACCCACTCAATCTCGGACCCATCTGCAAAGTGCCAATCTCAATCATTCGGTGGGGCCCAAGAACCCTGATCCCTCGCCTGCCATGCACAACAGAACCCCGGGCGGTTCACTCTTTGTGGAAAACGCGTCAACCCGAGGACTCCATCAACGACCCTAAACTTACCCCCCCCCCGGCCCCTAACGCGGGGAATTTTGTTCCTTGATGGATCCGACGGGAGAGCTCGTGCCCATCGCGATCCTCGCCCGCCATTCTCCCAAACCCTCCAAAGCCGTCTCCACCGTTCTTGACTGTTTCGCGCGAGGATTCCGTGCAGATCCCCGCCGGACTGGACGCCACGCCAGGCTAAAGCTGTGTTGAGCTCCATCGAGGGCCATCACCCCTTGCCAACCCCATTGAAAACAAACTCCAGCCCGCGTGCGCGGGTCACCATTGAACATCCCGTCGCCGAAGTTGCCGGCCTGTCACGATTGAGATAAGAGCCCCTGTATCCGCCAGACCGGCAGATCCTGCAGGTTTCACCCACCCAGAATTACCGCTTCAAGTAGCAATCACGTACATCAGCAGTCGTGTGCTGAAAGGCAGGCTTGGCTTTGCTGCAATTGTCGGCGCCAGTCTAAAATCTGCACTAAGCTCGGGGTCATCTGCACCTGTCCCAGCGCGCATTACACCGTAACCAAAGAAAAACAAAAAACAAAGAAAAGGCAGCCGGATGCCGCTGCCGACTGCTGATCGCACAGCTACAAATGTAGACCGCTACCCCCGCCTCGGTCTGCAGTTTCAACCGTGATTACCTTACCTCTCCAGCGTCCGGACCTCGACCACACACCTTGAACCATGTCGGAAGGATCCAAGGGCCAAGGCCTGCTGCGCCGAGTGATTGAGGCTGCCCTACTCCGTCAGGATAACACGCCTCCGCCTATTGCTGCTCATGCGGCCGCCGCTGCCCAGCGTAGTAACAGCGGGCCCTATGGCTCGGGGGCCCCTGCGGGTAATGGCATGCCGGACCTCGAGCAAGGAGGGAAGCGGTTCACCAGCATGACCCAGGATCCCGAGCTTCTGATTCCGCCCAATGACAAGCTTCTGATCTTCCGGGCCTTAACTGGCATTGATAGTGTTCCTGCTCTCACGCAAGGCGGACATCTCCTTCGCACCGCCCCCAATGTTGGTATCTACACACGCGTCGTGACCAGTGAAAGTCAGGCTCGACAGGCCTACACCATCTTCAACTACCTCATCAACACTTGTCTGGGCATCCAGATTGTCGTCGCTGCGGCATTGACAGCGCTCGGCGCCGCCAGTGGTCCCCACGCGGCCATCACGGCATTCGGTGCAATCAACACCATCGTGGCCGGAATCTTGACCTACTTGCGCGGCTCGGGCCTTCCAGACCGCCTGAAGAGCTACGAGAACAAGTGGAAGAACATCCGAGAGTACATTGAGCAACGCGAACGCGAGTTCTGCTTGGTGGGCTGCGATCTAGACGTACAAGAAGAAGTGTTTATCGTGGAGAGCATGTACCAGAACGTCAAATCGGAGATGGAATCGACCAAGAGTAGCGGCGAAGGCAGACAGCAGCAGCCCGACGACCCTCGAATCCGGCGCTCGCTCCTCCCGCCTTCCAACAATCTCAGCGGCCATCGGAACACCGCGACGTCCGCCAGACGGCCCGAGGCACAGGCGTCGAGCCCTCCATCAAGAGAGGGGGATGTCAGCCCCATCGCAGTTCCCGAGCATGCGGCGGAAAAGATCTAAGAGGTGCTATTTCCAAGTTTATTGTCGCATCAACCACGCAACGCACAAACCGCCGTGTGTCGTCGTGTCCATTTCATGATACCGTCAACCGGCAAATACCCCTACAATTTGTGGAGCCGCCTGCAACATTTCCCCCATCGCCGGGCCGCGTGGAGTGCCGACCGGATCCTGGCGGGCAAGCTCCACCGCAAGTACATCTTCTCGTGTCGGTTCCCAAAAGTCTTTCTTCCCTCTCTACTTTTTTAATGGTGGGCCGCGCGGTCGATGTTTTAAGGTCTATGTTTATACCACGGTCTACCATACGGAGCGCGTCCATCCCAGGGGCGTTCATCCAGGCATCGCATTTCAATCCCATGTTAGTCATGGATTGTATTAATGAAATTTGATGTTTAGAATTAGGGCCAATGAGATTCAACATACAAGATACCCCTATCATTGACATGAGTCATTTCCATTGCAACGTGGTGGCTAGTCCGAGCCTCTCCAAGCTGCACGACAAAGTGCCTTGATAATAAACCCCAATTTTGGCTCCGTGGCGAGAAACTCTAAACGGAAAAAACGCAACCACAAGGCGTGGGCGCCTGTCTTTGAAAGGCTTACAAATGAAAATATAATAATAATAGTAAGAAGAAGAAGAATACTAATAATAATAATAATAATCATAATAATCATAAACTGCAGGCTACCAGCTAGGTCGTCTCAATTCTGAGTTGCGAAGCCAACTGATTGGCTTCGCAGGTGAAAACTTAGCCCGCGACCCGCTCGCACCTTCCGCAACACCAATTCCTGCCACCAACCCAGGCAGCACAGGATCAGAACAACCCAAACCTAAGGTTACGCCTCGGACAGTCAGCAAAACGTGGCACAGACGGGATACAGCCATTCTGCAAGCAATCCCAACATACCAGCCATGACGTTCGAGGTGCACATCGCCGAGCAAGCCGACGCGCCGAAGCTTACCGAGGTGTTCTGTGCCGCCTTCTCCGATCCCTTCAATCGGACCATGTTTCCAGACACGCCAGGGGTGCGCACCTGGCTGGAACATAATCTTTTCAGTGGCATGGATGCGCCGGCAGACCAGGTCATGCTCAAGGTGGCGGACTCGTCCGTTCCTGGCACGGTGGTGGCGTTCGCGAAATGGAGACGGCTCTCGTCAGGGTCGAGCGCCGATCACGATCGGCAGCCTGAGGTTCCTGCCGCGCGATGGCCCGAGGAAAGCGACGCGGAGCTTTGCGACCGGTTCTTCGGGACGATGGATGGCCATCACAGGGAATTTATGGAGGGCAGACCTCATTATTGTATGTTCCGTCCCTGATGTCTTTGTGCGCTTTTGTGCGTTAGCAGTCGGGGTATCTTGGTGGATGTCTATCTCTATCTCCACACCTGAACTGTTGTCAACCCGCTGCTATATCTCGCTTCTCATGCACCGACAACGACCATGCATCAACTGACGTACGGCAGATCTCGAAATCTTGGCTGTCCATTCATCGTACCAAGGACGTGGGTTGGCGTCCAAACTATTGCGATGGGGTCTTGCGCGCGCTGATGAGGAAGCCGTCGAAGTATATCTCTCCAGCTCCCCTGATGGGAGGCCCCTGTATCAGAAATATGGCTTCCAGGCCGTGGGAGGATCTTTCTCCCCTTTCCCCGGCTACGAGCAAGTAAATATGATTCGCCCTGTTCGAAAAGAACAAGCATAGTTTGTATAATCTTCACTGTGGACAGTCTGGACAGTCTGGACACTCTGGACATTCCTGTTAATTCTTTTTATATCCACTCGAGCTCAAGAGGACATATCTACAATCTATACGAAAGGTCTAGCCCGGAACCAGAGCTGCCGATAGAAAGGTAGGAACGTGTAATAGGAATGTGACCGCAGCAAACAATACTTTCCGTCGAACCATTCGTTCTTACACGAACAGGAAACCAGTATCTCTTTACCATCAAGAATAGCCAAGGGCTGATATACAGGTTAGAATCAAGACATCTCGTTTCACAGAGAAATAGGTTGGATATGAACACCAAAATCACATTCAGAAAAGGGGACTTTCTCGCTTGAATTGTTCTAGTACAAAAACCCTCAATAAAAATAATACAGTAGAAAAAAAAAACTTAAAAAAAAGGGTATCATATGAAGTGATCTGCAGTGATCTCACAGGAGACCAAGCGTCCTCAGTGTGAATGGTGGTGATCGGAGAAGACACCCTGGACGGCGGCTGCCTTGCGGCACTCCTCCAAAATGGCCGCCTGCTTAGCGACATCCGCAAGTCGACCGATGACCTCCTTGTTACCATCGAAGAAAGTAAACACAGCGTACGGAATCTCCACATCCTCGCAAAACTCCTTCACAAATTCCTGCGTCTTGCGCAGGTTGTGGCGAGGAATGCGGGGATACAGGTGATGAATTGCCTGGAATTGGAGTCCGCCGTGGAACCAGTCCAACCATTGGGGGCAGTCCACATCCATGGTCGTTCGCAGCATCTTTTGAGGGAAAGACTCATGAGGTCCGAGATCCGCGGTGGACATGGCGTAGTGAGAGAGAGTAATTTGCACATGGAGAGGTGCAGTGACCATGTGAGAGATGAGGATGAAGGCGATCCGGTTCCACAGTCCCGGAATACTCAGATAGATGACCCCATAGCCGAACCACGTCCAGAAGAAGATTTGACCAGCTGCCTCGAACCAACGGTGCCACCAGCCGGCGCCGTGTCGGGGGCCGAGACCGAGGTAGATGTACTCCCAGCTCAGGTAGTAGAGGTTGAAGCGACCGAAGAGGAGAATCGGGTAGTACAAGTAGTGTTGATACTTGACTGTCACTTTGGCCACCGCATCGAATTCCATGATCCGGTCGTAGTATGTACTCCGCAGGCTGCTAAAGAAGCGCTGCGACACGGCGAAAAAGGGCATCAATTCGATGTCGGGATCGTGCTCCGGAGCATTGGTAACGATATGGTGAACGTTGTGGCTTCGCTTCCACCAGCCCAGGCTCAGTCCGCCCAGGTAGTCCGCAATAATCATTCCAATCACGGTATCAGTCTGGAAGTCGTGGGTGATGCCCATGTGACCAGCATCGTGGGCAGTGAAGACCAGTTGGTGCCAGAAGCATCCGAGGAAGAAGCCCGACAGGCAAAACCAGTGGGTCTTCAAAAAGAAAATGAAAAGACCAAAGAAGAGAGAGTATCGACATATTTCAATGGCGTAGGCAGAGTAATTGCAGTTGTAGAGTCCAGCCGCGCGAATACGCTCGTTAAGCTTGCGATATTTCTGGATGATATTCTCTTGGTGTGCAGCATCAAGAGGAGGATATTTGGATAAATCCAACTGGATCTCCTCTTGGGTTCGGGCGTCAATCACACATGTTCGTGGCTTGGGTTCAGTGGATTCAGTGGTTTCAGTTGTGGGCTGAGGAATGGCGCTGACTGCTGAGGAAATGGTCGATATGGAGAGCCGGCGTCGCAAGCCAAATGCGTCTTCGTCGGCTTCGAATAGGGGGGATGGCGGAGCTGAGGCTTCTTCGCTCGGTCCTTCGGAATCGGACAAAGCTTGCTCGTCTTCCTTTGCTTGGGCTTCGGAGTAGGGTCGGAAAGTGCCACCTTGAATAGGAGGGAGGAAGTTGGTCCATCTTCCTTCGATACGACCGATCTGGAATTTGCTCATGCGTTGACGTGCTTCCTGGGAATGCAGACTTTGGGCTGTTTGTCAGTAGATGCGCAAGCAAGCTGGGGCAGGAATGGACGATGGATGGAACACATACGCATTCACTTCGTCCGTGGCATCTTTTCCGACCATGTGCTCAATGGCCAATCTGCCTCCAGGATGGAATTTGATCCAGGCATCGAGTTTGAGAACCTTGTTATCGACAATGATAATGAGCTTCTTCTCGGCAATCATGCCTTCAATCTCAGCTCTCGACAGGACATTGTCGCGCGCCTTGATTGGGAAGGGCATCCTGAGAGTTTGCGAAAGTTGACAAAAGATGAAGCTATTTCATCAAAGTCTTGACCTCGGGGGCAGAAATCGGGTTTAAAAGGGTCACCTCTGTTACAACGGGCAGAACCCATCTATTTGGCTACCTGGAGCTAGCGCCGTAGCGCAAAACCTCCTCGTTCATTTCGATCTAGGAAATAAAGGGGGCGGTGCACACTGATTGCTTCAACCAACGCATGGCCGTGGCAAAAGCCATGGGAAAGGAGACTTGGTGGATACGGTACTCGATATGCATAGGGGTTGTGGGGATACGAAAACGCCATAGGTGACAGAGCGCGCTGTGGCCGAGGATAGACGTTCAGCAACAGTAATGTGGTGGGTATTACTGTCCCACCTTGAGGGAGACTGGTGCAGGGCAAAAATAAATATGGGGGGAGCAACGCAATGGGCCCATAGCGAAAGCGTTACCCGGAACCCTACGGCTTAAAACTACTCGTTGAGCCAAAACAAGCTTAAACCCTTGGGGTAGCCCCTGTCACAGATTGACCCTGTTCCAAAGTGGAAGGCCAGATCGCTAGAACTAGCCTCTTCCCCATATCCTCTCACAGGATGGACCCACTGCCCAAGACATGGCTGTCTCTGAACTATTTTACCCGAGGATTGTTTGGATACTAATGATACCATTCCCAATCCCAATTAATTGTCGGATTTAATGGATCACATCCCAGTGGCCTAGTATCTCCTGCGCGGTTCTAGCTGTTCAAAGATACTACCGACCGCTCAGGTACATTGTGATCAATTTGAATTTTTCAAACTGTAATTCCAATTGGCGCCTTGGGCCGTCCACGTTTGTCGCCGACTCGTATGCGATTCGTGTGCGGGACATCTAACTAGCAATCTTGGCTGCCTAGGCGGCTAGGCTTTTAGGCGAATCCGGAGCCACACTTTGCCACGTGTTTCGCGCATTTCCCACTGAGGCTCTATTTAACGAGAAAGACACTCTGTAATGCTTATCCAGAAATTCTACTGATATTGTATATTCTCATGATCTTTGGATTAATGTAGCAGCAATACATTAGGGGATTGATCCTGGAGGGGCACCTGCCGTATTCGCAGATTTCAACCCCTTCCTAAAGTGGCTAGTGTACCGTGCAAATTTAGATTGTTGCGCCCGCCCTGAGGGGCAAGAGGCCGAGGTACGCGACGTACACCCCATAAGTATTCTGAAACTGCATCCACTCAAGACAAAGTCGCCCCTTGACCAGTGGGTGCCCGGTCAATATGAGTGAAAATTCTGCGGTGAATTATGGCTCAGATCGTACCTGCATGTACAGCAGCAGATGCTCAACCGGAAATCAATGCTTCCAGGGATTTGTTACGGTAATTTTCTGGTAAACTGGCCGTTTTACACCGGCGCCCACGGTAGCCATTTGTGGCATTCTCTTTACCTATTCTGAACCTTGGTTGAAGTCCGAAGGATTGTGTTGCATCTATGTGCTCTAGCGCTTTCCGTATAGGCTAGTACTGTAGATGTCCAATGAGACCAGACTGGGTGATTGGATTCATGGATGATGATAGTAAAATAAGGGGGGTCGCTGTTGACAGCGGCACTGTGCCACTGTGCCACTGTGACTGATACTCGGTGGATACAACGCTCGAGCTTCCACGTAATCCAGAATTACACGCGAAACCCTAAATTAATTAACACAAGTGGGCACTTGGTGTATCAGCCAGCGGTTCTTCGATAAAGTGAACGCTCCCCCAGATATTTTTGACAGACGGACACAACTTTTGGTAGAAGCGGCAAACCGGCGAAACCTTTGCGCTATTAATGTGTACGTATATTGCAGGCACTATGCGGGCTGATTTAAAGCGACATAATGCCATTCTGCATTCGATGTATTTCTCCAGCACTGCCATCAATTCATTCCAGAAGATTGCACCGTATCTCGTATCCACTCGAATGCCGCATAGACTTCCTACGCAGCAGCTCGTGCCTGGGTCTCTAGCGGCAAGCTCAGCCAAGCAATCGCCAAGACAACCCAAATGGCCCCACAGAACCAAACAGGGCTCCCTCCGGATATCGCTGTACTGTCAAAGGTAGTGATAATATATGCGATCAGGCCAAATAGACCCCAGAAGAACCCCATAACGCCAAGGCTAAATCCTCGGCTCGGGGTTGGGACAACCTCGACGGTGTAGAGGGTAAGTGTCGCGAGACCGGCAGAATACAAGAAGCTCAAAATGCACTCAAAAGCCAGTGCGGTGTCGCGTGATCTGGAAACTGTAGAGACAAGTATGAACAGTCCCGTCAGACTAGCAATTCCAGCGCCTGTACGCTTGCGGCCAATACCCTTCGTCTCAACCAGGAAGGAAGCCACGACGGGACCCGGAATTGCGCAGAGAGCCGTGTATAGATAGCGACTGTATAAGTAGCCCCTCGTCACAGTGATCGCATTAACTTTGCTCACGCCATGCGCAGCCAAGTAGTTGCTGATATAGGTTTGGTATAGGATAAAGTTGAGACCCATGATCATCCAAAGAAGAACAAGACCGATCACGCCAGTAATTCCCACAGAGGACAGCAGAGACTGGACTCGGGACTTGGTGCGCAATTCTTTCTCGGATGCTTCGATCGTGGAATCAACTCGCGCGAAGGACGCTTCTGTTAACCAAGTCTGTCGCTTATTGTAGAGGGCAATATCCTTGACAAGCTGTGTCGCTTCCGCGTCACGCCGACGTGCAAGAAGAAACTTAGGCGTCTCGTGGAAGGATAGCGCAAAACGACAAAGATACAGGAACAAAGTAATGCATCCGAAGGTCCACCATACGTAGCGCCAACCTTTGTTGCTGACGTAGTGGCAGGATGAGTTGCCGCTGCTGGACGATGATGCGCTACTGGAATGACCCAGAGCACGAGCTTTCCGACTCATTGCTTGCGAGGTGCTGACCTCATCAGGGCCAGTGCCGCACGTATATAGACCGATGAAAGCCCTGGAAACCCCCCATATTAGTAAGTCATTACAGTAGAAAGTGCAAATTGCCATTTACCATCCAACCGCAGAGGCAACCAGTTGACCCAAACCCCAGAACACTCCCTGCAATGCAACCAAGAATTGATGTGATGCTGGTAAGGACTCGAGGAGAATCATCGCATCAACATTATGATTTCCGGCAACGGCGAAACCAACAACAGATCCCACCACGCAGAGCCCCGTGAAGGAGGGCATGCCCGCCCCGACTAATCCGCCCATGCCCATCAATACGATTGTGCTTGTGAAGATTCGCTTGCGACCAAGGGTGTCAGAAATCAAAGGCCAGACTGTACCCCCAAAGGCAAGACCGACAAATAAGCTCACGAAGAGGTAGTGGGTGTCATCGCCGGTGAAGAAGAACTGGGCCTCGTTGCCAGCAGATGGAGCAATGACTGTGAATGACATGATCCAAAACTACAGCAATTATCTTAGTTCTCTGTCGAGGTGGGTGGGACAGATATTAGGCTAACTCACACTGTCAAGAAACCACCCCACACCCGTCACTAAAAAGATCAGCCATTGATACTTTCCCATACCAATGTCCAACAAGGCCTGATTCAGCAACTGAACCTTGGCGGCATAGACAGCACCTGTTCCTGCATGGCTGTCCGGGGTTGTAATATTAAGACCAAAGAAACTCTTATGCTGCTTTTCGGATGGAGAACCGGCTTTCGATGGCCCCGCTCTCTCTATATCGTTCACAAGAGTAGATGCAAAGGCACTTGGTGCTTCGATTCTTCTCTGTGGAGTAATTGAATCTTCTTCGCTAGACATTTTACCGAATGATTTGGCACCAGGTCGAAAGAATGAGGTGAGTAAAGAAGATCACAATGAATCTTTTCGAGGAATCCACCGCGGTATCTATAATGTCTTATATGTGCATCCTCGCTAGATTTAGCTAACCGAATATGTGACATGATCGTCTGCGAGTCAGTATGTAGCCAATGAGCCACGAAATTGACCACATTTGAATAAGGGCATATCGTAGTTTGCACCCACCATACCCCACCCACATACTACAAAGCGGATGGGAAAACCGCACGGCTAGCGGAGATCCCCGCGCGAATATTGGAGACCTAAATATCCCCGTCTGAAGTATCAGATGGTTTTTTTGCCGGATCAGGTTATTCGAGAAAGAAACGTGGTATTCCCCACTAGCTTCCGCGGAGTCGTGAAGAAGACAAAATCATTATCAATCAAAATCACAGGCTGTAACATGATTTGTTAGGACTTTTGTGCTAGTATATTGTCGATTCATTTCTCCGAGGATATGCATGTCAAAGTTAGGCTGGTCATAGTAATGTGGGCCGAACAATTGTCAAACAGGGAGAATCATTGGCTAGAGGTAAAATGTACATCCGGGACGGCTTCGTTATTGGATGGAGTATGGCCCACTGGCAAAGTCTTGTAGAGTATGATTTGCATAATGGATGGGTCCTTTTATTTTCGGAGTTGATGGGTCTTTCAGACGCCCAAAAGCAGAGACAGAAGGCATGGCACAGGAATCGCAGTTGGCATCTGAGCCTAGAATGGGTTTAGAAGCTTATTGCCTTCTCAGCACTACAACTCCTCTTCCAAAGGTATTGATTGTAAAGAGCCAACCCCCAAATCACAAAGTTGCTAAATCCGAAACTCGGACAAGATGTCTAAATTCGGATTGGGTTGGTAGGACTCCATGCGGACAGGACTCGAACTCGCCCGCACTCTGGAATTGACCTAAAAGGCCGCGCGGCTCATTAGATACTTTCTTTTTTTATTGCAGTATGGTGGAAACCGTGAAATGCCATGATGGTGAACACATATGTGTACTCTTCGTGCGAATACGGTTTCATCGAAGCCTAGGCTGAGAACATAAGAACCCTTGTTAGCTAGTTAACTGCAAGGGCAACGTGTCTGCTTTCAGTTCGTTCAGTACTCGGGAGCCCCTAAACGCTTTGTAGATACATGATTGATGAACGAGTATGGTTAACTAAATGAGTTAGTCTCCCATGGACTGCGTACAAACGCTGTAGTGGGTCCCGTCGCGGGGTCAAGATGTGAATTTGCAGGGAAAAGAACATCAACCATCTTCCAACATCATATGAGAGAGAAAACGACTGTTTCTCGCCTCGCATTTTCAGATCAAGAAAATGGTATCGTCGGTTAGGCGCTCCCCATATTTCCGCCTTGCCCCGCTACACGATTCCACGAGCCTCGACGTCAAATCTTCTGTGGACACCCACCGCCTACTCAACCTTGGCCGCGACTATTCGAAGAATTGAGAAGCAAGATGACCAAATTTTTCATGTAAGCACGCCAATAAATCAAATTACACCTAGACTGGTAAATTCAAGCAGTGGCGCAACCGGCTATATTGGCGGTGACGCCCTTGCGACCGTAGTTGCTACGCATCCTGAGTTCTCCTACACTGCGTTGGTCCGCACCACCGAGAAGGCCGAACAGGTCAAGGCTCACTACCCTCATTTCCATGTTGCTCGTAGAGAAATTGCTGCTGCAGATATCTTTCTGTCAAGAAAGCAGTGGTCAATCCAATGCGATGATGCCGAGACATGTAGTTTTTGGGCGGGAAGGAGGTATGTGTGGTATGGTGAGATGAAACCTCGCAATTGCCTATAAAATCAGCCAAGCCGTTTATGAAAGCAAAGATAACAAACAATGTGGCGGTATGATATTTCAATGTAGTTACAGTAGGGGCCAGGAAGCAGCTCATGGGCGATTTTGAATGCTCTTGGAAATTTCCAATATGACGAAACACTTTAATGCCTTCTTTTCAAGACATGTCTCTTGACCTGGCCATATAGTTCCCAAAGCATATACCCTAGTGAAAATCGCGCGGTTTGGACTCAACACCGAGACGTGGTCGTAGTCGGAAGATATAGTCATCACCAAACACCATCGGGGGAGCCAGATATCCATTCCATCAAACACGAGCTTCCTCTTAATTCACCCACAGCCCTGCTACGGGTAGCGTAGTACCAATCGGGCTGGGCAGTCACCAACCCGACCGGCAAACGCCCAATAGATACCGCATAATCTCCACAGGGCCAGCAAGCATTGCACCGACAGCCGGCTGAGTGGCTGCGTTCGGCGTGTAGTTAAGCCGACTCTTGGCATCCCAGCCCGCTCGGGACGGCTTTGCAACAGCGTGGAGATCGCGAAATCGATCGGTTCTGGGAGGCCTAATATTCCTGCCTGTCGTAATGTCTTGGTGTGGGAGCCGCGCCGGGGGAATTATTTTGTCCTGCTCTACACGATGAAGCATCTGGGTTCACCCGCGTGGGAAGCGTTTGTGTGACGAGCATCAGTGTATATAACCTTCGCAGGATGCAGTCTGGCATTCATTTAAGAACATTGAAATTCAAAATTTCCTGTGGAACTGCAACAAGCTTCGTCCTCCTCTTAGCTATCGACCGTCAATTCAAATCTCCCGTTGTCACTTACCAGCGATGGCTTCCACCGATCCATTCGTGAATGGCTCGGAGAAGCCAGATCCGACCGGCTCCACGAGTAACCCAGCATCAATGATCGCGAAAGAGCGGGAACCAGAGGATAAAGATGGAAAATTTGCGCTAGGTCGGCGAGGCCAGCTTGTATTTTTCACTTTGGCCGTTCTCACATTGATGGCGGCTCTGGATGGAACGTCACTTTCTGTTGCTCTACCGGTGAGTTTATCTGATCAGCTCCATCAGGCTGCCCATTATGAGAGCTAAGACAAGATTAAGACCATCGCCCGGGCCCTTAATGGAACCGCTATTGAAGCGTTTTGGAGTGGGACATCGTTCCTATTATCGTCCACAGGTAAGCGGGAATGCAGCGAGGTCTTGAAGGAAAGTATCTAACACTAGAACAGTCTTCCAACCAAGCTTTGCATCGTTCTCAAACATTTTCGGCCGTCGCCCCATGGTGCTGATCGCGATCCTCTTTTTCTGCGTCGGAGCCATTGTTGCCGCGGTTGGAGATAACTTCACTTACATGCTAGTCGGCCGAACAATCCAGGGTGTCGGTGGTGGTGGGATCATTGCCCTAAGTGAAGTAATCATCACCGACCTCGTACCACTGAGATATCGTGGTCAATACTTCGGTATCCTGAGCGCGATGTGGAGTGTTGGCTCAGTGGCCGGACCTATTCTCGGTGGAGGCTTCGCAGAAAAAGTGTCATGGGTAAGTTGAGCGAAAATTTGCCAAGTTTAAGACTAATAATTCCTAGCGATGGATCTTTTACATCAACTTCCCGTTCATTGGAGTTGGTGCCGTTTTTGTGGTCCTCTTTCTGAATCTCAAAATGCTGCCTAGCTCTCTAGCGGAGAAGCTCCGTCGCATCGACTATATCGGAACGGTTCTCTTCGTCGGGAGCATGTCATCATTTTTGATCCCTCTTACCTGGGGTGGAGTCTCGTATCCCTGGGACTCGTGGCATACATTGGTACCTTTGATAATCGGCGCCGTGGGACTGCTCCTCTTTGCTTTCTATGAACACCGCTTCGCCACGGATCCAATCATCCCGCCAAAGGTCTTCCAGAACCGAACCTCAGTAGTTTCGTTTATTGGGAGTGCCTTACAGGGATTGATTCTTTGGTGTACACTGTACTACCTCCCGCTCTATTATGAGGCTGTGAAGGAATACAGTCCTATCCTTTCCGGTGTTGCCCTCTTCCCGGAGACATTCACAGTCGCACCAAGCGGGCTGGTCGTTGGCATTCTCATCACAGTTACCGGTCACTACCGCTGGGCTATCTGGCTTGGATGGGCCATTTCTACCATTGGGCTGGGGTTGATGTGTATTATCAAATCCTCCACCAGCGTGGCAGGATGGATCCTACTCAATGTCGTTCCGGGCCTAGGCCTTGGTATCCTCTTCCCCTCGCTCGGGTATGCGGTGCAAGCATCAGCGACTTCGGAGAATCTGGCTATTGCAGTGGCTATGTTCAGCTTCTTCCGCGCTCTCGGGCAGGCAATCGGCGTGGCCGTTGGGGGTGTGGTCTTCCAGAACCGCATGCGCAACAACCTGCTGAAGTATCCCGCTCTCGCTCCCATGGCCGACGCATACAGCCAAGACGCAGCTGGCCTTGTCCAGATTATCAAGGGAATGGCGGATGGCGCGGATAAGTTGGATCTGAAAGATGCTTACACAGACAGTCTGCGCATCGTGTGGGCGGTCTGCTGTGCGATCTCTGGTGTTGCCCTGCTATTTAGTCTGTTGACTGAGTCTTACGATATCGACCAAGACTTGGAGACCAAGCAAGGTCTTCGAGAGCGCAATGGCCGAGATCTTGGCGAGAAGGATGTTGAGGCTTCTGCCGAAAGAGCTACCCAGAAGACTACGCCTTGGGCTTATTGATTGCCTACCTCTCTTGATGACTGATACACCAATGATATATAGTATTATTTAATCTTTTGTATTCACGGCATGCATAATGAGATTCCCTATTCAGACATATCCAGAGCTCTCCTGCTCCATGCCCTCTGTAAAACCCACGCCCCGAATCAACGTCTTAATACCCTCGCCTTTCTTCGTGGTTTCCCAGGCTTCAGTAACTTTCTCAAATGGAAAGACCCTGGTGATAAGAGGACGCAACTCAATCTTTCGCGTGAGTGCCAACTCCAGTGCCATCTTGTAATCACCTGGTCCATATCGGAAACACCCCTTGACAGTGATCTCATTCATTGAGACGGTCGTAATAGGAAAGTTGACATTCGCATTTCCGAGACCAGTTTGAACAAAGGAGCCTCCCACTCTCAGAGCATGAATTGCCATCTGAATACAGGGTCCCGCCCCTGTAGCTTCGATTGCCACATCGAAGCCAGGCACATCCGATTCCGTGAGATGAGAACTCTGCTGCGTTGCCTGCAGACACTTGGCATTCTCCTCTGGAGAAAGCGAACTGTTCGGGATGGCCGTCGTGAATGCCACACGCCCATTAGGCACAAAGGAGTGCGCGAAATCCAGCTTATGGCGGCTCAGGTCCACGGAGGTAATGAAGCTTGCGCCGTACTCCCGTGCCACAGCAGCGCACAGCAGCCCTATAGTTCCAGCCCCAAAGATGACAACCTTATCGCCCGGCTGCACCCCAACCTGCCGTACGGAATGCACCGCGACAGAAAGCGGCTCAATCAGCACGGCTTCATCCAGCCCAAATGGCTTCTCCAGGTTAGTGGGGATTTTATAGCAGCAGTCCGCGGGCATCTTGTAATACTTCGACAACGTGCCATGGGTGTACGGCGGGCTGGCAGCGAACTTCATCCGCGGGCACAAGTTATATTGCCCTCCCTTACACCGAGTGCAAAGACGACAGGCTGAGCCCGGCTCGATGGCGATAGGGTCACCTGGTTGCAGGTTTGTTACGGCCAGTCCCACCGTGTGTACGATGCCCGAGGCCTCGTGGCCCATGACCAGAGGGCAGTCTGGGGAGACGAAGTCTTTGATACCACCATGGAGCCAAAAGTGAACCTGTATCTGATGAGTATGATGCTTTTTGGATCACCTGTGTCAGATATAGGGTGTCAAGAGGGGGTTCACCTACGTCACTTCCACAGACCCCCACGTAAGCGATACGAATGATTACATCGTAAGGATCCTCGATCACAGGAAGAGGCCGGTCTTCAAAGCGGGCATCTTCAGCATCATATAGCAGACACGATGGATTCTGCATGTTGAGTGCGATGAGTGCGATGAGTGCGACGGGGGCGATGAGGGGGGTTAGTACGTTAGTGCACGATCAAGCTCTTATAGTTCCCGGAGGAAGTATCGACGGAGGGGCAAATTCTGAGTGACCGGTCATCTGACGCTACGCATGTTTGTTCTAGAACTAATCTAGAATACTCTTGCCCGTCACTTCCGAGTCCAGATGAGGGGTGGTGGTGGTCGGACGACAAAAAGCCGAGTGTTGGGTGAGAGCCATTGGCGTAAGCGTCAATGGGGGAGGAGGGATGCCCCACTGCGGCAGGGTCGATGCACCACAAACAAGTAAGTTTTGACCGTTGCAGAAGTACTCCTTAAAGGCAAACGCAGTTCAATGTCCTTTGGGTCAATCAAAAGATTCAATTGCAGCATGGTAATCATCGTCCTCAACTAAGTACTCGAAGGGACAGAAAACAAGAAGTTATAAGAACACCAAAGGCTCAGGACGCCATAAGCCCAAATCAAGAGTACTCAAGCCGTGCAGAACAAAGGTCGTAACATCGTGAAGGTGATTTGTAAATAGCACATTAAAATCCAGCACATTACTCGCGGCCCATGACTCGTAGCCGCTCCTTGAGCATATCAACCTCTTTATCATAATCCAGCCCAGACCGCTTGTCGGACTTCGCCTGATAACTGTCTTTCAGCATAATCGAACGATATGCGCCATCGCCATCCGGTGCACCGACAGTAACCCAGACAAACTTCATCCCGTGGCTTCCGGCCGATGAACGATCCTGGGTGCCCTGCCAGAACATCTCGGATGGTATCAACTCATCTGCGGAGGCGGAGCGATCGGGAGACGGGCGACCGCCAAGACGTCCGTATGTCATCCAGCCTTTCAGGACGTCTTTGATGAAGCTCACCTTCTGCAAGAACGAGTTGGCATCCAGAATCTCGCGAATACGGTCCTCGACGGAGTTGATTGACTCCCCATTGGCGATGCTGAGGAAGGTAGCTGCTTCATCTGAAGCAACCGCACGGGTATCAAAGCCCGAGGGGTGCATCTTGCCCTTGGTGGTGAAATACCGAGCTGCCGACGGCGAGAGGTGGTAAAAATCAATCCATGGAGAGGAGCTGCGAGTGCGACCGGGCGCGATAACGAGTTTGGTGTGGTCGGGGAAGTTAAATTGGAAAGCCCCGTCACCGAAGCCCCAGATGCCAACATTACCCAGTCGCTGGTAGAATTTGATGAACTGACCGCTTGTCGGAGCAGGGGCATCATCGGTGATTCCCTCATCGCCATGGCGACCAAGAGACCCGATCATGTACTTGCCAAACTGATCAACGAGCTTCACACGCTTTATCTTCTCCGCGTCTGACCTCTCAGATTCGGATCCAGAATTAGCACGAAGCTTCATCACCTTCGAGTTCCTGGCATCGAAGAGGGACGGATCGATAAAGGCTCGTCGAATGCCACGGCACCCAAGCAGTTTATCATCGCGGTTCTCGTAAAACTCTACCGGCTCACCAGCACGAGGAACAAGTTGGTTTGCCTCGGAGTAAGGAATACCCTTTTCCTCGGGGGTATCGACACTACGCGCCTTGCGGCGGATATGCCGCTCACCATCTCGAACCACCACGCTCGTCGCAGGCTGGCCGTTCTCGCCCTTAAAAACACATCCCACGCTGCCATCGTCTAGGACGTATCCAATTCCGTATCGGTTGGTGTAGTCGACCCACTTGATGACATACGCGTGGGGTTGCTTTCTAGAGCCGACCCGGCGCCGGGTGGGCCCTTGGGTGACCAGGTTCGCCAACATGAGGCGCAAATTGGTGTTCACATCAGTCATTGAAGTGCCGGGCAGATCCTGGCAGATGTCATCTTGATGGAAGATGGGGCTCAGTCCAAGGCTAGAGCGAGCTTTGTTTGACTTGCTGTCTGTCCGAGTAATTCCAGCTGGTGCCGTGGAACTGGTGTGCTGGTTCGAGGGGAAGGCTGTTTCAGTTGGGCTGTGCTTTGCTTGTTCAACTCGCTCAGCGGCGATCCTCGGGTCTGGACGAGACACTGACCGCAAAGAGGCTTGGTGGCTGATCGCGCGACGCTGTTCTGCCACTGCGGACATTTTAACATCACTAGTGTGAATGGAGGGATGCGGTCCTTGGTTGGCAGCTTCCAATCTACGAGATTGGGATCGAGTTTTGCCAATTGTAAGTCCAGAAGGCATGCTAGTTGACTTGGCCATTTGGGGAGCCACAGCTTCGCGCAGAGTGGGCGCATTAGAAACAGACACCATTCTCCGCGTGCGAATTGGGCGCTCTGCTAGCCCGCCAGAGGTTGCGTCGGTGATGGAAGAAGGCGTAGGTTCGGAATCCTTAGGGTCGCGGTAGGGCCCGGCGGCTGACTCTGAAAAGTCAGATACGCCTGGTGCCTTTCGAATGGAGGCTATTCCCGGACGAGCTGGCTGTCGAAGGGTCGCGGCGAGATTCTGACCCTCCAGTCTCCGCTGCTGGGCAGCCACAAGAGCAGCATTTGTTCGAGTGGTCGCAACTGCATTGGTTCGTACCGATACGCTGCGCCGAGATAAAGTGCTGCTGTCGAGAACGGACGCTTCTGTGCGAATCGTTTTACGAGAGCTCTCCATCAGACACCAATCACCCTCAATCTCATGAGGCCATCGATACACAAAATCCATGGATAGCGGCACAACGGGGCGAAGGCCTCTGGCGTCCTCTGTTTCGCACTCCGAGTATGCCGATTTCGAGCAATTGCGGCCAACAGACTTTCGGGCTGTTCCATCAGGCTTCCGCCCGACACCACACAGAGAGTAGAACGCGGCCTTGCATGAGTGATACCTTTGACTGGGGTCATCCACTTGATGTACGTAGGCACGAAGCTTCTCATCCGAGTCAAGTCCATAGCCCTTTACCATAGAATCACCGCGGGGGGATTGATCTTTGAGCCAAATTGGCTTGTTGAATCGACATGCTGGGTCTAATTGACGAGGTATACAACCGTCGTACATGTTGAAGAAAGGGTGCTCAACAATATCATCGGGGTCGGGCCGTTCTTCATCAATTAGGTTCAAACAGGCACTGACTAGGTCCTTTGCCTCTTCAGGAATGAAGTTGGAGTGTTCTGATTCTTTGGGCCAGACGTAGGTCAGGTTTCGGACTTTCCTGTAAATTTCCTCTTGTGTTTTTGATTGGAAGGGTGGATATCCAGTTAACATCGCAAAGCTAGTTATGAGGCGTTAGTCAAATTTGATTAAATGGCCACACATATTTCCATACCATATAACGCCTAATGACCAAATATCGACTTTCTGGGTATGGCCGCCCTTGCTCTTGTCAAGAACCTCGGGCGCAATATAGTTAGGCGTTCCGCACAAAGTGTTTCGTCGTTTCGCATCCTTGTCAGATAGAATCATTGCGGCAAGACCAAAGTCTCCGACTTTTAGGTTCATGTTGTGATCGAGAAATAAATTCCCCATCTTCAAGTCGCGGTGTGCGACGAATCGCTTATGCAGGTACTTGACTGCTGCGCACAACTGAATCATAAACCGTCTCACTTCTGGGAGAGTAAGAGACCGTCTTTTTCGAACCATATCCATCACTGAGCCATTCTGACATAGCTCGAGAACCACGTATGTGTTCTGTTGGAAGGCGAAGGCGCGATAAAACTGGACAATGAAGGGATGGCGCATTTTCGAATGGATTTGAAGCTCCGTTCGAAACTGTAAGATGAGTCAGTACACGCTGCTAAATTCACCTTGCGATGCTCATTGTACCTTCTCTTCCATCTTTTTCTGTGGCATTTGCGACTTCACGACTTTCATCGCAAACACGCGACCATTCCGTGCCAGTGTCCCTTCGTAACAAACTGCAAACCCTCCCTTTCCCAGAAATCCGCCGATGGAGTATTGTTCTGCACCTTCCTCGGGCTCTGTGACTGTTGATGGGGGTGGGTCTGCATGGTTCTTTGAAGCTGAAGAAGACTTTAGCGCGGCGCTGGCAATGGCATGTTTATCCCCCATTTTCCGGTCCAAGGGGGCCTTGGGTTTGATCATCTGGTTGGTTGTACGAGGTGAGAGAGCTTCCATTATGGACGTCGGACCGTTGTCGCTTTTTTCGTGTCGGCGCCGCAGTTAAGGTAGTCGGGGTGGATATCGCGGTCGGGATCAAAAGCTCCGAAAACAATTCAAACGTAATGGTCATAAGAAGAAACGAAATATTAAGCGGTAGTGCAGTGGAGGGTATCAAGGTGCTGAAGATTGGTATCCCTGCAACAACTTTGGCGGTTAGCACTCGACGGAGTTGAACTGAACCTCACCCAGTCGGCAGCCTGAATCATGCAGCTCATTTGAAGAAAGGAGACGGCGGCAAGAAGAACTGACCGGAATGCAAAGCGCTAAAGAATCAAAAACTGTACAGATCTCCCAAGGAGACGCGGCGCAACTCGACCGAGGGTTGAAGTGGGGAGAAAGGTTGAAGCCAAAGTGATGAACTCGGATCATAATAGTTTTCCCAATTTGGAAATCGATAAACAGTGTTGTCATCACGTGACTAACAATAGCGTTGTAATCCCAGATCAGACGAGGTATGCTACCGTTAACTAATAAAGAATTTGGTTTGGTTCATCAGGTTGATTAAGAAATGGCCAATGTTTTACCTCAATATAACTATTCTATACCTAGGTGCTCCATTATAATGTTATTTGCGAGGTTTGCGTGGGGATCCTTCTTGGTATATATATGCGATCATCATCACTTTTTGGGTGTAGGTGCCTCAGGCCGACTAGTAAGTTTGAAACAGTCAGATAATCCTACTTACCTGCTCTATGGAGGGATCCAAATTATAGTTGATTGCTAAGTCCTATTTCACCTGCACGAGTCAAAATCGACTGTAGATGCTCAGACTTCTGTTCACACGTCTGCCCCAGCCCATCCCGGGATCGCAGTGGGCCCGACATGCGTCCGTTGGCGGAGTTACCCACCTCTACAATCTGAAAGTATTTCTGCTATATAGACAGGCACTGCTACCTACAGTTTAAATGAATAGCGATGGGGTCCAAATTGCTTACTTCAGTTCCATTTGTCTCAATGCGATGTGTGCGTGGTGTTTCATAAAGGGGAATTGCCATGCGCCTACTAAACTACACTGGATGGATATGAACGGTATGCTACAAAACAACGATTTGTTCCCCGGAACTAGTTACTTTCACGTCTCTGGAAATTTCTCGCTAGATTTTTCCAAATCTCGATCCTCTCATGCCTGGTACTCGCGCAAACCATCCCATTATTTTCGCATCGACATGGCCTGCTGACTCAGCATCGACTATGCCAATTCTGCAGAGTTGGGGCAGACCCGCGGCTGAGCAACGTCACGGGCATTTTTACAGCCGTGAGTAAAGCTCGAGGCTGCTTGTCTTGCTTTTGCTTGCCTCCTGCATCCAATCATGTCGTTGACCCTCAAGCTATCCTCACTTGCCATCCGCACACTCTCCAAGCCCATTGCCGTACGCCTGCTCCTTTGCCTGACTGTGTCCTCGGTCTAAGCTGACACTCTCGCAGAACCAAATCAAGGCACAGGCCCGCGAACATGAGCGATTCCGCAACGTCTGTGTCTCAATGGCACAGGCCCTCCATCGATTCGACATGCGCCTCCGTCTAGGTTCAATCCATGACAACACCGCAATCCGAAAACAAGCCCAGGCCGAGGCCGTGGCCAAGAAGCACATTCCCACTTCTCCAACAGTCAAAACACAAGCAGCAACAAAGGCGGAGGAGGAAGCTCAGTCAAAGGCCAAGGCTGCAGCAGAGGAAGCCGCAAAGCCCCACCATTACCGTATTCGACCGTTGTCCGAATCGAAAGCCATCGAGTCTGGCGCCAATTTCATCAGCGAAACATTCCTCTTCCTTGTGGCAGGCGGATTAATCGTCTTCGAGTCGTGGCGATCACGCCGGAAGGAAAGCACTCGCAGAGAAGGCGTCGAGGACCGACTGGCGGAGCTTGAGCAATCCGAAAAGACTACACGGGAGTCCTTGGTGGCCTTGGAGAAGGAGCTGTTGGCCCTTAAAGCTAGACATGGAGAACTGCCCAAATCGACACACCGCATCCTGCCTCGTGCAGTGTGGGAAGTTGCTCCAGAAGCAGAGAAGCCTGAAGTCGATGAGACCTGGTGGACACGCATCACATCATACCTGCCCTTCGGGATAGGCACTCAAAGCTCCGCCCTGCCTGCGTCGGCAGAGCAAACCCTAGAGACGAAGGAGACCAAGCCTACGATAAATCAACCGACTGTGCAAACGACAACACCAGTCATCAGAAGCGAAGCTGAGACCAAGAGCTCATAAAGGAACACATAGAGTGTTTGCATGTGGCTTTTTTGAGACCCCTAACTTTCTTTCTTCATCTCTTCAGCCTGGATACCCTCCCCTCTTCATCTTTTTTTGCACATCGTGTAGACAAATGTACATACTCAGGTACAAACCTTCAAATCTATATCTGGAAAAGGAAAACTTTTTCAGAATGGCCCCACAATAAGAGGAACTGTTTCCTGCTTATCTACAAGGACACTGAGCCGGTGATCCAAAGGCGGGCTTGTTGAATGACACTATATATAAACCTCTGGCTTCCGTCCCCCCTGGTTTGCATTGTCTCCGCATAATTACTTTGCTAGGAACATTTAACTCACATGAAGAAAATCTGGGCAGATTCGATTGCTAAGCTCTGCATGGAAATTTTTATACAGAATCTCGAGGGGTACGCGGTGCTCGAGCCAGTCCAGCGCTACAGCTGGATTGGATTCCATGCTGCTGGTACTGGAGCTGGCCATTGCTGTGAAAGAACCAAATTTGGCCTGACTACAGACATTGCAAAACACAAACAATGCGTTGGTATTTATTTTGTTTAGAGATACAAAGTGTGGGTTAAGGGCAATAAGAAGGCAATACAGGGCAAATTTAAGTGGACAGCGGTTAATGACTTGCAAGCTCCAATACTCATCTTCAATTCCGATAGCACGAACTAAATCACCTCTCAAGTGACTCATTCATTATAGCCCAAATCACCGAATGCTCTTTCTAGGATCTCACGGATCGTTTCCTCTTTCCGTTGCGTATAATCCATCATCGAATCTCCAGCTACAGCAGCCTGTTTAGCCGCTTCGCGTTTCACTTTGGCATATAGTTCTAGATCCGCTGGCGTTTTGCGTAACCAGTCACGAAAGATACGATGTCGGGCAGCTTCGGGTGAATCGGGACCCCAAACATGGACATTGACGTGGTAGGCTTTGGGCCAATTCTCCACAAAGAACCGGTGCTGGTGCCATCGCGGTTCGCGCAAGAGGAACCGAAATCCTGCCTCTTCCAGAGGTCTCACATAGGATGCTTCATCCATGGCATCTTTTAGGCTCAGATCAACATCAATAATGTCTTTAGCTGGTAGGCCAGGAACGCTGGTAGAGCCGGCATGAGCGATGTCCAAGATCAAGGCCCCAAGGGCTTTTTGAATCCGCTCTTTGACTTCTTCGAACCGTTGCGGCCATTCTGGGTTGGGCTCAAGTATGGTAATGGAAGGTTCTACCGTCCGTGAGGCTACACGCTCCACGAGCTCCGGTTTGTACTCGTAAGGCGCGAGAATCTGCGCAACGGTAGCGGGCATTGTACGAAGGAGAGGAAATTAGAGACTTGAATAGATGGAGCGGTATATACTGAGTAGTCTCTGGATGACTCTCACTTGGACATGGGAGGTGGGAAGTCGTGACAAACTGGATACGTAGAGCCTAGTATGCATTCATGACGAAAAAGATCAAGCGGAATCATAATCAGAATGAAGAGATTGATTGATTGAGGAAGAGAAACAGGGGGGAGAAAGTGGGCATACATAAGCACGAGCAGCCATACGGCCAAACCTCGGCGATTCTAACATCCGTGTTCATGAGTAATCCAAATTTCCATACTAAAACATAAGGCAGGCGGTCTCCAGTGTGATCTATGTACAGTATCAATTGCTTGCGGTAAGTTACCGCTTCATGTTTCAACATGGGAAGTGGCAGAGGAGAGTGACCGCCAATTCAATTACAAGACAGAGCAATGCACAGTATTATGGTTCTAGTACATTGGTGTTCCATAAATCCTCGTTCACCCTCGCTCTACCAACTAAGCTTCCGCTTTCAGTGCGAAATTTATTGGTCCGTAATATATCATAAAAGTTACTTCAGGTTATTTTATGATTATTTCAAGTCTAAGTTAACATCGGACTTCATCTACCACATTGAAAACATAAACTTTGAGCAGCTAATGCAGGAAATAGTGAGATGTTTGACCGGCAGAATGTTATGTCATCACCAGGTGGATGAAGACTTATTAACTACTGTAGACACCACTGTCAGTCACTGTATTTATACTGATAAGGAATATTGACATTCCGGGACTATTCCTAATATAAATTAGTGAATTTTGGCATTAATCTTTTTCGCGAAACAATGAAAATATGTACAGTTGTTTTCGAATTCAGTTTGACCTCTCACTCTTACACTTGATTCCCGGAAAATAAATCCAAAATACGCTGATCCTATTCGACGTCACCGCTATATTACATACTGTAGTTGGGCAGAACTGTGGTGGTAATAATTACTGTAGATCTGGTGATCTGGCAAGATCGTCTGCCTGCTTTCCATCTTCTTAGCAGTCCTAGGTTACCACTTCCACTCATTATTCCCACATGCAGCGCAGCCTTCGTGTATGCCCGCCAGTCATCACACACAAGGCTGTGCTTACGCTGTATAGAGCTAGTCCTGGTAGGGAAGGACTTTATCTCTATGGGTTTTTTGTCATTTGCTGCGCGTCTCATTCGTTACCAGTCTCGAATCTGAGCTGGCTTACCCTACAAGCTAACATGGGCTTTCCAAGGATCCTGATTTCTCTTTAGAATGACCCCTTATCATATCGATCATGTATATCAATCTATGGATCATGAAATGTGGGAACACAACTCGTATTATGTGCCAACCCCTGGGTACTGTGCCAGCTCCTACGCCGCGCTATCTGCCTTGAGTCCATCCCGTCCTGTGTACTTGAGAATAGCGACGACCCCAAGCGTAAACCCGGCCTACATCCTCTCCGATTCCATCCGCTGTGAGAGGGAAGGGCCTATGATGAGAACCCGCCAGCCTGTATCCACTACCATAGTGGCGAGTGACAGTCAATAATCGGGAGGTATCGATGGACACTGGGAAAGATGTCGTCTTGGCGCGTACGATAAGTAAGCATACCTAGCCAGCATATCGTCCAACCCGATTTTTAAACTTTGATCCCTCCCCGAGGACCTCGATGGAGCACCTTCATCACCCGTTGAATCGGCCCGACGGTGGCGACGAGTCTTGGTTCCCGTTGGAAGACTCGTCGGTGATCCCTCGCAGCTTAGCGTGCTGGAATTTCGCCTTCGCCGGGAGACTTCCTCTGGATCAGGTGCCAAGTGAATGGTTTCTGCGCTATCACTCCTGACACTGTCTCTTCGGGGTCTGTCGAAGTTCGAGGTTGTTGGCAACGGAATGATGGTGTTAGATCTACTGAAAGATGATTGCCTCGGTTGCATCTTCCTCCTCTGGGTCGCATTAAAGCTCTCCCACTTTTGTGTCATCCAAGCCTTCAGCTGCTCCTCTCTGCCTTCGCTTTCACCGTCTTTTTTTGCTCGACCGCAATCGCGGTTTCGTCTTCGTCCCCTCCCTCCGCGGAGAGCGTATAAGTGGTCCCACAAGAATTCCCGCTCATAGTCTGGCACCCAGCGTTTGACAATAATTATAGAACGGTCATCCTATATGTCTGTGTCAACAAAATAATCAATCTGAACGGTTAATAGATAGGCAGCTTCTACCTTGTCATATCGCCACGGGATATCGTAAGCGTCCAAAGTGCGCGTAGAAACCCACTTCTCGGCCATCTTGGTGACGGTGGTCTCGATCCCGTCGATATTCATCGTTTCTCCCAAATCATTCAGAATTTCGTCAATCTGACCGCGGCCTAAGCCTTGCATAGACAATGCTCCCTTGAGGTGGTTGCGATACCACCTGCTCTTTTCTTCTATTTCATGTGTCGACTTCAATTCCTCATCCCTAGGTAGAGGATGTGCAGCGAAGATGGTCTCAGGTTCCTCAATTCCGTATTTCCTCATATTCTTTTTGAGTCGTTCGAGGTATGCTTGTTCAGTAGCTCGCTTCTCTTCTGCAAGACGCTTCTGATACTCCATCTCCCAGAAAGAGGCTTGCTTTCGGGACTCTTCTTCATGAAGTTCTTTGATTACCTTGTTCCTAAGGTCTTCATCGTGGCGTTCCATAGGAGATTGAGGTTGACCCCGTCTTTAATGACTCTTTCTAGCGCTTTCTAAAGCTCTCTCGTAGTAATCTGCAATTACCGACTGTACCTGGACATAGTTTGGGTTCTTTGGACTGTCGAATTTATTGAGACTGAAATGGTCTACTTCGAGGCCATACTTCGGGTGGCCGTCAAAGGATGCACTCTTTGAATCAACGATGAATTCCTGAGTAGAATATTAATTAGGGCAATATCTAATAAAACTTCCCTATTGCCAACTATTACTTACCTCAATGTCATCTCGCCGGATGACCTTTCCTAATTTGGATGATCGCTGCTCGAAAAGCATGATACCTGGGGCCCACCCTGAACGGACAAAGTGATAAAGTCATCTGCAACATCAAGGAGGGTGCCGTTCTTAGACGTCATTGTCTCAAGCACATCGGTCTCAAGATTTTTGTACAAATCGGACGACGCGGCTATCGCTGTCAGAAGAGTGCTCTCCTCGGTAAATGAGTTTGATCCACGATGAGGTGTTCTAAGGAAGACAACCCCTATAGTTGAGTTGAAAACACCAGGGTATTGGTTCTGCTGCATTTTGGCGAGGATTGAGGCCTAGAAATGCCGTTAGCGAAGGGTATATTGATACTGGAGGATTCAGTACCCGCTCGATAACAAGGCCACCGAAGCAATGTCCGATGAAAATAAGTGGTCTTTCCAGATCCTCCTTATTCTCCAATTAGCTCTAGACATTAGTATGACCAGGATAACTTGCCGTTCGAATCATGTTGAGGCAAAGGAGCAGCTTCGTAGAGATCGTCGACAATGTTGTCCGGATCGGCGTTTCTCCCACCCAGAGGGAATCGTAACCGAAACGCAGAATCCGTGCCTCTGCAACAACTCTGGGCAACATCGTTTCATCTGAGAGCCAGTTGACTCCTGATTTCTTTTCTGTTAGGTGATGGCCGAGGATGCGCACCTGCTTTTATATCTTCAACTGCCCTGTTTCATTGCTTTATCTGCTCCTCTATCGAACCAGATGGGTACATTCCTTCAGAAAAGGACGAAGCAAGCTTTTTGTCTCTATTGATCTACATTGATGTCAGCCCTGCATATCTATGGGCATCAAGTCTGTCACAGAAACCTTTCGGCCAACTTCGACAACTGCGCATCCGGGATCCTTTGTGCCACGTACCTCTTCAACAACGCTCAGTACTAACTCAACGAAATCCTCCCTTTCGATCACAGTGTGGGGAGACATCCGATTCACGAACCGGCCGGAGTACTCCTCATCATCGTCGTCGGTTTACAGACGTCCAGGATGGCGCAAGGATTTCGTGGGCCGGTATCGCGACTCGTGGGTCTCACGGGACCGGCGTATCGGCCACTTCAAGCGCAGATACACCTCAGAGCTATTAGACTTGGAGTCGGAGTCGGAGTCCAGGCCAGATGGGTCAATGGCTTATTCTCAAACTTGGCTGAAGCTTGCCAGCGGCCCTCACGATGAAGATTATTGAAAAGGTTGATGCAACGGTCGGTTTTCGTAGTCTCGTGACGCAGAAACTCCTCGGCAGCACGGTCCCTATACACGGGCGTCTGTGTCTTTTCCCTCTCGTCCGTTGCCTGGGGCTGTATGCCAAAATTCCTCATATCTGCGGCGAGGCATAGGTCGGGGCTCATGAGAAAAGCACATCGCCTCATCTAAGTCCTTCTTGGGCACAGATTCCTCCACGATATACTTTTCCCCAAATTCTCGGGAAATGCCACTTCCACTTCCCCACAGCGGGGAGTCAGACGTTGACTCTGTTTTCCGCCTACATGCTAGCAGATCACGCTTAAGCTCTACCAGCTCCGCCTTCTTGTCATATTGAGCCCTTCGCGTGTGATCGGAGAGTAATGCGTAAGCCTGCTCCACCCGCTGGAACTCCTCCTGGGCGGCGTTTTGCTGCGATTCAGCTTGATCCTGTCGGGATGGCACTTGAGCACTCGTTTGCGGCGGGCAGCTCGGATCTCGGTGATGGTAGCTTCCTTAGTGACCCCCAACGCGGCATACGGGTCAAAATCAGGGGGCAACGTCATAATCGGGTAGGATAAGAGCAACTCAGTGACATTTTGAGAGGGGAGGTGGGGGTAGTACTGGTTAGGGGAGGAGAGGGGAAGAGGCGGCGGAGCAAGCAACGTATGTAAGGAATAATGCCCCAACCAAATGTCGATAGGTAGGGAGTTGGCAAAGATGGACCTGGCAAAATGCACTATTAAACTAACAACGTAGACGGACAAAAGGCAAAGTTGGACTCGGAGGAGGCTTCAGAGCTAATAACTGATGGACACTAAAGGGAAGAATGATTTGGACAGGGTTAGAAGGGTTGAAAGCATCACGAACTTTTGAATTGAGGCCCATATATCGAAAATGGTCTCTAGCACTCTCTTCGTTTGCACCGACTATATTAATATACTATTTGAGAAATATATTAAATCCTCGCTCGGGGTCATTTTCATGGTAGTTCTAGGTGCGGTTAATAAATAACTAACTATTACTTTAGCGAAACACTCTTCGATTAGGTTTAGATCTAGCGAATATGGTAGTAAATGGACTAGCTTAATACCAGGTCCGTATATATTTACATAAGTCGCTCTAACTAGAAAAATAATACATCATCTATAATAAGAATAGATTTAGGTTCTATCTATTATCCGCAATACTAGAGTAGCTAAGCTATGAAGTCCTTAAATATAGTGCTCTCCGGCGAATCACGAAAGATACGCGAGAGGATAATCCTATCAGAGCTTATATGTGTAGGATTTATTTTCCGGGAATCAAGTGTAGAGAGTGATCGGTCAAACTGAATCGGAAACCTACTGTACATGACTATTTGAATCCCTTAGCTACACCGCCTGCCACACACACTACAGTACCACTACTCCCCAAACGCTATAATACGCGCTATGGGAGCAATAATATCAACAGTATCAAACGTTTTGATGCGTTTTACCTTGGATATACTGTTAGTTTATGAGCAACAATGCTGTATAGGGTGGAGAAGATTATCAGAAGCGAAGGGTGGTATACTCAATATCAAAGATGAATAGAAAAATCAAGGTTTCTGCTGGCAGAAATATTAGTAATCTAGTGGGCCGAAGTACTATGGATCAAATACTTGTGGTCAGTCACTGTAGGTGGTGGCACCAGTTTCGAGACGCATTGTACATGTGGAAAAAGAAACGAAGGACCCTGCCCCACCGCCAGCAGGCGCTTACGAACATGTCAGGCGTCAGGGTTTCCGCTGCAACACTTTCCATGCCCAATGACGTCGGTGCTGCTATTCTTGAGTCTCCCAAGCCACAGTCCCTGACGCGCGTGGCTGACAGGCCCGTCAAAGTTTTCAGTGATAGTCATCAACTAGGGAGGGAAAATCGGGACGACCGTCTTCGTAGGGCACAGTTTACTTGGTGCCGATATTCCCGGTTAAAGACCCTCAAAGTCGCCCCTGAGGCAGCAACGGAAGAGAACCACCGGTCCAGGCCCCCGACCGAGTGTGGCGCAGTTTTGCGGGTTGTTTGATTTGGTTTGTCTGGTTGTACGTAAGTCCGCAGGCCGCCCAGCTCCATTCCGCTCCTTCGCCCTCTTCCGCCTTAACATCCCTCCTTTCTCGCTGCAATTCCTTTCCCGAGTGAGTCGGCTCTCTCGGTAACCCTTGGTTGATTTCACAGACTTGTCGCCTGGGCGCGCGAGATCCCGGGAGCTTGACACGGACATGGTTAGTGGTCCCCCCGGTTATCGCAAGACAAGCCCGCCGAACCATCTGGACTGACCCCGCGGTGTTTCATGGTTTCCAGGGTCACTCACGACGCCCCGTAGGTGGCGATAAGAAGAGCCGCTTTGGGCGCTCCAAAGCAGTCGCCGACGTGGGCGACGGCCGGCAATCAGGCAAGCCGCAGGTCAAGAAGGCCACCTTTGAAAGTAGCAAGAAGAAGGAGATCGGCGTTTCAGACCTCACGCTGCTCAGCAAAATCTCCAACGAAGCTATTAACGATAACCTGAAACTCCGATTCGAGCACGACGAGATTTATGTAAGGGAGCCTATGCCGCGGCCCACCGCGGGGCAGCTGTGCGCGGGACTAGAATGCAGACTAACGGGCGTCATACCAGACCTATATTGGACATGTGCTGGTCTCTGTCAATCCGTTCCGGGACTGTAAGTGGAGCTATGTGAGCTGTCATGCAATTTTAGGCTGCTAACATGCGATCGCTTCTATAGTGGGCATCTATACCGATAAGGTACTCGACTCCTACCGTGGCAAGAATCGCCTCGAAGTCCCTCCTCATGTATTCGGAGTCGCGGAGTCCTCATACTACAACATGAAGTCCTACAAGGACAACCAGTGTGTGATCATTTCCGGAGAGTCGGGTGCCGGAAAGACAGAAGCCGCCAAGCGGATTATGCAATACATTGCCAGTGTTTCCGGTGGAAGCGATTCGTCAATTCAACAGACCAAGGACATGGTCCTGGCTACGAACCCTCTGCTAGAGTCATTCGGTAATGCGAAGACCTTGCGCAACAACAATTCTTCGCGATTCGGAAAGTATCTCGAGCTCGAGTTCAACGCCAATGGGGAGCCCGTAGGTGCCAACATCACAAACTACCTACTCGAGAAGTCCCGAGTCGTCGGCCAGATCGCGAACGAGCGAAACTTCCACATCTTCTACCAGTTCACTAAGGGCGCGCCGCAGAAGTACCGCGACAACTTCGGTGTGCAGCAACCGCAAACCTACCTCTACACGAGCCGTTCAAAGTGTTACGATGTTCCCGGGATTGACGATGTTGCGGAATTCAAGGATACTCTAGATGCTATGAGCATGATTGGCATGAGCGAGGCGGAGCAGGATAACGTCTTTCGCATGCTAGCAGCCATCTTGTGGATCGGTAACATCCAGTTTACAGAAGATGATTCCAGCAATGCGTCGATCACAGATCAGTCGGTGGTTGATTTCGTGGCTTACCTGCTGGAGGTTGAAGCCTCCCAGGTAAACAAGGCTTTGACAATTCGGCTGATGGAGACCGCACGTGGAGGGCGCAGAGGTTCCGTCTATGAGGTCCCGTTGAACACCGTACAGGCTGTTGCGGTTCGGGATGCTCTAGCCAAGGCCATTTACTTCAACCTGTTTGACTGGATCGTGGAGCGCGTCAACCAGTCTCTCACTGCTCGGGGGTCCGTCACCAACTCAATTGGTATTCTGGATATCTACGGTTTCGAGATCTTCGAGAAGAACTCGTTCGAGCAGCTTTGCATTAACTACGTGAATGAGAAGCTGCAACAGATTTTTATCCAGTTGACTCTCAAGGCAGAACAGGATGAATACGCACGCGAGCAGATCAAGTGGACTCCGATCAAGTACTTTGATAACAAGGTCGTTTGCTCGCTGATCGAGGACAAGCGGCCTCCAGGTGTATTCGCTGCGTTGAATGATGCTTGTGCCACCGCCCACGCTGACTCCGGTGCTGCCGACAACACCTTTGTTGGCAGACTGAACTTCCTCGCTCAGAACCCCAACTTTGAAGCTCGCCAGGGTCAGTTCATTATCAAACACTATGCTGGTGATGTGAGCTACGCTGTCGAGGGAATGACCGACAAGAACAAGGATCAGTTGCTGAAGGACCTGCTCAACTTGGCTGGATCCAGCAGCAATCAATTCGTCCATACCCTCTTCCCCAACCAGGTCAACCAGGATGATAAGCGCCGCCCGCCCACCGCTGGTGACAAGATTAAGGCTTCCGCTAATGATCTTGTTGCAACTCTGATGAAAGCGCAGCCCTCGTATATCCGTACCATCAAGCCTAACGACAACAAGGCTCCTAGGGAGTACAACGAGGGTAACGTGTTGCACCAGATCAAGTATCTTGGACTGCAAGAGAACGTGCGAATCCGTCGTGCCGGATTCGCCTACCGTCAGACGTTCGACAAATTCGTCGAGCGATTCTATCTTCTGTCGCCCAAGACCTCCTATGCTGGTGACTACACGTGGACCGGCGACTCTGAGTCCGGTGCCAAACAAATCCTGAAGGATACCAGTATCCCTGCGGAAGAGTACCAGATGGGTATCTCTAAGGTCTTTGTCAAAACCCCCGAGACCCTCTTCGCACTTGAGGCTATGCGAGATCGTTACTGGCACAACATGGCCATCCGAATCCAGCGTGCCTGGCGCAATTATCTCCGTTACCGTATCGAGTGTGCTATCCGCATTCAACGGTTCTGGCGTCGCATGACTGGCGGGCTGGAGCTCATCAAGGTGCGTGACCAGGGACACCAGATTCTTCAAGGACGCAAGGAGCGTCGGAGAATGAGTCTGCTCGGCTCGCGCCGCTTCTTGGGTGACTACCTGGGCGTGGGCCACAAAGGTGGCCCTGGCGAGATGATTCGGAGTGGTGCCAATATCAGCAGTAGGTTTAGGATGGCTGTGTTCGTTTGACATGATCGTTTTCTAACCCCATTTTGCAGGCGCTGAAGATGTGCTTTTCTCGTGCCGTGGTGAGGTACTGATCTCCAAGTTTGGTCGATCCAGCAAGCCTGCTCCTCGGATCCTTGTGTTGGTGAGTTTATTTGCTCAGTGCTTCCCACCTGTGAACTACTGACTAACCGCTAGCTAGACCAACCGAAATGTGTACATTGTGGCCCAGAGTATCGTCAACAATCAGCTGGTCATTTCATCGGAGCGCACAATCCCGCTCGGTGCTATCAAGACCGTCAGCACTTCGAACCTGAAGGATGACTGGTTTTCGTTGGTTGTAGGCGCCCAGGAACCCGACCCTCTCCTCGCCTGCGTTTTCAAGACTGAATTCTACACCCATCTTTCCAATGCTTTGCGTGGCTCTTTGAACCTGAAGGTCGGCGAAAGGTGAGACGAGTCACCTGCAAATTATCATGTGAACGGGATCTAACAAATATACAGCATTGAATATCACAAGAAGCCCGGCAAGCTGGCGTACGTTAAGGCTGTCAAAGACCCGGCAGCAGGCGCCATCGACAGCTACAAGAGTAGCGCCATTCACACCAGTGCTGGTGAACCCCCCAGCTCTGTGTCGAAACCCACACCTCGAGCCAAGCAGGTTGCTGCACGGCCTGTCACTAAGGGCAAACTGCTTCGGCCCGGTGGCCCTGGTGGTGGTCCCTCGAAGCTGACTACTGTTACTCGGAGACCCGCTCCCGCTGCCCAGCCTCTGCCTCAGTCGACTCCCCAGCCCGCTGCCCAGCCTCGCATCGTCCCTCGGCCCGTGGCTGCGGCTACAGTGGCGGCTGCCGCACACACTCGCAACGAGTCGACGAGCTCCGTCAGAGCTCCTCCTCCTCCTCCACCATCCGCACCTCCTGCTGCCTCTGCTGCGCCCAAGAAGCCCACCGCCAAGGTCTTGTATGACTTTAGCAGCGACCGCGCAAACGAGCTGACTATCCGTACTGGTGAGATTGTGCAGATTGTTTCAAAGGAAGGAAATGGTGCGTAATCCCAATCCAAACTCCGTATATGAACGAATATACGCTGACATTTCTTCAGGATGGTGGCTCTGCATGAACATGACAAACTCCACCCAAGGTTGGGCTCCGGAAGCCTACCTTGAAGAGCAAGTCGCGGCCACACCCAAACCCGCACCTCCCCCACCTCCTGCCGCGCCTCGCGCTACACCCAGCCCCGTTCCTAACGGTGTCGGCGCCGTTGCTGCGGCCAAGTCAAAGCCGGCCCCGCCGGCTCCTCCTGCCAAGCGTCCGAACATGGCTGGTCGCAAGCCTGCTCCCCCACCCGCACCCCGGGATAGTACCTTGAGCATGAACTCGGGCGACTCGTCTGGCGCCAGTGGCCGTGGCACGCCGAACAGCGCCTCGAATGCCAGTCTGGCCGGTGGCCTGGCTGAGGCGCTGCGGGCACGCCAGAGCGCGATGCAGGGGAAGCACGATGACGACGATGAGTGGTAGGTATTCTGATGTGCATATGCAGAATTGTTCGTATTGCGTTGTGTTGTGCTTGATGTACCTGGTCGGTCGCAGGTGTTGGATCCGTGTTCTCGTTTCTGCGCTTAGCGTTGGACCTTTTTTTTTTTTTTGTTTCATCAACGCTTGTTCTTGTTCGAAATCCATTTCTCTTCTTTTCTCTTCTCGCTCTTCTTTTCTATGACGTTCTGTCCGTCTCTTGCAAGAAACGTTGATACGACACCCTCGGCATTCTGCATTCATTGAGGTCTTGATGGATAAGAACCTAGTTTATTACTGTTTACTGTTCTGTGTGGTGGTCATGGGCTGGCGGGTTCTGACTTGTTTTCTTCTCATCATTCCCCCCTTCTCGTTTCTCTTTATAAGGAATCCTTCTCGTGGTTCAAGAAGTAGAAAATGTGACGTTGACGAGAATCAGACGAGAATCAGACGAGAATCAGACGAGAATCAGAATCTATACTGTCTACAAAAGAAGTCGTCAATTTGATTCGATGCCCTGAAATTAGATCATTCATGAATGCTGTTCCAGACGACTTGCAACTATTCCTAGGCCAGGGAACGTATATGACGCCTCACTGGGACCGCACTGAGCAAAAGATCGAGATCGTGATCATTCCGATCTAGGACAGAAACTTGCTCGCCAGGCTCATCAGCCCACTGGGACCACCAGTGCCACCGATGCTACCACCCTGGCCCTTCATGTACATCTTGAGAGCCATCTCAGCAGCGTTGTTGATAGCGGACTGCTTGTCGCCAGACTAGACAGGGGACAACATTAGCACTTAGCGCCACACCTATAAGACAAGCCCAGCAGCAAGCCCAGCGGGCAGAGAAAATGCCCAACTCACCATATTAGCACCAGCCCCCTCCTTCTGGTCCCACAGCTTGCCAGCCTGCGCCATCGCCAACCCAATCAGCTTGTTCTTATCCATACCGCCATCACTGCTACCTCCAGAGGTAAACATCTTCAGCGCCTGCATGGCCGCACCAGCGCCAACGGTGCCAGAGTCGTGGCTGCGGCCCTGCTCATTGCCCTCGTTGTACATGGCATTGTGTGCCTGGACGGCGTGCTCCTCATCGACCTCGTACCGGGACGGGTCCTGGTACTCGCCCTTGCGCTCGTTCAGGAAGTTCATCGCCGAGCTGAAGAGCGAGCTATCCTCCGAGCTGTGGTGCGACTGCGCGTGTTGCACGGCGCTGCCGAAATCGTCGCCGCCGGAGTACTGGCCGGGGCCATCGTAGCGAGTGTCGCTGTAGTAGTCGTTTGCGGCCATGGTCGTGGATGGGGAGGTGGTGGTGTTAAGTGGAAAGGAAAGGGATGAATTGGATGGGAAATGATGGAATTGTAGGTGTAAGGCAGCTAGCTGTAGAGAGGGGTGGAGGAGGGGTATTTACTCGCCGAGCTACTCGGGGTGGCGGGGCGAGTGGAGCCCGATCGAATGAGGAGCTGAGCGATGCGCTGGTGTGGCGCACACGGGCAGATGGGCTTTCCAGTAGTGCATGGAAGATTGTTCTCCTAGTTCCACGTAAAGGGAAGCGAATAGATCTCTCGGTATGGCCTGGTGTTTTCCACCATTGGAGTTGTCCCGGACGCCGCCTGTGTGAGATAAAGTTCATCCATCCACGTGTAGATAACCCTAAGCCAAGGTCGTCTAGCTGCTTGGCCCTTCCCAAGACCACATTAGCAGGGCACCGCGGCCCAGTTCACTGCTTACAGACAGCTGTTGCGAGTGCTCGTACAGGGTGGAAGGTTCAATTGATCCGCACCATTGTACACACGATATATTGAAGACAGCCTTAGCACCAAAGCAGCATAGAGCAAATAGATGGAAAATAAAGAAAAACCCCAGGGTATCGGATGCATCAGAAAGCATAGAAAATCAAGAAAGGATTAAAAAGAGAAAAGCGCCAGGGCGTCCATCCAGGAACCGTATCGAATGCGTGTGCAACACGAAGAAGAGCAGAAGCCCCCATCAGAGCAGAAACATCTCATACTCCTCATCGGCAAAGGTCCTTAAGAACCTCAGCTCCCTCTCCCGCGCGCCAAGCACACACCTCTCATCACGATCCAACTCCCCCTCTGGCAGCCACTCATTCGGCAAATCCGTCAACCCAAACGCCTGCCCCCAATTCCGGCGCTCATACTGCATGAACCCACCGAAATGCGGGTCCGTATTGGCGACCCAGACTGACCCGCCATCAGGCGCATAGTCGGCGCCGCCGACCTCGCCGAAGAAATCGTGCACCTGCCGTGTCTGGTACATCTGTGCGTCGATGATGGAGATGCGATCAGCGGGCTCGGCGCAGAGAAGCGTGCGCGGACCGCCACCAACGGGGGAGAAGCGCAGGGAGCGGTAGCCCGCGACGTCGGAGTCGATGGTTTCTAGGGAACGCCAGGTACGCGCGTCCCAGATGATCACTGTTTTGTCTTGGTTGCTGGTCGCGATGTGCCGCATGTCGGGGGACCAGGCGCAGGCGAAGCCAAAGTCGCGGTGGCCACGGAGGGGGTGGACAGGGCGGCCGGTGTCGGCTTCAATGACCCATGCATCTGGGGAGTCGCCGATGACGACGCGAAGACGGCTGTCCGGGGACGTGGCAGTGCAGTTTATGGGACGGGAGAGCTCTTGGTCAGACAGGAAGACGTTTGTCTCGCAATCCAGGACACGCAGATGCCTGTCGTTCGAGGCGAAGACGCAGATAGGCTCGCGGCCGGACCGGTTGCGGATGATGTCGACGTGGTTGGTGATGCCATCGTTGAAGTCTGGGGTGACTAGCCCTTTTGCACCAGAGCCCTCGCCGCTTGACCCACGCAGCGCGTACTCGCCACAGAAACCGCCCGCGATAGTCAGGCCATGCGCAGATTTCATACTTGAAATCTTGACCGGCCCCAGGAACCCCGATTCGGGAGATGGACGGGTGAGATCAATCAGGCAGTGGAGATCATCAAAATCCGGAGTCCACGAGTACACCTTTGACCGGCTAGCAAAATGGACGGTGTTATACGCAGGCACCGACATCAAATTGCGAAGCTGGAAGTGTTCGACAGTCGCCTTATGCGCAGTGTGCATCGATTTCTCCTGGAAAAAGACCTCCTCCTGCGGCAGACGTTCTGCGCGGGTATTTTGCGAGTAATCCAGGTTGTGGTAGGAAGTGTACCAAGCATCGCGGAGTGCCCGGGCATCAGTCCGCTTTACTTTCAAGGTTTCTGTCCAAGGCATTTGCTGTAGATCGTAAAATTGACCACTGTGTCCGTGCGGCCGGTGAACCTCTAGCGGTGGGTGCCAGCTCATCATTTTGGAAAGAGGGCGGAGCTGGGGAGGGATTCGATTCTCTGAGTGAAAACCGTGCGGGATGATGTTGGATTGGACCATCCAACGTTGGATGAACTCGTCGATAGTCAGGTTACGTTCATAAGCTGGAATTGTCAGAGCAATGACTTCACAAGAGGATTGGAAGGTGTCATACTAGTTGTGTGAATAATGGACGCAGGATGCCACGCAACCTCTTCGTCTGGCTGATTTTCAACAGAAAAGGGGTTCACTGGGGTCTCAGGTGCCTGTGGCGGGCTGGGATCCGTAGGCTCGTAGATGACAGTTTGATAAAATTCATCAAGATTCACCTCGTGCATGGCAGTCTCGCGCGGCGAGTTTCCAGCGATGTATTGGTGATAGTATTCTTCTTCATCAGGGTAAAACTGGAGAAAGTCCTCCAAATCATCATTTGGAATGGTAGACGGCGATGCATGGTCCTCCTCGAAGGCAGAATCATAGTCCATCATCATATCGTCTTGTAGGCTTTCACTGCCACCTGCAATCGTTGCGATGTTCTGCCATGTTTCGGTGCGCTCAATCAGCTCCTGTACAATGCTTTCCATGTCCACGCCACTCCCAGTTGTCTGCGAGCCAGGTGAGAGGTTCTCTGACGCGGAGGGTAGACTGTGCGCTTCAGATTGCGTTGGGTACAATCTGTCGGCCGAAGGATCCGAAATATCTCCACCCGCTTCCAGGAGCGCAGAGTCGGAATGACGCACTGGCGAGGTACCGCCAGTAACAGCATTCACGACTTGAGAAACTAAGAACGAGTCGCTCTCATCGTTGGCGGCGTAGGGATATTGCGCCACGGCCGCCAGAGCCGCAACCCCAACATTATGCAAATGCTGATCATCGTCTGGTGCCGCCATGTCATCGGCTGTAGCCGCTAAAGCAGAGAGGGGCGAACCGTGACGGACCTCCGTACTCAGGGCCGAAGCATCATCTTCAAGAGTAGCGGACCTACCGCCGGGCGAAACTGACTGATTGCGATTCATACGTGGATGAGCTGACACTCCAATGGTATCACTTGACCCATGGCGAGAAGCAGGTGGTGGAAGGTAGTCTGAATAGCCGGACAAGTCGTATGACGGCAGTGTAGGTCCAGCGTTGCTGTCACCGCGCATTGCCTGTCATGGGGGGTCGGAAAAGCAAAGGTGTCTCCCGGTCCGAGGAAGATACCGATTTGGTGGGGTCGAGAGAAGACAGGTGCCCAAAGAGCTTGTACCTCGGAACAGCCGAAGTGGACGATCTGAACAGAGAAGAGCCAGGAACAATGCAGACAACGGACAGATGATCAGAGCCTGAAAGAAAACGTTGTGGCCGGGATTGGGTTGGGAGTGGGGTTACACAGGCTGGAGAAGCAGAAGCCGAGTACCGTATCTTCGCGCGCGGGATCCTGGGTCTCTTTTTCTTTACTTTTAGCTTTGCAATGACCTGTCGCCTCGCAGCTGACCGTTTCGCACTGATCCCTCCGCAAAGCGTGGCGGACTCGGCCGCAGCCGCTGACAATATGTGTAGTTGACGTGGGCGGAAGTATAATGCCGAGAGAAGTGACGGTTGGAGTCGGCGATAAGCTGGTAAGATCGCGCGAGCTGCAAAGGCAACAAGGGATGGACGGATGGCGGGGTGTGGGCAGGCAGTAGTCTGCGCAGGGGGGAAAGAGGACGGCAGGTATGTTTAGGGCCCGCCAGTAGTAGTGTCCGCCCAGCTGGGGCGAGCGACTTAAGCTTGGCTTCTTGCGCCGTTATGTCGCCAAATTGGAAGGGCGACCGGCGTGGCGGGTTGGGGACTGAACGCAGACGGTTTTTTCCGGCTAGCGCGTTGACAGGTTCAGGAAAGCGGCGCACGCGCGCGATGCGATTGGGAAAGAGCACGACCAAAAAGCGGGATTAGTTCAGCAGGTACCAATTGTCCGAGCGTACTTTTGCACTGTAGGCGTGTGGGACATGACAGGTGGAAGTGGGGAGGGTCAACGGGTGAACGTGGAACGTGTCGGAAGTAGAGTAGGGAAGATCCCAGTAGTCGCAGTATCTTATAGTGGTAGCAGGAGGTGGAGGCTTCGTCGGGGAGCTTTACCTCCGATGTTGATCTCTTCCCAGGATAAGACGAGGCTGATAGGCGGAATGTAAGATGACGAAAGAGGGGAGTGGGGTCAGGAGAAGATGATGGTTCGCTGCGGGCGGGTTGGCGATTTCCAGTGCGCGAAGAGAGGGAAGAATGGAGGGCGGTGCAGCCAGCTGCCCAAGGACAGAGGCTGATGTCAGAAACGGCTAAAGACGCAAGGAGAGCGTAGAAGAGCGTCTCTGTCGAACCGGTCCCGAAGGTTGGGGGAAGTTCGACAGGCAAAGCAGGTGGACGTCCGTTGAGGCCTGGTATGAGTCAGCACAACCCACGGTGCCCGCTGCGTTCCAAGGTACTCGACCGGCGATTCCGGGGGTAAGCTACATATATAGCTCAGGACCAAGGTATAGGTAGTGAAGTGGAGGAACAAATGCAATAATATAAAACGTATCCCTTAAGACAGACGTCCCCTACCATCTCCCTGCACGCTATGTAAATCATACTGCAGGGAGCGACGCACTGCAGATCTACCTCGGCCAATGCCCAGATTACCTGCGCTTTGATCCATTAGGCACAGCTTGGGCTGGCATGAGAGGCGAAACCAAGCCACGCCGCGTTCGGAGCGGACGCTGACTCTAAAGGGTCAGAGTAACACAAGGCCAAATAGCCTATAATAGCCACAATCTCCGCCTACGCTTGTAGTATACTACAGTACGTACATATGTGGCGAAGGGGGGAAGTGAAAACAGTATACTACGGCATCAGCATCAAAAATACCACAAGTTGTGGATCGGCCTACCGATAAGAAAGAGGCAGTATACACCCAACGACTAGAGAGCCTCCCTCGAGAAACCTCACTGGACCACCTCCCCCCCCAACCCAACCCCTACAGACGACTCCAATTGGGGGGGGGGGGCCAGTGAGGTTTCTCGAGGGAGGCTCTCTAGTCGTTGGGTGTATACTGCCTCTTTCTTATCGGTAGGCCGATCCACAATTGCTTGAATGTTTCGTAACGCACCCACGTCAAAGGGCTCATAGCACCGAACCATTTTTTGAGAAGATTGGTGCTCTTCTCGAGCTCTCTGGTCAAGGCCTCGCTTTTGGGGCAGTGTGCCAGTTTCACCTCGTGGCAGGCAATGGAGGATCATCAAACGTCCTCAAGCGAGGCTTCCGGAAAGCTGCTCGATTTCTTTGAGATGATTTTCGTCGATTTCTTTTCGGGCTAGCCAGAGCTGAACAGCCAAATCCATCATATCCACAGTCACAGAATCATTGTGTTGCCTCTCAGATCTTGCCCACGAAAGAATAGTTCCTAATATGCAGAAGGTCTGGACAGAGTAAGGTCGGATTTCTTTCAATTCAAGCATACTGATCGCGAAACGAAGTGCTTCGCTGATCATGGGGCCATCATATCGAATGTTGAACCAGATTCCCGTAGGAAGGGCTGGGCAGCGAATGAATCATCGCTTTGAAGAGCCGCGAGCATGATCTTCCCATGGGCATTACAAGCTTGTCAATTTAACGAGACAAATGTCCTTGTTTGGACATTCAACTTTCAGCCGTTTTCGCCACTTGATATGAGCAATCTATCAAGTTCAAACAGCAATAGTGCCCATTGGAAGTTGCTGAATAGAAGCAACGCGAGGAAATGGTCCGTGAAAGACTCAATGTCCAGCTCAATGCCTGAGAACCGCCGAAATGGCCCTACTGACGTGTCGACTCCCTTCTTTGGGACACTTGAGGCAAAGGTTGCTTTCATGCTTGACTATGCGGCTATTTCCCCAGCCGACGACTCACTTGGCGAGCGGGCAGAAGAGCTCCTAAGGGTAGAGCTCCTATGGGTAGATCACCCATGCGAGCCCTTCTGCCTGCTCGCCAAGTGAGTCGTCGGCTGGGGAAATAGCCGCATAGTCAAGCATGAAAGCAACCTTTGCCTCAAGGGTTCCAAAGAATGGAGTCGACACGTCAGTAGGGCCATTTCGGCGTCTCTCGGGCATTGAGCTGGACATTGAGTCTTTCACGGACCGAAACAAGTCATCATCGTCGCCTAACCCGGTCCGCAAGGCATGGTCGAAGTCCCGTCGGAAGACCGCATGTGGAGCTCCTAACCGATGATTCTGTTGTTCTTTCTTTGCAGCTACTCGCTTCGGCCGAACAACATGGAGCCAGTGAATTATTTGCGGACCTGGCGAGTTGAAGGCTTCATGGATGTAATTGGTTGTTTGGAAGTCTGGCTTGACCCTATTTTGTGCCCATGGGGTCATGAGATTCAAACCATATGATTCTCTCTTGATGGAGTGGCTGCCACATTGATCAAGGTCTCCATAGTTTGAATCTCATGACCCCATTGGTACAAAATAGGGTCAAGCCAGACTTCCAAAGAACCAATTACATCCATGAAGCCTTCAACTCGCCAGATCCGCAAATAATTCACTGGCTCCATGTTGTGCGAGTAGCTGCAAAGAAAGAACAACAAAGATTCTCTCTTGACTATGCGGCTGCCACATTGATCAAGGACTCCATGGTGAGTACCGATGGCCTTGCAGAACAAAGCTTCCAAAAGATTCGTCCGGTTCTCTGTCCAAATTTTCTCTTCTGGTCCACCCATCGTCGGGGAGATTGGCAATGGAAAGCGCAGTGTAGACTTCATCCGATTCTGGGCCTGGCAATAAAATAATGCAGAGTCTCAGTAGACTCCCGCAAAAATTTTTGGGCATGCTGACTGATGAGGTGACGCTGAGCATTGACACATTGCCCAACGTAGCCTCTGATGTATTCCGGATGCCTTGCATCAGTGATATAATCCAAGTATCCCATCGAACCGTTCCAGTCCTCGTACTTTTGTTGCTGCTGTCTAGCTTGATCAAGAGACTTTCTGCAGACGGGTTGGCCCTGAAGCTTCAGAGTTTCTGGTCTTATGAGACTGAGGAGTTGAGGTATGACAGGCTCGATGCCGCCATGTCTGGCGATGCTTTGGTCGTAAGCTGCTTCCACGCTACCAAAAACCTGTCGTTGACGATATCACGGAAGAGGCTGCAGCAGAGGCATTCAAGATCAGGGAATTTGAAAGGCTTTTCCGCTATGACGGACTAGATAGAAACACGATTAGAGATTGAATCCACGAATATACAATTCAAATCTTACCTCACCAACTGTTTGAGGAATGAGGAGCCACGTCGGATCATCACGCTGTGGCGCCACCATCAAAACACTGAAATGATTGGTCCCTTCGAGAGGACTAGTATCTCCGAGACGATTGGGCCCTCCGAAACGCTTAGTATTGCGTTTTCCTTTGTTGACAGGAAGTTTCTCGAGCCTTTCCTGTTTCTTGGCTGGCGTCTCGAAAATCTTTTTGCAGCGCTTGGTTAGGTGACTTTCTCACCGCATTTCCCACAACGTGGTGTATTTTTACAATCCATGAGGCAGTGGCCGTATTTTTTGCAGTAGGAACAAGGAACAGGGGCAGTCTGGGCATGTTGCTCGTTCCTACTGCAAGAAATACGGCCACTGCCTCATATACTGTAAAAATACACCACGTTGTGGGAAATGCGGTGAGAAAGTCACCTAACCAAGCACTGCAAAAAGATTTTCGAGACGCCAGCGAGAAACAGGAAAGGCTCGAGAAAGTGGACATCTTGCTCGTGTCACATTTGTCTGACCACGATTCCGACATGCCATCCTAGTATCGTCATGAATAGGCATAAGGGCCGTATTGGATTTAGGAAACAGTGGAGCTGAGAATGAGAGCCTGTTAGATGTGGCTTGCAAAGGTAAACGGTCGGTACTAACCAGAGTGCACAGAGTGTAAGCGCAAGCTGACCAAGCAGGGGAAGCTTGGGAAGTCGAGAAGAACAGGAGTTGAGAAGGACAGGAGACAAGAAGAACAGGAATCGAGAAGAGCAAGACACAAGTGGGCATATAAGCCCACGATGGAAATGAACACAGAGAGATGGAGTGCAGACGTGTATCGAAGCTTTTCAGATTGAGAAAAGGGAGCAAGCAGGCACAAGGACTAGAAAGATAGCCTCTTACCAGCTGTTGACATTACAAGAGAGAACATGGGATCTCCGAGACGTATTGCATTGAACTAGAATGGCAAGGACAAGGAAAGAAGGGGATAATAAGGAAGAGGAAGGACTGAGAGAATCTAGATCTCTTCTCGTCATCCCCTCAAAGGTAAGTTCCGTCCCCTCAAGGGTAAGTTCCGTTTATCAAGGGTAAGTTCCGTTTATCAAGGGTAAGTTCCGTCCCCTCAAGGGTAAGTTCCGTTTATCAAGGGTAAGTTCCGTTTATCAAGGGTAAGTTCCATCCCCTCAAAGGCAAGTTCCGTCCGGTATGCTCTATCAGACATCAAACTTACCCCAACGTAATTTTAAACCTCACGGCCTCAAGCTATGACATTATCAGAGTAACGATGATGAAAAAGAGCGAGCTGGAAAGGAACCAGGCGCATTCAACGAAATAACGAAAGTGAAGAAGGAAGAAACTATGGAGGTGGTGTCAACTGTTTTGTAGAGAGCTTCCATACAAACGGGCCCCATCAGGTTAGTCCAGTCAGCTGCTCCCATCCACCACACATCCCTTAGGAAATCTCCGTGTCCATTGTTATGTCATGCGTCACAATCAGGGTCACATAACGACCCAGAAAGCGGCTATGTTAACTGGCTGCTTTCTGAGTCGTTGTCCCGGCGTCATCTCCCCCAACTTACAAAGACTATTGGTAGGTAATGTAACATGCAGACATATCATCTATCTAGATTTTCAACACGACCGTCGGGAGAGAAGGGAGAGATGCAGCGTTATATCTGGTCCTGCTTGTAAAGAGAGAGGCCATACCTAGCAACACGGATAGTTTTAAGTAGATTTGGGGAAAATGGTAAAGAAAAAGGAATAAGTAGGGCGTTGCTACTCCGACCCTCTCTGCCTGATTTTTCTGGCTAAGAGACCTAGATAGGCTTAGCCAATTTAACTTCTACACCGCCTTCTTCTCCGCTTCTAACTTTCCTTCTACAACTATCGTTGAGTTGGAGTACTCCGATACCCCCTAAGACTCAAAACAAAACTTTTAGAACGACCTCCCACAACCAATACTAGATAGATTACGCTTAAATCTAAGATAGAGATATGGGAGTACCATAATTAAAACTTCCTAAAACTCAAATGGAATGCGACCATTAGAAAGGTAGTAGTAACTACAAAGAGTAAGAGTGTAGAAGGCATCCTAATTTTTGATAGGGTACTTGGGCCCTTTCATTTATACAGCAGACAAAGTGGAAACCTAATAAATCATGTAGGGGGGTTGGAGTATCAACACCCTAAGTATATTGTAGAATTTCGAGTATTTCATCTACCCGGCCTCGCTCCTCGCTGGTGTAATGGTAGCGCGTTTGTCTTCTAGGTAACGTGGCTGAGGTCCGATGCGAGGAAGTTCCTGTAAAGGATTACTTTGTTTAAAAGGTCACATGGGGAAGTGTGCGTGTCAGAAATTGGTTATGGGATAAAAGATCGTATCCTGCTTCCTTTCATCTGAATCTGTCAAGATTCAGTCTCTGAAACAGAACAGCGCTAAATTTAATCAATCGTGTTTCACTTCCTTTTCACCATTAATTTTTTAATCTAATCGACAGGCCACTACCCTAACAAGTAGTTAACCATTACAGTTCCCTCTGCCCTAATACTAAGTGAAAATGGACGAAAGTAGAGAATGAGAAAATAGTAAGGTTCCTCTGAGGCGGGTAAAATGATTTATTTTAAGTCATTCTTTGTTAAAAAGGAACAATAACAGGGCGCCCCACTGGCGCAATGGTAGCGCGCTTGACTTCTAGTCATGGGATGAACTCCCGGCTGTATATCAAGAGGTTGCCGGTTCGACCCCGGCGTGGGGCTTGCATTTTTTCAGAATTCATGGTCACGTGACCTATGATGTCATAGAGAGGAAAAGCTACGCTCGATCTTAAATTTTAGACCTTGCTTAGATTTTGCTCTCAATTGCGGGATATTATTATTGCCTAGCGACGATACCATAGGAGCCGTAGTATTCGTCTAGTCTATCACCGCCCTGTCTGGTCATAAAAAACTCTAGGGAAGATTCAGTATAAATGAGTCTGATTATTGTCGGCTCCACTGTTGCTAGGAGAAACACGTCAGTCAAAAGACAGAGTCGCTGTACAGACATAGTGGAAAATGCGAATAAAATAAATCAGGTAACAACGAAGATCCAAAAGGTAATAATAACACACGTATGATATAACTCTCGTCACTCATGCAGCACTGTAAGATGGACAGTCCAACGCAAGGTAAAGCCAGAGTATTTGCCTCAGACTGAGAGGAAACGGATCGGTAGATTAAGCAAAGCAGTATTGAACGCCGCCCCGAGAGTAAATAGATACTCAGCATGGTAAGTATGATGGTATGGTATGTGAATGGCAGAATAGATCACAGGCGACAGTAGCGCATAAAGAAAACAAAGGGCGGAAGCCTGAGTCAGAAATGCGGGTTTAATAATCCGAGTAGGTCTCGTAATTAGAGTACCCATTCCCATTTGTGGGCCCAGGAGCATGCGTCTGCGGCTGCGTCCAGCCGCTATTCCGCAGGCGGCGCTCCTTTTCGAAGTCACGCCACCGCTTCATGGTAATCTGCGTGCTGTCGAACTCACCCTCGGCTGCGCCGTGACCCTTGTCTTTCTCGCCGGCCGTCTTGCGAGTATCACCCCAGCTGAAGTCGTCGAACTTCCAGAATGCGTAGGTCGGGAGCACGAAATTCCAGATCGGCAGGGAGACGAGGTAAATCAGCATCCAGAGGACGTAGACTAGGCGATGGGCGGTGACCACGATCAGCACTCCTGGTAGTCCCAGAATAAGGGCCAGCAGGACGAGCGGGATCACTTGGACGGGCCTGCGGACGATGGAGGAGATGATGACGTAGATGGTGAAGGCGATGGCGGCGGGGAGGACCAGGGTACCGATGAGCTCGATGAAGATGACGAACTGCATGCTGAAGCAGAAGGTGCCGCAGAGGTCGCGCACGAGAACTAGTTCCAGTAGGTTATGCACGGTACTGTTGATCCAGCGGCGGCGCTGGGAGAGCAGGACCATGAACTTGTCGGGGACGACGGTCTTGCAGACTGCTTGTGGGACGAAGATCTGCTTGCGCTTCGGGAAGGTCTTGAGCATAAGGGTGGTCAGGTACCGATCCTCGCCTAGGAGCAGCAGGTTCTTCTTGTGCAGGGTGTCGACCACGTTCTCGGAGTAGTGCTCCACGATATCTGGGTTCGCAAGGATGGGCACCCAGTAGTTCTGGCCGCCCTTGGGGGCTTTGATACGGTACATAGAGAAACAGCCGGGCAGACAAGTGACACCACCGAAGACGGACTCGAAGGACTTGGCCTGGTGGTGGGAGATGAAGTATCTGGAGGGGGGAAGATGATTAGTCTGTGCCACGTTCGACAGGACTGAAAAAAGAAAAGGGGGGGATGACATACTCGAAAACCTGGATCATCGTTACCCAACTGTCGGTCTTGTTGGCAATCTTCGTCTCTCCGCAAAGACCCATGATCTCCGGGTCCTTGACCATCGCTGAGATCATATGCGTCAAGCTGTCCGGGAACACCTTTGTATCGGCGTCGACCATGAGCACGACCTCATAGAAGTCCGGCGGAATGCCCGTGACATTCCACATGCCATTGAACATCTCGAACTCAAGCTCCGTCATCCGCTCGTCGAACATCACCTTCTGCAAGAAAGACATCAGAATGATCTGACTGTCACGCTTGCCTCGGTTGCCAGGCTTGGACTGAGTCGATTCTGCAGGAGTACCGCACTTCACGATGACCATCATCGGCACCCGCTGCTGCTTCTCGGGAGGAAACACGGAGGTGTCGCCATAGTCATAGAAGCCGGAGTACACCTTGGCCATGTTGTGACGCTTGGAACCAGTGGCCACCGCGACGTAGGAAAAAGGCTGGACTTCATGAGGAGGAATGACGTGGTCCTTCACCATGCCGAGCACGATTTCCGGAGTGGAGAACTCTTCGCCTTTACCCTTGATCATACCATCGCAAATGACCAGAATCGTCTTGTGACTGTTCGGGTAATCGGTCATGGCAATCGAGTCCAGCGTAGTCCGAATCCCTTCCTCGCCTTCCGAATAGCAAGTGACAATGCAAAGCGAGTGGGCCAACGGATACCCGAAGGGTTGCCAGTCGGGCGGGGGTTGCGGAACAACAGATTCGTGAATGAAGCCGGCGGGACCAGGGCCTTCCGACTCGGAAATAATGGTTGAGTATCCAGGGTCTTGCTGTCCATGACCAACCAAGCTGGTCCGGCTGGCACCAGGGTTGTGGCGAGAGTTATCAGCGCTGAGGGTGCCCCCACTGCCGTTATGGCTCAGTTTATACATTGTGTTGCTGGTGGTGGAGGTTGGCATGAGGCGAGAGGTCGAGTTCTGGCTGGCCATGGTGACATATTGCCTGTTTTGCTTGCCAGTGCCGGTGCTGCCCACCACATAAGGGCTGGAGAAGCGAGACGTAGTAGGCAAGAAACTGGCGCGCTTGTTGACACGATCGGGGGCTGGGGGGTCTGCATTACGAGGGCCAGGCCGGTAGATGTCATTGGACCAGTCTTCGATCTGCTGGTTGCGCGTCCGGGCATCCGAGGCCATGCTGGTCTGCTGCGCAGCGAACCTGGGCGCCAAAAACCATTGGAACAGCAGGGCGAACGCAAACTTGACCACAACGATAGACAGAATAAAGATCAGAGACACGTAGAGCACAACCTTGGACGCAATGCAACCGACGGTGTCCGTGTCAATGCTGCCCACCTTGATGATCTCGGTCAGGCATTTGCCTATCTTCTTCTGGTCACCACTCTGGAAATAGTAAGTGAGATCGACACCACGGATGGCAGCGTTCTCCCGCAGCTCATCGAACTGGGTAGGGTACTCCACTTGAGATTGGTTGAACCACCGCAGGAGATCCAGGTCCAGAACATTACCGGAGTACACGGCCAGATTCCGACTCTTGTTCTTCGTGTCCTCCCAGGTATAGTACACATCTCCAGAGCCGGACAACTTGTAGAAAGAATTCCGCGCAGACCCACTGGTGTGACAGCCCCAGCCCAGATAGTAAGAGACCGTCAAATTGGGATCCGACGAGCCGTCCTGGTTGAAGGCGGTGCAGGGGAAATACCAGCCGAGCTCACCCTTGGAATTGGTCGGGACGCCACCGCCGTCCTTAGCAGTGATGAGTCCCTTGCAAGCACCATTGACTTGCTGAAAGAAGAAGCTTCCGTCTTGGCCGCCGTACTTGTGCGGCAGGTCGTACAAGACGTTCGTGCCAGAGGGAATGCCCTCCGCGGCGGGGTGGGTGGATTTCGTCAGGTCGACGGCCGTGCCATGGAAGATCATGTAGCCGTTGCCAATCTCGTTCACCTTGAGTCGAACCGGGGGCTTGCCGCAGACCGTCGCCGTGAAACCAAAGGTGAGGAAACCGACAAACGCGGCAATCATCAGAATGAGACTGATCAGGCCGATCTTCTCTCGCCACGCGGTTCGCTGCTCCTTCTGCGGCATGCCGAAGCATTTGAGCACAAAGTCGGGCACCAAGCAACTGATCAGCGCGCAGTACGTGGTCCACAGATCTGGCGGCCGCGCCTGTTCCATCGCTTTTTGCCGTCTCTTCTCCTCTGCCGATGCGCTCTTCGATCCCCGGTGAGACGAGCGCTTCTTCTTTTGGACCGATGCCGACTCGGTGCCCGGTCCATGGGCTTGTTAATGTTGCCATGCGCGCCGTACAATTGCTCCTTTGATTTCATGTCTACGCTTTTCGAGCTATTGGTCTCCGCCTCAGGGTCCCGGTCAAGCAGCGGGTCCTCGCCCGTCACCGAGGGATGGACGGGCATGTGGTGCGATCGTTGTCGGTAGTGGTAATTGGGGTGATCCCGGTCCATATGCCGTCGCTCCGGTTTGACCAGGGTCTTTTTGCGTTTCAGGTCGCCCGCGTGATCCATCCGCTCCTCGTCCGTGTCGGGGCCCCTCCGGTGACTGTGCGATCGGCGGCGGTGGTGTCGATGCGAGGACGGCGAACTTGGGTTGTCGCTGTAAGTCCCGGAGTCGACGTCTCGACGACGCCGACGGTGCGAGGGCTCACGGAAGGCGCTGCGCTCCTCGCGCCGGGGCGAGGTCTTGCCCGGCCTTTGCGGCAAAGACATTGCGGTTCTATTGGGCACGGTCTCAGTCAGTTCACCGCAAAACAGCGTGCGAATTGTTCGCGGGGATGTCGCACTCACTCTTAGAGCACCGCAGTCGTGCACTATAGTTGTTTCGCTTGGATTTTTGTGTTTCGGAGAAGGATGTTTCGTATCGTAATCAGCACATAATCGATGCGGTGCGATCAGCACAGGTGTCAGGGTTGAGCAACCTGCGCAGATCTCGTATCCGGTCGCGCGAGAGGAGCCCAGTCCCTGTCAGGCTCAGGCACAAGAGTCTCGCCGTGTTTCGAGAATGTGCCGACGAACACTGCGCGTTCAATTTCAGTCTCGACAGGCGCACGCTGCAGGTTTCCAGTTGATAGCGCTGGACAGCGGTCGGCCGGTGCAACGACGGCCGGGGGTGGAGAATAAACAAAGTGCGGGCCACACGGGATGGGTCAAACAACGAGCGACGAGGGCGAGGACAGAGTTCGGATTCAGCGCAGGTTAACGAGAGGAGAGGTCGCGCCCGATAGCGAGTGCAGGATGTACCTGGAGAATCGTACCGGGGAAGGCAGAGTCGAGGACTGAAGCAGAGTCGTAGGAGTAAGACAAAAGAGGGCCGGGTGCCGGGTGATTCTGTGGGGGGAGGACAGCCAGGGTCTTCGAGTCACGGACGCAGAACTCGACTAGGCCCTTCCAGCTGTTAATAATGAACTAACGTCCGGAGGAGTGCTAGCTTGGTCTCCTCTGCTCGACTCGACCCTGCATTGCTTCGGCATTACTCTTCTGATTGCTCCGATGTTTTCTGTTCTAATTTGGCCCTGCTCTGCCTAGCAACCGCAATGCACCCCGTTCCCCTTTACCTCTGTCTAGTAGACCGTCCACTCCCGAATGCTGGCCGAGTGGCCCTAATTCCCTTCCACTCGAACGAGGTAGCAGCAATAATCACCAAACCACTCCCCTAATTACCACTCCAACCACCTCCTCATCCCCTGTCGCTAGGGGCAATAGCCCCCGCGTACAGCCCATCCCACCAATCACCAGCGCGGGGATTGGCGACACGACCCGTGGAGCCCCGCCGTGCACGCCGTGGGAACAAATCACGCTGCGCCGAGGAACTGGCGCCATCCCATTTGAGGCTAGGCCCTGTTCGGCTCTGCTGCTTTGCTGGAAGATCGCGCCGGCTGATTTGTCCTTTCTTGGGGGTTCCCTACGAAGTGTCCTTTCCAGTCATTGGGGGACTAACCCCATCGAGGAACCAGGGTCTGCTGGTCACGGGGCTGCTATTTTTGGAGGTGACTTGAGAGTCACAGTGAAGACTCGAGTCTTACCATGGACGGTTTTCTCGGTTCGCGGTGATTCTGGTTCTTGCTCGCAGATAAACGGAGCAATGGGAAAGGAACGACTGTTACACGGACTATGCCTCGGGTGCTTGTCTGTTCTAGCTGGACTTGATGTACCTTGCGCTGCTGGGAGGACTGTTCGAGGTACAGAGGAAGCATGTACCATTAATATATCATTATGTTCTGGTTATGCATGTCGGTTGCGCAACCCAACTCTCTGATCTATCGCTTCTAACCACCCTCTCTACGCATCCATGGCTCCACCAGCCAGCAGATAGTCAATGGATCTGGGAACGATCCTTGGCAGAGGACCGCCCTCGCCATGTAATTAATCGGTCGGCCTCTACCCAGCTAATTCAGTGCCACGATGGTTGCGTGCATCTAAATCACCGTTATGATGTAGGAAACATGGACTGGGACAGCTCAAGCGGGCTGCATGTCCCTGTCGCAGAAGACCAGCCTTCTGCCGCCGGGCCTCGTCACATCATGAACTCCCTCAGCTGCTTCCCCGCAAAAACAAAGCGACAAAACACAGGGCACGGTCGCGAATCGATTATTGATTGCTGCCACGGACCCGCCTTACAGGGGAGTTGAATCACTCCGGACGGAAACCACGACTTCCCTCGCTCCTTTCTGACTGATCCAGCCATAATACGATGGAGGCGGTCGAGGCCCTTGGGAGGCTCTCCTGCATCCTGTATTCCTTGGGGCTCATTCTACGTCTACGGGCCGCTACTCGCCTGCGATAGTTGTCCTGCTGCTATTTGAGCGAATATCGTACTTATCATGTTCCAGCCAGGATGGCATACCCCTGCGACGAGCCGGACTACCTAAGACGTAATGATTTGGCCCCTGCGCTCAGAGCACCAACATGAGGTGATCGACAAGGTGGGCGATCATCACGGCACTGAGGATCTTAGGGTCGGGGCATTGATACTCTATATACAAGAGACTGGCGAGATGGAACTATAGCCCAGCACCCCAAACTGAGACATATCAACCTATCACGGAGGGTCCCGTCCACCTCCAGCCCGATCTTCGATTAACTCGGCTTACGCATGCTCTGAAACAGCTGCGGAGGGGCCGGACGACTCATCCCCTCCGTGGCTGGTATCCCTGTGTGCGCCGTGCAGTGCTTTTGCGCATGGGGACCACGTTCCCCAGCTCGGGCTGGGATGCAGTGGAGCCTTGCATCTGACACTGGTGATCGGGGGCATGGCACCGGCATGCGCCACAGTGGTGCGAGGTGCGAGGAGCGAGGAGACGTTGCACTATTGACTCTTGCTGCGACTGCGTACCGCGCAACCGGATAGTCGGTGCAAGCGTCGTCATCTAGGGCTTGGACAATGGCGGTTGCCGAGGGCCCGAAACATGGGGTTGAGATCATGTTATGATTCTTTGCCCCGGTCCTGGGGTGCCGGACGTACTGTACGTAGAAACCCCGCAAGGAGTGTGGCCCGTGGTTCCCGCCATGCAAGATTGGCGGGGGTTCGCACCGCCCAAACTGCCAGTACCGCAGGTACCAGTCAAACTCAATTCTCTCCCTTTGCTGCTCCTCAGAAACCTGGAAGACGCACCTGTCTTTGTGTCAAGGGATTCGCGCCCGTCGATGCTGCACGCAGGCTTGTCCATGCTTACCGCCAGTCTCGGTTTTTGTCTCATCGCGGCTACAAAGGGTGGCGCCGGAGCCACGCTGCACCTGTGCGGTCCCCATATATGGAGTACGCAGTCTGGAATCCCCTCACGTCCTGGCTCACGGCCAAGTGCCCACCATCCGAAATATGACGCGATCGTTTGAGTGCACCTGGGCGATAATTTCAGACGCTGGTAGCGCCATGCTGGCCGCAAATCCCGATTTCGCACTAGTAGAAAAGCCGACATGCCTTAGCGGGATGCGCCCAATTCCCCGTGCGGAGCAGAAAACACAAGCACCAAAGTGATGCCGCAGCGTCCGGGGCTCCGATCTCGACAAGCGATCATCTGCCCGAGCTTCACTGCCCTCCGAGAGGGCCTGGCCGAAGCGTGGCAGCTGAACTTCCCTCCGAATGGGAGTACGAATGGGAGGCTGAACAGAAATGAAAAGCAGCCCATAGGCCTGATTTGCGGGGACGCCAAGGCCATGTCATGCCGCAAGATCACCCTGCCGGCCTCAATTTCTGCCTGGCCCACAAGCTTCGGGTGATGCCTCCGCGTGTTTGTGGGTGGGGCGATCGCACCATCGTTGTGCGGTGTACCGTGGACAGTGTATGGGGACAGCAGCGACAGAGCTGTGCAGCTCCCGGGTCCTGAACACGGGCTTATTGGGTGTGGGGGTAGAGACAGGCTCCAAGGGCAGACCTTCAGCTTTTCAGCCCGAGTATACGAGGCCAATGGAAAAGGGAAAACTTGGCTTCGAGTGGCGGGGGCACAGATGCGCCGAAACAGGCGTGGTGTGGGCATAATAATAGAATAGAGACACCGTGGGTGTGATTTGGTGGTCGGGTTCGGTGCAGCGGTTCAGTGAATCACTGGTTCCAGAATAGTTCACCCCACTTGCGCGCCGCATGATGACTGGAATTTTTCTTCCCACACGTCGCGGCTTGGCGATGGACTCGCAATGGATTCGAGGGCGAGCGGTTGAAGAGGCGACAAGCTATCACTAGCTCGTTGGATCGGATGAGATCAGATCGAGAAGACCAACCCGCGTAAAGGACCAAACAATCCCCTAATATCGCAATAACTGGACCCATCGTCATGCTTTTATCAATCGAGAAAGGAGTAAACTAGCGATGGCAGCCTGAGAGTGGAGGCGACCCTAGGCCTGCGGGCGTTCTTTGACGCTGTTGGCTGCGTCTCGCGGCGGGCCTGCGGGCTTTGAAGGTGCCATGGTGAATTCGCTGACCCTACAGTCAACTCCGCGAATTTAAGTCAGTGCCCATGGAGTTCTCCTCCCCCTCCCTCGCTTTGCAAGTCCCACCTTCTTTTGTCGCCCCCTGGACCTCAATGTAAAGTTGGTTCAAGGTCGCATCCGGTCTCCTCCTGATTGCCCTGCTAAACCCTGGCAGCTCTGCGGTCCACCTCCACGACTGGGGCTACCCGAACCCCCGACCTGACCCTGCTGTCTCCACGGTCCATTCGAGCTCTCATTGGAACACCAGATCCCATTCCCCATAGTCTGATCAAGGAGAAGCTGTCCCTGCCGGGTGGGACGAACTCTGCCAGCTCTCTTCTCTCGCTCTGTCGCCTCTCTCGCTCTCTCCACCTCCTCATCCGCCTTCTCCATGTCGCAATAAGACCTCCCAAACCGCTCCGCCCCCGTGTCGGCTCACTCGTTTGATTTGGATCGCCCGTCTAGCTTCACCTGCGTCTACCGTTACCTACATAGCACCACAAAGCACAACTCCTCCCGACACAACACGCCCCTATATAGCTCGCAGCTCGCACCCGACACTCGGGCCAGAGAAGATGGCGTCTCCCATCCCTGCCGAGCACCACCTCCCCTCCCCTCCTCCGGCATATCTCCGATCGTCGCCTCCATTCCCCTCAGCCTCTCAGGACTCCACTCCCCGCACAATCCCCCAGCACCCCCAAAACCGGCAGCTTCCTCGCAAACCCGTGTCAGTGCTGATCCCGGACTCCGAGGTCACGCCCGTCATCCAGGACTCTCCGCGCTCCCCCGTCAAAATCGACCATGGCGCCAACATCCCCCCAGCATCTACCGCCCAGATTGAACACTTTCCCAATGGGCCCATCACCCCGCAGCTCGAGCTCCCTAAGGTTGCTAGCAGCGCCAGCGACGACCCAGAACCGCCGCAGCATGCCTGGAATCCGGCGTTCCCGCCACGGAGGGACTCGACGCAAGCTCCGCACTATGCGCCACAGCATCCATATGACCATAACCCGGCCAGCAGTGGGTCGTGGTCGGTCGTCGAGAACTTGGTAAAAGAAGAAAGTCAAATTCCTAAGAAGAGCGGGACTTCGCTCGAGCGAGAGGGCGTCAGCCACAATACTTCCTCGCGCGGCAGCTTGGAAAGCGTAGCGCAGAATTCGGATGGCTATGAGCCACTGACCTACCATCACCAACAACAACAGACCACCCAGAATGTGCGGCACTCGACAGTCGGCATGAACCTGGCGGGCAATCCCTCCAGCTCGACGGGCAATCTAGTGGTGCAGCGATCTCGACTTGCGCGCCCGCTCTCGACATTTTCCTCGGCATCTGATCTGAATGTTGCGAACCACCGGCGCAATCTCTCTGCATCTCCCTATCTGCAGGCTCGATCATCATCGCGGAATTCTACCGCCTCCCCAGACAATCGCTCGCTTTCAGTCTTGGACTTGCTCAACACATCATATCCGCAGCCCGGGCCTACAGCTGCCCCCCTTGACAACTCTCACCTGAGGTCCTCCGTTGGCAACAATGCTTCTCTCCTCAGTCACAAACAAACATTCGAGATGTACCTGGCAAACGTCAAGAAAACGGACGAGCCGGCTGTGCAATACGAATTCGCCGTGTTCATGATAAACGCCATGCGCGAAATGCCCGCAGTCGACCTGGAAGACTCGACCTCCATCACCCGTCAACGGCTCCTCCGCGAATCAAAATCCATCCTGCAACGGCTCGCAGACCGCAGCTACCCCTTTGCACAGTACTACCTCGCCGATGGATACGCGTCAGGACTATTCAACAAAGGCAAAGAAGACCACGAGCGCGCATTTCCGAACTTCCTCGCCGCCAGCAAACACGGCCATGTGGAGGCGTCCTACCGCACCGCCCTCTGCTACGAGTTCGGCTGGGGCGTCCGCGTCGACGGCGGCCGCGCAGTCCAGTTCTACCGCCAAGCTGCAGCGAAAAACCATCCCGGCGCCATGCTCCGCATGGCCAAAGCCTGTCTGGCGGGTGACATGGGTCTCGGCAAGCGGTACCGCGACGGCATCACGTGGATGAAGCGTGCGACCGAGTCCTCGGACGCACAGTACAACTCCGCGCCGTACGAGCTCGGCCTGATGCACGAAACAGGCTACGGCGACGACGTCTTCATGGACGAGTCCTACGCCGCGCAACTGTTCACTAAAGCCGCCGAACTGGGCCATGTCGAGGCGGCATACCGGCTAGGCGATGCCTACGAGCACGGCAAACTCACTTGTCCACGTGATCCGGCGCTGAGTATTCACTTTTACACAGCGGCGGCGCAGAGTGGGCATCCGCTTGCTATGATGGCGCTGTGCGCGTGGTACCTCGTCGGTGCGGAGCCGATCCTCGACAAAGACGAGAACGAGGCGTATGAGTGGGCTGCGCGGGCCGCGGGTTCTGGTAAGCTTCAGCCTTGTGATCCCTATTCCAGCTCGACAGATTATTTCGTTCTAACATGGTCATCTAGGTCTGGCAAAGGCTCAGTATGCTGTCGGCTACTTCACTGAGATGGGCATCGGCTGTCACCGTGACCCGCTCGAGGCGAATGTCTGGTACGTCAAGGCCGCAGACCAGGGTGACGAGCGGGCCAAGCATCGCATTGCAGCGATCCGCGCCGCGGCCGACGGTGCGAACCCAGCCTTTGCCGCACGTGGCGGAGGCAGGTTCCGGAAGAGTGAGAGGAAGGGGCAGGGTGAGTGATTCGGAGCGCGAAAGAAAATTGGTTCTCGAATCTAACCGCTTAGCAGACGCAGATAAATCGAAGCAGAAGCGCTTCGTCATCTTCTGAAGCCTTCCCTCGACTCAACATAAACGCGGCATTTGGTTATGTCCCATGCAAACCTCGTTCGTCCCATCTCTGCTATGAAATCCGACCTTGGCCATTCTGCTCGCGTGCCCTACTTTCCGCTTCATTTGGCTTGCGCTCCGATTTGATCTCCGTGTACGGCTTTAATACATACTCCATTCTGCATACCAAAATTCACCCGCGGGAGGGTCTTGTTTGTTCGACTTTCTTGCATTCTTGTTTTTACCCTTCGTGTATAGCGCTCTTACCTCCTTTGCTTGTTTTGCAATCGAGTGCATATCATACCATGCCATCTATCTCTCTTCATCTTCATCAGATGTTTTTTGATTGGATTGCTCGCGAGCTCCGAGTTAACTTTCTGAAGCTTTTCATTCCATGTGCGGGGGCGTTACTTGCTTTTATTGCGCTTTGTTTCGTTTCATCTCGTTTACGGTTGTATGGACGAATCTCATGAGATCGAATGGTCTCCTTTTCTATGGCCTTGAAGATCTAATTTGCTACTAGCTACCTCTGTATCTATCTTTGTGGGTTTGGTTCAATTGAGTGCGCTAAAATGCTTCCAAACCCCAATCAATGCGTGTCTACATGGAACCCTGAGTCTGGGGTTCGACGTCTAGAATGAAAAATCATGTTCTCACAGTTCACAATCGGACCTTGTTGTCGTAGTTCTCACGGGGTTTGATCATCCTTATATGCCTGGATGTTGGGTTTGCCGTATGAGACGTACCACCTTAATACCGCAGTCTACTTGTTCACTGGAATACGCAACCAACTTTCCTCTATTTTACAAGAAGTGCGTGGGGGCGGAGGGAAACTGTACCTGCGATGCAAGTCGTAACTACATTCTTCCGCTGCTGGGGTATACTAGATAGATGTTATGTAAACGCAAAACACAAATTGATGCGCGTTGGATATTGATGAAATAAAAGCTAAATCCATACCATTAATGGCCAGATGCGACAGCAAATGAGAGAAGCATGATGTCGCCAAAACGTCGGCAGACCCTAGCTAAGAGTGGCTAGCTGCAAAAAATAAGCTATACACTAGATAGCTTCCAGCATTTTGCTACCGTCGTAGTAGTGCAAGAGCCAAAGCAGGGATGTAATTAAAGCAAGGAGTATGACTCAAGGGTAAAAAGGACATTCTATAGAGTTGGGAAGCCCTACGTAGACGACAGACAGCCTAGGAAGTTCCCGGAAATTTTCGCTGTTTCGAGCATTGCCGACTCTGCAGTACCAAACCGAGAAGCATCGAAGACTACGCAAGATGAGGAAGAGTACTATTCTAGAACTCGCTCTAGAAAGTGTCCTATATGGATTCTGGCCTACTTCTGCAGCTTTGACCGCCCTCAAAATTCAACCATCGCTACCCAAGGGCCACTGTATCGAGATCTGCGACCATCGCCAGCGACTCATACCACTGTTAATCGTTACATCATGAGTCCAACGTCTCTGCCATTGTCTAAATTACCCAGCTCCACATCGCACTCAACCACCTTACTGGACGAACTCGAGCGATTGGTCTGGCCGATCGTTGTGCTATGTCGAGCGGGTCATCATCTAAATGAAAACGTCTTCCCAATACACCCAGAGTTACAGAACCCCATCTATCCATTCGTTAGTCCAGCAGCCGTGAAAAGGACAAGTACAGATGGCGATTTATCTTCGGCGGTGATGATTAGTCTAGTTGCGTCCAGTAAGACAGCTCGCACATTTGCCTACTTTCCCACCAGAGGTCAAGTGAGTCCGCACCTCTTGGCTTTTTACAAGTGACATCGTCTGTAATGAGCATTTCTCAGGCGGCTCAAGTGGCCTTGCCGGTATTCAATAATAGGTGAGTTGCAATAGTTGTTATATATTTCATTCCCCTCCAGTCGCAATTCATATTTATACATCCACAGGTATATTCCAACAAAGGGACTGTTGCCTTGAGAAATGGAAGCATTCGCGGATCTGGGAAAAAATACAGTTTAACACCTCTGCGTCGAGGATACCGCAGATAGACTCAATAGGCCGAAGACCTTCTTCAACAACCTACATGCGAGAGGGGAGGAGCTGGTGAGCCCTCGCGAGCAGTGCGCCCGCGAATTGAGGTTGATATGAGGCTAGTGTGTCTCGGGTGCCTACAGCATCGAGGGCGGGTGGGAACAGCGGTGTCGAGGCCAGGTGAGCCACGAGGAGGCTTCGGTGTATCAGGGTTCAAAACCTTAAGAAAACATATAGTCTTTCTATGACGGTCATTACGCATGCGCAGCATTGTAGCTGTTACATGTTTATTGGGCAGATATCAGGGCTGTTGCTAGATATCGGGCATGGCAAGCTATGCGAGTGTCTATGTTGGAAGTTTGCTTGTAACGTAGCCGTGGAAAAACAAGATGTGGAGCAATAAATGCCCCTTCTTTTAATATAACCTTCTATTCCAATGCAGGGCTTCCTGGTGGGAATCTATCCACTACCTATAGGACTAGGTAAACTCCCTGACGATGGTCAGATGCTGGAAGTAGGTATTGATTTACGGCATTTCTAGCATGGGCCTAGGGTTGTTAAAAAGAAGTCCATCTTTGGACCATGTTCAAGACATTTGTGTAAATTATCCGCTTAGGGTCGTGGTCTCCGTTTTGGAAGCTCGGGCACGTCTGCGAAGGTGATACCGCCCGTCAAACATCAACGGTCTAGCTGACTGTATGCGACGATTGGAATGTCAAGCTCTGCATATTGCAGCCCCACGCCGTTTATTTGGTGTCCAAATTATATAGTGAGAAAGTCGCCCTCCGCCGCCGCGATAGGGTGGACAAGCTCAAATAGATGGATGGTAATCCGAAGCGTGATAGGTATGTACAATTTCTTATAGCTGGATCGAATGATCTTGTCAATCATTCAAAACCATAAGAAACCATCTAGAGAGATAGCTGGGAACTGCCCCACACCAGCTGATGCCTGGTTATTTAGACCAACCAACCCGACTGAAGCAATAGCGGGCTTTCATTTGCTTTGGAAGGCCCCCACTTGGCGGGTGTTGCCTGACAAGCTGCCAGGCAGCAGCCCCCTGAGAGCCCGAACTCTCAGGCCCACGATATCGTCAGTCTCACCCTGACACGTTAAAAACAGACCACCTTTCTGCTTCTGCTCCCTTTTTGTGTATCATAATTTTCTCGACGACTTGCTGCGTCTGGTGCTTGGCTCATAGCGTACTCGGTCTTGGTTTTCTCTCACCCCCTCCGACACGCTACTGCACACCTCGTATTTCCTTCACTCTCGCCATTTCCCCTTTGTTTTGATTAATTCCCATCCTCATCGACTCCATCTACCTCTCATCGCCTGATTTTGACCACAATGGCTCCTCGAACTTTCAAAAAGATGGTCATTGCCATCAGTGGCACTTTTGCCGGATACAAGCAGGGTAAGGGACCGACCACGGATCCTCGGGAACTGACCCCACAGAAAAGCGGAGATGAGGCTGACCCTTTTCCTCCTTCCAGCGGACATCAAAGCTCTCGTGGAGGAGCAAGGCGCCACTTTCAGCTCTTCGGTCACTGATCAGTGTACACATCTTGTCACCACTGAAAAAGATGCAGAGAAAAAGGGCATCAAATGTGAGACATAGCCAGCCCATGGCACTCAACGCCTTTGACCATTCCAAAAAGTGCAATTTTGACAAAATGCCCACAGACCAAGCTGCCTCTAAGTCTGTCATTTGCCAGGTTGTCTCGCTCGACTGGCTACTTGATTCTGTTGAGAAAAAAAAGCCGATCGCTGAGAAGGCTTATCTGCTGGGTGCGGCCGATGCTGCTAATGGCCCTGATAGCAAGCAAGATGACAAGAAAGTTATCAAAAAGGCCAACGGAAAGGCCAAAGTACAGGCAACCGACAAGAACGGCAACGGTGTTGTTGACAGTCAGGATGCCAAGGAAGATGACCAGAAAGATGCGAAAAAGGCTAGCAAAAAGAGTGGAACTGGAAATGCCAGTAAGAAGCGAGTTATTAAGGAGGAAGACGACGAAGAACCCGCGGATGAATCAAATAAAAAGCAAAAGGACTCCCAAAAGGCCAGTTTCAAACAATTGATTGTCCCCGTGGATGAAGAATTCATGTCGTGCAAGCATGCTTTCAATAGTGAGTTGCAACACCCTCTCTCTTGTTAGTGGCCACAGAACTAACGCCGGTGCAAAGATCCCCAGGTCTACATTGATGGATCGGGCTTGATTTGGGATGCGACCTTGAACCAGACCGTCGCAGCCGCCAATAATAACAAGTTCTACCGAATTCAGATTCTCGCCCGTGCAGATGGCAAGACCTATGTGACTTGGACCCGCTGGGGGCGAGTTGGTGAGCATGGCCAGTCCGCATGCTTGGGTGATGGCTCGCTGCAGGACGCAAAGAAGCAATTTTTGAAGAAGTTCAAAGACAAATCTGGCCTATCATGGGAGAACCGCCTCGATGCTCCGAGGAACAACAAGTACACCTTCCTGGAGCGGAACTACGAAGAAGATGATGAGGAGGAGGAGGAGAAGAAGAAGAAGAAGCAAGATGAAAAGTCAGAGAAGAGTGTCAAGCTGGAGCCTGGCGAGAACAAGCCACCGGTGGAGAGCAAGCTGGAGAAACCCCTTCAGGATCTGATGTCCTTCATCTTCAACCAGCAGCACATGAATTCTGCCCTTGAGTCGATGTCCTATGATGCCAAGAAGCTGCCCCTGGGTAAGCTGAGCGAAAGGACTCTGAAGGCTGGTTTCTCTGTTCTTAAAGAATTGGCCGAACTGCTTGTCGATCCAACCCTCTCGTTTTCTAAGTACAGCATGAATCTCGGAACCGCCCAAGAGCACCTGAGCAACCGCTACTTCACTACGATTCCCCACGTCTTCGGCCGCAATCGACCCCCTGTCTTGAACTCCGATGCGATGATCAGGAGAGAGGTTGAGCTTCTGGAGGCATTGACGGACATGGATGTTGCCAATGAGATCTTGAAGGACTCAAAAGAGGCGGACGAGATCCACGCTCTGGATCGCCAGTTCCAGAGCCTGGGAATGGAGGAGATGACACGCCGTAAGTGATTCAGCTTCATGGCTTATCAAGACTCAAACTAAGCATTCAAAGTCGAACCCCGATCAACCGAGTTCAGCGAGCTGTCTGATTACTTGTGTAATTCCCGCGGCGCAACCCACAATCTCGAATACAAGGTACGTGCTCTTACACGCTTTTCCCGACCAGCGTATTAATCAATCCAGGTTATCGATATCTTTCGTATCGAGCGCAAAGGTGAGACAGACCGTTTCACAAACTCTTGTTTCGCAAACCTCCAGAACAGCGACCGTCGTCTCCTTTGGCACGGATCTCGCAGCTCGAACTTCGGTGGTATTCTCAGCCAAGGCTTGCGTATCGCGCCACCGGAGGCACCCGTCAATGGCTACATGTTTGGGAAAGGCGTGTATCTCGCGGACACGTCCAGCAAGTCTGCCAACTACTGCTGCCCTTACAACAGTGGAAACATGGGTCTGCTCTTGCTGTGCGACGCCGAGCTGGGTGATCCCATGCTCGAGCTTCGTGACAGCGACTACATGGCGGGTGAGAATGCGAAGAGCCAGGGGAAGATTGCTACGCTTGGCATGGGCACGAGTATTCCCGGTGGATGGAAGGATGCCGGGGATGTGAACGCTGCCTTGAAGGGGGTCAAGATCCCGGACGTTGGTATTGGGTCGAGCGAGCGGAAGGACGACCAGCATGTGTGGCTACAGTACAACGAGTACATCGTGTATGATATTGCTCAGATCCGCCAGCGTTACCTGTTCTACGTTCATATGCGCTGAACGTGTTGGTCTTTGAGCGACTTGCTATCATCTTCTGGTGTTGGGGGACTAGTCTTGCACTACGACGGAGTTTCGGAGGATTCACATTTTTCAGGATATATCCCGGTCATTTAGCTTCTAGGTGAATCAACTAGAACAAATAATATTCGAAGTTAGATTTACCCCACACTCTTAGACATCAATTCCCAACACCTTAACTGAGCTAATTGAATTTTAGCCGGTCCTCAATAACCTCTGTAGGATTATATGATGTTCACTGGTTATACTATCGTAATCCTTAGTGAAAACTGATATAATTCTCATATTAAACAATCAAATAACAGGGGAATCCTGACAACGTAGCAAGATTTTTCTTCCACTCCCTTACGTCTTAGTCCCTCGTTGCACGCGGCCTTCGCCGATAGTTGTTTGGTATATAATAGAAGGCTCCAGAAACTCCATATAGAATGAACCCTGTAGGTGAAGAAACGTCTCTATCTCTATTAACTACGGCTATTATCACTCGTTGCCAGTATTAATTAAAAGCTAATACTCCCGAGATGCTAACATGGGCCTCTTACGGCTATAATAGTGTAGATATAGCGCAGAGCCTATGTTCCTTTAATTATCTCATAACCTGATGAAGTAGCATTAGACAAATACAACTCGTAGTACAATCTAAGTCCTAGATACTTAGGTAGCCCCTCTCTGTCTTTTACGCTAGATAACTAGTTATACCTAACGCGATAGCGAGAGGACAGAGAAACGCGGTTGATTAAATCTACACAGCAAATGAAAGTTGACAGATTCACACAAAGGAAGGGGGGCACTCTTCAACAGATAAAGATTTTTAGGGTAACTCACTAACGATATCTTAGATGGCCTATACCGCCGACAGCAGTAATTAATCTATAGTAGGCGTTCGCTCTAACCTTAAAGCATTCGGGAACTTTAGGGCGCCACTAAATGATATTGGACGCCACTAAATGATATTGGACGCCGCAAAGTATCACGCCCTCTATTCTCGAAGTGCTTTAGAACTTTGATAGAGAAGCTAACTTTATATTAACCTCTAGGATAATTTGAGAAAGTCAGAATAAGAGGGTAAATGTGATAAAGTTCATAATTTGATGAACGGTGAGATAGGGCAGAAAACGAGATTATAATCGACCACCTTGAGATGAGGGGTAATGCCTCCTATTCCAACAATACCTTTGTCCTGATCTTATTTTTCATCACTACTCTCTTTGATTTTATTTTGGACCCCAATGCCAAGACCACCGTAACTATGTTAGGCAGACCTAGTGACACCTGCCTAGTGGCACCTGATTTTTTTACCTGGGTGTAACGGCTAGTATAGAACAATACCAGGTATATAATATGTCTATGATGCAATGGTGAAGCTTTAAGCTCGGTTCTCTAAGATATACCGTTCCCGATGGCCTTTCCTTTTCCAGTGAATCGGTCTAGGCGTCATCCAGAGCCAGTAAGTAATGTGTAACAATGGCGTACTTGTGCAACCATGGATATGGTCTTACTAATACTGAATTGGTCCTCTGTTATATCTAGCTTAGTTAGGCTTTGTCCATGAATATTATCCGCAGGAGCTCCGTTTCCCCTCATAATGGCCGCCCACAGGAATTCAATGTCCTGGTTCACCTCAACAAGTACCCAGGTGCAAGGAAATAGGACATAGGAGCACGTTCGGTCGCAGGCAGGTAGGTGGTGATGCCAAATTCGAGATAAACTATACAGATACACATTGTTTTTGTGTCGAGTTTCCGGTCACAACACCGCTGAATTTCAGCGCACTTTTTGGATGTTTAGAAACAAAAGCATCGCATAACATCTTGAAATATTTAAGCTGGGCCAGGCGGGTTTTCAGTATCAAATTTACAGTCGACACGATTAGGAAGATCAATGTTAATCTAATTCATACGTTAGCTTGATCTATATGAGAATGATGGAAAGCAAATAAGAGCTTACTATGTTTGGCTTAGGACAAAATATATATGACCGATCACACTTGGATCGTTGACAGCCTAATATAGCCGGTGTTAGTTACTTATATTTTCCGCATCTTCCAATTGACTTGCCTTTCATATCCACACAATTTTCAACACCGGTAAGAAAAGTCTTGCCTCCACCGGTCCCGCGAGCGGAAATATCACAACAAAAGCATGGTCCAACTGCAGTAACAAAATCATTCATTGCAAGCAGACCAAGAGCAATCGTAAGACGCATGTTTGGTAGCAGGTAATATGGAGTATTTGCTTGTTCTGATTGTCAAGTGGCCAAGACAGACTGGAACTTCAGCGTTTTATGATAGACAATCGCCGCAGGTCTGGGTCTTAAAGGGCTGTTTAAATATCCTCGAACTTACCATGTGATGGGTATTAATAAAGTCATGGCTGACAATACATTGACTTTCACTGTATATTGACTTTCACGGAAAGCCTATCATCTAATAATCCAAGAAAAAGGGTTCTCGCTGACCGAGGGTCCACTAAGTACAGTTCGTTCATCTTATTTGCTTCCCAGAGCCATTATTGCTGAGAATCTGGTAATAACCATCTCAATGTAAATTTCCTTCATGTACTTTCCATGACTGAATCTAGAGCTCAGATTTCAAAAGCCTAATTAAACATCTAGATGGTCCGCATCTCGTATTCATCGAGTGTCGCTTGTTTAGAGGTAACGCCACTGAATTCAAAATTAATGTTCATTCGTGTCCCTCATCTAAGGAATGAATTAAGCAAGTGTCCTAGGCACCATACTGATTTCTCCACACTCCCTTATCTGCTATGCGAATTACTAGCTTTCTCATTCAATGCCATACCCGGAATTTCCGAATGACCTCTAAATGCTACTAGGATAGACAATATTGGACACTCACTATATATACTCAGGATAGCATTAACTTATGCCGGGTATTCTGAGGCTACCCATATTATTATTTCCAAAGATTTCATCGAGCAACCTCTTTGTCAGTTGTAGCAACCTGGACGCGTATAGCCTAGTGTGCATTCAAGACGAATAAGGTCAAGCGTAATCAAAATTAGCTTGAAAAGATTGATTGATTGATGGAAGGAAAAGGTCAGATGACCCTCTTGTGAGCTTCCCATGGCCCATATGGGCGGGCGCAAGCCAATTAGCGTCATTCAAATTAGGGGGGTTCGGGAATGATTGTATAAGAGTGTAGGGGTAAATCTGATTTCGCATATCACAATAGCAACTATTTACACCGTTCTTCCGTCTATTGTATGCTTCTCAGAAAGCGCCCTTTCCCGGAGTGCTATCACCATGCAAAGCAGCGCAGCCCACTTCGAAATCGGCTGGCCGAAGGAACTCGGCGCTGGTGCTGTTGTTGTAGGCCAAACCGACAAGGGTCCTCTCTATTGGCTGGTTAGATAATTCAGAACGTGAAGTTAAATACGCAATTGTAACTTACGGCGATAATTGTACCGAGGCCATCCAAACTCAGTCAATCCCTTCTCTGGATCCGAAGCAAAGGCCACCCAGGCGGAGGCGATGTACCTCGCAAACTCATTTTCGCGATCGCTGTTTGCAAGTCCACTAATCCGCTCCGCGGTTCCAAACAGCTGAGCCAAGTCGGTACCGTGGTAAGTACCACTGCCTTTGTAGAGGCGCAGGTTATCCCAGTCGCCAAAGTAGCGCGATTGCCAGGTGGGCACGCCGTGAGCGACGCGGTCTCTGGCGGCGGCTCCGCTGGGGCAGGTGAATGATCCCAGATTAAACATATTCCATTGCTGGTTAGAGAGCGAGATGTTGGCACCGTAGGCACTAACGCGGTAGTAGCCAGCTTCGTAGTCGTTGCTATTGACCAAGTATGGCTGTAATGAGTCAGCTTAAAAGCCAACCTTGATGACACTTGAAATTCTCACTAGACGAGCGAACTTCCCGGTAGCGGACAGCTTATTATAGTCACTGAACACGGTCTTGTTATCCACAGTAGGATGGAACACCGACTGGGGAAGGGCAGGTGTCTCCGCGAAAGGCACCTTGGCGGTGGCCTTGACCACCGAGTTCCATGGTTGTTTGCGAACACACCCAACGACTTGATCAGCATCGCTGCTCTCATCTCCACAACCTAGTTGCTTGGCTACATTGTAGAAGTAGCTAGCAGACTGCTCGGGGGTGTTTGGCACAAAGCTCATGGACGTGCCTGAGTGGGAGATAAGGCCAGCCACGAGGGGCTTCTCCTTCCAAGCATAGGAATAATAGTCAACGGAAGAACCGCCGGCAGATTGACCAAAGATGGTGATACGATCAGGGTCACCACCGAATGCAGCAATGTTGTGGTGAACCCATTCAACGGCCATGCGCTGATCCAAAAGTCCCACGTTCTGGGGCAGGTTGGGCGCACCCGGGAAGCCGAATATGTTCAGTCGGTAGCTAGTTTGAAGCAAGCAATTAGGAGTTGAGAGGTTTTGCAGGGATCTGAAAAACTAACTTGATAGTCACAACCACAACTTCGTGCTCACCCGCTAAGTTCTGACCATCGTAGTACGGGTTGTTCGCACCACCGCCCGTAAAGCCTGTGCATGTCAGCATTCATGCACGTTAGGTGGGACAGGCCACCCCATACGACCGCCGTGAATCCAAAATAAAACTGGCTTTAAGTCCTTCACCGTTGGGGTTGTCCACACGTTCAAATACAAACAATCCTCGCTCTGAGAAGTGCCCAGCTGCTGCGTAAACGACTTGATGATCTGTGGGGCCTGTGGTGTAAAACCAGGGTATTTGGGCGTAGAGCCCGTGTTAGCAGGACAATCACTGCAGCATCACCATGTCAGATATCCATTCTTTAAGTCGCCAAAACAAAGGCTTAAGGCAACGCACGCGCTCTATAAGCGCAGTCAGTCACGGTAGGTACCCAAAGTAAAGCAATAGGAGCATACATAGGCACTGGCACGAATTGTCCCACCACCAGTATACGGCGCGGGGGCCGCAAACCGGAGATCTCCAGTAGGGGGGGGGCTGCATAGGGAATTCCTAGGTACTCAGAGACCCCGGGTTGCTGAGACGCGACGTGACCCTGGACCATTCCACTGCTCGTCTTTACCGAGGCGCCGACATGCATCTCGGGGTTCTCAGTACATTGTTGCGCCAAGGATGCCGAGGCCAGCAAGACCAGGGAGCCAATTGGCTTCCAAAATGCAGGCATTATCGAACGTTTGCTAGGCGGGACACAATGACAAAAACTGGGATTAAGGAGGTACCGACAAGATATAGCCACCACATGGTGTTGTCCCAATGTTCATGACCGATGCCTAAGATTGAAGGAAGGGGTTCGCCGGAAGCTCCGCCTAGCACGGTCATTCGGCCGGCAGGGGTCGTGCCGATCGTGATTTGGAAGGCAAGGGAGGCTGGGGCCAGAATATGGGGGCCAATATCGACATGCAGAGCCAGGTATTTTGGAGAGCGATGTGGATGCGCTAGCCATGAGGCGCCGCCGTGGTTGGTGTTATGTTATCTGGAGGGTCCATCGGAAGGATGATCTTGCTGTTTCGTGCTACCAATGCGACCGGGGTGAGGCACTAATGTGAGTTGATTTAGCTCTATTGGTGTCCTCCGAAGCCTAGTTTAGCTTGAACTGCGATCCAGGGCCATTCGGCATTACTTCCAATCATATCTGTGCGAGCGATTTGTAATGGCCCATACTATAATAGTTGAGTTTTCGCTGTGGTAGCATCGCGTCGGATCCTGTCGAACTATACGAAGTAGTCCGATGATGATGTATTCTCATTTGCCGGCCATGGTGCCAGGAAGATCCTTCCGACCAAGAGTTTGATTGACCCCAAGTGGACGAACATGCTGGCCCCGAAAAGCTGAATCACACCCTGCAAGGATCCGATGAGGCTTTAGGAACATAAACAGGATGGCTGAGCCTGCGCGCTGCACGTTTTTATGAATGCTGCATCCCCCTCCACGTTCAAAATCTACACTCTACAATGTCCATATACCAAGGCGGTTGTGATGACCTACGAGATTGGACTGAGCACCCCTGAGGTTCCCAATCGAGGGTTTCCATTATGGATGGTCAGTGTTGTGATGGTCATTTTGTCGGGCCTCTTTGTTCTGTCCAGATTGACTATTCGTTTCCACAATGGCCGATTAGGTTCGGACGATTGGGTGATTTTCGCATCATTGGTGTGTTGTTCCTTAATGCAGGAAAGGATTCAAATATTGACACCTCGAAGATATGCTCGATCATACTTACCATAACCGAATGCTCGGGTAAAGAATGTGTGAAGTTCTTCTTTTTGAATTCGACTAATTGGTGGATATCTACGATTAGCGGTCCACTGGGGCTACGGCAAACATTCCAAAGATCTCAGCCAGCATGACCGAGTAAGAGCGCTCAGGTGGTTCTTCGGCGCACAAGTCATGTACAAAGTCGTCATCGGTGTCAACAAGATCTCCTTTCTTTGCCTCTATCTACGCATCTTTATCACAACCATCTTCCGTCGAATCTGTTACTGCGGCATTATCATTGTCTCCGCCTGGACCCTTTCCTACCTCCTCAGCACGATCTTCCAATGCAAGCCCATGGCATATTTCTGGGACAAGACCATCAAACACCCAAAATGCGCGAACAACGAAGCTTTGTGGATGTCATACTCGATCATCAACCTCATTCTGGACTTGTCTGTCTTGGCACTGCCCATCTATCCTCTCAGCAAGCTGAAGCTCACGCGTGACAAGAGGATCGGTCTTTTCGTTGTATTTAGTATGGGAACTTTGTGAGTTGGATGGGATCCATGCAGTCGCATTCCAATGTTACACTGCTAATATTCTAGTGTTTGCATAACCACCGTCATCCGCACTTCTACGCTAGTCCAATCAGCCAGCGACAAGGACCCGACTAGTAAGTACTTCATATCAGCGGATATTCGCCGAAGCCGCAACTAACTCGAAGCTTAGGTGGCCCTATCCCCGCCACAATCTGGAGTGTTGTCGAAGCTAATACCGGAATCATCTGTACCTGTCTGCCTGTCTTCAAACACCCGCTTCAATTTTTCTTCCCACGTCTATTCACCTCCGAGCCAGGCACATATCTTTATAGTGACAATGCTCCACGACGTACCGAGCATGCTTCTGGTTCCGAACGAAATCTCACCGAAAATCACGACACAATATGGCGGGATGACGTATCAAACGATGGAGTTGAGATGCAACCCCAAGAAGTGAAAAAAGCAGAGGCCAAGAATGCAATTAAGAAAGTGACGGACTTCAAGATCTCTTATCAATATAATCAGGCATCGGAATCGTCAAAGCGCCCGATTCGGACAATGGACTTTTGATTGTGATTTAGAATATACCTACACCGGGGCCCTGAATGAAAAATAACCGACTCATGATAAATATGCGTTTACAAGATCGGTGGATCGAGAATATCGTACCTAACAGACCCCGACTATGTCTTGGCCTCCATATATATACTGCATTCCCAGGCAACGCGAGCCTCCACAAATTGCTATCAGAAATCAAATTACCCCGCAAATGCCTATAATTGACTGAGAGGATCGCCGAAACTGCGACAACCTATTCCAGACCAAGCCGTGGGATCCAATCCGAGAAACTGAAATGCGATGCGCTAGACTGTATCTAGCGATTAGCCGGCGGTCTAACCTGTTTTGGTGGAGGGTAGCCTACTCGCGCCTTTTTCGGCGTTCTCCGACGAGTCCCAACGGTGGATTGAGCACGGAAGAAAATGACCGTGGACTAAATACTTATATGATGCCCCGAGCCTAAATCGATTTTCCTGCAGTTCAACTCTTCATTCGCTCCCTACGACGACCATCGGTAATTATTCGAGGACGACAATCCGGCGCGCCAATTTGTCCATCCATGAGTCACACCACAACCACGATGACGGGCATCAAAGACATTATGATCTCCAGACCCTCGCAACCACACATCTGCGTTATTGGCTCATTAAATATCGACTTCGTGACATCCACACCGCGTTGTCCAGGCCCCGGCGAAACCCTCACAGCAACCTCCCTCTCCGTAACGGCTGGCGGCAAGGGCGGAAACCAAGCAACTGCCTGCGGCCGCGCCTCCTTCATATCCAAAGAGACCCAAGATGTCACAGTGAGCATGATCGGAGCCGTCGGAGCCGATGATGTCTACTACTCAACGCTCCTCAAGCCCGCGCTAGAACAATCAGGTGTGGTCACGGAGAACATCGAGGAGTCTGACGATGCGCAGACAGGCTCGGCGACCATTATCGTCGAGGAAGCTATTGGGGGAGAGAATCGCATTCTTGTCGTGCCCGGTGCTAATCATGCCGGGATCATGAGCGATGTTGCGCAGATTATCTCTGCCGTCAAGCAGCAGGCAATTAGCCCCGGCGTTGTCGTGATGCAGGGTGAGATTCCGCGGAAGACGACCCTGGGGTTGCTCGAGTACTTCAATGGCGGTGTTTCATCTGGTGATCGCGCGCATGTAGTCTTCAACCCGGCGCCCGTTTACCCCGAGGGCATTTCTCTGGCGGCGTTGAAGCATACCGCCGTGTTGATTATGAACGAGACCGAGGCTGTGCAGATGTCGAGGTCCATTGCCGGTCTGCCTGTTTCCAATCTGAGCCAGCCTACTGAACTAGATGACCTGCAGCCCGAAGAGCTGGCTCCGCGATTTCACGAAACAGCCCATGTTCAAATTGTTTTGATTACTCTGGGCGCCAAGGGCGTCTATTTCTCAACTCGTACCGGGCGCCGTGGTGTTGTGCAAGGAGTGCGAGTTCCCAAGGTTGTCGATACCACTGCCGCTGGCGATACGTTCGTTGGATACTTCTCAACGGCTCTGGCGCGATTCCTCGCCAAGGGAGAAGCCCTAGAAGCATTCGACAGCGAGATTGCGAGCGCGGTGGAAAAGGCCAATGCCGCCGCTGCGAAGTGCGTGCAGCGCCGGGGTGCAATGCAAAGCATTCCCTTTGCATATGAGATTGAATAAATGACAACTGAATACATGTATTGAGCATATAGACATGGTATATAGATACAAGGAAATGGTGTTCGGGTGTAGTCATGATACAATGACATCATAGGCCCTACTCATCTGGTTCTTCATCAAATCGTGCAATTCTCCACACGGCCTGTAGAGCCTCCGTCTCCCGCTCCAATTTGATCCCCGTTGTGGCTGTGATTTGCCCCAGTCTTTCCAGTAAAACTACTTGTTGAGACTCGTGTGTCATCTCTCGCGCAATCAGCAACAAACTTGCAACCAGTATAGGATCCCATTGCTCGGGCGACTCATTACTCGCCGCTATGCCGGCAATCGATTGCGCATGCCAGATATGCGAGGTGAAGCATCGGGGCCCTGGTAGTGATTTGAGTAGCCGGGGCTTATGAGTCAACAGCAGGAGAGAAGTGATGTGGTAGACAGCATTGGCGACCAGCGCCATTGGCGTCGTATAGATCAGGATGGGAAAGGACGAGTTGTGATCGGGATCAATTTGGTCCGCTTCGCCGCCACGCACATCAACAATCTGTTGCACGTTGACCGGTCGCTCGTTGTACCATTTCTGGCAGTCCATCCAGAGGAAGGTCCACTGCGATAGGAAGTGAGACTGTCGCAAAGATGGGAACGCCTTAAGTTCCGGTGAAGCCGCTGCTTGCGGGGAAGACGCGTCGGTATCATCATATATCAGGGCCAAACAGTGGCCGAGTAGACAGAGCGCATGTTTGTACACTCGGTTGATGGAACGGGGTTGGAGGGGAGCGTGGGGTTTTTGGGTTGGGGAGCCGTCGCGATTGATATAGGAACGGAAGGAAATCATGGGTGGTTTGCATATTACGATCGATGCCGCGAGGTCTTTTAGCCAAATGTTAGCCTGTTCCATGACAGTCTCCGAGAAACAACCGGCGGGAAAACACCTACCGAGTCTGAAATAGAACCAGAATATTGCTTCGCCAAGTTCTTCACCCAAAGTCGCTGGGTGCTCAAGGCCACCAAAGGGCTCTATTTGCGGCGCAAGGAGATTTCTCCACTGCTGCAGTCCCGAGGGAAGGAGCTCCTGGAGGAGGAGTAGGGCTTGTCCAGCATGTCCTATCAATTCGGGCTGTAGGGCCAAACTGTCTTCAGCCTCCTTTCGAAATCGGAAGCTACTGCTTAGATCCTCATTATGCAGAGGTAATGCGAGAAGTGCCCTCTGTCCTGCAGATAAGGCAAGTGTAGCTGCTTGTAAGGGTCTGTTGGAGCGAGAAAGAAGCAGAACTTGAACGCCTAGGGCACAGTCGGGGTCTCCGACATCTATCCACGGGCCAACTTGGTAGCGGAAATGTCGTAATAAATCAGTCTCATGGTTGCTGGTCGCAAGGTGTGTTTTTCGTGAAGATGTCTGTTCGAGTAGAGGGAGATTGAAACACTCCTGGCTGAAAGGGTGGTTGTGTCTGAGTGCGGGTCCATGTTGTAACAATGATGGCCCTTGAGGCAAGTCCACCGGCACTTCAGAGGTTAGAATGCCATTTAAGTTAAAACAAGTGCGATTTTCGGATATAGCGCGATATCCGATGACATTTGAAGGATTCAATATGTCTGGTCTCGGGAAACTACTCGCTGGGTCTGCAGCAGAAGAATTGCTCTGCGGCTGAGATTTCTCCTTCGCCGCTGCATGTGCGGTAGGAGAATCGTCAACGAACTATAGCCAAGGTGAGCACGGCATTCATCATTTGGGACTTTGCCAGTCGATCTCACGTACCGTGATGGAGTTATACACCTGCCTCATCCCGCCCGCTGCTTGACCCGACCGGGGCGTCACAAAGGCCAGATCAGCGCCATACTTGCAGGTGAAGCCCTTGACTTCGCAGTTGGCGCATCGCGGCTTCTGCTCGTCGCCTAGAGTAGCTGTTATTCAACTCTGAACATCCACCTGGCCATACGCGACACTCACATTTTCTTCGTCTTTTACGACACGATAGACACCCAGTCCTTACCCTCTGCTTGGCTACAGGGGTGGGTTTCCGCGGCATGCTGGAGTATAGCGTGCATGACCCCGGATGGGGAAGTGAGAGAGGCCTAAAAAGCAACCCAGAGGCTCCATCCTCCCGAAAGTGTTCAGATGCCGGGGGGGAGTGAGAACGCGACAGGCGAGTCCAACCGGTTGGAGAAGTGGGGAAGGCCGAAAAGGGCATGGGCGGTTTGTCCCGCATGTTTGCACTCTGCGGTCGTGCATCCCCGTGGAGGCGCCACCCGAAGGGAAATTTGCCGCGATCAATGCGCGCATTGCTTGGTTGTGCTCATAAGTGGGGATATTGATCAATGTCACAAATATCGTATAGTGATTTAAAGTGCGTGTGCTTCGTATTTCATGGACTGCATCCTAAAAGCTGCAATCACATATTTCCTGAGCGGGGGGTCGCACTACGGAGGTATTATGAATTGTATTAATAGTCCCACGCAGCATAAAAAGAAATCAGCTCGTAGTCTATATAACAATTAGAAATGTAGTAATGAGATATAACAGGGTCGTCCCATGGTTTTGAAAGGCCGCAATTGCACAGGCTGCTCAATACATCAATCTTATCAATACAGTAGTTGCTACTTGATGGATTTTCAAGCAACAACCAATTCAATCAACCATGATCCGACATAAAAATCTGCAAACCCGCCCATGGATAAAGGTTACCGTCAATGGATTTTTCCTGATTAGCAGGTGTCAACTGAGGATTGAGCTGGTAAAATAAAATGGTCTTGTACACGCTACTCTAGTCTACCTTTTTGATAATCTTTCATGTCTCCATCTCACATACCTGTCAGTAATTCATCGCATGGTGGAGCCTAGCAGCTCTGTGACGCCGAGCTCGGTTTTACATTCATCTAGTGAGCCTGACTCTGAGCGCCCTCACAAAACCAGCGACAGGAAAGAGAGGAAAGAAGTGACAGAGGAAATATGGTACGCAGAGTAACCTGGGCATTATTCACATTCTTCGTGGAACTAGATTTTATCACCAACATAGCAACCATGTCAGCATTTACAGCGATTCAATATACTGCAAACCCTCTTTCTTCTCCACATCACGCCCGGTGGCGTCGCCCATCCGCTCAATAAACGCGGTCAACCCAACATCGCGCTGTGCCTCCCGCAGAAGTTCCGCATCACGCTCTCCAGTGTTGCTTTTGAAGACGCGGTCCATCTCTTCGAGGGAGGCATTCTTGGTTTCAGGCAAGAAGAACCACACCCAGAAAATACCAACGAGAAGGAAGACGGCAAAGAAGATGTAAGTACCCCACTCCCACGCCTGAAGCATGGGTGGCACGAAGAAAGCAATAGCAAAGTTGTTGATCCAGTTACTAGAGGCGCCGATTGAGGCGCCCTTGGCACGAATGGACAGAGGGAAAATCTCGGAAACAAGTGTCCACGAGCAAGGACCCCAGGTAGCTCCGAAACTGGCGATATACACCCAAATAAGGGCTGACGAACATGGTTAGCCGTGCTCTTAAACATCTGCCAATTTGAAGCAACACTCACCAACAGCAGTCCAACCAGCGGCCACATGCGACGGCCAGTCATGCTGGAATTTTGCCACAATAGCTCCCACAATCACCATGCTGCAGAACATCACCAGAGACCCGCCGATGAGCATTGGCTTGCGGCCAAACTTGTCAATAACCAGCTGTAAAAGGCTGGGTCAGCGTCGTTTCCTGACTGGGAGCCTTTATTAATTATTGAACTTACCATGCCGGGAACTGTGCTAATAATGAAGACCACGCCAGTGACACCGGTCGCCAGAAGGGCAATAGTACCACCAGTTAGACCGAGACTCTTGAAAACATTGGACGCATAGTAAATTACTAGGGAATATTTTAGTACCGCTTCTCCACACCATTAACTTGGCTTGCTCGAGGGGACTTACTAGCATCAATACCGCTCCACTGCTGGAAGAACATGATCAACCAAGCAGTAGCCACACGCTTGAAGTTGTCCATTGAGCGGACGCAGTTGGCGTACTGCGCAATCTGGTTCATGAAAACACTCTGGCGCTCGCGCTCAGCCAGCTTAGGCGCCGCTTTGGCGAACGCGCGCTCCTCAAACACAGCCTCGGCCTTGATCTCCAGATACTCGACCTGAACAAGCTCGTGCTCGACAGGGAGCTTGCGCATCCAGGCTAGGGTAGCTTGAGCTTCCTCATCGCGACCCTTTTTAACTAGCCAGCGCGGAGAAAAGGGCATGAACCAAATACCACAGGCTAAGCAAGCAGCGGGAATACCCTGGATGATAGAAGGCAGGCGCCAGGCAAGATCGGACTGGGCCGCGCCAGTCCCACCAATGTAGTTGCTCCCATAGCCGACCCAAAATGAGATCATGATGCCGAGGATCGTTGCAAACTGGTAGAAAGAAACCAGCAGACCGCGCATCTCGGGAGCAGCAAGTTCAGCATTGTACAAGGGACCGACGCCGCTGAACAAACCAACACCAATACCGGTGAAGAATCGTCCCGCGTACAAGCAAGCCGGGTTACCGGCGGTAGCACCAACGTAAAGATAGCTACCGAGGATGACCCAGCAGCAGGCGATGAACATGGTATATTTACGGGAGATGATCTCACCCAGAACACCAGCCGCAAGGGAGCCAACAATACCTCCGACTTGCAGAATCGAAGTAAGCCAGCCGGTAGCTGTTGAAGATGCCACCACGGTCGGGAAGTTCTCTGTGAAGCGCGTCATGACCAAAGACTGGCCGAGCACACCTTGCTGGTATCCATATTCAAACCCTCCAAGGCTGTATCCCGAGATTAGCACCCCGACACCTTTTCCCCGATCACGTAGGGGATAGTACTTACGATGCGAAGAACGCAATGAAGAGCACTTTCGGGTTCTCGAAGATCGACTCCCACATAGACTTCTTTGCGATCTGGAGGCGCGGAGTAGCCTCCACATCTACAGAAGTTCGGTCGACCATCGTGTAACAAAAAATTCGGGCCGCAAACACTCTTCTTCAACACAGGCAAGACGAAACAACTCTTCGCATAGAAGAGCCAAGTTATTCAGGGAGGGTCTTCAATCAATCGACGAGAGCATGAGGGAGTGGAGTCCATATTATATTTTTTCCTTTGCGTCGACAGTTGTCTGCTCATACCACCCCAAAAAACTCTAAACAGCATACCCCGGTCTCGGTCTCCCGAGAAAAGTCGCGTGGCCCCCGGGAAAACGCAAAAACGCGGAGGCAAAACAAAGCGTGGAGGATGGAGGCTAAACTATAAGCAGCCGGTCGTAGGCTATGATGGCCTCTTTCGGCAAGATTTAGATAAGGACTCGGGATCGGGTGGGCCCGCTCGGTTAGCGAAGGACGCCTCTTTGGCTGAGCGCCCACTGCATTCCCACGGACCCTGTCCGGCCTCCCTGGAATTGGGCCAATGGCGGCGATTTGTGAGCACCTTTATTCCAGGGGTGAGACTAGCTCGTGCAGAGTGTGGAGTGTGCCATCGTCTGATAGTCTGCTTTGGGAAAGCAGAGGCAGCGTCTTGCTCTTTCGGCTAAGTCGATGCGGGGAGATCGTGGAGTTGCTGGAGTGTGTGGAAGGCGATCAAACGGATTTTTGATGTCATGAAATCCATTTGTCGGGCAGAAGTCGGTAATGGCCGATGAAATGATATGCAGGCAACATATTTAGAGGAGATATAAAAGTTCCGGCGAGGGAACGGGGGTTGCAAAGGGTAATGATCAATAGCGTTGTTTGTTAGGCATTGTGTCAATCGCAGTCCATCAGCTTGGGCTCATTGGAACGAAAAGAAAACAATACAATGCATTGGACGGCTTGTTTCTCATTGCTTGTCCTCGCTGCTGGGGCCATTGCGGCCCCCCACGCGCGTGCAGATAAGCATTATGCCATCATGGACAACGATTGGTATACGGCAGGATTCGTGCCTTATCTGATCGCCCTGGATGGTGATGTGGATATTCTAGGTCTGGCCTCCGGTAAGTGTGCTCTCAACTGGATCTTAATTTATTGTACTAACCATTTCACTACTTCCTAGATACCGCCAATAGTTGGCAGCGACAAGGAGCGTTGCATGCCGTCGCTACTCTCGAGGCTGGTAATTTGAGCTGCATCCCCGTCTATGCCGGCGCGACCTGGCCATTGATTAATACCCCTGAGCGCTTTCAAGCATGGGAGACTATCCACGGAAAGCTACCCTGGGAGGGCGCATTTGCGCCGGAGAACAAAACCGCCGAAGCTGAGGGTAATGACCCTACCTCGGGAAACCCCAACCGCTTTGTGAAGGCGGCTTTCAGGGAGGGTTATCCCAAGGGCAAGCCAAACAACTCTACCTCGGCTGCAAACTTCATGGTCGAAATGGTACACAAGTACCCTGGTCAAGTGTCCATCTACTCGGCCGGTGCCCTGACCAACATTGCATTGGCTGTTCGCATGGATCCGGAGTTTGCGTCGCTTGCTAAGCAGCTTGTAATCATGGGCGGATACGTTGACTTGAACATGCTCCAGGCTACTGGTAGCATTATGCTGGCTGATTACCAGTCTGACGTAAGTGTCTCATGACATGGGTTTTCTTTCTGCATGCTAACATGAATCTATAGATTAACCTGATGATTGACCCAGAAGCCTCCAAGATTGCACTGACTGCAGACTTCCCCAGCATCACTATCGCCGGTAATGTCGCCAACCAGGTGTTCCCCAGTCAGCAGTTTGTCGACGAAGTCAAGACCGCCAAGAACCCCTACGCGGAGCTCTTTTCCAAGTATTACGACCTCTCTTTCCCCTTCTGGGATGAGACCGCCGCGGCTCTAATGGTCGATCCCACCATTGCCACCAATCAGACTTCTGATAAGATCTAAATACTGTGTATGTCGGTTTGAATTTACTGACAACTTTGCTGCACTAGTTTACCTCGACGTGGACACCTCATATGGCAGCCCCAACTACGGCAACATCCATGTTTACCAGAAGGCCCTTGCCCCTCTCGGTATTCGCCAGGTGAACTACATTTTCGAGGTTGATGCCGACAGGCTGACCCAGCGAATCAAGCATTCGTTGATGCACCCCAAGACCTGCGCGGACCTCGCATAAATGTTGGCCCTGAACCTGTCATGATTCTCTTGCAACCCATTTTTTTTTTGGCATTCAGATGTAGCCCATAGAGTTATAGATAATCCGGGTGGACACCATATTATGATACAATATGGATTATACACAGTACTCATAGCCTCCATCTTAAGTTTTTGCAGTGGCAGGGAGCAAACTAGGTAATCGTGGGTCGCCCTGACAAAGCGGGCCTTCGCCGTCACGTAGAAGTTCAATTGCACAAAATTTGGGCAACGGTCGCACGCCACTATAAATCCTTCAAACCTTAAACTCCAGGCTTCTGAATGTCTCAGATCGCTGATAAAATCTCTCCCGGCTCATACCCCCAAGCCCGCTCAAGATCCTTAAGCCTCCACAATGCGCCCCACCCAGTCGTTTCCTCGACAATTTTGAACAGTTTTGCCACCTCAATATGCTCACTGTGGTGGCTGAGAAGTTTCCCCGCAATGTACAACGGCTGGATCGCATTAATCAGGTTTCCGCTGTGGGGGTTTGTAAGCGAAATGCCGCACACTCGGCGCGCGTGCCACACGGACGAGAACTGTGGCTTTGCTGGGGTCAGAATCTTCTCGGGAGGCTTCGTGTCGAGCATCATTATGCAAGCTGCATGGTATAATTGGTTTCCTGAGATGGCGGCCCAGTGTGCGAAGAGAATTTCTGGGAATATTTGGCCGCCACCGATGCCTGTGGTCTTAATGGGTAGCATGGCTGGGGGCCGTTGCTCAAGCCAGAACTGTAGCTCTTCCCAGAGGTAAGTCCACTGGTCCGCGAACGGGCGTGTATCTTCGACCGTCTCGCCCAGCTCCAAGTGTCTTGTTTGTCGGCAAGCGAGATCACACGTCTTTGCACAGAGATATACCGCCCAGTTTGCATGCATGTCCGGAGAGGCACACCCTTTTTGATAGAACATGTCTCGAATGAGGACTTCTCTCTCATTAGGGCCCGTCGCGTCAGGTAAAGCAGGAACCCATTTCTCCAGTGGAAGCACGGTGCTCTCTGCGCCGTTAGATATTATCGCCCCGCAAAGTTCCATGCGTGCATAGCACCAGAAAACGGCCTGCAAGTGACCACCAGACAGACCATTCACATTGAAGGAGTCAAAAAGAGCCGCGCATCCCTCGACATGGCGGCGCCAATCGCGCGGGCTGACAGACATCAGTTCCATCACTGCCAGAATGCATACTGTCACCAAGACATTCGGGTCTTTGGCTTGAAGGCACGGTGCTAGCAACCGAATAGATTCTTGGTAGAGCTCCAGGCTGTCGTAAGCCTTGTCCAGGCAGGCCTTGCGCTCAGTCTGTCGGGCGGAGAATGCAAGGATGGCGTAGAATAACGCGGGAGATCGCTGGGCGAGAATCGGAATGTGAACGCCAAAGTGGCGCGACTCGTCAAATTTATCGAGATAAGGTGCGCACTCAGTAATCCAGTTCTTGAGGTAGTAAATGAGTCGGATTTTGGGGATAGACACCCTTGTAAAATCCAAATTCGGTCGCGGTGCTCTTGACGCAGGCCCCTCAAGCGGCTCTGAGGGTTCTGGAGAGGTGTATGTGCCAGGATCAAGGCTAGCGACTGCTGAGAAAAGCACACAACGAAGTTCCTCTTGTAATTCTAGAAACCGAGGGTTTGCGGCGTATTCGTCCGCGCTTGAAAACGTGCCTGGCGACAGGAAAGCCTCTTCTTCGAATAGCGGCGCAGTACTATTGAAGGAGCCGGAGATCCTTCCATCGGGGATTACAGGGGCAACTGGCTTGTCCATGTCGCGAAAAACGCCGTTGCGTGCGAAACCCGGGGTAGAAAGAAGGGAAAGAACAAGGTGGAGCAAAGTTGGCTCGTCTAGTGGGTCACCCCAGCCGCACTAGTCTCATCAGTCATCCCTTCGCCTGTCTGTGAGACTTTTGTCAGTTCTTTTCTCAGAGAGCTCAATTAGAGGTGAGCAACTAGCCTGCTGCTCTCAATTTGCCCACCCTGAGGATGATAAACCTACGCTTCGGGGCTAAGCGCATCTTTGGCGAGGGGTATTGTAACAAGGAAGGTTCCGGCGGCGTGTGGACTAAATCCGAGAGCTCACCCCTTTCTCTCTCTCTCATTTCTTTCCTTCCTCAGATTCGATATCTTCGTTGCATGGACTCACGTCATCCGCGGCAGGAAGGCTCGCAGCCTAATTTCCTCTGGATACCCGTTCAGCAAGATGGCCACTTAGCTGATCTCCTAAAGTCTTTGAAGAGCAAAGCGCAGTCATACCTCAGGCCAACGAACCTGCAGACCTCGATCGTGGTCCTGATCTCGGTTAGTCCAGACCAATGGGAGGGGAATCTTGGAATCTCGGTCTGGGGTTGTGATGGAGCCAAGAAGGATCAGCGTGGACTCCCTAAAGGGGAACGGGGAACCGAAGATGTTGCAATGCGTGTGGGTACGCTGTGAAAGAGGCAAGACATTCGTCTCTGAGTGGCTGAGAAACTATCATGGTGGCTTTCTGCGCGACAGCTTCCATGGCCTCGGAGACCGAAATTTTACCTATACTGTTCGACTCCGACTTCAAACTGCTGTGTGTGTTTCCCTCCTCCTTGGTGTGACGAGGCAAACCGTAGCCACTGAAATTCCACGAAGATACGATCCATAGCAAGTGGCGGAAACAAGACATGAATATAATAATGACGATCTAAAAATCGAGATAACAAAACGACAGACAAACGCTCAGGGGATATCTAAGGACAATAATCAACTGCGCCCACATCACCACACCACTCATAATGCACCACGTCGACAAGTTGTCTTAGAACTGCAGGATCCAAGAAGCTTCGAGTTGCATCGGCAAGCCAAGGCAGGTGAGCTTCTGGATTTAATCGACAGACACTGTATGTCTTGTCCATTTCGACTCGTTTCTTTGTAACTCGGGGTCCATCGCTGCCCAGTGTTCCATATGGTCTGAGTGCCTGCACCAATCGAGCGTATCTAGTCGTGTTGTTTTCAGACTTGTAGGTGCACGAACTGTATTCCTTCACGCTCCTGACCCCCTGAAGCTGCTCGTATACTTTATGGTGGGATCCCATGATAGCCCAATTGCAATACCCCATGACCACTAAGGCGCCAAGCTCAGAAGCCTCAATCACTTCGATAGCGGATTCGAGACACTGCTCAATCATGCGGTTAAGATACTCGCACAAATTTCCTCGGATTCCGCGTAGAATAACGTTCTCGCGCTGTTTGCGCAGTATATCGCCGCGGAAATCCACAAAATCGTTAATGTAAACGCACGCGTCAACGACGTCCATGAATTGCTTCTCCGTCAACTCCTGACCGGTCGACAGCGAGGCAGTCATGACGCCATGGAATGCTGCAACGTCGATGTGGCGGTGAACATTCAATCCTGTCATGCGGCTTCCATAGATCCCATCGGGCAGATATGGCCGGGAGTGGTCCCGGAAATAGCCAAGGACACGGCATTGAATCGTGTATGCGGCGAGGTTTTCAAATTGCCAATCCGACACGCGCCGGGCGAGATTGCAGAGTTTCAGGAATGCCATGGCTGCAGCCCCAACTTGTTGAAATAGCTTCAGTCCCTTAGCATCGGCGGCTTCGCAGTAGTCGCCAATCAAAATATCGTTGCAAGAGTCGGCAATAGCGCGGGCTAGACCTTCATCACAGAGGCCCGCACCGCAGGCGATGACACCGTAATATTTTGCATCAGTGCTAATTTTTAGCTGCTCGGCGGTCGGATAGAGCTGGTTGCCAATTTTTGAGTTGCCGTCAACTCCAGGGTTTGGTCGTCGGTCTGGAGCTTGGATAGTAGGAATGAGGTTTGCTGTTTTTGGACCGCGGCAGGTGTTTGGTGTCGGCTGAATGTCCGTATTTGCCAGTCTCAATTCATTGACAGCGCAGTTCAGTTTTCTTGTGGTGAACAGACTGTTGGCGTTCCATTCGTCTTGGTGTCTAATAACTGTATCCATAGCTTGCATCATTCCGTGAATTGCGCCACAGCCAGATTCCGTTGACGTGGCAGGAAAAGTGCCATTCTTCAATGTGACCTCGAGTTTGTCGCAGTTGCAGTTGGTCTGGGGATTGTAACTCTGCGAAAAAAGGTTCGTTTCTGGGCATGAAGGAGCGCTCACACCACCCAGCATGATTCGTCCGTTCTCGACTTGGTTTTTAAAGGAGTCAACTGCTTCCATGAGTTGGTTGTGATTCATGAGTCGATATAGGTTCTCTTCTTCAAACAGACTCGACAACTGCTCAAGACTGAGAAGAGCCTTAGCAGGCGACGAGCCTAGCTCATTTGAAGACAGAAGCCAAGCATCGACCCACGCAAGATAGACCTGTAGTAGATTCGGTCGGATAGGAGTCGCTATCTTTGAAATCATTGTGAGCTCGAGATAAGAAGCCGTGCTTATAATATTTTGGATTAAACTGGATCATTTTTTTGGACAGCGGCCCTAGACTTTATACCACTCGTGGTCTTCTATCTCGCATGGATTCCTCACGGCGAAATCCGTGGGCACGTTTGTGTTTATCTTGCTCGGGCAACAGATCCCGACAGCCCCGCCACACAATTCGGGACAATCAGTAACCAGACAAGTACCAGTCGAGATACGGGAACGCCGGTATTTGTTCAGATTTGGCCCGACCATGCGCACTATCCGACGGGTTCCTAGATGATTCGGAATATCTTAGGGGGAGTGCCTAGGGATCTTATTGGCTGCAGCGGAACACAAGGCGTACGTGTCATGCAGTGAGCCCGTATGGTATACGCCCGTGTCGTCAGTGACAGGCTGAGTTCTCATGAAGAACTGATGTGGCTGGCGGAGCCTAGAAATCTTACATAAATGTATCGCAGAATTTTGGTAGCTTCCAGAAATATAATGACCTTGCAGAGTAGAATTATTTATTTTGTAGGGATGCTACTATTCGGCAGCTGGAGGGTTGGTAGTGAAATCTGTGCGGATTTCATGTCGAGTAGGAAATTGCAGCCGAGGGGAATTAGAGCAAGCTGAAGCGAAATAGTCTCGAACTTGGGCGCGAGCTAAAACCGAAGCGTCTAAATCCGCTCGGTCGGGATCTAGCCCCCAGCGGCGCTGAATACCGCTCGTATTAGCCTTGGGTGGAAACGTCAACGCTAGATAGGGTCAGCTTGACCAAGGAAAAATAACACGATAGGTAGGTCGAAGGTCGTATCATATGAAGGAACTTATTTTCATCGAAGTTCAGCTTCGCAGGCTTGATCAAAAAAAATATGATTGAGTTCTAAATTTAATGAAATTCTGCTAACGAGCTAGTAATTCTCTATTTCGCACCAACTCTATCCACATTAAGCGAGGGATACACGTATATTCGAAACCTTCCGGTGATTATACCAACGACTTGATGTCTTCGATCCATTCCGACAAAGGCATATGCAGGCCACTAACCAGCTTCTCAGTGATGGCAATCAAATTGTTCACCGTCGTCGTCGCTGTCTCTTGGGTGATGATATGGGTGTTGGCCCAAAAGTCGAAGCCAATATTCTCACCTCGTGAGACCGATACAATGAAAATGAATGGCGACGTGAGCGGGTTCTTAAAAATATGCATCCGTGAGATGCCCGCTGGGGTCTGGATCGCAGGTTCTTCATCGACGTTTCGATGGTGGAGGACTGTGTCAAAGTTCGACCCCGCCGGCCATGCGGTACAATGCTCGACAAGGTCCTTGAAGTCGAGTGAATCCGCATCACCCATTGCCAGGTACTGATCTTGCACTGCGTTTACCAGCTCTGCGACAGTTTTCACCGTCGAGAAATCGACACGTTCAGGTAGTATATTGAGACAACATCCCACGATCTTCTCCACGGCTGGAATCGCGGCGTTACGTCCAGCGACCACCTGGCCGTAGATGACATCGGTTTCACCGGTCATCCGCAAGAGCAGCACAGCCCATGCGGCTCTAACCAAGGTTGCATGAGTAATTTTGCCGGTACGATGCGGCAGACGCGCCTGACCTCCGGCAAAAATGGGCTCCGGCATGGGATTCGGCGGAGTGCTTGGTTTAACATGGGGCCCAATCGAAGTGAGACGTGACCCTTGAAGCAATTGACTCCAGTAGGCAATTGATTGGGTACGTCGCTGGGCACCATATGTCAGGAATGTGGAGAAGGCTGGCTTCGCGGGGATCTCCCCTTGATTGCCATCAAAAATCGACTGAAGAAGAAGAGGCGCACTGAACGCGTCATATTGCGCATGGGACATACGAAGAGTCAAGCGCATACCGTGGTCATGCTTGAAAACAATGAAGGCAGCAGGTGACTGAGTCGGGGCAATTGTCTTCACGTCCTTGAGACAAAAGGCCCGGAAGCATTCCTCTAGATCCCCTGAGACATCATGGACGCTAAAGGGCTGATTTAGTTGACGAGGGACGACTTGCCAGAACTTGCCTTGCAGCTGCGGGAAGCATGCGCGGAGAATAGGAAACTTCTCAAGAGTCCTCATACACCCACTTTCTAAGTCGGACACGCTCAGATCTGCATCGAGATCAAGATAGAAGTAGTCGGCCATCTGTCCAAAGATGACACCAGCAGCCACTAGCGTCTCTTGAACGCCGGTCAGAGGGTAGAGTTCGACAACATCTTCCGAACGGACTCCGATATTCATCGCGTCAATCTCCTCAAGCAGGATGGGTTTGACTGATGGTTCTAAAAGAACAACCGAGTCAAGCTTCTCAGATGAATCTTCCGCGTTCGATGATTGCTGCTCAGCCAACTCCACAAGAGTGTCCTGGCGGAAAATGTCCGCGACCTTGAGGTTGATCCTGAATGTGCGAGCTTGACTGACGACCTTCATGGCGCTAACAGAGTCTCCACCAAGCTGGAAGAAACCGTCGTCAAGGCCAATGGTGGCCGGGTCGATTTTGAGCACCTCCGACCAAATTTTCTGCAGCTGCTTTTCGGTTTGTGTGCTTGGCTGTCGCTTTTCACCCTCCGCTCTGGGCTGCAGTGCCTGAATCTGTTCTGCGGTGAGTGACGAACCCATCTGTCGCAGAATTCTTCGGTCTGTCTTCCCAGATGCTGTGAGCGGAAGGCTTGGGATGGGTAGAAGCACCGAAGGAACCATATAATGCGGCAAAACTCTTTCGAGGTGGCTTCTCGCAGTCTGAAGAACATTCTTGGTCTGTGTATCAAGAACCAAGCCACCCTCACTTGGCTGTGCTTGATTGCCCTTGAGTACCAAGAAGCCAATCAATTTTGGGCCGCTGCCGCCGAGAACAGTAAGCTCAACAGCGACTTCCTTCAGCTCTGGCGAAGATAGTCGTGCTTGGTGTTCGATTTCACCAAGCTCGATCCGCTGGCCTCGAAGTTTGACCTGGGTGTCCTTTCTTCCTAGGAGTTCAATCGAGCCATCGCTTCTATACGATGCAAGGTCACCGGTTCGGTAGAACCGCGAGGAAGCTGCAATAGGACCGAGAGCTGGTCTCCAGGACGGCACCTTGATGAAGGCCTCGGAGGTTTTTTCTGGGTTGCCAATATAGTGTCGTCCGATCACTGGTCCTTCGAAAATGACCTCACCAGGCGCTCCAATAGGGACCAGCTGGTTGATGTTCGTTGGGCTGGTAAGCCAACACCTGGATGTGGTCGCCTTTCCGACGCTGGTCACGACTGAGGATGCATCCAACCCAGCCGATGAGACAACAGCCGCGGTCTCTGCACTGCCATATGTCTGCCGCAACTGGACCTTGGTGGCCCATTCGCGAATCTGAGAGCTCCGGATGGGCTCACCACCAACACAAATGGTTTGCAGAGACGGCACATCCTCTGGGCGAAGGAGAGCCAGTACCGTAGCTGTCAAGAAGGCCCAGTTCGCGTTCAACCTAGTGATTGCTCGTGCCAGGTTGACGCTGCGGTCCTCGTCAGATGGAATACAGATGCAACCTCCGTAAATGAGTGTCATGACCATCTCCATGATGGCCCCGGCAAAGTTGTAGGAGCCGAATTGTAGGGCGCGCACTTCGCTGGTCATGCCCAATATCCTTCCATGGCCAAAAGCTGCCGAGCAGTAAGATCGGTGCTCGATGACACAGCCCTTCGGCTCTCCAGTGCTTCCCGACGTGAAAATGATATAGGCAGAGTTGCTCGGAATGGCTTTGGGCATCTCTAGCGACGTTTCATGAATTTGTGACTTCAGAGACCCAATTGTGTGGTTGGAGAGAACGACTGCATGATGCACGAAGGGAGACAGCCGGTTTTGGCAAGTTGGGGAGGTGATGGCAGTCTCCGCTTGCACCTTTTCGCAGATACTCTGAACGCGACCTTCGGGCAGTCCAGGGTCGAGAAGAACAAAAGTCCCACCGGCCTTGAGAACAGACAGCATTGCCACAACAGTCCACATTGACTTCTCGAAACATAATGGTACGACCTTTTCGGGCCTAACACCGAGTCCAACGAGGTGCCATGCGATCTGGGTTGAAAGACTGTCGAGCTCGCGATATGTTAACTCGCCATCCCATGCGCAAACAGCCTGTGATTCAGGCTTAGCCTGCACCCTTTCCAGGACGATATCATGGATACATCGCTCAATGACTGGTGGAACAGCGCTGTTCCATTCCCGTATCTGGTTCAGGTCCAGTGGGGGTAGAATCTCCAGATCTGACAGCGCTAAGTCCGAGTTTGCACTGCTGAGCTGCTGTGTGACAAATTCGAGTCGGTGAAGTAGCTTGAACACAAGTGCAGGTTCGATCACCCGCGTATCAAAGGCGGCTCTGGAGTGAACATGGGCCCCAGCAGGATGAATTTGGATGGTAAGGCCATATTTGCTGAATTGTTCCAAGAGGTCCACCTCCTGAGACTGGATAAGAACCGTCTGGAACAGACAAGCCTTTTGACAGTCTGGAGACGCCTTCGAAATCCGGTCCAATCCGACTTCCCCAAAGGGAATACTCTCCGTCGCTTGTTTTTCGGCTTCTTCCAGATAGTCCTGAACATTTTGATTGCGATCAATCATCACACGCACGGGCGTTGTTGTGTTACCGCTTGATGATGTTGCGCCGAACACGATGTCATTTGAGTCAGTCATAGAAGCGGTGATCAGGCTCCATGCTGCACGCACTAGCGTCGCTGTAGAGATACCATTCACGGCCATTAAGGGTTCCGAGAACTGGTACTCGACGACTTTGTCCGCGACCGGCTGATCAACAAACGGTGGTAAGGTCGGGTATGGCGCGCATTCACATCCAGCTAAAGTATTTCTCCAAAATTCCATCGCCAAAGGAGCTCCATCTGTCACGATCTCGACCGTCTTCGCATTTTCCGGTTGTTTGTCGGATTCGGTCTCTGTTCCGCATGGCTTGCGGATACCAAAGGGGATCTCCCTGATAGTCATCTTTGACAAGGTGGGAGAAGAATAACTATGCGCACAATATTAGACACTGATTCCCTGCATCCCTTATAACCCAATCAATCAGGAATCTTCAACCAACCTAGAGACAGAGGTGTTGCAAGAAGCGGAGCAGATGTGAGCGCAGAACAGAATGGCATGAAGTCCAAACCAGGCGGATCAAATGGCTCCTCCAGTTGAGCTCGATAAAGGAAATTGCCTTTCCACAAAATTTACATAGTCGATACATAGCCCGCAAATGGTGCGATCACTGCTCTATTGGTCGGAATACGATGTGAACCCCTTTCCCTGTACACACTCCTCTCCCTGCGATTCCTTCGGGTCGGCTGAGATAAGGTGGCGTTCATGGGCAGGTGGCGTTCATGGTCGGGAGTCGATCATCATAGTCGTCAGGTCCGATCTGGCTCAGGGCACCGTAGCGCAGGGCTATCAGCTCATGAACCCCATCAGAGTGGAGTCCAATAGTTCCATAGGTTGTCAAAGCGGAGATGTGGAGACACGTGGGCTGTAGATCTCCCAGGGACGGGACAAGAAGGGAAACCTGGGTTCGACCGCATGGAGCTTTGTGGAACTTGCTCATCGGGTCTCTGGATGAATCATTTCAGTTCACAGTCCCAATTCCCCATTTTTCAGCTCGAGGTCAAGCCCCCACTATGGTTGTCCTGTTCTCAGTACGCCGTCGAGGTCTATTGTGGCTAAGATCGGCATTATCGACATAGGAGAGTGCCTCCCACTCAGCACCCCGCAGGCCGCAGGAGAGCCGGAAATTCACCGAGAATATTATCTTCCAAAAAAGAAGAAAAACAAACTTACTGAGAAGTATCACGTTATTGAAAGATGGATGTAAAAATTGAGATTAGTGAACTCCACACAATGTGTCAAGAACGTCACCCCTGAATCCTTCCCCCGGCGCAAGGAGCAATCGGGCTAATGCTACAGCAGAATATACACGCAGTAACCCGGCTGCATCTTCAGTCTTCCCCGACAACAAGATTCCGTCAGAACATCAGAAATTCCCCGAATGAAAAATGAGGTCGGACACAGCTGCCTCGAAATTGCCAAAGTTTCGGATCCTCATGCTACATGGTCAGTATGGGGTTGATTGGTTTGCGATTACCATGGGTGTTTCTTAACAATCACTTCTTTTTAGGCTTTGCTGCGACCGGGTCTTATATTGAGGCAAAAATCAGTCCTATAGCACATCGTATCACCGAACTTCTTGCGCCCGAGATCCTTTCAGAGTTTCCAGGTGGCATCGAGTTCTTGAGCCCAGATGCGCCTTTGGTTCTCGAACCCCCAATTGGACTTGGGTGGAACAGCGAGGATTTTGTCGAAGATGAGCGCGACAAGCAAACGGTGATAGCTCAAGCTAAAGAAGAACAAACAAACCGAGGCTGGTGGTATGGTCGGGATACGGTGAATGATTACAAGGGCATCGAGATCTCGCTTGCCTCCCTGGCCGAATTCATCCATGGCAGGCCCATTCATGGCGTTATTGGATTTTCGCAGGGAGCTGCTGTAGCAGGGATGGTGTGCTCTTTACTCGAATGCCATGGAAACCCGGACAAGGTCACGGCTATTCGCGCACAGGGTCTTCCTGTGGACGATTACCTACGCCTTCCAGACCAGGAACGCTTGAGATTCGTCATGTCTATTGGAGGATACCAGGGGACATTAAAATACTATGGCAGTCTCTACCAGTGGCCAATGCACACACCAAGCTGTCATACACTCGCCAGCATGGATGCTGTCGTTGAGCATGAGTTGTCTATGAACTTGGCGCGCTCTTTCGTCTCATACGAAATCGTGGAATACCTCGGCTCTCACTTTATTCCTCGTGATCCTGCAAGCGTAAATGCTCTGGCACGCTTCGCCGCCAACGCCTCTCTGCTCTGCGACTCGCGTCCTATAGCTACCGCCACTCCGCCCCTCAGTCGATCTGTCAACACAACCGATGACGAAGATCAAAGCAGCACCGCAACTTTGAGCACATTGGGGTCCGATAAGTCGTTCAAATCAGTCACTGTTTGGAAGCGGACAAGAAAGACGCATGTTACCTGGGGTCGACGCATGAAACTTAGCACTCCTCCAGCAAAGTTGGGAAAGGAACCTCAAAACACAAAACTCAGCTTCACACAGACTCACCTAAGAGTTTGATCATTCCAAATTATCTGAGTTGAGAGAGAAGACAGGTCTTGCTTCTGGTGTCAGGTTCGGGTATTGGCCAACCCGGGACCACGAACGAGTTGACTGGCGTTGGTAGCGGGGAGTGGCTACATATTATCATTCGTTGTACTTAGTTTCATTATTCCCCTCCATTTTATACCTCTGTCCAATATACCAGTTTCTTTTATTTCGATTTTACAAGTGTCCTATGATTAAGTTTATTGAATGGTCGTACCAAATATAATATGCCAACCCTATCCCAGCAAACGTTAATTATTTCACCATACAAACATTCCTACTACGGGGTACTCAGACCAATATTACTGCAGATCGTCTAATTAGATATACATTGTGATATAGATTATAGCACGGCAATAGGTAACAGAAACAATAATATATGTATTGATACAACAGAGGACTCTGCCACGCCACTTCTCCCACCCATTCATTCATGCCCTTGTATAGCTCTGGGAAGATATAGTTCTTCCAAATAGCGCTCTTCCTCCTCGGAAAGCTGTTTGCCCCGCGCATCCAGAGCCTCATCCATGCGATTACTCGAGCTAAACCCAATGATGGGTGCTGTGACCCGCCGATTCAGCCAGGCCAAACTCACGTGGCTCATCGGCCAATCTCTATTTAAAGCAATCTCTCGTACCCTTCCAACAATTCCATCAATATTGTCGCCTCCATTGTCATACATGGATCCACGAGCGCTCCACTCAGCCCGGATGGAACTTGTCTTCCCCATTGGGTCCCGGGCTAACCTCCCCGATGCCAATGCAGCCCACTATTGAGAGATTCATTAGCTGATTCTGAGTGTATTGTTGAGGCTAGAGAAAGCACATACCGGTGTGAGCCCAACCCCAGTCAAATTGCAGAATGGGTTCATCTCTCGCTCTTCTTCCCGATACAGTAGATTATAATGATTTTGCATCGAGATAAACTTGGTCCACCCATTCTTCTCCGCAATGTGCTGCAAGGTGGCAAATTGATATGTCCACATCGAGCTGGCACCAATGTAGCGGACCATGCCAGACCTTACCAAGTCATCCAAGGCGCGCATGGTTTCTTCCGGTGGGACAGTGGGATCAAAGCGATGGATCTGAAGGACATCGATATAACTGGTATCTAACCGGCGCAGCGAGCCTTCAACCGCCTTGAAGATGGCAGTACGTGATAATCCTTGGTATGAAATAAGTATGCGGGGTTCTGCATTATTGGGGAGGGAAGCGCCATTCGACCTACCCCATTGGTTCACGTAATCCTTGCTGGAATCTGCCAGCTCATGATGCATGGTGACCATAGAACCTGGATCATGGTTTTCAGGGTCACAAAGAACCCGATAGCACTTGGTCATGATGATGACTTTCTGGCGGGGAATCTTGTATTTCTGAAGGGCCTGCCCTATGATCCTTTCGGACTCGCCATTTGAGTAAACGTTCGCAGTGTCCCACTTGCATTGGGTTAGCCAGTACTGAAATGGGTACGTGGAGTGAGCACATACTGTATTTATGCCGCGATCATATGCTGCCTTCAGGATACCAAGGGCCTATAACTGGGTGAGCAGCAACCCTATATGGTGTATGGGGGGTCATAATGGTTAATAGGTACCTTGTCCTCATCCAAAACCCAGGGAAGCCAGCGAGAGCTACCCAAAGTCAATCCGCCGAGAATGGGATTTGATACTCTGAGCCCCGAATTTCCCAGCCTTCGGTACTCCGCCTTGGAGCGCGTTATAGACTCGCGCAGACATCCAGGCACTTTTGCCAGATTCTCGAGCACGATCTTACCCATATTGGATCGAATGATCAAATGCGTAAAGCTGTCTAGAGTACGGAGTTACAGAATTCCGCCAGCACAAATCGCCGATTAATTAGTTCTCCCGCTTCGCACCCAGTGATATTGATTTCGTTTCCTCTCGCGACGCGGGAAATTTCGAGAGATTACTCATCCACAACAGCGAGAAAAGTGGAGATTCAGCTTGTTCGTGTATTGTAAAAAGAAAGGGGTTTGAACAACATGTTTCCTTTGTACAATTGAACAAACTTTAAAACCCCCAATCTGGTCGGAACATGACTTCACCACGCTGTTCTCCACTTGTATATCACTTGCGGGCCGGAAAACGATCATCAGAGTCAACACCAAAAACCCCCATCATATTTGGTGGCGTCGACGAGGACATGTAGGTCAAACAATAGTAAATTCGAGAAAATGGAGCTTCTACCTTGGCAAATCTCTCACCAGAGGAGATGCTCGGCAATCGAATTTGAGGAGATCGGATGATCATAATTTTCTAAATAATGTAAATACTTCGCTCATTTTCAGGATTTGGACCTCTCTGATAGTTCGCGAACGTGGCTTTCGGCAGTGGGCCCATGAGTGGAGACATGGCAAGTGGCAGGCACGGGCCCTGTAGATGGGTCTGTATTCGGGGGATATTCATGCAGCGTTTGATTAACGTCCATGCTCGCACTGCTGCCAACCACATTGGTTTGAGGGGTGAGAAAGGTTTTGCCAGCTGCATCCGGACTATCGAATAATCCATACTAGAAAGGTGTATAGCGGGAGCATGGTGGAATATGGCCAAAGGATTTAAAGTTAGCTCTATGCCGTAGTCCTCGTGAAGATCTCTACTAGCGATTCTGACTGCTCCACTTTCCTGCCGATCATGTCGACGAGTACGGAGTAGGGTACGCAAATCCGATCGGGCAAGGGTTTTTGCCTTATCTGCGATTGGCACTGATCATCATTGCCCAAACAGGCAAGTCCCCACCGGCTAATTTCCCAGGTTTCTATCGGGACTCTTCATCGGGCAGGTGGAGCATTCGATAGTTGAAAAAAGCTCGCACTGGTGAATAATAGCGTGCACAGATGATGCAATAGTAAGAGAGTTTGATTGACAAGTGATAGACAGGAGTTGATGAACTCGACAGATATCCTCGCTTTGGATACGCGATTCTATCGAGCTCAGTCGCCTGTGTCGATTATTGTCGAAGGAGTCCGTTAGTGACTTCGCTTGACCGATATTATTAGTTTCACAAAGAACTGCGCTGAGCATACCCGACTAAAAACCCGGCTATTGTGTCACTTGAACCGCTTTTCTTCGCTCAGCGTACAGTTTCCATAATCCCGAGAGGCGTGCAACTCTAGCTAATCCGACTTGCTGCTCTAGCTCAACATGGCCGGGGAGGCAATGCGATCGCGAGCCATCGCACAGACAAAAGACGAGCGGCAGCGCAAACCAGCAAATAATCTCATCACAACATTCGACCGTGTCGCACAACGACAGCCCAATGATATAGCGGTGCTGTCCTTTCACCAAAAAGACCATCTTGGGGTCGGTAACCTGAGCTGGACGTATGCCCAGCTTCGCGATGGCAGTGTCCGCTTGGCCCATCGGCTTTCATCTGCAGGATTGCGAAAAGGAAGTCGCATCGCTACATTCCTATACAATGAGATCGAATGGGCCCTCCTTTTCCTCGCCAGTGCGCGTGTAGGATGTCATTTCGTTCCATTGGATCCTCGCGCGCTCAACACTCCGTCCGACGCGATATACCTTTTGCGAAAGGTTTGGGCGGAGGCAATTTTCGTCTCTCATCTGGAATTTGCTGAATGCGTTGAAAATATCCTCGACACTGAACTGATGCCCCAGGTGCGATTGAAAAGCATTGTCGCGCCCGTCGCAGTGGGACGTGAGACTGAGGATTTGCCACGCGGATGGAGAACTTTGTCCGCAATGATGGCCGATCCAGATCCAGCTGGAATTGTGCTGCCTCAGCTGAAGCGCGATGATATAATTCTTATGTTGGGGACCAGTGGCACCACGTCTCGCCCTAAGATCTGCCCTCATTCATCCGTCACCATCGTGACTCCAGCACTCGGGCTTGTGGATCACTGGTCGCTGACCCGCGACGACTCGATCTGTCAGCACCTGCCGTCTTTTCATGTTTTCAACATTGCGATGAACCTTGCCTTCTGGGTAGCCGGAGGAACAGTTGTGATCCCAAGCCCTGAATTCAATCCGGCAGCGACATTTGAGGGCCTTGCGACTGGCTCACGGGTGTGGATCGCGGCCGTGGCCACGATGATACATGCCATGCACACATACTCAGTGGCTTTAGAAGAGGATCTCGCATCTCCGTTTGGGATATGCCTCGGAGGAGGACCGATTACCCCACAGGTCCTGCGGGAATGCAGTGCGCTCGGCGCAAAGAAGATTGTCGCAGGATACGGGACAACGGAAGGCGTTGCAACGTTATACAATGTAATGGATGTGACCGATCCACGAATCACGAATGTGCAAGATGGTGATGAGATATGCCTGGGACCAGCCGTCGCGGGATCGCATCTCCGCATCTGTGCCCCTGGCAGCAGGACGCCTTTGCAGCGGAATGAAATTGGTGAGCTTCACCAGGGAGGATATCCGGTTATTGAAGGATACTATCAAGGCAGTGAGGAGGACAACGCAACATGTTATAAGGAAGGCACCGTGCCTTGGCAAGCGACGGGGGATCAGGGATATATGGACGATGATGGTTGTATATATCTGCTCGGGAGATACAAGGACCTGATCATTCGAGCTGGGGAGAACATCTCCCCGCTTAAGATCGAGCAGTGCTTGGCTGGGCAGCCGGGGGTTGCCACTGCTGTTGTGGTTGGAGCGCCTGATGACATTGTGAGCGAGGTGCCTGTTGCCGTCATTGAGACGTACGATCGCAAAGACCGGTCCTTCTTCCAGGGCCTGCAGTCGGCCGTGGTACGCGCAATGGGCCGATCATTTGCACCCAAGCTAGTCCTTCATCTTCAAGATGACCTCAACCGCGAGAAATATCCCACCACGACATCGGGCAAGATCAAGAAAAACGTTGTGAAAGAGTGGGTGGCCGCCTACCTGGCAGGCTCCAGCACCGCGTCATCGCGAGCGCAGACTCCAAACATCACCGAGACTAGCACTGCTCCCAGTACTCCTCCGACCATCGCTGCAACACCAAAGGATGAAAATAATGATATCCACAAAGAACTCACAGCATTGTGGTCATCGGTCTCGGGGTTGGATGTCCCAGAAATCAAGACGGACATGCCCATTCGCACCTTCACCGATAGCACAATGCTGATCCAATTTCTTCAGCTGGCTAAGAAAAAGGGCTGGAAGCTCACCTTGAAAGACTTGCTGGCTGCTAATACCATTGAGAAACAGGCTCGGCTCCTTGGTGGGACACACACCCCCCAGTTGAGCCTGGGAGCGCCACTTGAATCCAAGACAACAACGACCGTCGCCATCAAGAAACAACGCGCGGCTGCCCATCTGGGATTACACGTGGATGACATTGATGAGCTCATCCCAATGACCGACCTCTTTCGAATGCTCTCCCTTGATCGACCTTATCCAGGCGCCTGGGATCTTCGCATTGACTTCTCGGTCAGGCGGGATCTGAGCGCGGACCAGATCGCCGCCATTCTCGAGACATGGTTACAACGACACGAACTGCTGCGCAGTGTTGTTGCAGTTGTGGAGAATGAGCCCCCCGTTTACGCGGTGATGCATCCCAGTGCATCTTGGTTTAAAAACCAGATCATAAATGGCCCTGAGGTTGATGATCTCAAAGCGGTCACCGAGTACCAGCTAGATGACTTCGTTGACTCGGGTTATGGTCCCCTTTGCAAAATGACCATTTTACCTCTGCACTCAACCTCACGGTGTGGCATGGTCCTACATATCCATCACCTCCTGTTCGATGGAATGGTGATGGAACGCTGGATTCGTGATCTTAACCATCTCTTTGATGGAAAACCACAGTTGAACTGGCACCCTTACCGTGAGTTTGCTGCCAACTACGAAGCCTATCGCTCTACTGTAGACGCAGAAGAATCTGTGCGCTATTTCGTGCGCAAGTTCAGCGGTATTGCCTCCGCGAAAGATGCAGTTTGGGATATCCATCGGGTATTCCAGATTCTGGATCAGAATTACACCCCTCCAGAAAGCCTCGGCTCCAATATCACTCCCAAGAGAGCTGACCCCGCTACCTTGCCAAAACGTTTCATCCACCTGCCTGAACTCACACAGATGCGATCTCAATTTGGAATTTCCGCCCCGATTATTGCATTGGCTGCTTGTGCATTGATGAATGTTCGATATACAGGAGCTTCCGAAGCGATCATCACCAACCTGCAATCCGGTAGATCATGGCCCACTGAGGACGGTCCCGGCAGTAGCGACATATCTCTCCTGGAGCTCTCTGGACCTACCCTACAAAATCTCCCAGCGCGTATCCCGGTCATACCGGAGGATACGGTCCTCGACCTGCTGAACAGAGTGAGAACCGAACAGGACGAAATGATGCTCCGTGAGCATTGCCCTGTGAAACGAGTGCATGAGTTAGTATCGCAGGGCCCGAACGGTGTCGAAGATGCGGCTGTGCTCTGGGAACTCATGACTACTCAACTCTTTGACTGGTTGCTGGAGACATATAGCCAAGGGTCTGATGATGCCCTCGAGTTACTTCGTGACACCACTCTGTCGCGGACAGGCTGGGTTTGGTTCCCCCGATTATCGGAAGGAAATGTACTTCATTGCAACATTCATCACGCGGATGCCGACCTGCCTGTTGACAAGACGAACTTTATAGTGGAGGAGTACTTGTGTGCGGTGGCTTGGTTGGCCGATCCTGTAAACGTGCAGAAGCCAATCTCAGCCTGTCGGTTTGACGGATACGCGGTGGGTTCTGCAGATTTCATGTACGATCAACGTGACGGTTCCTAGGGACATGATGTACTGGCGGACTGAGACAGGCTGTATTTGTACCCAATTTGTCCGTCAGCCCTTCTTTCTTCCCTGTATATTTTAACTTGATGTTTGGCAATATCACTGGTATCATATTCTGCACTGTCTAGAGATCCAAGGCGACTAGGCTCTAGTGGCCTGCTAACCTAATTATCGGCAAGCCCTGGACATTATTGAATTTAGTTTTTCTGCAACTTCAAGCCCCGTTTTCAGGGGTTAGGTTACATACTACAGTGGGGGTTTTCCATCTCTAATACTAGGATTGAGACACGTAGATTACTGCATATCCGTCAATCTAAACACAGGGGTAAGTGAGAGCCGAGGCTTACAAAAAAGCAGTCTGCCAGTAAGGAATTTTGTAATATCTGGCACTTCTTGACGTATTTAGGACGTCAATCCATCCCTTCACGTTTCGGGTTGGTACTAGCCCCTTTCCCTTTACACTGTTACCCTTGGTAAGTCAATAAGAATACGTGACCATTTAACGAAGATATCGAATCTGAGGAGAAAAACAAGCGCGAATCCGGAAATATCCCCGGTGGCACACTATATCTACCTATCAGTATCAATATTCTGCTATCTCACTTTCCTAGAATTGGAGGTAATAGCCTCTAATACGGTTGCTAACCCAGGCATTTCGAAAGTGGTGTATCCATTAAAAATGCCCCTAGTTTTGAGACATAGCTAGCAAAGAATATAGCAACTAGCTCGCATCAGATAATACTCTCAAAGCTATATTCTGGCAAACATACTAAATTTCTTGGTCCGACCCTTACCTCCCCCTGGCACCACCACGTTGGGTATCCGTCCATGACTCTCCACTTTTCTGTCAATCATACTATATTTTTTCGGCCAGCTTTCATCATCTTCAAAACCATCCCACGATCGGTCCTTGTCCCGACCCTTGTTTCCTTTTGGCCCCACCACGTTGGGTATCCGTCCATGACTCTCCACTTTGCTTTTGATAATTGAGCTTGAACATTCATACATCTCGACGATGATTTGTTGGAGAGATGAAATTTCCTTGAAGCGAGCAATGGCCAGCGCGAATTCCTTGGCAGAAATCGTAGCCCTGTTATAACACAGCTTTCTATACGAGGAACCGGGGCCCTCTGAGCTGATTATGAGTGTTTTTAGCTTGGTACAGTGTGATTGTATCTTTTCCAGTATATAAAGGCTGTCTTCTCCCAGGCTGACATCGTCTTCAACTTCAAGGTCGCGAACTGGAGGAAAGTCGATGCGAATACACTGAAGGTATGATGCATTGACAAAGCCAATGGTATCGAAAAATTGAGGTATAAGTTTGGATTTCCAGCTCCAGAGCACAAGTTCAAAGCAGTTATTGGCATAGAGTAGCGGCCTGGCCTCGTGTAGGATTGTCGAGTTGGTGGAAAGGATATTTGGTCCCAGCTCATAGTCTCTAAACCAAGGATCAATAGGATCTCTGCGTACTAGGAGACACATGTATATCTCGCTGCGGATTTCAGCAGCAAGACTAAGGAAGCGCACTGCCATCTCTCCGATCGCAGTCCAGAAATTTTTCGATAGGATGTGTGAATATTTCAAGAACATCATTGACGAAGTGGGGTCAAGTAATGTCAGAGTAAGGTTGACGTCAACCACGTGTTAGGTGTGTACACATATTTAGTCATAGATATTGAACAGGAACAAGCATGATGCCTTTACTGCGAATTAGAGAAGTGATTCGGTGATTAGTTCCTATGCCATCCCCTAACACTCACCCCAGTCCCTCTTCAGCACAGCTTCGAGCGCTGAGGTTACGCTTGCGTTTCTCTGAGATTGCCTCAGCAAGCAACCTATATACAAATTCAAGTCTATTTAAATATTTTCATGCAAATCATCCACTGCTGTCAGTTAATGTCGTCCAGAATAAGGCTTATCCCTGCCCCTTCAAATTACAATTCTTTTGCATCATCACGCGCTGTTAGCACAGGACCAACTGTTAGACCTCGAGTCATCGTGTATTGCGGCTCCTGAAACATAGAGGCCCAGTCCGCACTGCAGAAAATTAGCCGTGAGCAGAATGGAAATTGAGAACTTGAGATGACTGGTGAAAAGGCCTGTGCAAAACAGGCAAATGCCAAAGAGCAGCGAGAAACTTACAATAGCACAGGAGATGCCGAAAATCAGCACATTGGTAATCGTCAAAAATGCTTTCTTGTAGTTTTGGAAGTATTGACCTTTGTTCATGTGTAACCAAAAGACAGCGGGGAGGCCGACTACAACACGTGTTAGAATTTGGATAGGACGCAGCCAATGGAAGGTAATGTCAAACTTACAGCTAAACCAGCTTCCAAATAGCGCACTCTACAAGACCGGATTGCGTTAGCCAGTGTCCCGAGAGATCATTTGATATACCTCAGACATACAATAAGACTCAGCAGGTCATTGAACACGGGAATTGACTCCGCCACGACCCAAGAGAGAAGCCAAACACCGAGGCAGATAGCCACCCAAGATCCAATGGATAGCAAGCTGCGGCTGTGCATCTGGTTCGACCCGCGGAAAATGCGCACGTAGATGTATTTGCACGCAACATGGCCTAAGACGACACCGGAGAGGATGGTCTTGCGTTCTGTCAGCGGGGTCCCCAGACAAGAAGACACAACAACTAGGTTAAATCGAAAGACTCACTGTCGGAATGGCAATACCCCAAGCAATCTTACTCATCAAAGGACTCAGAGAGGAGATGGCGGGCGACTTGACATTGGGTCCAACGTAATGATAAATAAGCAAGGCACTGACGAGATACAGAACAGTATCGATAATTTGAAGCATTGCAAGCGACTTGTTGAAGGTGCGTGGATCCTCCGTCTCAGACATGAAGCCGAAGTAAGCAACATGAGCAACTGCATAATATTCAGGTTAGCTCGATCGTTTTCAGTGAAGATCTGGATGTAAGCTAGGGGCAATTGCTGATAAATATCAACATCAGGTGATTGTCCAACGTACGGTAAGCAAAAATGATATTGGTGATGGCCAGGAAACCCTCACGGAAGCTGACTTCTGTAGTGGCTTCGTTCACGACATGACCTTTGGTCTCCACGCCCGCAGTGATCATGGTGATGATTGTCGCGACAAGAACGCTCACGAATGCTGTATACCGGTCAGTGATGCTGGCCGAGGCTTTGAGATATGGCCCGATTGTAGCTCTGGCTGGTTATACGCACAAGCAACAGACATCCAGTAGACTTTCTCCATAGTACGGGGCAGGGCACCAAGGAAGCAAATGACCAGGCCAACTACACCGAACACCAAGGTGCAGGCACCGTGGTCGGTCAGGACATTCATCAAGATGTTGAATGTCAAGATGTTGCTCGCCATGAGGAAAATAAGCAAAAGCAGCTGGCCAATTCCCAACAGCTCACGACCGAAGCGGCCCATCAGGAGCTCGCCCGCGTCTCCCATGCTGTGAATGTGGGGATGACGGAGTTTGAATTGGCCAATGGCATAACCAGTATACCATGAAAGGGCTGAGATGAAAATGATCATGATTGCGGCGCTAAAGTAAATGATTGGTCAAGAACCAATGTAGTTTCAAGGAGGAGGTACATACGGTCCCATTCCCAGGGTGGCCACAGCGGATGGCAGAGAGAGAATTCCCACAGAGACATTCTCGGCGATCATGACTGGCATTATCATTAGATATCAGACTCTGGGCTGAGTCATATTAGAACTGGATACTCACGCATGCCACAGTGCCTAGTACGCGGTCAGCCTTGGCCATATTCCCACCTGCATTTTTTCACGTGCATAGAATCGTTACTTACCACCATTTCATAGTCCGATACTTGACCTCGGCCGTCTCCTCATTGCCGAAGGGTTCCAAATCCGCCGCTGAGAATGGCTTATCCTCATCTTTCTGGAGGGGCTCATCAATCACGCCCTTGTCAACGACATATGACTCCTCGTTACTCATAATGGGCAAGCTGGTGTGCTGTTCGGCTTTCCTTCTCCAAGTCCGGATTTATGGGGGATTTCTTGCCCTAATGAAAGAACTTTCACGATTATGCAAGCATTGACCAATAACATAAGTTATTCAGAGACGAAATTTTCCCAAGTGTCGATGCTACCCCAGCCAAGCCAAGAAAAATTCTGAAGGGCGTTTCGGGAAACCCGGTGGGGCCAGGAATTTACCGCCACCCGCGCAGCGGCTGGACACAGTCGGACGGTGCCGAACCCGGAAGAAAGCATGCTGGGCTGCGCACTGGCGAGGATACCGAGATTCCCATTGGTGTGACATGGTCTATAGGCGACTAGCCTGTCTCATTTCCAGCGTGGTTGTAAACCTGAAGAACTCCCTCACGCAGCTCAACCCTTGCCGACGGAAACCCACAGCAAAAGCAGCTGCCTTCTCCGTTCTATCAACTAACAGTTCGACCGTGTTGATTCCATACGAGCTCGTGAGTTTATTCGGAAATCGGACATTGCTCACACTTCTCCAGCTTTCCACACCAAAATTCGCTCCCCCTTTTGCTTGTCTATTTCTCATTTAGGCTCGGATACTTAAGCCAGGTTTCGGCTTAGACACAGACCCACTTATTGCTTGAATTCTCGGGCCTTGCGGGTGTGGCTGACGGTCGCGCAGCCCCAGCCGATGCTACCCCAACCGGGGAGGCTACCACAATATGATGGCCCCAGTATGACACACGTAGAGCAGGACCGTCACCCAAGTTGACTGAAGCGTGTCAGCTCTTCATCATTCTGAATGCTGATACGGAGGAAAAGCTACGGAGTCTGACTGGCAATACTCTGCCCATCTCTGGCCTCATACGTGCGGCTTACTTCATCCTCAAGAACTTGAGCACGAGACATGGATCGCTGTGAAGACATCTCGGCCCGGCACGAACGAAGATCAACCATTAACGGAGGCTGGTGAGGCAGACTTACGGCTTCTCCTCGATATAGTCGTGAAATTAAGGATCCCCGGCCAGGGAACCGACCAGGGGAACGCTCCGGGAAACATCCGGAGTGATATGAGAGAGACTATCCATCCCCTTCGCTGGTGTACCTGAACTCATGGCTTGTAAATCTGGGCCGCGTAACCTACTGATGATTCTCAGCCAATGCACTTGCGTGCAACCCTTTGTCTTCGAACACGATTGGGACTTCCATGAGCAGGCCTATTTATCGACTTCGAAGATCATGTGTGCATTATACTTTGTCCGTGACACACGGACGTGCCTTTGGCTTTCGTATGTGACACGCTATTTTCCATATTGAAGACCGGCTGCTAGGACCGGTGGATCTAGCCCACTTCCACACCTTGATGTCGCTGCATACCGCAGTCAAATATTTTGTCGGGGCGTCTGAGGAAGGTGAAGAGGACTGGTCAGACTATGCCTATGACACTAGTCACCAATGCCAGCATCTTACCCGAGTCGCTCAAAGTATTACATATCATGAATCCCGAGCGGCAAGAGGAACTCGAATTAGCGGTCGAAGGAGTGCGAAAGCTTCTTTAGATGCGTAAGGTGAACTCATGCCTGCCTCGAGAGGCAAGTACTGCGTCAGCTCGCTATGTCGGCAGATGTTCTGCCGTCCTGGCTCCGGAGGTCAACCGAAATCGAATTGCGAATGGCAGCAAGGCATCACCATTATAGGCAACAAGGGCCTATTTGGGAGTGGGAGTAGAAGGGTTTAGGGTCTAGCACTGGTCGAGCTCAGGGGGGAATGGAAGAACCGTGGAATACTTCATTTACTGGTACAGCTCTTCCCTTATATCCAACCTGTCTTCCCGTCTCCAACCATCGACACGAATATCACCACTGAGACCCCTTTCTCCGCCCCACTAAGTATATCACTTCTACACTCGGCAACGGCAGCTTGTGCATCCCCGCCAAGGCCCTTGGCTCTTCTGTACTGCCGTTCGCCCCTCGCAGCATGACATGAAGTGTAATTGCTGACAGAGGCTTACGACGCCCCCATGTCCATGTCCACCAGTCCTCGCTGACAAGGATTGTGATCGGGCATTACTTGATGTGACTCGATGTTGACAAATACTCCACGCCTTCGTGTTGGCCCCTACCGTTCGCTTGCAGCAACAAGTTGTCATATCCCGTCGCTGACTATTTTTGGCGCAAATGTCCTATGTCTGTGGTAGCACCCACCACCTTGTCCAACGGGCGCATGAGAATCCCCATTTGATATGAACGAGTCTTCGGCTCCATCCCTGCTCGCAGTGGGACAGCGAAGCCTCCCCCATGGAGCCTGTCAGATCTTGATCTTGATTGACTGAAATGCCGCCAGCCGCCAGCCCAGCAGGACCTGCCACTGCCCGCAGGAGCCCCCATTGCCCCGCCCCCTCTTGACCCGCCGCGGCTCGATCGCCCTCACCCCCAGCTCCCCTGTAGATCTTCTCTTGGCGGCGGCCCTGTTTCACCTGTGTGAAAGGATCAGCCCCTGCTCCACGGCAGTCGCCTGCCATTGTTGCACGGCAAACCGCTTCGGAATGCTATAAGACGTCTCCGCCCAGTGACCCGACATTCTTTGCATATCATATGGGTCTAGAATATCCGCGCCTTTGAACATCCGCCCGTAGGTCGTCTCTTGTGTTCTGTGTTCTGTGTTCTTGTAGTTCTTGTTTCTGCATCCCTGCATCACAACTTCGGCTGCGGAAAGCATTCAACATCCTGCTGGATCATCCTGCCGCATCCCCCCTGATTTACCCTTGCACACACTGTGCTTCAGACCCGTTGCTAATACCGGACTGTCTATAGATACCCCATTGCCGTCGTTCACTCCACATTATCCTTCCAACTCATCGTCCAACATGCGTGTCTCGGTCCTCGTCCTCGGCTTCCTGGCCGGCGTGTCCTACGCTCTTCCAAGTACCCTTGAAACCTGCCGTGGAGTGAGCCCGTCCACCAGAATGACCCATGTGCGACAGCCATACTGATCGTCCGACGCTTTTTAGGGTAACGCCTCATGCGATGCTAGCGAGTCTTGGGGCGAGCCCATGGCTTGCTGCCCTGGTCTGTCATGTGAGAATGCAGTAAGTGGCGACTCTCCCGACTCTCGTGGAACCATAAACTCATCGACTGATTCCACCCCAGATCTGCGTGCATTAAATCCTGAATGGGATATCATCCGTTCGCTATGAGGTCCGCTCTCGGACCCCAGCGTGCTCACCAATCAGCAATTGGTGTGGGCGATTTGCACATATTATTCTTTCCTACGGTCGGCGATTCGTTTTCACGGTATACCAGGCGAAAGGCTGGGCGCAGAGGCCTTGCGCAGTATGATGACTTGTTACTTACGTTCGTTTTAATGAGTATATATCGAGTACAATGGCATGATCCTGCTCCGAAGGTGATCTGATCTTGATCTTCCTACGAGAAGTCTATCACAGAGTATCACAAATTATCAATCAACAAACTCTTGCCACTTAACCATCCTCCGGCTGAAATCCAGGACTTCCCCGTCCGCCACCATAATTCCTTGCCCGCGATGATGAAACATCCTCCCGCCCTCCTCCTCACTGGCACTGACCCAGGCCTGGACAGGTCTCAATACCCACATATTATACTTGTGAACCATCGCCGTATCCTCAACCACACACTCCACATTCGCAATAACATGCGGTCCACCCACTAAGGGGGCGTCAACCTTCGTCGCAGGGAGCGCATCCAGCCCAAAGCGATCCCATTTGTTAATCTCGCTATCCTCCGCCGAGGTATTCCCGATATCGACGACCTTCTCGGCTATCTCCACCGATGGAACGGCGAGGACACACTCGCGCTGTTTCTGGAGCGTCGCGAAGGACGCGTCCCATGGGCCCAGGGTGATGCCGACGAGCGGCGGTGATTCATGCTGCATCACCATGTGAAAGCCGATCGTCATGATGTTGTGCGTTGATTGGGACAGGGAGCCTGTTGATACTAGGAGGACGGGACCGGGCTCAATGAGACGGTAGGCGTGCGATAGAGTGTAGGATTTAAAGCCTTGGGGTTTCTGGGACGCAGAGCTCTGCGACTTCCCCTTGTGTGGGTGCGTCTCGCCGGAGGCTTTGCGCTTTGGCGGCATAACTTGCACGGGGCCGCTCGATCAAACTTCCGTCTGGTGTGGAAAGGGCGCGCAGGAAAAGCGGGGTGGCTGGTTGAAGCAGCTCAATGTATGTTACTCAGAGTGTCTAAAAAAGATGGTTTTATCTAGAAATCTTCGAAGCGACGATGGCTTCGATGAGAACTTGCGTCCGATAATCTTCGGAGTTGGGATCGGCTATGACGTCGCCTCATTTCAAGGTAGTTTGTTCTAAGCGGGGATGGAATATCACACCGTGCATCCTCTTCGCATCGAGGTGAACGGGACCATCCTAGGAGTAAATTATCCACTTCATGTTTGCGCTGCATCAAAGTACTCCTTGTTTCAGGCAGGAGGCAATACTTCGTTCTGTGAGCTACAGTGGCCAGGCAAGGGGGAACTTTTTCCTCCAACTACTCTGGGATTCCCTCCAGCCTCCCCTCCTCCCCTCCTCCCCCGGATACTGCTTGTTCTACAATTGCCCTATCAGATTTGACCATGGCGTATTATGCCAAGTATCAAAGACTAGTTTCAATTCCCCGCCACCAACATCGATATCATATAAGTAAGTGAAGATATAGTGGAAAGGCTATCGAGTAAAGAATACATGAATACACCATGTGACCGTCAGCTCCGTGCCATCGTCTCTCTTGCTTAAGCCTGATCAGAAAGACAGTCCGGCAAAGTCGCTTAGGGGACAATCGACGAGGGAAGCCATCGGTTTCAGCAGCAAAAAGTAAGAAGTAAAAAGAACGGAAGGTGAGGGGTGACGCGGGAGCTCATTGGGCGTGGAACAAGTCTTCTACAGTACGGACAACCGTCGATCTCCTTCCAGGGACAGACGTCAAAGGTCTCCCATAGCATTGACACAGGGGGGATAGTCAACTACAGAGAGTGGTATCGATCTATCTCTATGTTGACCTCGTTCCTTCGATAAGAAGCCTCGGCCCTCTGTGAGGCTCACAACAGTGGCGTGGATCCATGGATATCTTTGTCACTGGCTACGTCTGCTCTTTTCGATAAGCCTCACTACCGCCTGCCATTACTGAGGCCCATGGAAGTGGTGCCGGTACTGGCATGATAAGGATGTTGTTGCTGCTGCATGGCAGCATTCGCTACCGTTCTCGGCCTCGGGACCGCATTGTCGGACGTCGGGTCCGTCACTAAGTTTTCATGCCAGGGGGCGTCTTGCAAGTGGAGCGTGGCATGGTTGAATTAGCCCATGCCGTACCCTGAGAATCATCACCAGGCGGGAAATCCTCCATCACACGCTTGGGAAAGATCGAAAAGTAATCGGTTCAGCATGCTTGTGATCTTTCCCAAGCTCATGAAGCCAGATAGCTTAAACCAGAATCGAATCAACTTTTGCCCGCAATAGGCAGGGTTCAACAGTCAAGTCAGATGAGAATCAGGCTAGGAGGGATACAGTATGGTGGGCAAGTACAGAGTAGAGAGGCAAGACGGTTGTTCGGATGTAATCGAATGGTCGGCGGTGTTGCAAAAACGACCATGCACAGGATGAATCTACAAGGCACAGGCCATGATGGTCGTGCTGCTCATCATATCTAAGTTAGCTAGTGGGGAGCTCGGAAAAGTACTCGCGCAGAGACAGGGCAAGAATCGGGGTGCGAATAACGTTCCATCACGACTAAAGCAACAAACCTCTTCGCTAGCCAGCCATTCAATATCGCGGGGTCCCTTTATAGCAGAACTTGCGAGAATATCCTCTGGCGAGGTTATGAACCGACGGTTGTCGGCCTTTGGGGTTTGATGATCCGGATACGCGGCCAGTTTCATCCTTCTCTTTCTTCAAATATCTACGAATAAATGGAGAAGGAACGTAGCATCTTTCCTGGCTGTCGTATACAGGACACCTGGACAGGAGAAAGATCAAGAGATTATTGTCTGTGGGTAATATCACCAAGTTGCAGTCCATGGTGAATGGATTGTCTCCTGATTTAGGATCAGCTAGATGTCGATATTTACAAATGTATTTTATAATTAGTTGAAAGCAAGAATATGAAATACTACACCAGGGTTGATAGGAGCGGTAACTGCTAGTCTTGAGATCTAGCTAACACATCGAGCGGGTGAGAAAGGTGATTAGTCGCTGTGACCGAGCCCGGGCAAAAATCAGTATGACAGAAAATGGTGGAGCTGATGCTAAGGGCAGCAGAACCAAACATTGCGTAGAAACACAGCAAGGGAGGAAGCAGAGCATTCGGTTCTACGAGAATGCACAACACCACCATGGGTGGACACGCCGGAATACAGTGGGCGGACGAGGGGCTACGACTATTGGGAAATGGGACTACAGTAGAGACTACCGTTCATGAACTGCATCAATAAATCAAACATATACAGGCAGCGCAGATGAAAGTGAGAATGAACAAAGAGATCAGGTGGATGCAACCAGGGTCAGTAGACAACATCAAATACAAAGGTATATCTACCACATAAGTCCAAGATAATAGACAAGAGAAAACTAGCAAAGCATGGGCGCCGGACCGCGAGGGCCCAGACCACGACCGAGAAACGAGATCAACCGCGCAGCCGACCCGCTCTCACGAAAGGTACGGAAAATAAGAACTCCTGAATCCTCCTGTACAAGATTTTAACAAAAAAGGGCCCATCAAACCCCCATCAATGTGGCGTGGCGAGTCGCTTAGAAGACGGGAGCGCAACCCCAGTGCTGCTCGACGTCGAACGCGCCGGGAGCCTTCCAGTCATCGTTGGCGTAGGAGAAGAAGATGGACTTGGAGCCGAGGGCCTTGGCAATGGACTTGACGGCGGTCTCCTGCTCGGCGACACCGGGAACAGCAGCGCCGTTGGCGTTACCAGCGTTGGGCCAGCCAGTCTCCAGGTTCAGGACGTCCTTGTTGCAAATCGACTCCAGGAGCTTGAACTCGGACAGGGCAAACTCACCAGCCTTCTCGGCGGTGACCTCGGAGTTGAAGAAGGGGTGAATGTTGGCACCGACGAGGTCGACGGGGCTGCACAGGGTGGAGGAACCGTACTGCTGCCAGATGTCGATGGGCTCGGTGGTGGTCACCTTGCCGGTGTAGCCGGCGGACTGGAAGGTGGACTTGGCGGAGGTGATGAAGCTGGCCAGCTGGGCGGCGGAGCAGAAGCCGGAGGAGATGGCCTCGTTACCGACGACAATCAGCTCGACCATACCCCACTGAGCCCACTTGGCAATGGCCTCAACCTGCTCCTGAGCGCCGGAGGTGCCGGTGCTCGAAATGTAGACACCGAGGATCATGTTCAGGCCGAGCTCCTTGCAGGCCGAGCCGATGTACTCGAGACCGCTGCAGTCAGTGGAGTAGACACGGACCAGGTTGAAACCCTTGCCCTTGATGACCTTGAGGTTGGAGGTGACCTCGTCCTGGGTCATGCAGGCACCGCTCTGGGTGTAGGGAGAGAAAGTCATACCGTACTGGCCCTCACCGGTGACACCGGATCCAGTGGTGGAGCTGCTGGTGCTGACGGCAGCGGCAGCGGTGGTGGAGGTGGCAGCGGCAACGGGCACCGCGGTGGTGGTGGCCACAACGGGAGCAGCGGTGGTGGTGGCCAGACCGCTGGTGGCGAAGGGGCAGACGTAGGTGTAGTCAGTCTCGGTGACAGTGACGACGGTCTCCGTCTGGGTGTAGGTACCGGGGGTGATGGTCAGGGGAGTAGGGTAGACGATCACAGTGCTGGTGGGCACGGTAGTGACGGTACCAGGGACAACGGTGTAGGTACCAGCAGCGGGGCAAGTGTAAGTGGTGTACTCAATGACGCTGGTCACGGTGGTGCCCGAGGGCTTCACGGTGGCGTAGGGGCAAGTGATGACGGTCTCGGTCTCGACAACGGTGGTGACACCGCCGATGGTGTGGGTGCCGCTGGGGACCTCGGTGGTGGTGGCACCGCAGACGGTGGTGGATTCGGTCACGGTCAGGGTGGTGGCCGGGACGGTGTAGATACCGGTGGACGAGAAGCTGGTCACACCGGGGGTGGGCAGGACCACCGGGACGGTGGAGCTGGAGGGAGCCGAGGAAACAGCAGCCACGGAGGAGGGGGTCACAGTCACGGTCATGGTGCTGGTGCTGGTAGAGTGGACAGTGCTGGTGAAGGTGGTGGTCGACTCGGTCGAGGACACGGGCACCAGGGTCGGGGAGCCGTAGTAGGTGATGACCTTGGTGGTGCAGCCACAGGTCTCCTCGGGGCCGGGGGCCAGCGAGGAGGGAGTCACAGCCGCGATGGAGGAGCTGGAGGCATCACGACGGTTGTGGATCGCCTCATGGCGACGGTGGAGGTGGCCATCGGCCAGGGCAGAGCCCACCAGGGCGGCAGCCGCAAAGATCGAACCCTTCATGATGAGACAAGATCAACTGCGTCCACGTTTAAAGAATGAATGCCCGCTAAACGAGTGAAGCGGTGGTCAGTGAGTGAGAGGTAGGGAGCGTAGTTGGAGAGAAGGATAAAGGAGGGAGGTGGGCACGCAAGGCCTTTTGTTGGAGCAGGGACTCGTCACACGTTTGGGGGGGGGGAAAGAAGGGAAGGGAAGTTAGGGGGGGGGGGGGGGGGGGCAAGACCCAAGAAAAGGGGAGAAGAGAGGCTAAGACAAGAGGAAACGCAGTGTAGGCCCCCAATTGGGACTCCACTGATCGTGATTTTTCCCTCATTTCCTTATTTTGTTTCCCCCTGGGCGTGTCCGTATGGGGTCAGACAGGGTCGAGCCTAGACGGGTGCTCAGGCACACTGCACACTTCATTGGCTGCCTCCCGCAGACCCAAGCGAGGACTAGCTCTGGATTGGCCCGCACGGCTCGGGCAGGAGTGGGGTGGACAAACACCGTTCATACTGTCGAACTCTCGCAATACCCAGACCATCTCAACGCTAGTCTCCCGCTGTGAGCGCCTATGCAGGTACGAGTCCGCCGGTTGGTACTCTGTGGTACTCTGTGTTCCGTCCAGATACGGAGATTCCTATGCTATACGGCCGTTGCTACCTCGCACGGGGCCCAGTCTACAGCTCAGCCTTCGCCCCAGTCCAAGCAAAAATAGCCCTCTATGTCTCACTGGGGGGCCAAGGACGATACACCGCCCCTTACCGCTAGTCCTGCAGTAGGGCCACTGACCAAAACCAGTCCGCATGCGCAGCCGTGCAGGGGCATTGAGATATGCTTTCATTGGAGTCGACAGAAACTCGCGAGTATACTCGCAAGTATGAAGCCGGAAGGCGTGTACCCGTGAGCGCCCCTGAGAGCGACTGTCTCCGGGCGCACAGGACGACATCAAGACCAGGAAATTCCCATGCGCCATGTGGAGCGGTGCCTAATCTCCATGAGGCAAGGTGGCAGCTCTGGTGGGGATGATGTGGGCATATGATTGGTCACCAGCTGATTTTAATTTCCGCCCTGCCGATCGTCATGGCTGACTCGACTTGTACCACCACCATACACCATACACCGTACACCGTACACGTACACGGCGGTCGGTGCATTTGGGGTAATTTATTCATTATTCATCAATGTTGGCAGCCCTGCGTTGTCCTCCATGCAATGCCAGCTCCGATGCTGCCGGCGACCATGACATCGGCGCCCAACGTCCACGGTCACTACCAGGGAGCAATAAACAGAGACAGCACAGGCATACATCATCACAATGCCAACAAAGCAGAACAGCAGCACTGTGGATCCAGCAGATAATGTAGGTCCGTGTCTTCCGTAAAACAGGTAAACAGGTACAGACCAACCACCGCGCGGTCCCCCTGGCGGATCTCCATGGCATTCGTCAGCGCATCCCCCGCCCTGTGTCCATCCGCCAAATCCGAGGACAACAAAGAGTCCGGGTGTCGGGTCTTCACTTCGTGGCGATATGCTGTGGACGGCAGTGCACGGGATCCTGCTCGAAGGACAGTCTACTCGCAGTCTACGCATGCCCTCTTGTAGGACACTGTGGACAAGCCGGGCCATCCGCTCCGCATCCGAGATCGACCATGACAGAGTGGGACGCCCCTCTAAATCATCAGGAGACTGCTGATCGCAACGCGACGGCGGTCTAGATCCTACCGATGGATTCAATTGATAGTTCTACTCTGTACTCCGTCTCCGTCGTGATGCTGCAATTCTTCTTAACGGGTATGATGGTCCTACCGGGCCTGCTGCTTATGGGGTAAATCGAATTGGCGTCCGTGGCGTCAAGCCAACCTACAGGGCTGTGGAGGAAACCTTTTCCACCCGCCTCCGGAAATTGGCGGCCTGTCGGAATCCCCCGTGAACGCCGGCCCTTAACCCTCCTCATTAGTCTCGAATCACCTCCCGATCATCTATCGGGCCTCATTGGACCTGTCCTTGAAAACGATCACAGCCAGTATGAGAAGCGCCGTCGAGGGGATCTCACTGCAAGGGCCCCCGGAGCGGCCAGCCATTCCCCCCAAACTCACGTATCGCGGAGAAAGTGCTGGGTAGCATTGCTAGCTTCTGGGCAACAATGGGTCTCCACCACCAAGTCGGTCTCGACCACAACAAGATGGAGACACTATGGGGCACTATGAAAGATAGTTGATCTAGGCGCCGCGTTGCTCGCTCGGATGAAGGCGGTCTTGAGTCCAAGGCTAGGCAAGTCCTGTTCTTGAGGTTATTCAGGGGCTGAGTCAGGGGCGCCAACCCAGCTATTTTTGTCCGCTCCTTTTCTCAACTGGCGCGGTGCTGACTGTTCTCTCCAGAAATATGTGGTAGCCGGTGAGTCGCCTTGCTGCTGCTCATCAGTTTCTGTACCAAGTACCATTAGCTTGCTGTCTCGGGGTGATCTCGCTATCTTCCCCTAGACAACCACCCTCCATTGTGAGCTCAGGCAAAACTCCCACTGAAAGGTCGAATATCCGACCCTCTTTGCAGTTTGCAGTCTATTTCCCCTTGATCCCCACACAGCTGGAGTACCTACTGTAGTCAGAACCATACTTGGACCTGATTGCATGACTGGTAGGCAACCTTGTACCCCGGCAACCATCTTGTAGGGGAAACCAGGCACTCTAGCCGCCCGTAGCAACAGGCATCGTGGTAAACCAGGGGAACCTCAGCCCAAGTGGTACGACTGTGCCAAAAAAAAAATTTATATAAATAAAAATAAAACTAAAACTAAGCATCATTCTACGTTGATTCTTGGGTTGGTTTGCTTTCTTGCTGATGTTGATGTTGATGTGTCTTTGACCGGCCAACCCGACGGGTATTATTCTCAAAATATATAATCACCGTGTGGGTCATCAACAACTCGCTCACAAACATATCTAGTATGAACGGAGCCTATCCCTATAGCCGTAGGTAGAAGAAAACAACTTTATTTCAGACCATCATTCCAAAAAATTTAGGCATACTACCTATTCTCAGATCTTCTGTAGAATTTGCCTGGATCTACTCTTGGCGAAAGACCTGCATACCTGCCTTCCTATGCCACGTCTTGGCGTTCCCGTTCCGTTTTAGTGCTCAGACCCTCGCCGCTTTTGCCCACTGAGTAGATTCGAGCACGCCCCTGAGTCCCCGATCTGACCAGTGATTATTACATAAGCTCGCTGATCTGCTCACTGAGCAAGTCTCAGAAAACGGAACACCGCAAATAGTCAACATCAACGCGAACGGAAATGGGATACCCTAAAGTAATTTCGAAAGATGCATTCAGCTGTTCGTACTTTGTCTCGAGAAATTTTGTTGTGTTCTGTCAACATCATGTATATTGTAGCCTCCTAGACCTGTCTCCAATCGTTGATCCAGTACTACTATCTGATCCGAGCGAAGATGACGATTTTCAAGCCCCCAAGCGCGCATTTTTATCGCCGCAGAACAAGAATGTACCTCCCGAAGCTGAGGTTTTTTTTGTGTCTAGTCACTGGGCTCTTGATCTTAATCGGCCTATTTAAGCAGGATGGTACGTTAATTTTCTGACGCCTGCAAGCAAGAGCTTCTCATGTGCTTTTCATGGAACTAATATAGAATAGCATTTACATATCTCCTACCGCAAAGTGCACCGCAAAGAACACTGCAAAGCACACTGCAAAGCACACCGCAAATCACGCCGCAAAGCACACCCCAAAGCACACCTCAAAGCACGCCGCAAAGCACGCCGCAAAGCACATTGCAAAGCATCACCTCAGCCCCGAGTGGTCAACTGGCTGCTTCCAAACCATCTATCGCGAAGGTAACGATTATATTTGGAGATGACCCTATCTACCAAGGAGCTTTGAAAACACATGAAGAGCACGGTCGCAAATTTGGATATCGCACGCATGTCCTACGAAGCGGTATTCTGGATGATGTGTGGACAAAACCCGCGTTCCTATTGTCTCTCCTGCTGGAAGAGCTTGTTAAACCGGAAGCAGAACGACTAGATTGGATCTTGTGAGTTGATCTTCCCTAGCTAGGTAGGGATCCAGTATGATTGACCATAAATAAACAAAGATGGTTCGACGCTGACACGGTGGTCATGAATCCAAACATCCCGATTGAGCTGTTTCTTCCACCGGCAGATTTTCCTGATGTCCACATCCTATTGACCAAAGACTGGAATGGGCTCAACAATGGCGTCTTTCCCATTCGGGTTCATCCGTGGTCTGTCGAGTTGCTTAGTGCAGTTATTGCCTACCCACACACTTACCCCGATACCTTGCTCGTCTTCCGTGACCAGTCCGCTTTGGAGAAGCTTCTTGAAAACGACTATTATAAAAACTCTACTATATACGCTCCGCTCCGCTGGTTCAATGCCTATCGAGGGGCGACAGACGGAAGTCTAAATGACTATCACCCCCCAGAACTTCAACTGCGCAAAGGTGATTTCCTTGTTCACTTCGCGGGAACGTCGGGATTAGACCGAAGTGAGAGTATGAACGCGTTCATCGAAGTGGCTGAAAGGCACGACCCCGACTGGCGAGTACCACTCTCGAGAACAAACTATTCAAGCGAGATCGAGGCATTCTGGGCGGAACAACGGATCAAAAGATCAATGTCAGAATCCTAGGAAGGGGAATAATCCTATAACGATTCAGTTCGCAAGACTTTACAATCAAAATAGTCTAATTAATGCTTTTCTTTTGAGAATTGGAAAGAGAGGACATGCTCAAAAGAATCCTGAGGTTCTCTCCTTACTCTGATTCACGCCCACCCAAAAGCCCTCCATCTCCCACCTCCACCTCAAAGCGTAGTCAATCACCTCCTCCTGAAGACTCTCATCCCAATACTTCACATGTAACGAAGCTGGACTATCCTTTAGATCTTCGGGCGTCACAAAGTTCTGGTTCCAGCTATAGTGAAGCTTCTGCCAGGGCATATTCCCTTCCACACGGTGAGCATAGTTGAGCAAGTTCTGCTCCGGCATGTCCGGTGCAAATCGCCCTCCCAATTCCAGAACAGACATGTAGTACTGCATGATCTCCGTGGAGGGCGAATACACGAAAAATCCTGCGTTGAGATAATTGCTAGACATATCCGGGGGATACGAATGGCTGTAGGTCATGGCGTCCGGCTTCCCGGCAAACAGATACGTTGTCGGTAGAGGTGCTTCATCTGACTTGCGCTCCTCGGCGACATTCTGCGAGTCTCTCACCTGAGCGGCCGGATCGTCAAATACCCCGGCGATGGGCCGGGTCAGGACCGTGTCCCCGTCCATGAAGAGGACTCTTTCAAACGGGAGGATCTCGGGATCGAAGAGACGGAGTTTTGTCCAGCAGTTGCGCCAGCGGGGTTCATGCACGGTGAGATTGGATTTGACGTTGTCCACTTCAACCACTATCGCGCCGTCGCGGGTGAGCTGTTTGCGTTTCTCGTGCATTACATCGGGGGTCACCAGGATGATGAACGGGATGGTTGGGTCAAGACGGGTTTGCGGTGAATGTCGCAGTTGATATGTTAACGTCCGAACGGCGATGAAGTAGTTGTCTTCGTGTTCAGAATCACTGGGGGTTGTTTCGCCTGAAAAGAATGTAGCCACGGCAACGTCTTGTCGATACTTTGGCTTGGCGTGCCATGGTCGATGGTAATTCTGAGTCGCTGAGTGTATGACTGAGGCGCCCGATTCCATAAGATGCAGTCGTGGGGATAATAGGGCAATGAGTCCAGTAAGGAACACGATTGCTGCGAGTATTTGAACTCTTCGTCGTGATGGAGAGAGCATCTTTTAGCCATGAGAGGATGGTATTAGTTTGACGTCCACTGCATGGAAAGAGGCCATTCACAGACCGAGTATGAGCAACAATCTGTCACGGTCTGCAATTTTTTATTATCCTCCAGCAGAATTACTATCTGCTGTCGCGTAAAGCATCCTGCGGCCGTTATAACGAATTCGGGGATCAGAGCGTTGTACGACCCAAAAGCGGTGCTCTTCTAAATCTGAAATCCATCCCGAATCCGGAAAGTAATGTAGGGTTTCGAGTTTTCCCGTAGTACTTTGTCAGGGTCAAAAGATGATAGAGGTTTCCGTTTGCATGTTTCCGTATCCGCTTACATTATTCTCAGCCAGTCACCGCAGGTTCCTCTCATTACACTCTCGCATTGGATCCAATAAGGAATGTCTCAATTTCCTACCCTTGGTTAGATGCGTCTGAGTAATCGGTGCGCGACCGATCATGCTCACTAAGCAGACACGTGACCAAATTCGAGCGGCTGGTGCCTGAGCCTGTGCCCGGACTGAAATTTACTTAGTAAGTCTGACTCTGAGCGCCCTCATAAGAGCGGCGGCACTCAGAAAGAAAAGCCCCACCGGGCAGAGGAAATATGGTACGTAGAGAAGTGCTTTCTACCGTGCATCCGATGATATATCACAGTAGATAGTCAAGATCTAAACCATTGGTCCACCTTCTTCGCCAACGCCACGCACCGATTATCCACATAAATCGTATAATAATGTGCAGCACGCACGGCGACTGCTCCCAGCAGAACACCTGTCGTCCACCAAGCGACATGAAACGAAAACGGATCAGCCCCCAACGCCTCGCCACTGCTGCCGTACTTATTTCCGCTCAGCATCGAATAAATCAGATCGCGCAAGGGATTCCTCCGCAGTTCGTAAATCGTCTCATGGAGCAGATACAACGCGAACGAGATCTTACCCAGATACTGAACTAACCGCGTGTGAAGCGGTCGTTGGAGGAGCGGAATCTCCCCGATTGCGTAGACCAGCATGGCGGATCCGATGGATTTCCAGCCAAAAGTGGTATATATCCCAATTGACCTTCCAGTGTGCGGGCTGAAGGACGGAGAGAAACTGGTACCCCGGCGGTAGATGGCCGTCGTTCCCGAGGCAGAGCAGGTAGTAGCCCGTGACAAATATGAGGGCGATGTCTATGCGCGAGAGAATGAAGAGATACCTCGATGGTAGGCTGCTGCATTGGCGCTTACCCCGGCACAAGCCGAGGCGTAGGGGCAAAGTAAACTCTGCGGTGGCTTCGTCTTCAAATTCTGCAATCTTCGAATTCGGTATTCAGATGCGCGTTTTCGCCCGAGGTTAAAGTTGCTGCATGTGCCCTCTCGGCCAGCCACAGCCCCCAGATGAAGCCGAATATACCCCAGTTGCCATACCAAAGGAAGAACGCCGCGATGGTGGGAGTACGTAGAGCCTCGGCGTCACCCGCCACGCCGAGAGGCCGACGATGAGGAGGTAGACGACATTCGACCCTCTGAACTCCACCGACATGGTCCATCGAAGGCGATGATATTGATACTGTCGGCCATGTAGTTGACGACCCATTTGACGTGGGCCCACGGGGAGGTCTAGGGGGGTGCGAGCCCGGCCAGAAAGCCCTCATCAAATGGCCAGTGATACAGGTCGAAAAGTTAGAAAAGCTGGGCAAGACTGGCTGTCACTAGGACAGGAAGATAGATGCGGAGAAGCCTCCGCACAATGGCGAATGAGGCTCGGGCCAAGAATTGGGGGCTGTTCCGGGCTTTCCAGGAGGCTGATGGAGATGGCATACCCGGAGATCACCATGAAAAGGGTCACCATCCCTTGAGCTGAGAATAGGATCCAGATAGGCGGCAGTTGGACCAGGCGGCGGTTTCCCTCGGGCGGATCGGTCCAGAATGAGACGAAGGGATGCCACACATCGCTCATGAAGAAGGGGTCAGCGGCCACAATAGCAGCGGCGATGCCGCGCAGGCCTTCAAGCCATTTAGTGCGCTCCATGATGAAGCAAATGGCATGGGGCCTCCTCTTCCTCTTTCCTCCATTGCTGCTTAGCCTTTTGATTTCATGGGGTGGAGTGGGTGTAAAATTTGTTCGAGCTCAGCTTGAATATCTCGTAAGAATAACCCTGAGACCCTGGCCTTTAGTCGCAAAATTGCGCGTGCCAATCAACACTGCCCCTATCAGACATACTACCATGTTCGTTCTAGCTTGTGTGCTTTTGGCGTAGCGGGGACTTGGCTCAATTGATATTTAATCATTATTACTGTCTTTTTCTATATATAGGATCTGTCTATGATCTTCACAAGGATTCGTCAGTCTCCAAACCCCTTTATCTGAATGATCGATTTCAAGAGGTGAATGGAGGAGAATACGGACACGGGTATGGTGGAGGCTGTATGGACGGGCGCAAGGACGAGATGGCGATCTTGTGGGTGTGGGGATCATTCCCTCGTTTTCGTGCATGTAGTCATCTTTTATATTTCTATTGTTGAAAGGGTTTGATGGCGTGTTTGAGAGGGGAGTTGCCGAAACCAGATCTGTGCGGGGTGGGAGATGATAACAATCGAGTAGATCACGAGGGATGTGTTGCTGCACCGCGTCTGCACGAACCCGTCCGAGCCATATGAACCTGGCCTTCCATGCACTACAAACACTCGCAACGAACCTAACCTCGACACTCGAACTATCAATGCGATAAATTCCATCTACTGCCTTCGCAACATCCATCTTTCCACCTCCTCACCGCACCACACCACCACCACACCACACTACCAGCTGGGGCCCAGCACGGCCCGATCATGCCACCCGAGAAATCCCATCACCACAAGACTAACAAAGGAACCCCAGCCCAGTTCAGTCGTACCACCAGAAAAGCGACACCCAATCGCCGCGTCCCAAAGTTAGCCCCTGCGCCGCTCGGCAAGCCCCGAAACCCACCCGCCAACCTGTCACTCCCGGGAAAGGGATCATCCCGCGTGGCTCGGCCGTGACCACACCACCCGCGACGTCACGACTCGACCCTGTCACCTATTGGAGCCGCGCACCAGGTCGCCGCTCACCCCGGACTCGCGCGAGAATCAGTCGCTCGGGAGCGAGATCATGTCACCCGCGGAATAAAAAGACAGCCAAATTGACGCCTTTTGATTGGTGCAACCTATAGTAAGTGCGAATTGGCGGAGGCCCGAGATATCACCCCATCGGAACTGGCGAGCGTGCAGGAGGTTTGGATTGGCTCGGACAGTGCGTATAGTTCCATCGTCGACTGAATCTGAATCGTCGCTGTGGCTGTGCGTCGACTGCATTCCGTGAGATTATCGCAGCGTCGAGGGGGATGGGTATATAAGGACGATCGAGGCATGCCGGGGGGAGGGTGTAGTGCATCAAGACACTGAAGATATTCAAGAGGCGATTCTTATACCACCCAAGCTATACCTTTCAATCTCAATCTCAAATTGAGACTATCGCACAACACACCCCACCACCAACCATGGGTTCTGCTTCCAGGACTTCCCAGGCCCGTCTGCAGAACGATTTCGGCGCGGACTACTGGGTTCGCAATAAGGAGGAGCACCGGGTAAGCCCTTCCTATGACTTAAAGCTGTCACTGAGGTTTTGCCTATGCTGACATGGTGCGAATAGCAAGCTACGGCTGGACGGGGCCTGTTCGCTGGTCTACAGGACGTCAAGCATTACAACGTGGACCACGGCTGGGCGCGCCGCAGGTCTGGCGACTCTCCGAGTGGACTGCTTGCACCTCTCTGGAACCGGTAAGATCACATCTTTCCCATTCTTGTATTTCTCCAGATGGACCTGTTCTTGACTCGTGGCAGTGTCACCGGTGGGTCGTAGAACCCACCCACATACATCGTCTGGAGCATCCTCCGCACGCCGACTTCTGCGTGGCGCCGTGATTGCTTCCTAGTTGGTCGGACAAGATAACGCGAAGCCTTTTGTCTGATATTATGAGTTCGTACTGAACACTGTACTCGGAATTGGCAGTCTTGATATTTGTTGTGATAGCTGTGGAGTATGGGGGGCATTTTAGATTCTCATGACGTTAAATTCAGACGTATTCAAACCAGAATTACCCCCGCTTAAGCTCAGTAAGAAACTAGGTAACATCCGGTAGCAAGGCATCCTTACCTATTTATTCTAACGGGCCGACCCCTTCGCAAACGACTGGGCTAAATTGCCAAGCATGCCGACGATGTTGCATTGCAACAATGCAAATCCGCATGAGTGGCCCCTACCAGAAACACCTCAGGATAGGAATGGACTTGGAACCAGCTTCAGGTATCCTCTGACACATAATTGAATAAGGACCAGACGATAATTCGATAGAGAAAATTGGACCATTCAAGACTTAGTCCTACAAAATGAAATGCCGTTGATATGTACAACTCCAGACACCTATGAAGGCCCGCCCGGTGGGTGGGCAACATGAAAGAAAAACACGGAAATCCGCTGCGGTCCAGAAAATTCTAATCCCAGGAGCTAATCTTCATGGTGCCCTTCTCTTGCAGGCTCTGGTGCATCTTGAACGCCTGGAACAGCAGGTGCGGCTCATGGCCCATACCCTTCCTGAGGCACTCGAACTCAGCGCGATCCAGATAATCCGTCAGGATAGGCTGGTACTCCGGGTGAGCACATTTCTTGATGATCACGCGCGCGCGCTCGCGAGGCGACAAGCCTCGCACATCTGCCAGACCCTGCTCCGTAACTACCACATCCAGGTCATGCTCCGTCTGATCGATGTGCGTCGCGAACGGCACAATGCAGCTAACACCGGTGGGGTCGACCTTGCTGGGCCGTGTGGACGGCGTATGCATGATGCTGTACTTGGAGTTGCGCAGGAAATCGGCCGAGCCGCCGAGCCCGTTAAGCATACGCGAGCCCATGACGCAGGTGCTGTTGGCGTGGGCGTAGATGTCGACTTCGACGGGGGTGTTCATGCCGATGCAGCCCAGGCGGCGGATGATCTCGGGCGAGTTGGAAACCTGCTGTGAGCGCAGGAGCAGCTTTCCCGCGTAGCGCTCCCAGTTATCGTAGAAGCGCTTGAAGCCGTCAGGCGAGAAGCGGATCGAGGTCGCGGTTGCGAAGTCCAGGTTGCCGCTGTCGAATAGGTCCAGGAAGGAGTCCTGCAGGACCTCGGTCCACACTTTCAGGTTGGTAAAGTCGGCACCGCCCTTGCTGAGGCCGCCGATGACGGCGTTGGCGATGTTGCCGATGCCGGACTGGATCGGGAGGAGGTTCTTGGGCAGGCGGCCGTGGCGCACTTCGTGCTTGAGGAACTCGATCAGGTTGGCGGCGATGGCCTGGGAGCCCTCATCTTCGGGCGCGTTCGGTTGCGTCTGGTCCGGGTAGGTGGATTCGACGATGGCGACGACCTTCTCCGGGTCGACGGGGATATAGGAGGTTCCGATGCGGTCCTCGGGCGCCATAATAAGGTACGGCTTGCGGCCAGGCGGGAGATCAGAGCCCACGATATCGTGCAGGCCCTCGAAAGAGGGAGTTGACGTGTTCACTTCAATGATGACCTTGTCGGCCATCTGCACCAGCTCGGGCGAAGCGCCCACCGATGCACCAGGGATAATGCCGCCATTCTCAGTGATTGCAGATGCCTCGATGACCGCCACATCCAGCTTATTCTGCGGCTTGTTCAGCGTGTAGTAGCCCTAAATCGATCGCAAGGAAACGGTTAGCATCGACTCTCCACTCTCCGCGGCGGGAATGCCCGAGTTGCAGACCCTCACAACCCAATCCAGATACTTACATAGACCAAATCCGAGGGAAACATGCTGAGGTGCTTATCAAAGAACTTAATCTGCCCGTTATTGATGCCCTTGGCGATCTCCTTCCCGACCTGGTGCGGGCTGCGGCGCTCGATCATGTTCAGGCGCGCCCAGCGGTTCTCCGTCTCGGCGCCGGACGAGGCACCCACGAAGAGGGTATACTTGAGCTGGCCCTGCAAGTTGTTCTTCTCGACATGGTCTGCGAGGGCAGTGGGGATCATCCTGTGAGGTCGCAAGACGTTAGTAGATGCTCCATCTGGTGCCATAGCGAACTGAGAAATTCAACTCCAAGAATGCCGGTCACATACTTGGGATAGCCCACACCCGTAAATCCGGACCAGCCGATGTACGAGCCATGCGGAAACAGATCGATGAGATCCTCCGCCTTGGCCAGCTTTTTGAGATAAGACGGCCGGCGAACACGGCTCTTGAGCAGGGCGGAGGCAGCCATGCTGTGTGGATAGATGATTATAATACAAGAAACAAACAGACGACACAAAGGGAAGAGGGGAGAGGGTCTTCGTCAAGGAGGGGAAGGTGGAGGAAGTAAGAGCAAAAAAAAGAGAAGCTTGGGGGAACGGCGAGCCAGACGTTAAATAAGGCCGAACCCCACGGGCACTCGACCGGAACCTCTGCTCATCCGGTCAGAAGTCCCACCAGTGCCGACAGGAGCTAGGAATGGAATACCGGGAGAAGGGAAGCTCTGGAGGTCGTGGGGTGGCACGGTTGGAAGCGCCCCAGCTCCTCCTCTGGCGGTATTCTCTTTGGCCTCCTTCCCACACAGCCACCAGCTACACACTATACACAAATACAATGGATGAACCTAGTGGAGAGATCGAATTGAAACCACATATGCTCTCAAATATTCGATGTTTCATCCCCATTGGCACCACCCCCTAAATATCACGGCTCTGGTTTCCACACTCGATGATGCTCGCCCACCCCATCCGGCCTAGCGCGGGCCCAACTTCATCCTGACGTCAACTCGGCATTCGCTCGGCGTCGGCATTTTCTCGCCCTCTCGAAAAATCACCGACATTACAAACAGGCGAAATGGCCCGAATTACCCCAGAATACCCCAGTAATCGCCAGTCGCCTACCTCACACTGAATCATCTCAGCTTCACCTCCTGGATCTATATCGGTTGCATAGCAAACATCCCTCGGGGGAATCACGGTATCGCGACCGCAACAATCGCCGAGTTTCGTCCACCAGATTGCGACGAATGGGCTCCACCCGGCCCCGGGGAACTCCAGCCAGTCCACGGTCTCGGACTGTATCGGTTACGGGGGTTCGGCCGCACGGAGGGACAGCGCTGCTCTTGTGGACACCGAGGGTAGGCCTGAATTTCCGGATCCGGCGAACATGATCTGCTGTGCATGCGTGCATTATTATTGCTTCCGGGGTCTTGGATCTGATGGGAAGGATTTCCTTGAATGATCTGAGCTGCTATGGGGCGATGCCAGGCTGCAGAGGTAACAGATATAGAACTCGACGTGGATACACACCAGGTGTCGGTGGCGTACACTCCGGAAAGAGACGCTCGACAGCTACAGTCCTCTAGGAGGTTCACACGTACGGGGAATCAGTCCAGTACTGTGGCCCGGGTAGATTTTCATCGGCCAGAGACATAGAATACATAGAATACAATACAATAAAGGGGGTGGGTAGGGTGCTATGGAACTTTGCAGAAAATTAAGCACAAATCATTCAACCAGCCAGCCCGGCTCCAGGCCACAGCCCCTGACAAACGAGTACTGCTGATTGGCCCAGACAGCTCTCCCATATAGCCCCAACACGAAGGGGGTATGTTAGAAGCATGCTCGTTCAAACAGCGGGCATTCGTCGGCGTTCATCGATGGACGCTGGGGTCAGTGCCGTAGACACAAAGCACCAGACCAAGCAAAGAAATCCAGAGGCCACCGCACCGTCGTTTGTGCATCGGGGGGGGAAAGGAGGAAAATAAACAGTAGCCGGAGGCATAGATCGCGGCCAAGTGGGGAAAGAACCAACCACAAATCCAAAATAAAGAGAGAAAAAACCATAAGAACTCATTGCGCAATTTCCTCGTGTGATAAGACGCCGATCCCTTCTCGCAATCAATCAGTCCTGCAAATGCATATTCGTCCTGCAACAACCAAGACCAGCGCCCCGCTTCTCCTCATAAAACTACACTCACGCCTCCGCGGCTACGGGCTCAGCATCCGCCATCTCGGTATCAGCCTGCTCGCTCTGCGCAGCATCCTCCTTAGGAGCCCACTCCGCCGCCTCGGCGGGGGCAGAACCATCCTTCTCAAGAGTGCCATTCAGCCAAGAGCGGAAGCGCTGGTTCGACTCGTCGACCTTGTCCTTGCTGAGGCCCCGCGCCCATTTGGGGTTATTCACAAACTTCTCGATGAAGCGGTCATGGCGCTTCTCGCGGACAGCAGCCTTCTCCTTAGCGTGCTCTTCTTCCTTGGCTTTGATAGCCTCGGCATCCGTGTTCTTGCCGTGGACGGGGGCAGTCGACCGCCAGAACCAGTCGTGGCTTGGGGGCTGGTAGAGGATGGTGTAGTTGTTGGCGCAGATGCGGATGATCAGGCCGTCGTAGTGCTGCAGCCGGCGGTAGAAGCGGTCGTACTCCTCATCCTCGTCCAGCTTGTTGGGCAGATTGCGCTTGAGGAAGGGCATGCGCATGTCGGAGTAGGAGACGCCTTCAGTGGGGTCGCGCATCGAGTACGTGGTCACGTAGTAGGACCAGCGGGCTTCGGCGCTGAGGTCGTCGCTATCGAGAGTGGCGTCCTCACTGGTCATCACCTGAACGGTGACATGGCGGTCGGAGGGGAACTGGAAAGTATCGGTTAGTAGAGTTCCGTCGACTCCAACAGACGGAAAGGGACTCACGTAGGTAATACGGTAGATATCGCCATCCTTAATCAACCTCTCCACCTGCTTGCGATACTGCATCTCCTGGTGGTGCGTAGTCTCATTCCTCTCGCGTTCCTTGAAGAACAGGTTTGCGATATCCGAACTGCGATCCCGTGAGTCACCCGTGAAGATAGACGCCACGAACTTCGTGATGGACGAGAAGATGCGCTCCAGGTTGTACAGCAAGTAACCGCCCTGCATGTAAAAACGGCGAAGAGTCTCCTCTAGGTGAACCTGGTCAATATCACCCCGGATCACCTCCTCACACATACGCACGACCTGCTTGTACAGGTTGGCCTTGGGGTCGACATCGTAGAAGAAGTCACCCGGGAAGCGATCAATCAGACACAGCTCATTGGCGGGCTTGGGAAGTAGACCGCGGCGGACCTGCTCGTGGGCCTCGTCTTCCTGCTCCTTGATGCGCAGCAGCCGGGAGTAGAGGATCTCAAAGGTGCGCAGGAAGCAGAGGATGTTCAGGTTGCAGTACATGTGGTGCTCGGTTTTCTTGTACTTGTCATTCAACGTGTATTCGCGCTCCAGGTTAAAGTTGCCCTGGCCGGGGTGCTCCATCCACTTCAGTTCAGCGACATCGAAGTTGTCCTCGAACTCAGACACGGCTGTAGATGTAGCCCGCACGTCGGGGTCTGCAAGCTGTGTAGTCGCAGACGCAGACGCAGGAGCAGGAGGAACAGCACCATCTTCCTGAAGATAACCATTGCCCTTCTCGGCCTTGCGCTCAAGTGCCTCACGCAAGAGATCCAGCTTCTGCGTGTTGACAATCTTGCGGCTGGCATTCGAAGTATCATCAGCACCGAAATTGTCTTCCAGCTCTTCGGCAGGGGTAGCGCTGATCAAGAGCTCATCCATGTAATCGTGGAAGGCCTCACGGTCCAATCCAAAGAAGATAGGAATAAAATCCTTGACAAAGTTGATCAAACGCGACGGGTCCGCACCGAAGCCAGAAGTGCTTCGATCAATGTATAAGCAGAGCAGGTGGGTGGTATCCAGCAGGACATCCGTGTCCTGGAACTTCATCTGGCTCTGGTACTTCGGTGGCTTCAGGCCGCTCTTGCGCATGCTTTGAGTCTCCTCAAACTTGGCCTGCAGATCCTGCTGGATGTTCTTCGCGATGAACAACTTCTTGTCGGTCTGTCGGGTGGCGATTGCCTGATGGTCCAGACTCCGCCAGTAGGCTCGCTGCATCTGTTCGCGCCAGACCTTATCCCATTCGCGCTGGCACGCCTTCCACTCCTCGAGCTTCTGCTTGAGGCGGTAGAGGACGATGGGTAGGACCTGACAAGGGCGTTCAAACATATCACGAATGATCTTCTCACCACGTTGGCGATCATAGACTTTCTTAATCACCCGCTGGTAGATGGCCTCACTTTGGCCACCCAGACCAGGCGGCAACTTGAAGTTCGCCCGCTCAGCTTCCGACATGTGCAAGAACTGCTGGCAGATCGGCTCGATCAACTGAATGGTGCGCGTGCAGGCCTCGATGTGGTGGTCGTAGTCATGTCGGTCCTCCTCAATACGGTGCAGAGCATCTTCATACTGATTCTTTCTGTGTGCAACGAAACCAGAGTCCTCGGAGGCCCAGGTGGGATGTGAAGCCCACTCGTCGTTCAGAACCTCAAAGCAGAGCTGATCACGGCCACTGCAGGCCTTCTGACGTTCGCGCTTAGGCAGCAGCCGATAGCTGGGTCCCAAAGACCGACAGTGTGCAAGGTTGACCAGACCAGACTCTGTCTTGGGCTTGGGGTCGATAGTCTTGTCTTCGGGCTCTTCCACGTTCATGAAGCGCTTGAACCAGCTCATGAGCTCGGCGTTAGAACCAATGAAACCCTCAGCGCGCTTAACCAGAATGAAGCGATCGATCAAGTCATTGGTGTATAGGTTGCACAGCTTCAGGAAGTCACTGAAGATTTGCTTGTTGGCAATGAACTTCTTGACACGGTCGAAAAAGGCAATTTCCTCCTGGCTCGGTGTAGTCATCACACTTGGAGGAACTGGCTCAGGGAGAGCGGGAATCAGAGTCGGAGAGACGTTAGGAATATCAGCTCCGGAGGGCTTGCCATGGTAGTGCTTGGGTCTCTGCAGTCAGCTGTTAGTGAGAACAAGGGAAAACGAGAAACAGGGAGGCGGATAAGAGGAATTGGCAACGGCAAAGCCGTGTTCGGCACGTCAACACTGCAAAATGAAGAGAAATGTAAACCAACCTTGTTGCTATTGCTGAATGACCCTGCCTGGGGGCCTCCCCGAGCATCGGGCATCCGGGCCCCATCTACACCAGAAGGTCCTGACACAGAAGAGAGACCTACACCAGGACCACCTCGTCGCTTCTTGTTCTCTTTCCCTGAGTCCTTAACGTTGAACTGGCCAAGAGGGGGCATCTTCACGTCCCGGTTCGGAGTCTGAGACGGTAAGCCCATGGGCTCACCACGGAGGTTGGACATGGGGATTGCTTCCTCTGCCATGCGTGCTTGCTGCTGTTGCTTGGCGTGGGCCGCAGACTCAGGCAAAAACTGCTTGAAATCTTCAAGGAGATCAGGCGCGGTGTTGAAAAGTTGAGTTACCTGCGCGTAGACGTCTTGGATGGGTTTTGACTCGCGCTGGTAGGTTTGCAGGATCTCGAGGAATTGCTTGTAGATCTCAGGTGCGGAAGAGAACCGATTCTTGGTAAGGGTCAGCAGGTTGAGGGGTTAATAAGTGTAAGAAGTGAAGAAACAAACCTTGATCTTGTTCACGTAGCTGATTGCATGGTTGAATTCAACAGGGCCCCGCTTGTTCAAATCAGCATGACCGCCCTGAAGCATACCACCAACCCCAGCCAGACTACTCATAGTCTGATTCGAGCCGGCGCCAGAAACTGGGAGCATTGGCGGCCTTCCCAGTCCTGAGGCTGCGGAAGCCGCACCTTGCAGCTGCGCCACACCACGGTGATCCTGCGGGTGGGATAGGGCCGAAGCACCCTGAGCCTCTTGACTTTGATAGGCAAAGTGGTGGTCCTGTGGAGGACCCTGTCCTTCCTGTTGATACATTCCCGCTCCCATTAGGCGTGATCCGGGGGAATATGAGCCAGGTGCGCCTTGCTGATGGCTTTGCTGCTGCTGCTGCTGCTGCTGAGTTTGTTGCCAGCCAGGGCGAGATTGTTCATAATAATCAGTCCGACCATGGGGACCGAGACCGCCAGCAGGACCAAGATCATTGGAGCTATCTAGCGGGCGTGGTGCTCGGGGCATGCTTAGGGTATTCGTCCCGGATGGGGTGGTCACGCGGATCGCATCTGGATTGTCTTCAGTGCCACATTCGATGCGGTATCCGGGAGGCAAAAAAGTGTTGAAGCCTTGGATAAGGGCAGGGTGGCCATTGAACAAAGTGGAGACCCTTTGAATCACACCAGGCGTATCAATGCTATACATCCATTATTAGCTCCTCCACGCACCTATCCCAACAATGACAAAACTCGAAACTCACGCTTGACTCTTGAAGTCCTTCATGATATCCAGGAAACGATTGTACACATCGGGCTGATCCACAAATCGCACCTTCACCTGATCCAAATAGCTGAGAGCATCCTGTTCCACAAACGGTACGTGAGCCCAAGGCATGTGCGGTGGGAACCCAAATGGGCCACTTACGTTGAGAATCGGCTGCTGACCCTGCGCCAGAGCCGCAACGTTCCCGGGAATTTGTTGTCCCTGTCCGCCGTATCCCATCATAGGTGGACCCGCAGGGTGTTGCATGTACGAGCGCGGAGTGCCCTCGCCATGCGGCATCTGGGGGCCGCCGAAAAGAGCGCTCGGTCCGCCGGAAGTCTGCATATTGGCTTGCGGGCCATTGGGTGGGTTCGTTCCCAGATTCGACAGGAGACCATTCGGGCCGTGAATGGAATTGGGTACTTTCGAGGCGACAGGCTGGTGAAGGGGGATTGAGCCGGTGTGACTTTGAACTGGGTGGTGCTCGCGCTGGCGCTCCATTTGTTCGCGTTCACGCTGCTCACGCTCCCGGTGCGCCATTTCTTCCTGGCGCTGGCGCTCAAGGATCTCGCGCTCCCTGGAGTCCCGTTCGCGCTCCCGATTTAGTGACTGTGGGGATGCATGCGACATGGCCTGGCCAATGCCGGGAAGGGAGTGCCCGGACCCATGGGATGTGCCCGCAGGGTGCTGTCCGTACGCCGGAGGTTGGTGGGGAGCCCCATGGCTCTGGCTCAATTCCGCCAGACCGGGGAGGGAGTGGCCGCCGGATTGACCGCCGGGATGGTAGGGGCCTATTGATGGCGCACAAGGTTAGTAGATGCATCGTGACAGGTCACACTGCGGAAACCTCGGGTTCGAGGGCATTGGCGCTGAGAAGATTGTATGGGAGAATATGCTAACCGGATGGAGGAGGGAGGACGGGCCCTGAGGGCTGCGATGCCGGGCCTTGCTGAGAAGGATTTTGACTATAGCTCGGAAAACTCGCTATTAGCGCCTCGTCTTGTTGCAGTTCTAAGAACTATCGCGATCCATACCTGAACGACCCCAAGGGCCGGGGTTGTTGATTCATCTGATCCATGCCAGGGTGCGACGGCGGCCCACCGGCGGAGTGCCAAGAATCGTTCCCAGAGTTCATGATATGGTCATGAACTCGAATATGCACAAGAAGGCAAGATCAAAAGAAAAGGGGTATAGATCGAGCTGGAAGGGGGGTGAAGGAGACAGAGACGGCTGACACAGTGGTGAGCTCCAGCTAGTTCTCTGGCTCTGACTTCGCTACTCTCGCACGCTTAAGAGGTAACACTCAGAACAAGCTGGCGTCACAGCATGACCAGCGCCCTGAGAAAAGGTAAGAGAGTAATACCCGAGACACAACCCGGAACAACGACGATGACGACGACAAGATCTAGGGACATGAGAGTGCGCGCGACCGATCGCGGGCTCCAGTGGAGGCTTTCCTGACCGACTCCCGCTAGTCCAATTAGGGTAAAGCGTGCTCTGCCTCGGACCGTCATTTGTCCGGCCGTATTAGAGATGTGCGTACGGTATTATTTAAAACCGCCCATTATTGGGCACTGTGTTTTGGTAATGGTCAGTATTGGATGAGCGATTCTTTCTGCCCGCCTTCGTCATCGCCCGCAAATGCCAGCAGAAAAATCCCGAGGAAGCCAGCGCCTAGGCGAGTTGCGTGCGTATTATGCCATGAGCCTGTAGAAGGTAGTAAGTTTCTTCTACGTACGAAGTGATTGAGTAGAGTACTGCCTTTGGATCGAAGATTGCGTTGAAAGTCATTCATCGTAAATGCAAGTCTTATTTTTGAATGACACCAACCGCCCGATAGCCGGCAACTACCTCTCGCTCTCATCGCACCCAGGAGGAAAACGGAAGCTATGATGAGACCAGCCTCAAGCAGGCTTAACATTCTTTATGATATTATTCCTTGTAGCCTAAGGACCTAACATAATATTTTGATCATTCTCTTCTATAAATGATCGATCCCTAAGCACGTATTAACAACAATCCGTACGAAAAGTCTGGCTCGAGATCAAAGCTACTACCTAAATTGACGTAGATATTGTAACAGTGATACCCCCACAACAGACTGTAGTGTCCGTTGGTTACCATCCGAAGACTTGATCGACGAGTAGTCAATAACAATATCAAAAGTGTGTATATTTAACCTGACTAATCAATGGCTCAATCCCTATTTTGCATAGGACTACTTCCACAATCTTTCCAATATATACTTGGCACATGCAAATGAACAACAACTACTCGGAATGGACGGGGAAGATAGATACTCGCACTTGGTCATTATCATGAGTAGAAATAGTATCTCTGATAGACATGGCTCACCCTGTCGAGATAGTCCATATCTCCTGCTCACAGCACCAGGAGAAAAGAGGAAAGCAACGATGAAACACGCCTCAAGCAGGCTTAACATTCTCTATCATGAAGCGCCTCCATACAACGCCTGCGGGTACCTAAGAAAGGAATTGCATACAAACCAGGAGAGGAATATATGGTAAGGGGAAGAAGAGAAAGGGACGGTCGAAACAAAAGCAGGGCTGCGGGGTCGGGGAATGATGGGTCCTCTCTATAGTAACAAGAGGCGCGGGAAGTCGAACGGAAAGTCCTGAGACTGTGGAACCTGGGGCTTGCTGCTATGGCCATTATTTTCGCTTTCATTTTTGTTGGTTGCGTCCTTTCTACTCGCTCTCGCCAGTGCCACCAATCCTTCCACCAGCCACCCGACCCCATCCCCAAGATGCGCCTGTCCATGAAAAATGTGTGTGGGGAGTCTTGTTGTGACGAGCGCTTTCGCGCCATTTACAGAGCAGAAAAGACGAAGAGCTATAATTAGATCCGTAGCAATTAGTATTCGGATCAAGGTCAACAGGGAAATAGAGTTCCAGGGCTGGCTTACGTTGTTCGTGGCCGCAATCGCAATGCTGTCCTCGAAGGGATGCCAGCTCATGTGCAAGATCTTCTTGTTGAAGTCGATCTGGTCGGCATCGGTTTCCTTCTTCATTCGGCTGCCGGGGCCGGCAGGGCTGCCCGACCTCGAACCGGCCTTCTTTCCACTGCCCTTGTTCATCGGCGTAGGCACACCGACCTTCTTCGCCTTAAAAGCCGACTTGTCCGCCTGCAGCACGATCTCCGTCTCCTTTTGCTCTTCGGTTGGGTAGATCATGAAGTTGTTGTTATAGCTGCCAGTCATGACGTTCTCGGCATCGCCGGAGAAAACCACCTCGAACTTGTCGAAGATGCTGTCGTTCTCATACGTATCGCAAAGGCGTGGCCGCAGGTGCTCGTGAATAGGAATAGTCTTCACCGGCTGGCGTTCCATGTTGACATCCCAAATCTTCACGGTCAGGTAGTCTCTCGATACAATGTACCGGCCGTCGTGTGAGAAGCGGACGTCAGAGATAGAGGAAATGATCTCGGAAAAGAAGGAGCGCGAGGAAGCATCCTCTTCTTGTTCAAACACTGTTTTAAGGCAAATGTGAGTCAAATGCATTTGAAGCAAAGGTAGGTAGATGTCGGATTGGAAGACACTCACATTTAGCATGCTCGTCACAAAGAGCCCGCTGGCGCATGTCGGCAAGCTTGATAGTTCCCTTGGAGCTGGCGTACATGAACCAGTTACAGCTGACCGGGTGGAACTCGGCTGCTGTAATGACCTCGGTGAGTTCCTCCATATTCGCCGGTTTGATATCCACAATGTTGAAGCTCTGGTCCTGGATGTTGAGGTTCCACAAGTTGACGCGGAGATCATCGCTGCTGATAAACGTCTCGCCATCACTGTTCACTGAGATGCTATTTATATGGTACGCGTGCGCGTTCGCGTACGTTCTCCGTGGGACGGCGGCGACGACGGTGTCATGGTGTGTAAGACGTGGGAGCTTGAGGGCTGCGGCATCCTTGAACGTTCCCCGGGGTGCCCGCGGCATACCGCCGCCCACGACGGCAGCCGGTGTCATCTCATTCGATAGGTTGTTCTCGGCAACCACTTTCAGAGACTTGTCGAACACCTTCCAGAGCTTTATGGTCTTGTCGTTTGTGGAGAGGAGGAAGTGTGATGCGTTCTGTCGCCGACACCATTTTATCTTGTTGATCTTCTCTTCGATCTCTAACGATTTGAGATAGTCGAATTCCGGCTCGTGGGATTGGAACTCGGTATGGAACTTATACTCGCAGGTTTTTTTCTGTGGTTTTGGCGATCATTTAGCATAAGAACTCTGGCTAACGGAAAAGTTGTGGTGAAAAAAGCCGAGGAAAAAAAAAACCTACCGTCTCGTTCCGCTCAAACAGAACCACACGCCCGCCCTTGTCTCCCGTAGCCAAGTAATTACCGGTGTGATCGAATTCAACAGTCGAGATGATATCGGCTGGAACAGGAAGTAATTAGTCTAACCGTCCTCGGGGCGGGTTGATCGGGGTTTGATAGGATGATTTACCTTCTGTGATATCTTCTACGTCGCCTTTATCGCCGAAGCATCTGGGCGAACAAAAGTTAGTCGCAGTTCCGCCAGCTCGACGCATCACCCGAGAACCCGGGTCTTGCAAGACGCAGAATGAAGCCACGCCAGGGCAACTTCAACTCAGTCCAACTCACTGTGTGAACTTCCAGGTCGGTGTGCCTGGATCTCTGTCTACCATCTTTTCGTTCTAGGATCGCCCTTGGTCACAAATGGTGCAGTCGAACGATAAGAAAGAAGCAGCTTGGAAGCAGCTTGGTGAATGACTTTTTTGGTCTCCAAGGGCTCTATCGTAGATGATGCAAAAGAATCACTCGGGATGGAAGCGATCTTGGAAATTGGCGACAAAGCGGAACCGGTTGGACAAACGAGGACCACAATGCGAAGCTGAAAATGGACGATAAATGGCGAGAACGATCGGTCGGTCACGCTTGGTCCGGCGATGGGGTACGAGGGGCTCGAGACCGATGACGAGAGGTCGCGAGGGAGGGGGAGAGGGGAGGAGGAAGCGGGGGGAGGGAAGAAACAGCCCGCACGGTCGACGATCTCGAAGCTAGGATGAACCGATGGCAGTCCTGACGCGGTGGACGACGGATGGACCAGGATGGGGGTGGAAGAGGGGAGTGGTAGAGAGGAGCAAACGACCCGTCCGGTAGGTTGGTTGTTATGAGTGGACCCGCAGCAGAAGAGCTTGAGAGGGGATCATAGGGAAGAGGACCTGGACCCGCCGACAGAATTCTGAGTTAGGATGAATGCACAGCAAAGCATAAGATCGAAAAAGTTGAGAAGGCAAGAGAATGGGAAGAGGAGAGGAGAGGAGAGAAGTCGTACAGGTGTGTGGTGGTGAAGGAGGTGGTGGTGGTTGGTTTGGTTGAAGGGCGGGAAAAGCGTGTGAAGAGGTGAGGCGGTGGTGGGGGGAGGTTCGTTAGTGTCAGTGACTGACTTCCGGTCACCACCACTCGACTGCCTCCGTTGAACGACCCGCTGAACTCTCAACGAAGACCACCGAGCTTAAACGACTTGTTCAGAGATCTCTGCAGGGCTCAAGGACCCAGAGTTTCCACCACCCGGAAAGTCGGTAACTTCAAAGGCGGACAGCCAATGCTGACATCAACACTGCGGTTGACTGTAACATTGCCCGAAGCAGGCACTGCTTCGTCCCTGGCGGACAATAGTCGGGCAGACAGTGGAAAGAAAAAATCCAAATCAATTGCAAAAACTCGAGTCCAGTGAGATACACTTCCTTTGTACACCTTTGCTCCTTTTTTTCTTTTCGCGGTATGCCCCGAGCCAGCCGTTTCCAGCTGCATCTTGTACCAGAGTACGGAGGGCCTCCGCCTCTGTCGTCATTCTGTCGGGGCCCAAGTCTTCACGCAACTCAAGCATCGGGCATGCGATCTCCCTCGAATGGGGTTTGTAGGATGTTTACGAACAGCCGAGGTATCCAAGAGTGACCTTGAACTGGAGGATTTGCTAGACTTGCCTCCCGTTACAGGCTATCTCGGCAAACCGATGGGACAGTGAGATACAAGTAGATCGCGCCGCGCACACACGGAACCCTTCCCATCAATATCCAATAAATCACTACAATGGAAAAAGTAAATTACCATATAAGCCGGTCTGTGTCAGATCACCCTATCAAGCCAAAGCTAGCCCTAAACCGCCGTGATTGCGCCCTCCCAATTCACATGCTTCCCTTCCTACTTCGTCCGGCCCAAGGTCTACTGAACCGAGACCTCCCACCTTCTCCGAAACCATGGACCACACACATCCGCGCAAGCCTTCCTTAATACCTGCTCTCGGGCGCATGAAATCCACCGTTAAATGAGCTTGAAATCCGATCGTCACCTCCTTGACCGTCCCTCCTCGCCCAAGCCACACCGCCAGAAGACCAGCCATGCCCGACGAACCGGAGAACATGCGGGGTACCCGCGACTCTGCCCGCCACCCCGAGCAAGACGCTCCGGCCACGAACACAAACACGAGCGCACCGGGAAAAGTCGCCTCGACAAGTGACAATGGAACGCCGTCGCTAGCGAATCGCGTCCAAAGCTCCGCTGCTGGCCTAGCCCGGAGTGCGTTCCAGGGCACAGACTCGTCGGACACGGCGCGGACGCTGGCCGGCGCGACGGGCGGGAAAGCAGCCGGACCATCTACACTCGGATCGGGGGCTAGCAACCTTGCGAGCCATGATATCGCAGCGTCGCGTGGGCTAGGCACAGGAGCAGCGTACGCAGGGCCCGGCGCGGCGGACTCCTTCCGGAGCGAGACGGCCAGCTCCGCGCCAGGTGGGTTCGAGCTTCCAGCCTTGTCGGAGGAAGACTTCCTCCGATCGGGTGCATATACAGACGAGCATAGCCTACAACTGGGCAGCGAACACAGGAATGCGCACAGCAATACGAGTCTAGGAGACTTACAAGGCGAAACGGGAAATTGGAAGGGCAAGCAGCGCGCACACGACCCGGTGCAACGGAACTACACTAGCGCCTGGGAGCGCGCGGACAACTCAGGGTCTCAGGCGCATACGTACGAGGCACAACCTAGCGACGGCGCTGCTGTCGTCTCGCTGCTCGCGGATACGTCGTTTGACCCGGGTTCCGGGGGCAACGAGGAGCTGGATCTTGACCCGGCTGCGGCACCACCGCCGCTTACGGCGTCAGAGATTAAGATGCTGGACTCGTTTAGGCGCCAAATTGACGCGAGTTCAGATGGGCACACCCAGCACCAACAACCGAGGCTATCGAGTCTAAGCCTAGTCCCCGATATAGACACCTTCCTCCAGCAGAACGACCCTTCCGCGTTTACCCCCGGCACAGATACGAGAGCTAACTCGGCCACAACCCTCCGCGACACCGTCCTTGACAACCTTCCCGGCGCAGGGGATTGGGTCACTGTGCATGAGCGGTACCACGATGAAGTCTGGGGGTACCTGCGCCCCGCGCTGGAAGCAGCTAAGGCCGAAATGGAGGAGAAGGGGCCTGAAGTACAAAATGGAGAGGAGAATGATGGACCAGCTGTGAGGCGATTGAAGATGATATTGAAGCATATGCGGGCGTAAGAATTGTATTGCACTATATGGAGTTGCATCTTCCAAGGCTTGTACATATGATCTACCTATGCATCGTGGATAGATGGAGTTTGACTTGAATGTATCAGTATATATGTGACCATGTTTAGACGATTGCAGCTGCGATGAATTAGTATCACCCACTCATCTACTCTATCTAAAGATTCGAATGACAATCAGGAAAGGCTTAGCCATTTTGGGTGCTGTGCACGCTAAGATCGCCACATCACCTGATGGTGAGATTGTACCTGGCACTCGGTCAACTTCGCTCTGCAGACTTTCCCCCTTGCAGACCGCATCCGCTGTCACTATTTGATCTTCGTGGACATGGTCTTAAATCACTGCTGTGAGAATGACATCATCAATCTCATTTGGTGACACGAACTCCGGGTTCCAAGTAGGGACTAATCACGGCAGTATCGACGCGCAGTTCCACCTTGCAGCGGGTACGTCCACATGCAGCGAAGGGTGCAACCTGCCTGGTAGATCTTGCCTTGTTAACACAGAACTGCACTCTAAAGAGCGATCCGAAGTATATAACACCCAGGGTGGTGCAGTCTTCAGCGGAAACATTTCGGCCAAACGAGATATTAACATTTGTATGAGCCCGTCTGCAATTTTCTGAGCATTGCTGTCAAGATCTGTCTATTCTAACCCCTTTGAAATCCATAGATCACATTACCACAGTCCGCCCCCTCGCTGATTCCATCTACAAGTCCCTCTTCAACTCAGCAGACCTATTTGACCAAGTCAGAAATGAGCTCGGCCTTCTCGTAGCCGTCCTGAATGCGACTGAAGAACATACTCAAAAGTTCCACCTAGATGATACACAGCTCCCTAACTTAAACGATGCGCTGAACAGATGTCACGGCGTCCTACGTGAGCTTTCGGAGCTGAAGGACCGCTTTGACAATGTCGGTCCTCAAACTCGGGTCACCTGGGAACGAATGGGCTGGGGGGAGGCTGAACTGGTCGATATCCGGACAAAGCTCTTGCTATACATACAAGTGTTAAATGTGTTGAACACAAACATGATACGGTTTGTTTCGCACCAAAGTGGGCCTGGGAGATCCGCTGACTTCGTAATAGGTCGTCTCACGAAAATGTCGAACACCTGTTGAAAACGTTTATCAGTGAGATTCGCAGCGGAAAACGCGAATCTGCGGCGATGTCATGCGTTTCAACTGGCTCGCTCACACTAGATGAGAGAGAGGCGTGGAGACATCTGCGGAAAGAATTGCAGAGCATTGGCATCACTCCCGACATCTTTACCCAACATCGTGGTTTCATCCTCACCACCTTGCAAACTTTTCTGTCGCAGGACGGCATCGAAGATTGTCCTGTCAACGTCGAGACAGCAAACTTCGACCAGAAGCAAAGTTCACCAGAATCGCCCCGCGAGAATACTGACAGTACTTCGAGAACGGGAACTAGGGACGATGTCTCTGCGACCATGGTCGCACACGGTAATAATGACCGCTCGAAAGGGAAAGCTGTGGGCACCGAATACCAAAGTCCGCTTGATATTCTAGCGTTAGCTCGGATTCCCAAGAAACCCAATCGAATGGCTCGGCTATTACACCGAATTACACATCCAAATGCCGAGCCCAAGGAGGCAATGCAAACCCCACGATTGAACAAAACAAAGCAAATGGTCGAGGAGGAATTTGCCAGTGCGCAGGCTACCAGAGTCCCGTATCTGACCCTGAGTGCCGACAATCCATCGGACGAATCGATTGTCTCGTCAAAAAGGGGGAATGACCCAGCCTCTCCGCTCGACCTGCCATCGGGCACAGACTACCTTCTGTCCGAGTTCGACGAAGAAGACGAAATGCCCAAGACTTATCTGAATGATGGGCTTTATGACAATGGCCAGCAAAATTCCGAGCATGCTGATACCCTTTCCCAGAGGCAACATGTTACCGGCTGGCCCGGGGTTCTGTTTCCTGTTGCTAGTCTTTACGAGTTCAATCTTGATAGCGGTATTTCCGAAGGCGGGTATACCTACTTGACCTACAATGCAGGGGAGTTGTTCGGTGTGGTTGCCGAGAAAGGAAACGTGTGGCTTGCTTACAACCAGGACGACCCTACACAGAAGATTGGATGGATTTGGGACAAGCATTTTACCAAGCTTGAACGGCAGTACTGAGAGCAAGTTATTTACATAAGTATGTTTAAATATCAAAAATAGAAAACTTTATACATACAATCTGTCCGGATACCTCAGATCATTGCTATAAGTAGCCCGGTGCCAGCCTGGGTGATAAACCACTTCAACTCATCAGTGTTCCACTAAGCCCTCGCAAGGCATAGACAGCCCTTCAAAATATTTATCAATGCATCTGCTCTGGGTATAGGTCCTTCCCATCTCCCAATGTCTACTGGACTGCCACCTGCTTCCACTCTCTCCATATTGGCCTATTCCAACCTCCCTTTTCTTTTCCTACTTCTAGGACTGCTAGCAACGCCGATGGACTGAGAACATGACCCTAAAAAACGACTCCTAAGTACCCACTTTGTGCAGGACGCCAACTATCGATAATTACAGCCATTTGACTGTTGACTGGTGGCCGCGATGGGGTATGGCGACGAAGTTGATATTAGGGTATTCGGCAGCCGCAGTTCGCATCGCAAGGAAAATTGGCTTCGGCGCCTTTATGGAAACAGAGGTTTCAGATTGCTCAGATCCAGAGCCAGTGCACAGGAGAAGCAAAATGGCCTCTACTTCAAAAAACTTTGAATTGCCTGAGAGCAGAATAAAATCTATGAAGCTGGTCTGCCGGCTACGAACCCTTGGCCTGTTGCAGATTTGCGCACCACAAGCTTAAATTCCCCACGCCATCAAACTCGAGGTAAGAGTACAGCTGAGGTCACTTCATCTGATCCAGAAGGCATGACACTGGCAGCCGAGCCTTGTGCACAAAATTACCACTCTGTTGAGAATGGAAACATTGAGTTCCAAGGATACTCCGCAGATCGCACCTTCATTCAAGGCTACAAACATGAACTGGGAAATTGGGAATTCGATTCATTGCACAAAACAATCCTTACTGACTTCTCAGTCTCAGGTCTTGTTCTTTTCAAACAGCTTCGCAGCCCACGAGGTGTAATCTCAGCAATATCCGTTCATCAAAGGTAGGTCAGAGGATGAGCCTCATTGAAACAATGATTGTGTTCTTTAAGTGATAATTAAGGGCATCAAATTAGCCACCTCGAAGAATTAATTAGAGGGAGAGGGTGCTCGGGCGGTCATAAGTCTGGAAATCGTTCCTACTCCGAAGACAAATAGATATAGTCGGTTCCCTTGATTCAGGATATGATCGGGAACATGAGATGCCCTATGACAGACACAGTTCATCGTAAACCAGTAGAATTCCATAGCCCAACGGTATAAAGCTAGCATTAACAGCCAGAATGGCTACCATTCTGGTCGTACGGGTTCTTTGTATGAACCGTAAGCATATGTGCTTTGAGTTTATCCCCACGCCCAAAACCAAACGTCTTTCCACATCTAGGGCACTTGATTGCATCTGGGAAGAGATGTGTCGATTTGATGTGCCGCCAGAGAGATGAGTCACAGGAGAAGCCTCCGTGATAGGTACAGTCTCTCCAACCGCACCAGAAGGGGCCAGGTGGATGTGTACTAGAATAGTGCCATAATCAGATTAGTTGGAGAACTTTCAAGAGCCTGGTATATACCAACTTACACTTTTCTGGTCTTCCGGGGGCGATGGGGGTTAGGCTCTTGTGCGTAAGTCTCACGATCGACGAGACCGTTGTAGTTCGAGGGCGAGCCAGCCAATCCAACCTGAGACGGGAGACTACCCGAAGTCACATTGTTGAAGGACACCTGTGAGACTTGTGTGGCGTCGTGAGATGCCACTTGATGATATTCCCATGGCATCTCATTGAACGCCTGGCGCATCTGGGGTGGGAAGCTTTGGCCACATGGGAAGTGCATTCCCAACCAGGGCCATTCCGATGTCCGTCGCCTTGAGGAACTACATAATGAGCTTGTAGGTGGTGGACCTTGATAACAGCCTGGACTCGACAAGGCTTCGTGGTGAGATGGACCTTCAACAGTTGCTGAGTGGTCCGTCATCCAGTCAATGTCTTGAGGTTGGGTAGCCGGCATATCCAGGCTGATATTGTTTGAATACAAGGTCATAGCGACGAAATTGTAGGGTAAGAAAATGAGATATTCCGACCGAGCTGATGAACCGGGGTAACATTAGAGAGGGCTGGGTAGACAGTGAGAGATCTGGAGACAGGATGGTGTCTGGAGATGGAGAGGTCTGGGCTTTAAATAAAATCGAAAAGGAATACTGAGAAGAGAATTAAGAGCAGAGAGAAGTATGAAAGGGTAAGATCCTGTGGTCGATTATTTTGCTCTGCGCCAATAAAAAGTGCTCGGTGAGCGCCTCGTAATGTTGCCTCTCACTTTCTCCCTGGCCAAATGGGAGCCACCCGGGCTAGAGCCGTAAAATTGGTATCAAGCTACTGTAAAGCCCCCCAACCTAAGCCAAGCCTGCTGCTTTGGTTGTGTTCGGCAGATCGGGTCTCCCCACTCATCCAGAAAGGAGGGAGATACCTGCGAAGTACATTAATATCTACCAAATTTATTCAGGCGCCAGTTCTAAGAGATGCGTATTAAAGACGGGTCCAGTGATGCCATTCCAAAACTCTATTGCGCCTACCGCCCACTTTAGAATGATAATTCTGACCTCTTCAAATTAGATCTCGGTATCCAACAGAAAGCCGACGGTTTTGCCCCCTGCGCTAATGCTGTGGCCACGAGCCTGCTGGCGTCCTATTCGCCTCCCCAGCGTCGGCGCTGATTGGCGGAGGTCACAATTTTGGCCAGTCTGACAGCGGCCAAGCTCTGACCTGTTGAGCCCGTTCGGGCTTGCCTCCCTCATATATTCATATACCCATATAAAGTCGCCAAAACTGTCGTTTGCAGACTCCGAAGGTCCTCTATTCTCATAATCCGAGGTTCAACTAGTGTGAAAAGCGTCCATTCTGTGTTTCTTGACAAACATGGACTGGGAGGCCCAGAAGGCTGAGATCGAGCGACTTTATCTTACGGAGGGGAGGACCCTTAACGATGTGATGCATATTATGGAAGCATCTCATGGGTTTTACCGTGGGTATGAAATTCCCACAATGCTTTGCGATAGATCCTCTGGTTGACGATATACAGAAAGGGACAGTATACCTCGAAGCTCAAGCAGTGGGGCTTTAAGAAATACAAGGCGGGCCCCGAAAAATGGAAGTATATCAAGAAGAAGATTGAAGAGCGAAGGCAACAGAAAAAGGAAAGCGCTGTATATATCGATCGTATTCTTCAAGAGCCCAAGAAAGTGAAGTACGAGATCGGCCGACAAGCTTTCCAATCGACATTCGAAAGGTTTTGCTCCGGTATTTGATATCAAGCAAAACCAGTTTCGAGTGTCAGTGACTGACGTGAAGCAGCTCCCTCTCCGAAAACACCAGAAGGCGTGCTGGTCTGCACACCCAGAGAATCTACATTGCAGACTCGATGGCCTTCAGACCTTCCGTGGTTCCGGTTCTCTCGTGCAATGTTTTCCCCAACTTATGATGGTAAGATAAACGGCGCAACCTTGATTTTAAACGCTTGTTAAAAGATTCAAAAGACGACATTCATGTTACACTTAGCACTATGTTTTCCTCTCTGTCTGCTGTTGAACATCTGGACGTCGATCTCCGCATGCTCCTCAGCGTAATCCCATTCCTTACCGAACACGGCCCCGACAATGAGGCGAAGAGCAATCGTGACGAGGTTTCTGGTCTTCACCTTATTATGCCAGAAGAATATGAAGGCCAGAACCTCCACACATGTGACCAAATTCTCTACAGGACTACCAGAATGGAGCTTCCTGAGACTCTCCGGGTATTCATGTTTTTGCTCTCAAATAATTTCCCTCTCGGGAAATATGGTGCAGAGTTTTTCCCCTCCTGGGATGTTGAACAGGAACATCGACTGGCAATGGTACTTTTAAACGCCCCTGGCCTGGCTGCAGTTGACAACCTTCGACACTTGCTTTTTGTGGGAGGACCGACAGCCGAGGCCATTTTCGAGCGAATTTTCCAGTCCGCTTTGAGATTACACGATTTGAGAGCCTTGCGAATGATGCTGGAGGCCGGCATAAATCCCAACACAACAATCCGTTCAGGCACAACTGGAAAGGCTTCACCACTAGAGTTCGCCGCAGTGGTTCTGACCGGTAGGCTTGGGCTTGAAATGAGCCAGCTTCTATTGTCATTCAAGGCCGACATTAACAATCATTTTATGATGCCGGCAATTGATATTGCCATTCGGATGGGCAAAAAAGACCTTGCACAGTTCTTGATATCTCAAGGGGCAAAGGTTGGCCTGTCATCGCTGAAAGTTTCCATTATGAAAGAAGACTCGGTCTTAGTTGACTTGATTCTCACGGCCGGCCTGAATCCCGATATGTTGCTGAGCAACAATGATTCAAGCGACCCCGAATTCACCGCACTCGGTCAAGCTACAATTTGTGGCAACTTGACGATAGCACAGATGTTGCTTTCGAAAGGGACAAATGTGAACGCAGCACAGATGGTCATATTTCAAGAGGAGAAGTTCCAATCAACGGCCTTGGGTCTTGCATCGAGAAACGGTAATCTCGAAATGATGCTTCTGCTCCTGAAATCATCCGCTCATGTCGACAGCAAGGTATCTCTCAGCCCAGCACAGATTCCTTGTCTCGTTCTTGCCGTAGCTCACGGCCAAAGAAAAGCAACCCAACTCTTGCTTCAGTTCGGGGCTGATATCGACGCTGCGAACGGATTCAGGACGGCAAATGAGGGACGGCAAAAGACACTCGTTGAGCGGGCATTGGATCGAAAGGACTTTGAGCTACACCAAATATTGTTGAAATGGGGAGCTCAGCCAGTCCCACATGCTCTACAGGAATACTACAGCTCCCAACTCCCTCGTCATATCAGAAACGATGATTTCGAGGCGGTCGATTGGTTGATTCGAAGGGGGGCTCTGGTGAATTACGTGTTCAACGACTTTCCTGACCGCCCCTTAGGAATGGCAATTGCACAAGGCAACATTAGAATCATTCATTTGCTTCGCAAGGCTGGCGCAGTAGCCTCAGAGCTCGTCGTCCCTTATTTAGCGGATCTTAGGACAGCCGAGTTTCTAAATCACTTGGGGATTCTGCCCGAGATATTGAAGGCCAGTGGTCCAATGATTCTGACTTCGGCCATCTCCTCAGAAGACCGAGATCTGGTGCAGTATCTTCTCGCTCGCGGAGTTGGCCAAGATGGTCATCCAGGAAGGCGACCCAGTTTACCGGCATGCAAAACTCCTCTAGAAGCTGCATTTTTACGAAAGGATCTGTCTGTAGCACGGATTCTCATTGCGAAAGGAGCGTCAGTTGGTGAGACAGAAGTTATAGCAATGGTCTGGCAGGCTATCTTAAGGGATGATATTGAAATTCTTGAACAATTTCTCGCCTTCATCCCAGACGGTTTGTCTGCCCCGACTGCAGTGGGAACCGCCATCCTCGCCTCGAAACCATCTTTTGTTTGTCTGCTAAAATCCTCGGGTATCATGCTCGAGGGAAAGGCTTATCTCGCCCCCTCTTACTTTTTCCGGCCTGAGGCAATCAGCCATAAGGAAGGTTGGTGGCATTCAACAGACCGCTACGTGAAAGAGGAAGTGGGATCCGTGCTTGAAATTGCAGCGCGTTGTGGAACACTGAATACTCTGCAATTCTTACTTGACTGGGGAACATGGACAAGAGAAGAGAGAGGGCGGGCGTTGACAGCAGGCCTATCCTGTGGACATGATGATATCGTGTCGCATCTACTGGAGATGGATAATGTAGATGTCAACCAGGGGATTTTTCCACCCTTTTCGAACCTCTCTAATACACTTATCATGAGGTATGATACCGTTCCAATCTGTTCCTAAGGTTGTAGAACTCAGTCTCTGACTTCTTATTGAAGGCATCCGGAAGAATATATTCCACTCCAATTGGCGGTCCGCTCGGGCAATATTGAGCTCACGAAGCTGCTTCTGACCAGAGGAGCCGATATCAACTGCCTAGAAAAGGGCATTGGTGGAACCACTCCACTGCAACAAGCCGCAAACAAAGGCAATACCCAGCTGTTGACGCTACTTCTGGACGCTGGAGCTGACGTCAACCATCCCCCCTGTCATGACGGCGGAGCCACTGCATTGCAATACGCAGCCTTTCATGGCTATATTTCAATAGTCCGTCAGCTACTTGACGCAGGCGCCGATGTCAATGCACAGGGCTCGATGGTACATGGGCGAACAGCTTTGGAGGGCGCCGCGGAGAATGGGCGTCTGGATACCGTACAGCTTTTGCTGGACCGAGGGGCATCAATTAAGGGGATGTTCAGGCAGCAGCTTGTTCGTGCAGTTGAGCTTGCGGATATCATGGGGCACTGCGCTTTGGCCAGATTTCTCAAGTCCCTTGACGCCTGATCAATAAAAGCTAACCATGAATTCATAAGAGAGATTCGTTTCTCTGTACTTATGAATGACATCTTTAAGATGGAATGGCGGTTCTACAGTCTAGCTACCAGCGCTGCGAATCTGGAATCTTGCTCGTTGTTCTTTTGTAGTCGTTTGATGACTTCCTAGGCCTGCCTAATGACATAATAGGGTGTCAAGACAAAGGAGGGCCAAATGCTACGCAAGATAACTTCTAGACCAGAAATGCACTCTAGGCAACATTCTTAGTTTATACCGTCATTCTATTGCTCTGACAGAGGGGGAAATGGCGGGAATATCGAGATTACTACTTTAAGCGAAGATTTGGACCGATAATTTTCCTACAGAAAAGAATCAGGATGGATTATCGTGTCCGTGTGCGCCCGCAGTATGGTCACTGATCAAGGCCAGGCCGCTCAGATCGACCTTGAGCATGAAGCGCCGGAAACAAATCCCGGCACTCGCTTCGACACCTCCCCAATGGACCTTGACAACTCGACTAGTGCACCATGGCAATACAAACAGCGCCGAACTACGCGGTCCATGGGAACTGCGCAGACGTCGCATCAACAGCACTGGCGCTCTCTCCATACAGGCTAGAGCTGGATATTTCGATCAAGACCCAGGTTGCTAGCCAGTTCAAATGGTAAAACGAGAGGAGCGCTGTTGCAGGATCCCACGGTCAGTCCGATCGAGACTCGGCGTTCACAACGCCAGTGCACAAGAGATAGGCAAAGTGGGCACTTGATGAATCAGCCCGTTGTCAGTGGTGAGTTTGCACAGCAGCCCGCCCCACAGGCGCCTGCTCCCGTGGCCCCGGCTCCCCAAGAGCCCGTGCCACTAGAGCCTGTCTACTCTGCACCCCTGGCCCCGCCTCCCCATGACACGCCTGTCTATGTGCACCAGCACGAGAGCGAGTAAGTTTACTTCACACAAGTTGCATGGAAACTATACTAATTATTCAATCAGCGGCGCCTGCCCTCACCCCCACACTGACGACGGCTCCGCCCAGGTTGGACAAGGCCCGGATGCTGACTATTCCTCCACATATTTCGACAACACATATTTCCACTACTAATTACTTCTACTGTCTCTCCCACAGAAGCAAAACCGTACACATCAATCTAGACAGTGTATTTCAAGAACGTAAGGTGGTATGATATGTTACACGAAGACCAAGCCCCCCTTTCCAAGGGCGGCGTTTATCATAAAGTCGGCATGAACAAGCGAGGACGCAAGCAGAAAGACAGGACAGGACAGGGATGGGGTATGTAGTTGGACGTTAAGTGATGGGCGTAGTGGGTGACGCTTACAGCTCCAGGCTGGGGGTCTGGCCCTTGACGCGGCCGATGACAGTCTGGGCGGCGTACTTGGGGATGACCTCGTCGTCGTGGAGCATGGCAAATTCTAGGAGGTGTTAGTTACGTGCAACACACGGATTGGGGTTAAATTGGTCGTAGTGGAGTGCAAACGTACCCTCAGTAGCATCACGGCCCATGAAGTTGAACAAGGCGTTGGCACCGCCGGGGTGCTCGTCGAGCCAGTTGGTCACGTCCAAGACAATGCCCTTGACAACGATCCACAGGTCGTCCTTCTTGTTGTGCTTGGCAACCTCCTCCATGCTGTACTCCTTCTCAGGGATCTTGAAGTTGGCCGGGTCAGACTTGGCAGAGGATTCCTCGGCAGCTGGGGCCGCTGCAGCGGGGCTCGCGGCGGCAGCGGGAGCAGCAGCGACGGCGGGCAGGCTGCCACCAGGAGCGGCACCGCCCCACTCGACGGAGATCTTGCCGGGGGTGGACGGATCGATGTGCAGGGAGATCTGGCCGAGACGCTGCTGGGCGGCGGACGAGCCGGTGGTGATGAGCTTCCGGAAGAGGTGCTGCGAGGCGGAGTCACCGGCGACACGGCCGTAGACAACGCAGCCCAGCAGGGACGAGCCACCAAGACGGTTGGCGCCGTGGACACCGCCCGCCAGCTCGCCGCAGGCGTAGAGGCCTTCGAAGGGCTGTTTCTCGCCGTTGAGGACTTGGGCGTGCTCGTCGATCTCGATGCCGCCCATGGTGAAGTGGAGGACGGGCTCCATGACGGCGACGTGGAACTCATCATCGACGGAGAAAGGCAGGTTGTGGAAGAACTTCTTGTTCCAGGGGTCCTTCTTCTTGCCGTCGGCGATGAGGTTGTATTCGTCGAAAGTCTTCTTCAGCGCGGCGTCGCCGCAGCCGATCTCAGCGGCGAGCTCCTTGCCGGTCATTTTCTTCATCAAGCCACGGCCGGAGTAGTGGCGGGTGTGGAAGTCCAAGACCTTGGAGGCCTTGCTGTTCAGCACCAGGCGGATGGGCCACTTGCCCTTCTCCTTCTCCTTCCACATTTGGCCCGAGACGTAGTCACGGTGTCCAAGCTCATCGGAGAACCGCTGGCCGTCCGAGTTGAGCAGGAGACCGCCCTCGCCGCGGAGGGCCTCCGCAGCGAGGAACTTGAACTTCGCGCCGGGGTCCTTGGGGTCGACGAGACCGGTAGGGTGGACCTGGACCTTGTCCATGTCGATGCCGTTGGCGCCGATCTTCATCAGCATCTTCTGGCCGTCACCCGTGGCGTGGGTGCCGTTGGTGGAGGACAGGCCGAAGGTGTCGGGGCGGTGCAGCTTGAGCAGGGAGGAGTCGCTGAAGTCAGCGGCGTAACCACCAGTGGCCAGGATGACGACGCCGTCGGCGGTCTTGGTCTCGCCGTTGAGAGTGTAGGTGACACCGGTAACATGGTTGTCAGACTTGTTGACGGCGGTGACATGGGCCTTCTTCACGATCTGGACGCGGCTAGGCTCGGATTCAGCAAGCTCCTCCAGGCGCTGCATGAGAGCGTAGGTGATGGCCATGCCAGGGAACTTGGCATCGTGGCCACGGTGAGTGCGGGGGAAGGAGTGGCCGCCCAGACGAGAGACTAGAGTAAGGTCGAGGTTGAAGACATCCTGCAACCACTCGACGGCCGCGGCGGACTTGTAGGTCAGGACTTTGATCAGGTCGGGGCGGGCCTTGTCACGGGCGGACTTGAGGGTGTCCTCGTAGAACGCCTTGACGCTATCTTTAATGCCAAGATCGATTTGGGTGCGGGTAAGCGCGCCGTTGATGCCGGAGGTTGCCTTTGTGGAGTTGCCACCGAAGAAAGCTAACGAATTTGGTCACTCGGTCAGCACGGATGATTTCCTTTTGAACAAGATTAAAGCGGTAGAACATACCCTGCTTGTCCAGAACGAGGACATTGCCACCGTTCAAGTAGACGGTGTGGGCAGCACTAAGGCCGGACACTGTCAACCACATCAGTCAGCTGAGAACCTGAGGGAGGATGCGGGGGGCAGGTAGGAGGCGACTTACATCCACCACCGACCACAATGACTTGCGGAGCTGCCATATTGTGTGGGCTGATGTGAAATGAGGGGGAGGAAAGGGTTAGGAGAGAATCAAGGGGGGGAGGAGAGAAAGAGGAGTGGAGCGGAGGAAAATAATGAAGGGGGGCTTGCGATCTTATGAAAAACGGGGACTGGAAGGCAGAGGGAGGGATCCGGGGCAGAGCTCAGATGCCGACGTCTATCGGCCGAGGTATAATACGCGGGGGGACGGGGTGGAGTTGGTGGGAAGCGCCGACCGGTTGTTAATTGCCCGCTGCTGGTTTGTTCGGGAAGAGTGGAAATAGCGGATCATTGAAACCTGGGGAAGCCACAAAATCAGAAGATTACGGGGGAAGCTGATTTTTGCACTGGCATGCGCAATCACATGCTGGTCGTGCGACAGCGATCCTGAGGCGCACATCGTCACATGCGCCTGCGTCATGCTTTCATTCGCATTGACCACGGGGAAAGTGTTAGTGACACCCACCCGGCGATGGGAAGAACTATCGTGGCAGTACGGGAGTATGGTAGTCGGTCAGCGGAACCATAGAAATATATTCCGATATCTCCCTCTCCCATCGACTTCTCTGAGCGCGAGATTTTCGGACTGTCCCGTCCGCCGCGAGCCTCGGAAGTCAAGCAGGAGGACTAATGGGCCGAGACCGTGGCCGAGTGTAACACCCGTGCACGCGCACCCAAGACATCATCCGGGGGTGCATATGAAGATACCGCCAGTCGATGGCTTTATTAGTGTATAGATCTAGATTCTCTAGACCGATAGATGTACAGAATTGCATCTCACTGGAATAAACCCCCTCCCCCATCTTCATCTTCGCATGCACATCCCAACAGGCAAAAGCAGTCGCCGACGGCGAAAATATTCGCCACTGATTGGTGGCATGCGTCCATTCTGATGACATAATCCGGGGGGTGGAATTGCCCAGGTGGGTCACGATGACCTCATCGATCCGACGGTCCGGCGATCAGTTGTCGGTCAGTTGCCGACGGCATTCATCTACTGACCCGTCCATCAGCGAAAAGCGACATACAAAACCAGCCCCGGTGTCCAGTGCCGCCCGCGATGCCACAATGCCACTCCGGTTCGTCTGGCCCGGCCTGGCTGTTGGGTGGGGCCCGGGGTAATGCACACCGAGGGCAGCGAGGACTTATCGCCCGAGAAAGGGCCGGAGCTGTGGATTGTTTGTGGGTTATCGGGCGATCTTCACACAAATTGGCGCGGTTGATGGCACTGGGGCCGTCCTGCGACTTGTTCTCGACGATACTGGAGCATGACGTGCCCGGCCATTTGGAAGGAGGTTGGCGATGCGGAGGACGATCAGCCTCGTGGGAACAACATAGGAGAAACAGACGGTACGCGAGAAAATAGACTCCAATGGGCAGGCATCGAGCCTGTACACAAAACATGCATGATATGTTCAAATGCTTGCCATAAACGTCGTGCCGACCATCAGTCCAAAACAAAACAACCGCGCTATATATCTGCCGCCAGCACCGTCGATCGGGGTACCCTAATCCATCCAAGTTACACTCTTCGTTGACAGGAATTCATTTAGGCCCTCATCCGCATTGAACCGGCCCCAGCCGCTATTCTTCACACCACCATGCGGCAGCACGGGCTCATCATGGATAGTCATACTGTTAATATGAACAGCGCTGAAAAAACGCACAAAAACAAAGAGCAGAGTCAGCACACCAGCACCAAAGCTAAAAGGCCTCCACAGAACAGAAGAGACGCAACTCACCCAGACTGAATCCGCTTCGCCATCGCCAGCCCCCGCCGCAAATCCTCCGTAAACACACTCGCCGACAGCCCATACCCACTGCTATTTGCCAGCCGCACCGCCTCGTCCTCGCTCTCGAAGACCATGCATGCCGCCACGGATGCAAACGCCTCCTCTTGCCAGACGGGCATGTCCTCTCTCACGCCGCCCAAGATGGCGGGCGCCATGCGCACGCCCGAGTTCGCGGGGAGTTGCGAGTCCGCAGAGCCGGAGATGAAGTGTGCGCCAGCGGCGACCGCGCTAGAGACGAGCGCCTCGACGCGGGTCTTCGAGGCGGTGTTGACGAGGGTAGGGGGCAGGGCGGAGGCGGAGGCGCCGGCGGCGAGGGCGGTCTTAAGGGCGGCGGTGAAGGTGGGTACGATGGAGGAGTGGACGAGGATACGATCTGTTGCCATGCAGATTTGGCCGGACTAAACAAGCGATAGGCGTTAGCGCGTCTCCAGACCGATACGTACTGTCTAATGTGTTACTCACATTCAAAAAGGCACCAGCCAAAACACCCTGCACGGCAGTCTCCAGGTTTGCATCCGCGCATACGATAGAGCTGTTCTTGCCGCCGAGCTCCATCAGACAAGGCTTCAGATTCTGGCCGCATGCGCGCGCAATCTTGCGGCCCACAGCCGTGCTGCCGGTGAAGTTGATCTTGCGCACGGCGGGGTGCTCGATCATCGCGTTTACGACCTCGGGTGCGTCCTGCGGCCGGCAGTGCACGACGTTCATACAGCCTGCGGGCAAACCGGCGTCCTCGAAAGCGCGACCAATAGCCCAGTAGCAGCGCGGCGTGAGCTCGGACGATTTCAAGACAGTAGTGTTGCCCGCTGCCAGGGCGCAGGCAGCGGAGCGGATGCCGAAGACGTAGGGAGCGTTCCTGGATAAGTAAACGTTAATCGGACCATTCCCTCCTTCCCAATTCTTCATTGTGTAGAGCGCGGTAGTATTATAAACTAGGTTTACTACCTACCACGGCACAATCCCCAAAATCACACCCATCGCCTCCTTAAACACAATTGCACTTTGCCCCTCTGCCTCGACAACCGGCACACTCCCGCAGATGGAGGTAATCCGGCCGGCCACCTCGCGCAGCATGCGAATCGCCAGCGGGACCACGAACCCCGCAGATGCGCCTTCATCCGCGCCCATCTCCGTGCGCATATACTCGGCGTTCTGCTCGAGGCGTTGCTCCAGTAGGTCGGCTGCCTTGAACAGGATGTCCCGTCTCACGGTGGGTTTGGTCTGCGACCAGGCTGGGAAGGCGGCGTCGGCGGCCTCGACGGCGCGGATGGCATCATGCGGGGTGGCTGCAGCGGCGGCCCAGCAGGGCGCGTTGGTATAGGGGCTGATTACGTCGAAGGTAGCCGAAGAGTACTCCTCTTTACCGTTGATGAGGAAGGGGACTGTGACGGTGGGCTCTGCCATTCTGGTGGTCTTGACGTGCACGGTGTCTCTGCAAGGAAGTAGTGGAAGTGGTGGGAAGTGCTGGGCGCGCTGATTGTTGGGGAGATTCCATTATCGTTGCTTTGGAGTATGTCGAACTGCCTGCCCCACTGTCCAGCTTACTTCTCCAATACGAGAGGATTGGAACTGTGCATGTCCGGAGTATTTACTCGCTCCTCTAGGGACCAGCCAGCCAGCCGGAATGGTTTGTATACCGCGACGATCCCTTCCCAGAATCGCTAAACACTCTCATACCCACTCATCTCCTGCGCTGGAATCGCCCACACACTATTCTGTTCTCGCTGGATACATCCCAAGGTCCCCATTCCCCTATACCCTTGGAACACAACTTGCCTATCTTGGTAGGATACGGACCTCGCCAAGTGACTGCCAATCCGAGATACCGAGTCAACCCCCCACTGAGTCTCCGGGACTGTGAAGAGTTTCGGGCAGTCTGCCAATACTTCGCCCCACTGGACTCCAAGATCTCCTATTTATCTGAAGCGCCGAGTAGGTTCCACCGTACCGTGTACCTGAATGGTGGCTGTCGTTGCGTACAGGCGTTACTTCGCATTGCCGTCAGTGCGGTTCGATACCCATATAGTTCATTTATAAATCGCAAATTTAAGTTCTCAGCTACTCCGTACTCCGGATAGTGCACCGTGATCCGCGATTTAGCCCGCTAGTAGTGTTCTATTTCGGACCCGGCAGAAGCTTCCGTGCGGCGGAGAACTCCCATTCACTTCCTGTCACTCCTGCCAGGCCAGGGAAAAAGCGCCAAAACGGCGCTCGGCATTCGATAGTGCTGAGAATCACGGGTGTGTGGGCAGAGCCCAGCTCGTTTCCACGGGTGGATTAGCAACTAGTGGCTGGGATCTGCATGGCAGACCTGTCACCTTGTGAGTTGACAACACATTTTGCGTTTATGAACAAACCAATAACGGAGCAGTTGCACCGAGCATATGGACGTGCATTCGAGAAAGGGACCGAATTGATGGCTTGGCTCGCTGTTTGAACGTTGCATGCAGCCAACTCAAGATCTATAGAACCCCTCATGCCATGTTCAACGCCTTTCATACTTATGTGACTTGCCTAAGGTGGTTCCCTCACGATTTTCCATGACTCGCCATGGTTAGACGTACACACCCATTCACCCTCCGGACCGACCACTTGACATATCAGATGGTGATCGCACCCTCATCCTTCCCGATCGGGCCTGCAGAAGCCCCCACTATGGGGCATTGCTAACTCGAGCCAGGGAATCCGAGTCCCACCAGCCCCAACAACTGGGTCTCGCCGGCAGAAAGCATGTCTTGTTACAAATCACTGGTGCACCAGCCTTCCCTTCTCGGCCAGGATGTGCAGCACTAACAGCGCCGAACCAGGAACCACAGCCCTGCCACACGGGCTCGGGGGGAGGCCAGCCAGCGATGTCATGCTGCCCCGCCCATACTTGCCAGAGTGACCGTGCTCGCATCGCATTCGTCTAGCGTAATCGGCCGACCACGGAATGGGAATGATAGCGGCCTCCACTTCCTCGCATATCCCTCCGCGAGATGTTGCAAATCCCGTGCTCGGAAGGTGGCTTGCTGATTTGGAGTGTCCTGCTCGGTGAATGATCGACGGAGTGGAGGAGTGTGCGGTTTTGAGATTGGCCCAGGATGTACCGGGATGTTCGGCTGGAGGCCCAATGTAGGTCAGCTCATGGTATCGTGCGTCGTGAGCTGGTTAGGCTGGGCCTATACATATCTGTGGCGGAGGACGCATGGGACTCGCTTCCCCAGGAGTTTCGTTCTTTCTTGTGTGACTTGCACCCTCCTCTAGTGGACTTTGTGTGGCAATTGATCTGTGCGGCATTGAAGAGCCTTTGGACCTGCCCGACACCATGGCTCCTAGTGCACGAGGTTGGGAGATGATCGAGATCGTTTCGGTCTTGGTCGCGCTGTGTCTGATCTCGGTAGTGCTTAGGTGGGTGGCCCGCCTGCAGAGGAGAGTTGGTTTTGGCGTGGATGACCATCTAAGCGCCCTGTCGATGGTGCTGATGATTGCCATGTTAATTGAATTGGTGTTATGTGAGTTGGTTCGTGCAATTGGCAACCCCCTCCATCCATACTGACTGCGATGCACAGGGTGCTCTATTGGGGGCAACGGTGCTCACGTCCGCGATCTTGACACCAAGACCCTCATGAACTACTGGAAGGTAAGATCAAACTACTCCATTGCCGTGACGAACCCATCCAACTCGTTGTAGATCTTCCTCGCCAATCAATTTACCTATTTCCTGCTCTGTCCCGCCATCAAGATCTCCATCATCTGCTTCTACCGCCGCGTATTTACGAACCCCCGCTTCCAACACTTCACCTTCGGCCTGAACTGCCTCATCGGCGCCTGGGGCACAGGCATCTTCCTCGCCTGCGCAGGCCAATGCCGCCCACTCCGCGCATACTGGGACCACAGCATCGAGGGCCACTGCTTCGACGCGAACCTCTTCATCATCGTCAACCAAGCCTTCAACGTGCTCATGGACTTCGTTATCCTCATCCTGCCCGTTCCCATGATCTGGGGCCTACATCGTGCCTGGCAGGATAAGCTCGCACTGAACGCCGTCTTCGCCCTCGGCGCCTTCGTCTGCTTCGCCAGCATCTACCGCATCGTCGTGCTCTTCTGGATCAGCCCCTCCGACCCTACATACACCGTCTACCAAGCCACCCTGTGGACACACATCGAGCCCTCCGTCGGCCTGATTTGCTCCTGCCTTCCGATCATCCGCGGCCTGTTCCCGGCCCTCAAGCTGAGGAACCGCTCGAACCGCAGCGATCGCCCCTACTACATCAACACTGATATCAGCAATTCCAACTTCCTGTCCAAGTCCAGCCCACGCTCACCGGATCTGGAGTACATGAAGATGGAGGCGGGCATGTACAGTACACAGATTGAGCGTAATGGCTTGAACACGGGTCGCTTCTTGGGCGATGATCTGCATCCCCTCAATATCAAGGTGCAGACTGATATTGCGATTACCCCGGATAACGACTCCACTGCTCCTTCGACGCCGCATAGCCAGCATCACTGAGCGTTGCGCTATTCCGGACGTCATGCCGATATGATGTGATGACCCTTCTTTCATTTCTCCTGGAAATCGGGTATATGGAGTATTTTTTTGAGCAAATCAGGTCGCAGCTTCCAGACAGGTGAAGTTAACTCAGTTTTCAGAAAGCTGCGTGCAAACCTCAATCTTCAGCTAGAAGGGACGCTGTCCAGGCAACAGCCCACCAAAAGCGAGACACTTGAAAGGGGATCATTCAAGCAAGCGACGTGTCTGTCACTTGCTATAACAAAGGCTATGGTACCCTCGATACCCTCAGCAGAGCATCTTGTCGCTCTGTTCACCTAAATCGGCGATCTCACCACCAACAACGCATCTTTGCAAAGTCACCCCAACTATCCATACTTTCTTGTCCTGTTTCAACATTCATTTGTCTACATTTATATAATGACTTGTCACCCTGTGGTCTGATTTCACTAACTCCGATTCTCTATTACGGACTCCGTTATCCTTTCAAGTCAAACAAATAACACCCTGGCTGGATCACAAATTCAGAAGCTAAAGCACTCAATCCACCAATGTAAATACCACACAATCATTTGATAAAATTATCCCTCCAAAATCAAACATCGGCGGCCCCAATGCCTTCGGTGGCCACCCAGCCTGACTAGCCGTCCTCGGTGCCAAGACTGGCAACCCAATGCTATGGGTGCTATCAAATGCACGGTAGCTTTGATTGTGATCTACTGCTGGTGGTATAACATGACAATTGGCGCCTCTAGATACACTCTCTTGGCTGAGGTATCGACCTCCAGGCTGAGGTTCAGGACTATTGCCATCGGCCTGGTGCTGCAGAACACTCTTTATACCAGGTGGTCCTTTGTTTTGCCCTACCTTTTCAACCCGGATATGGCCAACCTGGGCACCAATGTCTCATTCATCTTTGGCGGAGTCTGCGTGATTTGTCTTGTTTCCCTGTGGTTCTTCCGGCCTGAGACGGCCGGCACACCATACGGTGAGCTGAATGAGAGGTTCATGAACGTCCCCGCAAGGAAGTTCAGTTAGGACCGATGCGGAGGCCATGGGTATTGCTGCAAAGGACGGTAACGATATGGACGGATGTTTCCTAGTCCATTAATTGCGTATGATACATCAGCATCAGCAATAGAGCTGTGAGGGTTGACGGCTTGCTTAAGGCAAACGGGTGAGGCCTGTTCGGCATTTTAGAGTCTGTTTGAATGTAGGTTGTAGTGTAATATTCGCCAAGAGGAAGAACATAAAGAAGAAGAGTATATACTGATAAATGTGTGGGACCGACGGGAATGACGGGTATTGGAAAATGATAGCTGAGGCACGATCGACCTAGTCGCGATAAAGGAGAAGAAGACTATTTAACTAAGCAGGAAATTTTGACAAACATGGCTATTGAAATGCCAGAACAGCAGGCGGCAAGCAATGTAGAACCAAAAAGTCAGCGTAAAATGAATGTGTATATTATTTGTGAACTCAATCAGTCTACTTTCTATGGAACGGTCCGAGGGCGTTGGCTTAGTATTTGATTTCCACTGATTTGCAACGGCGGCTACAAAGTATCACAGGTGTTTAAAGCGGCATTAATTCGTAGAGTTTCGTCAAAAGTATCTGTTCTATCAATGCGCCATCTGGCTTGTAGAGAAATCCTAGACAGAATGTCAGCAAAGACAAAATTGTTTTCGAGATAGATGCAACTGACTGGAAACTGGTCGGTAATGCTGGCGGCCACCCTTTCAACATCCTCAGCAAGCTCCTGCACACCCTGGTCCCATTGCCGCAGACTGGCACCGTTTGTGCCAGAAGCAGCAGCAAAGTCCGAGTCAAAGGAGATGATCCCATCGATCTGGTCAATCCGGCCACGGAGACGGCCCTGCTCCACCATTCTCGCGGCATATGCCTCTGCCTTCTCTCCAGCAGAAAATTCGCCGGAAGATTGGAGGCCCAGAATAACGCCAAGAGCATCGACATTAATGTTCTCGTAAAGTTTGCTGGCAGCCACAAGGTTGTGTTCAATGACGGCTTTGTCAAGAACAGTAGTGCCGTCCGCGGTAACAGCGAGCTGGTGCGGTGCAAGCTTCTGAGAGAATGCAGCAACTTCATCCGCGTTGAGGAGTCGGTCGAGGAACATCTTCTCCAAAATGGAGAACTCGTCTACCAAAGACGCACGATCATCCTTGTACAGACGTGAGAGAGAGCGAGAGCGCTGCGGGCCTGCGGGTGCCAAGACCGCGCACCGGATGGCCGCTGATAGCGCCGCAAGCCGGTCACCCTCATCCACGCCGGGGGCTAAGCTTACGTTGAAGTACTCCTGTGCGGCGTCCAGGAATCGCCGGCGGGCATCGAGAATCCGGGCCTGAGACAGCTGGAAATACAACTTGGAATCGTGGTCCTCGAGTTTGCTTGGCAAGTTCTTGATGCGATTCAAAAACCCTTCGGCATTTGCGGTATCGTCATCCTCTAGATAGTATCGTACGATCCGAATCCAAAGCCGCGCCTTTGCTGCATCGGAAACCAGCCGCTGAGAGCTGTCAATGTTGATGCCCGACAGCGCCCGCGCTGCGGCAGTATACTCCTCCTGTGACTCATATGCCTCTGCAAGGATCTCGCGAATCTGTGAGTCTTGTTCCTCTACCGATGTAGCACGCGACTGGAGGAGGGTAACAGCGTGTTGACCGGCTTTGATCTTGACTTGGGGGTCGAAGTTTTGGAGGACGGAGATGAAGGAATCGAGGAGAGGGCGAGCTGCGACAATGCTGACGCCTTCGTTTAGGATCGAGTCTAGGTAGTACACAAGGTCTTGGGCAAGCTCGTCGCCGGAGGAGCTTGACACAATGTCCTTGAGGAGGTCGTTGTATTGCTGAAGCTTGGTGGGCTGGTGGTTTAAGGATTCGATGGATGACAGGGCAGCGGTGACCTTTTGAGAAGCCATTTTTGGGAATGAAGCTGTAAATTTCAAGGAGAACAGGAATCCGTCGTCCAATACACCTCAGACGCGGTGGTGATGGTGAGGAGTTGGAGAAGAAGAGATGGTCGGGCTTATCGATAAGCAAGGCGGAGAGAGAGCCATTCGGCTTCAAGGATGGACGACTACAGCAAGTGCAGTGCTAGAGCTGTTTGAAGATTCTGTTTTGGGGAAGCATCTGCAGTCTTTTCTTAAATAGATAAAAAATAAAAAAAATAAAGCATGTGCAAAATTAATTTTCCTCGGTTTAGATTCGTTTCGATCTTGTTGCACAAATATAAAATTAGCATTGCGAGGTTGCTATACTGCACTTACTCGATACAACTGTTGACTTAATGCATGACTTCCAAGGCAATATCTAGATAGTGGGCCCATGATGGGTAATTATAATACTATAAGACAATATCTGGTCATCTCTCATAACTAATGATTATGGGAATAATGAAAGAAAGACAAGGCCCGGTGAAGTCATCGGTATCCATAACAAGAGGCTCCCTCTCTCACCGCCTGCCCAGCCCAGCTGGCCAGTTGCTCCAAATGGGCAGCTCTGCCCGCTTTGTGGCGCAACATCAACTTCGCCTTTCACTTTTCATCCACGTACCCTGTCCTCGCAGCCCCAGTCCCTATTTCTGTACTGTCGCATTACTCTACTCATTTCTTTTTGCGTCCCAATTACCCTCGTGCTCACCCCCTCCGTCTGCCATCATGGCCCAGGTCAAGCCAGACCCGGATGCCATGTACATCAAACCCGACCCGGATAGCAAGGACGCAATCCTTGCCGACCTAGAAGATGATGATATCTATGAAGATGCGGGAGATCTGGATTTTTCCGCCGCGTCGCAAAATGTATGGCTCTCACGGCTCCCCCGACAGCTGTGGGAGCATTGGGCGACAGTGGATGAGAATGTGGGTGACGATGAGGAGATTGAGATAGGAACAATCAGGATAGAAGGCGAACCAGGGGATCTCAAGCGTGTAAGCTATACCCAAGTTGCCTTGTCCACGGCTTATGGGGTCTCACACTCTTTTGACATGTACAGGTTAGCTTGCGCCTCCACACGCGCGAAGGCAACGAGGACATTCCCAAGGACTACACGCTGCAAAAACAATCCACTACCTCCACAAACGCCTCACACATGACCAAAAACACATTCGTATTCACAGAAAAAGATATACCCGGAGCTGAAAACCGCATGGCGGTGTTTGGAGAGACGCGCTCGGCCTTGTACGAAGCTATGAAGCGCGACGCGCGGAGGAGGGAGCAAGGCAAGAAATGGGAGCCTTATGTGCGAAAGACAGTGCCAAGTACGTTGTGCGATGGTTGTGTGGTTGTGACACCTTTGTTGACATGTTCTCAGAGCAAACGGCCCTGGTCGGACAAGTGAGTGAGGAATTCAACTGCTTGCCGGTCGAGAACGAGGAATTCCGACGGATCTCGGAGAAAAGAGCTCTGGAGGCTCTACAGCCGAAGAAAAAGACGGAATTCATCCAAAAGATCAAGAGCGAAATCCTCAACGCACGGACTGCTCTGCCTCAGGACAAGGGCACCTTCGTGGTACGTTTCGCAGCTCACTGCTTGGTTGAACTCTCATTTTCTAATGCCCACTCAGCAACAAACAAGGCCCCTCAAAGCCAAGCCTCAAGAAAACAAGTCCATTCGTATGCCGCAAAACGAGCTTTTGGACCGCATTTTCGAGTGCTTCCGCGAATACCGGTACTGGCCGTTTAAAACTCTCAAGGCCAAGCTGCAACAACCTGAGGCCTATCTCAAGCAAACCCTGGAGATGGTTGCCCATCTGGTCAAGTCGGGCGACTTTTCCATGACATGGGAGCTGAAACCCGAGGCTCAACAGGCTAACTATGCGTCTATGTCCTATGAGAATGTCAAAGCTGAGAAACCGCCTGATATGGACGACTACGACGACGCTTCGGAAGATGATCCGAGCGCCTCGGGTATGGTAACGGATCAGGACTTTTGAGAATATTCAGGGAAACTATAACCCGCGGTGTGTACTAGAGTAAAGATCTATCGACATTAATACATATGATGTGAAAATATAACCTGTGAAATGCACTCTTTCGGCTTTCTCATTTGACCGTATCATATCGGAGACGGAGAAGGCAGATATGTAGAAATGGATAGATCTAGCGCAATTTTCAGTGTCGAGTGAGGGTTGAGCGTAGTATAAATAGCATAACTAAACAACCGTCTTGTAGAAATGGAATGGACTGCTCTGCGCAGTCGGGGCTCGGTCATAATTAACAATGCGGTTTAAAGATGGCCCGATGGAATTTTCTATCATATGGTGTACTCTAGATTACTTTTCCCCTGGGGCTTTCTTTCATGAAGCGGCCGAGGGCGTGACTGCTAGGCACTCAAGCATTGGAGCTGATTGTATCACGTGATCAGATGCGCCACCAGCGACCACCTCGTATGTGGCGTGACTCGTCATTCACGGTTTCAACCTCTCGAGGATCACCCGCTCCCCTACTTCTCCCACATAGGCTTTTCAGTCAGCGCGTAATCTGGAAAGCTTCAGTCTTCCCTCTCATCCCCCCAACTAACCCTTCATAATTGCAATAGCCCATCATGACAGAGAACGAAGATCTATTGGCGAAAATTGGCCAACTCGCAGGTAAGCTGCTGGCGACGCCTGTTTTCATCTCAGTCATTCGCTCATACTTTCTGTGTGCTAGGTCAAATCAACAGACACAAAAGCCAATCTACCCAGCCGCACCAGCCTTCCTCGCATCAGTCACAATATGTGTCGCGTCATACACATTCCCATCCAGGATGGGCGCCCTACTCTCGAGGAAGCGGAAGAGGTCGCCATGTAGCGCCTCATCGGAACCGCACGCTGGTCCTGAACAATGGAACTTCCGGTGCTTCCAACAGTAATACCTCCTCTCCTGGCCCTCTGAGTGACAACGACAGCGAGGCACGCCAATCGACACCTTCGAGCGGCTGGGTCGCAAAACGCGATCGTCATATGCAGCTGATCAACTCTGCGGTCTACGACAAAGAAAAACAGGCCCGAGCCAGGGCTATGGAGGAAACGCGCAAGGTCAAGGCGCTCCGACGCGCTGAGCGTGAACAGACAAAAGTGCTTCGGTACGCCCAGGCCGCTGGGGTTGGCGCGTCGGTGTCTACGACTGCGCAACCGGCGGCTGCTCACCAGATCCTCGTGAATGATGTTCCCTTCAAGATTACACATGGCGGCAGCAAGTTGGTTCGGAATTCAAGTACGAGACGTCTTGCGTTGTTTACCCATACCGGAATTGGCTTACCTGTCCTAGATGATCCAAACACGGCCAACACCACACCGAAGCGAGTCACCGTGGCCGGTGTGACATTTGTACGAAGCAAGAATGGCAACCTCCACCGCCTGGGAGCTGTAGCGTCGAAAAAGTGCGTTGTCGTCTTGGTCAACGCTCGATCCTATGCTGACAGCTGCCACAGAAACCCGAGCGTCGTCAAGAAACGCGACGAGCTGTGCAAAAGATTCACCACGACCGGTATTTTATGTTCCGACGGACTACGCCCTGCTCCGCCATCCCTCCCCGGCATGCGGATACTGACTCAAACTCACCTTTTAGGTACATGCTACAAGGGACCGTCGTGTCCGTTCATCCACGACCCCACCAAAGTTGCCATCTGCAAGGATTTCCTCCAGACAGGCCAATGCAGTGCCGGTATGAGCTGTGACCTTTCCCACGAGCCCTCACCCCATCGCTCCCCCTTCTGTATGCATTTCCTTAGAGGCCGGTGCTCCAATCCCGATTGCCGCTACGCGCATATCCGGGTGACACCTGGCGCTCCTGTCTGCCGCGCCTTCGCGACGCTAGGATACTGTGAGAAAGGTGCTAGTTGTGAAGAGCGCCATGTGCACGAGTGCCCGGATTACGCCAACAACGGTGTCTGTCACAAGAAACGCTGCAAGCTACCCCATGTCGACCGTGCTGGCCAGATCCGCAAGGCTGCTGCTGCTGCCGCGGCAAAGGCCGGAGCTTTGGCTGAGCACGAGGATGAGTCTGACCAATCTAGCGAGGAAGAGGATTATGACGCGATCGACTCGGACGATGTTGACTCGGACGAGTTTGATGACGTGCCTGAAGAGCTGATTGCAGGGATGGACAGCGGTGAGATGTCGCAGCAGCAGGATTTTATCCAGCTCTGAACTGGCCTCTGCACGAGCGCAAGGCTACCGATAAGTTAGAATCTGCTGGCGATCTGTAGTTGCCTGAATAGCGTGCTTTTTCGTCCATTTATGCATCTCCCCCTCTCATGTGGTTCTATCGAGAGCCAGCGATACCCCCGAGACCAGGTTGACAGCATTTGCGCATTTGAGAAAGAGCAAGAAAGAACCGAAAGAGAAAATATCAAGCATTTTAGGTTACATAATGACCACATCCATCCATGAATCCGTATTAGAACAAGGACAACAGATATATGATTTGCCAGCAAACAACAACTTTCACGTAGAGTTGAGGGAACGCTCTCACCACACTCCCCATCAATGTCGAACTAGAGTATTGCGAAGAGGTACCTCGAGCTTTCATGTGTGGCGAGGAGGAAGTCGATGATGAAGAACAGGTAACAATACAGATCGCTTCTCTTGAAACAGAAATAGTGGATCGGTGGGCTAGAGAATTCAACGTGTAGTTGGTTTAACGACCCCATAAACAAGGTAGAACTGTCGGAACTGCTTGACGGCATTCGCAGAAACTGGTAATGCCATCAATCTAATCCCTCAATGCCCATGCCAAATATTCTCCCAGTTCATTGGTGTCTATCTATCCAATATCGACCCAGCAAATTGCTAGTAACCATCACCAGAACAAGATCGCGGGTTGAATGCGAATCAGTAAGGTTTAGCAAGCCGCTAGCCGGACAAGTGTAAACTCAACCATCCTTAGCACGCCTATATGTTCAAGCTAGAACGACTACACGAATCATCTGCCTACGTGTGGTTCCATACTCTGCACCAGAGAGTTTTGGACCGCGCTGCCTGATCAGCGTGATGTGATTTAAGTGCAGGAACCCCGTCCGGCTGACTGACGAACCCGTGGCGGGCATGACGGACATGATGGGGGGAAACGGGAAACACACTTGCCCCCGTCGACCGTCCCGGCTCTTGTGACTGTGACTGAATGACGACTCGGGGGGTTCCTTCGGCATTTGGTCGCACAGGCTGTTTCGGTCACTTTAGTCCTTGAACCTGCCATCGCCTATTTCTGCCTAGCGATGCAAGAGGCAGCCTGGGCCGAGCTTGGAGATGGCGACTCAACGAGGTAGTGCGGATGGCACGAGGGGTATTTGACCGAGCCATTCACGGCGTTGCCGGGAGGCTTATGCAGTTGAGGAACCTTGAGGAGATGACCGAGGAGGGTCCGGTGAATGCCTAGTGGGTAGACATGTTTCCGATGCATTTTGTGTCTGCCTGGTTTTCTGGGTGATTAGGTATACTGGGATGGGAAGGTTCAGCTAGCCTCAATGTTCAGCAACTTGAATGTGAGAGTGACTTGGAAAGGGATTCTTGGTGCCGTGTTCTATTCAGGAACCCCAGTACTGATTTTTCTCCAGAGTGGAATGCACGTCGTCAAGCCGTTGTAGGTGGTTAGATATTTGATTTCCGGATTGCAAGGGCATCTATACGCCGGAAAGGTACGTGGCTAAATGTCTGCCCTCATTCGGCATGTTCAAATGTTCACGGCGAAGGGACTCTATAGAAAGATGTCGACGAGTAGATAGTGAAACACAAACGCTTCAAGGTCGACCGAAAGTAATTATAACAGACAACGAATGTAGAAAGGACCGGAGAGCGTATTGACATACCACAATAACATAACTCCGCAAAGCAGCTCGCCGTGAGAGACAACAATAGGAGCAAACGAGGACTCAGAGAATCTCTGCCGTCCCCTGGGATATCTCCCCGATCAGTTCTCACATGAAGACCCCCGAGGCAGAATACCAGCACACCTCCCCGAACAAGATCAAGATCAGAATGAGTCACTCGCCCATCAATCCAGAACCCCAAGATTATCAATCAAGACTCCCGATCGTCCATGGTAGTAGCGGTCTACAACGAAACAACTAACACCAACCCAACTCCGCCCATCACGCCCATCCTCATCAAACGCGCTTCCCAAAGCGGACACACCCTCGAATAGGCCCCCATCCGGATCAGTGTGAGCCAACCACCACAGGCCCTCCCATTTTCTGACCATGTCTGATCCTATCGGGGCTAACATGGCTCCGGCTCCTCTTGTGCCCAAGCTAAACCTCACGAGGGTCATGAATAAAATGGGTTAGGCAGGGAGCCCCCGGCTACGGGCTAAAGTGAGGCTGTGGGCGCGGCGCTTTTGAGCGTTGGGCCTCCACGGTTTGCGTAAGGTGCTCCCGGTGATTTACGACTGGTAGGCTGGCCCAGACAGGCACAACCCAGGGCTAGTGGAGGACTGAGTGGGAGGACCGAGTGGGAGGATTGAGTGGAAGGACGGGGTCCGGTGGTGTGTTCGGTGGGTTGTTTAGTGGATGCGGAATCGGTGGGCTGGTGGGACCGGCAGGCGCTTCGTTTGGGGGGGGGGGGTCTTGTAGATCGTGGGTCTGAGTGAGTCATTCTGGAACAGCTAGCGGGATATGTTCATGTGCTACACGGTTTCAACCTTGAGTTCTGGTCTATCGAGATAATAGTTGGGAAAGGACGGTATACCATGAAAAGACGGGATGGGATTGAATGGGATGGGATGGGATGGGATGGCACAGGAATGATAGATGGGCGGCCGAAATCAAGGAATCATGAATCCAAGACCAGGCATACCGGGACGAACCCAGCCCAGCATCAGCATCAGCAGATATTGACAGGCCTGTTCGTGTACGCGACAGCCTCCGGCTCGGCTGACTAACCCCACAGCCCAAAGTATCGGAGGCTGCTTGGAGTCGTCAGTACCGCCCAAGTGATAGGGAAATGGCCCCGCGACTGGAAGACGACAAGACCGGCTAGAAGCCTTGCAGACCCGGAGGGTCTACCCCGACAACGGACTGGATCTCAATTGGATCGCAACGGCGCTTTCACCGCCATCTGCAAGCGGCTGGGTATTTCGCACTGACGGTGACGCCGGCCCAGCGGTGCCAGCCTATCAGGGCCCTGCGATGCGCCGCTCACGCTTGGATTCTATGTATAGTCTATGTATAGAGCGCGAACGGACGCTGCATTCAGGGGGGGGGCATTGAGGGGGCCGCGTCTGAGCGGAGGGGTAAGACATCAGGAGCACAGGACAGGAACAGCAACGGGGAGCATGGTGCCGTTGGGGCAAGGGCTGGGAAAGGGAGAAGAAGAAGAAGAAGAAGAAGAAGGAGTTAGATTAGAAGGAGATTGGCCGGAGTGGCTGGTTTGGGTTGTTTTAGGTATCGGGATCTGATGTGGAATCGAGATTGGGGGATAACTAGTTAGTTTTCGGGTCCCTGGGTAGGCAAAGGCGAGGCGGTTTAGAAATGGAGAACTAGGGGACTCGTATCGGGCGAGCATCATCAATCTTGGGGTTTGGGAGACGAATCGTCCGAGAGTGAGGCCGGTGCTTGTCACCAGGGGGCCTTGGAGGGGACATTGGGGCTGGGTTGGTTCTGGTTTTGGTTCTGGTTCTGGTTCTGGTTCTGGTCCTGGCCCTCCTGGGGATGGAGCTGAAGGGGGCGTCATCCGGAGGGGACGAGTGATCAGTGCAGACTTGCAGGCCGTGCATCTGTTCTGGCAGTCTCTGGCACCGCGGGGAGATTCTGACTGCAGGACGGAACCGTGGAAGGAGGGGTGGATCACCCGCGGGCCGGACCCGTTTGGATCCATCCTATCCAGACTTTGGCCTTTTGGCTGGCATAGGGGGGATGCCGACGTCCCATCAGGAAGAGCATGATCGTCCGATGACAGGCCCAACAAGCACAGACAGGAGGAGTATCCGAGTGTCTCAGCGGGCCGCCCGCGCCGCGATCGATAGGCTATCGTGTATCGAGCCGTCATCAGGTAATCAGCCGGAACAGCCTGAACGACCGTATAGTCCAGCCAGTCCAGCCACTCCAGCCAGTCCCCATCCAACCAGCATCGCCAGCATCGGCATCACCAGTGCCTGTCCAGGCGGTTGAGGCTGTTGCGGCTGCATCGCGGTCCCCCTATGAGATCGTCCATCACGTTGGGCTCCCGAGATCCTCGATCCTCACAGTCTCGGGCTTCCTCCTAAGAAGACCAAAAAAGAAAACAAAAAGGAACCATCACGACCGGATGCAGGTCTGCCCAAGAGGGGCAGAGCAGCCAATCGCGGGCAACGGGGGGGGTCTCGTCTGGCTGGGGGCCACCCTCCATTCCCGCGCAGACCGCAGGATGTAGCAGATACTTCGCCGGGCACCAGCAGTAACCAGTTCAGCGAGGACGGAGTCATAGTAGAGTCGAACGCGCGGATGTCCTCGCTGGTACCCTCGACCGTAGAGTCGGCGGCATTCAGCATGAGCATGCGCCTGCTACAATTAGCCTGCCTTGCCCCGACTGCCATACTGCCATACTGCCATACTGCCATACTGCAATACTCGGTACCTACGTCCACTCCATCCCGAGTATACTTCCATCCTCCCCTCTCGGTCGGCCGACCGTGATCGTTTTCTGACCCTTTACGCCCTTCGATCCTCCTCTTCATACTCATCTGCCGCTCTTGTTTTTCTTCCTCCTTATCCTTTTCTTCCTCACATCTTGTCATCCTTTTTTTCCTTCCATCTCTCCTCCCGCCCCACCTCTCTCTCCCTCCACCACCACCACCTCCACCTTTACCACCCACACACACACACACACACACACACACACACACACACCGCCTCTTCGCGATGGCACGATACGCCCAGTTCGACTTCTACCAACAATCCCCTTCAACACTAGACGTGCCCCCTTCTGAAGAGGACGAGATGAGCGTACTAGACGACAAAATCCTCGACCCCATCTCCCCGGGGCTCTCCGACCCCCGCCGCCCCTCCTACGACCAAGACAGCACTGCCGCCGCATTCTCACATCGCAACTCCGTCTGGTCCAACTATTCTCATGCCAGCCCCGACCAGCCGCAGTCGCGTCCGCCATCCCATCTAACTCAGGCGGTCCTCGACTCCTCCGGCACCCAGTTCATGGCCGTCGACGGGCCCCAGTCCTATGCGCCGCCGCAGGCTTCCTGGTCTCTCTCCCGCACGGCCTCCGGCTCATGCACTCCCACCGCATACGGCCAGTACCCTGCCGAAGCAGAGCAAGGTGCGTCGGCGCCCTTCTCCGGCGGTGCGGTGGGTCCCGTCGGCGCCATCCCCATGGGCGCTGTGTCGTACCGCGGCGCAATGAACTTTGCCGCGCCGCCGGGTGCGGGCGGGGTCGCCATGTCCCCGCAGTCGAGTCAGGGTTGGATGCCGGCACCAATGGACCTGGCCGAGGCGGCGACGAAGAGCTCATACCGGAACGGGTCGCCGCTGACCGTCCGGAGGGATGGCATCCGCAAGAAGAACGCGCGCTTTGAGATCCCCGCGGAGCGCACGTTGAGTAATATTGACCAGTTGATTAGCCAGTCCACCAATGAGGAGGAGGTGAAGGAGCTGAAGCAGCAGAAGCGGCTGTTGCGAAATCGACAGGCTGCGTAAGTGCATATCGATTCCCTACCCTCGGAAGGATCGATCCGACCGCCAGGCGATCATCCAGAAAGAGCTCGTCCATACTAACCATTCGTGATCGTGATATAGCCTGGACTCGCGCCAACGCAAAAAACTCCACACGGAGAAACTCGAAGAGGAGAAAAAGCACTATACCCACACCATCAGCCGGCTGGAGGAGATGGTGTCCAACCTGCGGGAGAGCGAAGCCGAGCTGATGCGGGAGAAGAGCGAGTGGATCGCGCAGCAGCAGCAGATCACCAACTACCTGGAGAGCGTGCACATGGAGAAAAACGAGATGATCCGCGTGCACACGCTGGAGACTGCCGAGTTGCGCAAGAAGAACAATATCCTGCTCGAGACAGTCGAGAAGCTCGAGCGCGGCGGCAAGCCCACCATGGCCGACCACGCCCACCCCCATACGACCGACTTCACCGGCTTCGAGAACCTATCTATGGACGCCAATCCGTGGGACGAGTTCGGCATGGTGAATGGGCTGAACATGCAGGACGCTGTTCCTGCCGCTCATTCTCATGCTCACGCTCATGCTCATGCTCATTCGCACCCGCAGGCCCAGCCTCTCCAGGTCGCCGAGCGTGCTGCCGAGAAGCAGCCCACCGCGGACTACCCCTTCAGCTGGAATGCGTTCTACATGTGCCTGCTCTTCGGCGCTTTCATCGCCTCCAACTCCGGCCTCCCGAACCAGTCGCTCCCCCAACTCTCAGAAGAGTACCGCGCCGAATCCGCCAACGTGCTGAAAGCAGTCCTCGCCTCCTCTCCACCCGACCTTGCACACCCCTCCCACGCCGTCTCGGCATCTGCATCCGCATCCGCCCCCATCGGTCAGCCTACCATCGCCATGGGCATGGCCCAGCTGGCCAACTCACAGCAGCAGCCTTCGACGCTGGACCAGCTGCATGACACGCTCGTCCTACCCAGCGAGGAGCAGGAGCGCGCGCAGGTTTTCGCGCTGAACGCCGACACGTACAACACGCTGACGACGTTCGAGGACGACGGCGTGCCCTTCAAGGCTCCCCCATCTGGATTGCAGGCTGCGCTGGCGGCGATGCGCAGTAATGCTGTGCAGCACCGGGTGCAGGGCGGCGAGGATGTGTACTCGCGTAGCTTGATGTGGGAGCGGGTTCCAGAGAAGGTTATTCGTGATTTTAGGCGCATGGTGCAGGAGTATGGGGGGAGCCCGGTCAAGGAGGAGATGATGGGATTTCAGGCTTGAGGCGGAGAGATTGCGTGAAGCCTGACTCTGCCTCTCGCCCCTTCATTCTTCACTCGTACCTCGACACTCGACCCTTGACTCCTGGTTTCTCTTACGACAGGAACCCGTGATGGTTCTCACCTGCGCTGGGCGTGCCCGACAAAAGCGCGTCTCATGGTTCTTTTCCCCCTTCGCCTTCATTTGGACTCTTGTGTTCTCGATTTTTACCGCACAAGCTTGGTGTTTAGCGACTAGCGTGTGTCTTTCTTACCCCTTTCCCCTTTTTGGGTGCCCTTCATGTTTATGTCTATTTTGGCTCTGTTTTCCAGCGTTATTCGGGCCGTCTTTTAGCGTTGCCGGCAGCGGTTGTGGTTGTTTTGTTTTCCTTTTTTTATTTTTCTTATGCAATCATATCATACGGAAATCGGTTGGCGGTTGGGTTGGCATGAGAGACGAATCGCGAATGTGAACTTGGACATGACTTGGAACTTGTACAGACTTGGCTGTGGATGGCATTGGGGCAATTTGAGATGGACATGGTTCACGAAATTACGAAGATTCGCTGTTTTCTTTTTCTTTGACATACGGGGGGGCCTTGTGTTGTCTATTTGCTTTCTGATACGGGCTTTTCTTTTCTGGTCAACACCTGGCAGCTGGGGTGGATGCTCGTGTTTTCTCTGGTTCTTTTTCTTTTTCTTTTTCTATTTTTTATTCCCTTCTCTGTTTCACCTTGTTCCTGACCTTACCCCTGGTCTTGTCTTAGTGCGAGCCAAGGTTCGCTTCCAGGCTTAGCCTGGTGCGGCACAGACTTGGCTCCCAAGGTTGATGCCGGGCCTCACGGCAGGATGACTTGTCTCCTATGTCCTTCCTTCTGTTTGTTTCTGCGTCTACTTACTTACTACACCCCCATGTGGAAATGGCGGCGACGCCCTGGACGAATGTTATGAAGCTACGATACGACTACCTGCAATTATTATGAGCGATGATCGCGATATGACTATTACTATGGCTGTGACCTCTGATCTGTGACTATGACTATGACTATATTCTACCTAACGATATCATGACTTATTACTCTTTTTCCGATGACCTTGTCCTCTCGTTTACACGGCTCTCCATTGGGTCAGTCGACTGCCGCAATTCGCGCATCCCAACCTCTTGCCTTTCTCCGATGATTGGTCGCGTTTTTGGCATGGGTGGGGATGGACGGCCTATGGAGACGATTGTGGCTAATGGGATGAAGGCGACGGCTGTCTTCGATAGGCTCGAGCATTGCAATAGCGGATTTGGCCAGTAAGGTGGCGGCGGTGCTGGTTGACCTGGCCGACAGCTGTGCTCCTCCTAGGCAGACTGGGAACTAGACAGACCAACCACCTTGATGCCCTATGTGAGTAGATTCTATCTCGTCGAGTGTTTAGTGTCTGATTTTACCAAGGTCCTCCTTCAATACGACCTGCTCAATGCAGTAACGCCCCCCGGATAAAAATTCGCTGTTGCAGAGCCTTCTCCACGTGTGATCTTAGCGTGAGGACCTTGGGGTCAAGTCATCATGGCGGATTCCAATCACCTGCCGCCGCAGCCGGTCCACTTTCAACCCTCCGAGCAAAGCTTGGAGCCATGCCCAAGCGGGTACAAGCTTTATGACACGGTCTTGGTGGCTGGCGTGTGTTTTCTGAGCGCGTCCCCATGCCCGCCACTGATGTCGAGGTTGTGGTGGCCCTCGTTTGCCTGCGGGACGGCGGGTTAGGATGGTTCAAATTGCTAGGAACAATCGAGATATCAGCAACAACTGCCAGAAAAAGAAATGTTGTAACTAACTAGACCTGGTCGTACTCAGGGAGCCTCCGAGAGCCAATGTGAGCACACCATGCGATGGGGGGAGCCAAAACTCGGTCGGTTAGAAGCCAACCTCCCAAGGTCCTCACAGCGACGGAGACCCGAACGTATCCCGCTCATCCAGCACATATATAAAATGAACCCGGAAATCCATTCCATCGCAGTTCCCAAGCCCGTGCTCAATCCCCCTGGTCTCTTTTTGTCTTGGCTTTCGCCTGTTCCTGGCCGTCCACCCGCTGTCAAATATCAAATTAGGGCTTGACCAACCTCCACCGGCGCAGATCAATCAACCACCAGGGCAAAGACAGCCACACACACCATAATGTCCGACTTCGACCCCCACAATGTCGACCTCGACACCGTCGACCCCACCGAGGTCGTCTGCTACCTCAACAGCGCAGGCAACGAGTACAATGGCCGCCTCGGCGCACGCATCTCTGCCATCTTCGTCATCCTCATCGTCTCCTCGATCACAACCTTCTTCCCCGTGATTGCCAAGCGCGTGCCCCGCCTGCGCATCCCGCTGTACGTGTATTTGTTCGCCAAATACTTCGGTGCAGGTGTCATCATCGCCACGGCCTTCATCCACCTGCTGGATCCCGCCTACGGCGAAATCGGCCCGGCCACCTGCGTCGGCATGACCGGCCACTGGGCCGATTACTCATGGTGCCCGGCCATTGTGCTCATCTCGCTGATGCTGGTATTCCTGCTGGACTTCGGCGCGGAGCGCTATGTCGAAAAGAAGTACGGTCTATGCCGCGACGACCCCGAGTCCATCATGGCGTCCGGCGTGGAAGTCAGCCCGCTCAGCGTGCGCCGGTCGAACTCGAACTCGCACTCGCACCCCACGCTCGACTCCAAGGATAAACAGGCAAAGGAGATTGAGGCCCAGTCCCTGGACGACGGCGAGATGGAGCGCTCGTTCCGGCAGCAAATCGCGGCCTTCCTGATTCTGGAGTTCGGCGTGATCTTCCACTCCGTCATCATCGGGCTGAACCTCGGTGTCGTCGGCGACGAGTTCACCACTCTGTACCCGGTCATCGTGTTCCACCAGTCGTTCGAGGGTCTCGGTATCGGCGCGCGCATGAGCTCCATTCCCTTCAAGAAGGGCAGCTGGCTGCCTTGGGCGCTGTGCTCAGCGTATGGACTGACGACACCCATCTCGATTGCGATTGGTCTTGGCCTCCGGACAACGTATAACTCGGGCTCGTTCACGGCTAATGTGGTGTCTGGCGTGCTGGACTCGATTTCGGCTGGGATTCTGATCTATACGGGTCTGGTGGAGCTGCTGGCGCGCGACTTCCTGTTTGACCCGCACCGCACGCGGGATGATAAGAGGCTTGCTTTTATGGTTCTGTCCATGCTGCTTGGTGCGGGCATTATGGCTCTGCTGGGCAAGTGGGCGTAAGCTGCTTTCTTCTGTGAGAGGAGAGTACCAATAAAACGCTGAGCTGAGTGTGTTGATTGAGATGATGTGGCCGTGAGGGTGGATTGACCGTCGTTATGCCCGCGTTCTTTGTTTGATCATACTATGATACCTGATACTTGATACCTTTGCATTGGATAGACTCGGGATGCTTTGCTTTTTTAGTTTGGATAATTGGATACCGATGGAAAGGCTGTGTGGATACCCTTCTCTGCCTTGCGTCGCGTGTAGACCTCGGCAAAGACCAGGTCCGGTCCTAAATCTTAGGACCGGGACTAGGCCCTCCGGTCCTTGGTCTTTTTTCGAAGTAGTCAGGACCGCACTACGGTCCCCTATAGTCCTTTACGGTCCCCCGTACGGTCCTCTATATATTTATAATTCTACTAAGAACTTCCTTTTTCAGCTATATAAACTAATAATTTTGCTATATTTATTACTATTATTAAATACTATTTTAGTATATATACTAATATTTATAATAAATCAAGCCTAATTATTAATAAAATAAGTAAAATAAGCCTATATATTAGAATCTTATATATTAAAGTATAAGAACTAACTAAAATTTTAGTATTTTATTACTCTAGTAGAGAGATTAAGGGGGGGGGGGGGGGGGGTGTAAGGAGTTTTTAAGGAGTTTTATTAGTTTTATAGTTAGAAATATATATTAGCTAGCTAATATCCTTAGTATTAATTTCTAATAGCTATTAGAAATTTTAATAGCTATTAGAATTTAATACTATCTACTACCTAGATACTACTAACACAAGAAAAAGCGGACGAACAAGCTCTGGCTCACGACTTGCCCGTTGGCAGCTTCGTTGTTTCTCCTTCCAAGTCGGCTTTCTTTGCGACCGTAGACGTGGTTAGCGTGCACAGCGTTCTTTCTGAGCGTACACGCGGGATTGGCGCCAAAGCGGAATTGGACGTTATGAAGAAAAAAGCGATTATTGTCAACACATCACGGGGGCCATTTATTGATGAAGCCGACTTGCTGGAAGCCCTAAATGCGGGCCGAATAAAAGGCGCTGCGTTAGACGTCTTCGATCCGGAGCCGTTGCCATTGGATAGTCCATGGAGAAGCACTACTTGGAGCCAAGATGGACGCTCGGACGTAGTTTTATCACCATATATAGGTTATGGTGAGGAAGACCTACTCCATGGATGGTACCAAGAGACGGCCGAGAATCTGGAGAGGTGGTTAAACGGGGAAGAGTTGCAACACAAGATGAACTAAACGTAGCCATTTTCACATTTCATTAAAGACCTTGTAAACTGCAATTGCTATTGACCATGCCCCTCCTGGATTCAACCTTTACCATCAATACGCCCATATGCGAGCTGGAAATCTGTCTAATAACTTGGGACATTGCCATATTTGATGTCATCTATAGCCCGAATACGACAAGTTCCCGATTAGAACATGAACCCGGGACCGGGCCGTGATCTTCTATCCAATAAAGTGTACAGCGTGGCATGCTGAGATCCACCGATTACCGAACTAGAACAAGGTTGACTTTGTTTTCCCGTGGCAAAGGCTCAGCCTCCTTTGTATTTCCATAAACGGACTTGGACTATGCTCAACTCAATACATCGTCGTGACCATCACTTTTACTCCCGCAAGACCTTCCCAGTAAACATGTCAATGATAGGAACAATCGGAGGCTCCTGCTGTAGGTCACGGCCACTCTGGTTCCACCGCGCTTAGTGACTCTCAAGGTACTTGTGAAGTCTATCCTCCGCCTTGGTAAGAAGTGTCGGCTTGATAATTTCATTCTTCTCCCATCTCAACTCCTTCATTGCTTCCTTTGCCCAGATGTTGGAGTCGAACACGCACGCCATATCCTGGTCCCAGTCCTCAGGTTGATAAACGGGCGCAGAGTTCAGGAGTCTCTCTACTTCGATGATGTTGTGGACTTTAGCGATCACTGCACACGCTAGCAGGGGGGATCACTGTCGATGTCGGTGATGACTTCTCTCCTACGGCGCCAGGCCCTCGTGGGGACATTGTTGATGACCTGGATGGTGTTCTTGAGGTGCCACTTTCTGGCTGAGATCGTTCCTCTCTTCGCTCCGGGCTTGATCTTGCTCGTTATAAGGAGTGCGGTGTGGATCCTTTGATCTTTGGGGATTGAGTAGAATGCGAGCAGGATGCGCAGCTTGTTGCGAGCAATGGTGGTTGCTGTGTACAGCTGCAGCGCTGGGAGTGGCGGCGTTCAATCGAGAAAAAAGGGAAAGACCGGATGTAAACATTGAGCCCTCATTTCAATCCTCTCATTCAGCAGTTTTTCCTCCCTCATAAATCAACCTTACACCGGTACATATCAGCATCACAGGTACGCTTCTCTTCTCCATTACCCGGGACTACCATAGACTCTGATGATATCGAGTTGACAAAGCTGGATCGGTATGGAGTCATGTCCAGACACACCCCGCTGAGCCATGTGCCAGAGAATTCTCAGAAGTTATCTTCGGAGCGTGGAGATCTTGATGGAGTGAATTAAGTTCGGTTTCAGCCTTGCTTCGACATCAGCCTTTATCATCTAGCCATATCAAAATCAAAATCAAAATCAACATCAATTATCAACTCTCTCACTGGAAACATGCTATCTACTGGAATGGGATATACCTATATAGCTCAAGAGAAAAAAGCACGTAGTGGTTCACAGAAACTCCATGCCTAATAACTAGCCTTACCCACGACATCTACCAGCTGCGTCGTTGGTTCAATATAGTGCGTCAGACCGTTCCTAACTAACGACTTCTGCTCATAGGCATATGCCATCTCGATGAGCGTCTGCTCGCTCCATTTGAGTCCCATGAAACCCAAGCCCATGGGCACGCCGGGAGCGACCGATGTTAGATTCCATGGAGCGGAGTCCTGCACCGGCGTTCCCGCGGGATACGCGCCCATCGGCACGGTGATGACCGGCCCGCCCACGAGTGCAGAGATCGGGTACCCGATGTTGGTGGGGAGGACGACGGCGTCGAGGTCAAGTCTCTCGATGGCACCGAAGACCCCGCCCTCGCCCCCGTAGTAGAGATTTCGCTGGTACAACGGCCAGAATTCAGGAGAGGTGTTGTTGATGCCGGCCTTGAGCGCAGCGTCCCAGACTGCGGTGTTTCGGCTGGGATAGGCTTCGGCAGGGTAATGCTGTGTGAAGTTACGGACGTCGGCGACAGTGTGTACGTTTTGCGGATTGGTTTCCAGCTCGGATAGGTAGGTGGCGAGGTTGCTGATGAAGTCCGCCTCCAGGACGGAGCCGGTGCTGTTGTGCAGGTAGTCCTTGTAGGCCGTGAAATTGGCGTTGTAGACGATGGTGGCCCCGTTATCCTCTAGGACCTTCACGGCGGCGTCAAAGGCGCCGAAGTACGGTGCTTGGGCGGCGGAGTATCGCAAGGCAAGGACGTTGCTTGGGATTCCGATGCGTTTGCCCTTCAGGCCATTCGTCTTGCAGGACTTGACATAATCGGGAACCTTCTCAAAAGGACTAGCGAGGGTGTAGTTGTCGTGAGTATCCTTGCCGGCGATGGCGCTGAGCACCAGAGCTGCATCTTTGACGGTTCTCGCCATAGGACCAATGGTGTCTTGATGTTCGCTGATCGGGATAACGAGATACCGCGAGGTCAGTCCCACGGTGGGCTTGATGCCTACCAGAGCATTCTTTTCACTGGGACTGGTGATACTGCCACTGGTCTAAAGAGAATACGTAAGTCAAAAATTCCACACTCTCGGTCTCTTCTCACCTCAGTTCCAAGGCATGCAAATGCAAGACCCATATCCGAAGACACACCACTGCCACTCGACGATCCGCTGGGGTCCTGGTTCGGAACGAAGGCGGCGGTGACCTGTCCTCCATACGCACTCCATCCGTTGGACGAGTTACCGGACCGGTAGTTGGCCCACTGCGAGAGCCCGGTCTTGCCCATGATGATCATTCCCGCCTCGCGCAGTTTGGCGGCCATGGTCGAGTCGGCGCTGGGTTTGGCGTCGAGCAGGGCGTACGAGCCGGCTGTCATTGATCAGCAACGAAGTTTCCGGTAAAAGATGCAACATACCGGTCGTTTGCATCTTATCGTAGGTGCCGGTGTTTTCCTTGATCATGATGGGGAGGCCATAGAGAGGTCTGTTTTTCATCCCGTCAGAAAATGGCCGAACCTTTGCATGAAATCGGAAGAGTTGATACTGACCCGCTCTTCTTGCCCTTCTTTCTCCCATCATCAAGTTCTTTGGCAATCTCCAAAGCATCCGGATTCAGTTGAATGACTGAGTGCAATGTCGAATTGACTTCCGCGATCCGTTCGATGTATGCCTGTTACGAATTCATTTTCCGTTCAGTGGAGCCTGAACGAGGTCTGCTCACATTGACAAGATCCACACTCGTGAAGCAACCCGAATCCAATCCAGCTTCAAGCTCATATGCCGTTGCCTTGATCAAATCGGGGTAACTGCATGGCTTGGCTAGAAACAAATTTAGTTACGCTATACCATTATCTTCGTACAATCCCCTCACCAGCAGAGAAAGCAATAAAGCCCCAGAGGGCCAACCCGGCAACGCCTAGGTTGTGTATCGCCATTTTGTATGAGAAATATCCTCGTTGCTGTTGAGCATCCGCCATCTTGAGGCGGACCCTGATTCATATAGCTGTCGATTAAATTTACGACCTTCTACTTCAGAAATAGCGCATGAATCGGCGGAGATAGGGACAATCTTTCTTGTTTCCGTCGAACCATTTCCACTAGTTACGTGCCATGAAATCGCATCCCAACCGATTACGCATGAGAACAGAGAAAGAAAGGAAAACCCCCAAAATGCTCTAATACCATCGATAATATGCCGATGCCAGTTGAACCAACTAAGCAAAGAGGTCATGTCATATCTACGATCAAAGATTATTATTATTTACTAAATAATAATACGCCTTGATAGATATGGTAACAATCTACCGAGATGTTTATCACTAGGTTAAATTAGGCAGGCCGATAATTGTGCCTAGCCTATGCTTATATTTATTGCGGGGAATTGATAAGAGCTCACATTCATTCAGAACTAGCTTCCTTTTTTAGTCGAATATACGTTTTTCTTTGGGTATATTTCAATTTTTGGCTTTTCCCCATCCGATGAAGATCCGAATGAGTGACCGAGAAGTCAAACTTTGGGCGACGTCCACGGCTCGATGCCGAGGACGGTTCGACATCATGATCATTCATATTATTGTTGTTCGTCGGACCGATCTAGATTTCGGGGTCCCAGATTCGGAAGTCTCGGCCATGTTATGCTGGGTAGGGCTGTTGACGATGTCCGCCGAGGCAGATATCATTCGACCGAATATCGGCGGGCGGATACGATATTCGCCGCTTCGGCCACGGCGGATACGGATATCGAACACGCCCCCACCTTTCGCCACGCCCCCACCTCTCGCGCGATATCGCGATATTTGACCACTTTTAGAATTGCGAATAGCTTCACCAATATGGAACTAATTGATTTGGCAGTTGAATATTTGAAATCCCTAGACCTCAACGAAAAGGTCAATAGTAGACGGCTGCCATTCCCATTGAGCTCGCTATTTTCAGAGCATCCTCATCGATATTCATCCCTACCCACCCAAAGCCGGCTCTTAAAAGGATTAACAGCGGCCATTTTTGGAGAAGAATCGGATCTTGGGAATACATTTAGTTGTCCTCTAACTATATGCGCATCGTTACACTCCTGGTTTTGGTTGCCCTCTACGCTAGCAAGTGTACCTCGAAAACTCGTGACCGAACGGCCATTCAGCCGATAAATAATGCTCCTATGGCGACTAAACCTCTGGATTTTCCTAATACAGAGAGTGGGCAGGGCCAAGAAGCAACCGATGGAGATCCGGGAGTCGAAATTTCGGAGCTACAGGATCTATCGGGATGCCCCGGCGGGGTATCTTCGGCCAGCTAGTGGAGGTACCTTAAGGGCTATAAGGTCCTTTTCCCCTATATATAGCCATCAAAATCCCGCCGTCTATAGGTAATCGCTTTCGTCTATTTTTGTCTTATCGTTTGTCAGCGAGTCGTCAATGTCCTAGTACCATATCAAATGGGAGTCATTACGGAGAAGCTTTCTACCTCGTTCGACAGCCCCTGGTCTAATATTTTATGTATGTTATCTACAAGTGGCTACAAGGGGGGGAAGGCTTGCTTGATTCTATGCGTTCCATTCTCTAGGACCGGGTGAGCCAGCATTCCTCCATGGAACTCTCCATCGCCGCTTTCGAGTATATGCACAGCCTTAGACTGGACTTCCACCTAGGTAAGCGAAATGGTGAGGATTTATCCGCCCTAAGCAAGGATAAATCGGTTACTATATTCGGAACTGGTGATCTTTCAAGTAGTTCCTGCGCTCTTTGATTTCGGTATCGCATTTAGGTGTCTCTGGCTATACTTTGTCGCACACTCTACTCTAGCTTTGAGTATTTTGTTATTCGGATATTTTTATATGACTACGCACCTAACGCAGAGGGGATCCAAGATTCGGCGACGGATGGTCAACGCTTCTTTAGAAGAGAATGCGGTCAAGTAACTGCCAAATAAGCCACAACAGGATAACAACTTGAACTGATATTTTATCTTCAGAAATGATTCGCTGATGTCATACGAGACAGTCAAGTACTTCAATGCGGAGAAATAAGAGATCAACCGCTACCACATTATCGTCGAAGAACGCCAAAAGGCCGAGAACCTATTTTCTCTCTTTCTGGAGTTGTTGAGCACCTGCCAGAATACGTTCTTCATGATCAGCTTTCTGATTCTGTGCTTCATTGTTGCCTATAAAGTGTCCATCGGTCAAACATTCTGCCGGCTAGTTCATATCCATGATGACGTATATGTCCGGTTTACGAAGCTCGTTAATGTCTTTGGCCGGTGCATCTCGGCCTATCCACGTAACTCTGATCGATTCAGAGCGTATGTTGGAGCTTTTCCAAAAGCAGCCTACCGTTGTAGATAGCCCTCACTCTACTCCGCTGGCCATGTGTAGCGGCGATATTAGATTCGAGAATGCGACGTTTTCGTACAATGAGCGGAAACCAGCATTGAATGGACTTTCTTTCAGCTGTCAAGCTAGAACCACGACCGCGTTGGTTGGCGAGTCTGGGGGAGGGAAATGAACAGTCTTTTGGCTCTTGTTCCGATTCTACAACCTTAACGAAGGCTGCCTTCGCATCGATGGATACGACATACGGGATCTTTCTATCGATTCAGTCCGTAAGTAAAGTGGGGTGGTACCACAGGATACTACGCTTTTTAACGAGACGTGATAGTTGACGGGGTGGTGAAGGTTTTGCCGCAGTAGTCATGCCCGTTGGATTCGAAGCCTTTGTTTCCGCAAATCCTGTGTTATCATCTCGTGGGATTTACGGCAGGAGAAGAAATGTGCGTGGTTCTTGGTTGGAAGGCTGGAAGCTGATCTACTCACGTTGGACAGCGTCTCGTCCCGCTGCGTCGCCGACGGTAGCGGATTAGGAGGCCCCGGGCTTGGGGGTGGGTTTCGTGGCTTCATGGCTTGCCAGACCTGGGAAACAGAAACCTTACAGAATGCGGGGAAATTGGGAAGGTACAGTTGATGGAAAGTCGAGGAAGGTTTGAGATCCGAAGGTCTACACTACCATAATGTCTAGAAACGGCCAGTTACAGTAAGTATGGTGCATATACCGTGTTAGAGAGGAAATCAATAGATAGACAGGTACTTCATTGGGCTTCATAGAGTCATGTACTGTGGACAGAAAACATTAATAAGGTACAGGAGGTAGGCATCCTGCGATATTTTGAAAAATGCGAAGATTCACGATCCAGATTCTGCAGGAAATCATCACACATAGCCGCCTGGCACTGGTAGAAACCGACCATATTAGAGCTTAGTGATGCTACAGAACCCCTTCATTTGGGATTGTATTTTTCTTTCCAAATCCTGTAACACGGCAAATTAGCAACAGATGATTCCCTAGAATTCCTAGAGCAACTTGCCAAGAGTTCCCAACGGTAGGACTCCCGTTCTCCTCAGCCAGTCGGTAGTACTTGGCTGCCTTGAACTATAATTCCGCATATATAAGCCTTAGTCCTCTCTCCACTCATCTCTCAAGAAAGGCGATACTAACCTTATCCTTCTTTCCCCCGAATCCCTCGAGATAACACCACGCAGCCTGATCCATGGCATCGGTATCACCCAGGTTCGCAGCAGTCTCATAATACTGCCTTGCCGCGGCGGGATCTTTCTGCACGCCCCAGCCCATGCGGAAGCAGTTTGCAAGCTCGAAAATAGCGAGTACCAGCTCGCCTTTCGCGACACCGCCCTTCTTCATGCCTGCGCGTAAAGCCTCCGACTCGACAGCCGCGGAGTTTGTTGCCGCCGCGGAAAGATATGTGACCGCGCGTACTTCGTCTTTAGTGCAGCCCCAACCGTGTCTACACGATATGAGCATTATGCGAAGACATGATCAGTTCAATAAATACGGTCTTACCTAAGGGCCAAGCCGTAGAGCACTTGGCTGAGGGGGTTATTATGACCGTTGAGGTCGGCGAGTTGGCCAAACATCTGGGTCGATCGTCCAAGATCTACATCAGGATTATTAGTATATCACAAACGGAAAATGTCCAATCTTTGCACTCACCACCCTCTTCATGCAGCCGAATGGCCTCCTGGATATTAACCTGAACGAATAATCAGCAACACATTTACACTCTCCAGCCTTCTCTAAGTTTCCAACTTACATCATCCTGCGGGTCTCCAACACGGCTCCGACTCGAGCTCCTCGACCTCCCCTGCCCGCCTGGCAATGACAAATCGCCGTCCGACAGCAGCGGCGATGAAAGCGACTGTCCGAAGTGCGGATTCTTCTGCACCAACACCGTAGCCCGCTTCTCCCATTGTGCCTCGCGCTCCTGTTTATCAACACCCTCCTCGTCCGCAATCTGCGGCAAACCCTCTGGGATATTCGCGGACGACTCTTGCGAGTTGCTGCGGCCGCGGTGGGGGAGCAGGTTCGAGAGGCGCCGCTCGCCGCGGGGGCGGGGCGGAGAGGGACTGGAGACCGAGCGCATCGATCCGGAGCGGTGGAAGAATTGGAAACTGCGGCGCGAGGTCGTTGGGGAGGGGGGGGGGGAGTCTGGTGTAGCGAGCGTGTCCAGGTAGCGCTCGTCGTCTGGGTGTGCTGGCGGGCTGATTACTTCTTGGCTGAAGGTGTCGGAGCGGAGGAGGGTGATCTCCGGGGTTGGCGGGGAGGATGGGAGGTTCTGTGTGTTGATAGTTGGTGCTTGGGTCCTCTCGTTGAGGCCTTCACGCTTGTGTAAGATATCTCGTAGCGAGGGCATCTTGGGGTATATCGATCTGCGGTATATGATCTGCGATATACGATGTGCGATGCGGGTGCAATGCGGAGAGCGCTGAATTTGAAAAGCGGATCAAGGTTGCACGCTGTGTGAGTGAGAGAGAGTGAGAGAGAGTGAGAGGAAGAGAGAGTGAGAGGGAGATGGAGAAACACAACCTCTGTCTTTCAACTAGGCAGGGAAGATTCAAGAGCGAAGTTCCAGCCGCATTAAGAATAGTAACATGAGCTTTGAGCTAGACCAGGCTGTGTTGGGGGCTGCCGTTGCGGAGAGCCGTCCGTTCCATTGGGTCGCGCTCGGCGGCTAAACTAAATGGGGGCGCTTAGATGATGCAACGCTAGACATAGCAGGACAAGTAAGCAGGGCAAGTAAGCAATAGGAGCTAATAAATAGCACAAGAAGGACTTTGTTATGATTTCGGTAGTTTTATAGATCCTATACATTCATGTCCCACATGTGGCGTGCTGTGTCGGTCCCTGCGTCCTTAGCGCGTAGCCGACTGATTGATAACCACATTGCCGTATCAAACCCTAGCACCCAGGCATAATGCAACGGTGTATCCCCAGCCCGTCAACAGAGGCAAGCTATCCCAATCCACCGAATCGGAAGATTCCCCTCGGTGATCATAAAACTTGTATATCCTGTACTACGAATAGTTGCGGGCCGATGAAGCCAGCTAGGGCCACCACGCAAGGATTTGAGAGGACTCGATAAAAACTTCATCTATGCCCGGCAGATGCAATGCGCTCACATCACGAACTCGTAGATATACATGATCTTATAATTTTCAAGCAGAACCGGGATCAGGACCCTTACGCTATTCAAATTGATGGGGGTTGTAGATACTACGCGAAGCCACAAAGTGGCCACAAATGCCAGGATTGGAAACAAGCCTGAGGGAACAGCCCGCAACCCCGACATGCGTGAAAACTTATGGTCGATAAAAGAAATGGTATTGCAATTCTAACTCAGCAGATGCAAATAGCCCCTATAGTTTTGTACACATTGGCAATAGCCGAGGGAGCCACTGGAGTCCATTCAATTAGGCCTTGGACGTCATGATGCCTATTAACCGTTAATACGTGCTCAATCGGGCGCGCTCGTTAAGTTTCGGCGGTGGCACTCACGCTCAACATCGGCAACGCTCTGCTGGAGGATCTGCTGCAGAACCTTGGGGTTCTCGAGCTCCTTCTGGATCTTGGCGATAATGGACTCGGCAAGCTCACGCTGCTGGCGCTGCTTAACCTGGCCCTCATAGCGGACCCAGGAGTCAAGGACAGTCTTGGCCTCAGCAGCGAGAGCGGTGCGCTGCTCGAGCTCGTAGGCCTGAGCCTCAAGCTGGGCGGTCTCCTGTAAATCGCCAAGAGAGGTCAGATCATGTACATTCTTTTCCCCGGAATATAACTCCGTTCGGGTAGAATGGGCTCTGGATGCCTACCTTGGAGACAGCAAACAGCTGCTTGGTGACCTCGACAACGCCGGACATCTCCTTCACGTTGTTAATGCGTTGCTGGACGGCATTGGTGTGGTCGGCACGGGCAGCGTTCAGGATGTCCTTGTGCTTCTGGACCTGACCCTTAGCCCACTCGCTGTAGGCAGGGCCACCGTACTTGGCAACGGCAGTGAAGACGGAGAGAAGACAGAAGGCGGCGACAGTCTCCTCGTTCATCACATAGAGCTCGTTGCTGATGGCGGCGATGGACAGACCGGCGGCGGCGGACAGGGTGGCAGTCTTGGACACCAGAGAGTTGCCGGGAACAGCGTCGAGGATCGACTGAGCCTTCTTAGCAGGCTCCTCGGAAGGCACGCTGGAGGCCGCGCGGGTCGAAGTCAGGGCAGTGACGGCAGGGACACGGACGGTAACGGTCGGCCGCAGCCGGGCGGCGCCTAGAGTGGGAACCAGTCAGCTATCTGGATACATTGAGGCGATCTCACGAGAGTAATAAGCGGCGTACCGATTGCGCTCTTAGCAAGACGCGAAGCCATTGTTGCGGATAGAAAGATCCTGTGAATAGGGTGGGTGATTCGGAGAGGAGACTTGAGGTCGGGACGGCTAGGACGGGCTTGCACACGCTAGCCGATTTGGGCGGTAGCGTCGTGCGGCGGAAAAATCCGGCGCCGAGCTCCAAAAAATCCCATTGCGCCGAAAAAAAGTCAAGGTAGATCTGAGATCACGCCAGCAGTGTTCCTACTTGCCAAAAATGCCTCCACCGATAGAGGCCCCGAGCTCGAAGAAGCGCAAGAGCACCAAGAATTCAGGTGCTCCCTCGTCCAAGCGCCGCGCCGTGGCCGAGGAGGACGGCTTTGCCGAGACCTTGTCAAATGTTCAAGAGCTGGAGAACCAGATTGCAGAGTCGCGCAAATACTACAACAACATTGCCACTCTAATTTCGATGCTGAATGTGGAGAAGTCCGCCAAAAATCCCGAGCTTGCAGTGGCTGTCTCGCTATGCCGAGTATTCAGTCGATTGATGGCTGCGGGCAACCTGTCTGAGAGCAGTCGCGACGCCGAGAATGAGAAGATTGTAGTGGCATGGCTGAAGGAGCGGTGCGCGGAATATCAGCGTGCACTGTTGTTGATCATCCGCGAGGCCGACACAACTTCCCAGGTAGGTGCAGCAATCTTTGGTGGTTATAGATTCATAAGGCTTGAGCTAATCGATCACCAGGTTACGGCCCTTACTCTGAGCATGCGCCTCGTGAAAGAATACATTACACACATTCCCGGAGCAGACAGCGCTATCTGGTCTGGTCTGTTTAAGGACATCTTTGAGGCCCTTATTGAGGCCCGGGATGGCCAGGATGTGCGGTCCGAATTTGTGGCCAAGTTTATGAAAGAATATGAGGATATTCGATACCAAACATTTGGACAAATAGCGTACGTCCCCCACCTGACTACCCTTCTTTTTCTTTGCATGGACTCATTCAATATAGTGAGTATGCAGCTGTTCGGCGAAAGCCCGACACCATCGAAACCCTCATTTCCCTACTCTCGGCATGCGACGACGTACCGCCGGCCGAGTACGAGTTTGACTTCGATGACTTTTTCGCGAAACCCGACCCGACCAACAAGCGCCTTCGCACTGTTCATGGACACAAAAGGCGAGCGCAAGAAGCATGGCTGGCCATTCTTCGGAATAACCTCTCCCAAGCGCAGCGGAAAGCCCTTCTTCGCATTATGGTGCATAACATCGAGCCCTGGTTCACCAGACCTGAACTTTTGATGGACTTCCTCACGGATTCGTACAACGAGGGCGGTGCCATGTCTCTCCTTGCTCTGTCCGGTCTCTTCTACCTTATCCAAGAGAAGAACCTGGACTACCCGCAATTCTACGCCAAATTATACTCGCTCCTTGACGCAGACCTTCTGCACTCCAAGCACCGATCACGATTCTTCCGCCTGCTAAACACTTTCCTCGCCTCGACCCATCTTCCGGCTACCCTCGTGGCAAGCTTCATTAAGCGTCTCTCCCGTCTCGCGCTCAATGCGCCACCCTCGGCTATCGTAGTCATCGTCCCCTTCATGTACAACCTCTTCAAGAGCCACCCCACCTGCACGTTCATGATGCACCGTGAGGTCCGTGACAAGAAGCTGGCAGCAGAGCTTGAGGCCGAGGGCATGGACGACCCATTCGATCCGAACGAGACGGACCCTATCCGCACCAATGCCATCGAAAGCAGTCTCTGGGAAATTGAGACTCTCCAGTCTCATTACCACCCCAACGTCGCTGCCATTGCCCGTATTATCTCCGAGCAGTTCACAAAGCAGGCCTATAACCTGGAAGACTTCCTCGATCATACCTATCAGGGTATGGTGCAGGGCGAGCTCGGCACGGGGGAGAAGCCGCTGAGGAAGACCCCCGTGGTCGAATACCAAATCCCCAAGCGTATCTTTACGGATCGGTTGCTGCAGGAAGATGGCGATTTGGACTCTGGGCCCGGCTCCTTCATGCGTGGACTATGGGATTTTTCGTCTTGAGTTCCTGACCACCCTTAGTTTTTTAGCCATCCTAAGTTCTTTATCACTTATGCATATACACTTAGATGTTACGGGCGTTCTCAATACTAAATTTTTTGTACAAACCCTTCTTGTTCGTCCCCTAAGCTATCTACCGGCATCCCATGCCCATCCCCACAAAAAGATATTTGTCCATTCCACCAACCACTTTCCCCTTCCCATCTTACACCACTAAGAGAGAACAAACTGAGCATTTCTGATGCCGCAAGCCAAGCAGAAAGTGATGCTAGGATCCGTTCATCTAGACATCGCTTCAGATACAAAGTCGACATGAAAAATCCCAGATGCCATCAAAGCACGCAATGGATATTACTTACACCGGCGAGGCAAGCGGAGAGCTGATATCCCAATACAGGGCCTTTCACTGACGGTCCGCGGCACGGATTACTGGATACAAAAGTCAGCTTTAAACACCCAGTATATCGCCGAACCGGTCAGGCATACTATCGATTCCCATCAGGACCATCAACAGCGCGTCTGTGGACACCCCAGAGCCGTTCACGGGCATCATGGTCATGCTTCGGCCATTTGCGACGTAACCAGGGGCCACCGATCGGCAGTGACCGTTTGGCCGGAGCGCGAAGAAGCCGTACACGAGCTCGCCCCTTGCTCTGCCAATGACCAGGGCTTGCTCCGGTGTTCTCCCGGAGGCACTCGAGGGTAACACAGACTCGTAGGCAGCGCACGGCGCACAGTCGGTTTCCCTCTTCAAAGAGGCGCACAAAAGCCGAAGATGTCGCGGTCAGACTCAGCACCATCCACCATGGCTGTCACCCCGTCAAACGGCTGCTCAAGAAGCCGCTGGTGAGCGTTGATCAACCGCTTGACGCAGCGTAGGTAGGCAGCATCCGCTGGACTACATGCGGTACGAGTTGCTCTTCGTACAGGACGGCCCAAAACGGGATCCACCAGTATTGTCCGTGGTGGGCTTGAGCCATGCGCAGAGTTTCGGCGCGCTCTAGAGATGATTGGTCCTGGGCGAAGATATTTACGGCCCCGCGGCGGGCAGCTTCTACACGGGCCGGGTCCAAGGTCGATTGCTGCAGCTGGTTAGGCCGTATTGCTGAGATGGCTTCGTGGAAGCCATCCAGGGCAATCTGGAGCTCTGCTCGGCGTGGTGGCTCCGGGTTCTCGAGGAACCAGGCCCGAGTGCTGAACTCGTGGACGCCGTCGCTCGAGGAGTCCGACTGGGACCGGTCGTCGTCCTCGGGGTTAAGAGCGTGGTCGTCCTTGATTTCAGATGAATGGACGGGCTGGGACTGGAGAAAATATGTGCCAAAATAGAAGGCTGCGTGCCAAAGAGCAAGGTAGAAGAGTGGCTTCCGCAAAGATGAAGCTGGGGACTGCAAGGGAAGGCAAAGGGAGGAATATCATGGATGCCTCGAGTCACCTGCCCATGTAACCTATGTATATTTCGTCATCGCTGCACGATTTAATGTGGTTTTCACATGTTTGCCGGGCGATGATGTCGCAGCTTAGACGTCAGGGCTGCCCTTCGTGGGAAGGCAGCGTACCTAACACTCATAGAGATTGGCCTCGGGACAGACATAGGGATTCCATGGAGCGCTTGGCGAATAATTGAAGCAATTCCTATTCACGGTGAGAGAACCGGTCAGAAGATACCGTATATGCTATTGCAATGATCCGTCAAGTATAGTTCGTAGGGAGACCGCGATGTGCGCGGGGTCATCACAGAGATAACCATCTCCAGCTCCAGAAGCCCGTGCCAGGGCGAGGAGACATTCTGACTTTATCTTCCAACTTGTGATTGGCATTGGTATAGCCAATACAAGGCTGCTCAAAAGAAGTTCTGTGGAGATGGCGCTGTCGACGTGGCTCTAAATAGGTAGTCATAGATCGTCCAGAACACTCATCGCAGTAGCGAAGAGGCCTATGTTTGGGTCACGCGACTAGAGGCATTTCGCTGTTAAAAATAGTCATTTGCTCTTGTTCGAACCGTGGTATTCTCCTTTCGAACAAAGATTCTGGGGCTTCGATGTGCATGGACGTCAAACCCCGCAGGCGGTCGCCCTTGCAGATTATATGATTGACTGAGCTGCCACCTCCGGGTCACAACTTTGGTATAAAACTAAGACACTGACCATCCCTTGGTATGATACTCACAGCACAGGTTTTTCTTGAGCAATGCTCGCCTAAATGCATTATTTGTGATGATAGCTCCAGAAAGCTGTCGGTTGCAGCTCGAAACACTTCGGGAAGGGATAGCATTCCTCAGGTCCGAACGAGCCATTCTGCTGCCTCCTAGGGTCAATTCTTACTTGCTATTCATGATGAGCACATGCACTACATCAAATGTTCTTGGTGTTTAGCGTTGGGCAAACGGGCGATGCTAATACTTTGTGATCCAACCGTTCTATCCAGCATGACAGCTCTTGAACAGAACGCTGAAACTGTAATATGCCAGAAGCAAGATTGTCAAAGGGGAAGTCTGCTCTCAAAATTCCGACCGCCTATTGGGCGGAATTCTTGAAGCATTACGGGGGATGCTCCAATGGGTTCAAGATTGAAGCCCACTTCAACAGCCCCGGAATGTGACATTCTCTCCCATGCGTAGTTGCGCAGTTGCGCAGTTCAGTATCAACAACAAATATACCAGCACACTAGAATCCAAGCTCAACATGCGGGGCGTGAAGAGATCCGGGAGTTTCTTGCAGCTAGATAAAGAATCGTGATGCGCCACTGGCATCCTGACTTTCTGTTTTGATACTCTATCCGCTTTGCTTTTGACGTCGACATCCTATGCGCGTTTCTCATCTCACGGCCTACTTTCCTTAATACCCGAATCTCATCCATTCGTTCCTTTTTCTTTCAGCATGCATTTTACAAGTGTCCTTGCCGTGTCGGCTACCCTCTTTGCTGTCGCCTACGCCAACGATCCTCTCGCCTTCACGGCCTGGCCGAAGGATATCCAGGCCGGAAAGCCTGTCACTCTAACATGGGCTGGCGGTGCGCCCGACCAGGTAAATGCTTGTATCCTCTGGAGCTTAGAGGACTGGGTGCGCTGACTCGGATGGCTGCATCTAGCCTGTCACTCTTACCCTGCGTAAAGGCACTTCCGGTAACCTGCATGATGTGGAGGTCATCACCGCTCAGGCCAAGGATGGCACCTTCACCTGGACTCCCGGTGACAATGTTAAGAGTGGCGAGGACTATGCTTTCCAGATCCGCCAGGGCGGCGAGGCGAACTACTCTGCCCTTCTCAAGGCCGGTCCCGCAGAGAAGCAAGTGTCGTCCGAGTCATCGCAGACGAAGAGCGCCATCAACACCAACTCTGCGCAGAGCAGCGACACCACCAGCGGTAATTCGGCCACACAGGCCAGTCCCACGACAAGCAAGCCCCTGATCAGCTCGTCGGCCGTGGCCCCTTTTAGCAGTCCGGCCTCTTCGACTACGGTCACTAGCTCCGTGACTGCCACCGTGCCCTTCGAGACCAGCCATATTATGAATGGCAAGGAGGCCACCGCCACTGGGAGCATGCAAAGTGGTGCTGCTTCGCCTCTGCGCTCCTACTCAGAGCTCGTCGTGGGTGCTCTGGGTCTGCTGGTTTATCTGGTTCAGTAAATTGTACGGCCCCTGGATGGGATACTATATTGCAAGTCGCTCGTCAAAAACACCTTTCCATGTCTACTTCTTTGCAACAGTGGACTGGGCTACCTTGATGTATATACATCCAATACCCCCTTGATATCATTGATAGGCGGCCATTGGTCAGGCGTTGTGTGGTAATTCAATTGTTTCACGTCTCTAGTTCTCCCCTATATCCTCCACTTACGTCAAACCGGTCGGGTGAATCTGCCTTGTCTGATCTCTTGATGTGACATGCCGTTCGGTGTTAGCCCAGGGTATATGAATGGGCCGGCAAAGGTTCCGTGCCTGTGGATGTGGTTCGCCTATCAGTGCTTAGCGGCCGCATTAGTGCGTGGCGTTCCTGACGGATGTCAATAATCAGCGGAGCTGGTGGAACACAGAGCCATCGACAGCTCCAACAGACCCTCTCCTCCTTTCCTTCAACATCCGCGCCACCGCCCTCCTCTTTTTGACCTTCGTGTCAATCCCTTAGTTTTTTTTGGTGTTTTTGGACCCTCGTTCTCTCGCATTAATTGATCGTCGCCGCTATTTCGATCCGCCCTCAGTTGCGCCGGCGGTCTACTCGTCCTGAGGGGATGTCGCAATAAAATCCCGAGGTTTACACGCGGAGTCGGCGATGCTTAGTCGCCGCAACAAGTCGACCACTTCCCATCTAGCACAGCTCAGATTCAATAGCGGTAGGCGGTCCCTTCCACGATCCCAAATCTTTACGTGCACCTACAGAAAAACCCCATCACCTGCTGTTCCAGCTCCCGTCTCAACCCACCGCTTCTTGCCCCTCTGACCGAGACACGTCGCGGTCGTCACGGCTGTTATCGTCGCAGGCGTCAACATGCGCATCTGGGGCGGGTTATGCCTCTTCTAGGCTCCCTCGCAAACTCAATTCAAGGAATTCGATCAGTACTGACTCATTATCCTCCCTCCCCGCAGAAGCGCCGCAGGTCAACCTTCCACATGTGGACACGCAATTGAATATGCACCAGATTAACGGCTTTTTTGAGGATGGATCGGTGCCCGCTGATGGCCTCAGAGGTTGGTTCCAGCCCTTCCGTCTATGCCCTGCTTCATCGCACATACTGACCCTGCTCGATCGCGGGACAGATTCTCACACCTCTCCGCCGCAAGCTCCTATCCCCTCCGCGAGCCCGAACGCTAATGGTTCCCCTAATGGCGATGCGCCCACAGAATGGTCTGCCGTTGGCCATGCTGCGGCGACTGGAAAATCCGGCCGCGTCATTCATAACCTGCAGGAGGAGATTGCCCGCCTGACCCGCGAGTTCAGCTTATACCGCTCCCGCGCTGAGGAAACTCAGCGGTCCAACGAGACTCTCAAGATCCAACTACAGAACATGGCCGAGCGTCTGCGCAACCTCGAACAAGTCAACGACACCAACCTCATCTCCATGACGCGGAAAGACCGGAAAGTAGAGGAGTTGCGCGCCGAGCTGCACGCCGAGCGCACCAAACGCCAGGGCGCCGAAGCGGTCGCGAGCAAGACCAACGAGACCATGCGCGAGGAACGCGAGAACCACAATCGCGAACAGGCTCATTCGCAGGAACTTGCCAAGTACCATGCGACACAATACGAGGCTCTCTCCGGCGCGACGAAGCGCGAGAAAGCGGACCTCAGTCGGCGGGTCAGAGCTCTGGTCACCGAAGTGCAGACCATGGCAGTAGCGCATAAAGATCAGCAGGTCAAAATGGAGCGGTTGGCGGTTATCACGGACCAGAAGAACCGGGAGATTGAGGGACTGAAAGACATGCATGAGAAGCTGATGGCCAGCCACGCCGCCTACAAGGAGACCAAGGACAACGAGCTTCGGGAGACCATTGAGCGGGCGCATGCCAATAATTCTATGATCGATGCTGCGATCAAAGATCTTAAGGACACTGAGGGCAAGATGAAGTGGGTGATGCAGATGCACGAGCTCAACGAGACCAAGGAGAAGGCGAAAGGCCAGAATGGGTCCTAAAGGTACGTTTACTCTTGTCCTTGCTTCTGTTCTGTATAATTTCCATGGCGCTCATCACCAACTACCATCCAGAAACAACCCACTGCCTCTCCCCTTCTCCCCAGTCTCTGATATGCCAGCAGGCTACTCATTCTTCTCCTCGTGCCCTAATAACGTCACATCTCCTCCGGCGTCCTTTCCTCGTCTGATTTCTCCGACCGATTCCCTTTCCCCTCCCTTCTGTCATGTTTAAACCCTTTCATGGTCCCCGGCGTTCTGGCAACGAAGATACCCATTGCCGCGGTTCGGTCTAGTATTCCACATCTTCCATGAGACTTGTGCCTTTTCTCTACCATCTTCGCCACCTCTCCTACTATCTATCTCCCTCTCCCTTGTTAGAGTTGATGCCGTGATGACCCTGCATATTCCGGTGTGTTCCCTCTATCCCATTCTGCTGCACATATGCACTGGCTTTTCATTCTACGGTACATGTTCCTTGTTGGCACGGATTCTCTTCTTCGTTTGCATAATTGCTTCCTTTTCTATATGTTCTATTCTTCGCTCTCCTCTTTGACGGGTGTTAATTTGAATAGAACTGGTGTTTCTGATTCTAATAGAGGGTATCGAACTTGCCCACTTCCATTAACCATGTACGCCCGGTTGTTGCTCGTGGCCTCTGTCTATGTGCTTCCTCTTCAGGTAATCGTTGCGAGACATCGCCGAAGGTGACGATTGCCTTCAGGCCTCGAAACAGGCACTGCCGTTCTCTTGCCATGTCACCCTCCTCTGACGCTGTATTATCTATCGTTGCGGCGATACTCGTTGCCTTGCCACCGTACCTATCCGCTACTTTCGTCGGAGCTTCCCACCACCTACCTGCTCTCCTTTTGTCACTTCTTTTACCTCTCCATCTCCCGCGCCGCTAATCTCTTCTAATACCCTACAAGCCTCCCCTAATCGATTTTATTTTTGTTTATCTTGAATCTCGCGTTTGATTTCCGGGAGATCGGCGATGGAAAGCAATATCCTAATCTGATCGTCCTCAGAAACCCAACGGGACGCATGGTCCAATCTGCCCCTGTCAAATACCTCAAATCCGAGTTACCAGGGTCACCAGCACTGGGTTTTCAGAAAGCCCGTCGAAGAGCGCAGGGTCGCAGGTTCTCCAATCTCACAACCCGGATCTACGACCTGAGTCCAGCCATTCATCGTCTTCAACGAGACCGCTGCCGGGGATCAAAACTTTGAGAGTCTTGCCGACTGGGGAAACACCCGGTGGGCTTACTATGGTCCCGTGCGCATTCCAGACGTAGGTTTGAATATTGCTAGGGCTTTTGCATGGGATCATTTACAGCGTAGCCATGGCTAGGTGAACGATTACCATGGTCTCTAGATCCACTCGTCGACCACCAGAACAAAAAAGGACAGAAAGAAAATGAGATCTACGATTTATTTTCTTTTCAGACGGCTCTTAAATAAGTGCCAGCAGATGAGACTGAATGCAAAAATGCATAAAAAATTTGACCGACGCAGGGGTCGAACCTGCAATCTCTTGATTCGTAGTCAAGCGCCTTGCCATTGGGCCAGCCGGCCTTCATTGTATGAAAGGCGCCCTATTTGCATTTTGGCCTTGTGTGTGAATGAGATCAGAAATTGCAGATGAAAATCAGGGCTATCACTAGCAACATAAAGCTTGGAGTTAGAAATCCATTCCACTGGGCTCCTAATCAATCGGGAATTACTTCGATGGATTCTTCCAGTGTTCAGGGTAACTGACTTCCCGGATGTTCCCACATATTCTCGGTGGCAGCTTATATATAAATCGAGCTCGGCCCGTAGTTTATCAAAAAGTCACGACGTATGATGATTGCTTCAGACCAGACGTAAGTAGCGAAATATTATTTCAAAACAGCACATTCAGCATCCACATTTGACCAAATACATCATTAACTTGAATAACGGAGATTTGTGACCAGGAGAAGCACGAAGTACTAAACCAGACACCAACAGGAGAGAACCGGGGAGGACAACGATAAAAGAATCGCTACATGCCGACGCATATCTCGTCTGCCCCGTCATCTTGCAAAGTAAATGAAAGGAACATCGAGAGAAGGATTTACAGAGCACCTCAATCAAGACAGGGTACGGTATCCCGGACTCAGAAGAGTGAGATGGACACCAATCTAAAGGAAGGCAGGCAGATTCACCCAACTTTAGACATTCTTTTCACCCGCCCATCTACTCTGGGCACCCGCTCATCAGTCACGTATATTGTATGAGGGTGCGTTCTATTCCCATGTCTGTCGGCCACGGTACAGCTCCGCCGATTTTGTGGAAGGGGAAGGGGCAGCTATGCTATGGCGAACACCTCGAACTGGGATGGATCAGGACTCCTTTCCTGAAGTTTCAAATAAAGAATATGAAAGTGAGTGGCACAGACAGAAAAGAACTGGCACTTAACCTAGAGCTAGTCATTGTGAACGATAGAAGAGCTTTTCATTCCAGTAATAGTTTATCGAGGAGCGATTTATCGCTCACGAACATGGGAAGATCAATCTATGACATGCGTTTTAATTGTACCACTGAGAAATCTTGTCGTATAGTGCAGACGAAGTGTTCAGTCATCCTCCTCCGGAGCGTCGTCCACGCCACGCAACCAGGCACTGCGAGCATCGACCGCTGCCTTTCGCACGTCTCGCTTAGGATCGTCCAAGACAGAGCGCAGAGAGCGCAAGACTTGGCTCTTCTCCGAGAGAAGTGGAGAAATAGAAGGCGGCGGGTGGGTGTTTGGTGCCGCATCGCCGGATGTCTGCTTAGCAGCGAGGAGGTAAAGGCACTTAAGAGCATCGACACGGAGACGAGGTGGGTTGACAATATCCGCATTGATCTCCGTAGTCTTGAGCAGTCTTACGACGAGGCTGTGGACGTGTCCGCACTTATCAATCACATTGACACCATTGTCGCGGATAATCACAGCGAGGGTATCAAGCGTGGCCGCACGGACAGCGACAGAGTCAGATGTTTGGAGATCAAGGGACTGGAGGAGGAGGGGGAGTAGGGTAGGAAGTTCAGGCATGACCAGAGCCGTAGAGATGGTGGAGAGAATGCCGGCAAGAGCCGTTAGATGGGCTGGCTTGATGTGGTCTGAAGCTTTCGAGGAATCAGTGGAAACATCATTTCCGGCAACGTTAACTTCACGAATACGTGAAGAGATCATCGGGATGACGGTTGTGAAGACACGCTGCTTGGACAGCAGGCGGATCGAGGCTCCGTTAGTTGCAGAAAGGACATCGTCGTCGCTGAGAAGGATAGCGAAACCGCGAGCAGTAGAGCAGCTGGTTTGCTGGTCGGGTGATGAGAGGAGTCCTACAAGCGAGGTGAGAATATGGGCGGTTGTCGGAGCGAGCCGGAGAACTAGGGCTTTGGACAGCCAGAAAATGGTACGAATTGTAGTTGGGCTGAGAGGCCGTTTCTCTGACGAGACTAGAGAATCAAACAGATTCTCCGCAATGTTCAGATCTTGTTTTGACAGGAACTTGTTGACAAGCAGAGCTAGATGGCGCAGAAAGGCGAGGTGCGTAGCCGGCTCTGCACTTTCAGATACACAACGTTGCACCAGATCTGATAGAAGGCCCGACATGTCAGGTGAAGTATGAGGAATGTGGTTGCTGCAGTCCTTGGAAAGGCCCGCGAGAAGATAAGTTGAGATGATGATAGTCCGCTCTTGATGGGCGGTTGCGCCTTGCGCGAAAGGAACAGGCTGGAAATCTTCAGTCGCAGAGAAGAGCTTGTAGACATTCTCTGCTACCTGTTCCTGCTTTTGAATAGAAACTGACCGTACCAGCAGGTTGTAGAGGCGGCCAAGAGTGTCGAGGATGGTGGCATCGTTAAGAATCTGGTTCTTGCCCTTGCCGGATGCCGACTCGGAGACGATGCGGCAGAGGCCTACCACGATCTTGTCAAAGTACAGATCGACGCTGGGATCGGCATCCATCTTCCTCTGTTGCATAACATAGAGTATTGTCATCAGAATGGCTCGAGGATACGCCACAGCACCAGGTTGCTCCATCTGGAGGAGTATGGTCAGCTTGCTAAATAGACGGCGGAACAGAGTTTCAAAGATATCCCTCTCAACGCTGATTTGAGCCAGGGTATCCAGTGTGGACAAATAAGTCGAGTTCGTGCCATCGTCCTCATCTGGAAGTGTCGCCACAAACGCAGGGAAGGTAATGTCCATGATCAACCGAGGCTTGTGCTTAGATATTTCAGCAAGTGCCGCAATTGCTTCCTTCTTCAAGTCATCTCGACCGACAGACTCCTCCTTGAGCAGAATTTCATCCAGATACTGCACAAACAAGCCGATTTCGTTATCCTGGAAGAAACCACGCAGGGTAGCAAGATGAAGGAACCCCTTCAAAGCAGTCACTCGGAAAAAAACTTCTTCCTTCGCGGCACCCATCAATGCTTGGCCCAGGACGTCCGAGAACTGATCCTTGAATTCGAGTAATGGGTTTTCAAAGGCAACTTCACCTCCACGCGTTGTCCATTGGCCATACACTTGGATCGCAGACTCGAAGAGCACCGACAATGTTTCAAGAAGAGCTCTTTGCTTGGCGATTCCATCTGCTTCTTGATAAATTGTGAAGATAGGAGCAACAACAGTTTTAACAACGAGGGTAAACGCAACCACCGAGGCAGATGACAAGGAGTTCAGAATCTGCTGTGCAGGTTTGGCCTGCTTCTGCTGGGGTTCTTGTAATTGCTCATTGCACTCCTTGGTAATAGGGCGCAGATATTGCGCAAGAGGCAGGTCTTGAGACACCTGGGTGACTCCTTCCGAAAGACGCCGTGCGATGGCCTGAAGGGCCTGCAGGGACAACTCGGACAAGAATTCTTCTTGAGCATTGAGAATCTCAAACTTCAGAACCTCCCAAATTGTGATGGAATATCGCGACACCGTGTCGGGATCATATGAGTGGATGCATGCAATCAAAGCGTTCAGTGCATCTTTCTATATGATTGTTAGATCATGCTGCCCTGTGCTGATTCCAAAACGAGCGCGTACCTTGACATTCGGAGATGTAGAGTCCAACTTATCAAGTAGTGCTGGGATAGAACGAGGTGCGAATTGGGGAGTAGAAGAGATGCAATCCTGTAGGCGGCCCTTCAAGTCCTGGGCGGTAATTCCGTATGGGTCGTTCGGTGGAGGCCGGAATGTGATTGGGAAGTAATTATATACGGAATCAAAAAGCAACTGCACAAATTAGAGTTGAATGTATCGCTAGAGAGTAAACACATACCTCGACGTGATTTGTAATGTCCCATTCCATCATAACCACCTTCAGGATTGAGAACACCATCATCAAATTGCGCGGGTCCTTTTCACCAGTCATGAGATCAACAATACCAACGAGAGAAATCTCATCCATATCGCGCAATGCTATCCATTGTTAGTCATGCATATGAACCCAAATCTGGTGAATATTCCATAACATACCCACACGATGTGTTGACATCAACTCATTGAGCAATTGGTAAACTTGAAACCGCTGCGACTGGGATCGAGACTGTAGGTCCTGGAAATTGGAGAACAGGCTATTCAGATGTCAGCTTCAATTCATGAAACCACGCCACATGTCTTCAGAGCCCAGAAGTGGCAGAGAGACTCAAAACACAGATTGGAGTGTGAACATACGCTTGCGCTACCTCAGCAGCCAAACCCTTGTTGAACCGATCCAGCCTCTGAAGTGTATCCAGTCCCGCAACAGCACCACCATCCTCAATGCGATCACAGAAGAAGGTCGTGAGAACCTGGATCTGTTGTCGGGACAGGAACTTCGGCGACAACGCCTGAATGACCGAGGTGAGGAAGGAGACAGCCTTTCCGCGCAGAATTGGATCTTCATCGTTGATATATTCGCCGAGTTGCTGAACAATCTCTATCAGGGTAATCCTTTTGCTTTCGACATCTGCATCGAAATCTCGGTTAGAGTCATACTACGTGTTGAGTGCGGGGGCGCTGGCCGGTGATCGGACTGACCTTGAGCGACGCCGTCGGCGATACGCTTGGCTTCTTCTTTGTCGTGGTCCACCACCAACAGGAAGGTCTGCAGGGCCGACATTGTGCCAATCAATCGGCCGAGACAGCCAAGTGTAGAGGGGGTGCAGTGAGCTGGAGATTAGACCCTCGCGGCTCTTCCCCCTCCTGCCATTTTCTTGTGGCCCTTATCGATAACAGTCAGGTGATATCAGACCTATCTACATCACGTGTGGGCGTTGCGTCATGGTTGGCGGTGGCATGGCATTCCTTGCAACGCTCGTTACGCCCAAGATGAAAGACACAAGGTCCCTCGCATCAGTATTTCTGCTTCTGAGTCTTGCCACCTCTGGAGCTGCTCTTTGGGGTCTGTCTCTTCCTGTTTCACTACAGCAACAGCCGCTAGTTCCCGCGCAGGGTCAGCAATCAATCATGGACAAATTCATTCCTAGCATTGCCAAACCTCAATCTACAGCTCCGAACGAGGATGTTGTTGGTGGAGCAGATCAACCTGTGGTCTCGGACGTTCTTCCAAAGACGAAGGGTATTAATATCTTTGCCCAGCTGACTCGAGATTTCGACTCCATCTCCTCTCGCCTCAATGACGCTTCAAGCAACATCACCGTCCTCGCCCCGCGTAACAGTGCTGTACAGGGCCTACCGCGCAAGCCATGGGAGGATCCTGAAGACTACGCTAAATTCGGAGAGATGAATGCTTATGAGGGCACCGATGGACAGGAGCGGGCAAGACGCAATCTACGGCGTTTTGTAGAGGCTCATATTGTCCCTGTCAGCCCGTGGAGGGCTGGCGAAGAGGTCGCAAGCCTGGCAGGAGAAAAGCTGAAGTGGACAAAAGAAGGCGATAAGATCATCGTGAGTTCCTTTTACTGAGCATTGTCGCGGTTACAATAACTTATTCGCCACAGCTTCAACCTGGAAACATTGAAGTGGACAGCATTGCTGAGAAGGTCGCCAATGGAGAAGTGTGGGTGTTGAATAATGTGATCAACTATCGTTCAGGTTGATCACAGGTAAGAGTTATGAGACGCTTAATGATGGACGCTTAATGATGAATTGAATGAATCACTGTCAGGAGAACCCGACACAGTGTGAAATGAATAGAATCGTAAATGCTGTAGTTATGGAACATTGCATTCTATTTTATCTCTTCAGAGCCAGCGAGTTGCCTTCCACTAGGCAAAAATATACCCCGACACTGAGAATGGGATTCTCTCGAGTATCACCAACTAGTTCACCTCCGGGCAAAGTTCCGCAGGACTCGCTCCTCAACACCATTGAGGACGCAGAAGTGCTCCATAACCTCCAGGTTCTCTGCCTCACTCAAGAACAGTTTGTCGGGATCCTGGCCAGGCTGCATGGGATTCATCATAGCAGCAGGGTTGGCCATGCCCACCTGTTGCGCCATTTGGTTGGCGGCTAGGGAGAATGTCAGTGAATGGCCCCAAGACTAAATCGCAGCCTTACTGCCGAGGGGATCGGGGAACTTACAGTTGTCACTGCCCAGAATGAATCCAAAAACAGATTGCAAGCCCATCAAGTTGAGGAAGTACCATGACAGACTGGACACCCATTGGACATCCAAGTCACGGGTCATCACACCTGTCTGAAGCATAGACTTGAAGCGAATGGTCAACGGGAAGGGCAATTTCACTATGATCTCTAGTCAGCACGACCCCGTATGTTTCCCGCGCAACATCCACCTACAAATCACGAATCCGGAGAAGAAAGCATTGATCCAGCTCATAATCAGCGTCTGCGGGATCATCATCATCATGTTTCCCTTCAGCATGCCCATCATAGCTTCCATGCCTGCGGGGTCCGTCATTGGGTTCGCTGGCGGTTGGCCTCGGTTATTAGGGTCCTTGAGGAACGCGCCGCTCCGGAAGCCGGATACTAGGTAGTTCCTGCGTGCCTCAAAGGACTCGCGGTCAAGAACGGAGCATGCATGGTTGCGTAGGTTGACGCCGCGGAGGAGGGCATGGCGTTCGCGTGATTCGGCGAGGGTGGCGGCGGATTTCGGGGGCGTGTTCATGAGCACAGTGGCATAGTGGCGGAGGATACCGGTCAGGATCTGGATGGACGAAGGATTAGTTACCAGCTCTCAGAATAAATGGAGTCATTGGGCTTAAAAACGCACCATAACCACCGAGATAGGGAAGAGAATCCAATAGCTTTATCGCAGGGGTCAGTTTGGGCGCCTTGACTGCGTTGGTTTTGAGGTTGTCTCACAAGAGAGCCGGATCCCGTAGGATGGTCTGCTCAACGCCTTGAATAGCCATGGCGGAAGAAAGACCAGGATGAGGGGAAATTGCTGGCTGGTGGAATGACAGAGGAGGCCAGCGAGTTGGTCTGGGCGTGGCTGCGGAGGGGAGAAGGCGAACCTTGCCGGAGGTGGTGAGGCAGCGTGTCATTGGCCCGCGTTAGCTCCAGCTCTCTTCCAAAGGGCCACGCCGCACCTTGGGCTCCTCGCAATAAACACAAAGCTTTGTCTGCACCACACGGTTTGCTCTGCCGAAACTCGAATTATCAAGCCATATCTTGCCGATATCCCTCAATTTGCTTTTTGGCAATTTGAATTACACCCATGGCGGACCACAAGGTGCCAGTTTACTCAACCAACGGTTTGTAGCGTCTGATATCTACACCTTCTCTAGAATACCTCGCCCCAAGCCAGCACAAAGACCAAGACTTCATGGACAGACTAACATAATTCAATCTTACAGACCTCAAGTCTACTAGCGATGACGCTCTCCTCCCCTACCTGACCAACCTCCCCGCGCCCTACACCTTCACGGTCGACCACTCCAAGAGCAACATCCGCTTCGTGCTTGGCTACAGTGCCGTCGCGATCGCCGGCTTTACCTTCTATGCCGACCGCAAACTAGGCTGGGAGGCGACCACATCACCCTGGATCATCGCCGCAGTTGCATCATACTTCGTCCTCAATAGCGCGCTAACCTTCTGGATCTGGGCCGTAGAGGCCGGAGAGGTATTCAGCGGGAAGCGAAAGACTGGGGAGACCGTAAGTGCAGCCTACCCTCTTTCCCGGCTGAAAGGGTCTATGGAAAGGCCATGCCAGTATGCAAGATGTTAATGCATTCGTCAAAAGATCTCTATCTCCTCGTCCGCCAAGAAGCACGCCGTCCCGTACCAGCTACATGTCGTATACAAGTCGCCTGCAGGCAAAGTCCTGCAGGATAAGAAGTTCGAGGCACCTTTCACCAACTGGTTCTCCGCCGACGGCGTGTTCCACCCAGAGCCCTTCCGCCGCTGGCTGGCAGGTGAGGTCGATGTCTTGAGATTGGCGGCCAAGGAGAACGAGAAGAAGACTGGCGGTGCTTCGGCTCTAGTGGGACAGCAGGGGGAGGCCGGCAATATTGGCAAGGGTGGCAAGAGTAGTCGGTAGAATGCTGGATGTTTTTGGTGAGCTCAGGAAGGGGGATATCACCGTTTTATTCTTGTCCTTTGACCATTTTGCTTGTTTTAAAAGGGGAAAAGACGCATTTTGTAATGCCAAAGCGGGTTTGCATGCCAGAGTCATTGGAAATCATGGGCATTGAGTAGTCTTTCTTCGGTCGTAACAATCTATTTTGAGTGGAACGGAAGTTTTGGCAAGAACGAGAATGGAGCAATCACGTTCTCCAAATGTATTCGAAAATGGCTAAACACAAAAAAGTCTATAAATCAAGAATTTTCCAGACGTAACATCCTCGTAACATCCATCCAATCAATTCCACAACAATAGGCGTTCAGGTAGACGCCTCCAGAGTGCCCGGCCGCTCAGTAGCGGCAGCGGGCTGAACATCGTCCACCCGGCGGTTCTGGATGAGTCGCTGTGGGTCAAGTCAGAAAAATGTCGCTTTCTTGAGAGTGGATCTCGGGGAAATGATAACATACCAGTAGATTCCGCAGCAGGACAACAATAGTTACCTTGCCAATAGATGGAACAAAGATCGAGGCTTTCTCCTTGACCTCGGGGCCGAAGTTCTAAATGAGCATGTCAGACAATGTAAACCCAAACATAAGGAAAAGCTTGATATGTCCCTTACCTTCTCACTCGAGAAATTGACACACACAGCACCCTCCCGGAGAAGGCTGGTGTCGAACTTGTACTTGTCACCCGGCACACCCGAGATAACAACGTCACACAGGGGTGCCACATCCTTCAGAGTAGCACCCTCCAGATCAACGATCTCATGCCGGCGCTTCTTCAGTCCCTCACCACGAGTGAACTTCTGTACACCAGTGACATCAACACTGTACACGCAAGCACCATCATTGGCCAGCAGTGCGGCTAGTGGGCGGCCCACGACCTCAGAGCGGTTCACAACGCAGATGGTATGGCCAAAGAGACGGTTGCCGTAGGGCAGGATGGTGTTGTAGATGTTGAGGTACTCGAGGATCTTGATATTGGCCAGCGGAGTGCAAGGCAGAATGCACTTCTGGTGCTTAGTCTCCGGGTCCAAGAAGCGGATGTTCTGGTACATGTTGAAGATGTAGCGATGGCTCAGACCCTCGACATCCTTGCCGACATCGACAATTTGCTGCAGGTACTGGTCCTGTCGGTTGTTGAAGATCGGGTAGTAGACGATGATGCCGTCGACGTCGGAGTCGGCGTTGGCGCCAATGATGGCCTCTTCGATGTCGTCGCGAGAAACTTCGCGGAGAGAGTACTTGAAGCCACTGTTATAAGAGATATTATGGTTATTTTGAGGTCCATATTGGTTGCGATTGATCTTGTATGGGGAGGCAGTATATAGCAATCACTCTTCGCGATCGAGAGGAGGGGTAGGTATGAATCATACCCATGCCATCTCGCCATAAACCACAAAAATGAAGCCATTGACATCGGAAAGCAGAAAAAAGTCCACAAACTCACTGTTCCTCGCAAGTCTTTTGCGTCCACTGCGCGTACATCAGCGCGGCAGGGTCATTATTCGCCAGGAAGCCGACCAAGTGCGGCGGCTTCTCGAGGGTCTTGAGCCCCTCCTGGACTTCCTGGAGCAGGACATTGGCGACGTGCTTGGACAGCATCACCTTGCAGGATGACGGAGAGGAAGATGTAGGAGCCGACATGGCGACTGGTGTAATTTCGAGACGCAGGAGCTGAGCAAATGACTCTTTGGTTTACGCGGGGGACTCGTAATTCAGAGGGAAAAAGATTGTTCGCTTATCGATAAGAGATCGGGTGCCGCATTCGGCCTCACTTGCCGAAGTTCCCCACTGGCCGAGATCGGGCGGAGGTATGCGATGTTTACACCATAAAGTTAGTTCTTCACTATGTTCTTGTTTTCGATTTCCTTGTATGTTAACAGGCTGTCAAAGCCCATCAAAACCGCATTACTTTTTATACATAAACCATATTCTAGCCTGGTACGTGAAAGCCTCCTTCCCCCGGCTCCTCAAAAGATCAGGAAAGGGAATCAATAGAGCACGAACGCGCAAGGAAACCTTTACAGTCTCGGTGTTATAGCTCGGCAAGGCCAGCATAGACAGTGGGATAGAGTCATAGTTACATCGGCTCTTTGTCGTGTTACCGATCCATACTTCCATCAATCAAGAAACTCATCTTCGGCTTCGAGATTTATTCCCTGCTTGATTACGCGGCACTTTATATGCTCTAAGCGGTATCAGTTCGGAGTTCTCTTTGCTTCTTACCCTAGTTTTTTTTCGGTTATAATGATATATAGGGAGTCGTACGTCTTTTGATTATTGGCCACGATGCAGGTATAAGCGATGGTGACTAAATGTTGAGGTTACGATTGATTATTTTCGTTAGAGTCAGATCTCGTGGCAAGGGAGGGTACTAGCTTAATTACGGTCCAACGTATGATCCAGACTTGGTTACGCGAGAAGGGTTATTATGTATGATGAATCTTGCATTGATCGCCCTTCGCATACCGTGGACTTCATCTAAGGCCACGACGGTCTCGGGATTAAGTTCTTGCTTTTACCACTTAGCGAATGAGGTATTGTGATAGAGCTTGCGAATAACATAATATTCTTCCAATTTGAATAACGTGGTGTGAATGTAGTCTTTGCGTATCGATCTGTAGAGAGATGGGTGGGCCACGGCATTGGCACGGCCAACTTGGTAGCATAAAGGGGTATCTTTCAGCGAGGAGACAATCTGACTCTTCTCCAGCAACTTCGGGATGCCAGATGCAGTAAGAAAGCACGACGGGATTTGAGACTTCGGGTATATGATATTGCTCAGAGTCAGAGGAGCAAAGCGAGCCTGCGCAAACCCAGGGTATTGAGTCACTTGAGAACATACTTCGCATTTCGGTTGATTTTGCAAAGGTCTCGCTGTTTCGAATAACGTGGAACAAAATATACTGGACTCAGACTCGGAGTTGTCTCCGATGCAAAAGATCGTATGTAATAGTCTCATCTCCAAAGGCAGCCCGGCACCTTTCTACTTCTTCCGGACTCATGAGGCCAAGGTCCATTAGGATGAAGTGCTATCCATCTTCGTTAGTTCCCGAAGTGGAGCAGCAATGAACTGGGAATGGCGTGACAAAAATATGAAAAGCGGTCGAATTTCCCTGGAAAGGCTCGTGTGAGTCATTTGAAAGGAGCGATGAGGATGAGCGAGCTAAAGCCTAGTTTTTGTCGTCCAGGCGTGTAAGGCTGCCTGATAGAATCTGGCTGCATAATGACAAGGAAGATAACCATAGACATAACTTGAAAATCAAGCGGGCTTGCCAGAGGTAAAGCCTGGTTGGGAGATGTTTAAACACACACGAAGAGGCCCTTCGTTGGACGGATTGGTATGACCTGCGGTTTTAAGCTTTCAAAGTCGAATGGCGGGAGCGGGATCTTCCGGACAACTACAAAGGTAGGGAACTACCATTTGGAACTAATAGAACAAAGGAGATAAATTGCGGATCCAACATGGAGAGACACATGGAGACCAGACGGAAGTAAGACTGGTCCTCCTCCCATCTCGCGCCCCCCGATGCGCGGAAAAAATCTAAACGTACAGGATATAATCACATTTTGGCAGCCCACCCATTCAGCCCGTTGTCCAGACAGGTCTCTCCGCAAGGTGCCAAGAGCGAGAAAAGTGATTACCTTTTCCCGGACCAAAATCGACGCAGTTTTACATCGCTCTACGATCCAGTACTCTGTGAAATCACATCTCCTCGCCGAAAGGACCGAGGAAGGAAGCCCGAAAGGAACAGAACGAAACAAATGGGGTCAAAATTGTACAAGCTATCTTGTCTATACACATAGAGTCAGGAAAACATGAATGATCACCTCGTTTTGACAAGGAAATCACTCAAGCGTTCTGCTGCTCACCTATGCGTTGAAAGAGCTGTTGAAGGCGCCGATGACCTCCTTGAGCTTAGCCTCAAGCTCCTTGGAGACCTGGCCCTCCTTCTCAATGGTCTGCTGGATCTCGGGGTGGCTGCTCTTCAGGTGAGCGAGGAGATCAGTCTCCCACTGGAGAATCTTGCCAACAGGGATGCTGTCAAGGAGACCGTTGACACCGGCGAAGATCAGGGGAACCATGTCGGAGACGGCCATGGGGGAGTACTGCTTCTGCTTGAGCAGCTCGGTCAGACGCTCACCACGGGCGAGTGTCTGCTTGGTGGAGGCATCCAAATCGGAACCGAACTGGGCGAAGGCAGCAACCTCACGGTACTGAGCCAAGAAGAGCTTCAGGGAACCGGCGACCTGCTTCATGGCCTTGACCTGGGCAGCGGAGCCGACACGGGACACGGACAGGCCGACGTTAATGGCGGGACGGATACCCTTGTAGAACAGCTCGGACTCCAGGAAGATCTGGCCGTCGGTAATGGAGATGACGTTGGTGGGAATGTAGGCAGACACGTCACCACCCTGGGTCTCAATGATGGGCAGGGCAGTCAGGGAACCACCGCCGTGGGTCTTGTTGTTCATCTTGGCGGCACGCTCCAGCAGACGGGAGTGCAGGTAGAAAACGTCACCGGGGTAAGCCTCACGACCGGGGGGACGGCGGAGCAGCAGAGACATCTGACGGTAGGCGACGGCCTGCTTGGACAGATCGTCGAAGATGATGACGGCGTGACGGCCGTTATCACGGAACCACTCACCCATGGCGCAGCCAGTGAAGGGGGCGAGGTACTGCAGGGGAGCGGCCTCGGAGGCGGTGGCAGCAACAACGATGGAGTACTTCATGGCATCCTGCTCCTCGAGGGTCTTGACGAGCTGAGCGACGGTGGAACGCTTCTGGCCGACGGCAACGTAGATACAGTACAGCTTCTGGGACTCGTCGCCGGTGGTGTTCCAGCGCTTCTGGTTGAGCATGGTGTCGAGAGCGACGGCAGTCTTACCGGTCTGACGGTCACCAATGATCAACTCACGCTGACCGCGGCCGATGGGCACCATGGAGTCAACACACTTCAGACCAGTCTGGACGGGCTGGTTGACGGACTGACGGGGCAGGATACCGGGGGCCTTGAGCTGGGCACGGCGCTTCTCCTTGGAGTTAAGGGGGCCCTTGCCGTCAATGGGGTTACCGAGAGCGTCGACGACACGGCCGAGCAGCTCAGGACCGACGGGAACATCGACCTAAAGAAACGAATGAGTTTAATGGCTGTGAAATGGGGAGTTTAAATGGGGCAAGGTCCAATATCAAAACTAGACCTCCCAAGGGGGAAGAACTTACAATCTCACCGGTACGCTTGACAGTCTCGCCCTCCTTGACGAGACGGTCGGAACCGAACAGCACAACACCGACCTGGCCGGCCTCGAGGTTCATGCACATACCCTTAACACCGGAGGCGAACCTAGACGTCCAGTTAGTTGACCAGGGTACTTCTCAGAATGCCAAGACTTTTGGGGGTTGGGAGATATCACGTACTCAACCAGCTCCTCAGCCTGGACGTTGGTCATGCCGTGGACACGGGCAATACCGTCACTGTGAAGCTCAATCAGTTTTTTATTCGTTGCATTGTCGAATGCATGGTGTCGCGGGCGCGTGTGTTGAGATGAGATCCGGTAATCGAATTTTTTCTCTCCCCGGCAACCCTAACAATTTCTTTGGACATACCCGACCGACAGAACACGACCGGTCTCAGCGAGACCAGCCTCCTCCTGAACACCACGGATACGCTGCTCCAGGATGGAAGAGACCTCGGTGGGCTGAGCCTTGGCCTCGGCGGCGTAGGAACGGACCTGCTTGGAGGCACCGGCGAGGGGGCCGGGAACAGCCGCGCGGACCTGGAACACAACGAGAAAAACTTGTTAACGGGGTGCTCCTGGAGCGGACAGGCGATGAGGCCATCCTCAATGGGTTGACGAAGGGAAGGGAGAGATCCGAGGACCAATCGAGCTCGAATTCGAGATGGAAAAGGTCGGACAGGGCGATGGACGAGGATGGCCAGGATGGGTTGGACTCACCGAGGCGACACGGCCAGTGGCCGAGACGGCCGCGACGGAGCGGCTGGACTGCCGCAGAGCGTTCCTGAACATTATGAGAGGGGGTTCAGAGGATGGGAGGATGAATTCTCTGAAGGAGAGATGTAATTGGGGAGAGGAGTCGGAGAGGAGAGAAGGTTGTGGACGGGTGGGAAGGAGAGCTTTGTCGTCGGGGGGGGGGGGAGGCCAGGATTCTCAGGACTCGCGCTAAACTTCTTAGGGCAGGGGACTCTCCGATGTGGCCCTAGTGCGGACCCTCAACACCGTGTCTTTTTCCCGGACTCGCTGAGGGCGGTAGCCTTCTATCTTATGTTCTACACGGAGTATATTCCAACATTTCTACTAACTGGCCTCCATTTTGACTCCAAATTCACCTTTTCTTTGTGTGTCGGGGGTGTAGACCGTGGGCGAAGGGTGGTGGCTCCGAGGCGGCCCAGTTCTTCCCGTTTTTTTCCTTCTCGGATCGGCGGAATCCTGGGTCAAGTGATGTGCTTAGGTAATGCCTTTCGTCACGGCAACCAGTAGATGCCATATGGCCGTCAGCTAGTTAAGTATATTCTTGTTAGTTAGTCCTCCGTAAGAGTCTATAGCTTTAGAGGAGTTGTTCTCCTCGCCTCGTTCTTCAATTTTATTCATTGTCTTCCAAGAATTTCCCGAAGAGCAATCATCACCACCCCAGGTGTTTGAGGGTATAAGGTCCGGGTCCTGCCCAGTTCCGAGACCGGTCAGACAGATGCGGCCTGGGCATAACAACCCGACAAGGGTCAATGCAACCCCTAAGAAACTCACTTGCAGCCATAGCATAGTTATCATATGAAATCAAATCAACGCTTGCTCAGAGAACTATCACCAAAGAGCTTCCCCGCAGAGTTGGAAAGAAAGATACAGAGACCAGCGATCCGGGGACCATATCCGCCGACCAGCCAGCCAGCCAGCCAACCGCCCTCACTGCGCTGCAGCCTTCCCTTTCTTCTCCTTACGGAATTTGGCAATTTCAGTCTCCACGTTCTTGTCCATCCGAGCCTTCAGCTCCGGTCGATAGCCGAAGAAAAACAGGATCTCCATCCAGACAAACAGCGGCGCAAGCAACAGCGCCTGGGCGAGGTTGTCCAGCAGCGCCGGGGCGCGTCCCTCAAACTTGCCGTGCCCAACAAACTGCGCAAGCCAGGACACAACGTGGATGCCCCCGGCCCAGTAATTCACTTCCCACCCGTAGGTTCCGAGGAGGTAGTTGCCGCATGCTGCAGAGCCGATCACCAGGGGTGCGAGCAGGCCGCCCGCAACTGGTTCAAGGAGCACGTAGAAGATAGCGTAGATAAAGGCTCCGATTGTCCCGGCGTTGGCGGGGAGGTATTGGAAGGAGAGGACATCAGGAGTGGGAAGGAGGGGGGGGCAATTGCATGCCTGGAGATCCATTCGTCAGCTTCGCGGCTATACGGAGAAGGCTTGAGACTGAGTTATACAAGGACGATGCCGGTAAACAGCAATATTGGCACGCATGTAATGTGGATTGCGACGTTCACCTATTAATCTCGTTAGCCAACACGGGCCATCACTGTTACACAGTGAGGGGTACCATACCGGGTTATTATGATAAGCTCCATACTGCGGAAAGTCAGCCATGGTCCCATGGTATTCAGCTTGGTTGGGCGAGGCTGGGAACTCACGAAGAGCAGCTGTTTCTCGAGATTCAGCGACATCCTGAAGTGCTGGCCGGTGGAGAGGGTGGAGGGAGATGGTCGGCGGATGCTGGAGGAAATTGGTTGGGGAGAACGTCTTTTGGCTACATCATCAGTTATTCGGACGCGCTAAGTGGTGCAATCTGTCATGCACAAGCCGTCATGTGCTTGGGCCGAGGAACTGGGGAGGTGTTTCTGTATGGTATTACAGATAGTTCATGCTCAGATTTCTCGTAATATTACGTACCAGATGACAGGGAACATTATCCATCTAGACGACTCTCTAGGGCAATAAACAAGCTGGTCCTGAAGTGAATTCCAGGATTGTTGATAGTTAACAACTTGCATCTGAACTCAAAATTGACATAGATTTCTTGATTCTACCGAGACCGATGGATCTTGTCATGAAGTACAGTCGAAGGAATATTCATCAAATCAGACTGAACATCCGTGCCAACCCAAGTATTTTACCCAAGTACCATCGTTCTCTTGAGGTCAAATGAACCCACCAATAATAGTCAGATTTTCATCACGCGTTTCAATCTTCTACATTGGCGATGCAACGTCACCATGTTGAACTCTTCAAGTTGACCGTTTCATCATATGAACCTCTACCCCTTGAAGGAGTACCAGAGCACTGGAGCGAGCACATTGGTCAAGGCTCATACACAGAATGAAGGACTTTGTTTAACTCACCCGCAATCTTCAACGACATTCATTCCAACCACAGGCTTGAAGTCATAGCGCATGAGAAGAGTTGGAATAAGCTGCACAATATCAAACTTAGTAAGAGGGAAATCAGATATCAAAATAGAAATCGACAGCCGATACCTTGGTCATTTCAAGCCAGCTAATATCTGATTCTGTTATCAGCACTTGGAGCCCAAAGGACAAAGCCGAGTGTGCTACTCACTCCTTCCAATGCATGTCCGCGAGCCACCACCAAAGGCGAAGAAAAATCGCTCTGACAGTGCCTATCAGTATCCCGGATCTTGAATTAAGATGTATCGTGTTGTATGATACTCACTCAAATATTTCTGGTTCTCCTTGTCCAGCCATCTCTCGGGACGAAATTCCTCGGCGTCGGAGCCCCATATCTCAGGAAGGGTATGGATAACCCAGGGTATAGTTCCAACGACCGTCTTTGACAATGAGATTTATGCAAAGCATATGGGTGTTCAAAGCTACTTACTCCTTCAGGAATATGATGTTTGCTAATATTCATTCCCCCAGCTGGCATGTCTCGGTCCATGATCATCCCAAACGGCGGGTGGAGACGCATCGACTCATACATCACAGCCTGGAGATACTCGCAAGACTCCGCCTCTTCAAATGTAACTGGGTCGCTCAACTTCCCCAGGGATCTCCTCTCTTTGAATTCATCCATCAAGCAATTATACGCATCCGGGTTCTTCAGAAGCATATGAAACACCGCGCAGAGAGATATTGCCGTTGTATCCGAGCCGCCAAAAACGTTTGATGTCATCATGAATGTGATATCCTGGTCGGTCAATTGGGGCTTTGCCTCCTGAGCTGTGAAGAGCTGCCCCAGTATGTCCTTACTGTCGCCACCGCGGGCCTTTCGAGCTTCGATTTCCTGGGTCGCCACTTTGAAAAAGTGGCCATTGCGATCTGCTGCCGCGAGCCAGTCCCCGAAAATAGGGCTAAGTGTTTGATGCAGTCGGAAGATCCAGCCTGCATGCATAAGCCACGCGATAGATGACATAGAGTTTTGGATTCGCAGGAACAGGCCATGATCGTCTGCAGCTTTAACATATCCGAAAGGTTTTGAAAAACTGATCGCCCCAATAACGTCTACATTGTGTCAGCTGTCGTTTGAATGATTATTCAATATAGTTCACATACCAAAGGCAAAGAGCTGCAACCATAGCCCCAGATCAATAGTTTGGCCACTGATATTGTCGAGCTGTTCCACCATTTGCGAGATCACCAGATTGACTTTAGGTTCAAGGTAAACCATAGAGTCCATGGAATATGCGCGAGCCACGAGCCTCCGCTGCTCAGAGTGGATATTTTCATTTCGCTGGCCAACAAGATCGAATGAGCGGGTGCCTTGGACGACGTTATAAGCTGCAGCTTTGTGAAACTTATTCCCAGCTTCTGTAGGAGATGTTAAAAGGCTTCAAAAACAGAATGGCTGAGGATTTAACATACTGTATATCTCTCGAAAGGCTTTTGGGTCTGCTATGCTCCTGCATTTCTTAGAATCAAACTCGCTCACATATGAAAATAAAGGAGAAATACAGTTCATTAGGGGCAACCCTCACTATGTTACCATATTTTCTATGCAAGGCAATAAAGTCCCGATGCGCATTTCCTCGAAGTGAGATATAAGCCCGATATAGCTTGGTCAGCTTAGCCCAGAAAGGTCCCGGAAATCCTGCCAACGGCGAGAAAAAGCACTGATAGATGACATAAAGCAGAAGAAGACCAAAGACCAAAAGTATCTGCGCGGCGCAGAGGTTCATGAGAAACGGGTAGTTGATAGTAATCATGACGACTGCTGAGACACTGCGCAAACCCCTTCAGCAAGTTGCGGAATAGCAAAGTTCAGCCTTGGTCAGAGTAGGCGGATGATTCGGCTCCTATGAGTAGTGAATCAGGGGGTTAAAAGCAGTGACGGTCAAACCGTCCAGCCTTGCAGAGTCCAACCGGGACACGGGCTGTAACAAAGGCTCTCGGATCTCTTGGCTTCTTGGATTTGTTTGCAGGCTGCACGATGATATTTGGCCCCACCCGTGATTACAGACACCTAATGAGCCATTCATAGGTGTACACAACTCAATACCGTGCATAAATGAAAGTCAAAAGAAAGCCATGATATCCACTGCGGCCTGTGTATGCGTTATCTTAATATGCCGGATTTTACTGCATTCAGTGGCCTAGGCAAGACCTTTGTTAGATCCAGGCGGCTCGAGAATACACTATAAGGGGCCACGATCTCAGGCTCCCAAACAGCGAGACATTTGGGTCAGAATGTATATAGGAGACTTTCATGCAAGCTGAGGTAGTAGTAAAGAAGGGGAGCAGGCGATTGCGATGAGCAAAGGCATCTCGGGCGGATCGCCCACTCCGAGGGTCAGTGCGGGGGTCAGAGTGCTATCGAGACTCGGCTCAAGATTAAGCTTCACTTTCTGATTTGATAAAAAGAAAGTGCGAGGTATTGAAGCAAGAAAATGACCTTTTACCTACAGTCTAGATGAAGCGCTACTGAAGCCATCTGAAGAGCAGCTCACCCCTCCCCCCGTTTCTTAGGCGTTACCCGCCCCCCTCTTTCACCTGACCAACAATTTCCTCCTGGCTGAAAGATGCGGGAGGTGATTTGGAGAAAGCCGGCATCTACCTAGCGTATCTCATCTCGGCTTTTCTATGCCTATTTGTGTTGGTACACCTCGCAGTGGAGCTTTGTCGCCGATGCTGTAAGAAGTCGGACATTGGCCCAACTCTGTCGCGGGTTCACACACGTTGGCGCTTGGGTGGCTTGCTAAACTGGTTATCCCACACAATTGACACTCTCGCCGGCCCGGCTTTACATGTCACTTTTTGCATCGTCACTTCAAACATAGGGCGTTCTAAGTTGGTGTGGGACTGTGTCGGATAGACATTACCTGGTTGGCCCTACCTACTTCTTCACGGGAGTGAACATCTTGGTGTTTGAGTTTCATATTTGGTTTAGAGCAACCTTTGCTAATCGACATGGCTGTGATTTAATGACAAAGGTTACCTACCTAACGAACCGTAAATTGGAGTTTGTGTACACCAACCTAGCTGGAAGTCATCACTTAAGCCCGGTGGAGCCCGCTTTACTGCAGGAAGAATATATAGTTACAACGATGCCTCAACTCGCCAGTGCTGCGTACTCACAGAATGATGATCACAATTTACTAGGACCAGAGAAGTGTATTCATGGTTATTAACACCCGAAAGTGGTCAATAAATTAGAATTTCTTTGTCTGATGCGCTTTTCGTACCTAACCTTGCATGGACTGAGCGGATAGTCATCACGTGACCATATTTTCCAATGAACCTGGGGCCACTGGAGAGAACGGCCGACAGTCCCAGGCAAGCTCTGACATCGCGCTGGTAGCCTCTGTGTATCTGCCTCTTCCACCCAGGCAGATACCGCATCTGCTCCCACGTATCCTTTCCGCTCATTCGACGCGATCTTGCCCCTCTAGCTTCGCCTCGCCCGCAGGTCATGAGTTAGCAGCTGTCGACACCGACCTCTGACCTCTCTACCGCAATCCACTGCTTTTTGGGAAGCAGCCACAATCCTTCGAGCCGAAACACCTGGGCGACCAAAGAGTGTACGATACCCGAGGGATTGAGAGATTCTTCCCGCTTCTTGGCTCCTGTTTTTCGCGCCGGCACCGCCGAACTCCCAGTCGACTACCCCAGTGAATTGACCTCGATCCGTCGACCACCGCCAAGATGTTTTTCCTCAAGGAAGAGACCAAGGTCATTACCATGCACCCCTCTTACTTTGGACCGAACATGCGCGATTTCCTGATCGCTCGGCTCAACGAGGAGGAAGAGGGCCGGTGTACGGGTGACCACTTCGTGATCTGTGTGATGGACATGGTCGACATTGGCGAGGGACGAGTCGTCCCGTCGAGCGGAAGTGCAGAATACACGATCAAATACCGTGCGATTATCTGGAAACCGTTCCGCGGCGAGACGGTATGTGTTCTGGGAGCAGGCTCTGGGTGCTGAGTTCTAGCTTTCTGAGCAGTTGCTGACGGGTTAACTCTCTTTAGGTTGATGCAATCGTAACCTCCGTCAAACCCACCGGTATCTTTACACTGGCCGGCCCGCTGTCGGTCTTCATTGCGCGAAAAGTATGGGCAAACCCTGGTTCCTCTCCGAGCTCTAGTGCTGACATAGGAAAAAGAACATTCCCTCCGACATCAAGTGGGAACCAAACACCGTGCCTCCGCAGTACACCGATCATGCGGACCAAGTGATTGAAAAAGGAACGAGTCTGCGCCTGAAGATTCTCGGTGTCAAGCCTGACGTGGCTGCGATCAACGCCATCGGCACGATCAAGGAGGATTACCTTGGGTACGGACTTCTGCCCTTCCCCAATTTCTGCTACTCAGAAGCTAACTGATATTGTTCTCCCTTAGACCACTGTAACGAGAAACGAGCTGCAACATACCCGACCACTCCTCGCACTATTATGATTTTGTCCTCGATGCAGTTGACTCTTGCCAGCTGCACAGCGAATATTTGAAACACTTCTTGCGATCAACAGGAACACCTAAAAGAGAAGAATGGCAAATAGGCGCTCCTGGGAGCTTACCAGGAGGACAGGCCATGTTTGAGTCCTTTGCGCGCATGAGATATTCTGTTCCTCCACGAGCGCGAGAGCTCCATGAAATAGGGAGGTGCACATAGATAAATGCCCTGTTCTGGACTGATCCTTGCGTTCCCATGTTCCACATACTCCTGGCCTTGCGTTCGAGATTGCAGGACTCATACGGGGGCCAAAAAGGTGTCCCGTTTGGGCTGCCGAGCAGCAGATCGACCCAGGCCCGGCCCATCCTGTTGTGGTTTGCCCCCAGACCAGCTGAAGATATGTACAATATACCCGAAATGCCTGGGGTTTGACTCCTAGCTCTGTCACCGTGTCTGCGCACGCCTATGTATACAGCGATGTAGTTCTAGTTCTAGTCCGTACTCCTGGCACATTTCTGGCATGTCTTGAACTCTAACGCGTTTTCTCCAAGACATTCACGAGTTGCCGGAGAGACGCGAGCCCGACTAGGGCTCAACCAGGGCTCAACCGTGGCTCTGCCACTGGGGCTCTACCACCCGCTGGTGAAACACTGGCGCGTTTTCGCCGTCCCCGTGCGCGTGGTTTATTTACTCTGACGCCAAACGCTGCCGGCCCGGCGAAAGGCCCAGAAGTACCCAGTACCGCGCCAATTGGCACCCGATCTGTAGGCGGTGCTTGTACCTAGTACCGCGGGATTCGCTACAGGCAAACAGTGCTTTCTCCGGCATTTTCACGTTCGTGCCCGGAGGGTCTTAGGCAGTTCTTCCGATGCTCCTTCGAGACATCCAGTCGTTCCTACAGACTCTCGCGTCTCTGGAGTTCCACCTTCCCTGTAGCTTCCCCTCGGCCTGGCTCATTTCCCACCCCTGATATCTTCCCGTCTCCTCCCCTCCTCCCCCGACTGTCTCTGCAGTCTTCCCTTGCAGATTGATTTGAATCCACCGGTTGGCCACCATGACTTACCTCAAGGACAGCTACCAGCGGTTTCTGGCCAGCCCCAAGAATGCCCCCGTGGCCGCCGATGCCTCGCTGATCTACGTCCCCACCACTACCACGTTCGAGGGCGCCGACGCGATCGCGACCCATGCGTCGCGACAAGCCAGCATCGTTAAGAAGAAGTCCGAACAGATCATCAATGCGGTCGAGAGCTCCGACGCGTTGTGCTTAGACGTCGAGACCACTCTGGAGTTCCTGGAGGGCGGCGGGGCGTATCTCCCCTCGCTCGATGATAATTTCCTGGCTGACCGCGTCGTGACCTTCCCCACGGTAAGTTCCCCGAGCTTGCAGAGCACCAACGTCCACATAGCGGCGATCTAATGCATGTTTTTTCCCTGCAGGTCCACATCGTCCACTTTAACGCCGAACACCAAATTCAACAGGTCCGCATCTACTGGGACCAGGGCTCGCTGCTGAAGGAGGTGGAGGTAATTGGCGCGCGCGGCCGTTCCTGGCCAATCCGCCAAGCGCACGAGCAGATCCGTCTGCTTAAGTCCGCTGCAAAAGCGAAATCCGCCGCGCCAGCCCTCGCCCACTCCCACGATGGCAGCAACAACCTGCCTCCAAGACCCTCGTCGCCAGGCAAGCGACATATGAAGGACCCTTACGCCGCCGACTCGCTCTTTGATCTCCTCTCTCCTCAGAAGGGCGAGAAAGAACCGGAGCATGACGATATCCCGAGACCTTCTTCTCCTGGCAAGAGACACACCCGTGACCCTTATGCCGCTGCCTCCTTGACCGAGCTGTTGTCGCCCAGTAAGGAGGACAACAAAGATTCTCGGCGCTCATATGCTCGCTCAGCTGCCCAGCCTGCCCCCCGACAGTACGGTGAGCTGTTTGTCGGAGACGACGAGGAGATGCCTGGCACGCCTTCAAAGTCGGAGAAAGCGATTGCTCCCAAGGCTGGCTCCAACTTCCAGGGCAGTCGGATCTTCGAAGACTACACCCCCACAGACGAGCGTGCCCCGTACAAGACCAACCCTCTGAAGTTCAACCACTTCGAGATTGGCGCCGTGGATCCGGAGATCAAGGAGGAGCCCAAGCGCGGCAAGTCGCGCAACCAGGCGCAGTGGGACTTCGGCGACTTCGCCACCCCGCAAAAGCCCGCGCGTTCCCAGAATGCCGAGCCCACCAGTCATTTCGGCTTCAGCGATGACAATGCGGAGGCCGAATCCCCTCCCTCTCGACCAGCCGTGCCCAAGCCCCGCCGCGATGCGGATGTGCACTTCGACATGACGGACGACAGCGAGGACGAGGAGGACGACCGCATCGTCCAGAATCCCGACAAGGGCCTGTATGAGAACCGGCTCTTCGACGAGGAGCGGCTCTATAACGCGAACGGCTCGTCCCAGCCCACCAAGGGCGGGGACCAGAAGCAAGAGCCCCTCTTGGTGGGTGGCAACAACGCCCACCGCAAGAAGGACTTCGACCCCCACTGGGAGATGACCGACGTCTCGCCCGCGCCTAGCAAGTCCAGCAGACAGACCCCGCGGCCCATGGCCTCAGACCGCGCCCAGGCCGTCAAAATGATGGAGTCGTCGTGGGACAACTACGACCAGTCCCCTGAGCCCATTCGCACTGCTACCTCGCTGCACAATCCGTCCCGCCACAACCAGCCTAGCTGGGCCCATGGCGATCACGAGTAAAGCCGCGAGCTTACCCTGGTTTTTTTCATCTTTTCTTTTGTCTTGATGCCTGACAAGCGAAAGGAGGAACCGTGGCTCTACTAAAACATTTCTTTGGCAATTGCCCCGCCGCCGACGGCCATACGAGACTAATGTCCCCTCCCTGATTACCCCCTGATCATGAGCGATGTGTACCGATACCCACAACATAAAACAACCTGCGAACGACAGACAGGCCGGAGGACGGACGGTTGAAGGACGGACGGTTCACACATACTTGGGAATTAAGTACTTAGTGCTAGGTATGGTCAGACTGGAACTGTTGGGTTTGTGTGGATGGATGGAATGCATGGATAGATGCACGGAGAGACTCGTTGGCCTGATACTGCTTCCTCTCTCCCAACACACCACCCACACCCTGCCATTCTTGTAACTTTCTCTGTCCTGCGCCGGGTGTGCGACTTGGTTTTCTTTTTCCCTTTTCCATTCTATCTTATTTTCTCTGAACCTTACTTCTTTGTACAAGACTACTACTCCGAGGGAGGACCGTTAACTGTTAAATTGATTGGATAAGAATTGCCTTGCTGCGGCCCATTTGAAGGAATCGAGCTTAAGCCCAAGGCTCAGTCCTGGTAAAAACGAAGCAATTTCGGCCGTAAAGAAAGTGTGCTTGCGTGAAAGAGGAGAAAATCACTCATGTCAATCGAGGCTTCGAAGCGAGCGTTTTCAAATTCGACCATGTCTAAGAATTGCGGTTCTCCATGGGATTTGTATCTTTTGATGGTAGGGGACAGATCCCCGAGGAAGCTGCCACCACGATCAAGGTCGTAGCTGCCTTGGTACTCGGGCATCTCGGCGATGGTGTTACTAAACGCGGGGGAATTCCACGGGTGGATTTTGAAACGCAGGACTTTCAAAAGGACGACGGAGATAATACAAGATGAAGCATACGAACACGCTGATGTGGAGTCCTGAATAGGTTACCTCATGATGAGCCTTTAGTCCACCGGCTATGGAACTTAGGGCCGAAATGGGTTTGGGGCTCAAACATTCGGTATTTGAGAAGACTGAACACCTCAACATAATATATGGCACGGTGATAAAGAAGGGACATTAAAAGGTTGGCCGCAAAGAGATAGTATTGCGGGGCAAAGTGTGCAATCGATGCCCCTGATCAATCTTTGAGTGTTGAGCCCAGACTTGAAATTTACTCAGTGAGCCTGACTGGTAACGGAGGAAATTGTGAGGTAGATAATCACGGTTCATTCGAATCTACCGAACTGAACTACAAGAGGGGGTCACTGACCGAGCCCCGAACTAAACTAAACGGGAGCGCTGGTCATGATGACCAAGCTGTTTGTGTGACACTCATAAAAGCTCACCCGGCGGAGGAAATATGGCATGTAGAGTGACCTTCCGGGGATGGATGCTAAGCCTCAGATCCTCCGACTGCTCAACACATCAGCCAGCCCCCACGCTGGTCGTACGACAGGAAATCTATGTACTGTCTGGCAATGTCATGAACTTGCCCAAGACCAACGGGCCAATCAGCGCGTAAATTCGATCAGACCACGGCACTTCTTGGCGCGGCGGATCGGTCGATCCACGCTGGACCCGCCACTGCGCCGAGGCCAGTCTGTCCACTTCGTGATTTGTTATCTTGTTGACTCGTCCACTCTTTCTTTCTCAACTTGGCTTACTACATCGTGCGCTCCTTCCGGGCATGTCTGCGTGCTAATAATTACTTTGGCCTGCGCGACCCCATTTCGAGCCCATAGTTTGAATTGCGACGGTTGCCGAATCTGCGGCCTTTGGCGCCACCTCGCATCTCCTTTGCCGCCGCGCTTCTATCGCACTACATTCTCTGATTTCCTGCGCATTGTCGATGGTGGGCGCGATGCGGTCAACGGCTAGGCTGCTATACGCGGCGGCGGTCTTTGCCTGTGCGAATCTGGCCGACGCTGGCAGTCATGGCTCAGAAGGGTTGGACACGATGAAGTGCGCTGTAAGTTGAAACCCGCCACTCTGGACAGTTCAGGTTGAGGTCACTGCTGTTCAAATACTCACGCTGCGATGCTGTCTATAGATCGACCCGTCAGCTATGGTTTCTGACGCATGTGTGTCCTATGGCACTATCAACAAACTCAACGACGAAATCTACACTCTCCTCCAGTCCATCACTCTCCAAACAGACTTCTTCTCCTACTACCGCTTGAACCTCTTCAACAAAGAATGTCCCTTCTGGTCAGACTCAAATAGCATGTGCGGCAATATTGCGTGCTCCGTGAACACCATTGAATCCGACGAAGACATCCCGCTCGTCTGGCGATCGGAGGAGCTGAGCAAGCTGGAAGGCCCCAAGGCGAACCATCCGCCCCGCAAGGTCCAGGCTGAGCGTCCCAAGGAGAGGCCACTCCAGGGTATGCTCGGTGAAGGTGTCGGAGAGAGCTGCGTGGTCGAGTACGATGACGAATGTGACGACCGGGACTACTGTGTCCCCGAGGACGAGGGCTCGGCCGGCAAGGGTGACTACGTGAGCTTGGTTGACAACCCGGAGCGATTCACAGGGTATGCGGGAGAGGGCGCGCACCAAGTTTGGGACGCGATCTACCGCGAGAACTGCTTTGTGAAGCCCATGGCAGAGGAGCTGGAAGAGCAGTCGCTCAACCTTCCGATGGGTGGACTGCAAGCCGTGTCCGATTTCCGGAACGTCCTGCAGAAAGAGTCGCAGCGTCTCGACGGCTTGCCCTTGGACAACGAGTGCTTGGAGAAGCGCGTCTTCCACCGGCTAATCAGCGGGATGCATGCCTCCATTTCCACGCATCTTTGCTGGGACTACCTCAACCAAACGACGGGCGAGTGGCACCCGAACATGCAGTGCTACAAGGACCGGCTACACGAGCACCCGGAGCGCATCTCCAACATGTACTTCAACTACGCACTTGTCTCTCGCGCCGTCGCCAAGCTTCGCAAGCACCTGCAGGGCTACACTTTCTGCACCAGCGACCCAGACCAAGACGTCGAGACCAAGCAGCGGATTAACCAGCTGACGGAGGTGCTCTCGCGGCCGCCCCAGATCTTCGACGAGAACCTCATGTTCCAGGACCCGAACGCGGAGGGCCTTAAGGAGGACTTCCGCAATCGCTTCCGCAACGTCAGCCGGCTGATGGACTGCGTGGGGTGCGATAAGTGCCGACTCTGGGGCAAGCTGCAAGTGAATGGGTACGGGACAGCCCTGAAGGTGCTGTTCGAGTATGACGAGACCAAGAACGGGGAGAACCCGCCGCTGCGCCGCACGGAGCTGGTTGCCCTGATCAACACGCTGGGGCGCATTTCGCACAGTATCGCTGCTGCGCGCAGTTTCCACGAAGCTCTGGAAGCGGGCCAGGAGAATGCGTTCCCACTGCGGCATTCGGCGCCCTCGACGCATAACCACGTTGAGGCTCAACATGAAGGTACGCAAGCTCGGAAGTTGTTCCATGATGGTACGGGACAGTTCTATTATGAGAATGATGAGGGCGAGTATATCTACGGGCGAGAGAAGGTCGACCGTCTCCCGTGGGAGCGTCCGCCCCGAAAGCCGGATTCCTCTTTCTTCGATGATCTCAAGGTCGAGTTTGATATGGTATGGGATGTGACTGTGTATGTCCTGCGCAGCTGGATAGACATTCCCCGGACCATGTAAGTTTACCCTGAGCTGTATATGTATCATGGCATAGTTCACTGACTTTCTATGCAGATTTGAGATTACTATATGGGAAGGGCAGCGGCTCTGGGCCTTCTGGCTGGGTCTGCCTGTGCCTCCTCGCCCCTGGAAGATCCAGGCTCCTAAGTTTGAAGGGTCTCGGCCCCCTTCAGCTCAGCCTCACAGCGAGCTGTGATGGAACCTACTTGCATCAGCATCTCTTGTACATAAGCAACACCGATTACTCTATTATGGCGTTCAGATAGATGGGGTGGTTTTGATTTTGGGGGTTTCCGGAGTGCCATCGGTCAATCTCCAATGCCTATTCATACAGTCGATACCTTTCATTTTTAGGCTCTCATTTGGGTTTTGGCTCTTGGGACTTGTGCTTTGATTGTCTTTCGGCTTATAGACCCTGTTAAGTGGCATAGTTCGGGGTCGCGGGTTGCCCGAGCCCCTTAGAGATGGATTACGTCCTATCATATGTATTCCTCCAGTGATATCTGAAACTACCATGGCCCGCTACTATTCAAATAGCTCTTCTCTGGTGTTCGGTCCTGCTGTGTTTCCTGATGTGGCTATGGCCCTCGGGATGTTTTGCCGCCGTCGGCCCCCTCTCCAGGTACAAGAATACACGGATTTTGCCACGGAAGAGACTCCCTGCATATATACGGATGATGTCTAGGTAGTAACGCTTGGCGTTCCCTTCCGTTCAAGTGCTCACCCTCTCCCTGCTTTTACTCACTAAGTAGAATTGAATACGCCCCTAAGCAGCCTGGGTTCGTCGGTGAGCATTCCGTAATCACCTAATCAACTCACTGTGGTCCTCCAGGAAGACAATTCGGGCTAAAGAGATGATAGTGGGCATTGAGTGCTCTTATAACGATGACAACACGGGGGAGGAACTCAAAGTGACGTCCAGCACGCCACCCTGCACGGGGCAGACTGTGAAAGGGCTCCAAGTTCTGAGCAGCACCGGCGAGATGCAGGGCCACGGACACCGTTGTCATTGATAACGCGTCCAAAGGTCTTTGGGTTATCGTTCAGAGCGCGCTGATAGTAATATCGCCTAAAAATTGCGTACGAAGCTCTGGCTGGCGAGTGAATTCTGATGGTCAATTCTTGCCGACTATAGGTAGGGGTATCGAGCCGCAAGCTATTACTGGAGGATTATATTAGCTATATCTCGAAGCAGAGGGCTTAGGCACTAGACCTCGTATATTAGTATTAAATATTCTACTGTTTTAGCGATATCCCTTAGTAGAAAGTAGCTTTAGCCGATAGTGACGCTTATTTATAGTTAGAGAGTATTCCTGTTATCCTATCCTGTGCTATGGCCTCCGGCACTTCGTAACGCGCAGCTGCTGCGTGAGGGGAGGGGAATTGGCTTTTTTAATATGCGTCTATAGCGTAGATAAAGCCTCTCCCTTGATCCTGCGATTTTGACGCGTTTAGAGCGTTTTTTCGTGTCATGGTATGCGGTAGAAGAAGGTGTGGAGGTATGGGAGACGCGATTTTAGGAGGGTTAGCAACGTTAGCGGAAAGTGCCCCCATTGCAAACCCCCTTGTCTAGGCGGTAAGTTACTGCTCCATGACTTGATAGCATCTAAAACTGCCCCTTTCCCATCCGTTCTCCACAGGTTAGCCGCTAGGGATCATAGTGGCTACAGGGTTACATTCAGTATATGGCTTGGGCGCGAACAAGGGCTCCGTGCGGCAATTTAGTTGCTTACTAGTGCGTATACAAGTGACGGCTGTTTACAGCATCCATTTTCCACTCCACGCTAGAGTACTCCGCCTCTTTTCGCTTCGTCCATTGAACGATGCAATGTTAGCCGAAATTATGGAGACTAAAAGGCTTGTCGCTGGACTATCACCTGTTTTCGTAGCATTAGCCTCCGCTGGCGCACTAGCTTTGCGCATGTTCCGCTGATTCCGATATTGATGTACTGTACAGTAGATGCTGTCCGTCTAATATTCGCTTGCGTCCCACGGCTTCCTTAGTCAATTCCCAGACCAAAAATGCCTGTCTAACGCTTACCATTTTGTCTCCGATTTTCAATCTTTTGCCATCCCAAACATGCGGTGGGCTTCAGTCCTCTGGCTTTTGACTTTGACCCCTACTGTCGTTTCGGCAAAGGTACCACCAATTTGGAATCCTTCGTTTCCATTTCGTCCACTAAATGTTACGGGGCTTGGTCCTCTCTACGCATGGGCTGGATCGTACGTTCAACATATGTACCTCTCAGTACTAACAAGACTGATCGTTCTAGGTACTTTAATGCGACGGCACAAATCGAAATAATTCCCGTGGTCGGATGGAAAAATCTCAATGACTCACTATGTCCGAGCCTGAGAGGCAAGACATTCACAACGTCTTTCCCATCGGTTCTTGCTATCACCGAGCGCGGACCGTACAATGTTGGCACTAATCCTGTGAATATGTATCTCACCTTCTGGGATCCTGGCTTCAACTTTTCTACTCTTGGCAGATCTTTTCCAGCAGGCATAACTGGCATCGGAGACTTGATGTATACGTCTAACCCATCTTTGGCCGGTACATTGGAATCTTCACCGCAAGTGCCTCAATGCCTTCTCTCCGAAAGGGTTAGACATTCGCTGACGTTGACTATTAGAATCGTATACCCGTTTTCAAATGACACCGTGATTACAGAAGGAATGGTCTGGAATAGCACTTCTGTTGCTGACATTTTCAATTTGACGCTCTCGCCAACTTCCAAGGCTCCATACAATCTCACCGCCGAGAATGGGGGGCTTTTTCTGGACAGGGAATTAGTTGCGTTCAATGCAACTATGGACTCGTGCAGTAGCATCGAAAGTAATGAGTACCTGATCAACCCTGGTGCTATACTTCGCTCGGGCATTCCCGAGGGGGATTGGGCGTATCCATCCGTCAATCTGAACTTCGACAGCAGAACAGCAAACATCACCGTGGATGGATATTTTGTCGGATTTTCTTCCCTGTGGGCGAATATAACTAGAGGGATCCCAACAGCGGGGCCGACTACTGTTGTTGGCAAGATCAGGTTGTCATTTAATGGTGTTATTGATACCTACCATTCGGATATCCTGGTTAACAACAGCGCCACACCACAATGGATCAGAACTGTTGGATTTGGGAATAATTCCTTGAATATCGGTTATGGAAGCACGGCTCCTGCAAAGATTTACGGTGCTACGGGCGTGTGGATTCTCTCAGCAGCTTTATCTGTATATCTCGCTTCCTTGTATTAACAAGCTTCTTTTGAGACCCTTTATCAGACTATGCTTCTTTACCCACCAACTGCTCTTTGGTCAGTTGCTCTTCCCATCTGGTTCGGTCCAGGTCCTGGCCCATAATATCAATCGACTGCACAACCTTGTTGTGGCTCAAGTCTTCTTCGCCGAATCGAGCAATGGGGTCGATCTGTCTGCGGCCGGAGGGCCACAGGGTGTCTCTTGACTGGAGCGCTGGATACTGTCAGTATATGGAAGAATGAGAGATTTGGAGACTGATTCTTACCTTGTGCAAAGTTAGATCGACAAGCTGGGCTGATGGCGGGTCAAGTCGAGGATAGAGTGTGTTCAGAAGAGTCTCATATATTTGAACTCGGGATGTTAGATCAGCTATTTGCCTGTGCGATGTGAGAAAAGCAACAGTTTCATGGCACGAAACATACTTCTGTACCCTCTCGCGCTTCCCGTGGCCGTAGGAGCACTGCAGGCCGGCGCGCTGGCATCGTTGGCAAGCTGGTTGGTGTCCGCTACATTTGGCTTTCAGCTCGCGACAGTTTCCACATGCTCGGCTGACGCGACCACCGCAGGTAAGATGGTAGGGCGATGGAGCTCGGGGGATAAGAACTTTCTTGTTTGGCGGTCTGTTGGTGTTGAGACCACCCGGATCACCACGAGCGGTACTCAGGTTTTCATATGTGGGGAAATAAACCGGAAGGTCACGATCTCTTGTGGATGGCTGGCTAGGAGCAATTGCAGCCGACTCGATGGCGAAGGACTCGAAAAGGTCATCGTAAAAGGGCGGGCTAAAATAAATGTTATCCATTTTGGTTGCTGTCCAACGCAAACGAAACAGCAAGAGGCTTTTATCCTCAAGCTCGAATGGGGGCTAAGGTACAACACAATGTCCTCCCTTACTAATCGTTGTAGTTTGGATATCACCGAATCGAGCGGCGAGCATCGCCACGTTGGCGCTTTGACCCCTATAGCCCTTCTTAGCTGCACTGGGCATGTCCGTGCGTCAACAGTTGAGCCCAACGACTCGGTTTGCAGTGTTGATCACTCATCCCCGGTTTCATTAGAGCGAGTGCAGAATAATATCAGAAATGAGACAACCGGTCTTGGCCTGCTGTCACCCACCTTTCCCGATCGCGAAAACGCAAGCGGTATCATACCCCCGCAGAGAAATGACCTTTGGATTATTATGCCAGATCGCAAGGGCTTATATTGTCAAATTGCGAAGATCGCTCATTGCGTCTCCTCTACCCCATGTTTCTTTTTGCGATTTGTTATTTCTTGTGTGATCTGATGGCTTTCCCTAGAGGGTTGACTTGTGCAAGACCGGGGTTGGGAATCGAGACGTAAGGCTGACTGCTATATCCAGCATGGGTTAGCGAGGGTTCCCTAGAAGCTCAATGCACGTTGGTTTGCCCTCAAGAGTTTTGCATCGCTAATCCTTGCCAACTGTGGCACGGTCACCGGCGCTGGCGATCCTGTCAATATTGCGGAGAGGTCCACTTGCTGATAGGGCGCAATCCACCTGAGGAGTTAAACAACACAAAAGTACTACCTCTAATATAGAGCCAAACGTCAATCACTTCGTGTACGTGAAGGGCACGGCGGGAATTCTCCTATACCCTTGGCTCATCCAAACCTATAATCAGAAAAGTTACCTCCACAGAAACAGAATTGGGTGATTGTTTGGGTTAATAATGTCGAATATCTGTAAGAGCCTGGAATCTATTGAGTTCTGGGCGCGCCAGGGAGACGAACTCCTTCGGCGCGGCCAAGCATTTTGCTGTCAGTGGCGGTCGTGATGATGCAGCTAGCGGAGAACCATTCACGGACCCTTCTTATGTGGCTTGCGAGCTGGACGGTGGAGTTCTACAACATTCTCCCCGGGGCTCCCGAATTTCTTTTGTGTTTCCATAGAAATAACGGGCAGCTCAGAAGTGTATAGGTATGAAGTAGGATTGATGGCCTAGAAAATAGCCCTCTGCAATCAAGTCTTCTTCTACTCGCAAGTTGTATATCATCTTTATGTAATATCTAATCTCAACAGAATGCGGATCGCCCGGTAGGCGTGCGCACGGGCTCATTGTGGATGAAATTTTCCACCAAGTCCCTTACGAACGTAGTTGTAAGCTTGTCATTTTCTACTCTCTTCTACAAACCCCCTTACGGCGGCGCACGCACTGGACGAATGTCAGATACGGAGAATATGTGGAGCTGAATGTGTCAGGAAGAAGAAATCTGTAGCGTCCTTGACAGCCACGGGCTTCCTAAGCCCGTGTAAAGGAAAACAGTGGGAGATCGCTGTACATATGGTCCCGTTGTATCCGCTTTCCGTGATATTTATTGTGTTAAAAGGGTTAGCATTCTTCCACTCATGCCCGGTCATGCTTTGTGGCTGGGGCAACATCCGGCGTGTCAACCTACACTGTCCGAGCGGAAACATGCATATACCAAGATAAATAAGTGATTGGCTTGGTATTAAGGAAAATAATGGGCCGATAATATTGATCCTTGCGTCCTCACGCAGCATTATTAACGTTGACATTAAACAGCCCAAACATCGATTCAGGAAGCCAAACTGCACTCCAAGTGTCTCTAGTTTGAAGAGGTCAGTCGGGCTGTTGATCGTATCTAATTCCGACCGATGCTTGTCTTATGTGAGAAAAGGATCGTTCCTGGAAATCCAAGACAGCTACTCATTGTCTTATTTTCGTTAATCCGGCGTATCATTTCAAGACTTAATGATCGGCAATGGACAGGGTCTAGCCAAAGAATCTAAACGGACGGATAAACGTTCCGGTGACAAAGGTACTATTCTTGGAGGGGTTGGGGTGTTGTCCGCACTCTCGCGGTCGAACCTCACGGCGGGGCACTAAGAACCCCTTGACTTTTGTGGTTTGAATGAGGAGTGCAGATAAGCTGGAAAGTCCATCGTAGCAGGAGCCGTGGTAGAAACCGCCATCCAAAAACCCCTTATCCTCTATTGAAGGAGGTTGGTAGGGTATGGGAGGCGGATCGAGAACCAAGCGTCCTTCAATCTCGGCTAAAAGGGATCGCAGCCATAACATGGATTAGAAGGAACCACTGTAGCATCGGGCGCTGGATCGATCGTTTCGACTTGGACTCATTCGCGCGATTATCAATGAGACCCGCAATGTCACTAACATAGGGGCATGTGATACTGCGCACTGACAGTTCGTATAGAACGAACGCACTAAGTGAGAGAAATTTTCAGACCTCATGCAGGCAACTCGAGTCGGGTCAGATCCTGGTTGAATTGGAAGTATCCACAGTACTGATTTATGCACCTGAAATAAGCAACATACGTCAAACCAAGAGGTCGGAGCCATCATCTCAACGCCACCAAGCTATACCAGAATAAGGTAGCTAACCGAAATGGTATCCTTCTTATGCGATTCCAAATTGGGGCCCTGGTGACATTCTGTATGTGATGAACGCCCATCTTGCATGCATATGCAATGCGTTATATGTCAAGTCCTACTTTGATATGATGTGAGTCTGCTCTGTGCCTAGACCGGCAGAGGAGGCCAGGGAAACCGAGGCTCATCTGCGTATGAGGGTTGCCTGCTTCGTGGAAGGAAATTGCCTAATAGCCCTGCCTGGCTTGCAGGGATCAGTGACTTTGTTGATCGTACTCCAACACAATGGCCCCGCCTGCCGAAGTAAGCAGGGTCTCAAACTTGAGACAATCAAGGGATTTAGACGTCCATCCCCTAAACTTTATGGAATGTGGTACACCCTTAAAACGATAGTTTATTCTGTCTACTTTATTCAAGGGAGATATCTCAAAGTCTGTCAGCACAGCATTTGGTGAAGCCGAAGTTAGAATTGGTCACATAGCAATATGTGAAATCGATTAACATGATGAATTAAAGACCGTACCTCAAGATCATAAGCCAAAGCCAAAGGAGATAGAGTGGTTTCATTGCTTCAAATCACTAATCTCTCGCAGATAATATTTAGAATGGTTGAGAGAGCCAAAATCTTCCATCCCTGATGTTTGTGCCAGCCCATGGCGAAGGGGCTGATTACAGGAGCTCCAGGTGCCCAAAGTGCCCAAAAATGCCATTAGCTGGCCGACTAGTACTCTGAGTAGGATCAAAAATCGTGCACAAGCGCTATGGGCCTTGTTGGCTCAAAGGAGACAAGCCCTCTTTTCACAGCATTTGAAGATGCGCATCCAGTAGAGTCAAGGCCGCGCTGGTGCTCGACTATTCATCTTTGGGGCTGATATGCGATTTGACTCGGGTAGGTGTGAGTATAATAACTTGACAATGAATCCGTGAGTAAATCTTGACGAGTCCCATCCATGGTAATGTCGTACCTCCAGCAGCTCATAATAGCGTCGGAGGCTGGAGCGGTGATTGAATTACGTGTGCTGCTCCTTCCGATGTCTTTTTGACTTGCATTTGCTGATGGGCTCGAAAATCCTGCAGGGATTGAAACTAGAGAACGTCTTAGAGTCGCAAACCCCAAAGCCTTTTTCTGAATGGTTACCATTTATCCCCATCAACCAATCTTCTTCACGTTGCCTAATTTGATATAGCTCATCAAGGAGCTGTAATCGCTCTGGTGGGAAAATCTGAGAGCGAACCGGCTGATCGGCTTCTCGGAGTCTTGCGACCGTGATTCCGTGACTGACGAACAAGTTGCAGAGGATGTGAACCAGGAGGCGAATGCGTTCTTTTTATTGTTAGTTATGGGTTGTTAAAAGAATGGAAATATCCTACCAACTTTAGGGAGATGATCTGGCTCCCGATGGGTTACTCCGGAAGGCCACCATGGTGGTGTAGTTGTCTGGGGATGAAATTGCCTTCGAGATCCTGCAACCATCTTTCGTCCATTGTATGGATAGTTTAGCTGCTTGCCGGGCTCGATAAGCTTGATATAGGCTTTTGCAAGGATTCGGCAATTTGCCTGATGCAGACTATCGAAGGCCTGTGTATAGTATAAGGCTAATTGACCTTGGCCATTGGAAGGTACCGTATGCAAGTCGGCCGAAGGCTGTTTGCATGGAGGCCATGCAATCTGCTGAAGGGGAGTTGCTGCTGGAACATGGGTTTGTATATACTCCGCAATTCCTAATTGTGTCCCAACGCCGGCTACCTGGGCTGTCTGTGGCATTACCTGATTAGATGGTACTGACATGTAATGCTTGGTTAGTATTCTTCATACGATAAAACGGGGGTTTTGAATCGGCGTGATACTCACCTTCGGAGTTTGTGAAGCAGACTTCTCTTGACATAGCCACAGCTCTTAGGAACGCGTCAATCACGTTGGCGGATAGTATCGGTTGCCATCCATTTGCGATTGACTGCGAAACTTTTAGGTAAGCATTGTCATATATATCGAGATGAACAAGCACAAAGTCAGTAAAAGGCAGTTCGTGTACTTGCGCGTCTGCTGGCATGGTTGTCTGCACCTAGTGTGTGTGGACAGCCAGCCGTGGACATGTGGGATCTGCCATAGATTTTATACTTTGGCTGACATGTCGCCAATTTTTGCCTGAGCTGACACGCTAACAGCACTGGCATATCTATTGGACATACCACCACCAGATTTTAATTCGGGGCTACCTAAAGTACTGACTCTGATATGGATGCAAGTCTAGTCCGCTCCGTATACGCACAGGCCCTAAATGATCGCCCGTGTCATTGATCCTTTCAACTTATGCTCTATTTCCCAAAACGTCGGGTTGCAGCAACTCAGAATGCGAATCAGCCGCAAGGCGTTCGTGGGGAGTTCACGGCAGACAAAGCCTCCCGGTGTGAGCCCTCGTATGGGGTCATAGCCATAATTCAGACATGCTATGGATCCTTGCAGATAGAATCCTGGAAGTCCCCTATCTTACCACAGAATGTTCGATTTGGAAAGGAAAATTCTCATTCGTTTACTGTCATTCGTCTAATACATATAGCTTGAATCGTACTAGACGAATTGTTACATTTTCTTTGAGGACTATCACAGGGCGTTCATGAGTAGAATCCGGGGCAGGCACGAAGGGAACTTTGTGACCTTTTGTCGAAGCATAGCCTGGTAATTTACCGCTAGTAAGTGATACTGTACTGTATAAACTCTGGGCTTATAACAGCCCAGTGTCGGCCGTACGGACATGGTTGTTCGTACAAGCTATGGGGACGTTCTTAACAGCTTCCCTATTTTTTCTTTCATCTTTCATCCTGATTTGGATTCCGCTTGATCTTACTCGTTATCAGTACATATTAGGCTATAGATATCTAGATTGATACAACACTTTCCTAAATTTAAAAGGGTACCCGGAACTTCCCCGGTAATTTCAGGGTGGTATTTGAATGGCCGGGCAAATTATCCGAGCGTTGCATTGATCGGCGTCGATCAGACCGGCGTAAGAAGGATATGTTTTGAGATTAGTGAGAATTGAGCCTTATGCACGGGGATTCTCCCCAAAGTCATCAGACCCCTGTCCAGCTGGACAGGGGTCCCGCAGGCAGCGGCTGCATACCAATCGCATATCCTTGCCTGTCAGGCAGAGTTCTTGCATTAGTGAACCATTCTCTTGGCACAACGGGCAGGGATTTGGGTTCCTAAAGAGCCGTTAATTGCCGAGCAAGGATAGCTCTAAAAGTTCTGCTAAGACTGAGGATAGAATTGCCCGTGGACAGAATTCACTAGTAACCTCTCAGCCAAGATGCCAAGTTGCTTCTAAATGTCTGCCAGGATCGTCACAGGGGCAGGTCACAGACATATGTATTACTAGATTAGAAGACTATACTATTAGTCTAAAGAATGAGCTTCTAAATATATACGTGAGAGCAGTCGTACTACCTACGTCTTAGTACTATAGCTCTACCTACTGTAAGCTTGCCCTAGTAGCTTTGTATTTCGACACCTTGTCTCTGTAACGACGGATATATATATCTCACATCCCAACTTTGTACTTAGTTTCTCCAGCGGCCACTGGCAACTCTGACATATCGCCGTAACGGGGATGCAACAGAGCCTAATGGAACTCTCTCTCTCTCTCTCTCTCTCTCTTGTCTCTGTAGCGACCGCATGATATGGAAGGTTCCGGGTGCGACGTAGTAGTAAAATAGAGAGCACTTTCTCTTTCTCTTTCTTTTCTTTTCCTTCCACAGATTCGATACCTTCGTTGAATGGACTCTTCTTTTTAATGATTTGCCAAGTGTAACACTCTCCTGGTCCTTCGCTGAGCCTCGTTACCTTTCTCAGAATACCGCGCGATAATATAGTGTAGGAGACATTTAATCTTCGATATTAGAGCCTTATAGATCATAATGAGGACTGCTCGATAGCTGTAAACACTCCTTCGGCTTTTTACTAGTCCTAGATTTCATAGAATAAAAATTAAGATAGGTTTAACACGATATAAGATATTGAGATCACAGGAGTGAAAGGGCATGTTTTGTTATTGTAGTGAGCGTACTTGTCTATATAGACAGGATAGCGGTACTCTAATACATGACGGAAATCGCCCGTTCGTGGCCTATATTCTAAGATAAAAATATCACCGGGATCACAATGTAATTAGTCTTGTTATGTAATGCATGTCTACCACATACAGTAGATCTATTCCTATCCATAAGAAGTCACGTGGCATGGCATTTTTTATACCAATTGACTAGTTAGATGTTTACATACGGTCTAACAAGGCCTCCTAGTGAGGAATTAAGTTTTAAAGATTGTTCCCAAGTTTCGATATGGCCGCCATAAAGCCTTGCGATTATCATAAAATATAGAGTATCATTATTATTATCTAGCTAATTCTCGTGGACCTAGTAATCACTGGCTAGTACATATAGCGGCTGAGATAGTCGATCTCTGTCTTCCTCTTTCCGAATTAATACAGACACTATCAGCCAAGGCTGCTAACTCCCTCTCTCTCTATTTACGCCTCCGAGGCAGCTTGAAAGCTCCAGTACACAGAAACAATTATCTAGAAACAGTAAAGAATAAGTTCGCCTGGATACGCGGAAGTCCGATGACAGACCGACTGATTAATAGACAAGCAACCGGAACCACAGGTCGGCGCGGCGGGCCAAAGGCAAATATACCTTATCTTAAGCGAAATAATGACAGCTAAGCGGAAAATAGGGCCAGGGCCAGAAAAAGCAGCGTAGACTGCGCTGGGGGGTCTGAAGGGCTACAAAGGGCCCCCATCTCGCGCTAGCGATACAGGGGATTAGCGAAGCTCGGTGGTCCAAATCAATAGCAAAAATGCCTCACTCGGAAGGCGCACAAGAGGAAAGAAGAGAAAGGAAGAGTAGAAGGGCGAGCAATAACTCGAAGTTGAAACGGCAATGAAGGGGACTTTATAGAGACACGCACGGCGACGGCAATGTCCCGAGAGGCGCTAAACCCGAGCCGGCACGCTAAACTCTTTTGCGTAATTCACCGCCACCGAATTATACGGAGTACAGTACATACGCTAGGTACAGACTACTCCATACCAAAACCAATATTTATGAAAATGGTTAGAATAGCGATTGACAGGGAGATGGGATGTTATATATTGCCAATACCAGGACCAGTCAACTTGCCTCGGACGCTTAGAGGTACATAGTCGTGACCAGACCGCCGAGGGCTGGTACTTGACCTTCCCCAGTCGGCAAACGCCGACATCCTCGGCTTCTCCACTCCCGGCCACATGCGCCGTCCGCCTTGCGACGTGCGACCTGATTTTTCCCTCCTTCTCCGCCATCGCTCCATCGCTCCACCTCCACCCTCCGCCAGTCTCCCACGTCCCACATCCATCAACACCTCCACCTCCCTCCCTGGCTGGAGCTGATGCAAGGTTGCTGAGCCCGATCATGGCGTCGGTTTCGCCACCCAAACCGTGGGAGAGAGCAGGCACTGCTGGTGGTAAGTCTCGCAACTCCGTTATCTCCTCTCTTCCCCAGGACTGTTAGGCGGTCAACCAAAAGAGTCATCGCCGCCACTGAGCGGCTTCCATCCCTAGACATCTCCTTTACTAACACCGAGGCGCGCGTAGGGAACGCATTATCCTCCACACCCACTGCTGGTAGCCCAGCTGCCTCAACCGCAATGATCACGGCCTCAACGTCTGCGGCCAACCCCGCAACAACGACTTCAACATCCGCCGCCCCCGATCTCCCCTCCCGCCCCAGCACCCTCAACTCAGTCGTCAACTCCACAGCATCCAACTACTCGCCCTACGGCGCCTCGCGCTTCGGTGCCACCAGTCCCTATGGCGGATATAGTGGTTATGGCAGCTACTCGTCGCCGTACTCCCGCTTCGGCTCCATGGGGTCGATGTACGGCGGCTATGGGGGTATGGGAGGGATGTATGGCGGCATGGGTGGAATGGGGGGGATGTACGGCGGCATGCCTGGGCAGGATCCCAATGACCCCAACAGCCTGACCAACTCTTTCAGCCAGAGCACGCAGACCACGTTCCAGATGATCGAGAGCATCGTCGGGGCGTTCGGCGGCTTTGCCCAAATGCTTGAAAGCACATATATGGCCACGCACAGTTCCTTCTTCGGTAGGTTCTTTCGCTTGATCGCTGAGGGTAGAGTGAAGTTTATTTCTAACGTTCCGGTAGCAATGGTCTCGGTCGCAGAGCAGTTCGGTAACCTGCGTAACACCCTCGGCTCGGCCCTGGGTATTTTCACAATCATTCGGTGGTTCCGCACCCTGATCGCCAAACTCACCGGTCGGCCTCCCCCAGCGGATGCCACATCCTTGACCCCCGCTGCCTTTGCAGCCTTCATGGGCGGTCGCTCGGCACCCGCCACCCTTCCCGATGGCTCGCCGGCTCCGGCCAAACCTTCCAAGAAGCCATTCTTCATGTTCCTCGTTGCCGTCTTCGGCCTGCCTTACCTGATGGGCAAGCTCATCAAGACCCTGGCCCGTTCTCAAGAGGAAGAGGCTAAGCGCCGGCAGCAACTTGTCGGTCCCAACGGCGAGCCACAGTCCGCAGCCATGGATCCAGCCAAGCTGGACTTCTGCCGGGTGCTGTATGACTATGCTCCTGAGACCCAGGAGAGCAATGGCATCGATCTGGCCGTGAAGAAGGGCGATATTGTCGCCGTTCTCAGCAAGTCCGACCCCATGGGCAATGCCTCTGAGTGGTGGCGCTGCCGCGCTCGCGATGGTCGCGTCGGTTATTTGCCCGGTCCGTACTTGGAGACTATCCAACGGCGACCGGTGCAGCAGGCCATCACGACGGGCAGCGAGCCTGTCACCCGCACGAGCACGATGAAGGGAGGCGCAGCGAACGACCGCACCCAGAGCCTGTCGTCGATCTCCAAGCCGGCGGGTGACCAGCCGCCAGCACTTAAGGGCAAGATGGGCGACATCACCCCTGAGAGCTTCCAGAAGAGCACCTTCTATTCCTGAAGCATAGACTTTCTCGCCCGAAGGTCGGGCTTAGACCGATTGGGATGAAAATTGATGATGTCTCTTTGATTCCCCCCTTTCTTTTCATCTTGTTGTGGACACGCTAAAAGCTCTCCCATCCTCAATATACCTCTCCGCTGATCAAGTTGTGCTGACCCCGATATCCTCCTCTGCGCCGGCACCTGCCTCCTTCGGGGCCTCTGCTCTTCTGTTTTGTGCTGATTTCATGTCTCTTTTTTCTTTCCTGCTTTTCTTTTGGGACTGGGACTGGTTTAGCGATGGTTATCACCTTGGATTTATCTGTATCTAGTAGCTACCGGTGCAATGCATTTACATATGGGGGCTTTGCCCCTGACTCAAAGTTAAGAATCCGTCTACCAAAGCACGAGTGAAACTGTACGCTAGGCTTGGATGCTGTCCTATAGATGCTGCTGTAGACCGGCCACTGCGAGTCCGGTTTCCGCGCGCAGCGCATCAAGTCCAAGTAGTCTCGGTGCAGTCGCATGGATAGGAAGCGTACCCAAGCCTCAGAATCACACACATAGGGATAGTCTGTCCTTTGCGCTAAAGTTTTTCATGTTCTTGCCGTTGAGTCCAACCCAGAACCAACGTTCTAGCGAGGGAGGTGAGGGATGGGGGAGGGGGGCCGGTTGTGGGGGTGTATATCCCGCCGAACAACGAACAAGTAGCGGCTCATACAAACCTAGCCACAATTGATAACAGAGTCTTCACAAGACCCCAACACCTTACCAGCGAACTCAGGAATTCCCGCGCGGTTTATCAAAACATGATCCATTGCGATGGGTACAGGTGTGCATCACATCCAGCCCACTGTATAATTAATGTAAGAGGAATATAGAGATGGACCTCGAGAATAGCTTTTAATAGTATATAGAAGGTACTAGCGATATAATAAAATATTTAAAATTAAATAAATTTGATTACTTTTATAGCCTTATTTTCGATAGTCTTATATTTATATACCGTATAGATAAACTATATAGAGTAAGTAAATAATATTTATTGAAGCTGCCCGGGCAACGACGAACGGGCTTGCTGGAAGCGTGTCTGCTGGTTCCTCTCCTCAGCGCCATATGTCCTTGTCCTGGACATTGATATCACTATTTCCCCCCTCCCTATTCTGAGGGATTGGCCTGTTCGCTGTGGTAGGACGTGGGCCTTGGGACCATCGCCGGCCCGGTGTAGTCGCTCGCGTGGATAGGTGCGGTGCCGCTGATCTTTGCATCGGGACCCTACTATGTATCGTAGGTATGGGGGTCGGGGCGTGTAAGGGGTCGGAATCGGGGCAGGTATATGCCGGGAGCCCACTAACTTGCTTCCCTGTTTCGGCTGGTCTGGTTGTCCAGTGTCTGCGGGATTTCGGGCCGATTGTTGCTGACGGTGGGTTGGGTTGCGGTGGTGCGAGGCTGTGCCAGGGGCGTGGAGTAGTACCACTACGGCGTGCTGTGCTGTTTTGGGTTCGGTGGGAGATGTCTATCGTGGGGTTCGATTGTTGGACTGACGGGGGTTGTGCGGGCGGGGGGTGCGAATGTAGGTGTTGGTAGAGCTTGTGGTTGCCGCGTTTTTGTTGAGGATATTGGCGGTGGCCCACATGAGGGTGGGCGTGCGGAGGCGGAGGCGATAACGCAGAGTGTACAGGCGTGTGTCGCAGCATGGAGCTGGTTGCGATGGGTGAGGCTGATAGGAATGGCAATGGTACTGGTGAGAACGATGCTGATCAATGGAGAAGCATGCTGAATGAGGATTTCCTGTATAGACCTGAACCCAATATGCACTTCTAGCTACACCGGACCCGGGACACGGCAGTGCAGAACGGATGTCAATATGAACAGGATAGAAACAAAGATGGGAGGAGAGGGAGGCGCAGATGCAAGAGAGCCGGGCCGAGTTGTGAGACATAAGAACATGCCACCTGCAGTAGGGCAGACGACCCAGGATCTTCCGCTCTAAGTAAGATCCCTGGCGAAGCAAGTGAATCACGGCCCAAATAAACAGAACAGAACGCCTGTGCTATGATTTTTCCTTCTCAATCTCCCTCTCTGAATGCGTGTATACGGCACGGAGAAAAGCGGACAGACAATGATGATGAGAATGAGACGAGAGACAAGAGAAGAGCCAAAAAAAAGACACACGCTGCAGAGGAGAGATGAGAAGCAAGGTGAGTGGAAAAAGGAGGAGCGCCGGCTGGACCATATACATCAGACACCAAAACGTGCGGACAAAAACGAAACATAGGGTACAAGTGGAATCACAGCCCGAGGCCCTCATGATGAGGGATCTCCTGGTTAGGATCCTGCTCGCGCGCCCACTTGGCCATCGACTCGTTGAGTGTGTGCTGCAGCTCACCGAGTCGGTTCTGGAACGCATCCAGACTGGCGTAGCTTCCGGAGTGCGTGAACATCCCCGGCGGGGCGTTGATACCTCCCGGGTGTGGAGCGGATCCTGGCACTAGGGGCGGAGGTTGCTCTGAAACCTGGGATGCGGCGATGCCAGGGTGTGTGACTGGATGAGCCACGGGATGCGCGGTTGCTGGGTGCGCTGCTGTTGGGTGATGAGTCATTGGCTGCATGGCGGGCTCGGGTGGATGGTAACCTCGACGTGGCTGGTTGGAGTGCATGTGCATAGGATAAGAGTGGTGGTCGTCGTCGATGACGAGATCGGGGAGGGTGTCGATGTGATTAGGGTCTGCCCGGTCAATATCCGTTCTCCCGTGCTGGAGGGGATACATACCGTAGTTCAGTGGGTAGTTGGACGGCTCCCGCGATGGCGACTGGATATCCGGCGGCGACACGGGCGTCCCCGCATTCTCCTCGGGTTCAGGGGTGTAGCATGTCATATCAGATGGGGTTTCTATAGCGGCATTAGATCTTCCGTTTAACCTGCGGGGGGAGGTCCAACATACTCGGCTCGGGGCTCTGTTGCTCCGCATCCCGATCCCGGTCGTGATCCCACGAGGAACCATAACGGCGGACAAAGCGAGCAATGCGCTTCGGGTCGACATTCTGACCATTCACTCGGAAGGCAGTCTCTTTCCCACGAGCGGCACGCTTCTGTTGTTTGCGAATCATCAGGTGGACTTCTTTAGCCTTGATATTTTTGCGGACATGCCACGCGGCCAGGCGGTCTTTGTATTGTTTTTCTCTGCCAGCGGGTCGAGGAGTGTTAGGGCGAACTGATTGACTATCACGAGGGGAGAGTAGTGCTGGCTGGGTCGATCATGTGTAGATGGCAACTCAACAATCAACTACAAAACACAGAAGGCAGAGGGTAGGAGTAAAGGCATGGAATTCGAAAGGCATCAAAATCAAAAGCAAAATCGACATCAACATCAAGGAAAACCAGGGAGCGATACGAGGCATAAAACTTGTAATCCCGCTCCATGATGCGTTTCACATCGCGCAGCTTCAACTGGTCGTTACGGTAGAGTTGCTCGATAGTTTCGCGGTACTCGTGCCAGTCGTCGGATCGGCGGGGCCGGAAAACGGTTGACGGTTGACCGACTTGGGGCGGCGATTGAGGGGAAAGGGTCATGGACGAGGGTGGAGGATATGGGTCCATGACAACTGACCCTCTCTGGGAGGAAAGGTGACCAATAAATAATAAAGAACAAGATTGAAGAGGGAGGAGGAGAAGGAGGAGGAAGGGGGGGGGGGGGGGGGGGGGGGGGAGAGAGGGGGAGGAGGTATGAAAGAAGGTTCAAGTCAATGTGGAGGAGAGTCAAGAATCGGAGTAGAGCGTTGAGAGCGAATGTGATGTGTGGCAAAGAAGGAAGAGGAGATAGAATCAAGAATCAGGAATTAGACGTCGGCAATAATATAAAGGAAGAACAGGCCAGAGAGAGCGCAAGTACGCAGAAGAATGCGATCACCAGGCAACTTGGGCAAAAGACCGAGCAACGAGCAACGACCACAAACCAACCCGCAAACCACCACCGGACCCTTTAGCTAGCACCACTCGCAGGCAGGCAGTCTCGCAGGCCCTTTCAGATCAGGGCCGGGGCCAAGGAATCTCTCGATTACTCTTTGCGGCGAGCTGCGGCGCGCGGACGCACGACCCCCTGCTTCCCCGGCCAAATCAGCGCTGGCCATGCCGGGCCAATGTGGCCCCATCCTGCTGCAGCGCTTGTCAGTGTCATGATCGCCAACGGTGGCCCAGTGCTGCTGTCAATCATGAGAACCCCCTGGTGGGCCGGGATTTGGTGCCGCAGGGAATCGCGCCTACGTAAAAAGGTCATTGAGGAGATCCGCTTCTCCACCAGTCTGGACCGGCTGGACGCTGGGAAAACGGTTGTCATGGCTCGAACCAGGGCTGACTAAACGCAGGAGACTGGACGCCATCGAGGAACTCAATCGACGAACGGGCCATACGGGCCAGGCGGGCCAGAGGGAGGGGTGCGCTATGATGGGGATGAACAGGACCAGCAAAAGCACCGTTTCGTGAGTGGAGCTGAACCGCGTACTTTTGGCCGGAGCTACTGTACAGCCTAACCGAACTATTACATGCAGTGCACTGGCCGCAAATTGGATGCATTTTCCGCTGCCTTTGCCTTTGCGTGCGCCGCATACTCCGCATCCTGGCTGCCCCTCGGCTCAGTCCGTGGCGGACGGACCGGTTGGGGGAGTTGCCGTGGGCGTGGATCGAGAACGACTTCGTGCGATGGGATCCCGGAACTCTCTCTGCCTGCGTGGACGGTCGTTCGCGTTCCTTCCCTTGTAAAGGATCCAGCGCAGCCCGTGCTGATCGGGAGCGGCCCGAAACTTCCCTGACAGCTCTTGATTTTGGTGTGCTGCTTCTCCAACACCCAATTGACCCACTCCCCGGCTTCTCTCTCAGCTCCCTGAGCGAGTAATCGGGGAAGAATCACACCAGGGACACCCTGGTAGGACGGGTGGAATTTGATGTGTTTTTCTTGCTTTTTTCAATGCTCTTTCCTCGCTGGGCACGTCGCTTCGAGGGAGCGCCCTCGTGTAGACGCAAGGGTGCGACAGCCGTTGGAACATGCCTCGCCGTTGAGAGACCAAGTGTCATCCCCAGAGGAGCAACAATGGACGGGAAGGGAAACAAAAATAACGCCCAACCTCTCAAAAGAACCATGACTCGGAACAGGACGACCGCGCATTGGATCCGCCCGATCCCGCCGGTGGGCCCCGTACTTTTCCATACATGCTCCACCGCCGTCAACGGGTGAATAATTGGAACAGAAGATCAAGGGGGAACGTAGAGGCCTAGACACGACAGGATTCAGGCAGGCGGGGAATCCCCACGCGCACATTCTTGCGCTTTGGTCTCTTCTCGAGTGGTCGCGTCCTCACTCGGGAGGGGGTCCCGCTGGGAGCTGACCGAAACTCAGGCCTCTGGTTGACCCTGGGGGTCAGGTGCGTGTGTCTGACGAAGGCGATGACCCGGCCAGGGAATGGAGGGTACGGGGTACCTTCAGGAAGGAAACCATATTGGTACCGAAGGGACTCGCCATCCGCCCACCCGGTACCTCAGAGGTAGCGGCAGGGAAAAAAATACATGGGGGGTCGCGTGTGGATTTGCGGCCCCTGGTCAGGTCGGGTCTGGTCTAGTCTGGTCGGATCCGACCGACAAAAGTACGGGAGAGCTTCCTGGAAAGAGCATGAAGCATGGACGGAGCACCAGAGTGCATGCTAGCAAGTCTCAGATGGGGCCCCGTCGCCACGGGGCCCACCCGAGGGGAGCAAAGAAAGAGAGACGACCAACGGCCCTGGCCCCGTTGGCAATGGCTGGAACCTAGAACGCGCGGAGACGAGAAAAGAACGCGACGCGATCAGAGTGTCAGGTGGCAAGGCATCGAGGGCTGCATGGATCGACGCGGTCGGGGAGAACCCCCCAGTCGCCGATGAGAGTCGAGGGCGACCGGGCGCAACAGGATAAAAAAAGGTACTGGGCATCGCTCGTACTTTGCGCGCCTGGTGCCCAGGCCCGCTCGGCCAGTGGTGAGAACGAGGCACAAAGTCCAGGGGGTGGAACAATCGGGCACCCGTCCCTACTGCGTGCATGCTCCGGGGGCTTAGACTTGAACAGGCATCGATCTGACGGTTTGGTGCTAAAACGCGGGGCCGGCCCTTCCGTGCCTTGGTGCTTCGGTTTTTTGGGTTCGCTACGATAACGTGGTGGAGATGAAGATGGGGGGTGATGAAAGGAGTTGATAAGGTGGATTAAGGTGGATCAGGTGGATCAGGTGGATCAGGTGGATTAAGGTGGATTAAGGTGGAGGAGTGGTAACAACACACGCCCACATATCAACCACGATGTGGATATACTAAACGGGAAGCAGGGGGGAAACAAAAGGGGATATCCGCATGGGACCCTGCTCCACATCGCAACGAACGAAGCCGGAGAAATCTGCCGTGACCATGGCGATAGGGCCACGGACCACCGTTCACCGGGTCGGATCGCATGCAGGTACTTGGATGTAGCGCGCTCATCGGATGAGTGAGGGAATCGTGGTCGTGACGGGCACAACAACGCCGCTGCAGGTGCGTATCGGTGGATTCCTCCCCACCGCTCCCCCGGACGGGCCAGATTCTCAGGCCAGATAGGGATGGAACGGCTTCCGCGGTTCTACGAGCGTGCTGCATCCAGTCCGCAGATGACAGGAGGGTAACAGATTGGCAGTTATACCTCGTCGATCGAGGGCGATCGAGGGCCGACGAGGGGCCAATAGAGCTTGAGATATTGACAACCTGCATGTCGCACTTTGGCAAAAGCCACATAGTTCATCATTCAAAAGTACAAGAGACTCTTCCCGGAATCAGGCATCGCAGAGCTTGGTCGGCCTTGGTCGGCTTTGGTCGGCCCTAGTCGGTCCAGCGCGGGCCCAGCTCCGCTCCACTTAAGTCTAGAGGAGGTCATGCACCACCCCCAATCTCTATCGAGTCAGTCATTCAATAGGGGAAGGCGGGAAGGGAGGGGCTGAGAAGGATGGTGCACAAAATCCTTCCCGCATGGACCCCCTTGATTGAAAGGTCGCAGCCAGCCAGCATAACCTTTCATGTTCGAGGCTTGGTGGGACTGGCAGCTGCCACCGCCGCAGCTGCAACGGCCGCAGAGTTGCTGGAGCCCGCACTGGCAACATTACTAGCGTGCGCGAGCAGAAACTTGCAGCAAGTCAGGGTGTATTTGCAAGCCCGAGTCCAGGTCTCGTCGTTCTGGTTGAACCCGAGCTTAATACTAGCATCACCAATGCGATCCTTCTTGATCTCGTAGGGCAACCTTAATCCGGGAGCAGCGGCGCCGCCGGTCTGGCCGCGGCGGGTGGATGCTACCGGTGCAGGGGTTGATGCAACGAACTGCCCTAGCTGTCGCAGACTGTCTAGGAACGCCACCATTCCGTTATCAAAGCGACGGTGCAGCCATGGGAGGTTGAGTGGAAGGTCTCCGGACGAGAATAGATCCAGCTGAGTGACTTTTGGGGCGCCCCGTTCACTGACATCCGTTCCGGCCGGCTGCAGTGGGTACTCAATCTTGTCAATCCGCGAGGTCGATCCCAGCGGTCTCAGGCGATACCCTTGAAATTGGAAGCCCAGACGCTCTGCGATGGTGGCCAGGAGCAAACAGGTCTGGCCCCATGCAGCGTTGATCTCGGGCCACTCGACTGAAGGGTTAGCCAGCCGACCCAGCCGCAGTCCATTGATAGTCCCAAAATATCCGTCATGCCCGATGCAAAACGCGTCATTATAGACATTCGTTCTTTGTAATCGCTCCAGTTGCTGCGAGTCATGGTCGTAGCGCATATTCAATGCATCCCGCTCAGTTTGGAACTCTCCCAGCGTCAAGGCAAAGCCATTCCGGGCTCGCCAAAACGCCTCTTCATTCGCATCCAACTGTTGCGACTCTTCTTCGAGAGCACCAATCTCCGCATCGAGCTTGGCTTTCTCCCGCTCCAAAGCCTCGAGATCTGCCAGCATCGTTTCCTCGGCTTTAAGGCTTTCCTGGAGGGACTTCTCGGCGGCCGCCATCTCTTCTGCAGTCGGAACCGACGCATTCAAATTTCGAAGAAACGATATATACGCATCACGCTCTTTCGTCGAACCAGCTAGGCGTTTCTGCAAGCCCTCAACCAGCAGCTCTGTGCACTCCACACAAACGGGGTGGTCGATATCTGACCGCGAAGAGACAATCTCAAACAGACGGGTTGATTTCTCGATCTGGTTGGCAAATGACCCGCCCTCTTGATGACAATCTGGGCCCTGGATACTCTTCCGCTTTGGTCGAGCCGGCAGAGCGTTCTCCACAGGCGGAGGAACGAACTGGGACTCTGTAAGCATCACGAAGGACATGTTCCCGCTATCAGCCCGTGGCATCCCCGGCGGGTGTGACTGACCGCCCGACCGGGGGGCGGGGATAGATCTCCTGTAAATCGGAGTGGTAGCATTGCTAGACGCTCGATCGTAGTGTTCACGGCGGTCCGCAGGGTAGGAAGCTCGCGGAGATGACGTAGCGCCGTGGTCGGAGAGTGTCTTGCCCGTAGAGCCTGAGCCAAAAGCTTGGTTAGAGATCAACATGTGGCTGCGCGGGTCGGGGGGAAGCTTACTAGCGAGCAGCTCAAAAGCAGCTGGGTTGAGCGACTCGAGTGAGCCATCCAACTTTAGTGGCGTCCGGCACTTCTGGCAGTACATGGTGTTGGGCTCGCGATTAGTTCATCCTCTCGTGGGGGGGGGGGGGGAGGATGCGGTGTGGGGAGGTTAGGTTTGGGGGGAGCTTCGGCGGGAACGTCATGCCGTTTGTTTTTCAACTTCCGTCATTTGGATTCACCGCGGCGCGTGGCGCATGCCAGCTGCCCTATTTTGTCCCCACGTTATTTGTCTACGACCGAATCACTGGATAATATTGAGATTTTTCAAGACGTGCGCCTTCTAATTCCAAAGATGCTGCCCTCCCACCCGTTTTTCTAGCCTCTGTCCCGCCGCGCCCGACAGTGAATGTCCAGCTGCCTTTCATCCTCTCCTGCCGAGGACCACAGCATGGACGCGCCCATGAGCGACACCATGAACAACCTGATCGAGCATCCTGCAAAGCGAGCGCGCCTCTCATATATATCTGGCTCGCCTGAGGAGGTCGGAGAAGCGTCGGAGGAGTGGGATCTACACGCGGCGCGCGCCCAGAATGACCTCCGACTGAAATCGATCTTCGAGGGGATTTTCTCAAAATACGGCAATGACTTCTCAGAAGTGGGTGATGAGATTGACCTGGAAACGGGAGAGATAGTGGTCAACAATGGCCACTTGCAGGGCCTGCATGACGAGGCTGACGCAGGGAACGAAGAACAAGCCTGGCTCCTCGAGACAGACCCTGCCACTTCAGAAGACGAAGTGCAGGATGGAGACGAGGAGCTGGTCGGGGCCCAGGGTGCTGCTTCGGGGCGCAATTCACAAAGGGAGCTATTGGGTTCTGGCACCGACGGAGATGCAAATGTTTCCCTTTGCGACGCTGCGCTGACGTCCTTAGAACCTGGGCCTGGAATCCCAGGATCCAGCCGGTCGGTGTTCGGAGAACCTTCATCTGCACCGCACCATATTGAGAAGGACCCCGGCCCAAAAGACCCCGTTTGGCAAGCCCCTGACCTGCCACCGCTATTCTCGACGCCCAAGGTCCAAAGACGCACCGACCTATCCCCGCAGCTTCCAAATCTCCACCGGGAATTATCTCCACCTGGCTCGGGGTCGTTATGGACAGTTCCGCGTAGGGGTCGACCGCGAAAAAGTCAAGATGGAACAGCCAGGACGACCCCAACGCCGAGTAAACGCCGGCCCCGGGCGAAGCGTAAGGCTCAGTCAAGCCCTGTCTCACGAGACTGGTCCTTTGCCAAAGTAGCCGATGGCAGCGAATCGGACGATCCGCTGCAGGAGAACTGGCCTTCGCTTATGCCATTCACACCGCAGATGAAAGCCACGGAGAAGCGACGCTGCGGAGGCCCCGTTAAGCCCGTCGACGATTCCGTCGAAGATGCGGTAATTAGCCGGGTTGGGGCTACTCCCCAATCATCGATTCAAGCGGGCCGTACTATGCACCGCCAATCGGCTACGGAACCTAAACCTGATTCTCGGGGCCACCACTCGGAACAAAGCCCTGCGCAAAGTGATGTGGCAATCGACTATGATAATGTACAAAGCGATTCATCTCCACGGCTACCGCCTCACTCCCAAGCAGTGGCTGACTCGCCACTGACAAACACGCCGACCGGATCTAATGCCAGAATATCGCCCGACGAGGCGAGATTGATAGTCCGCATGCGATATGTCCAGGGACGGAAATGGAAAGAGATTCTGGATGCACTGCCGGGTCGCAAAATGACGCAGATCTATCAGTGGAACCAGATTCACTGGGTTAATCGCCGTGTGAACCCGCCTGAACCTTCGCCTCCATGGCTGCAGGCTGAGCTGGAGACCCTGGAATCGCTGGCAGATCGGTCAGGGCTCTCCTGGGTTGAGATTAAGGCCCAGCTGCCGGGTCGCTCCCGGCCAGAGATTGAAGTGGAATTGCTCCGTATCTGGGTCGGTGAGGATGTTTGGGGCGGCGGACAGCGTGCTGCTGCATCTGTTCAAAATGAGGTAGAACATGAGGCAATTGGGCTTGATACAGATGACAGGGAGCGAAATGGGTTGGAGACTTCTGCCATGGCCGTCGAGGAGTCCACTGTTGAGGACCCCACGGCTGTAGAAGGATCGGACATGGAACTTCCTGCTCCAGGCGCGCAACGCCCTCTTCGTTTTGAGGAGCTAATCAACGATGATGGTGAGAATGACGATGATGCTGACGACGACGAGGTCATACTCATCAGTGGGGTGTCTTCGCCTTCCAAGCTGTCTGCCATTCACCTGGAAAGCCCGGTTCCGAGTCGGCACGGCTCAGCAACTCTGAAATCACCGACTAAGCTCCACAGCCTTATATGAAAACTGTAAACTGGCTGTGAACGTGGTCTTAATTTGCTGAAATGACTTATGAATTCTCATGGTCATGTACTATCATAGCTACCTTAGATTACATCTATTTAAAGTCCTCATCTCGGGCATTGAGTACATCCTCCAGCTTGGTATCAACTGCTCCACCAACGTCTCCAGCTTTAGCCCAGAACCGAGACAAGTGCCGCGATCCAGAGTCGGACAGCACGGTCACAATTCTATGGCCAGGACCAAGCTTCTGCGCCGTCTTGACAGCAGCAAAGCCTGTAGGAACAGTATGTGAGCATGTTTATGCACCCGGGTGAAGAGAAGAAAACTCACAATTGACCGCACTGCTGCTCCCAATAAAAATCCCATCCTTCTCAACGAGCCATCGAGCCATGGCCAGGGCTTGGGCATCTGTCACACGTACCGCATCGTCAACTAACTCCTTGCCAACTTCGAAGTTCGCCGTGACCCGATTAATCCCAATACCCTCGACAATGGTATCAACTTGTCGCCGCCGGCGTGTGCCCTCCCGCTCCTTCAAATCAAACATAACACCATAACGCACGCGATTGTACAGCCCACTTCCTTGCGGATCTGCAAGCACAATGGTGATATTGGGTAGCAGCGGCTTAAGATATCGTGCCACGCCAGAGATAGTGCCGCCAGTGCCTGCACCAGCCACGAAAGCATCGATTTTTCCGTTGCATTGAGCATAGAGCTCCGGGCCAGTACCGGAGTAGTGAGCACGCCAGTTAGCCTCGTTTTCGAACTGGTCTGCGAAGAACCCGCGGCCGCACACTTTGCGCTCGTGTGTCTCCAGATGGCCGTCTTCTTCGGCTGTAAATGGAACGGTCGTGGATGCTGTATGCGCATGGGCGAGTGCCCGGGCACGGTTGACGAAGTTGTCTTTCTCGACGATTGGGGCTGGAGGCACACGGTCGACTATGGCGCCCAGCTTGAGGAGCAAGTTGGACTTCTCAATTGCTTGGTCTGAGGGCATGCAGCTATTTCGCGAGGTCAATACCGAGCACTGCTGTAAAATAGTGTCGATGCGCTTACATGTGAGCTAGGAATCCCTTTGCCCGAGCGAGACTTGCAAGCGAGATTCCAGTTGATCCTGATGTACCCTCGTAGATGGTGTCGCCAGAATACGGTGTCAAGAGACCTTTCTCTTCAGCCTAGTTTCAAGTTAATATCATCGGACTCAACAAATTGGATGTACTAATATTATTATTGACTTACAATTTCAATCATACTAAGCGCTACCCGATCTTTCGAGCTCTGACCAGCACCATTCAAAAACTGGGAAGTTGGAGTTATCAGATATATGCCTCGCATCACATATGGAGGGGTGCATACTTCAGCTTTGGCCAGAATTTCGCACCCTGTCTCGTCCGATAGAGACTTGATTCGAAACAATGGTGTGTTTCCAATACACCCCTGGATTCCTTCAACAATGGCCGGGGGACCTGAGCGCGCGACATGTGCATCTAATGCCGACTTTGAGTCTGCGGAGTCTTCGTAGCGACGGTGCGGGTAAAGGACTTCTCTGCAAACGAGTGCCAAAGAGACGCCGGCAAGAAATGCCGTGCCAATATATACTGCCGAATGGTCCGTCATGGTGCGTTAGTTTTCCTATTTGCCCGCTACCTGTAAGGTTGACGAAACGACCATGAGGAAGGCCAAGATGAGGCGCTCGGACCGCTGGCTTAGCCTGAGAGTCAATTGACGGAGTGTATGTTCAGACACAACTTCGCAATAAACACTTGATTGAATAAATGCACACGGACAGACATAGATAAAGGACTAAATGAAGGACCGAAGGCGAGAAACCCCTCCAGGGTGCAATTTGTTGCCTCAGGCACTTAACTTAGTGCCTGAGGCAACGAGAAAGCTCCATGCCGACCCCATATCACCGATCTTCGTGTCTCCGACCTATTGCTCCAAGCACCATGGACTCTCCCGTCCTCAACCAGCTGTTCCGACAGCTCTTCCGACACCCGGCCTGCCAGTTGCACCGGCGGCCACCCCCTCACTCTCCCGCCAGACCCGCACGTTCCTCACCCGGCGTACACCCACCAAGCGCAAATCGCAGGGCGATGGCATGCTGTGGACGAAGCGGGGAGACTACCCCAAGAATATCGATGAGGAGTACTGGTCATACCCGACAGTGACGGCGAAGGATCTGCAGAATCGGCGCGAGCGCCCACGGCAGGTCAAGATGTTGACACGCGAGTTCATTGACGGTAAGTCTTAGAAGACGGAGCTTGCTCGTGTGAGAGGGAAGCAACCTCTGATATTGTTGCTGCAGACAGTCTTTATAACCCACATTATGGTTATTTCTCGAAGCACGCAACCATTTTCAGCCCCGGTCAGCCATTCGATTTCAATAGCATCGAAGACGGACCCGCCTTCCACCGGCTCCTAGGGGAGCGGTACATCGAATTCGAGGATTTGCTTGACGAGAAGAAGCCCGACATTGCGCGACAGCTATGGCATACACCGACCGAGCTGTTTAGACCGTATTATGGCGAGACAATTGCTCGGTATCTCGTCTCGAATTACAAGCTCACCCTGTATCCCTACCACGACCTGATAATCTATGAGATGGGCGCTGGAAACGGTACAATGATGCTGAATATTTTGGATTTCATTCGTGATACGGATTACGAGGTGTACCAGCGCACCAAGTTCAAGATCATTGAGATTTCGCCTGCTCTAGCAGATCTGCAAATGAAGAACTTGCTGGACACGCTCAATTCCAAGGGCCACCGGGACCGTGTTGAGATTATTAACCGGTCTATCTTTGACTGGGACACATACGTGCATTCTCCCTGTTTCTTCCTGGCTCTCGAAGTGTTCGATAATTTCGGTCACGATGCTATTCGGTATAACGCCCGTACGGAGGTTCCCCAGCAAGGCGGAGTTCTGATCGACGCGGACGGGGAGTTCCACGAGTACTTCAATACACAGCTTGATCCTGTTGCGGCGCGTTTTCTCCGCGTGCGCCAGGCTGCATCTCGGCGCCCGTTCCCCAGCCCCCTTGGCCCGCGATTCCTGCGCGGCATTCGCTCTGCGCCACCTTTCCGCAAAGAGTTCTCTCTGCCAGAATACATACCCACGCGGCTGATGCAGTTCTTTGATGTGCTGAATCAATACTTCCCTGCTCATCGTTTGGTGGCAAGTGATTTTAGTTCCTTGCCAGATGCAGTACCGGGATTGAATGCGCCCGTGGTGCAGACCCGATACCAGCGGCGAACTGTGCCGGTGACAACTCCATTTGTAAGCTTCTTCGAAGACGGCAGTTCGGCATCTCGGCAACAGCTAATGTTCTTACTATAGGTTCATCAGGGCTACTTTGATATCTTCTTCCCCACTGACTTTAATGTCGTCGAAGATGTTTATCGTGCAGTTACTGGTAAACTGACTCAAGTCATGAGCCATGAAGACTTCGTTCACCGCTGGGCATATATTGAAGATACAGAGACGCGGAATGGGGAAAACCCGTTGTTGACTTGGTACAAAAATGCCAGTATGTTGATGACGGTGTAGATACGTACAATATTAGTTATGGACAAAACTATCATCCATTTGTTTGCTGCCGTAACACTCTACTCGTAAATCTCCCTAAATGAAGTACATTGTCCCCGCGTTTATTAAACGGTCTGCGCATGCGGATTAATATACAGTGCCAAATTCAGTCCAGTTGGATTCCCGTTGGGCCTCCTGCCAGAGTATAACTGTATCTTGAACGCCAGGTATAAGACGCGGCACCAGCTGACGCGCTATCAATTGCATGAAGACTTTGGAATTATGATTCAACCCAGGATACCATGATCTAATGTTCGTTCTGGCAAACTCCATCATGTCTACCCGCCAGGAGCGGGGTTGTAGAGGAGGTTTAATGGATAGGTGTAGTTTGATAGTCGATATCTCTTGTTGAAGTATTATGAGTATGTGTATGGTGCAAATGCGTTGGGGAGATGGTTTTTATAGAGCGGCAAAACGGTAAACGCCAATTTTGAAGGCATGGACATTTTTGAAAAACATCATCAGGCAAATGGGTTGATCTGAAAACACCGGGCTCATTGAGTATGGGAAATGCGACTCCTTCAAGATGTGAAGGTTTTCAAACTAGGCAAGCAAGCAAAGTATGCAAGTAATGTAGGCGAAGGGTGACGGGTCGAATAGGCCATAGCATACCCCAGACCAGGCCCTTAAGTAGGGCTGTCTGGTCATTTGCTCTCCTAGATCCGGAAATGTGATGTGCATGGTCCTTGAGAGCGAAGTGCCAGCATCTATTATGGAAACCTGCTTTTCGGGGATTTTGATTGATATGCGTGGGAATGGAGTGAAAGACTTTGCGAAGGCAAGGTTGGTAAGATGATGAATCTCACTAGTCGAGGGGGCTGATATACCTGACTGTCGTCGTTCACGGACTACTTGGCCGAGCTGGGCATAGCTGCCTCTCTCGGGTACGAGCCCAAGACTTGGGTGAGGAGTAACCAGTGGCTGGGATAGGTACACGGCGATGTGGAACCTGCTTGATTATAAGGCAGTGGCTGTTGGAACGGTTGTGGATGGGTTGATGAATCCGAGCCCGTTCCACCCTTTCAAGTAAATCCAACACCTCAGTCGCGTATACAGGAGTACAATGATGTGGCGTCCAAGATTGGTCATGTTATATATTCGAGGTACATCCAGGCAGCCTATAGCCTCTTAAACAGCCCGCAAAAGATCCATGATGCAGCCAGCCCCCGCCGGCAAAGCTAGAAACACGAAATGAAACAAAAGAACCAAGGGCCTAGAACAAGAACCTAGCCATGCAGTTTCCAACCTCGCATCCAGGGAATATAACTAGAACTCAAATTCCTTCCGGAAAACATTCACGTCCATGCCGGCGACAACCTGGTCTGCCAGATCGCGCCGCCCCATCTGGCTAAATACGCGGCGCAGCGTGTCATACAGATTCGTGCTCTGGTTCTGGCTAATATGCAGCATCCGCTCGAGCCGCTCGTCGTCCAGCCCGTCGGGCCCGCTTCCACCGCCGATGATCTCGCGCGCGCGCTCGCGGCCCTCCTGCTCGACGACGCGGTGCATGGATAGAGCCCCCAGCAGGTGCTGTGCAGCTTCGGGGTAGCAGCCGATGTTGATGCAGGAGACACCGAGGTTGTAGCGGGCGCGAACGAAGTTGGGGTTGATGGTGAGGGCCTGCTCGTAGGCTTCGATGGCTTCCTCAGAGCGGCCGCTGTTGGCGAGGGTCGCACCGAGGCGGTTCCAGAGGAGATGGAGCTGCTCGCGCTGGTTGGTGGAGCCAGATTCAGTCGAGGCCAGGGCTGCTGAGAAGCAGTCAACGGCTTTATCGTATTCTTCAGCGCAGTAGAAGAGGACGCCCAGGCCGACTTGGACATCGGGATCCATTTGAGCGCCGGAGGGGGACAGCTGTGCGGCCTTGATGAAGAGCTCGGTTACGCGGTCATGCAGCAGCTGGCGATCGGTGAAGCCGAGGTCGGCATCGCCGGATACTTCGTTCGGGTCGATGATTGAAGGGTACTTGTTGGATAGCCAGCGCTCAAGGGTGCGGTAGGCAGTTGAGTCGTAGCCTTCGTTGGTGTATGAGACGGCCAAGCCCATCAGTGCGTCGAGGTTACCTTGGTCAATCTTGAGTGCTTGCTCCAAAGCCCGGATGGCCGGTAGCTCCTTCTCGTTCTGCGCCTGCGCAGAACCCAGCATCGTCCACGCCTGCACATGCTGAGGATCCTGCTGGACCGCAGCTTCGAAAGCGAGCGCAGCCAGGGACAAGTTGCCGCCATCGCGCATGATCTTCACACCCTCCTCAAACGGATTGTTCACCGCGGAATACACGTTATCCTCCTCGAACATGTAGTCGCCCAACTGGGGATCCCGGAACCGAGTATTCAGACTGTCGAAGCCCTCCCAATCGCCCAAGTCCCCGACGTGTACGCTGTCCGTAACCTCAAAGTCGTTTTCCTCAACTAATTTTCTGCTCGCTGCCGTCTCAGCCTGGATGCGGTCCCACACGGTCTCAAAGGCGTCATTGGAGGTGGGCACTGACCTGTCCAGCTCGTTTAGCTCCGCCTCCATCGCCGCGTTGGCCTCCTCATCTGTCTGGATCTCATTTCCAGCGGTCTCCATCTCTGCGAACTGCGCTTCCCAGTTCTCGTCGTCCAGCTCGACCATCCGACCCTTGCCCTTGTCCTGCGTCTGTCCCTCCATCGGCTGATGCATCATCGGCGACTGCATGCCCATCGGTTGCATCATGCCCATTCCGCCCATTCCACCCATGTACCCACCCATTCCCATCGGCCGCTGATACCCCGCCATGAGCGGGGGGTGGCCGACGTAGCGGGGCTCTGCGTCTGGGGTATGCCCATCCGATTCTGCTGCTGGAAGCGCGCGAACTCTGCGGGCGTGAAGCCGGATCCATTGTTCATCTGCGCGCCGGGGAACGCAGCATCCATGCGCGCCTGCTCGCCCGGATCGAACTCCGCAGCCCAGCCGGGCGACCCCGTGCGCGGCGGCGCGGTCTGGAAGTTCTCTAGTTCCCGGCGCATATGCTCCATAGCGAAGGGTTGTGGCGAGGGGCCGTTTATTTGCTGGCCTGGTTGTTGCATGAAATCATCCATCATCTGGAACGGCTCACGGGTAGAACACCCCGAGAGCCTTGCCGTTAGTCGCCAAGTCACAATACAGTGTGGCACACAGGCCGCCTGTGCCCCTCCACTGACTCCTCGGGAAAGGGCCAGGGTTGGTTGCAGAATTCCAAGTACTCACCTGGTCTTGTCCGCCCATCATGCCCCGTGACCGCATGCCTTCTTGCATGCCTGGGCTCCGGCCGACTAGCCGATCTCGCTGGAGGGACTTGTCATCTTGGACGTGCTTGGTGAATTGCGTCAGAGGGTTCCCCGCGGTGGAGCATTCCGCACCACCCAGGAACGACATTGTAGTTTTGCGTGTGCTGTATGGGGTGATGTGGAAGGAGAGTCACAGCCAGTGAGAGATATCGTGTTTACGCGGACGCACTAGCAGGGAGAAGGAGAAAGCTGTGCCCCGGATATTCGTTGAGACGTGGGGTTAGATCGCTCACTAATGCGCTATCCGCCAGCCGAGGTTCCCCGGTGGTCACGTGGGGACATAGGTGGGTCAGCGAGGTATCAGATGCTTGATGGTCAGGCGACAAGGTGATCAGGCTATGAAACAGGGTGTTGTACATTTTTTACATCCAATGCTATGCAGATATAATACATAAATAGTAGCAGGCTTCTAAGGCTTCTTTTCCTCCACGGATGTCTCCTCATGCACTTCCGCTTCCACCTTCAATTCCTCCTCCTTCCTCTCCTCCTTCCTCTCCTCCTTCCTCTCCTCCTTCCTCTCCTCCTCCAATCTCTCCCTATCCCTCCTCTTAGCCATCCTCTCCGCCTTCGCCTGTTCCTCGTCCACCGGCTCCAGCATAGGCTTCATCATCCCGACCCTCTTTCTCTCTGCAAACTCGACCTTCATCTTCCTCCCATACGGTGCCTTCCTCGACAAGATCTCCCTGGCCTGCGTCGCCGCCTCAACACTAATAAACTCCACATGCGCAAAGCCGCGCGGCATACCCGTTCTCCGGTCCACAGGAATACGGACATCGGTTAAATTCTTGATATCGTGAAAGAGATCCTGCAGGTCCCGGTCTGTCAGCTCAAAGGGGATGCCGCCGAGAAAGAGCGTGTCTGTGGGCGGGTGGGAAGAACCGCGCCGATAATTGAATTGGCTGCGGGCATATTGCACGATAACTTGGCGGCCCTCAAGCACGGTGAGGTGCATATTTTCGACGGCCATGGTGGCCTCTTCAATGGTGTTAAATTGTGCGTAGCCGAATCTGGCAACGGATGATTTAGTAGGGTTGCATAGCCTGGGAGGAGACGAGTAAGTTGCGCTGCTCACCCTTTACTGAGACCCCGGTTATCATGGACGATCATAGTATGCAGGACCGTCCCGTACTTCTCCATCTGCTTTCGCAGGTCTTCAGCAGTGATGTCGTAGAACAGATTGCCAACGTAGACCGTCTCGTTGGCTGGGACTTTGGCCTGGCGAATTCCGGATGCCTCGTCCAGGAGTCGATGCCGCTCCTCACGCTTCGAGGGGCTTGGTCGCGGCTTTTGTAGTCCCTCGGCTTCTGCAGCTAGTTTGTCGCGATCTTCGGGGCGCTGCGAGGGCGCTGCATTATGATGATCGGATTTCCATCGGATTTGAAGGGCTACACGGTATGGGGTTTGCGAGGGGTTATTTGAGATGGAGATGGGTGTCACAGCGCAACGTGACCGCACGACTGATGCGGATGAGGAGGATAGTGATGAGCAGAGGAGCCGTGATGAGGCTCGCCGAAGACAGTGCCTGGGGAAGCAGATCAAGTTAGCGATGGCCTAATTTGCTGATGCATGCGCGAAACGGGAGGCTCGAGCAGAGACCCAAGTTGCGCGATGTGTCCAAAGTGACTTACATCTTATTGAATGCGACGCCGGTATCAAGGATTTTATCACACACGCAGAAAGAATGGAGGTTTGATCGCAATGTCCGGCCAACGATTCTTACCGCGATCAAAAAGTTCCGGGGGGCGATAAGAGATATCACGTGTCCGGTATCAGCTAAGGCTCAAGTCAACAACCCGCTACAGAAGTTCGCGTGCTGTACAACCTTACTTTAGCGACGTCAGGTAAGCTCATCATGAATGATAGATACAAAACCAATACAATCAAGGCTTTCTTAGAGAGGAGTTTTTATACTGGCAGTATTCCAACAATAATGGTACATCCAATCCACAAACCTTATGGCACAGTGCACCGTCAAATCCGCTGAAGATTAACAAGATCAAATCCAAGCTTTTCGATTGACAATCCTCCCAGAGACAAATTCAGGGTACCGTAAAACAAGAGCAAGTCCGATCTGTATTCTCCCGAATCCATTCTCTCAAGAAAGACACCAGTGTCCCAGGCGCAAAAAAAAGGTAGTGGAAATCCAACAAAAAGAAAAGGAAAGGAGAAGGGCTGGAAGATGGAAGTAAGAAGGAAAGAAGGGTCATATCATACTAGATAAAAGATTTTTCTCACAGCGGACCTTGCCTGCGGCCACTATCACCCGACTGCGAGGACATGGGCGTGAAGCCTGGCACGGAGGACGTGCCGCTGTCGGATGACGTGCCTGGAGGGGAAAAGATATTTGGAAGATGCTGCGCCGAAGCGCTGTTAGACACCGACGGGACACGCGTTGTACCTAGATGACTAGACACGGGCGGCTGAGTCAAGGCAACTCCCTGCGGCGTGGGTTGGCGCTGGGGGTCCATCATGGGCCAGAATTGGTTTGAGGTGTCGAAAGTTGGGTTTTGGATGTATGTATCCCATGCATCCTGCAAGTCACGTTAGCTGCATGTCCTGCCCAAGGTATTCATATAAACTGATGTGACCCTACCCAGTCAATATTAACCTGCATGTCCGGCATCGTCCCGAACATGCTGCTAAATGGCGACAGCGGGCCCGACACTTCAGCCGTAGGTGCCGCCACACCACCAATCGGCATAGGTGAGTCTGCCATCTTGAACATGGGGTCCGTGAACGGGGTCAGTCCTGACGGGGCTGAGTTCATTGGGCTCATGCCGCTGCTCAACAGGCCGAGAGTCATAGCCGCATTCTGCTTCTCATCCTGCGGCTCGAACATCGCGCCACCGTTGCCGGCGCTATTCTCAAGCCCCGGGACAGCGCTTTGCAGCTTGGTCAGCATGACGCCAAGCACAGAGCTCGCTTTGAACGCCTCCATGCTATCGTCGCGCCCCTTGTCCCAGATCTCTTTCGAGCGCTGAATCGCCGCCACCATCTCATCGCGCCGCTCCCGGCCCCACGTGTATGTGTCACCAGAGGCACGCCCCGAGCCTTGCAGCTGGAAGCCTTGGTACAGGTCTAGGCAGACAATTGTGGCGGCGAGGAGAAAGTCGGCGGTGCTGAGGGAGGTAATGAGATTGCTGCGGCCGCGGAGGCGCCCGTTGCGCGTTTCTGCGTGCAGGATCGCCTGGTACTCGAGGAGTTCAAGGGCGGAATCGATGCAGGTGCGCCGGGAGTAAGTGAAGCGGGGATTTTCCCGGGCACGAACTAGGTATGGTCGGTGGAGCACGCATTGTGCTTTGTGGTAGACGGCCATCACCTTGGAAAATCGGTCAGTACAGAAACGAGAAATTGAAGATGAAACATGTTGCCAGAGCTACTTACAGAAAAGCGGGAGATGATCAAGTTGACGGGGTCAAGCTGACACTCGTCTAATGGACGAATCTGCAAGTGATCAGGAATCAAATCCCGCCCCCGTCGAAGATCAGCATCAATTTCCATGACTTTGTCATACGAGCAAGACGCAATAGCCGAGTACTGCTCATTGACCCGACCAAAGGCATACGACAGACGAGCCTTAGTAATCAAATACGAGATGGGCGTCGGCTCGCTCAGCTGGCGCGGTGGCGGCAGCTCCTTACAGTCTTCGTCGAAGTCATCATCGTACAGGTTCCGCGGTAGTTCCGTATCAGCATCCGCAGTACGCAGCATGCTCGGCATGCCGACCTGGAACGAGAACAACAGGTCTGCTTGTCGCACGAAGGACCATACTCGCCGTCGCATCTCGCCCTGGAATGGCGTGATGTTGGGGAACATCTTCGAGTCACGGTGGTATCCCATGCGCATCGCCAGACGGGAAATTACACCCGTCAGGACCCAAACTGACACATCTGCGTCCCGCGTCTGCGAGAAGTCACCATGTAAATGGAACACGAGTGCCTCGATCAGAAAACGATGTGGTTTTGTGTAGTCGGCCAGGGTCAAACATTGCGCCACCGAGTTCCTGAATGACCCGGCCATATCCATTGCCTTGCCACGGAACTCTGGCGGCTCGTCGCCTTCTCGGTGGTATGACAACATCGCCAGTCTCATCATGGCAAAGAGCATCGCAATCCACACCAGCTCCGTTTGCGTGGGATCCTCCCAGTGTTTGTCATACTGTGCTTGGAATGTCGGGCCATGGAGAATGTGCGTAGCAGGGTCGTAGCTGTTGAAGTAGCGGGCAACGAGGAGGTCCGTAGTGTATTTTGAGGGTAAGGTCGCCATGATCTCGGCTCGACTCAATGGCTTCATGGCACCAAAGAGTAGTGACGATCCTCCCGGGTTATCAGTCTGTGGTTGCGCAGCTTTCACTTTCTCTGCTTGCTCCTCGAACTGCTTCTTATGTGTTGTGAAGAAGTTCCTGACTTCGTAAATCTATTGAGAACGGTGGTCAGCAGCAACATCATAGGGTCGGTCATCTTCCAGAGCCACCAGTCCAACTTACATCGTTCAGTACCGAAGCCCAGTGGGCTTCGCTGATATAATAGGACTTTCCACTATCCATCTTCATGACACCGAACGATTTAGTCACCTGCTCTGTATCGCTCTCTTCTGGATTCCCCTCGGCATCATCCTCGATATCATCGACGTCAATCTCATTCGATAACCCGGTTGACCCAGCACTACTCTCACCCGAAATCGCTGCCAGAGCAGCCGTTGGACCCGCTGACTGGTTACCATTGGTCATCAACGACAAAACCAATCCCTCCAAGCGGTCAATCCGGTTCTGCATATCATCGGGCGAACTAGGCGACGTCTGCTGTGGGGAACTCTTCTTGCGGGTGCTGACCTGGGCATAGTTGCAGGAGCTTGCATCACCTCGTTTGACGCAGTTCTCGCAGGGGTGGGCGCGGTTACATTTCAGCCTGAGAGTTCACCGTTAGCCTCCCCTGATCGCTATAAGGACGGGCTCTTTTATCCTCCTGTCGCACACACTTACTTCCGGTGGCGGCAGGGTGCGCACGATAAGGGCACCCGATTTCGCTTGCGGATAACCCTGAACTCGGGAGAATGGGCACCCGCACTGGATGAGGTTGTGGATGGTGGTGTGGGTGTCATCTTGAGAGATATTTGGGTAGGTGGTTTCCGCGCGGTCTAGATGGGTCAAGCAGGTACGCTGGTACAGTATTGTACTGGCGCCGAGCGCATGTGAGAATCGACCGGCTCCAGTTCACCAAATCTTCCAAATGCCTTGGCGATGTAGAGTGCGGTTGGAATGGCTTCGGTTTGCAGCCAGATCGTGAATGCGCACCACCCGGAGGGGTTCTATAGCTCGCCTGTTTCAAGTGGCTCTTTCACGGTTCCGGCACGGAAGTTTTCCGTGTGGTCGTCTCGTCAGCGGGCGTAGTCTCGCCCCTGAGTTGGAGCGTCGAGTTTGTGTCGTCTTGCGTCTCGTCAACGGTAGCCTTGTGCAGAACCAGAGCATCCGCGTGATCCGCGCCCACGTCGTTTGCAACAATTAACGACGGTTCGAGAGGCAAAATGAGTCGCTCGAGAAAGCCGGGACTCTCTGTCGATTGCGCCGACTGTAGGGTGCTGAGGGGAGCTTGCGACGGGTATAAGAGGGGTTGTCTCGCAGATGAAGCCCGTCGCCTTCTGGAGATGGGTGGAGCGCGTTGGGGGCCAAAGGAGCCGCGATCAAGCCGGACCGTCGTGAGTACAGAGGAAGCAGTCGCGTTGCCGCTTAGGGCCTGTGGATGAAGGAGCAAGAGCAGAAGAGAAGGACAAAGTTTCCGCGATGCTAAGTTTCCAGAGGGAAGGTTGATGATTAATCCACAGCTATCTCCGTTTTTGGGGCTTATCACCACGATGATCGCACGGCGGCGGGGGCTTCGTTGGGTGGTTCAGCCAATGTGTGGGCCGGGATGGGTTCACCGCCATGCTCTCCCTATGGTGCTGATGGTACTGATGATAGTGATGAGCGCGTGTTGCTTCCTCTCAAAGGAGTTGAATTTACATGCTGAGATCCAATGGAACTGCTCTATTCTGTCCACTCTGTCCGACGGCCACCATCGCACGCGAGTCAGCCCCGTGTTTTTCTTCTCGCTCGCGCCTGTGATTGGCTAAGGAAGAACAGGGATGGAGTGAGTCATCGGCGAGTCTGGCCGGGCCAGCCACGGGGTGTTAGTTGCCTAGTAAGGGCTTGGCTAGGTATGAGAAAGAGGTAGAGGTAGAGCCAGTAGAGAAGAAGGATAGCAACAGCCTTACCAACAAGACCGATCGCACTGCGGCCGGCTACATCCCGGCCCGTGTGGCTCACCGCTCGGGCCCAACGAGCATGGCTGGTACGGAGTACTCTGTATACTTAGCTCTTTCTTTGATGCACTTCACCCCCTTGGAAATATCCCAGTAACACAAGGAAACCCCAGACCCAATCAATAGCAACCACATCTCCAAACTACCGCACAGCACATCAGCCACTGTATTCATATCAACTAGCAAACTACAGTACCCTAATGACGTGCCCCTCACCAGGGTATTAAAATAGGCAAACGGCCAAACAACCTCTCACCTCGCACCTCTCACCTCTCACCTCTCGCCTCTCATCTCTCCGCGCTCTTCCTTCTACGCCTTCTCTCGGGCGCATTCTCTTTTCTTCCCTCTCACATCTTGATCAATTCATATTCGATTTATTATCAGTTACATCATGTCCGATCAATCCCGCGGCCGCGGCAGCCGTGGTAGAGGACCTCGTGGCGGGGATCGTGGGGATCGTGGGGATCGTGGGGATCGTGGCGGAGGCCGCGGTCGGGGCAGAGGCGGCGGAGATGGCGGAGGTGGTGGAGGTTTCCAGGACCTCCCTCATCGCCCTGCTGGCCGAGGCGACTCTCTAGGAAACTCCCGTGGTGGCCGTGGAGGAGAATATCAGGGTCGCGGGCGTGGAGGAGATCGTGGGCGTGGAGATTATCAGGGTCGGGGGCGTGGAGGAGAATTCCAGGGTCGCGGGCGCGGAGGAGGTCGCGGTGGAAGACCCCCCAGATCTTCAAGTGAGTGCCACACAAGGAGTCTTCACGAGCCATGCCCATCACCCAGAACACTTGGGACATTCAATCTTACCTTGGGGAATTTCAGCGATGGCAAGCCGGTTAGCCCCCCAGATGCCACTGTTGTCAAGACGGAAGATGCCATGGCTAAGGCGCTGGTCGCTACCCGCCGGAAAAATGCAAAGATACCAGCTCAAGCATATCCCGACCGACCAGGATATGGCACCCTCGGTCGGCCAGTCACCCTCTATGCCAACTATCTTCCTCTGACCTCGGTGGGTAAGCCCGTCCATCGCTATCACGTCGCCATTGCCGCCGAGGGAGGCCGTGAGCCGGCCGGGAAGAAAGCAAGACAGATCGTTCGTCTCCTGCTGGAAGAGCATTTCGCTCCGAGCCTGAGGAGCATTGCAACCGACTATCGCTCGACTCTGATCTCATGCGTCAAGCTCACTGACGGGGTGTACGATGTGCGCTACAAAAACGAGAACGACGAGGAATACTCCGACAACCCAAAGGTGTACCAGGTCACTTGCCAGCACACCGGCAACATCAACCCAGTCGACTTGATCAACTACCTCACTTCGACCAATGCAGGCGACATGCTGGATTCCAAGCCCGAGATCGTGCAGGCCCTGAACGTCATCCTGGGCCACCACCCTAAGACAGAGCGCTCGGTCGCCTCGATTGGCGGCAATAGGCATTACAGCACCCGAGGCCCCTTTATGGAAAAGGACAGCCTGGGGGGTGGTCTGGAGGTGCTGCGTGGCTTCTTCGTCAGTGTACGCGCTGCCACAGCCCGAGTCTTGTTGAATGTGCAAGTCAAGTACCTGGCCTGCTACCGAGAGGGTGATTTGCGTACAGCGATTGGCGAGTATCAGGGTCATAATGGTTTTAACCTTTATCGACTGGAGGCGTTCTTGAAGCGCATGCGAGTACGGGTCACGCACATCACCCAGAAGACGAAGAGTGGCAAGGCAAGGCCCCCCCGCATCAAGACCATCTCCGGCTTGGCAACTCCTCGCGATGGTGCTTCGTCGGAGACCAAGCCAAAGGTAGGCAAATATGGAGCTAGCCCACATGAGGTTTCGTTCTTTCTGGGAGATTTCGACTCGCAGCCTCGGCAACCGGCCAGCGGAGGTAGCAAGGGCAAGAAGGGCAAGAAGGCGCCTCCTCAAGCTGGCCCGGCTCCGCCTGGTCGCTATATTACGGTAGCTGATTTCTTCAAGAAAGGTGAGTGTTGCTGATGCTGACCGTGCTGATACTCGATACCTATTCAGTTCTGACTCGTTATCTAGAGTACAACATCGTCGTGGATCCCAAAATGCCTGTTGTCAATGTCGGAACCCGAGAGAGACCTGTCTATCTCCCCATGGAGGTCTGCCAGGTCGAAGGCGGCCAACCGGTGGGAACTAAGCTTTCGCCAAACCAGACGGCTAGCATGCTCGCGTTTGCTGTGAGGGGCCGCACCCCCGACCAGAATGCTCGCTCGATTGTTGCGAAGGGCCTGGGGGTACTGGGACTTGGCGAGCCGCTGAATGCCACTCTGGTAAGTGAATGCGCGCGCTTCGTTGTTCTGAAAACTGCCATATTATAGAAATTTCCGAACCCAGCTGATCATTCTTCCCTTTCTAGAGGTCCTTCGGTATTAACGTTGGCTCCAACCTCATCACTGTACAAGGTCGTGTCCTGCCACCGCCCCGCATTTTGTATGCCAAACAAAAAGAGCTCAGTGCATTTGGCGGCAGCTGGAACATGCGCGGTATTCAGTTCTCCAAGCCTACTACACTGAAGAACTGGACATACCTTTACATCGACCATCGAACCAACAGACACAAGTTCGACTCTCAGCAAGAAATGACCAACGCGCTAAGGAGTTTTGCCACTACACTTAAGGCCATGGGCGTTAATGCTGAGATGCCCCGGGGAGGGACGCGTCTTGAAATCTTGGACAACGGCAACAATTCTGCGAACATTGAAAATACCGTGCGCTCGCTGCAACAGGAATACAAACCAGAACTCATCGTGGGCATCCTGGGCACCAAGGATGCTCAGGTTTACAACACAATTAAGCAAGTCTGCGATGTGCGCTGCGGAGTGCGAAACGTCAACATGCAAGCTGAGAAGGTTAAGGACGCCAACGATCAATACTGGGCGAACGTTGGCCTAAAAGTCAACCTCAAAATGGGTGGCGCCAACCAGTCCCTACACACGTCAGACCTAGGCTTCTTCGCCGACGGCAAGACCATGCTTGTTGGCCTTGATGTCACCCACCCATCGCCTGGCTCAGCAGGCACGGCACCCAGCGTTGTGGGCATCGTCGCCTCCGTCGACGCGCAACTCGCACAGTGGCCCGCTGACATCCGCATCCAGCGCGCGCGTCAGGAAATGGTCTCCAATTTAGACATTCTCCTCCAGTCTCGCATCCGGCTCTGGGCCAAGCACAACAAGGGCAAATTTCCCGAGCAAATCGTGGTCTACCGCGATGGCGTGTCAGAGGGCCAATACGACACAGTCATCAATGAGGAACTTCCTCTCCTCAAAAAGGCCTGCAACGACATATACCCAGCACAAGACACAAAGAAGGGTCTGCCCCGCATGGCCATTGTCATTGTAGGCAAGCGCCACAACACACGATTCTACCCAACCCAAAGCGAAGACGCCGAGCGTTCCTCAAACCCCCAGCCCGGCACCGTCGTCGACCGCGGCATCTCTGAGGCTCGCCACTGGGACTTCTACCTGCAAGCCCACTCCGCACTACAAGGCACTGCCCGCCCCGCACACTACTTCACCGTTTGGGATGAGATCTTCTATCCGCTGCACCCAGGCACAGGCCCTGGCCCCGGCGCCGCGGATAAACTGCAAGACCTGACACACAAGATGTGCTACCTATTCGGGCGGGCGACTAAGGCTGTTAGCGTGTGTCCGCCTGCCTACTATGCCGATCTAGTCTGCACTCGCGCCAGATGCTACCTGAGTGACTTATTTGATCCCTCCCCTATGGCGACGCCTTCTGCTAGTGTGGCTGGCACTGAGGGTGGTGGCCAGGTGCCGGATGGCAGTCAGGTGGCGGTGCATACCAGTGTGAAGGATACCATGTTCTACATTTAGCGGGATATTCCGGGCCATTTGGGTGGGTGGGCTGGGTGGGTTTGGGATATCTTGGCTTTTTTGGAACTGGTTTTGCATGATGTTCGGACGTTTGGACATCTTTGCTAGTTGCAAGTGGTGCCACCCTTGGTTCACCTTGATCGAAATCTGGTGACACTATCTGTCGATGATTTGATCGACCTTGGTCGGTACTTGGCTCAATATTGGCCTCCGCTTTGGTCAATGATTGAAACTTTCGTTTTTCGATAGTATTACTAATTCAAGATTGCACCCTACGAAGAGCAGTTAATGTACGCAGATCCAAACTGTATTAAGGATTACTTTCACCTATTCAAAGACTGATTTAGTAAAGCCGTCTAGATAGCTACCTCTTCCAAAGTCATCCGCAAAGAAAAGCGCTCGTCGATGCGGATCGTCCGAGCATATTCGGGGACCAGATCAAGCGATATCGAATCAGTAAAGAGATAGAGTGCTTTCCCTTCTGTCAATAATTAAATATCTAGTTAGTTAAGCCAGCTTGTTGCGCGGTCGATGCGCTTTTGGGAATTGGCTTTCAACACACGGACTTGAAGCTCAACTTGAAAAAACCGTGCGCATCGTCGTGTGATGAAGATGATGATGATGATGCTCTATTACCCTGATGCAGCCTAACAAGACCCGTGGGCATCGTCGTGGTATCGCTTTTTGAATTTTTACATATCCAAGCTCACTCCACATTTTAGTATTGGCATCGGGCAGTTTGGATCCATTTTTGAGTGTCACCAAACGGTACTTTGGCACAGCAAAGGGGCTATGCGAGAATACAATATACTCCTCACAGCTCTGGTTTTCAATCACTCAGGTGGCAAAGAGAGATGACAAAGGCCAAGCACAATTTGATTGTCTATAGTGCCAGGGGACATCAGTATCTATGTATTTCTGAAAAGGCTTGGTCCATAGATAAGCACGATGCCAGAGTTGTGCAGCTGAATGGTCTATTATCATGACTTCTCCATATATGAGGGAAATGCAAACGAAGCCTTTCTGCTCGAGGTTGCCGGTCACGTACCTATATACCTCGCAGCTGGGGTTTTGTCGGTCAATTCATTGCCCTAGGTTCCCAACCTGTACAGGCTTCTAACCTCCATCCATCCGATCAAAACAAACGCTCACCACCATCAAGATCCCGCCCCATCTCCATTTCCTTCACCCTCCCCTCCCTTCCCCCCACCAAATCCTGGCCAACCTGCAGCAAAACCTCATGATTAACGAGCTCACTCAGCCCAAGACATCTCGCCGCAAAAACAAAAATCTTCCTCTCAACCTCCGGCGCATGCCTCGTCAACCCATGGTCATCACCAGGAAAAAGCCGCATCTCGCGATCGCCACCGGCGCCGTACTGGTTAAATAGGGTCTTCGAGCATGACGGCGCCAGGACATGGTCGTCCTCGCCATGGAGAAGGAGTAGCGGCCGCGGAGCGAGCGCCCTCACGCCCTGCGTGTTGGCCGTCTGCGACGCGACGGTCGCGACGCCGCATACACGGGTGGGTTCTTGCGCTGCGACTGTGAAGCATGGACTCCCGCCGAAAGACCAGCCCACGACCACGAAGCGGGTCGCGCCGAAACGATCTGCTAGGTAATCGAATGAGGCTCGCATGTCTGCGACACAATATTCTGTTTGTGCTGGCTCACGGTAGTCCAGCCGGACACATGGCACGGAGAGCAGGAGGGCGATCTTGTCTGCTAGAGACGGGTAGATGCCTGCTGGACCAGAGACACCACCGCCAGCGCCGGAGACTAGGACTACGGCGCTGCCAGTTGGGCCGGCTGCGTTGTAGCTTCGGGGTTCGTGTAGGATGGCGGGGGCTTCGTGGTCGAGTGGGTCTGATACTTTGATGGTGATGCGGCGGGCTACGGAAGGTTTGATGGCTTGGCGGTCGACTTTGGGGGGGTGGAAGGGGCCAAGGGTTTCGAGGGGATGGTTGGATTGGCCGGTTGTCATGATAAATCGCTGGATGAAAGGCTGGATTTGTAGAGGTTTGCTGCATTAGTGGAGTTGGTGTCTCCTACGAATATAAGAGGAATGAAAAGAGGCCACTCATGAGTAGGAGCGCTGAGATCAGGCTGACGCGGGGAGGCAAACGGAAGGGCAATGAGTGGCGTGGTATGGTCATGGGATCTGGGAAAGAAGCATTTCGAATTCCAAAACAGAATATCAGTTCCCTTGCAGTAGTTCTTAAAATACACAACCGTGCATATCCATAACGCCGGGTTCCCTATTAAACACCTGAGCAAGAGCGCGGTCGAGGCCGTCGCAATTAGAAAAAGAAAACAGAAATGAGAAGAAAACAAAAAGAAAAACGAAACAAAAAAACCAACCAAAGCCCAGATTTCCAGTATCTCGCACAAAAGCTCATTACTCCGGGTCTCTTCCGTGAACAGTCATAACAGGCAAAGTGCGCAGGTCGTCAATAATAAGTCATGATATACGGAAGACACCGATTCAAATCAAGTGGAGTGGGTCCTGGAACACTTTTTAAGTGGTACCCCGGCGCTTCTTGCCGCGACGCAAACTCAGCTTCTTTTTCAGTTCAGTGAACGGATTGGAGATGGGGCGGTTATAAAACGGGTCGTCTTTAAAGTCTTCATCGGTGAATTTCTGGCGAGTCAAGTCAGATGGCAAATCTTCAAGTATGGGACGGGAATAATCTTCATATACCTGTCCAGGAAGACGCATGAAATTCCCATACTCATTCATCATGTTGGAGCCCTCCTCATATTGGTATGTCTGCCCCTCTCGATCGGTTGTCCCCGGAGGGAAGAAAGCGGTGCCGTCAAGAGGACGGTGGCTGTGCAAAGAATCAATGATCTTGTCGCGCGGCGTGGCTCGGAGAGCCTCTTCGTTCGATTCCCGCACGGCTTCAAGCGGACTTTGCTGGCTGACTTGGTTTCGCTCGGGATAAACTGCATCGTATGGACCCTCGTGGTGATACGAGTATGATGTCACATCGTCCAGCTTGTCGATAATGTCTGGGTTCACCAACTGTGAGCTCCGCGAGTACTGGCGCGATCGACGTCGGCGGGGCACTGAGCTATCTTGTTGGAGCGCCGGGTACCCTGGTTGGTGCTCGGGGGTGCCGGACCACCAAAGCGACTCCATCGAGACGGTGGGCACGGTGGGCAGCGATTCTGAGAGTGACCGCTTCGAGTGGCAGTACACCGAAGATGTGGGCGACATATAGCGGGCATACGGGTTGTTGCTGCCCAAGGTGCTGTAGCTGGCTCGGCGGTCCCAGCCATGCTGACAGTTGTAAGGATGGTGCGGGTGGTGGCGCGAAGCCATCGACATAGAGTCGACAGCAGCCATATGTCACAGGAAGTATAGAAAGTCTTGCTGGAGAGGTTTAGAGAGGGTGAGAGTCGGGAGAAGAAGAATGGAGGGGGTGGTGGTGAACCAATCCCTTGCGATGATCACGCGCTATATAGGAAGTATACCCGATGGAGATCAGGTGGGGCTGACAGCGATATTCAGCAGTAGATCGCACGGGGCTGAGGTGCGCAGATACGGTGTAGCAGGATGGGAGAAGTTAGGATGAAGGTGTGAATTGCAAAGTTCAAAGTTCCCATGTCGACCCTTAAAAGAGATCGAGGGATGGGGGGAAGGAACCGAGAGTGACGTGACAGACTTGCGTCTCCCCGTCGGGCTTAGTAGCTTATCGATAGCGGCGGGGCCCGTCGTCACGCTAGAAAAATTTAATCGTCGGCCCTCGACGGAGTACTCGTTTGGGTAATCCACCCTATCCTGAAAGGGCTTAGTTCAGGACCCACGCTCGTCGCCGTTGCGCGATGACGATCACACATGTGATATCATCCGGGGGCAAATTGGGCCCTGGAGAGCCCACTATGATATAGTCTTCCCCCTGCTGAGGATTGTTTCCGCAGAACGTTCAGGGCCCTAGCAGATGGGCACTCTTCGCGGGCGTGTCGCCGTACCCGATACCAGGTCAACTGCAATGGGTACCGGCTGATTCATCGCCCACCCACAGGACGCCCACAGTTACATCCACCAGTTCCGACGCTGCCACCCATCGACTGTGATGACGCTCCCCTGGCTCCGCGAACTTCCTACATGGTGTTCCTGGCAATGATTCATAGCCGCCCGCTGATTCCCAGGGATCCTTCAGCAAAAGCTTGTTCCTTAAAGATTGTCTGGTTCAGTCGCGATGACTCAGTGCACCGGCCAATTAAGATTATCGACTAGGCTAAAAAGCGTCAATGACCTTCCCATACCACCGGCACGCCTAGAAGGAACCCTGTGTCGTTTATGACAGTCCCAGCACGGGCTTTCGGTCTAGATCGCCGGCGATCATCTAATGTAATCGCGTAGCCCTTGCGTTCGAGACTTGTCTGTTCTAGGCAAGTGGACAATCTGACGATCCAACAATCCGGGGCCGAAGGGGCTCGCAAACTACCGTTCCCTATCCTGCCGATCTAACAAGCGCATCAGATTGGCCTCTATACTAAACAGCTGGTGACTCAGTGACCATGTACGTCTTCACCATCACTTCGCAAGTTCAGCCGACTTTTGATCTGACATCGGCAAAGATGTTGACTCGAAACATCCCAGAGTGGCCTCGCAAATGACCAGCGCCTTGGTCCAATCACTTCACTTCCAGCAGTTCTCCTGTCCTTTCCAGTGCCTCCTGGCTCAGCATAAGCTTAGCGTTACATTGGAAAGTTCAAAAATTCTGATTGAGACCTGCAACATGTTACAGAGTCCCTGCAGAACTGGAGAATTCGAGCAATGCCTCCAGCCTATAAAGATAATAATCAGAGATTACCGCCCGCTGAAGATCTCCCTAAGAAAGCCAGGTATTGTGCATCCCGTTTCATAATGGACTGGTGTTTCCCTAGACATGGAATACCCCGGAGTGGCGGGGGCCTCCACGCTTCCATAGTTTCTTCAGTTGGCCGTGCACCGATCAAATTCAAGACCGGACCGAATAGAGTAAGAAAGAGAAATAAGACTTGAGATGAAAGGTGCCGATAGGAATGCATCCATTATCCAGCATCTATTACTCCCAATAGTCAGTCAATAGTCTATCCCTCGCTACATGGTCTCATCCCAGGATCGCCCCGGCCGAGGAGATCTCGCGCGGTCTCCGCGTCGGAAAACTCAGCTCCCCATACCACACAAACAAACCATGGACCCTCCAACACCAGCGCTCCCGCACGAGAAGCCACTCCTCATTCATGTCACTGGTGCAATATTCTGACTCCGAGTCAGATGCAGATAAGCCCGCATCACCTCCAGCCAAGAAACCCCGCCGTGACCCTCCATCCCGGGCCCACGCGCTCCCGCCGCTACCACCTGCATTTCACGACCTCTACGCCTCCAGCACGCGCGTCAGCGTAAACGACGACCCCAGCCTCCACGGCGGCCGGAAACGCGTCATTCCCCACGTGGAAGGCAACTGGCCGACACACGTCTACCTGGAATGTGTGTACGCCCCGCCCTCGCGTTCTTTCGCAGCTGAGAGAGCAGCAATAGCTAATAGTAAAGTCACAGGGTACCCAGCCAAGGACGAGCTCGCGCTCCTTGCAGACCTCCTCGCCCGGGCCGAGGAGTCGGCAAAGCTGGGCGATGGCAGCGATGGTTCCAGTACCCCGCGCCTGCGCAGCCTTTTGCACAGCGATCTGGGCGCCCAGCTCCCGCTGCACATCAGCCTGTCCGCCCCCGTAGTGCTGCGGACTGACCAGCGCGCCTCATTCACCGAGGCCCTCACGACGTCCATCCGAGATTCGCACATTCCACCGTAAGACCAGACCAGCATCGCACTGTCTCATCACCCGCGACCTTTTCAAAGACTTCCTGCTAACATCCAGACCACCAGCTTCACCGTTACCCCGGACGCCCTGCAATGGGTATCCAATCACGAGCGCACGCGCTGGTTCCTGGTGCTCCACGTCGCACAATCGGCCGGCGACGGTCTGACACGCCTGCTCACGCTATCTAACCGCGCCCTAGCTGCCTTCGACCAACCGCCGCTCTACACGACACCCTCGAGTGACGCCCGCCCGTCCCGTGCGCCGGTCGCACATGACCGCAGCCGTGGTGCGGCTGGGCCTGCTGGGTACCACTCGGACAGTTTTCATGTCTCTCTAGCGTGGAGCTTGGATGGGCCTAGCAAGATGGATGCAGAGCGTGTTGCGGGGTTGGATCTGGGATTGGTAGGTGGTATGAGGGTGCGGTTTGATAGTGTGAAGGCGAAGATTGGGAACCATGTTGATAGTATACCGCTTCTGGTGCAGCTTTAGAGGTGCTTGGCATGGTTATCTAGATCTCTACTGGAGCATGTCTCGTCATGATAAGTAGCTCTAGTGAAAAGAGACGACGGAACCATAGTGAGAGACCTCCATCATAACCTTTCGAGGTACGCCTGCGCTCGAATGATCCATGTTATAAAACCTAAGGGCTAGCACTTCTTGAAACCATTTCAAATCAAACCGGATCAGATATACCTCGACGTTTCTGAGGACGCAGACCACTCGTGCGAACTGTTGAGTAACGATCTCCAAATCTTACGTAATATTAAAGTCGCGCCCGGCCGCGTCTTCAGCAACTCCCATCCACCTCACACCCCAAACATGCAGATCCCAACTGTAACTTTGGTAAGCGCTCAACACGTTGTCAGTTCTGTAATCAACAAAGCTAACCAAAAGACAACCGTCAGGAAGATCTCCAAGCCTTCCAAGCAGCCCACTTCCCAGGAAACCACCAAGCACTAAACCCTCCCGCGGCAGAGTCTGCCATCGAGGACGATGCCTACGCGGATGAAGATGACCTCGGGTACTACCCCGACGGTGCGAAGCGCACCCTGACTGATGAGCAGATCCGCATCTTCAGACACAGCGAGATCCATGCCCTGCGGCGCGCAAGACAGCTTGAGCAGGACGACGCCGAGTACGAAGCCCGGGCTCGGCAGCTATCTGATGACACTGGAACAGGGGCTGAGGTAGAGACTCAGCTGGATGAGCCACTTCTCGATGAGAAGAGGAATGAGAACTTGAGCCAGAGTCAGGGCCAGGGCCAGGGCCAGACTCGTCGAGGATCCTCCGGTGGAGGGAAGTCACAAAAAAGGGGCAATCGTGAGACGCGTGATAAGCCGTCGGAGACACTAGACTATGAAGATCACGAACAGAGCACGATTAACGAGGCCCGCCCAGCTGAAGCTCGTGCGCCCTATCCCAGCCGGAGGATTATCTCCTACGAAGATTGATTCGATCATGGAGACGAAACGTTACATGCTGGAGTAGGCTTGGACACAGAACCCGGTGAAAGGGCTTTCCTGTTCCAGCCAGGGAAGACCATGCCTCCTGCAATGGAAGGCTGAATTCCATACGGCAAATTTTGTGGTGAGTTACCTATGTCGTTCCTTCCTCATATCCCCGCCGACCATGATGAAAAAAATTAAGTCATCCTTAGTCGGAAGACCATACCATCACGCATGTGTAAGGCTTTGACGACCTTAATCTTCTCTCTGAAAGGCTTCCCTTTTGAATTTGTCAGCACACGTTATATCACGAGCTATATACTGATGTTGCTCTAGGTTCATCAGGCAAGGCGTCCGGTCATCATTTGTGTCATCGCGGCCTCTACTCGCGCGTTTGCTTTGTCTTATCTGAAAAGCTTCGTCTATCATTCTTTAGGCGGAATCCACTCAGGAAGCCGAGGGCATCAAGCGTCGCTGAGGTACATCTGTGGATCTCTGCCCGCAAAGAGACGCCAGTCCGTTCGTCCAGGGTAGTCTCGCATGCAAAAGTTAGTCGAGACCACCACACTACAAAATCTAAAAGAGAGTGTGTGAGAAAGAGAGGGTACCTCTATCTTTCTACTAAGGCCCAGGCAGACACGCCACTCTCCCTGGAACATAGGACATCATGTACTGTCGGGAGTTATTGTATGATCCACGCCAGGAAGCCGTTTAGAAATAAACCACAATTATCATATTAGACACTTGTGAATCCAAGAAGCAACAAAGCGAGTCAGAAACAGGCTTTTTGACCCCCAACGCCGCAACAAATGCTAATTATGGCTAAGAAAGATAATATTAAATGATTCCAAGAGGACGCTCGGTTGAGATCAAGCGTTGTTTGCACACGAGAAGCTCGCACTGCTGGGATTGTCGTGAATAGCCTTTCCAGATACCCACAGGCCCATACCACACTAGCAAGGGAGTTAGTGAGGATGTACGCTGAAATTCTCGCAGAGGTGTACATACGATGGTCAGTCCGATTCCAATGAGGACCAGGTTTACGACGGTGCAGATTATCATCCGCGGGGAGGAGAAGAGACGGCCGTTGTTAATATACAGCCAGAAAACGCCGCCGAGGCAGTAACTAAACCAAGAAGCAAACAGAGCAGTCTAGAAAATTTAGGTTAGCAATGAACATAATGTGCTTAAGCAGCGCCTGACATACAATCAGACTCAGCAGGTTGCTGAAGACAGGAATCGCAGCTGAGATGATCCAAGCGAGGATCCAAAGACCCACGGCAATACCGATCCAGAGGCTGACGGCAACCCAGTCGCGCTTGTGCATGCGGTCTGTTCCGGCCAAGAGGCGCATATAGACGTACTTGACTGCAACGTGGCCGTTGATGACACCGGCGATGATGATCTACAGTATCAATTTAGTCTAGCCATTCAAGTTAACCTGGAGTCAAGTAAGCATACCGTAGGCAGGGCAATGCCATAGGCAATCTTGGCAGCAAGCGGCGAGGCTGAGCCCAAGGCAGGCGAGGTGACACCGTCACCAGCGTAGCGGTAAATGACCAGAGAGGCAACCAAGTACAGACTTATATCGATTCCCTGGAGCAAACAGAGAGACTTGGTGAAGTCGCGCGGATTCTTCAGCTCAGCCATCAGACCGAAGTAGGCCGCGTGGCCGGAGAAAGCAAAGACAATATTGCACACGGCCGAAAAGCCGTGGTAGAGATCGGTTTTGGCAACGGCAACGACGCCGCTGCCAGGGTTCTCGATACCGACGGCAATCATACAGATGAAGACTGCAGCGATGATACTCACGAAGGCTGGGGAGGCATTAGTACGAGGGTGAGGGGTCCCAAAGAAGGGTTGAGAAGCTCACAAACAAGCGACAACCAGGACATCTTCTCTAGTGTACGCGGCAGGCAGCACAAGAAGGAGAGGATCGTGCCAACAATGCCGAAGACAAGCGAACAAGTGCCGTGGTTGGTGATAGTGTTCATGGCGACGGTGAAGGTCAAAAGGTGACTCGACATGATGAAGATGAGGAAAAGAATCTGGCAGATGCCCATAAATTCACGACCAAATGCGCCTCCGAGGACTTCGCCTGCATCGGCCATTGTCATGATGTAGGGGTACTTCAGCTTTATTTGTCCGATCATGTAGCCCGTCCAGGTAGCGAGGAGACCAAGTCCGATAATGAGAATAACCGAGCTGTCCGGGGCATTAGTATCATGCAAGCGATCTGTTTCTTGGTGGGAAAACATACGGGACAAGACCAAGTGCTGCAACAGCGGCAGGGAGCGACAGGACACCGAGCGACACAGTCTCAGCAACCATCACTAGGAAAGAGTTAGATCCGATGCTTGTTATAATGTTGTGTAAATCACATACGCAAACCGCATTGCCTAGAAGTCGCATTGATTAGTAAAGAAATCAAGCTTATGAGATAGCGCTTTTTACATACCACCACTTCATGATCTTGTACTTAACCTCCGCAAATTCCTCATCGCCAAAGGCATCTTGCTTGTATTGCGGAGTGTTGTTCATCTTGTCCTCCGGCTCAAATTCGACAGGCGCGATGTCCAAGCTCTTTTGGCGAACATTTTCCAAATCTGCAGCCTCAGCTGGGCCATCCACCTGAGGGCTCATAATTGTAGTCGGTTCGTTCGAGGATCTATATCAAAACGCGAGTCCTTGGCAATCTCGATTAAGTCCAGTCCGAAAAGTTTAGCAAGCCGCACAAGACCTCAAAAGATCGAAAATGCCAAGTTACGAGAGATACAAAGACGAGAAAAAGGCAGGCTCAGGAAATTTCAAAGACGATCGCTTGAGTCAATCCCTATGAACAGTCTCGGCCACACCCTAAGAACGGGGCCGCAGAGTGGATCGCAGCGACAACTGGATCCGGCCGTCGGCCCGTCTGCACGAATCACGGCCCTGAGACGTAATGAAAATCAGTAGAAAGGCACCGCAATGGAGCCTCAAACTTTGCGAAAAACTGGGGAAGCTGCTGCAAGAAAAAAGTTCGTCTCCGATGCCGGCGTTGCTACGTACCTGCAAACGCAGTTTCATGCACAGGTTCATAATGGCTGCCAGATCATGGGCAGATCGATGGAATTTCTATGCGGCGGCTAGCTGTGCGGATCGTTCCAGGGCTTAGCGTCCTTGGCCCTTTTTTAGCTCAGCCACCTGGCTGTTTCTTCATGGGCTGCCTCGATATACCTCTCCGCGCTCAACAATGATGGCTTGATCATAGACCTGCCGCTGCGAGGTCGGCCACTGGGTTCGAGCGGCCGCCCTCCGAAGGTGCTCGGTGGCCATTTTTGGTACGCCACCAATTTGTTTGGTAACTGATGGTCTTGTGGATGCTGATATCCAATAATTTTGCGCTGCCAACGTAACCCAAGGTATTCACGGCTCTGCGACAAGGCTGAATAACTCGACCCCGATTGGCCGGTGCTACACCTGTCTTCCTGGTTGGCAAAATCTATAGAATAGGGTGCTCAAATCCACCCTCTGAACATTTCATTTTACCTCGTTCAAGCGAGATTCCCGTCTGTGTCTTGTATGGTTTCCTTCCAATGTATCCGTATGAAGATCAACTGCGCTTCCAAAAGCCAAGCGTTACCCCAGCCGCGAAGCAGTGGGGTTTATGTAGCAGAAACCCACCCCGTAAATGAAAAGGACAAGATGCACCCGATGTAACGTTCTCTAGGAAGATCCGGCCATCGGTGCTTAGAGCAGCTCCAATTAAACTTGATTTATACACCCCAGGACTTCCACATGTTGAAACTCCGCTTCCCCAAGTTTTTGCTGAAGCTAGATTTTCCGAATCTCTCTCCTATAGAATCGAACGCATTCATCCATCCATCAGGGTGGACTGCTTTGTGTCCAACACAGTTACATAGTAAACAATCTCTTACTCAGGCTCCATCTTTACGCCCTGTTTGTTACTCGATTTCTCTTCTTTAGTAAGAACTGGTCACAATATCAAGATTCTTCTGCGCAAATGCCTTTTTATGCTAAATGTACAGAAAGATACTCCCTTCTGGTCATTCCATTTGTTCTAATTCATATCCTATGTATTCATCATCTAACTCCTACATAATGATGCAGTCGTACTGGCTTCGAATATCCATCACGAGAATCCTCAAAAGTTTCAGATCTCCGCTCCAAAAATGAAGCCTACCAAAAGACCAGTGCCCACAATAATACTTCCCAGCGGTTGCACCCCAATCTTCTCGCACAAACTCAAGGGAACCAATGTCGCCAGATCCCCCGGCAGCTGCAAGATCGGGTGTAAGTACCACGTCGAGGTAACAGCCAACCAGGTCATAGTCCAAATGTAACCCACAGCTCTCTGCCACAGCGGTGGCACAGACTCTTCGTCACTAGATGGCTCCTTTCCTGCAGACGAGCTCAGCGTTTTCCAAAGGGCCTGCACGCCATCTTCCAACATGATGCCCAGCGCCATGATCGGGAACCCAATTAAAGATCCAGAGTATTCATATGGAACGGTCTGGATGTGGTCGACAATAACATGCAGCATGCCAGAGAGAAGAAAGACTAGAAAGATATTTGTATATCGCTCCAGAATGGACGGCCTGGGGAGGTGAAGGACATCACGCGCAATAAAGTTGCTCACAGCCGTAAAAGGCTGGCGCAAATATTGGTGCCAGAATTTGCTGCATAAACATGTCAGACCCAAAGACTTGTAGAAAGCCCCCAAAATCAATTAAGGAAGAGCGGGACGGAAGGAACACGCCAAAACTTACCCCCAGAACTTCCGAATCGTATACACATCTGCCATACTCCCAAACAAAGGGGGCCAATTAGCAGCCACGTCCAAGCCCGATCCCACAAATACCACAGAGGACAGACGATAATGCGCATCGATCACAATCCGCGACAACGCGAACCATACAGTCAAATTCGTGAGGCCCCGCTCAACCCACTGATCCACCGGCACAAACCAATCTATATGCGAAAATCCCGGTGAATCCCCCTCCTGAAACGCCTTCTGCCTAGCCAGCGCCTGCATCAAATCCAGCACAAGGTACTGCCAGAGGAAAAAGACGCTCTGCCTGAGCAGGAAGCGGCCGCGGGAGATCTTGCCCTGGCGCCCATAATACGCCGGCTGCGCGGGCACGCTCTTGATTTGGCGGGACGTGCCGATGGCGCGGAATTGCGACAGCAGCTCTGCGGCATGGTAGATGCGATCTGAAAGAAAGAGCGAGTGCTTAGGGTCCTCGCGCGCCAGATCGGTGTCGTCTAGCGGGTTGAGCAGGAGGAGATTGACGGCTTGAACGGCCATTAAGATGAGGTGGGTAAGGGCTGAGCAGAGGGTTGGACTTGCGCCATCATACGGCTGTATCAAGTGGTAGGCGAGCCAGACTATGCATGGGATGGCCGCATAGCGAAATAGGGATCCCTTGGGGGTTGCGACTATGCACGTGGTTGTGATGAGGATTTGGAGCGCGCCGCTGGCGAGGTAGCTCGTTAGGTCTAGCGGCCAGAACATGGTGGCGAAGAGGCCGAATGAAGAATCAGACGGTTCTTAGATGGATGATGTTATAATCACTTGGCGATTGAAGTTGACCTGGATTTGCCTGTGGCCTTGGGAGCTAATGCTCGCGCTAAGCGCTTGTTGTGGATTAGGGGTTTCAGCGGGGCTTGGGCCGTATTCCTAGGCGCGGTCTTCGAGGGGCCTGCAGGAGCCAGATGTAAATCAGCGGTGCGAAAACCTGTACATAGACAGTGTACTTCAAAGGAAACCTCGCCGGCGAGAAGATTAAGATTGGATCTTCAGAATTGAGCAGGGGGTGGGGTTGAGGTTAATGCACTCGAATGTCAACAAAGGCCGTCCCGTCCGTCTGCATTCAAGCCTTGCGATCGGCGTAAGCTGACGGCTGCTCACGCTGCTCACTCCCATTCATGATTGGCAAATCTGTAAGGCTACGAGGGTGCAGCTGAACGTTGCTTTGCATATGTGATGGCTAAAGGTTTCGAGGTACATCCAATCAAGAAGACAGTGCAGCAATGACTCTATTTCCACAAGCCTCGGCGGAAACCGATATAATTATACCACCCCAACCACAAGGCGAATCTCGTCCGCAAACGCCATAAAAAAAACACCATCCGGAAACACACCCCCAATGCCATGCCCAGACGCCGAAATGCTATTGTACAAAATCATACAGAGGCACATGCATACAAAAACAAGAACTGAAGTCAACCCCGCGGGGGACAGAAACAGAAAAGGTCAGGTAGGAGGGCAAAGAAAAGAAAAAGAAACAACACCCCGTAGTAAATCATCAGCTCGTCAGAACATACCAGCCAGGCTCAACCTCGGCTCCGCCGCTTCATCATCCGCCGCTGCCGCTGCGACGCATGAATCGCCTCGTCGGTGAGGATCTCTTCCGGCGGATCGAAGTCGCGCTCTTGCATGTCTGGCATGGGATGGCCGAAGGCCAGAATGGTATGTGTGCGGCCGCGACGGGTACCGTTCACCGCAGCCAGAGCTGTCTCGCGGTCGTGTGGTTGTTCGAAAAACGAGGTGAAAGGCTTGTCTGTAGGTGGAGGGTAGGAGAAGGGAGCTGCAGCCGGGGCCGGTGCAGCTGGGGAGGCCGAGGTGTTGGTGGGCTTTTGACGTTTGAAGTTGGCTTTAGTTTCGCTCGCAAGAGCAGAGTGGTCGTCTCCCCCTGCGCGCGCGGCCTTGGGCTTACGGTGTTCTGAGACGGATTTGCGCCGTTGGGCGGCGGAGGCTGAACGGGCTTCCTGGTGTAGCTGGCGCGCAGCCCAGGCATCCACGTCGTTCGGGTCCGGGGTGCTAGGGGTATCTGGCAAAGGAGAGCTTTCTTCCGCGGCGTCTTCAGCAGGCCGTGAACGCTTTCGCGAGTGTCGAGGCGCGTGCGATTCGGTCTCTGTATCTGCGGTCGATAGCTGTTTCTCTTTGGCCAATTTGCGTTTCCGCTCTTCGTCCCGCCAGACTTGGAATTTTTTGATGAGAGCAACAAGCTCATCAATGAGGATTTGGCGCTTCGGCTCGTAGAGCTTCTTCTCGTTCTCGTGGACGCCGGTAAGACCCATCACACGCAGCCAGTCTGGGCCGCGTAGTTCTTCGAGAAGCCGGTCCACGTGCTGCTTCTCGTGCTGAGCCCGCTCGCGTTCAATGTTTCGTAATTGCTTCTCCTGACGTTCGAATTTACGGTGCGCACGGAAATATAGTTCCTCGTTCAGAGGGTCGATGCCCAGTGAACTTGATGCCGGCTCGGGCAGCGTAATCACCTCACAATTATACAGATTTTGTAGCGGATTGCCGAAAGGCATTGGATTTGGCGTGGAAGATATGGATAAGGGTTCAGGAAGGTCGTCCACTAGTGTGACGATTGTGTTGAAAGCGACAAGTTCTACGACGCATTTGCATTAGGCCACATATCTCCTGTTCGATGCAAAAGGGCAGCACTCACCAGGCTTGGGATCATCGAGACTGATGATCTGCTCATAATTGTGGAAATACTGCGCCAACTCAAGCTTGCCTCGAGGGCCCGGATCTGTAGAGCGCAGTGATCGCCTCTCGCTTCCTGCTCGTTTTGGCGCTTCCTGCTCACCCTCAGCTTCATCGCTCTTGTGCTGCTGCGACCGAGTCGCATCTGCCGGTCGCAGGTGAGCCGACTGCACGGTGGTCGCCACCTTATTCTCTGGTTCGACCGTATCAGCCTCGTCCGTCCTCGCTTCAGGGTCGCTGCGCCGGCTAGTGCGCGTTGAGGTAGGCGATTTGGCAAGTTTCGACTCGGAGTCTGCGGTGTGTGTAGGAGCTCTAGAGCGCGTTTTCACGGTGGGATTGGTCACTACTGGGGAGATCGTGTCCAATGGATCTGGCGACTCTCGGTCCCCGCGGAGCACATCTGCCGCGGAAACACGACTCCCTGCAGGGGTAGCTCGGTCGGATAGACCCCGGGGGTTTTTGACGACACCATTGCCATTCACGCGAGGGGTCCCCGACGTCAATGGATTCCCCGAGGTGACACTATCAACCGAGGAGGAGGACGGTCGGCGAGTGCGACGGGTCGCCGTCGGCGGGCGCGCGGGCTTCAAGGGAGGCAGGGCGTGTCGAGCTTTGCTGGGGGCAGAATCCTCATCCGGGGCGGTGGTGTCGAGGCAGTCTGGGGAACTTATGCGACGGTTCAGAGGCCAGAGATCGTGCAGTGTCCGCTGCTTCTTCTTCAGCGGGCCCTGACGGTCGTTGTCCGAGTGGTCGTCGGGATTCCGTCGCACAGAGCCGCGGAGGGACGACCGGGACAAGACGGCCATTGCTCGACACTGGGAGGGGTGCGACGGGGCAGATCAATTCAGTGACATGCTGTGGTGGTCCTCGCCGGTGTGTAGCGGAGGAAAGGGGTTCTTCGTTTAGGAATCCTGTACCGGGCTGGACTCAGGGCGACCGGGACAGGTTCGTCGAGGACTGCGGAGGTGGTGCGGGTGGTGCGAGACAGAGATTCTTGGCGGCAACGCGATGCTGTACCGGATCAGCTGGGCAGAGACCTGAAGATGCCTTGAGCGATCAAAAGCATGTTTGAAGGTTGGAACTTGTCTTTCTATTGATTCTATTGACCAAGCTCGAGACCTGTTTCCGCGGAAGGTTTGCCTCTGGGCTATCGGCGCGATGCTACCTATTGCCTGGGATGGCCACTGCGTACAGTATAGTTGGACTAGTTATATATCTCTCGAGCACGAGCGCGGGACTCCTCCAGTATGCCCACGCTGCCACCCAACGTCCCCCCGACACAGATATACCACACTGCACCACAGTACAATCCCCCGGTGGGCATTTTCTTCATCTAGAACCCCTAGCAGCCTGTCACAGGCGACGGGTGTTCATGTCCCGACGACCCCCACGCCGAAGCTGAGTGTGGGGGAGTGGCCGGAATTGTCAATCTGTCTCGCCACCAGCGAACGCTCAGAAGATTCGTTTCGCCAGGATGACCACAAAGGGTATTTTCAGGGTTAGAGGGTCACAAATGAGAGTAGCGGTTGATTGTGACACTCATGCAGGGCTTTCATCCGCGGACATCCCTCCAGCTGCGGATTGTGTCGCACAGAAGCCCGGCCGGAAGCGGTCCTGTGCTGCTCAACCCCGCATACTGTGAGCGTGGGGGGAAGAGCAAATGATTGAGGGCAGCAGCGTCATGAAGAGCGTGTTGACTCTATGGTGACTGTGTAGCTCGAACTCTCCCCACCACCTCCGACGCGGGGCAAGGCGGATGCCCAGGAAAGGTGGACGGCTAATCAGATCGGAGCCGGCGGGGGACGTGGGGGTTGAAGATCCGGATCGCACAGAGATTATTTAGCTGGGCATGCCCGGGCCCAATTCAATTCTGGCTCTTGATTCTCTACAACCTGGGAAGAGTGGCCTGCTACACATCTACGAGGTGCTTTCAAGTTGACGGCCTAGAAGACCCACTCTCGATATACGCTCCACCACCACCATGACGGTCAACGGTACTGACAAGCACAATGCCCTCCGGAGCGGGTTTTATGTGCCCACCGTGGCATTCTTCCAGCCGGACGAGGAGATCGATCTGGCTGCCACTGAAAAGCACGCCACGTACCTGGCCCGTAGCGGCGTGACCGGTCTGGTCACCCAGGGCAGCAATGGCGAGGCCGTGCACCTCGATCGCGAGGAGCGCAAAGCCATCACAGCAGCCACGCGCCGCGCTGTAGATGCGGCCGGCTTCCCCAACATGCCCGTCATCGCAGGCTGCGGTGCTGCGTCCACGCGCGAGACCATCCAGCTCTGCAAGGACTCCGAAGCATCAGGCGCCGATGCGGTCCTGGTGCTCCCCCCCAGCTACTATAAGGCCTTGGTGAGCGCCGAGGCCATGCACGCCCACTTCATCGCGGTGGCAGATGCCTCGCCCATTCCCGTGCTCATCTATAACTTCCCCGGCGCCTCGTCAGGACTGGACCTCTCCTCCGACGACATCCTCGCGCTGGCCAAACACCCCAACATCATCGGGTGCAAGCTCACTTGCGGCAACACCGGCAAGCTGGCTCGCGTGGCGGCTGGCTCGAAGCCCAACTTCCTCACCTTCGGTGGCTCGGCCGACTTCACTCTGCAGACCCTCATCGCCGGCGGTGATGGTATCATTGGGGGTACGGCCAACTTGATTCCGAGGTCGTGCGTCCGGCTCATGGAGCTGTACCGCAGCGGCGAGATTGCGGAGGCGCAGAAGATGCAAGCTGTTGTTGCTCGCGCAGACTGGGCTGCGATTCACGGTGGCTTTATCGCTGTGAAGAGCGCCCTCCAGTCGTATCATGGATATGGCGGCCTTCCTCGTCGCCCCTGCGTGGTGCCGACTGAGCAGGCTGCGGCCGCCATCCACGAAGAATTCCGCGAGGGAATGGAGTTGGAAAGGTCCTTGGACAAGTCAGCTTAGAGAGGAGCGAAGGAGAGACAGAGAGCTCGCGGGGTCCGTGAGAGATCAATCAAGCGAGTCGTATACCCACGCTTGTTTTTGATGAGTAGTTGCCGCAATGAATCACGATTCCTTTCCCTCCTCCCTCCCCGGACGGCTGTTGTTGACTCCGCAGGACGTTTCTCGTACATGCCGTAGCTTCGAGTCAGCCACTTCGAATGCCATGATATCTTGCGCCAGGGTCCTCTTGCAATGTCACAGTGGCATTGTTTTCATTTCGTGGAGTCGCGTGCCTCATTATATTCTCAACATCGTTCCACTGGCTTTTTTTCTAGCGCCGACACACAGACGTCGCAGCGCTCTCCCCCACACGATATCGACCATCACAATACATAGCCGAAGCTCGGCAGACTGAGGAGGACCCCGATGTAGTATGTGGAGGTCGCAGATGGCCATTGCTGCCCCCAATGAACGCCCGCCACCAACCAGCCCAACTATAAAGGGGCTAGTCGCGTGGAGCTGTGGTAGGGATGTAACCTCTGTATCTTGCATGATGAAACTGAAACATTAAGGGTCAGGGGATCCTGTTTCCTCGTGGATCTGGAAAATTGCCAGTACAGGAGTACACAGGCTACCAGAAATCCCAATTTCCAGCGGTGATTGTTGAGTGTTGACTTGGTGGTTGATGGTCCGAGTTCGCTCGGTTCACTCCGTAGCTCCTGTGCTCCTCTGAAATGCATCGCAGCATTCCAGTGATCAGCATGGGATCGGCATGCGACTGCTCCTAAACATAAATAAACCCAACCACCTCCTTCTCCCCTACCTGGTCACCTTCCTCCCCCCACCCTCATCACCATGAAGTTCACCTCTGTCCTCGGCGCGCTGGGGGCTCTCGCCTCGGCGGCCACCGCCGTCAAGGTGAACCCACTTCCCGCCCCCCGCAACATCACCTGGGGCTCCTCCGGCCCGATTCCAGTTAAGCAGCTCTCACTCCGCACCTCCGAAAGCCACGGCCACGCCCATTCCGTCCTAAACAGTGCCTGGGAACGCGCCCGGGCCGCCATCGTCGACCTGCAATGGGTTCCCGCCGCCACCGAAGCTCCCATCTCTTCCTTCCAGCCATTCCCGACCGGCTCAGTCTCGAAAAACAAGCGCGCCACCACCGCGGCCGCCATTCAATCCGTTCAGCTCTCCGTGGTTGACGGGAATGCCGATCTGCAGCACGGGGTGGATGAGTCCTACACCCTGGAGGTGACGGCCACTGCCGGCACGGTCAAGATCACATCCCAGACGGTCTGGGGCGCACTTCACGCGTTCACAACCCTGCAGCAGCTCATCATCGCCGACGGCAAGGGCAATCTGATCATTGAGCAGCCCGTCAAGATCGAGGATGCCCCCTATACCCGTATCGCGGCATCATGATCGACACCGGCCGCAATTTCATCACAGTCCCCAAGATCCTCGAGCAGATCAATGGCATGGCCTTGTCCAAGCTCAATGTTCTCCACTGGCACTTGGACGACGCCCAGTCGTGGCCCATGCAGATGCGCTCCTACCCCCAGATGACGAAGGACGCCTACTCAAGTCGGGAAATATATTCGGAGGCGGACATGCGCCGGGTGATTGCCTATGCACGTTCCCGTGGCGTTCGCGTTATTCCCGAGGTCGACATGCCTGGTCACGCGTCCTCTGGCTGGAAGCAGGTGGACCCGAAGATCGTGGCATGCGCCGACTCCTGGTGGTCCAACGACGTGTGGCCGCTGCACACGGCTGTCGAGCCGAACCCGGGCCAGCTGGACATCATCTATAACAAGACGTATGAGGTTGTGCGCAATGTGTACAAGGACCTGTCGGGAATCTTCGTGGATAATTGGTTCCACGTCGGCGCCGACGAAATCCAACCAGGCTGCTACAACTTCAGCTCGTACGTCTCCAACTGGTTCGCTGAGGACCCCTCGCGCACCTATAACGACCTCGCCCAATACTGGGTGGACCACTCCATGCCGATCTTCCGCAGCACGGGTGGCCCCAAGCGTCGCGTCATGATGTGGGAGGACATCTTCCTCTCGACTGAAGCCGCGTACGACGTCCCCAAGGACGTCGTGATGCAGTCCTGGAACAATGGCCTCACCAACATCCAGAACCTGACCGCGCATGGCTACGATGTGGTCGTCTCCTCATCGGACTGGCTGTACCTCGACTGCGGCTTCGGCGGCTTCGTGACCAATGACCCGCGTTACGACGTGATGTCCAACCCGGGGGGGACGTGACCTTCAACTTTGGCGGCAACGGCGGCTCCTGGTGCGCGCCGTACAAGTCCTGGCAGCGCATCTACGACTACGACTTCACCACCAACCTGACCGCGGCGCAGGCCAAGCACGTTCTGGGCGCCGAGGCACCCCTCTGGTCCGAGCAAGTCGACGACATCACCATCTCCAGCAAGTTCTGGCCGCGCGCCGCCGCGCTTGGCGAGCTCGTATGGTCTGGCAACCGCGATGCCTCGGGCCAGAAGCGCACCACCCAGCTCACCCAGCGCCTGCTCAACTTCCGTGAGTACCTGGTAGCCAATGGTGTGATGGCGAGTGCGCTGGTGCCGAAGTACTGTCTGCAGCACCCGCATGCATGCGATCTTTACTACGACCAGACGGCGGTCTCGCCCTAGGTCCTCTATTTCCTTTTGGGCTTTGGTGGTAATTGGAAAGTTATATCATCATTATGCATTGGCTCATCCTTAGGCGACTGCCTCCCCATTTTCTTCTGTACATACATATACTTGGTCATCGACTTCGATACCCAATTCCATCAACCCTTTCCGGTTTACTGTTCCTGGGATGCAGCGCACTGTATCATGTGCAAACTCTCCATTCCCCTTTTACTTTCATCTCCTCCCCGACCTTCACCATGCTGATAACCCCCCGATAACCATCTCGACCGGCCCAAATCCCACGCCCTCACCAGGCGCGCACGCAGTCCTCACAGATCCCCGCCATTCCCAAATCGGGCCAGCCAGTCGCGCTCATCGGCCATCGCCGCGGCTGTGAAACAAGCCTGAGAGCAGCAGGACACTTCCCCGTCCAGGTCATCCTCCCAGAGTTGCCAGTCAGATGGACTTTCATCCGGCGGACGGCATCACTCACCTCCCGGCCAGGCAACGAACCGGATGAACAAACCCATAACGAGAAACTCGGAATGGCCACGCTCACAGCTCCTGCTCCTGGCCCAAGCCTTCTCCATTCGTCGGTGATACACGTCGGTGATACACGTGGAATCCACCCGCCCAGCCAACCTAATCCAACCCTCCCATTCCCAAGATTTCGTCCACATCCCAGCACCCTACCCTCCATTGTGCACTGATTGGGCGCACCCGCCCATTTCTTCAACTCGTGTCCTCCCATCGCATCCCAGTCGCACCCCGAGGACCCCGCCAAAACCCCCCAGTCTCGGTTCCGGTTCCCGATCCAGACGGCCCTGGTCGCACACCGGCAGGGAACCACACCGGCGAATGATCGGGTATCACTCTGGCCTCGTTCGCGCGGATCGGGATCTAGATTTTGAGTTTGAGTTTGAGTTTGAGTCTGATTTTGATTTTGATTTTGGATTTGATTTTGATTCTCGTTCTGGTTCTGGTTCTGGGTTAGCGGTGGCCTTTCTGAGCTGGGTCAGACCAGGGAACTGGCTCTGCGTAACGTCGTGCCTTGTGTATCCGGGGCAAGACGGATTTAGCGGGGTTTGCAGGGTGTATTGCGCTTACGGCTTACTTTGGGTCGGGAAGCTGGGTAGGCTCTAGCGGTTTCCATCTGACGATGGGGCCGGACAGTTTCGTTTTTAGGGTGATGACCGGTCTGGACACCATCCACGTCGTCGTGGTATGTGCTACTGTTGCCGCCGCCGCCGCCGCTTATTCGGGGTGTCCTCGTGGGTGGTGTCTGGGGTTGTGCGGCGACTCTGATACTGGAGAAACGTGGGCGCTGGTGACCAATGTTTTAGTGATGGCTTCTAGTTGCTGCGGCCTTGTTTCATGCCTGGGTGATACGGATGATTTGTCTGTGATGACGAATTTGGGAATAGTCATACGACATTGGATTCTGGACTTGAGCGTGAGGAAAGAGCCAAGCCCCTGGTCGATGATTGGACGGGGGTCCGCGTCAGCCGGGTTGGTGAGTAAACTAATGGGAAGTGGTTGAAGATCATGGCTTCGACCATTTTGTCTGTAGGTTCTTCCAGGTGGTTAGACGGGGTTCGTCTCGGTGGTGACCATCAACGATGGTGTTTGTATGGAGTAGAATTGCATGAGAACTGGTGGCTTGGCGGGGATGGGTCCCTTGGATGGGAAGACTTACCTCAACACGTTTCTGTACTCCGCACACTGGCAACATAAGAAACTCATGTCTAGCAGAGACATTGCCTCGAAACATGAGGCCTGGCACAGCTTCCAGCCTCCTCCCGGGCGATCCCTGCCTAACCCACGAACCCGGGCTCCTTGGTCGGCATCCCAAGCGCCGAGTTGGGGGACACTGCAGCTATCTGACAGGACAGGAGTCCAAAGGCATGTCCGCAAGGCAGACCCTGTTTGACCCCCCAAGGAGGCCTGCAGGTACCGTTAGAGCCGCTCACTATCCAATCGATGGTCACGATGCCCACAGCAACCGCTGGAGATCTCTCTACTGAATCGTGACCTGCCAAGGATCTACACGTCCGGACAATGTAATCAGAGCAGGACAATCGGCCGCAAGCATATCGCTGGCAGCAGGTAACCAAAAACCTAAACGCTCGGTACTCGCACCGACTTACCGTTCATGCTTCAGTATCGACGTATGATCCTCCAATCTAGCCAATAAACAGCAAAAACCCACATCAATTGGGGTACGACCGACTCGGGGAGCAGACGTCCCCGACCAGCAGACACATCATATCGCGCAGATATACAAACCTAAGACATTGGCAAACCTAAATGCCAGCCACGGTCCCCGGCGCTACCCGCCTCACGTTCCACGGAAAGGTAGTCAGATACTCAGGCCCCGACCGCACCGAAGCCACCTGTTCGCGCATCCAGACGAATCGGCTATCGCCTCCGCATGGCAGCATCAGTGCCACTGCCGGTCTCCCTTGCCCAGCCCATTGCAACGGTAATCGAGGCACATTACACACTACGGCATACGCCCAGCCAAGACTGGGACAAGATCCCCAAATCGCAAACCAAACCCAGCGCGCCGGAGACGAGAGAGGCCGACTCCACCACGCAACCACGCTGTAGTCAGCATTATCAATCCACTAGAAGAATATCAACCCCAATGCAGAAATGGACGCCGTGCCACCAGAACCCAAGCGCGATGTCATATCGACTTTGTTCCAGGAAGACCAAGACCGGAAAGGAAATGGAGCCAAGACCACGATGATCGCATCGGTGAAATCGGATCGTGCCACTCCAGCAGGTGGAGCAGTCGGGATCGCGAGCAAAAAGGAAACCTGTGCCCAGTGCATCTCGGGGATGCTCAAGCATGCTGCCTATAGGCTGGTGGCGGGTGCGATCGAGGGTGGATTAGCGATTTCCCGCGGTGGATTCTTCTTTGTTTTTTTCTGCCTCTGTGAGGGGTGTGTGCCCACACGAGAATCAGGCCTCACGATGGATCTGGATCTGGTAGAACGCTAGAGCTCCAGTTTCTCTCCCTTCCGAGTGGGGAGGGCCCCCCTCCCCACACGCCACGGCGAGAGAATTAGCTCTCGCCCATTTCGGATCGGACGGAAACTGGGTCTGTAGATGCGTAGATGGTACCCATACATACGGACTGGAAGAGGGAAGGATATGCGTGTGAATCTCCATCGCACGGGCTGCCTCTTCTCTACTCCTTTTTTTGTGTTTGACCTCCGCACGGAAAGCGGTTGGGGGCGCAAGCTAAGGCTCGTGGCGTCGCTCGCCCGCCTGGCCCTGTCTGTCGGAATTTCCCCTGGGCTGGGCCGACTGGAAAGATGCGGACGCTGGAAGAGGACCCCCGATGCCTCCGTCTGTTAGCGGTGAAGGAAAGGAGAATTTGGAGTCGAGGGCCACGGCGACAGTCGCGCAAATTGATACATCGAACCGACGTGTCGATCATCACGCCTCGTCTTGTCTTCGGCACGTCGGGCGCTTATGCAATCTGCTTCCCGAGCTCCGATCCAGTTCCCGCGTCAAACTCTCGATCTGCCTTGCAGGGTGATGCGATTTGCCCTATATCAAGATATACTAAGTGATATTGGATGTGATGGATGCGCAGCGCGTTGCAGATACGTACCGTACCGCACAGTCCTCCGGCGCAAGGTTGCAGTGAAAACAGCGAGATAGATCGCTAGCTCAGCAGAAGCGCGCCGATCCGCACCAGCCGGGATTACCAATTACTTGCGCCTCTGCTTCACCCTGGTGCCAGGCTGTGTGGCTACCTATTGCGGTTGTTGGTTGTACTATGCCTGACGCATCCGAGTGTGAATGACTGGCTTGGCCGCTCACTCTAAAACCTTGCCTCTCGTGTAGCGCAGCAAGGACCAAGGGCAGTACTACTTATTGCAAACGCAAGTCATGGCTTGGCTCCTTCCTAACTTGGAATGACAGTCAATCGACAGGGCCGGAGGGGACATACTGTCCGTACATAAACAGCACCCAGTACAGGCAGCACCTGCATGTTCGACATTGAGCGATTGCCATCAAGATCCGGTCCAGGAAACGCATCTCGGGGACCTTCGGGCTCTACTGCTGTAGCCTGCAACCGTTGTACAAAACGTAGTACAATGTCTACTATGTAGATCGATATCCATCCTGATTGTATAGCTCGTTCATTATGCTCGGACCTGGGCACGTCTTGCGCTGGTTCGCACCTGGGAATCGCTTTGGACAATACCCACCTTGGACCGGAAAATGGGCACTGAAAGGCTAGATACGCCTGTAGGGCACTCGTAGTTAGCGTCCCCAGTCGGATCATATCACACCCAACCAACCCGCCTACAACATTCCATCCTCAGTCTCTGCTACACGTAACTAAAAAGGGGGAGAGAGCGGTCGGTTGATCAGACGGCACGCTTGGGTTTCGAGGTAACCATGAATTGCGACAGGTGCCAGTGGCTTGAGTGTGCATTCCTTGGCCTGGGCGCTTTGAGCCCGTGTACCACGAGACTATATCAAGCGATGCTAATGCATATCTATACCCCAAGGGAGCCAGGTGGGAAGATGGTAGTGAATGATGTAATGAGCACGAGTGGAAGCCCATCGGTTCAAGTTTTACTCTCGTTACTCAAAATAGTTGGATGATCACGTATCGAGCATCGTACCGGGCTGCCTGATATTGGCTGTGGCGCATGGGGGTCTTTGGCCGTTAGGTATTCTCGTCCAATCGTCGCTTAGCTAAGTCATGTCCCCGATCTGGGAGGGGGCCAACTGAGTCGGAATGACAATCGCTAGTGCATCCGAGATATCTCCAGCCATGTGCGAAATTAGTTCATAGCTATGCTACGGACCGCTGTCCATTAGTCGATGAGGGGTAATGGTTCAAGCTACAATACCGAAGTAGGTAAGTGCGTAGGTCTATCGCTACTGCCGCCCAATCCCCACCCGCAATCCTGAAGTCCTTCTTGCATCAATAGTGTCGTTAGTGGCAGACCGTGCCGGGGGATGATTGGGTGTGTTCTGCCCCCCATGGAAGTGGTTAGTTCGGGTTCGGTTGGCCGAGCTCGGGCGACGCTCAGGCACTGCACTCTCTGCTCCTGCAGTCGACTATGCATCCTGCATCCTGCACACGCTGGGAGCTCACCCTCCAAGCCAAGTCGAGTGGGCGGGCGAGATCCGAGGCAAACAAGGCCGATCGGGCTAGGAGGTGGGAAGCTCGAGAGGTAGGTCAATTCGGTTCGTCGTTCATCTCATTATCTCACGATGAGTTTATCTGTAGATACCTCTGTACGGAGTAATGAACTACCTATTTTTACATGGTGTACCGCCAGGCGGGTCACTCGGCAGGAAAAGCCGAGGGCAGCCTAGAGTCTTCAAACGCGCGCTCCTCCTTTTCCCTGGAGATCCACAGCATATTCGGAGAGCGCTGAAGTCATGCTGTACGGACCTCACGGACCCGCCAGACTCCAGCCACATGGTTCCCGGTGTTCCAAGGATCGAACCGTGCTCCACAGTATCCCGCCTTCTTCGTGCCAGGCACCAATCATCCGCAACCATGCCCCCTAAGAACACCCCGGCGCGCTCGACAGGGAAGGTCCCTGTGGTACTACCGACGTGTACAACGCCATTCAATCCTGGACGCAGGGGGGCGAATGGGGGTCGTGGACCATGTGACGGGCGACGCGCCCGGCGGATCAGGGGAGACGATCCTGTTCCGCCATGTGTACGGAGTACGGAGTACGGAGCATAGACGGAGGATGATCCGCGGTCTGGACTGGACGGCAGCAGTGACAGTCTGTTTCCCGCAGTCCAGTGGGCTGGGGTGCATTCCACGCCCAACCAGGGGATTTGGTGATAGCCTTTTCCACCCCAACAACCCGGGTCGTCTCCAGCGCCCCGGGTGAATTATAGTGCTCACGTCGCTGGGCGATCCAGGCCCCGCCGAGCATGATCGGCAGCGCGTACGATCCGATCTACGGTCAACAGCTAACCACGACTCCGTGTCTTCGTCTAACATTGAGCGAGCCCAGGCCTCCGCCAGACAAACACACTCTCATGCAGTAGCATGGATCGCTAGCCTCCCGTGCTCCTGCCCCGTGCCCACGATACCTCAGATGTTTCGCGGAGATGATAGCTCGTCGGCCAGTGGAGATGGTCGCGGCCTTCGATCGCGAACTCCAGCATGGTGGCTAGTCCCCGGGGAGCCCGGCCGGTCATGTCCACGACGAAGCTACCAACTGTCCCAACAGACCCGCCCCGATTCCCACCGCAATGGGCATGGCATCGCCGAATGGTGGTTGGTGATCCTCCTCGCCATTGGCGGGATCGACGTTTTCTGGTGTGGAATCAGACCGACTTTGGATCCGCTGTAGTTGGTTAGTTCCTAATTTTGGGTTGATCTGTAGGCCCGGTGGAAGAAGAAGCTCGGACGCTTTGACACTTGGGACACTTTGACACTTTGACACTTTGACACTTCGGCCGCAGCCGCGCCCGCAGCCCGTCAATAGGCTGCGCGCAACACCCAAACGAGACACGGGGAAAAGCTCGCAACCCCCAAAAGACGGCTAGCTAAAGAACTAAGCGAAACACAGCTTAGCTTCGCTGGATGTAGTTAACCACGCATGCACAATGTTTCGGGGTTAACGGAGAGGTTTCGGCCTTTCGGGGACCATGCTTATCGGACATTCAGTTTTTGTTCCTAGCGCAGAGACCCATAGTTGCCTCGACGCAGATGGAACGGCCGGGATTGGGGGAAAGAATGGGGCTTTGTGTGGGCGATAACAGTCCCGGAGAGTATTCGGCGATGGAGACTTGATTGACGCCAACCGTCTGATTTCTCCATTCAAAAACCACCAGGTGCCTGCCCCCCTTCCCCCCAGCCCTAACATCGGCATGTCGGCTGCCATTAGCGAGAGGAGAGGCTTGTATATCCATCTGCGTTGTTTCATCGATACTTTTCCAATTAATAGCCATTGTCTCACAAGAAACTAGTTGGAGCTCAATTTGGTTCGTTATTTAGCGCGTGAGCGTGAGCACGTACATATCACCAGCCGGTAATACCACCCGCTCCCTGCTTAGTTTGGTGCGCGACCCCTGTCCCACCCATTATACTTCCAGAAGCGAATCCCAAACTTCCCAAAAATCAGTCAGAACCAGCCATCCGTAAGACTTCTCATGGATTCTAGCGACAGGGGCAGGCCCTGCCCATGAGCCTAGCTTTGCCCTTGGTGGCGCGCGGTAGCGACACAAGCTCGCCTCTTGAAACGCGCCCCTCCCCACAGGGCCGTGGCTTACCGGCCTCTCTCCGGACATCTGCTCGTACCAACCTCAATCATATCAAATGCAGTAAACGGAAAGACAGGGTGACGGTGTAGGTTAGCCGCAAAGAAGATGAACTCGGAAATGGACAGAGCGACCAAGTTAACGGAGACCAAGCATCTCGGTTCCAGAACCTCCGTCACAGATTTCTCCGTGGTTACTCCGTTTATTGGGCAGGCTATTGAGGCCGGCCCGCGATGCGGCTCTAGCGTAGCGAGTGGCGTCCATCGCGAGTCCCAGGGCCCGCAGGTATGCTACGGCCAGAACGCAGTCGGGGTGCGCTTTATGACCTCCGCCCTGCCAATGATCCCACCCATCCCGATCGACCCTCAAATAAAGTACTCTCTTAGATGGGGACGTGGGAATGAGTGTATCGTTCACTGTTACCGTACTAGCCTAAGCTGGCGGGCACTGACTCGTCCCGGGCGGGCGTGTTGGGGAGGCCACGTTTTCTGTCAGTTCGGAGAGCGTGCCCGTGAAACATGCAGATGCAGCCGCGCAAGGATAGCGCAAGGTAAAGTTGGAGTTGGGGGGGCCAGACGGAAGTCTCTCATTCTGGGACGCGTTTCTATTTTTCCTTTTTTGTTGGTTTCTGTAATTGTCTGCTGTGTCGCAAAATGGGCCCAATCAGGCGCTGCCATGGCGGCGCACAAGAGCCCTGTTGTGCGCTGCTATCTTCAGATGCAGCGGTACATGGGGGC